TTCATTCAATTGGGTATACGTCGCTACTGGCCAGATGCTCGCAGACTTACTGACGAAAGCGCTCGGCAGCAGGAAGTTTGGCCAGTTCAAAGCGATGCTTGGAGTCGGTAGAGAGGCAAGAGGGGATATGGAACCAGGTCAAGTGTTGTGCGGTGAAGGGCTGGATATACCATCTGAACATCAAGACCTGCCAGCTGGCAATATATAAAGGCCAGCACATCAGAATCGTAGATAACCATCAAGTTGCAAGCACCCAAATCCGCCTATAGCTCTGCAGGAATGTCGCAAGATCGGTGCGACTCCAGAACGCTGCTGCGCATCTTAGTAGGCAAGTAATGGCTTCTACTCCTCTCACGAAGAATATGGATACTTCACTGTCAAATCAGGGGACTTCAGCAGAATCATTCTGATCTAGTACAATCACCAGTGCAACGACATTTGAGAGTGCGCCACAAGAGAAGTTGAGTTCAGCAAAAGGTGCTGTGCGCTGAGAGTTCTGAGTGTGCGACACCGCCGACGCGCGCACTACAAAGTGCCAGCACAACAATTCCGTAGTAACAACGACAGTAACAGCACCTTTTAATACGTTCATGTCTTAGCAGTCCAAGCCCTGTTCATTAAGTACTTGCCATGCATTCGTTACCGCTTCACAAAAGGCTTGATTCCAGGCGTTGCCTTTCTCGAATGTGTCGTATGACCAAAACTACGTCAAATCAGGTTTGGCACTTGGCTGTATTTTTAACAACCTACATTTCTGTGTCTACCTTGTCTCGATCAATCTGACTAATGGTCTCGACATTCATCGCAGCAATTCGGCATTGTCACAGATCACATGGTTTTAGAGCTTTCATTTTGACAAGGGCTAGAAGTTCAACGCTTTTGCCAACATATCATCAGAGTCGTCATAGCTTTGGCATTTCCATATCTTGCTGTTGAGCTTGGCAAACTGGACTGCTGCGTCATCATTTCCAAAATGTGCTGTTGAGCTTGGCAAACTGGACTGCTGTGTCACCTTTCTCTCCAATACATCTGACTCCGAATCATTTCTTCAAAGTCGTGTTTGTCCGGGTGTCTAGGTGGTCCGCTGTTCAACTGATACTGGTATTCTTTCTATGTTGCCATGAGACCTTGCCACCTTCATATACTTGCGCTCATGGAAGCTGCTGGAACATTTGTTGTGTTCATGGAAGCCAATAGAAGAACTAGAACATCTGTTATTTTATTGCTTCCTCTTGCCTTCTGTGTTGTTCCATAATGGTCGACCATAGACATGCGATTAGCCACTGCTGATCACGTCGTGAGATCTGGACCGCGAGTAGCATCACCTCCAACGATCTTGACCGCGAGTAGCATCACCTCCAACAGTATTGGCCCCAAACGGCGTCATTCTCTAAGAATTGAGGATTCTGGCGAATTTGAGGGGTCAACGAAATTAGTGTAGAGCGAGGGCAAATGCATGGCGAACGCCTGATGAGCAGAGCTTGAACTGCTCAGGCATGAACGTATCAAAGTGTGTTGTTGCTGTCGTTTGGATTACGGAATTGCTACCGAAGTGCTGTGCAGGCACTTTACGTTGTGGTGCTCCCGTCGGCGCTGCCTCACCCTCAGAAATCGAAGCGCACAACAATTATGACGTACGTTCTCACTACTGTGTATTTCTGACGCTCACACGATGTTATCCAGGGAAGTTTCGCAATTCGTTGACGCGCTCGGCAGAGACACTACAGATTCTTCAGTAGTTGAAGCAGTCTACATTCCCGTCAATGAGCTTCCCAAGGCCGTTGCTGAAAATCGTGCGTTTTCTTTCAGTAGGAACTCACAAATTCAATTTGCGAAAAGTGGTCTATACCTTTCAATCGACGGGCAAACATATTTCGCAAAGCTCTGGTGTCAGCCAAACAATCGGGTATCTACACTGTCAGGGCGTAAGAATGTGTACAAGTCTTCGCTGTTGTGTCGATGGTGTGCCTCTCAGAAGCCAAGCAAAACCGCGGGCCGTAAAAAATCCACAGAATGGCCACGTCTGTCAAACAAGCGGGACAGAGTTGGCGTCCCTTATCTGCGATGTCAAGCAGACCCGAATCACCGATGTCAACGGACAGGCCCCGCCTTTGGTGAGATTTTGAGGGTTTCCACAAGCATCCAAAGCCCCCAAAGCCTTGTCTGAAGCATTCCGACCTCAAGAATTTCGCAAGGTTCCGACAAGCGTTCCCAAACACGGGCATGACGGCTCTGAAGCAAAAGAAGCTCATCGCAACCTCTTGGGAGAGAGTCCACCTCACTGACATCGATCTTGCGCTCATGAACAACAGTCGTCTGGCGTTTTTGCTGCGCAGCAGTAGCGGGGATCAGCCCGAGGCGTCCTCAAAGGATTTCAACACCAGACAATGCTTTCGACAAATTGACCACCTCATGTCCTCCAATCATCAAAAAGATTGATCTGACTCCAGGGCGTCAGTTAATCATAATGCAACCAGATGAGATGCTCAATTATTTTGACTTTGCACCGCCGAGACAACCATGACCTCCACTTCGGACTTGTAAACCCTGCGACAAGTCCTCCAACCACTTCGTCAAATGCTTTTGGCGTTTCGCAATTCTTGTTAAGATAATGATATCGGCAACCTTTAAGAAGGCTATCAGCCAAATTTTGTCAGTGTGCGAATGAGTGGTAGTTCCGTTCAAGAGCAGCTGTTCATTCTACCAAGTGGCGCGCGACGGCGAGGGTCAAGCCGGCCCATTGTGCCTCGCCAAAATCAACGACGTTAGCGGAATAGCCCACGTCGCCGTTTGGCAGCTTCTGCTCAATGGCGAAGAAGAGTTGCCTGAAGTGCGCGGCGCAACTTTCTGCGCCCAGATCATCTACCCATGAAAATACAATTGGCACCCAGCAACAGAGAGTGGTAGGCCGCAGTGGCAAGCAGTAAACCTTGGATGTAGTAGTATGAGCCGCGACAGTTCCATAGCCACATTGATCACCGATTCGACCTAGGCGAAAGTCAAGATAGTTGAGCATCCCATCTGGCTGAATAATGATCATTCAACGCCTTGGAGTCAGATCAATCTTTTTGATGACTGGAGGACATGAGGTGGTCAATTTGTCGAAAGCATTGTCTGGTGTTGAAATCCTTTGAGGACGCCTCGGGCTGATCCCCGCTACTGCTGCGCAGCAAAAACGCCAGACGACTGTTGTTCATGAGCGCAAGATCGATGTCAGTGAGGTGGACTCTCTCCCAAGAGGTTGCGATGAGCTTCTTTTGCTTCAGAGCCGTCATGCCCGTGTTTGGGAACGCTTGTCGGAACCTTGCGAAATTCTTGAGGTCGGAATGCTTCAGACAAGGCTTTGGGGGCTTTGGATGCTTGTGGAAACCCTCAAAATCTCACCAAAGGCGGGGCCTGTCCGTTGACATCGGTGATTCGGGTCTGCTTGACATCGCAGATAAGGGACGCCAACTCTGTCCCGCTTGTTTGACAGACGTGGCCATTCTGTGGATTTTTTACGGCCCGCGGTTTTGCTTGGCTTCTGAGAGGCACACCATCGACACAACAGCGAAGACTTGTACACATTCTTACGCCCTGACAGTGTAGATACCCGATTGTTTGGCTGACACCAGAGCTTTGCGAAATATGTTTGCCCGTCGATTGAAAGGTATAGACCACTTTTCGCAAATTGAATTTGTGAGTTTCTACTGAGAGAAAACGCACAATTTCCATCAACGGCCTTGAGAAGCTCATTGACGGTAATGAAGACCAGTGAAGAATTTGTTTCTAGTTTGCCGAGCGCGTCGACAACTTGCGTGGCTTCCTGGAGCACTTCGTGTGAGCGTCATCATTTCATAAGAGTGAGATTGTACGTCCTAACTTCGTGGACTATCTAGTCTCGCTAGAGTCTTCCATTCTCTGTGATTGACATTGTTTGCGACAAAAATGATTCTCAAGCTGAGAGGGCTGATGACACAGCAGCTTATTAGTCTGCCGACCTCGAAAGCGCAAATTGAGTTTGCAAATGCTCTGGCGACTCTTGCCATGACTTGATCAAGATGTACTTCGATGTGTCGGCGAAAGTGCCGAGGGTCTAGCCACAATCAAAGCGATAGAACTTCATAGAACAATGTGATTTGCTGTGATAGTGTTGACTTTATAGCGCCTGTTAGCTGAAAGATGGAACCAGGAGACGTTGCCATATTGATCGTTGTGAAGTCTATAGCTAGTCATTTGCAAATCTGATTTTTGTGCATGCGCCACATTCTAGGACAGCAACGCATACGTATTGGGTCTTTTGCTATACTGAAGTCTTCTCGTAGCCCACTTATAGATATCGTTGCATTGGAGGTTGTACAAGATAAAAATAATTCTACTGAAGTCCTCTGACTGAAACACTGAAGGGTTCACGCTCTTATTGAACGGCGAGAAGCCATTACTAGCCTGTTCAGACGATCAGGATCCTGTTGTCGCGTTCTGTCCTTGTGGAAAAAGAGATTTTGCTGATTTGCTCGCTGGACATTTGGCGCACTGGACATTTCCTTGCTGGACAAGTCCGGTCCCCGGACCGCTCGCAACTTGATGATGCCGTTCCGATATTTTGCTTTGATGTTTCTCCTTATTTATGGAATATTTACTTTCGGCTCTTGCTGCATGCCTTATGGCACTATCCGTTGTCCGGCGTGGAGATTTAGAGCACCCTTGTGCGGGTGGATTCTCTGGTTTGCTTCCTTCTTATTATGGAGGACAGTAGTTGAGCTGAGCACGACGTAGCTTTTCTCTTATAAGCTAAAACCCATCACACCGCATCCACAAGTACAGGTTCACCCACCTGATGCTGGCCAGCGCTCAGCAGTATATTTATATATCGTAGCAAGCGAAAAGCACAGGTGATTGGGAGAGCTTACGTTGCGATGATACACACGCTTGGGATGCTAGCCGCTATGGGGACCAGCTCTGCCCTAGAAACTGGGCCGACCGGACGTGTCGGCGTCACCTCTGAGGAAACAATCGCAGAAGTTTGTCTCGGTCAACTCACATTCGTATTTCAGGCCATCAGTGACGACGCATTTTTAACAAAAGTCATATCTATCTAATTCCCAAACGAGTAAACAAAGGTACAAAGATCGCGCGCAGTATCGAGACCCCAGTTTAAGTCGTCGAGTTCTTGTACGTTGTCACATTTGCAGTCGCATTGCGGTCCTTGGGTTGCAACAATGAGAATGGAATACCATCGATGGCTGGAATGTACTTTCCAGCCACAGCGGGACCAATAATGAGCGCCATGAAGATGACAAACATGACAAAGAACATGGTCGCGTAGCGACGGACGATTCGCTTCCTCAATCGATTTTGCTTCATTGAAAAGATGGGAGCTCGGATCTGCCTGCTGGGCCGAAGCCAGAAGAGCACAACTGAATGCCACCGGTCGACATACGGGATAGCCAAGATTGGCAGCATGAGAAAGAGCAAGATGTGACCAAGAATGAAGTCGGCAGAGAAGAGACAGAGCTCGATCATCTTGCAAACAAATTCTCGCGCCGGCTGTGAAAATGCGTGGCCCCCCAGCTTATTCCCATACCATCGACCGGTCCAGAAGGACAAGTTCGCTCCATCGTGTTTGAACTCGCGGGTCAAACAAGCTAACGTCAAAAGCTTCAAAAACCAACGCTGAATCGCAGTAGCTGCGATCATTCCCAGAAGGGCTTTCGGGAATGACCAATGTTCGAGAAACCACATGGCCTCGAAGAGCACGATCAGAATAATGACGGAGATGGCATGAGCGATTGCAGCGAGCACACCCCCAAATTTCTTGCAGCACATCGCGAAGCATGGTCCCATGCAACAAGCCATCAATGAGAAAATGAGGGCTACTCCAGCGTTGATACCAACAGGAGCGAAAGCAACAATGGCCACACGAATAGCAGGGTTCGAGGCATCGGAACTGTTTGGGTCCGTCATATTGCCAGGCTGGCTGTTGATGAAGAGGAAGGGAATGACCGTGACTAGGACAAGGAAGAACGGCCCAACCACTTCAGAGAAGAACACGTTGGTGAATGATGCGCGGGGAATGTCGCCAGACATTTTCTCCGAGGGCAGACCAAGAACTTTACGTTTGTAACCTGTGATTCTGGTTCGCGAGAGTCTGCAATACCCGATCCAAGAATTGGCATGTGTTCTGGAGTTCCCGCGGGACAACCAACGAATGAACTCTCTGTAGTCGACGAAGAAATCGGTCCAGGAAAACTGATGAGGATTGAAGACAAAGGGACTCACGCACAGTGCCAAGATGGAAACCCAGAAGTAGATGAGATGCGGCACCCAGCACGTCAGCGTACCGAACAAAACCATCATGAGCGTTCGGGCTCCCAGATAGATGGAAGGTCCTGCGAATCGCGAGAAGAGGATAGAGAAGGGGATTCTAGAAGTCGCAAAGCCTCTGCCAGTTCCAATGTATCGAGCACCTCCGAAAGCCAGGTTACTAAGCAACGAATTGGCATAAATTTGGAGAACAAATACCTCGAAGATCGGAGAAAGAGATCCGAAGTGCTTGGCAAGACGGGTAGCAGCTCGCAAGACTCCTCGTTCTGTGAGTTCCTGAATGACCAGGGGCACGAAAGAAATGAAGAAGACAATGAAAATCGAGAGGATACAGCGCTTGACCCAATTGAGCACGGGCACAAGGTTGTAGCATCCTCCGGGAACCAACTCATCAGTGATCGGCTTGTCGGGGTTGTAGACACAGATGGTGACCAGGTAGTAGAGCGCGCCAAAGTTGAGCAACACAATCATGAAAAGCTGCACAGACAACATGATGAACAGATTGTTGATGTGGAAACCAGGATGAGCATAGTAGAAGGACAAGAAGCGGTCGAGAGGGAGCTGTGTACCAAGATAGTAGTACTCCCGCGATAACATCTGCTCGCCCATTCCGGTACCAATTTTCGTGGTGAAATTCAGAATCGAGCCGAAGCCGAGGTCGCGACCCTTGCCGCATTGGTAGTACTCACAGTGTTTGATACGCCCTCCTCTTAGGAGAGCAGTCATTCCGGCGTAGATATCTTCATTCAAGTGGAGACCTTTCTGAGCTTTCGAAACACCACCTCGAGTTGTCATGTAAATGCCATTGAGGAAATCTGGGTGACCGTAGTGAAGTTTGCCTCCGATCTGGGCCAGTGTACGAGCGAATAAGGTTCCGAAGGTTTGTTCCTTTCCAGCTGCAACGTCGCCCATAATACCAATGTTCTCTGAGAAAATGTACTCGCGGGCACCAAGGATAGCAACAGGATTGGACACCTCGGTGTCGAGACCAGGGGTATACGGTGATTGTGCCGGAGGCTCCATTTCTTCAAACTCAGCCAGGACGGATCGGATCTTGAGGCATTCTTCGAGGTAATTGTCTTGGTTGGCATCGATGAGCTGAATATACTCTCCTCGATAGAAGATAAGCGCATGATTCTGGTTGTCCGACTTGCCGTCTCCCAGGATAGGATTACCTGACAATTGAATTCTGAACTTAGGTCGGCGACGGCCATTCTCCATGCTGTCAGAATGACCGTCAATCAACGCAGAAAAAATGCGAGGCTCTTCGCCTTCAACAAGAGGGGGCTCTTCGTCCAGGTACGCAATCTGCAGATCAGGATAAGCACGAAGCAGAAATTCGGTGTTCTCGAGCTCTTCCTTGTTGAATTTGGCGTAGCGCTGCATAGAGATCACAAACTTGAACTTGCGACGAGCCATACGCTCGAGTTCACGCTCAAGCTTTTCAGTGTTGCCGGCAAACATTTGAACCACCTCGGGATTCTCTACTCGGTAAAGCAGCTTGATTGCTCGAGCGTAGTTCATGAATCCAGAGACAGTGCGATACAGTGTTTGGGAACGAAGAGACGCCCAGATTCGGGTTCGCAAAGTGTATTCGGGAGCAGCACTCTTGAAACCGATGCAATAGAAGGGTAAGTCATCAATTTTGCTTTTGACAGTCTCCTTGCTCTCTTCCTTCTCGCCCATTTCACCACCGGGGTATACGCTTGTCTCTTCTGCCAAGATCTTAGTGTCCTTGACAAAACAGTCCCACTCCACTGGATGCAATTGCTTGAGGTATTCCAGCAGCGTGACTCGCGACAATTGGTCATCCTCGCGAATAATCTCACGCAAGGAAAGCAAGATTTTCTCGCCGTAGTGAGGGACCAAGACGGTGAATGTAGGCATGTTGTCCACTGGGACAGGCTCCGGAATCGGTGTCGAAAGCGATTGAGCGAAGAATGAAATTCGACGTTCCGCTTCAGAGTGGCTAGGGAAGAACTCGGTCTTGAAGGAATGATCTTCTTGCGAGACAAAAAATGTCGGCGCTCGCAGTGTTCGCTTGCCTTCTTGCTCGGAGGGCACTTGGTGATATAGCAGTCGCTGTACATGGTCGATAGCCAGTAGGTGCTCGCGATACATGCTGATAACGACTGCATTCCAAATTTGAGAGATGAGGACCTTTGGCTTGTACTTAATCTCCATATCATTGGTCGCCAGAATCTTGGAATAGATCCTCTTCGGCATACGCGAGAAGATATTTCTCCATGGGGTCCAAACAGAAGCTCCCAAGTGGAAGGAGCGTGCCACCGATGCCAGCGTATTGGCCAGGATGTAAAACAAGAACGTGTCGAGGAAGAACAGCACAAGATCTGTTAGGTACATCAGACCAAGGAGAATTTGCGGTTGGTAGACACAAAGGTAATTCTTGACGTACATTGCTGAGCAGTCGTACACCTTCATAGGCTGAAGGATCTTGATTGGATCTCGGAACGACAGAGTGAGGAAGAAATACGACTCAACAAACTTGAGCGCGAAAACGGCGAGCCACAATCCATAAGACATCCACATGTCGTTGCCAGTGAGCCTATAGAAAGAGGCGGTGAAGGTTTGACTCGACACATATCGTCGGGAATTCTTGTAGAGGTAATTTCCGAACAGGCCTCCCAGTGGCATGACGGAAAAATAAAGGAAGGTAGCAATCGAGAAGAAGAAGGCCACGACTGAGATGATGTGGGGAATCTTCTCCCTTTGCTTTTCCTCTGTCTTGCAGATGAAGAAGACATACACTGGTCCAGCCAAGTTGATAACGAAGAAGAGTAAAAGGATCATCAGCCGACGACTCAATGCTTGAGCCCCGGACCACTTCCGCGGTACGTATGCCCACTCGCAGATGGTTGCCAATATCATAAGAAACGATGCGACCGCACCACCCAAAGCACATGCTGCCCAGCGTGCAGCAGCCGCTGGCTGATTATCGAGGCGCTGGCGATAATTGTGAGTGTAAATCGTAGGTGAATTGAAGGCGGTGAAATACCAAAACATCGTAATGTGGATGATCCAAATACGGTTGAAATTGGTAAACATGTGAAACCAGGAGCGCGTTTCCTTGAAAGTCTTGAAGAACACTTTCTTCCACACCACATCGCCCAGTCGGTGGTAACGCTGCGAAGGCGGCAAGTCGACCATACGCGATTTGTCCTCGAATCGGATCTTGGCGATACCTTCAGGATACCAGAATAATTGATTGATATCATCATACCCAATCGTTTTGTCGTGATCACGCTCGCGTTTGACGTACTTGCCGTCGTTTATCTCATAACCTTGATCGCGCATGTAGAGATATAGTGGGCTGATGACTGTCTGCAGATAATGACCTTCTTCGACTTGCACACCTTGTCCAGACAGGACCTCTGGAGAATTGAGATAATCGTCTGCGCATTTGAAAATGAATGCGATAGTCTCTGGGCAGAACCTCACTTGGTTGGCCTCACCCCAAATGAGCAAATAGAGTGCCACCTGTTGAACTCGCTGTTGCTGTGACATGGCATTCATCTTTGTTTTCCAACGATACTCTGCGGCTTCCAAGGAGTTGTCACCTTCGAGCTCGTTGAGAGTCGTCGTGGCATCGGTCTGGTCGACGACATTCTTCTTCTTCTTCGACTTGCGCTTCGAGGTTGCCTTGCCAAGCTTCATGCTGCCGAAACCAACGGCATCATCTAAATCGAGTTGTGCGGCGAAGTACCATTTGCGATAATTGGCACTCTCTCCGCCGATATAGTCAGCATGAAGAGACAGGAGAGCCTGATTGGGAGTCATTCGAGAAGCACGAGAGTCGCAAAGCGTCATGAAGAAATCATACATGTTTCGCATTGAGTCGCGCTGGAAGCCGAACTTGTTGGTCAGGTCAATGAAGATGTCCTCAATCTCTTCTTTGCTGATTGGAATCTGGTTCTCGGGGATCCAAGCCGGATAAGGCTCGCGAGATCGATTCATCGATGCGTAGTCCATGTTACCGTACACTGGTGTACTTGCTCCCGAAGAGCGGTTGCCATTGTAAGACACCTGACTGGAGTCTGGTCGGTATTGTCCATTGAATGAATCAGTGCTGGGCCCGTAAGGTAGATTACGATCGTCATGACGGTCATACACGCCCATTTCTGCGCCGCGGGCCATGTCAGACCTCATGGTGAAATCAGAGAAGGTCTCACTCTCGCCCTCAGACGAACCACGCTTCACTGAATTGTTAGCCCATGTCACTTGGAGCTCCGAGATAACGCACCTCGCTGACCGCCATCATTGTAGTACTGAACAGGCTGCTGGCCTGCTGCCATGCCGTGTCGGGCATCATAGACGTCGGCTGGGTATGCCTCGACGGGATAGTCCTCGTAACCGTCCTGATTGTAGTCATACGGCCCGTAGCCGCCGCCTACATCAGAGTCTTGGTAATACTGGTCGTACTGCTGCTCGCTTGCGTACGCGTCAGGCTCGTTGATGTAATTGCTCTGAGGAGCATAAGGATCCTGAAAGAAGATGTCAGCAAGAAGTCCACGGTCAGAGTCTCCCAGAGAAGTAGATGGGATTAGGAGGCGCCAATGGAGCAGCACCTGGCGTGACGTACCTGCTGGGAGTCCGGGTGGCCGTAGTCGTAATCCTCCTCGTAGCGATGGGACATTGGAAATGCCGTGGAACTACGCTGGGTGGGAGCGCAGGCACTAGTCCGGTTGAGTGTCCTGGTGCAAAGGGAAGAAAGGAAGGTGGTGTGGGTGTTTGCCTTGTGTCGACTCCTGTGTGTGTCTTCTGCTGCTCCCTTGCTTTCAAACTCCTTCCTCCCTGGGCGGGCAGAAATTTTTCAAACCACGGCCGCGACTCTGCTTTCAATCTACAGCGCCAGCTAAAGCCGCGGAAGCAGCCGTGCCGAGCTGGCCAGATGATGAGCTATAGATATCTATGTACACCTCTACGGTGCTGCTATCTGACCTTGTCCAGCATGGCAAGGCCTTGCTACCTTGCAATCCTGAAGTCATGATTACCTGTACTTGGGCCCGGAATAGCAACCCGTGGACAGCAATGACAACCCAAACTCAAGTGCTATTTTGGGCATGCAAAAGAACGAGTGGCAAATATTCCATCCTCGAAGTCGTAGTCTCAAGGCCGCGATTGGCGAGAGTAGATGACGATCTAGGTATCTAGGAATCGATTCTGGACATTCAGGCAGGTACACCGTATAACTAGGCCTGAAACTGTATCATAGACTGCTCGGCTTCGAATAAGGGTGGGGCTTATGTAATACAGACTCCTGCGACGATTTCGAGGCAACTCTACGTGTAGACTGTAAAGTACATGTGCACCTGTCGTCCGGGGAGAGGCCATAATTCAGGTGTAGAAAGAACGTCCTGTGCTACGAATCCAGTCTATGGCTTGCCAATTCGCCAGTCTGAGTCCACGAATCACGCACACTGCCATAGGCGACTGTCAAACTTGAGCTAAATTTCATTCTCAAGCTCTCGCACGCTTGCACCCTGCATTTCCACGGTTGGACGTTGGGAGAACCTGGGAGCAGAATAGTCGATCCAATCCGTGCTACTCGCTACAGTCAACCTTCAGCCCTTGGCTCTGTCTCCCATTCCCTTGCTGGAGCAGCCTGAACTAGCTTGCAACGCGAGCCTGAGGCATCTTCCTGACTGCTCCAACTTGTATCTTGCAAGCATACAGAAAAGACTAAGCTACCGGTGCGAGCTCTCTGTATTACGTTCTTGGCAACAATGCTGGTCGACTACGATGGCGAAGAGGAGTCTACAGCCGCTCACCGCTCTCCAAAGCCCGAACTGCTCGATGCACTGCACGAAGTAAAAAGCTCTTTCAAGGCTTCAAAGCGTCGCAAGGTTGGCAGTGGCCCGTCTATTCGACATGGAACGGAGCAATCACAGGAGTTGAAGTCTGCTTCTGGAGATCAAATTACGAGAGCCGCACTAGCGCTCGACTTGTTTGGAGTCAGTCCGCCGAACAAGCTATCCCGTCCAAACACAAACACGAGTGAATTTTACCAGCCTGTCTTTCAGCAAGAGAAGGCCGCTGCCATTTCCAACCAAACGAAGGCCATGGTCCCGCCAAGAAAAGCTGATGACCATCTCTCAATAGATGCTCTCTTGAGCAAGCGCGACCTGTCAGCCAGAGCTGTGCATGATGTACAAGAGTTTGATGCTGGCCTACAGTACAAATTAAATAACGATGCTAGAGAGTCTGGAGATCTGAAAGAGGAGACGACTGTTCGCTCTATCGGTGGCGGAAAACACCAGCTGTCGTCCCTTCTCAACTCTGCGCTTAGTCAGAGGGAGGCACTCGAAGCTCAATTTGCCAAGAACAAAGACAAGAAAAGGTCGGCTGGTGCTCGTTATGGCTTTTGAATGGAAGATTGCTACTGACTTGTTACACCACGAATGACACTTGATCGTTGCGCTCTTTAGGCGCTCCATTGACCGCGTAAAGCACCTTGAATCGCAACTTAGCTGTCCAACCTGATGTGCCCGAGTTGCCAACTAGCGTGATTGCTTGACGACACCCGTTGAGCTCATTGGCTTGCAAGCTATTCTTCGAGGCCAAGTCGAGCTTCAACTGCATGGATTTCGGAACGGCGATCTGAAGGTCAATGCTACCCAAGGGCGAGCTACAGCGGTTGCTGAAAACGGCTTCAGCCTTCAAAGGCGAGTCGGCACTACCACTGCCGCCGAGGAGAACGAGTTCAATATGCAAATCATCCGATTCTAAAAGCTTGATGCGTCGCCCTGTTGAGCTGCCCGAGCTCGACTCCTTCTCGGGTGAAATCTGCAAGCCTGCAAATGCAGCCATCTGTTGACTCGCAGGGGCAGCATTATTTGATGCGGCGCCGAGCGAGATCGATCCACTGGCACCGAATGCGTCCATGCCACCAAAATTCAAACCCAGCAGGTCATCCATGTCCGATGCAGCTGCTTTCCCTGCTTGCTTTCCGGATGCGGAGGCCTGCGGAGCGGTGTTGCCGGTGGCAAGCTTGGGCTGCTGTGCTTCATCTGCATCGAAATCAAGCAGATTGAGATCTTGCTCGAATTTGGATTGTGTAGTGGGCGCCGAGCTTGTCGTATTGTTTGTTCGATCGCTCACTGGCATTATTGGGAGCGTTGTTGGCACTCGCTGTGCAGCTGCAAAATCACCTTTGCGCAACAAATCGTACTTGGTCACGATGGAGTTGATTGAGTCATTGAGCTCAAAGAGCTTGCCAACCGCTTCCTGATCTTCAGATTCGTCCTCACACATCTTCTGAAGCTTTGGCTGAGCGTTGCGGATGCTATCGGCAAGCTCTTGATATATGTCGCCGTCAGCCAGAACGTCGGCTTCATTGAGACCTGAAAGCATTTCAACCAACAGTGATGCCTTTCGCCGGATGTGATCTGTCTCTTCGGCTGCCTTGGCTCTGTAGTCCACTTTATTTTGGTCGAAGCCTGCCATGACCTTCATGAGCTGATTGGCCTCCTTGAGGTCGGCAGGGGTTCCTCGTCTTATCAATTCCTGTAGCTTGGCGGAATGGGCTGCTCGATCTTCTGCTTCCATTTCAGACGCGGACTTTAGCGAATCGTTTGGGTTGAGTACACTTGCGGCCCCAGCGTTGATCTCTGGGAAATCGTAACCTTTGTAATGCAAAAGCCTGTGCATGTCCCGAATGTAGCCCATATCATCCTTGTATTTGCTCGTTGAGCAAAGCGTTTGCCGCCACTGCTCGAGCAGTTCAAGGACACGAAATTGCACTCGACTGGGTCTTGGAGGCGGTCTCTCCGGAAATCGTCGCACAAGCTCATTCAGAAACTCCTTTGTTGCGATTTGCAGGTGAAAAGCATAGCCGCAATTCTTGACCAGCATGTCCAGGAGCGCGATCGCCAAGAGAGATGTGATAGGGTTTAGCGAGTTGATCTTGTGAACGATGGCCACAGCCGCGTCCCGGGGCATATTGCCTTTCTTCGAGTTGATGAGGTCGGCAATCTCCAAATTCAGCGCCAAATTAGGTTCAAAATTGGACGGTGAAGTAGCACGATTGATGTAGCTATAGAGGTGTGCTGTACCCTTGGGCAACGAGCTCTGAGGCCTCGAGTATGCATTGATGTCGTCCAAGCTGACCATGCTTGCAGTTTAGGCGTATGCCGCTGGATAAGTTGAGTTGCGGTTGTGATTGTGATTGGAGTGATTGGGGGTGGGTGACGAGATTCGACACTCAAGCACAAGCCTGAGGCTGAGAGACCCGGAACTTTTGCTTGGACCAGCGTATGATCGGGTCAGAGACGGAGAAAACATCAATCAAAGACAAAGTCTATCTCTAGGAACAGACGAGACGTAAAAACATAAGGATACTCAAGCGCTAATCGCAACCGCCACGGACTGCACATCATCGTGCGAGATGCTCACCTGCACATTTTTGATGCCTGCTGCATCTGCAGCCTCTCTAGCAGCCCCATTCAACCTGACTTGTGGCTCCCCATTGGTCGATCGGATAATCTCGATGTCCAACAAGCTAGCTCCAGCTCCCCGACTCTTGACACCGAGACTCTTGAAGACAGCTTCCTTTGCGCTCCACGTGCCAGCATAGCTTGATTGAGGAGAGGGCGCCTGATTGCAATAGGCCTGCTCCCCTGGTGTGAAGTTGCGAGATACGAAGGTGTCATTTGCAATGTGGACACTAGAGATCAACTCAACGTCCACACCGACATTCTTGCCGCCGCTAGCCTTGGCCAGGTTGTCTAACAATGCTTCGGTGGGCTGTTTTGGATGTGGTTGGTGGAAATCTGCTGCGAACGACCAGCTGCCGGCCTTGTTGGCGCTAGCACGAGCCAGAGGATCGAGGAAGACGCCGTCTTCTTGAGCGTCTGTAAAGGGAGCTGCGGTCTTCGCCTGGATGAGGTTGTTGTTGGCGAACGATTCATGAAGATAGCGGTAAGACTTTTTGTAGCGGGCAGCAACCTTTGATCGATACGTCGCTAGGGTCGTATCCTCCAGAGTAGCAAAGACGTAGTCTGGGTGAATAACAATCAGTTGAGCTCCGACCTGACCGAATCCGAAGGATGTTACTGAAACAGCGCGAACACCATCCGTTTGTATACTGCGACTCGGGTACAAGATGTGCGAGAATCGTTCCAGATATTTGTCGACATTATCAGCATTGCGATTTCCAGGGACAAGGCCAGAGTTTAGAATTTGCATAGCTCCATTCAGCATCCAGGCACAAGCTGCTCCTTTTGGATGTCCAGTGAGGTACTTTTGGAAAACGCCGAGGAGTGGGTTGCCTTTCGTGCGACCGAGATGCTCCAACTGCTTCGAGATGACATTCGATTCGTTTTTGTCGTTCGCGACCGTCGACGTGCCATGGAAAGACGCAACTCCAATGTCATCCACTGTCATACCCCAAACAGCCAATGCGCCACGCAGCGGCGCGATCGTTGCATCGTTTTTGAAGAACTCATTGCCGTAGGTATTTTGTGCTTCCTTGATTTGACGCTGAGCCTCGCGCTGGATGTGGCTTGCGCGTTCGGACCGGAACGCTGCCGCGTCCAGGTTTGGGACTTGAGACTGCATCGCAGCCACCTCATCGTCCATGTAGGAGAACTCTGCTTCGGCCCATTGAGAGATTTGACCTAATCGTCTTTGCATCTGCCGCCTGCGGTAATTCATGTCGAGCAACGGAGATGGGAATTTGGATGGTGCTTCGCGGGCAGTAGTGAGAATACCTTGTCCTGGTGCCGGCACCGAACGACCTTCCTTGTCGGTCGCTGTAGCGGTGAAGGCAATGATACCGTATATGGGTACGCCCATCTGGATTGCCAATGAGCCCTGCATGAGGATCTGGATACCAGCGCCTTGCGATTCCATGAAGCCAGACCTGGTTGTTGTCGTCGGCCTAGACATTTCCTTCGGGGTTCGGCCGTGAGCCGCTTCTTTGTCCGCATTACTAGTAGCGCCCATGTTGGCAAACTCGTATGAGCCTTCCTCTTGGAAATCGTCGTAACCACCAACAATGACGATCTTGGCTTTGCCCGAAGCAATAGTATCGCAGCCAATCTCGACAGACTCGGCGGCCGTGGCACATGCTCCGACTGGTGTTTTGATTGGCCCAGCTGATGACAAAATCAGCATGTTGACCCAAGCTGACATTGTGTTGATGAACGACTCTTGGAGAATATCCTTTTGGACTGGCTTGTCGATCCAACGATCCTTGTACATGCCCCGCAATGCCGTCACACCTCCGATGCCCGAACCAGCAGTGTTGCCTACTTCAGAGACATGCACATACTGATAGAACTCGTATGGATCAGTGATTCCGGACGAAATCAATGCTTCAACTGTAGAGACAAGCGTGTACAAAGTGACTGGGTCAACTTGAGAAATGATATCATCGTCCAATCCATATCGCTTCGGGTTCCATCCTGTCGGAATCTGGCCTGCGACGAGCCGGTCGAAACGGAGTGCTTTGGGAATGAGCAGAGTAGCGCCCGTCTTGAATCTGACGGACCACTCGCCACTCTCTTTATTCTCAAATGTCTCCACCTTGTCACCATGCTCCAGCTTGTACGCTGCGGCGGTCTCAGCGGACGTCTCGAACTCATCCAAATCGTGCTCGATCACAACTTCTTGGAGCAGTTGTTTCTTATTTGGATCGTAGCCATCGAACAAATCTGGCTCAATCAATCGAATGCCAGCGTGATCGAGGATTGCCTGCTCATATTTCGCCTTGACATCCTTATCATCAACGACTGCACCACTCTTCGCGTCAACCCATGTTCCATTTTTGTTCGCAATCAAACCCATCAACCACGCCATCTCAATGCAGCCCTCAAGCGAAAACTCTCCATAAGCCTCCATTTCCCAGCGAGTCCTCGAGTTTCCCCATGGTCCCACTTCTGAGAAACCAGTCACGACAGCAACTTTGTCAAGATCGACCATTCCTTTGAGATGAGCGAGCGGCTTGAGTTCTTCAGCTGTCTTGATTGGAGGAAAGTCAAATTTCATGTTTGCGCGGGGCTGAATCATCTGCTTCTTGTGCAGACGCTCTGCTTCTGCGCCGTTCACGACCTGGTGCTCCATGGCGGTCTCGGCGGCCACGGCCTTTCGAACTTCACTAGTAGCACTCAGATCGGCTCGCAGCTGGCTGGTCAAATCTTTCAAGTTTGGCAAAAATTGAAATCCGCCATTCAAGTCAGCCCAGACAGGCTCCTGCTGGCAGAGGCGAGTGATGGCAGGCGTCATCAGCCCTAGAATATTGAATGCCATCTCCTGTTGACTGAATGTCCGCACGCCGAGCTTCTCAATACCTTCTGCGATTGTGTTGTTGGCGGACATCAGACCAGTACCCCTAGTCCAGCCAATCACAACGCCAGTAATGGTCAGGTATGCAGCCCAAGATTCCGAATGCCAGCGATTGAACAGCGTCTCAAGACCGAGCTTTGACTCGGAATACAGTCCATCATTGCCGAAAGAACCGTGATTGGGGGAGAGCGGTAGCATGCACTGCGCAGGGCGTGTATCAATTCCTTTGGCAGCCTTTTGAGCCTTGACGGCGCCAAGAAGCCGGACCAGGTTTGTGAGCATGATGCGGTGGGCAAGCTCCGACCTTGAGTCGATAGTGTCAATCTCGCGACCATTCTCAGGAATAGCAGCAAAAGGAATGATGAAGTCCAAATCCCATCCCAGACCTTTCTTCTCGTCGTAAATGTAATCAACAAGTGCATCAACGTCCTGCTTTGAACCTTGATTGAAAGGGACGACGATCAAAGTGGATCCCTTGGAGCCATATCTAGCAAAAGTCTGTTGATAGAATTCAGTCACGCTGCGACTATATCGCGATGTGGTCACGACAACCCGGGCACCACCTGCGAGAAGGCCCTGCATGACTTCGGCTCCAATTGATCCTGCGCCACAGCCAGTCATCAGCACGTTCTTGTGTTCAAATGTCACACCATCACGGGCTGCGTGCTCAAGACCGTCGAGGTAGACTTCCGTCAATTGACTCGAGTACTCCCAACCATGCTCCTCCTTCTTCTTGAGGTGCAAGAATGGGATGGTCTCCTTTTCTGGGCGTGTAGAAGATGCTGCCTTCTTCATGCGGCGCCCTCGCTTTGGTTTCTCATCAAGAGTGACTGCATTGGCTGCGAGAGCTTTCACAACATCCGCATAAAGCGATTTGATTTGCAGCTTGCTTGATTTTGACATCTTATTTTGCTGCTTGATGATGCGGTAGATGCTGCGAAGGTCATCCTGTACTTTGGTCTTGGAAGCGAAACTTGTGAGCTTACCACCCATGGCCATCTCTTTCACGTAGTGCTCCAATTTGCGAACAGCAGGGCGAGGCACTTCGTCGTAAGACATATTGCCCTTTGAATCGATTCTTGTCTGGGGACCTGTTGGGTAGGTGACGTCTTTATAGACGGGAGCAACGTCAATAACCTCGGTACAAACGTCTAAAAGCGATTGTGCCAATTCTTTTGCCAGCTTGTAAGTTTCAGACTTTTCCTCGGGGCAGTGGTCAATGTGATATTGCATGAATTCAAGCAGCGTAGGGTTTGATCGATTCATGACGGAAATACAACGGGCCACAATCTCGCGATCCACAAGTTTGAGGCGCCCAAAAATGATGTCGAAATACATGCTGAGCGCGTCTTGCCTCACCCAGTTCCAATCAGAGTCGTACACTCGAGCCTTGAGGGGACTGAAAACAGGAGCAATGCCGGATGCGTAAAAATCGCCATGCTCGGCTTCCCAAAGGTCGATCTGCGCCTGAAGTGCTGTACTTGTTGCCTTCTCGTCGATGAATTTCTTCTCGCCAGACATGAGATCAAGCTTGAGGAAACGAGCGTACAGGTCGAGCTGGCTACGAGCCATATCCGTCTGATCTTTTGTAAGGGCTGCGAATTGCGCAGGATCCAGGCCAGCCCCGCCTGAGGATCCTTCGCTTGCTCCGGCTGCGGCTGGCGCTGTCAGCGAGATGCCGGCTTTGGAGGCATATTTCTGGGCAATTGTATCAAGGAAGCTTTTGGCGTCTGCTTCAGAACCGAGCCGGCTTGCGGGCTCCATAGTCAGAGCGAGCAGTAAAATAGACTCAGTTCGGCCAGCGCCCAAACCAAATTTAGTTGCAAGATAGCTTCGTACAGAGGTCAGATTGAAGCCTCCAGGCATTTTCGATGCGACCAAGCGCTGCACCAAAGAGCTAGATTGCTTTCCGAGTTGACCATTGAAAGACCCTTGCATGGCTGCGCCCAATTCTTCGAGAGGGGTGTCTTCAGGCTTCTCCGGCGTGTTTCCAAATTCCTTGCCAAGGTCACCAAGAATCTCATTTTGCATTGTCGACTTGCCACCCACAAGGTCTTTGATTGCCTTCGAAAGGGGCACCTCATCAATTGTCTTCTTGAGCTTCTGTGCAACAAGAGCGTGTACCACATCAACGGCCTTGACTGGCTCATCAGGGATGGATGCCGCAGGGCCCGCATTAGCAGCCGGCGATGGTGGTGGTGGTGGGGCGGGAGCAGAAGTAACAGAGACCACAGTCGCAGGGGCGCTTTGGGTCACTCCAGCGGCCTCGACTTGCGCAGCTGGGCTACTTTCCTCCACAGGTGCATCCTCAATGTTGTAGTAGATGGACTTTGCGTCGGCTGAATAACAGAGCACATCGCGCTGAATCGACTTGGCCGCGTCGTATGACTCGTACTTTTGCTTCAACGTGCGTTTCGCCATGCCTGCAAGCGTGGGAGAAGGCCCAATTTCCACCATACGCTCAGCGCCAAAATCTCGAAGGAGCACATCCTGCGTTTCAATCCTAGTGGAGTCAGCGACCCTGAAAATAGCAACATGGACGGCCTACCATCGCACAGGCGATGCAAATTGGTATGCTAGTAGCTCTATCAGAAGCGTATGAGCAAGCTCTTGTTCGAGCTCTGCGTTCATAGTGAAGGCTCCTGAACACTCAATCTTGGACATTAGCAGATGCTTTTCGATGCGAATTCAGCGCGGATCTTACTTAGCAGTAACGGGCTCTGATGGATGCAGGTATGCTGGGCTGCAGAGTGGTCGACTGAAGCTGCAAGGGCACGGTTTATCAGAGACCGCTTGTCGTCCGCTATGTGCGTTGGCGTCGGGCTTTTGCAAGAGCACTTGAGTAGTCGAGTTCGCGGTGTCTGACGTTGAGGTTTCGCGCGTTTGGGCTGCCGGCTGCTGATTGGCCGGCATTCGCGGGTTGGGGGCAAGGACACAAAGCAACAGTTTTCGGCAGAGAAGCAGCAGCTGGCCATGCAGTACATCAAGAGAGCTATACGCTTACTCTACGGGCAAGGAAGGCCAGTCTCTATGGGAAAGGCGCTAGTCAAGTCTAATGAGAGAAAGTCGTCGATGGGATGTTGCGGGCCTGAGCAGTGAGCACATCGCCAGCGCATTCGTGCTGAAAAATAAGCTTTCTGCGCATACGTACCGTACCCACCCACCCGGCTGTCTGTCTATCTGTCTGTCTGGCTGGCTGACTTGCTTGCACGCGTCCTTTCAAGTGATCCAGCGGTAAAATAGCACTAGCTTATACCATCATGCGTGCCGTCATGGCATAGGCTGTTCCTATGAAGCATCTATCTCAGCTGCATATGCATGGAGGTGTGCATTCAGATGAGCGTGAAACCCTCAATTGCGCCTTCTCGAAGGTCGTATCATGTATCATGATGTATGTAGAAGCCCCGCCGTAGTGAGCACGCAGGAAGAGTGCAGTTTTTAGATATGCACAGTCTATCTAGCCTGAGACGTGTGAAGCCTGGCCGTGCTGCCATAGCTGAAGCCTCGTCTGCGCCTCTGACCGTTTGACGTGCGGGTATTCTTGAATCCTGGGCGGGTCTCTCCTCTCAACACCTCCCAGCCGAAAGTCGCGCGCATCATACAAAATCGCGGGTGGGATTCACCACCAAACGAGTCAACGACACAGAGCAGACCTGCTGTTAGGCCTGCACCAGAAGAAAGAAGCCTGCGAGTCTGCGACTTGATCTGAGACTGTAGTCCAATCGCGGCCTCACATACGCCAGCTGTCAAGCACTTGTCTGCCACGCTGCCTGCATTTTCCAACCATCTAGAGTAGATCCACGCGCTGGTCATTGGTCGATACCGCCAGGTAAGGCTCGCAACCCCTTCTTTGGGACTGACAGGCTAACTGACTGTAGTTCTAGGCTCGTCGTCCTGTACAAGTTCTCTTTGCCATTGCGCTCATTGCTACAATGGCCACAACCGGATATCACACACCTTCCAGCGTTCGTATCGCCCTCCAATTCCGTTCAAGATCTAACATACCAGGCAAGTCACCCACGACCGCTCGCAATACGCTATGGTCCGATTGAGCACGCCATCCTGATTCCCTCTTCCCAATATCTACTTGCATCTCAAGCTCGCGACCAACTCCTCCTGTCCCTACCAGCGCCATCAGCAGACAACGAGCTCTCTGAAGAGGGTCCTTGCAGCGAAACTGAGCTCGTTGGCCGTTTCTTGGGCAAATTAGCCAATCTGACAAGCGATGATCCAACTACATACGAGGATCTCCTTGTATCGGTCGTGACAGAGTTCGAGCGCTCCTTCCTGAAAGGTAATGAGGTACATGCGGTTGCCGCCCAACTCCCTGGAGAGCTAAGCAACAAATTGGTAGTCATTCGCTCGTACTACGCAGCACGGCTTGCCACTGGACGGGCGATCAAAGGTCATGAATCTGCTCTATTCCGTGCTGCCCAAGACGGTCGCACCAACGTGTTTGCAGTTTTTGGCGGGCAGGGCAACATTGAAGAGTACTTTGATGAGCTCAGGGAGCTGGCGGACGTGTACGATGGCCTCATCAACGACTTCCTCGAATTGATGGCTGAGCTTCTGCTCCAATTGGTCGTCAAGAAGGAGGCCCAAGCAAACTACGGCAAAGGTCTTGACATTCTCAACTGGTTGCATGACGCAGCGAAAACGCCAGATTTGGATTACATGGTTTCTGCACCTGTCAGTTTTCCCCTCATCGGACTGACACAACTTGCTCACTACGCAATCACCGCAAGGATTTTGGGCAAGGAACCCGGGGCTCTGCGCGATTTGATTTCTGGCACGACTGGGCATTCCCAAGGCATTGTCACTGCAGTCTGTATTTCCGCATCGGACACCTGGGAGTCATTCTTCAACAACGCAAGAAAGGCAGTTGAGATACTATTCTGGATTGGTGCACGCTCTCAGCAATCGTACCCTCGTACAACTCTCCCGCCAAGCGCACTGCAGGATTCGTTGAGCTCAGGCGAAGGCACACCTACGCCAATGCTCAGTGTTCGCGATTTGAGTCAAACACTGGTCCAGAAGCAGATTGACATGACAAACGAGCATCTGCCTAGCAATCGCAAGATTGCCATTGCGCTCGTCAATGGTCCCAAGAATTTTGTCGTCACTGGACCGCCTCAGTCATTGTACGGTCTGAATCTGGGACTTCGCAAGTTGAAGGCAGATCCTAGCGAGAACCAAGGACGTATCCCTTTTTCACAGCGTAAGTTGCGCTTTGTGAACAGATTCTTACCCATCACCGCGCCATTCCACAGCCAATATCTGAAACCCGCTGCCGAAGTTCTCTATACTGACTGCGCCAACTTGACCTTCGACGGGCCTCTCGCTATCCCCGTCTTTGGCACCGACACTGGCGAGAACATGCAGGGCATATCTCCTTCGGAGCTTGTTAAACGCTTGGTGGACATGATTGAATTCCTGCCTGTGGACTGGGTCAAAGCCACTCAATTCCCAAAGGCCACACACGTTATTGACTTCGGCCCTGGCGGAGTCTCGGGACTCGGTGGCCTCACGCATCGTAACAAAGACGGCACAGGTGTCCGCGTTATTCTGGCTGGCGCGTTCTCCGTTCAGGGTGGCGAAATGGGCAGCAAGACCGAGCTGTTTGATAGAGAGGAGGAGTCTGTCAAGATAGCCGTTGACTGGGTGCAAAAGTTCTCCCCGCGCCTTGTCAAAACTGCTCAAGGTAAAGTCTATGTTGATACGCCGTTCTCCCGTCTCATTGGGAAGCCACCCATCATGGTCGCGGGAATGACTCCATGTACGGTAGCTTGGGATTTCGTGGCGGCAACTATGAATGCTGGCTATCATATCGAGCTCGCTGGTGGTGGCTACTATTCTCCTGCTGGCATGACAGAGGCCGTGCGCAAAATTCAGGAGTCTACTATACCCGGCAGTGGTATCACCCCCAACATTATCTACATCAATCCCCGCACGTACGCATGGCAAGCACCTTTGGTGAAAACCTTGCGTGAGCAAGGCTATGGGCTCGAAGGTGTAACAATTGCTGCTGGTATACCCTCGATCGAAGTCGCCAATGAGCTCTGTCAGACGTTGGGTGTCAAGCACATCTCCTTCAAACCAGGCTCGTCGGATGCAATTCAACAGGTCATTGCTATCGCGAAAGCAAATCCTACTTTCCCAGTCATCCTACAATGGACAGGCGGCAGGGCGGGCGGGCATCATTCTTTCGAAGACTTTCATTCCCCGATGCTGCAGATGTACTCTGCCATCAGGAGATGCGAAAACATCATCTTAGTTGCAGGCTCTGGCTTTGGTGGAGCCGAAGATACACTGCCCTACCTGACTGGCGACTGGGCTCTCAAATTCAATGCTCCACCAATGCCATTTGACGGAGTGCTGCTTGCCTCGCGAGTGATGACTGCACTAGAATGCAAGACTAGTCTTGGTGCCAAGCAGGCCATTGTCGATGCTCCGGGACTTGATGACAAGGATTGGGAGAAGACCTATAAAGGCCCGGCAGGGGGCATTATTACTGTCCGATCAGAACTAGGTGAGCCTATTCACAAGCTGGCCACTCGCGGTATCCTACTGTGGAAGGAGATGGACGACACGATTTTCAACCTGCCCAAGGAGAAGAAGCTTGCCGCTCTCACGACCAAGAAAGACTATATCATCAAGAAGCTCAATGCAGACTTTCAGAAAGTCTGGTTCGGTGTTACTGCGGACGGAAAAGCATGTGATCTCGAGGATATGACTTACTACGGCGTTGTCATGCGCATGATCGAGCTCATGTATGTGAAGCACGAGAAGCGCTGGATCGACAAGTCTCATCGCAACTTGACTGGTGACTTCATTCGCAGGATTGAGGAACGTTTCACCCGCATAGAAGGCAAGCCATCCCTGTTGCAGAATTTCTCCCAATTGGATGAACCCGTCGCCGCCGCCAAAGAAATCTTAGCGCACTATCCTGAATGTGAAGTGCAGCTCCTCAACATTCAGGATGTTCAGCATCTACTGATTCTCTGTCAACGCAGAGGCCAAAAGCCGGTCCCGTTCATCCCGGTGCTGGACGAGCAGTTCGAGGTATGGTTCAAGAAGGACTCGCTATGGCAATCTGAAGATCTTGAGGCCGTTGTTGGTCAGGACGTAGGACGCGTTGCCATTTTGCAGGGTCCCATGGCCGCCAAGCACAGTACCAAGGTCAACCAGCCCATCAAAGAAATTCTCGATTCGATCCACGAGCAACATATTGATGCTTTGACAAAACAATACTACGGCAATGACGACTCTCAAATTCCGGTCGTCGAATATTTCGGTGGTGCAGCCGCAACCGATCACGGCCTTCATTTGCCGTTCAGCCAAGGTCAAGGCAAGAAGTCTTTCAAGTTTCCACCCACCTCGTCTGGAGAACAGCTACCAGATGTTGAGCCTTGGCTGCAGATTCTAGCTGGTCCAAAATTCTCGTGGCGACGCGCACTATTGACGTCAGACATCGTGGTACAAGGTACCGCCTTCCAAAAGAATCCTCTGAAGCGTCTCTTTGCTCCTCGATACAACACCACGTTTGTCATCGACGACGATGAAAACATTGACAAGTCCGTCATCACAGTCTTCGACAAGCGCCGCGGCCAAGATGTGAAGGCTGTCACGGCAACATATGACGGCAAGAAGCAGATTGTCGTCACAATGTACGAAGATCGCAATGCCAGCGGCGAGCTTCTTGGCTTGCCTTTGCACTTTACGTACCACCCCGAAACTGGTTTCGCACCTATTCGCGAAGTGATGCATGGCAGAAACGACCGTATCAAAGACTTTTACTGGAGGCTCTGGTTTGCTGAGGCGCTCCCAGACAATTTGGACGACGCTCCAGTCGATTCGCAGACTTTCGAGGGGGGCGAAGTCACTATCGATGGTAAGGCTATCGAGGACTTCTGTCATGTCATTGGAAATGAGTCGGAAAGCTATGTCAAGCGCGGCAACCAGCTTCGACAGGCCCCCATGGACTTTGCCATCGTCGTTGGCTGGAAGGCAGTCATCAAGGCTATCTTCCCAAAGGCAATCGATGGAGACCTTCTCAAACTAGTCCACCTTTCCAATGGCTTCCGACTGCTACCCGGGGCAAAGCCTCTTGCGGAAGGCGACAAGGTCGGAACCTCAGCGCAGATCAATGCTGTGACCAACAGTCCATCAGGCAAGACTGTCGAGGTGGAAGGGACAATCTCCATGCAGGGGAAGCCTGTTATGCAAGTTTTGACAAGGTTCTTGTATCGTGGCACATTCACGGATTACGAAAATACCTTCAAGAAGTCGCAAGAAACGCCAGTGCAAGTCCATTTGTCTTCGGCCAAGGATGTCGAAGTCTTGCTATCAAAAGAGTGGTTCCAGCCTTTCAATCTCGACCACCCATTGCTGCATTCTACTCTCACCTTCCGCCTCAGTAGCTTTGTGCGGTTCAGCGACGCTGAAGTGTATAGCCATGTGACAACTTCTGGCACCGTCTGGATGGAGCTTCCGACGAAAGAAGTCATCCAGATCGCTGCCGTCAAGTACGAGGCTGGTCGTTCTTACGGAAACCCTGTAACCGAGTACCTCAACCGCAATGGTTCGCCAATTGAGCAGCCAGTCTTGTTCGAAAATGGAGGCTACAGTGTCATCCAAATTCCCGATGCTGTGTACAGCTCAGTCTCCGTCACACCACCTTCCAATTCACCCTACGCCGAGATCTCGAGCGACTTCAATCCTATCCACGTGTCTCCCACATTTTCAGCGTATGTGGAGCTGCCTGGATCGACGGGAATTACTCACGGGATGTTCACAAGTGCTTCGACTCGCAAGTTTGTTGAGACATTTGCTGCAGAAAACGTTCCCTCGCGCGTTGTCTCGTATGATGTCTCCTTCATGGACATGGTTTTGCCAAACACAAATCTCAAGACCAAGCTGTCGCATACCGGCATGGTCAACGGAAAGAAAATCATTAAAGTTGAGACGTTCAATCAAGACACAGGTGCGAAGGTACTGGACGGCACGGCTGAAGTCGAACAGCCATTGACTGCTTATGTCTTTACTGGTCAAGGTTCTCAAGAGCAAGGCATGGGCATGGATTTGTACGAAACGAGTGCAGTCGCCCGGGATGTTTGGCAGCGAGCCGACCGTCATTTTCTGGAAAATTACGGCTTCTCCATCATCCACATTGTTAAGAGCAATCCAAAGGAACTGACCGTCCACTTCGGAGGGCCCCGAGGCCAGCGCATCAAGAAGAATTACACGAGTATGGTGTACGAAGTGGTCGACGAGGCTGGCAACAATGTTAGCATGCCCATTTTCAAGGATATCACCGATGAGTCGACCTTCTACACATTCATCTCTCCGACTGGCTTGCTATCGGCAACACAGTTTACTCAACCAGCGCTGACGTTAATGGAGAAGGCTGCTTTTGAGGATATGAGGGCCAAAGGCTTGGTACAGCAAAACGCTTCATTCGGTGGTCACTCACTTGGTGAGTACAGTGCTCTGGCTGCCATTGCCAACGTCATTCCTACAGAAGCCCTAGTGGACGTCGTCTTCTACCGCGGAATGACTATGCAGGTTGCTGTTCCCCGTGACTCGCAAGGGCGCTCGGATTACGCAATGATGGCTGTCAATCCTAGCCGGATAGGCAAGACATTTAACGAAGCTGCTCTGCGCTACGTCGTTGAGCATGTTGCCGAGCAGACATCATGGCTGGTAGAGATTGTCAACTACAATGTGGAAAATCAGCAGTACATCGCAGCTGGCTCGCTGCTTGGGTTGGACACAATCTCAAATGTGTTCAATGTCCTCAAAGTTCAAAATATCGAGCTCGACAAATTGATGAACACCATGACTATGGAAGACTTGAAATCAAAGTTGAGCGAGATTGTCGATCTCTGCAAGGACAAGAGTCTGCAAAAGGCAAAGGCATCTGGCGGTCGTCTGGAACTTGAGCGTGGTTATGCCACTATCCCACTCAAAGGCATCGACGTTCCTTTCCACTCATCTTTCCTTCGCAACGGTGTCAAACCGTTCCGGGCATTCCTTGCAAAGAAAATCCCGAAAACCCAAATCAATCCTGCTTTGCTCATCAACAATTACATCCCCAATGTGACCGCCAAACCGTTCGCATTGACAAAGGAGTATGTGCAAGAATGTTACGAGTTGACTGGGTCGCCAAGGCTGAAGGAGATCCTCAAGAATTGGCGTTCGTAGAATGCAAGGAGATGCTGATCTCTCAGTTCTAGACAGTATACAGCATTTTAGCTTCATTTATAGACGAGTAAGAGCAATTTATGGAATGATGTTTGACCTTAAAGGCCTTGCTTGAGCAGAGAGACCCAGGCGCTGGCAGCGTTTGTAGGCACGTCCGGCGCTTATCATAGTCTCTTGAATTGCTCTACCACGCCTCCGTTTACAACAATGATGCAGGACAATCAGTATGCAGCCGAGCCAGAAGCTCGACAAACGTGGGTGAGGAAGAGGAGTGCAAGGCGAAGGAAGATGTGCTTTCAAGTGGTGCTGTAGCGTGCGACTTCACGTGCGGACCCAAATTTCTCTACAGCACGAAACCACGACAGAGGCAGTCGACACAAAGCAGGCAGGACTGCGTCTACAGGATCATGGAAGACCTGCCAGTGCTCGCTTACTTGGACAGGCATCTAATCTACCCAGTCTTGGACTTCCTGCAGCAAACCGGAACTTACACCGAAGCTGAAATCACGCAAGCGAAATATGACTTGCTAAAGGACACCAATATGCCCGGGCACTGTGCTGAGCTATACAAGCAGATTCACAAAACGGATGAGGCCCCTCAAGAGTTCGCCGAAAAAGAGGAAGCTATTGGACAGCAGCTCAACGTGTTGGAATCGGAAAGCAAGAAAGTTTTGGAGGTCCTTGAAAATCCAGAGGTCGCCACAGCACTGCGCCAGGACAAGGCTCAGAACATGACCTTTCTACGCGACAATCACGATATCTCGATTGAACAAATTAACGTGCTATACAAGCTTGGCCAATTTGACTACAATCGTGGCAATTACGTCGGTGCTGTGGATCACTTGTACCACTTTCGCGTATTGAGCACGGACCAGAAGCTCGTGACTTCTGCAACATGGGGTAAACTCGCTTCAGAAATCTTGACCGCAAATTGGGAAGATGCGCTTTCCGAATTGACGAAATTGCGGGAGTACATTGATGGCGAGAACGATGATCCGATAGCGCAGTTGCGCAGCAGAACGTGGCTTTTGCACTGGGCCCTGTTTCCGCTGCACAATGCAGAAAGTCCGAAGCATAATGAGCTTCAGGAGCTTTTCTTTACTCCTGCATACATGAATGCGCTACAGACCTCTGCGCCTCACCTGCTCAGATACTTGACGGTTGCTGTCATTGCTGCCGGCAGCCCTAAAGCTGGCAACTACAATCGTCGTCTGCGCGATTTGATCCGCGCCCTTGAGGCTGAGAAGGTCTATTCTGATCCATTTACGAAATTCGCACTTGCATTGTATTCCAAGTACGACTTTGAGGGTGCAAGTAACCTTCTGAACCAACTGGGGCAGATTGCTGCGAGTGACTATTTTTTGAGTTCTTCTGCAGAAGCAGTGACGAGCTCATTCACTGTCGCCTTCATCGAAGCGTATTTCCGTTTGCACAAGACTGCCGATCTCACAACATTGACACGCCTCACTCATCTCACTGAGGAAGCCCTGGTCAGCATAATCAACTCAAGTTTGGAACATCTCAATGCAGACATCGACACAGAAGATGGCTTCATTGAGATCATCCGCGACGTATCAGGGGCACAGCACCTTCACGATGTTATTCAAAGGACCAAGAATTTGGTCGAGAGGACTGGAACTTTACAATACGCTATGCATAAAAAGCTTGCGGCATAGATTCGTAGAGATTACTGCTTGATCGATCTAGTGTTATCTGCTGCTTTGCTGATGATCTTCCCTATTCTGCTGTTTGCGAAACGGAAAGCAGGTTGCTCCTGGCTGAAAGGATGGGCCAGCAAATCCTCTGCGGTTGGTCTCTCTGACGGCTCAATGGTGAAGCACTTGGCCAAAAAGTCTTTTGCCTCTGCTGATATACTGTCAATCACATCTTTTGGGATCGGAGGAGGCCGTCCAGTCCCGAGGGTATACAGTACTGATATGGCCTCTTCGTTGGACCACGGGCGGCGCCCAGCAAACATCTCCAGCACAAGGCAACCCAAAGACCAGATGTCAATTTTTGCGCTATATCCCTGCTTCTTGGTGCGCACAACCTCGGGAGCCATCCAGAAAATGGTTCCTTGCATTGACATATTGGCGTCATTACCGTAAACATCCTGACTTCGTTTTGATATCCCGAAATCTGATATTTTGCAAGTGCCATCAGGATCGAGAAGTAAGTTGTCTGCTTTTAGATCGCGATGCAGAATACCGCGGATGTGCAAATACTGAAGGCCAAGTAGCGTTTGACGGGTCAAAGATCGGATTACCGACTCTTCAAACTTTCCATGTCGTCTCAGACAACCGCCTACTGAACCGCCTGGCACATATTCAAGGAAAATGGAGATCTTGTCTTCTGTACGCTCGTACCCAAGATATTGAACGATATTCAGATGATCAAGGTCCTTCATCGTCTCGATTTCTGCATTGAGCGTCTCGATGATTGCCTTTTGACTCGAATGCAGCTCGACATCTCTGTGAGGTACATCAACCTGCTTGACTGCCAACATTTCCCCGGAGGTGATGTTCATCGCAAGATATACTCGCCCATAAGTGCCTTTTCCAATTAACTCACCCTTGAGCCACTTAAAAGTTGGTGCACGTTTCACAGAAACTTCTGTGGCCTCTGGTATGATGGGAATTTGCTTCTTGAGAGAGCTGGGCGTCACCTCTATGGCTCTCGAACCCCACACCTTCGTGGAACGTTTCCGCAGTAAATTGGCAGCGCGAACACCATTCGCAATGCTTTTGAATCGTTTCCTCGCCTCATTCGCTTCACCAGCAACGAAACGAATGCTCTTCATGCGTGTAGGGTCCCTTTTGACTTCTTCGGGCATCTGAGTGGCCTTCGAAATGCTGCCGCCATTTGCACCATCAAAGCCATCAGCAATGATTGGCTTGTCAAGATCATGGTTAGGGAAGAAGACTTGGAGATTCTCATAAACTTGTTCAGCTGGAGGACGAATTGTCCAAGCATTTGAGCCGGATCTCTCCCGACTGCCAGGAGCGGTGAGTGGTGTGTCAATACTCGCTTGTGCTGTAGATGGTCTGGACCGTGTGGACTTAGATGGGGACGATGCGACTCCCGAGCTAGGTAATTCTTTCGCCGATGTTGAGGAACCCGGTGTGGGTAGCGGTGAGTCTAGCCCAAGCTGGTCATCACCTCGATGAAATTCCGGCGACGGCGAGCGTCGGAGCTCCTTCTCAGGAGAGGCGGGCTGATTCAGATGTGCGGGCTTCAGACCTGGGCGCAAGCGCATGCTCTGATGACGGAAGCTTTCTTCTGCAGAAATGCTTTTGGCAGACTCGGGATGATCGACACGAGGTTGTAGCGGATCTTTTGGCTTGACGGCCCAGCACCCTTCATCCTCATCAGACCCACTTGAATCACCAAAATCTGGAGCGTCATCAAAGAGGCCAACTTTGGGTCTGTCCATAGACTTCCCTATAGTACTAGACTCTGAGCAATCAGAAATCTTTTTGGCTTCTTGTTTGAGGCCAACTGGTCCATGTGCTTCACTTCCTGTGGCGAGAGCATGCTGTGACTTTCGCCACTTGTGTGAGGCGGACGCCGGCGGTCGTGGAGCGGGGCGATGCGCGACTAAAGATGCCTCGCGCTGTAAAAGGGACTGCTGGCTTTTCGAACGCTGTTGCTCGTATGGGCTTGTTCGTCTGGCATCAAAATCAATTGCCTGCTTAGGACGTAGAACTCTAAACCCTTTCTCAGAAAGATCCAGAGTAGCCTGAACAGTCTTCGCGGGTGACGATGGCTGCACTGTCGCGGCCTTAACAACTGGTTGCTTAATCTCAAGGCCACTTCCAATCACGAGATCTTCTGAATCTTTCTCATGCGGTGGAGATGTGCCTTTGGGCTGGATGAAGCCAAAGTAGTCGCTAGACACTGACCTGTATTTTCGCTTGTGGTGATCCTCTGCGAATTGAGCATCAAGCAACAGCTCATTCGGTGTTTGGGCTAGCCTCGTGCCAGGATGAGATGAAAGCAGCGGTGTGCGAACGAACAATTTGATAGACCCTTTCTCGTTTGTCATTGAGCATGCAAGCAGCAGTTGCTCATCGTCAAGAGCGGAATCTATTTGGTCAGCCGGGCTTCTGGAACAAGAGGCTTACCGTGTAATGCACCACCAATCTCGGTAACATGAAGTTCGCAGTCCTTAGAGTTGGCTCCAAGGCGCTCGCATATATGTGCGCGGCATTGTTGCGCGTCCTGAAGATGAGATTGAGAGACGTCAACCACAATGTATCTTTCATTGTCTTGCGTGACTTGCAAGATGCGCTTGTTTGAAGGGACCGCTTGCCGCGGTAGCAAAAAATAAGGTAACTGAGGGACTTCTGCTGATGAAAGCGGAGGAGAGCCAGCATGTATCAGTTGCGCGTGCAGTAGCTTCTGGCTACCTGGAGAAGTCGCTTTGTTTGAGAAAGAGTCCTCTGCAGGCGGCTTCGTATTTAGCATCGGGGCTGTTGCAGAATTTGCAAAAAGTCTGCTTTCCTTGGCTTGTGGAGCGGCTTGAAGAGGCACAAGGATCTGTTCCGATGGCGTCTCGCGCAGATTATCCTTCCCACTTGACCTACTTCGCTGGTGTTTCTGCGCGAATGAATGTAGTGCAGCTAGTGGTCCTGTCACTTCGCTGCCACCCAGGGTAATTGGACGGACTAAGCCTACATCGCTGACTGGAGAAGGCTCTCCAGACAAAAGGTAGCTTCCTTCGTTGGGCATTTGCGCTTCATCGAACGATGCAGTCGTTTTCAAAGCGCGAGATTGCTTGTCCTGCACAGATTTCTCTTCGCTACCTGACTGCTCGTGTCTCTCTAGCATTTTCCTGATAGCATTGCACAGCCTTGCGCCTGCCTCTGCGCCATGCATACTTGACGGCACCACTTTGCGAACCTTCAGGTAGCTGGTGAGCGATAAGAACTGATCTTTCTCGATACCGTGCTGGATGATAGATTCTTGCCACTCGGAGCCGAATCCGTTGTCTCCAAGCCACTGGAGGACGCGCTCTTGTGTCCATTCGGCAGCACTTGTGGGGTCGAAAGCATTGTCGACAGCAGTACCAGAGATTGGCCGTGGTGGTGTTGCACCACTCGGTACAAAATGATGGCCTCTAGGGATGATAGGCGAAGATAGAGCAACATTGGACACCCTTCTGGACTCGTGATGTGCGCTGATGCCCGGCGGCTGTCCTAGATTGGGCGACGATTGAAGAGAACTACGTACAGCACGCCAATGAGCTGCACTTGCATCACCAGCTTTATCGTCTTCCGATGCCGCGTCACTTTGCGCAACTCGATGAATTCCTTGGCTGGCTGCGCTGCCTTGACCGGGCGCGTTGCGCTGCGCAACTCTCTGCTGCTTCCTGTGCCGGTCTCGTAAATCTGGATAGGCCGAGTCTATATTTTTCTCGTGTCGCAAGTCAATGGAAAGCTGTAATGTGTCCTGAAGCTCTCGCTCAGTTGGTACAAACTGATCCATGATGCTGCTGGCAAAGACCGATGCGCTGATTGCTCGGGGACATTCAGTGGACAACAGGCCGAATGCGAGCACTTACTGCTATGCTCTGCTTGGAGGATCGTGCTATCAAGCGCGAATTCCAGCGCTAGCTATTGCGTGTTTTCGACCTTGACGCACAAATTAGATTTGACGTCGACACGCGGAGATCAACTAATTTTAGCGCAACATCAGATGGATTCCAAGTTGCGCCTTTTGACATGCTACAGTTGGTCGGCCCCATCCGCACACGTGCGATTTACGTGTGTATGTAGGGCCAGATGGTGTTCTAGCAGGTCTGCTTAGGAGGAAACAGCTTACCTGACCGCGCTGCTCGGCTGCTTTGTCGTCGTTTGTGGCAGTCATATCGCATTTTCTGCCTTCATTTGTATAGCACATATATAAATTGAGAGTCGGATATAAAACGGAAGGCTGTGTCACATCACAAGGTGTTCACTTCCCGGATGCGGATCTCCAATCAACCACATGAGCAGAACAGTCCACTGGAGTGCCCACGACCGTTGGCTGCAGTGATGTGCAGCCTCTGGTTGCCCGGTCCATGGGTCCACGTCAAGACCTGTCGAGCAACATCGAAGGTGGTACTCCCGCTACTCTGCTCCACGACCATCTCCTCATCAAAGTGAGCAAGCGGCACATAGATATCGCTCGCACCTCCATCCTGATTGGCCTCAATGACAAGTGAGAAGACCTTGTTGTGAAGGTCAAAGCCAAAGGACTGTACGCTTCCTGCAGTTGTCACTGGCGAAGGTCGTAAAAAGGCTGGCCAAGCACGACTACCTGAGTCCCGTAGCTCTGTAGCTGGGAATGAAGGCTCCGGCAGCGCTTTGAGATACTTGCGCTTCAAAGAGCCTTCGCTCGAGCTAGACGACGGGCGCAATGCAGCATCCTGGACATAGCTGTTCGACCATAAACTCAAGTCTTCCCCATTCCAATGATCTCCCCAGCGATTCGTGTTCTGTGGATTAGCAGCAGCTCAGACCATACCCAAAACTCACCAACGGAGAGTATTGCCACAAGGTGAAGTGAGCGTTGGCACCTTCCAATGCAAAACTGTTGGCGTCTAATGCCCCGATCTGAGAACTAAAATCGTCATCTTCATATGCCCTACCTCCGTCCATATCATACGGAACTCCGATTTCTGTAAAGAAGCACGGATAGTTTCCTAGATTTGCCAAGCCCTCCTGCCTGATAGCCTTGAGTTGATCCCGTAGACAATTCCGAATAGCTCTGAGCCCGAACTTCACCGCGAAGACTGGCGAAAGATATTTGCCCCGCAGGACACCGAGAACATCGACATTATACCAAGTATTCCTGAAAGTTAGGGACCACGAATCACACTGAGGCCATCTTACCATTTTTTGTTCATCAAGGTTAAGCCGTCGTAGTAATGAGGCGCATATACAATTTGCGTATCTGCTTGATCCTTTTTTGAAAATATCGGCGGTACCTCCAGAACTGGTGGTTGACAAAAGATGATGGCCATTTCGTGCACTTCGCGAATAGCGCTTTTGTACGCCCTAAAGTGATCGAGCCAGAACAGCTGCAAGAATTGTGCCATGTTCAACTTGACTCCGCCTGGCCCGCGTGAAAAGTAGTCGGGTTTGAGCAATCGGACATCCGTTTCTGACCAGACGCCATGCTGCGCCCAAATACAACGACCAAGTTGCCACTTTGCGTGCCGCTTCCAGCCATATCGGCTGTCGTCATAATTCTTGTCCAGCCAAACTGAAGTGCCCTGCGGATCGACCACAGTGGTTCCACTCTTTTTTGCACCCATAGACCCGAATGCCCAGACGTCAATGGTTTGAGCGAATCCTGCTCCTGTAGCAAAGCTCTGCATTGGAGTCGGACATGTGCCTCGGCGGTTGTGCTGCTCTTTCTCGACGCAAGAAAGATCTGGCAGGCCGACGAGACCTCTGTTGGGTTCATTGAGGGATTCCCAACCGATGACGACGTTGCCGGCTAGGTCACCCGCATCCACAATGCGTCGCGCGACATGCTGCATTGCACTAATGAAGTGGTTCTGCAAATAATCTTGGATGTTTTGGTCATCCAGAATTGCATTTGGTGCAAAGTGTCGTCCTGCAAAGAATAAGGTGAACATGGTCTCAGCGGCCAAACGTTGATAGTTGGTCGCCCAGATCATCTTTGGAAAGGCCTCGGGGACCTTCGACGTGTTGTGCACAAGTGCTGCCTCCGTTACTTCAAAGTTGAGCGGATTCATGCCTGCTGCTATGAGCGTCCAAAGTGGCGCGCCCGAGCCGCCAGAGAACCGAGACCAAACATCTTGGTGAGGATCCATAAGGACATATAGACCATGCTGGCCACATTTACGCAGCACCTGAATCAAATAATCGATATAAGCCTCGTCGTACTTGCCACTTCTGTCAGCTCATGTGTATTGACGAGCAGGAACATACGGTCGCTCGTGCTCTACTGCTTCCCACGTCACAACGAAGCGAACAATATTGTAACCCCATCCCCTAATGCGTGATAAATGCGCATCTGCTTCCGCTAGCTCAAAGGGCCGCCCGACGAAGCTTATGTTGTCAGCGTCCCAGAAATGCTCCAATTGATGGGAAGGAAGATCCGGGCTTTTTGGTAATTTGGAATCGCCAGAGAGATTGATCCCTCTAAGCTGAACACTACGACCTTGTTCATCAATGAAGTTCTGTCCTTTGATAGTCAAGACGCGCATTGTTGAGCACTTCAGCAGGCCAGCCGAATTGTGTCTAGACTCCACGGCCCACGGGTCGTTAATGCAATCGACCTTTTGAGTTTCGTCGGTCTTGTGTTGAACTTCCGATGTGCGCGGACTGAGAAGCAACGAAACGCACTTCTATTTGTAATATGTAGCGCGCCCGTGTATTGGTAGATAGAGGAGCCAAAGAGGGGAGAGGAGCCACAGAGGGGAGGCGTTTGAGGCTTCAGACGACTTCCAGAGGTGTTTCTAGATAGGTATGTTCATGTCTTCATGAAACTCTTTCGTCATCGCGCCCATCCGCGGGATTTTGCCGAACACCGATTGCGTTGGAACGTCCGCAACCTAAACCTTCAAGCCTGCAGTGGTCAGCCTTCATTCTTGAAGTCGATCCTCTGAAGCTGCACATATTTGCCTGCGGTCAGGCTGAACTCCCACCACGCAAGAACGCTTGAACTAGTCTTCGTAGCTAAGAAACGAAGCACCGCTGAATACTTGGTTGCCATTAAAGACTTCCCCTCCGTTTTCTCGCTCTTTCTCCTCTCTGCCTAGTGCTCATTGCAAGAGACTTGATAGCAAGATCTTTCTTCGTTATCTAGGCTGCAGCGAAGTGCACGGGGTCTCCTGACAGCCAGCCTCAGACCGCAATTGAGAAACGCCTGGTGTCTAAAGATTCATTGATACCTGTCAGGAACTTCAGGATGAATGAGGACCTTCAACCGGCCAAGCTAGGCACATCCGAATACTGGGAAGACTTCTATGAGAAGGAGGTCGCTAATTTCAAATCTTTCGGGGATGAGGGCGAGATATGGTTCGGAGAGGATGCTGAAGACAAGATCATCGAATACTTGGAAGAGAATTTTGGCAATGCGCAGCCACTGTCGGTACTCGACCTCGGAACTGGTAATGGTCACCTATTGTTCGCATTGTACGAAGCTGGTTTTGGTGCCTGGAAATTCAAAGGCATCGACTATGCTCAACATTCAGTGGCGCTAGCAAGGCAAGTAGCTGCATCAAGGGGACTCCAATCTTCAATCGAATTTGAGCAAGCAGACTTCCTCATGGCTCCTGCGACCCAGGAGGAAGAATCATATGATCTTATCCTGGACAAAGGGACCTTTGATGCAATCTCTCTGTCTGCCGACAGGACTGCAACCGGTCAAAGGCTCTGTGATGTGTTTCCCGGCTGTGTGGCGAAGATGTTGAAGCGCGGTGGAACCTTCCTGATTACAAGCTGCAACTGGACAACTGATGAACTCATTCAACGTCTCAGTAGCCCAGGTAATTATCCAGCGATCCGTCCAGCTTGCGCGCAACTAACAGGATAGAGCTGGTATACAAAGATCACATAGATCGGCCGACCATGACATTTGGTGGAGGCTCAGGGTCTGATGTCTCAACGGTAGCATTCCAAAGGCCAGCACTTCAATAAGGCCATTCGCGGCAAATTCAGGGTACTCGAGCAGCTGAATGACCCGCCTCGCCTGCAATCGAGCTCGCTCTAAAGTTGGGCACGCTTGGCTCTTGCAAGATCAATGTGCGTCTCGATGAACATGAGTTGATCACGTTTGACTTCGAGTGCATCGTCACACAGCCACTTAGTAGATCACCAAATTTGTGATAGGTATATGATCATATGAACAAATGCAGTATGCCAATAGTACTGGTACCAGGTACATATCACTAATAAGCGCTCCGTGATTTAATTTAGAATTGAGTATCTCATGCAAGAACTGCGAATGCGCGACCAGAACCTTTGTGTACACTCCAATCGCCATCACAACAGAGACAACCATCGCTTCGTTGCGCATTCGCTAGAAAGCCCGACTCAGAGTCCCATCAGCTGTCGGTATCGGTTCAATACTCATGCACTTGTCCCCCTTTGAAGGACCGAGTTACTTCAAAATCAGTGCCAGTCTTAGATCAGCTGTGCACGGACAGCATATTCAGTCACGTTGCTCTTATATTAGCTCCAGCTCATATCAGTCTACTGTTATAGCGCCTTCCCGGCGCCTCCAGCCTTGGTATCATGAGGATGTCACACACCGATGGCATGCTGCTTCACATAGCAGTGACAGAAGGAAACAGGCAGACGATTTCTTTTCGAAAGGCGTGCCCACCTTCGCCTACGGAGCGAAGGCTCGTCGTCATATGCCACAAGAGGAAGGGCCGGAAGTGGCCTTCCTTGGCAGAAGTAATGTGGGTAAAAGCTCCTTACTCAACAGACTCATGGGATCTCATGTTGTCAAAACCTCTTCGAAAGCCGGACAGACCCAACAGCTGAATGCTTTTACAGTCGGCCAAGCACCCAGACGCCTGACTCTAGTAGATACCCCTGGATATGGCTACAAAAGTCATGCGACACAAGGACAAAACATCATGGATTATCTACGGAAGCGTCGAACACTAGTCCGAGCCTTTTTACTTGTAGAAGCTTCCCATGGCATCAAGCAATCGGACATGGATCTCGCGGATGGTTTGATTCTCTATAGGATTCCTTTTCAGATCATATTGACAAAAGTTGATAAACTGAAAGACCGAGAAGCGTTTGAAAGTCTTGCTAAATGGCTCCAAAGCAAGCTCGAAAAAGAAGCCCCAGTATATGGCGAAATCATTGGCACATCAAGCTCATCGCATACCAAAGCAATCACATCGTTGAGATGCTCGATCCTCACGGGGTGCAACATGCTTGGGTGATAATCAGATTCTGCGCTGGCTTTTTGGTGCGATGCTAGCACCTGACGAAATTTGCCTAGCACGTTCATGCTTGACTTGAACGCTGCGGAACTTTGCTAGCAGTTCAGCAAATGGTACTTCATCTTTGCCTTTGCGCACCGTTCCAGAGATCGCTGTTTGTGTAGCTTTGGCAGCCGGGATAGACTGAATGCTGTTGAGTCTGTTGCGCAGTATTGTGAAAGCCGACGTTTGTGGCAACAGCATGAGTAGACCGTACAGGCACTTGTGCAGGAAAGGATAGCGATCGTTGTCGAGAAGCTGTAATCGCAGATCTGGATGTTAGAAAGCCAACATGTGTTTCGGAACAGACATACATGTGAAGATTGGTGATTCTAGCAGATGTACAAGCTTGTCAATTTGAATGAGCAAGTGTATCGTGATTTCAAGGTCAGCGAAGATTTGAAGCAGGTTGAAAGCTTGCTCGTACGCCTGTGCAAGCAGACATAAAGAGAATGTTGCAACAGCATTGTGACAGAAGCAACGATATAAGGCCGTGAAGAATGATTGACCATCTCGGCTATCCATATTTCGCAATCGTTTGCGCAGATCAAATAATTCCGGTGCAGTCAGCAGGTTGTTGTTGAGGTGCTGGACCATTGTGCTACCAAACTCCAGGTCATCTTCCTTCTCCAGACTCTCTGCAAGAGTTCTGTAGATGCGCTCAGCATTGAGATAGATGGACAGCTGACGGATGATAAGAGAACCTCGAGTCTCTAGAAGCTTGCGATCAGATGAGAAAAGGGTGAGCAGATTCGAACATAGTGCCTTGAAGTAATCATCGGCCGAATTGCTAGATATTTGCGCTAGCAATTGCAGGTCTTTTGTGACGACCTTTTCACTTGTGTCAGAGAGTGTTTTGAGTAGAATTGGAAAGGTCCCGTCCTCAAGAGTCAATATTTTGCTGGGCGCCATTCGATGGAGCTCCATGAGCCATCCTAGTGCACTGACCCTCGTATCAACATGGTCGTCGAGCAGTTGTATTGTTGCAGCACTCACCGTTGCACCAAAGTCTAAATCAACCGAGTCGAGTAAGGCCAGCGAGCCATCTGGAAGAGGCGTGCCATCTATAACGCTCCGGATCAGTTTCAACGATTTGTCGTTGACCTCTGAGGCTGCTTTGACCATAGCTTTTGCGTCGTGCGAAATTGTGGGCAGGAACACTTCGAGCAGCTTTGGCATGAACTCCAAAACAGCTAGAGGGCAGATAGAAAAAAACTCGGATAGCCAAGTCAGTGCTGTGAGCTGTATCGCCTCTTCGTGAGAGTTGAGATGTCGCAGAAGGATCCTGACCAATGCTGTGTAATCAATGAAAAGATCGAGCCCACTGAGAGAGCCTTCATCCTCGTCATCTGGATGCCCATCATCTTTTCCGTCCTGTTCTATATCTGCTGGGGTCAAAGACTTTTCCTTTGTTCCAGATATGTCAAGATTTACTGAAGATCGATGACTGGAATCAGCAACTCGATATTTGGATCTCTTCGTGTTTGCTTGTATACGCTTGACGTCGGCAATTTTCTTGATTTCGGCCAGAAAATCTGCCAGAAGCTTGCTTGTGGCGATGCGCACATCCTGATGAGAATCGCTTAAGAAATTTAGTATCCCATCCAAAAATTGAGGGAGATGGACGACAAGGTCGAGATCGGGGATTGAATTGAGCACCGTGATCCATGATACCAGGAAGATGCGCGTGAACGGATTGAGGACATACATGCGTTCCGAGAGAAGCGGAATGAATTTGTTTAAGGAGAACGCCGTGTGCCGGTCTCGCCCGTTGGTAGAGTAAAGTGCCTCGCCAGACTTGAGTGGTGCAACAGAGGGACTTGCAAAAGGAGAGCTTTGTAAAACAGAAACGTATTCTGTAGCCTTCTCGGAAACGATGTCTTTGATCAAGCGGTCGAGAAGCTCTGCTCCGTTTTTTACGGAGATCTCGGAATCGGCGGATAACTGGAAGTCAGTGATTCGTTCTTCGAGTTCGCATGCATACCCTGCAGAGAGCATCAAATATCTCATTGAAGTACAGTAAGATTTCCCCTTTGGCCACCTTCGCTATGTTGTAAAGAGATTCTGTCGAGTAGTATCTGATGCGCGCATCTTGGTTCGAGAAGCATGATAGAACCGAAGGTATGATCAAATCGAGGTGGACAGCTAGACCCTTGCCCAACGCAATGGACGTTGCAGCTAGTCCGATAAGGCCGCCAGAGACTGACCTCGCCGCTTTTTGTGATGTACCAATGAAGTCATTGCAGAGCTGGTCAATGACTGCCTGCACCTTGGCATGGTCTTGAGACTGCGCAGCATCGCGTATGAGCTTTTCAAGTTCGTATGCAGCTACTTTACGCTTCTCGTATATCTTGTTGGCCAAGCCCGCTGCTATGGTTTCCTCCATGTGCGCAGCCTTCAGAGCTTTCTAGAGAGCGTCTTCTAGCTTGCTGCTTGCAATTGTTCGGAGCCTGAAAGTATTTGCTCGAGCCATGCACAGACAAGATCGGAGAAGGCAAGATGACAATCGCCGTCAGACGAAGACGATTGTGTGCAGCTTCAACGTGCTGATGATCTTGCGGTTCAAATTCAGCAGCTGGTACGACTATGGCCGAGACTCCACGGTTTGCCGTTGTCAGAGTTCTACGACGCGCTGCAATTGACGCTTCGAAATTGGAAACGCGCACGGCCCCCAAAGACTCGCAGAGTTAGCCTTGAAATTCCAAATTCGCCAACTACAAAGATGGGTCAGCGCTATTCATACTATATGCCTATTTCACCCATCAACACATGCGGGTAACTTTGGAAGCATCCAATTGCACCCTCCGTGCGAATTTCCAACTATGCAGGAAGTGAGGCGCTATGCTAGCTAAAAGGCATGAGTCAACACCAGATTTTCCACCATTTCGCGGTCTACAGACAGAAGTAACGTTCCCACAGCCTGTGTTTCACGAATGAATGGGCGACTTTGGTGGCCTGTCGCGACCTGTTCTGACATGAGCCGCAGGACAATGGCGCACTTCTTTCCGACAAGAGCATATGGGTGGTCGGCTGGCTGTACTTTGGTCGTGATGACACCGGTGGATAGGTGCGATAGCCTCCAGAGACCAGATACCAAGTCTGGGAAATCATTGAGCAGGATGCCAGCTAGCTCACCTCCTGCCAAAGCATACGTAGCCATGAACTCTGCAACAATGAGAGAGTGCTCTACCAAAGGCAAATGGCGCTCCAAGGCGCGCAGGGGTGGCGATGTCCCGTTGTAAGGGATCGGGCAAAGCGCCATGCACATAAGCCTGTATCCAAGACTGTCCCGAGGTGTCGTGCTTGAGTGTAGGTTTGACGATAGCTCTTCGCGAATCAGTTGACAATTGGGCGCATCCCTGCACAGGAGCTTAGCCAACGCATCGATTGCGGAAGGCAAATAAGGTTCTTGGCGCGACTCGAACGACGAAGCCGCAGCATTGATTGGATCGGGTCCAAAGAAAGCCAAGAAGTGCAAATATGTCCGGCAGACTTGAGCGTCAGGCAGACTGAGTCCTCGGCCGACATTCGCCAGGATTGTGACTGCATCTTTGCACAGGTCCAACCGACGTTCGACATCAATAAATGGATGTTGGAGTAAGGAAATGGCGCCAGACAAGATCGCGGCGAAATCTGCAGCAGAAGACATTGTATCTTGGTTCACCTCTGTGAAAGACAAATTGCGTAGAATTGTCAAGACTGCCATAATGCGTTCCATGGCACAATGCTGATGTAAATATTTCGCATCGCGTTCCTTGCTGCGACGTATTTGCGACGATATTCGCTGTGTGTACTTGAGTAAGTCGTGATAAGTCTGGAAATCTGAGAGAAAACCTGAGGGTCCTGAAAGTTGTGTTACACCACTGAAGCTCTCAAGACTGGTCGACAGACACTCGAGAAGTGCTTCAAGCAAGTCTCTGCAGTGACCTAGGGGTAGGCCCCATCTGCGATCCGAAGCAATGATTGCCAGAATGTCGAGTGCATTGCCAACCTCTGCAGGAAGAGCACTCTCGAGCGAACGCGTAATCGCTTGTATATCCACATTGCCGAGTTCCTGGAAAGACGGGTAGGGTCGCAAGGCATCAATATCGTTGCCAAGATTCGCAGCAAGAGTCAATTCAAGACTAGCGAATGTGGTCATCGGAACAGCCTTCGGTTGATACGCCGTCCTGAAGCGGCATTTGGGACCTTGCATTGCTGCAGGTTGCCCGGAGGCATAAAAGGGGACAACTTTGCTCAGATCTACATCAGCTTCAAGGTCCAAGGAGGAGTCGGTTGCAATGTATAAGCCTTCTGGGCGCTCAGGTATTGAGCCTTTAGTTTCCGTCACTTCTTGCTTCGGTAGCACCATGTGATCAACATAAGAAGGACGAGCAGCGGACGGGGCTGATGATGATTGCCCCACTTGCTGTTTCGGGGCTGCTGCGCTTACCTGAGACGCGTCCACGGCCATTTGGGCACCTCGATTGCCGAATGCCTCCGATGCAGCTGAAACCTGACTCTCAGTCGCTTGAGACTTCGGATGTTGCTTTTGACGGGCAGTCGTCCAAGCTTCCTCGTAGGTGGCGAGATTGGCGTCGTAGATACGCTTGACTTCGTCCTCTGAGCCACGAAAATGAAGCGTCGCAGCAATCTGAGGCCACGTACCGTTTGTGTTGATCTTGTGAGAACCACCGGCCTTCATGACATGCCCATAAAGGGCTACCAAGTTGACTGGCCGGTCTCCTATTCGAGGCATCTGAACAATGGGTGTGCCTCTATTTCGCATAAACTCATAAAGGCTTTTCATGAAGAACTCGGGCGTATTTTGCTTCCTTGCCGCATTTCCAGTCACAGCCTGCTGGGGATACTGTATGCCGATCTGCGGGCGCGGTACGGGTGACGATGACTGTGACAGACCCATTTCCTGAGGTCGCGTCCCAAGGTGATGCGCACTCTGCCAGACCAGATGAGCATCTTCTCCATCGTCCCTTGGTCGTTTCCCCAACACCGACTGTTGCGGGCCATTGCTTTCCTGTGATGGTCAGCTACGTGCTGTTTGCGTAGCTCCGGGGGAACTTTACCATTGAAGTCTTGTGCTTGCGCGCTTTGCTTGCGACACTTTGAATGAACAAGTGCTCTCTAGGAAGGCATCCTGCAAGCTTTGGAAGATGAAGCGCAGCCGCTCTGGTCGACTCTGTGTCTATCTATGCAATTCAGTCCCGAAACGCGTGGGTTGCCCGCTGTTGTTTGCTTCGCTGTGAGAATCTTACCCTAACCCCCGCTGCTGTTGCGCCAACTTGCGCATCGTCAAAAACGCGACTCAACCTCTGCTGCATAGTTACGCACTGAAGCGACACGCAGTTGACCATGCCCTTTTGAGCAGGCCTGGTTGCTCATTCTAGGAGGCCATTTGATATTGGCCATTCGATCTTCACCAAAAGCGTGCCATCTGCCAATAGCGGGTGCGACTGAACGCGGCTTGTGCAGGATTTCGGCTGCAGAAACCTTTTTCCAGGCTCCTGAACAATGCGCAAGACAAAGATTCTAGCTGGCAGTAGTCATCCGATTTTGTCTCAGGCAATCTGCTCTCGTCTGGGTGTTGAATCTGCACCCGTTAAGCTCGGGCGATTCTCCAATGATGAGACGTCTGTTGAGATTGGAGTGTCCGTGCGAGATACGGACACCTTTGTCATTCAAAGTGGATCCAGAACTGTCAACGATCATCTCATGGAACTCCTGATCTTGATATCCGCATGCAAGGGGGCAAGTGCCTCTCGCGTCACGGCTGTCCTTCCTTACTTCCCGTACGTCAAGCAGTCCAAGATGAAGAAACATCGCGGTTGTATCGCAGCCAAGATGGTAGCGAATCTCTTGCTTGTTGCAGGTGTGGATCACATTATCACGGTCGATTTGCACGCCTCGCAAATGCAGGGCTTCTTCAAGGTGCCTGTCGACAATCTCTACGCCGAACCAGCCATCGTCCGTTGGATCAAGGAGAATGTCGACCGATGGAGGGATGTCGTGATTGTGTCCAAAAATCCCGGTGGGGCGAAAAGAGTTACTTCAATGGCCGATGCTCTGAAGGTCAACTTTGCCTTGATCCATACAGACCGCCGCCGGAAGCTACAAGAGCCGTGGCTGCCAAGCCATTACGCCGGGAATTCTACTGTCGCGTCTGTGCTTAATTCTGACGACGAAGATGCCGAGACTGACGAGCTGGCAGATGCAGACGAGGAAAATAGTGCTGATGATGACGGCCAAGATAATCGCAGCCAAGCAGGGTCTGCAGCATCGCACGAGACAGCAAGAACCACCCGCACCAACAGGACAGCTCAATCGCGACGCAATCTTTCGCCACACAAGCGCTCCTCCATGCCTCAGTATGATCAATATACTGAGGTACACACGGCGCGTCTCATTTCTGGGCATGTAGTCAATGAGGACTACCAAAATAGCGTACATGGCAACCTAGTCACAGGTGATCAACAATCAGATAATGGTGACAGCTCCGATCACGGCCCAAACAACATGCAAATGTCTTTCTTGTCCAGCTACTCCGCTCACGACAACGCATCACATGCCCTTGCAGGTCCGATCGAGACGGATACGCTTTCAGACGAGGAGGAAGACGAACTGACCCCGCCAACTGCATACGAACGCATGATCACTCTGGTGGGAGATGTTTATCGAAAGACCGCTCTGATCGTGGACGACATGTGTGACTCGCCCGGCAGCTTCATCGCAGCTGCCGAACACATGGTTAAGAACTGTGGTGCACACCGTGTGTATGTCATTGCTACTCACGGGCTTTTCCAAGGAACGTGTCTGGAGCAGATGGAGGCGTGCGACTGTATCCATCAGATTGTCGTTACAAACACCTATCCCATTTCCCCAGAAATGATGCGCCGAACCACAAAGCTCAATATCATTGACATATCTAGTGTTCTTGCAGAAGCAATTCGCAGGACTCACAACGGAGAATCTCTCAATGGATGCGCCGGTCTATTTTGAGTCCGCTGCAGATTGGAAGCAGGCGGGAAGTGAAGCTTCATGCTTGATCTAAATAAAAGATTTAATCATACTCAACGCCATACGCAAGACAGATGAAGACATGGACTTGCTGCCCATGGTGGCAGTTTCGTCCACAAATATGACTGTGTTCAGAGTGGCACTTCGGCCATGAGCTGCGCACGCTGATTTAGCTGCTTTGCATAGCGGAGTCCGCACGAGTTACAAAGACTTCGAGGGCCATCTGGGCCTTTCCGCCACTGGGTAGTCTGCCTTTTGAAGCAATTGGTACAAATTGTTTCAGAAGGCCTCGGAGAGGTCGTCGGCCGCACTTCAGGGTGAAGGGCATTGTCAACCGCACGCTTTAAGCGACGGTTGATAAGCAAGACACGATGAAGCTCGTACTGCCAGCTTGTGTTGCGCTCCGGCATAAGCTCTTCCAAATAAAAGCACTCTTGCATCGCTGTATCTGGGACGGCAACTACGGGAGTCGAGTCACCGGCGCGCAGATGAATCGGTGTCGAGGCTGCTGCACTGTCGGCAGTCGCGTCAACTGGTACCCGCAATATTGGATCAGGACTGTCGACATGAGAACATATCATGATACTGGGATGAACATGTGGATCTGGCTGACTAGGGAATAGTCGCGAAGTGAGCGAGACTCTGGAATGGCCCTTAGATTGATGTGGCTGATAAATATGCTGTACCGTCGCTTGGTGGCCTGAGAACGCTGCGCGAAGAGATTCCTTGAGCAAGGGAACGTCTTCGAAAGAAATCAAAATGACAAAGTTCTTGCCAATAATGAGATCACGCGAGATGCCGAGGAAAGTGGATACTGCGGCACTCGCCCAGAGAATCATGCCTTGCGGATCGACCCTGCACCATAGACCGCTGGCCCCGAAATCGACATCTTGTTGACCTTGTAGTTTTGTCAAAGCTGGCAGACCAACTTTGCGCCCAGACAAAATGATAGTTTTCATGCCTCGATTGGGCTCCAGAAGCACTGCTCCATCGAACTCAACCCACACGTATGCGGAACTCCTGTGTCGGAGTCGTGCCAGCAGGCTGATAGGCTTTCCTACCTCGGCTTCCCGAAGCTCTCGCATGAACGGAACAATATCTGATACATGACAAATACTTTGCAGGCCTAGATTGACGAATTCACTTGTCGTGTATCCAAGAAGTGCTTCGATTCGGTCAGAGCAGTAACTTACAACCCCCTTGAGGGAGCAAACCACAATAGCATTCGGGCTTTGCTCAACCATAAGGTCTTGCCAGGCATCAGCGAAGCCTTCTGCATCGTCCTTGCTGAATCTTGCCCGGACCAAGCCTTCCATCTGTGGCAAACTTCCGGCTCCGTATGAAAAAGTGGTGGGCGCTTGCAAGGCGACTGCTGGAGGCGAGCGGGGGATGCGAGAGATTCGGTAGTCGATATAATAGGTCGAATCTGGCATCTTTTGCAGAACACTTTCGGGCGACTCCATGATATCCACCTGGAAACCCACAATGTAGGCAATGTCATCGCCATCCCAGGGCACGGCCATCATGGTCAAAAGATTGACCCAGCGTCTGCCTCCCTTCTTGTAATTCATGAGGCTCACTTGAACTTCTTGTCCAAGAGACAGCTTGCTCAGCATTTGTAACACTGCGAGATTGTCCGTGTGATCTCGCACCGAGCCAGCTTCGACCAGGCCGACTGGTGCTTGCATAAACCGATGATTCAGACCGATGATCTCATTCATCGAGTAGCCACTTACTTGTTCGAATGTTGGTGAGCAGTAGACTAAGGGCATGTCGAACTGTCGATAGTCAGATACCGAGAAACTGCAACTCATGTCAACAGGAGCGAGCTTTATTCGACTGCGGCTCTTTCGGCCCATGATCCTTTTCAAGAGATCTTCCGGCTGGGGCAACGGCCTTCTTTGTGAAGGATTGTCGCTGGGAGGTTCAGGAAAGCACTTGAGACTTTGGGTCGTTTGCATTCGACTCGCAGACCGCTTTCGAGACGTCTCGAGAGACATGTGGTTCATGCCTGCGCGATGTACATTGTCGCCGCCCAAACTAAGTCGGGCCCGGGCAGCGTCGTCCCCTTCAATCGCCTGTTCACGCCCTTGAGGCTTCGACGACCAAGCCAGTCTCTTCCCCACAGCTGAGACACTCGTCGGCCCAATGGATCTGTCATTGGCAGTAGTAGTTGGAATCCCCGGTGCACGTACTTGGACCTGGGGAGCCGCCGGGCTGCTCAGCAGATTCGGTCCATAGCCTGCCTCGCGTCGCTCGTGCTCCTCCATCCGTCGTGCAGGCAGTCGCACATGTATTGCCTAAATGTCCAAGCGACACTGATGGACTCTTCGAACCGGCAAGCGGAGCTTTACCAGATGCTCGTGCGCTTGAAGTGCCGTTGCGCGGCTGATTATGTAGAACTAGTTGCCTAAAATTATGGGAGCACGAGTCTTTCACAAACTTTCTTGACGTCAAGATTTCCTACTGGAATCAGTCAACTATACAGTCTAGTCTATACCTAGTGGATCTAGAGCGAACACATGCTCTGCAGTAGAACGTACAAGTGAAAATCTCATCTCGGCCCAGCCATCACATCTACAGGCGGCAGCAGTAAGCGTGAGCTCACGCCCTGCCTCGCCATCGGGTCTTCAAAAGTCCTCCAGCTCAATGCACGAAATTCTGACCATCCAATGTGGTGAGAGAGCCAACTACTTAGGCACTCACTTCTGGAATTTCCAAGAGCCGTACTTTCAAGAGTCTGATAGTGTGCTGGATCACGATGTTCTGTATCAGCATGGTATCTCTCCCACTAGCCTGGAGATCTACCTGCCTCGAGTCCTCATTTACGACTGTGCCCGCAATATGGGCTCGCTGCGCAAGATCAACCAGCTGTATGACACTCAAGTCGACACAGAGTCTGGTACAGAAGTTGTGCAGCCTGAGAGCTTTCGCGTCCATCCTTTTCAAGCCTCGTTGGATGAAACGCCAGATTCCTCACAGCTGTCTGACAACAGCGTCCGCTACTGGTCTGACTATAATATGCAATTTTACCGTCCAACATCATACCTGCCTATCGATACCACCGCGGTGGAAAGACCATTGCTCACATATGAGCAGGGTAGAGCTGCCTTCAAGGAAAGGAATGGCCAAGCGAATGTTATGGATGAGGACTTCCGAGCCTTCGCTGAACAATGCGACCTGATGCAAGGCTTCAATTTGATCTCATCCACTTGCGATGGCTGGTCAGGCTTCACTGCAGAATTACTGCTTGAGATGGAAGATGAGTTTCCCAAGCTGAGCAAATTCTTCGTGGACGCCGGTCGACCGACCAGCATGCAACACCACTTCAACCGAGCAGATGCCCTCTTGGTCTGCCATGACATCGTCGATCTGATCGTCCCAATATCTACCAAGACGTCGTGGACAGGTTCTGCTCTGCCTGGATTGTGGCTGGATACTATCACTCTACCGATGCGTACAAAAGAAAGCCCGTTGCGTCTTTCGGATCTTTCATCATTTTTGTCGCCACACAACAAGATTTACCATGCGCAAGCGGGAGAGCAGAGACTCAACGCTGTTCATGGCAGTGTGCAGAATAAATTCGAGGTTGTTCGTGGGGATGAAGTATCCCTGACCTCCAAAGTACTTGAAGGATCCTTGGTGACCACATTTACACATCCACAGCAACAGCCAATGCCAGCCGCCTTTCCAGAAGGCGTGAAAGAGACTTCTTCCAGCCTGTTGCACATACCGCGTGGTACGCGTGCTTGGTTACGTGACCTTGGGCGCCATATCCACCAAAAACAAGGCAGGTCAGGATATACCGAGCGCAAGGATGTTGTCGCTGCCTTGAAGGAGCTCGAGGCTTCCTATGAGGAAGAATTTGAACAAATTTCAGACATGAGTTCTGACGATGATGGCTTTTAGACGCTTTGACCACACACACGATACCGTTCAAGGTCAAACTATCTCGAAACACACTTTGCCTGTCTGAGCTATGACCCATGCAGCCAGTGCAGTTCCATTGTATCAGACCCTTGCTATACAAGAACGACCGCTGACCTGGATTCTGTTTTTCGGACATCAACCATGCTGATAGCGATTTTATTTGCATTGTGTGGGTTTGCCACTGCTCTTAATGATAAGTCACCATCGATTGCAAATGGAAGCAAGATCGTCTTCCAAGGATCACAGGGCCCCGTCAGCCTGAATCAGTGCAAGTAAGAGTTTTGGTTCTTCCCATGCTTCGACTGACTGTAGCTCTGCCTGCGCTTCCTTCAATCTTGTATTGTTCCAGACTTGCCGCAATCAAATTAGTGACTATCGTCAGCAGATACGCTGCGGGTGTTCAACGAGTTTTGTGGCCCAGGCACAAATCTGTAGCTCGTGCTGCGAGAAACTCGGATACCAGACTCAATTCCAATCGGTTTCTCAAGTCGTTGATGATTGCCAGGTGATCATTAATCGAGGCAACACATCAAGCGCTGCAGCTGAGATTCCGTACAAGACACTCACGTCGGTGCAAACAGTTTTCGTGAGCACGACCATGACACAGTGGACGCAGTACGCTACACAAACGACCACTGCAACTGACTATGCAACAAAGACAGATATGCCCTTTCAGTATTGCACTGCTCAGCCAGTCTACACGCAAAGTATCTTCACCTCAATCATGACTTCTCTGTCTTCATGTAGCGGTTCATCCGTCCCGGTGCAGCATCCGACGACCTGGACTTCTGCGTGGTTTTCTACGCCATGCAGTGCGACATCTTCAACATCAGCAGTCCCGACCACCTGGTCACGCGACTTCCCAATCGTGTCGACGACCAATACGAGCTCATGGCAGGCAAACCCGACGATTTTCCTTTCGGGAGCCCAAGGACACGTCACTCAATCAAACCAGATTCTGGCGGCATTTGGAGCCTTGTTGCTGGCGTTCGCCGTGTCGTGTACTTTATTGTGAATTACTACTAGAACTAATATTTGTACATGTTCATGCCAGAGCGTAATGAAGCACCAGTTCGATTTGACCGGGACCAACTTCGTGCAGGCGTATCAACATATCTTGACCGTCCGGCATACGCTCGAGCATCTCAGCTTCGAGCAAGATGCGAATACCCCTATTGTTCTCTCGGACACATCGGACGATTCTGTGCTTCTCCGCGTCCAAGCTGAGCTTCTTGGCGACGACCGACACGAATGCATTGACCGAATACTCGTACAGGTAGACTGCTCGATAGATGGGGCCTAGCTGATGTCGATTGCGCTGTGAAGGGTGATATTTGCTTGTACCTGGATTTTCCCCTTCGCCTCTCATGTCGGGCGACCCGTCTGATACGGGTGACATAGTCTGTGTTTTACTAGTGCTCTCCATTTGTTGCATGAAGTAGAAGCACTTGACGGGTTTCTTCTGCGGCTTTGGTGGGACGTAGTGGTCATCCATATCGGCCACAAGTATGGTCCTGAAATCCCCAAGTAATACTGGCTGTGGCGAGGCGCGAAAAGCTGGCTGGTAAACAGACTGTGGCGAAAGTCGTCCGTAGGTGGTCTGAGGCTCTTCCGTGGAGACTGGCTCCACTTGTTTTGCTTGCAGCGAGATCTCATCGTCGAAGCTAAGTGCCATATTGTCACCATCCTCGAGTGGCAACTGCAACAATGTGCTTGGCTCCACTGACGCCAGCATGGCGCGGTACATGTCAATTTCATCGAGTCGACTGTATTCCTCAGTTTGTGAGCCGTTGCCACTACTCTGCGAAGACACGGAGGCTGAGCGCTTCCGGCGGTGTTGAACGCGCACTTGAAAGTCTGATTCACGCCTGACATGACCCTTGTGAACAATGGGACCCGATGCAGAGTTAATGAGACTCGAACCATGGGGGTCTTCTAGTCTTTGAAGAGCCTTGCGAACATGGGACAAGTCATTTGCAGCTTTGCGCTCGGCACCTTTGTCACGGAAAAGCTTGATGAGACAAGCCGAACCACCCAGCAGATACTGCTGGTCGTTGGTGCAGATCTCTGTCTTCACTGCGAGTTTGAGAGACACGCCACGGACACCTTTAGAGTGCGAAAAGTCGGTCGATAAGAAATGGCAACGGAGCGCCAGCATGGTCTGAGCGCACGGCGACTGCTGCACGGGAGACCAGTCAACAGTGAATCCGTCAAACGCTTCAGCCACCAAGACAGGACGTGCAATCACATCTGCCTTGTGCTTTTCCATCATCTTGACAGGGCCAGCCTCGTCAAATTCGAGAGCCCTTACGAATGGAGCTTTGCGCTCAACAGCCTCCGTCATACCGCGGCCATCGCGCCAAATGCTCCAGAATGTAGCAGCACGATGCTTCTGGTCTTCATCGTGAAAAAGTACTTTGACTGTAGTGCGGTACTTGACTTGTCGCCCTTGGGCCTTGTGCTCGGTATCGACAAGACTCAAGCCATATAGTTGTGACTTATTGAGGTAAGTCTGTGAATCTTCCTGTGTCGAACGCCGCATGCTGGTCGGTGCCAACAATCGAGCAACGATCCGGCTGGATGATAATTGCGATGAGAGGGGTTGCATAGGCTGACCTTGACGAGTATCCAGCAGGAGACCTGTCATAATGGAGGCCTCAGGGCGAGCAGCCCTGTAGTCGCCTTGAACATTCATGAATTGTCTGTGGCCCGATGAGCCTGTATCTTTGCCTGCTTGTGAATCCTGCACAGCGGTATTTGTAGCATCAGCATTGCTACTTTGCCTCGAGACTTGCGGACTGAGGAGGCCAGTCTGATTGAACGCTCCAAAATCAAATTGTGCAGAGTTTCGACCAAAGTTCAGAAAGTCTTCCGAGGAGGCAAGACTGAAATGATCCTGATCACTGGCACGCGGGGTCTGGTCTGTATCAGCGCTGTACAGCCAATTCATAGCTTCAGTCGCGTTCAAATCGTGCTTTGGCTGGTCTGGTGCGCCCGAGGAGTGTTCCGCGTCGCCGTCCACAATTGCGTTCTCATCTCCGAATGGCGCGTCACCGGCATTGCGCGTGTTGAAGATGTCGCCCGGGTAGCTGGAGAGACTGAGAGATTGTCTGTTTGTGTGTCTGTTGTTTGTTCTGCGACGTTAGCATGACTCAGGCGCAGCTTGTGGCTAGTACCTTGAATTTGAACTCATCGACATCCTGTGAACGCGCGAGCAACTAGCTGAGGTTGCTTCGCAGCAGTCCTGGGCGAATGGGAGGAGGGTCGTCTTGCAAGGATGAGGACGAGGACGCTGTTGCTGACTGTCGGCGTCCTGGGCCTGCCTGAGATTGACTCTGCTGTAGCTTTGCGATCGGTCTGATGGAAAGTAGTGTGGCTGGAAGTCCTGGGATGCGTGGCACAGTCGACTTATAAGGGGGAAAGGGGGAGGCGGTTCTCCAGAGGAGCAGCAGCCAGCAGCAGCAGCAGGCAGCAGGCAACAGCAGCAGCCAGCAGCAAGTTCCAGCAACGCCTTCTCGCCATTTCCCTTGCGCATTTCCAGGCATCCGGGCAGCCACCCCAAAACGCAACTCAAATTCGCAAAATGCCGGCACAGGCGATCAACGAACAACTTGACAAGCGTACGAGCTCCGATGACGATACGCGAACCCACCCTTAGCCTTAATTTGTCCTTGTCTCTTTGTATACGCAGCCTCAAGAGACGACTGTCAACATCTGTAAATCTGTCTCTCAGCTATTGCTCATTGCCTGCTTCCATGCCGGCTGCCAGTTGCACGCTGCAATTGCTTGACAGCGTTGCAAGTCTAGACCTCACTTTCAGGGCACGAGTCGCACGACGGAAATCAAAAGTCAGCTACTCGGAATTTTAATTTGTCCAACGATGAAGCCATAACTTCCCCCATAAGTCCATTGCCCACGGCACATCTCCGCGACGCACATGCTTGGAGGATGTTCACTGTGACGGTGCACCTAACGAGTCACGACAGACGATACAGACGACTCTGAGACAAGTCTCCGACACTCGGACGACCTTGAATCGTGTCCAGAGTGCTAGTCGACTATAGGTCACATCTGCTACTGTCTTTTGAGATATTATAGTCTGTAGTATCAATTGTAAGAGTGGACAGCATGGATCAAGTGACCAGTCTTCATTAAGTAAAGCAGACTATTATCCCGCTAGTTCACATGCCCTGGCCCCTGGCCCCTGGCTTTAAGCATTAGCGTATATAATGTGATGCTACCATATCAAGGCCTCGAAGTGTAACTATCAGCTGTCGCCTGTGGACCGTATACATAGTCCTGTAGATAATGTCACTGCAGTGACAGTCTGACATGTCAGACTCATAGACTGTGAGTCTGTGACAGACTGACAGTGCAGTCTAACAATGAAAGCGGGAATGTGCTCGGCACGAACATGGTCTAGAAACTTGCAGAAAGCATCTGGGAGATGCCAGCGCCAGCCGCAAGCATACGAACTCCAAGTTGACTGCATTCATTCGTCGTGATAGACAGTCATAGACTGCTAGACTGAGAGACTGTGAGTCTGTAATACGGTGAGTTGATAATAGCACCAGTCCACCCCTGTGGCGGCAATCATTGCGCGGCTTTGCGCCACCACGCCGGCGATGTCTGATCGGGTAAACTCTGCAGATTTCTGGAGATCAAACTCAGCCACATGCATGTCAAATTCTTGGCACTCCTGTGGCTGTGCGCGTGCAAATTAGAGAGGGTTCGAGCGACAGAAACAAGTCAATGTCGTTGTCAAGTTGTCAACTCTCGACTCTCGAGGCGATCAGCCGCGACCTCAGCCTACCTCATACGCAGAAGTTGATCGCGAGACAGCGTCCAAGGCAGCGCTGACTTGTACAGCATTCGATGCTTTCACCCACTGTGATATATGGACGGCAGTCGCAGTAAATTTTATAGGCGAACCAAGATGGAGCCGAAATGCGTTCAGGGCCTTCAGGCCTTGTAGAAATTTGACGTCATTAGACATTGAACTTGCGATCGACTCTCAGTCCTGAATTTGCGAAGTTACGAAGAATATCTTGTGGGCCGTTGCAGATAGCGAGCCTGGTAAAGCACAAGCAGCTTGATGCAAGTGGCGATCAGTCCATCGAGCTTGATGTGCGCAGTGCGCACACAGCACTGTTTAGCGATGAGCGAATCCCGCCTCTCGAAGCTAGTTCCGAACAACAATTTCAGTCACGACTCACGAATGACTTTGCCCAGGCGAATAGGATGCCTTGCAGTGACATGCCTGCGTTTGTCAAGTTGATATATAGTCCTTGTACGAGAAAGCGATCTGCAAACCCAGGGCTCATGAAGCTTGGCGCTCGGATTGTTGCACGATGGAGCACAAAGCCCAGTTGGAATCTGAATCCTATCTGAGCTCGTGCACCTTGAAACTTGAAACTTGGTATACAGCCGCAGAGTAGGTCGTGAACGGCGCGATGCCAGCGACACTCAGGGCGCGTCAGCCGAGGACAAATTTGACAGCATATTGATCAAGGTCTGCTCCGAGGCTGTGCGTCCGGACTTTATGCTGCGTAGTGCCAAGGTCGACATGACACATCAATGTAGCGGCCCTGACCTCTCAAGCTTATCATACTGTTCGACAATTGCAGTACGTGTGCATGCACGTAAATGAGCTGGTTACTGGCGATAGGCACGGTGGGGCAGCAGGATGTGAGAGCGATCCAAGGACATTTGAAAGAGCCAGGGTTACAGCCTCACGGTTGTCTGGGCAGATACATCTACGCTGATTCTACATGACAGGCCTACTAGCTGGTAGTGGTGCAATTCTTCAGCGTCTCTGTCGGTAGTCGCCGACGGCATTCGACCCCACAGATTTGCGCGCGTCACGAACCTAGCGCTGGTTCTAGCGCTTTGAACTCAAGCTTCAAAGATACATCATCTGTCAAGTGCAGGATTCACAAAGTTGCTGCTGAACCACTACTCACACCATGACACCTCCATTCCTCGAATGCGTCGAGCTCTCCCTCAATGGCGGCATCCTTGTCATGACCCTTTCCCGACCAGGCGGCAATGCCATGTCGCATCAATTTTTCAAGGATTGGCACAAGGCTCTTAAGTATGCCCAGAACGACAATGCAGTGCGTGTCCTTGTTGTCACAGGCAAGGGGAAGTTCTTTTCCTCAGGCAAGGACCTCCAGAATGTGATGCACGACGGTTTTGAAAAGGAAATGAACGCTGAGATGGACACCTTGCAAGCAATGGTTGACGACATGATCAATTTCCGCAAGCCCATGATTGCTGCAGTCAATGGACCAGCGATCGGATTCGGCGTAACCTGTCTGGCACATTTTGACTTCGTCTATGCAGTCGAGTCGGCGACCTTCACGGTTCCATTCATGCGTTGGGGATTTTGCTGTGAAGGCTGCAGTTCCTACCTATTCCCCAAATTCATGGGTCAGCAAGCTGCGAACGAGCTTCTTCTCGCTGGAAGCACGCTGACTGCCTCTAGGCTCGAGCAAGTGGGATTCCTCGAGGTGCTTCACAAAGATCAACAAGAATTTTTACAAACTGTGCTCGCCAAGGCAGCGGTTCTTGCAAGCTATGATCCAGCTGTCGTTGGACTGTCGCGCAACTATCTCATCAAGACACCGGAGGAACGACAAATTCGAAGCCGTGTCAATCGCATCGAGCTAACGCACATTCGAACGTTGATGATGGCAGATTCGAGTCGCAAGCCGATTCAAGCCTTTGTGGACGCACGCGCCGCAAAGCGATTGGCAAAGTCCAAGATGTAAATTTGTAGGACATCAACTTAATTTTGGCACCAAGAGCTGAACCTGCGCAAGGCCAACGCGAGGTGAGACTGTGACTGAAATGGATTCGCCAGATTGCACTCTGTAGATGGCCCCATCAATACAAACGCGCGTTCTATCGTTGGCAGACTCCCCGACGACAAATGACGCTGCTGTGGCTCGACTGTACTCAAAAAGCGGATCATTGACCTGAGCACCGTTCTTGTAAGCATCCATGAGGATACGACCCAAATCCGTGCCTGACATGTCGCCCATGCGCACAACGTCGAGTTTGTCTGGGTAGGCAGTTGGCGAAGCCATTGGAGCGATACGCCAATCTGATTCGAGAGAGGAACACCGTGTGATGAGCACATAGGTGTGGTTTGAACCGACTTCTTGGTCGCGTGCAGCCTCACTGTTGAGGTCAGGAAAGCGACATGCCTTGGTCAAGGACAACTTGCCCTTGTATAGGTAGGGCTTGGGCCGCAAATGGCGGTTCGCTGCCTCTTTGAAGCGATCGGTCCCGTACTTCTCCCTGAACTCGGTCGAAGCAGAATCATCCACTAGCGCAGCATGCAGACCGTAGCTCACAACAACTGCGGCATAACGATTGATCGAGCCTGCAGAACTCTTGGCATGCAGGACAGGCAAAGTTGTCCAGTTCGGCTTGAAGAGCGCACGTATTCCGCGGGCCACGTTGGTCATTTTGAGTGATGATGCCAATCCATTTCCGGAACCGCTATTTGTTAGCAGGATGTAGGCTTATGCGCTCACGTACCATGGGATAGGACAAAGCCTGATGGGCGTATAGTGGGCTTCAAAGTGTGTATTTTCAGCAAGACCGTTGATTACCTCGTGTAATACGCCGTCGCCTGAGAGCAGGATGAAGATGGTATTTGCTGTGTACTGTCCGTTCTTGGCCAGGTAGGACGCGGTGTTTGCATCGGAGAGCGCAATGTGGGAGTGGTCTACCTTAAAGTGCTTCAAGATAGGTAGCAGCAGTCTCTGGTACGTCTGCAAAGCATTTCCCTCGCCAGAGGCAGGCGAAGTCAAGACTACAACTGGAGCGCGCTCTCCATTGAAGGTCAAAGGATCAACCAGATAGCTCGTCATACTGCCAGAGATGCGCGAAGCAGTTTTGTAGTTGAGCATGCCATCGGAGGAGATCGAGAAGAAGAGGTACCCAGAACCCTCCTTGGACAGCAAGACTGGCTCGTCCATGTCTTTCGCGGCTTTGTACTTGCTATCCGCCTTGCCAAAATTCAGACCGTTTGATTGTCTGCGGACATGGCTTGCAGTCAGAGCGATGTTGCTACGTCGGCGGTCGTCCGCAAAACGCCGTGGCTCGGTTGGGGAGATTGGTGCATTGCCCAAGTCGTAGGAGCGCGCATCAAAGGAGCGCTCCCTGCCATACGACGATTTATAGGAGCTCAGGGTCAAAACGGAGCTACTGCGCCGTGTGCCGATATCGAGATTGTCGAACGCAGACATGTTCAACAATGTACCAAGATGTTGTTGATGGCACGACAAGTGATGCGAGCCGAGTCGCCTTTAGCTGACTCCTGCTTCGACCTGGCCCTCACCACTACGCTCAGGAGGCTGGCCCCAGCTGTGCGGAGTAGCAGCGATAACGTTGCACGGCGGGCGATGGGTGCGCGCGCGATGTCTCAATTAGGCGCACCCAACAGACAACACGCGGCCGCATCAGGCAATTGCGAACGGCCACCTGCAGGCCAAGGGAAAACCTTAAGCTTCGAGGGCCAGGCATGCGCAGCTAGGCGAGTCAGACTAGAAGTGTTCTACGCTGTCTTATGTTCGCGCTGCCGAGCGCAATACATCGAGCCATGCACTAGAAAAGCGCGCTGTGTTCACATCCATGAGCTCCTTCAATGCTGCCTGCATCTCGCCTCGGTTCATCTGGCCAGATCCCTTGACCTGCTGCTGCCATGCCACGAGCACCTCACGCAAGGTCTCTATATCAGTCTTGCTCGCTTTACTGGCTGGTCCGGTCTCCGCGTCCGATCCTGCCTCAAGCTGCTCTGCTTTTCGTTTGGCCAGCGCAATGACACTCTTGGGAAAGCGGGCGAGTTCGGCAACATGTAAACCAAAACTTTGGCTTGCAGGGCCTTCCGCAATCTTGTAGAGCAGGGTGATTTCTCGCTCCGCATCGGCAATATCACCTACATGCGCAGAGACATGGAGGTTCCGCACCCCAGGTTCTTGCTCGGCCAGTGCGGTGAGTTCATGAAAGTGTGTAGCAAAGAGCGAGAAGCACCCCAAGTGTGTGATGATGTGACGCGAGATGGCCCATGCAAGACCAAATCCATCAGTGGTACTAGTGCCTCGACCCAGTTCGTCAATGATGATGAGCGAGTTGCGCGTTGCAGAACTCAGGATGGTCGCAGTCTCCAGCATCTCCGCCATGAATGTCGAGACACCTTTGAGTTGAGAGTCGCCGGCCCCGACCCTTGCCAATATGGAGTCAAAGATAGTCAGTTCTGCGGATGTGCATGGTACGAAGCAGCCGACTTGTGCCAGGAGCGCAATCACGCCAATTTGTCGGATAAAAGTCGATTTTCCTCCCCTATCATTAGCAGTGCCCTTTTACAGGATCCGCATACATATTTGCTCCTGTGATGATCAGGAACTCTGAATCTCCTCGTCGCAGCTCGACGTCATTGCAAATGAAGCTCACATCATCCTGCATTTCAATAGTCGGGTGTCGAGCCTCTTTCAAGATGGTGTTCCCCTGGCCCATCGGGTGCATAGTGGGTCGCACGTACGGCGTCGGTGCATGGCAAGAGACCTGCGCAAAGGACACAAGCACATCGAGCTCTGCAATCAGAGTGCCAAGCTCCTCAATGACTGGACAGTAGGATGCCGCAATGGTGACAACCTCGCGCACAAGGCCTGTCTGATGGCGTGAATATTGCTGGCTGCAATCTGAAAACTCCCTGGCCAGACCACTAAGCTTTTGTGAGGTAAAGTAGACGCCCGCTTTTGCAGTAGCCAACTCAGAGTACTCGCGACGGTTTCGGATCACTGCAGCCTCTGTACGTGTCAGGCGGAAACAATACCCATGCACGGAATGGTCTTCGAGCTTGAGCTTTTTCTCAATGTCCATGTGAAGATCACTACCCACGAGCTTGTGTTCCAGCATGATTTGCTTTCGAATGGCATCAATTTGTTCGCGCAACTCGCCCAGATTGGCATCGAAGTCTGGCTTGATGAGAAACTCATGACGGTCGAGGGCGTCCAAGTCGACAGTCGTCTCCACAAGATCCTGTAGCTTCGCCAGCAAAGCATTGAACTTGTCCAGTTTCGATGTGAAGTGGGTACTTAGTATGGTTTTCGATTCTTCCAACAGCTCGACGTCGCTGAGCAAATCGGTCAGACCTGGAAGACGTATGACCACTTGATACAGACGCACAACATCTTCCAGACCGGCAAGACCTTTTTGAAATTTCTTGGAGACCTTGTAGAGATCAGGCATGAGCTTGAGATGGTCGTGCTGCAGAGCATCGCGCAGACTAGTAGCATCGACGAAGATGCCCACCAAATTGTGCCTAGCTTGGATAGCAGAGAGCTCGACAAGGGGCTGGTGTAGCCATTGCGCAAGGAGACGCTTGCCAAGAGGGGTTTGACATCGGTTCAGCAGGCCATAGACACTGAGAGACTTGTTGCCCAGATCTGTTGGCGAGGGCATGAGCGAAAGTGCCTTGAGAGCCGAAGCATCGAGCTTCATGTACTGCGACAAGTCGTAATTCGACAGGGACCACTTGCCAAAATTGTCGGCGTCCGACATGAGTGAAAGGTATTTGACCAAGGCACCTGCAGCACCACACGCGACCTTCATCTCGAACTGGTTCAGGCTTGCAGACGAACCACCGTCCGACAAGAGTCGGGACAAGTCATCTTGGACATCCTTGGCGTTGAAGTCCTGCGAAGGCACTTCAGTCATGATAATACCGCATCGTTCGAGCACGAGCTTGAGCTTGCGAAGCTCATAGTCTCTGTCCTTGACATCAGCTTGGATCAGACACTCCTTGACGCCACACTGTATTACCATAGATTCGAAATTGCTAAAGAGCTCATTGTCGCGGAACTCATTGAGTCCAAGCTCACGCAACGTGACACCCGTAAAGCATGTACCAATCGCCTTTTCGTTGTCCTTCACGGTCACTTTGACGGCCATCAGCACGGGGTTGCTTGCAAAATCAGTCGCGCCGAGTAGCGTCTCGACGTGCTGGAGATTGCCAGGCGACGCTTGCATTGTACATAGCCACTGCTTATTCCTCTCTGACTGGTAGATTTCGATCCTCAATCCTCTCGTTGTCAGGCAGTCTTGCAGGAACTTTCGAAACACCGTAGGCGACATTGTTACGGAAGCAAGCTGATGTGCGCGGCCTCCAAGATACTTCACAACGGCCTGAGACTGAAATACATCCCTTGCCACGGTCTCTGCATCTTTGCCATGTACCGAGTAGTAGGACCCGCGGTCAAAGAAGCGCATCAGATTATCTGGCCCATTCTTGGCAAGATTGCTGTAGAAATTGCAGAAGCGGTCCTCGCCCTCGGGCAGCTCAAGTTCTGGATTCTTGCTGCTCATGCTGGCATGTCCTTGCGTCTCCTATCGCCAAGAGCCAATTGGGGATTGTTGCTGATAGTGTCGATAGCCTGTACGCGCGCTGTTTGGACGAGACGCGTCGCAAATTCGCATCACAGCAGCGAGCAAGCGCAACCCCAACGACCGCTTGAGGAGAGTGCGCGCTCGAGGCGGCATTTGCACGTTCGTACTGCTGCAAAGCTGGCGCTCAATAGCTCATCTGTTCTAGCTAGCTACACGGCGAGTATGGAGGTCATTCAGGCCAAGTGCCGGATGATCACCGACGCTGGAAGCAATCAAATGATTCTCGTTGTTAACTGGGTTTTCTGGCTGCTCTCTAGCTCCTTGACACTTCATCTCTCCTTCTGGTCTCTGGCAGGCATATTGATACTACTGGTTTGGGCACTACAAACCTACTTCAGGGCAAAGTACCTTACCAACTACGCCAAATTACCGCTGGAGCCTCAACGTAAAGAACCAAAAATTGAGCCCTTCCCCGACACTGTTGAAAGCGAGTCCAAGCCAGGATTGCACAGCTACTTGGATGAATTCCTCAGTGCAATCAAAGTCTTTGGCTACCTGGAAAAGCCCGTCTTCCACGAATTGACACGCCACATGCAAACACGCAAACTTCTCGCTGGCGAGACGATCAACTTGGAAAACGAAAAATCGTTCTGTATAGTTGTCGATGGCCATGTGCAAGTCTTTTTCAAAACAGAAGCTTCCGAATTGGAGGCTGCCGCCGATGAGTTTGAGGAAGGTGGCGAAGGCTACAGGCTATTGACTGACGTGCGCAATGGCGCGCCGCTATCATCCATGTTCAGCATCCTTTCCCTATTCACCGAGGACGTTCGTCTGCGGCACGGTGCTCCTGTCAGTCCGCAAGCTGACATGCACGCTCAGCCGCAAGACGCAGCACCGCCGTCTATGCCTACGTCGCCGATGCCAATGCCTGTCGGCATGGCCCCAGCCTCACCGAGGACGCATTTCGCAGCAAATAAATTGAAAGAGGCTCGCAAACGCGGAAGCAGTCAGAATTTGCGAGACGTTCCTCATATTCCTCTGCTCAATCCTCCGGAGAAGCCAACGTCGCGCAATAGTGTACACCCGGGAGTCATCGCGAGAGCCAATATCGACACAACATTGGCCGTCATTCCAGCAGAGGCATTCCGTCGTTTGACCCGTATCTATCCTAAGGCATCTGCACATATTGTGCAAGTTATCATGACGCGCTTCCAACGGGTTACATTTGCAACAGGACACAACTATCTGGGCTTGACTGCAGAAATTCTAAGAACAGAACGCCAAATGAATGATTTCACAACGTACGACTTGCCGAACTACGTGCAGGCTTCCGCACTCGAGAGACTGAAACAAAAGCTGCAAAAGGCAGAGATGCAGATGAGTGCGTCGGAAAGAGACACTGGTATTGTAGTCTCATCCCCGGTGAAACGGCGACCAACCTCAATCCGTCTATCAAGTCTGAGGAAGCGAGCTCAAGGGAGACCGCGAGTCAACTTTCAGGATTTGATGGCATCTGTTGATGAAGTCAAAGCAGAGGAATCGGAGCCTGAAGGCTACGCTACCCCAGAATCCGCTCGGGAGCCGGACGAGTCAGAGGAGGACAACTCCTTCAGAGATTCTGTTCTTCATTGCATGTTCAAGTCGCTAGGTCTGGAGCAGAACCCCGAACAAGCTCGCAGTGGTGCTGCCAGCGTTGAGCAATCCCCCAAGCTCAGCGCTGTAGACTTGCAAGATATTGAGCGGCAGTCACGCAATTCATTTGGCCATGCTATCAGCAACATGGCTAGACTCAATCTAGAGGCAACAGCGAGTGATGTTCAATCGGAAAGTGCATTCACAAGCAATTCTCTCGAGGGCATCGAGACTGAAATGGACAATGATCTGGAGATCATCCACTTCCCAAAAGGTGCGGTGCTTGTGGAGGCTCAAGAGCGCAATCCTGGACTGTACTATGTGATAGATGGCTTTTTGGACGCTGGACTGCTTGTACCACGGACTGGCCACGCTGTTGTTGGAAAGCCAGCGCGGAAAGACCCAAACATGCTTGACAATTCCAACCCATTTGAACAGTCGTTCGAGGAGGTTGATGATGGATTTCGCGCGCTCTTCACTGTCAAGCCTGGAGGTATCGCTGGCTACCAAGCAGGAATCGGAAACTACAGATCCTTTGTCGATGTCCGCGCTAAGACTGATGTCTTGGTTGGATTTTTGCCTCGAGATAGCCTCGAACGGATTATGGAAAAGAAGCCAGTTGTACTGTTAACGATGGCCAAAAGACTCATATCTCTGCTTTCGCCACTCATTTTGCATTTGGATTTTGCACTGGAATGGCTACAAGTCACTGCTGGCCAGCCTGTCTATCGGCAGGGTGACGAGGCTGATGCAATCTATATTGTGTTGAACGGGCGGCTCAGGACCGTCATGGAAACCGATTCTGCGTCAGGGGATTTGCAGGTCATCGGCGAGTATGGAGGTGGTGAGTCCGTCGGCGAGCTTGAAGTATTGACAGATATCAAGCGGCCTTCGTCGCTCCTTGCTGTGCGGGATACAGAGCTTGCACGATTTCCAAAGCAGTTGTTCCAGTCTCTGGCCCTGGAACATCCTGGCATCACCATGCAAATCAGCAAGCTTATCGCCAAGCGCATGGGAGACTTATTGAAGAATGGCGAGCAGTCGCGACCTTCGACCGGTAGCGTCGAGAACATCGAGAATATCCGAACGATCTGCATACTGCCCATCAGTCAGGGTGTTCCCGTAATAGACTTTGCTGAAAATCTCTCGCAGTCTTTACAGCACCTCGGTTCTAAAGTGGCCCTGCTGAATCAAGCGGAAATCCTGGCGCATCTTGGTCGATACGCGTTCAGTCGCATGGGCAAATTACGGCTGGCCGGACATCTTGCCGACTTGGAAGAAAAGTACAGCAAATTGTTGTACATCGCCGACGGGCAGCAGGTCAATTCACCCTGGATCTCGACTTGCATTGGGCAAGCCGATTATATTTTGCTTGTTGCTCTTGCAGACGAGCCACCAGAAATTGCCGACTACGAACGACAACTGATCGGCATGAAGACGACGGCTCGCAAAGAACTCATTTTGCTACATTCGAGCAAGCAAGTCTCGCCTGGTAGCACAAGGCAGTGGTTGAAGCCAAGACCATGGGTCCACTCTCATATTCACATTCAGATGGACTCCCTTGCCTCTGACGCCCCAGCTCGACCTCGCACTGCGCAACGCACTATCACAACAATCAAGAATAAGCTTCAGACTGTCTCCACTGAGCTCTCCCGCTTCCGCAACAAAGCATTGAGACCAGGGTCCTTCGGCAAAGGTCAGCACAAAAGCGATCATGCCCGCCTCGCTCGGAAATTGTGCGGCAAGTCGATCGGCTTAATCCTCGGGGGTGGCGGAGCTCGCGGCATCTCACACGTTGGTGTCATCAAGGCCTTGGAAGAGATGGGCATTCCAATAGATTTCGTCGGAGGTACATCCATCGGATCCTTCATTGGCGGTCTCTACGCCAAGGACGGCGAGCTGTTGCCGATGTACGGGCGGGCGAAACAGTTTAGTGCTCGCATGGCTGGTCTCTGGCGGTTTCTGTTTGATCTCACGTATCCTGGTACCGCTTACACCACTGGACAGTAAGGTTTCTGACAGTTGAGCTATGCTAACCACAGTGTCTTCAATCGCGGTATCTGGAAATCCTTTGGACATGCGCAAATTGAAGACTTCTGGCTTCCTTACTTTGCCAACACCACAAACAGTACGCTGCCCCCGCCTCCACAGATATGACTAACATTAGTCTCTCACTCGCGCATGGACATCCACACGACAGGCTATGCCTGGCGGTACGTTCGTGCTTCAATGTCCCTTGCAGGTCTTGTCCCGCCAATGACGGAAGAAGGCGACATGCTTTGCGACGGGGGCTACGTGGACAACTTGCCAGTCAGCACAATGCAGCGCATGGGTGTGAGGACAATCTTTGCCGTCGACGTCGGCAGCGTCGATGACCACATTGAGATGTCTTACGGAGACACGTTGTCGGGCTTTTGGGCTCTGTGGAATCGCTGGAACCCATTAAGTACGCATCCGAATATACCTACTTTGGCAGAGTTGCAAGCTCGTCTCGCTTATTCTGCCAGTGTTCCGGCTTTAGAGAAAGCCAAGCGCGCAAAAGGCTGTATATACATGCGTCCGCCTATCAGTGGCTATGGAACGCTCGAGTTCGGCAAGTTCGATGAAGTCTACAATGTTGGATATGATTACGCCAAGAAGTTCTTGGCACAGCTACAGGTGGACGGCAAGCTCGATGGGATCATTGAAGATGGCCGGCGTAGGCTTTCCAGGCGAAATTCACGTCCCATGTCGACGCGTGAGCGGCGCAACTCATTGTAGTTTGTACTTATAATGTGTGTAAAGGGGATGGGTAGCTGGCAGTCAGCCTGGCTTGGGCCATCTGGTTGATTTTGTTGCGTTGCCCGATTGAGCCAGCAAAACAGGAGCAAGACTCAGGTTATCGTGTCGACCAATGCTTGCGCTTCAGCGCACTTGAGAGAAACAAAGCAGTACTAAGATCAGTTGAAGCTAGCAAAAAGCTGAGATCTATTTTCAGGTCTCTCTCGCTTTGTTGACCATCAAAAGACCCGCGCTGAGTAGCGCTCAAAAGTCATGCTCATGCAATGGGTTCCTGGTAGCCTGCCTCCCTCAGTTCCAACGATGTCCCTAAGCTCACACGCGTGTCCGCATATTGCTATCATTGGCGCTGGTGCAGGGGGATCTAGTGCCGCATACAAGTTGTCTCAAGGATTGCCAAGCTGCGCTCAACTGACAGTGTTCGAAGCAAATGACCGTGTCGGAGGACGATCAACCACAGTCAACATTGGCGGCGCAGACGTTGAGCTTGGAGCTTCCATCTTCGTCGAAGTCAACAAGAACCTCATCTCCTTTGCCAAGCTATTCAATTTGACGCTTGAGGAGCCACGAAAGTTGCTGGACGCTGCGGACGAGTCGTCAATAGGTATCTTCGATGGGCACGACTGGCGATGGAAGGAGAAGAATCCCTCATCCTCAACAGCTATATTGAGAATGCTTTGGAAGTATGGTCTGTCTCCTAAATGGGCGACGAGACATGTATCGACCGTCATTGAAAAGTTCATCGCAATCTATGATGCTGGCCCATTTGAACACATCACGAAGCTGATAGACAGACTTGATTTGCTCGACGAAACACGTCAGACTGCTCAGCAGGGCTTCAAGTCAGCAGGTGTGTCCAAAAAGTTCCTGGACGATTTTATCCAAGCTGCTACGCGTGTCAACTATGCACAGGACTTGCGTATGCATGGTGTCTTGGGATGCGTCTCCTTTGTAACAGAATCTCCTTCTTTTGCAGTCAAAGGAGGGAATTGGAGAATATTTGAGGCCCTCATCAAGCACTCAAAGGCCAGTCTGAGGTTACAAACACGCGTATGCAGCATCAGTCGGCAAAACACATCTTGGGTCATTGTCAGTCAAATGGAGGGCAGTCAAAGCAAGTCGCAGTCGTTTGACTATGTTCTCGTCGCCACACCACTGGCTTTATCCAATATTTCTATCATACCTGCCGTCGCACCAGCTCTGCAGCCAGTCGAGTACGTGACACTGCACGTTACCCTCATCACCACCTCGCAACGGCCTTCAACGAGACGCTTTGGCAAAGAGCCACCCATGCAGATTCTCACTACAACCGTTGAAGGCGAATCATTGAGCCTGTTGAGCTTCAGCGCAGTCAGCAAAACCAGTGAGGGCGAATACATCTATAAGGTATTCTCATCTGAGACTGTGACCCAAGCGTACCTGACCGCCCTGTTCGATCTACCAATACCAGACCATGACGTCTTTCGGCATGTATGGCAGTCGTACCCGAAGAGCGTGCCGACAGAATTCTTTGACCAAGTTGAGGTGGCAGAGAATTTGTTTTATGCTAATTCGTTCGAGCGTTGGATCTCAACCATGGAGACGGCTACGATTGCAGGTATGAACGCAGCTGCCCTGATCACTCGCAAAGTCAATACTGCAGTCTCGCCACTGATGGAGTAGGCGGCAAACCTGCGATTCGCCACTCAAGAGTACATCTCTGGTGGCCGACCTTTGGATGCTTTGATGAGCCTCTGGTAGGCCTTGCGACCAGTATCGAGATCAAGGGAATCGCCTGTCTCCGACTCCACAAGCTGGATAGCACTCCTGATGTCGATAGAACGCTCTCCGTCTCTACTCGGGTTCTGATTGAAAACGTAGGCAGTGGCGTCAAGCTTGACCTCCTCGGCCAATGCTAATAGTGCAGCTTCGATGCCTTGGAGGAACGCCGGTACTTTCAGGGTACTCTGATTGCTTGAAGTCGATGTAGACAAGGTGGAATAGGATTGTTCAAGCGATATTTGCGGAATTGCGGTGTATATATGCAGCACTTGCGAGGGTTTAGAGAGCAGGTTTAGCAGCGAGCGGGCTAACATATAGCAATGCTTCGCACGAAGGCCCGGAATGATGGCAACAATCAGCTGATGCTTCGTACTCGCGAGAGTTCCTACAAGCAAGTCACCGTCCATAACGGAGCCAATGGTCGTAGCACCTGTAGCCAGCAAAATTGGCGACAGTGCAGCATGGGCAGCCACATACATGTGTGTAGCAGTGATAGAAGAGCTTACTTGCAATGTGTAAGGCTGAAGAGGAGTCAATTGTTCCTCTGAGGCCTGGCCGTCGTCTGTGTCTTCAGCTAGAAGTGACACATTTGCAGCAGTGCATGATTCCTCATTGTCACTGCTGTCGGAATCTAGAGGGTCAAGACGGTGACGATCATTTCTGGGATGGTCCATGCCTAGCTGCTCTTGTAGTCTAGCTGTAGCCTTGTAGAAGCAATGTAGATAGACTCCTGGTAGAGGGACGCCTGCAGCAGTGTAGCTGTCCGCATACCAACTCCGACGCGCAACTGGACGACGCGCCCAATTCTCGCTACAAACACGTCGACGAGAGTCAACAAAGGTCGTGACAGTAGGGAGACAGCCTCATTCGTGTCTCTGATCAGCTGCATCCAACCTGCTGCCACTTCTTCTTCTTCCTTGATCATGTCAGGTGCGTGTTGCGATTGCACAATGGGAATGCAGCGCTAACAAGATAGACCAAGGGGACGCAGATTACCAGCCCGCCCCTCCCTTGGACAGGGACTATGACCGGCAGAGCGACCAGAATACCAACGGACACACAAGTGTATGTTCTCCGTGATTGATGGTCAGCTCGAGAGCTAACAAGACAGCCCCTGCCCGCAGCGCAGTCGCAAGAGTTTACGCCAGCAGTCGCACCCCAAGTGCCCGCTACCAACATCATCAAGCGCAAACTGACTGGCTTTGTCGGCTTTGCCAACCTTCCAAACCAATGGCATCGCAAGTCTGTGCGCAAGGGCTTCCAGTTCACCATGATGCTTGTTGGTGAATCGGGTTTGGGCAAGTCTACCATGGTTAATACTTTGCTCAACAGTGCTACCTATGGCCCGAAAGACTATCTGATTGGTCAGGAGAAGCCAGAGAAGACTGTTGCTACAAAGAGCAAGACCGCCGTTGTGCAGGAAGATGGCGTCAGCCTGGAATTGACGGTGGTTGATACGCCGGGCTTCGGAGATTTCATCAACAACGAAGACTCCTGGAAGCCTATTCTTGACCGTATTGAAAAGGGCTACGATGCCTTCCTTGAAGCAGAGAATGGCGCTAATCGTCGCGAGATCAAGGACGAGCGAGTGCATGCTTGCATATTTTTCGTTGATCCCACCGGCCATTCCCTCAAACCCCTGGAGATTGAATTCATGCGGCGCTTGCATCACCGTGTCAACCTGATTCCCGTTATTGCAAAGGCCGACACATTGACTGAGGAGGAGATTGCGACAACCAAAGCCCGGATTCTGGCGGACATCGCTCACCACAAAATCCGCATTTTCCAAGCACCGCGCTATGAGCTTGACGATGACGAGACGACCGCAGAAAATAATGAAATCATGGGAAAGATTCCCTTTGCTATTGTTGGCTCCAATTCGTTTGTGCAAAACGCCCATGGTCAGCAGGTGCGTGGGCGTCAGTACCCATGGGGAGTCATCGAGGTAGACAATGAAGAACACTGTGACTTTAGCAAGCTGCGACAGATGCTCATCAAGACGCACATGGAGGAACTCAAGGATACATCGAGCGAATCACTGTACGAAAATTACCGAACAGAGAAGCTGTTGCAGATGGGAGTCGCCCAAGACCAGTCTGTTTTCAAGGAAGTCTCGCCCGCCGCCAAGGCTGAGGAAGAGCGCATGCTGCACGAGGCGAAGCTTGCCAAGATGGAGAATGAGATGCGACTCGTCTTCCAGCAAAAGGTACAAGAAAAGGAAGCCAAGCTCAAGCAGTCGGAGGAGGAGCTGTATGCTCGTCACAAGCAAATGAAGGAAGATCTCGAGAAGCAAAAGTTGGAGATTGAGGAGCGCAAGCTGAGGCTGGAGCGCGGAGTTCCTGTCGAGGACAAGTCTGGCAAGCGCGGCAAATTTTCTCTTGGCCGCTGAGTATCTCGGTAGGCAGTCATGTTCCTTATAAGGCCTTCCTTGTTTTGGTCTGCTATCATTGCGTACTTCACACCGCGACACTTGTCTGCTATTCTTCTGCACTCTTCCTCGCTTCTAGTTGCCGTGAATCTGATTTGTAAGATCTCCCGCAGATGCATGTCGTCATCTTTGAACATTATCTGCTCAGGCGCACCTGAAGAGTCTTGCTCGAGCAACACATCCATATAAGCCGCCAATCGCCACGCAAGTGTACCAATTCTCATATGGAGACCTTGAGACGTAATGAGCGACATCTGCCTTCGTTCTGGAGTCCCATACTCGCCGAGGATCGGAAAAAATGGTTCAAGATGACTTCGCTCTTCATGGTTCTGTTGACGGCCATCATCTTTGGAATTCTGTCCATGTAAGTTCTGCTTTGTGTTGAACCAGAAGCTCATACGCAGATACTGGGGAGCCGTTCACAGCCTGCAATTCAATTTGGATGTCGCCACGGTGACGATTATTGATCTTGATGGTGGCGAGATTGGTCAAGCTATCCAAGCCTTCGGCCAAGCAAGCCGTAGCGCCACTCCAAAAGACACGCTCGGATACGTGTCACCAGGCGTCAATCAATATCCGACACAGGAAGCTGCTCTCAAAGCGCTGCAGAATGAAGACTTCTGGGTTGGCATTGTTGCTGTACCTGGAGCGACAGATCGAATGAACACTGCGCTGACCACTGGAAATAACAGTTATAAGCCTAATGAAGCTCTCCAGGTCTTGTATCAAGAAGGCCGCAACGCACTCATCATTTCAGAGCTCATTCTGCCAAAGCTCACTACATTCTTGAACGAGTTTGTCTCCAATTTCACGACCAACAAGCAGTCGTCTTTACTACAGCAGAATGAAGGAAATGCTGCGGCCTTGGCGACTCAGCTAAGAACACCAATACCAGTCGGCTTCACTCTTGTCAACAAGGCTCCATACATGCCCACCACCGCAGAAGCATCGACTGAGATTGGATCAATTTACATTATCATTGCTTCCTTCATCACTGTCATTATGTTCGAACAGCTCTTTCTGCAATTGCTCGGCAAAGTGGGGACTAGGACATTCTATCTTCTGAGAATGGCGGCCTTGCCCGTGATCTTCCTGCTCCTTTCTGCGATCTATCTTCTCCTTTCAGTCGTTTGGCAAGTACCTTTCGACCGTCATTACGGTACAGCAGGCTATGTCATCTACTGGCTGCTCAGTTGGTGTGGTATGATCAGTTTCGGTCTGACGATTAGCAACGTGAACGATTTGATTGGCCAGCCATTCACTGCAGTCTTCTTCGTCTTCTGGGTAGTCAGTAATGTTACTGCAGGTTTCTATCCGATTGAGTTCCTCAGTAACTTTTACCGTTGGGGACTTGCTTGGCCTTTCAGGCATTTGCTGACTGGCAGCAAAGCAGTCATTTTCGGCACTAAGAACACCCTTGGCCTGAATTTCGGTGTCATCATCGCCTGGATTGCCGTTGGGTTGTTGGTTCAACCGCTTGCAATCTTCCTCTGGATGCGCAAGAACAAGGCTCGAGTCGAGCAGAATCGCAATGATGTTTTGAAGAGGACCAAAGATGTGCGACAAGACACTTCGAGCATCAGTGAGAGCATTTAGGTTTGCTGATCTAAATTTTTAGAAAGCGTTTGGGATCCTGCTTTAGTATTTACCGAGTGTCAGAAGAGCATGTTGTACAGAACTGTAGCACCAAGTCATTTGAGTTAGCCATCTGATCGCATCAACTAATCTTCAGCCAACCAGAGACCGCCTTCGGGCTAACCCGACTCTGGGCAACTGCTACAGCTCTGCGTCTTCCCTTCAATCGTCTCTGGAAGACACTCTTGCTTCATCCATTCGCGAGGTTCTTTGTCCATTTTGCAGAATGTCTCTTATATTTAGAGGACGGATCTGTCACTCCTTAGCTTCTGACCAGCTAGAGATCATTCCTGACGGTCTTCTTGGCGTCAAGAATGGTATCATCACTTTTCTCTGCGAAGCAGATCATGTCGATAGCGAGGGCTTTGCTCAATTGATCGAGTCCGAGTATAAAGATGCGGCTAGAATTCAGCTTTCAAAGGATCAGTTCATCACGCCGTCTTTCTGTGATGTTCATATTCATGCTCCACAATTCCCGCTGGCCGGGTTTGGCATGGATTTACCATTGCTCGACTGGTTGCAAAAGTATGCTCTGCCTACTGAGAGTGGCATGTCTGACTTATCCAAGGCCAAAGAAGTATACAGCCGTTTGGTTCGGCAGACCTTGCGACAAGGCACAACCACTGCTTCTTACTTTTCGTCAATTCATGCACCTGCAACCAAGCTGCTTGCAGAGATCTGCCTCGCTGCTGGACAGCGCGCCTTCATTGGCAAATGCAACATGAATACCGACTTGAGCCCAGACTGGTACCGAGAAACTCATGAAGAAAGCATGGCTAGCACGCGTGATTGCATTCAGCACTGCCGTCAGATTGATCCAACAGGCGAACATATCAAGGCAATCATAACGCCAAGATTTGCGCCGAGTTGTACTTCAGACTTGCTGCATGACCTTGGCAAGCTCGCCCATGCAGAAAAGCTACCAATTCAGACTCACATCTCCGAGAATCTTGCTGAGATTGACATGGTTGCCGACATGTTTCCAAACTCGGCGCACTATACGGGTGTGTATGATGATCATGGCCTTCTAACCGACAAGACGATCCTTGCACATGCTGTCCATCTCTCAGACGAAGAGTTGGCCCTGATCAAGAAGCGAGGGGCAGGTATTGCCCACTGCCCAGCATCAAACACTGCTTTGCAGTCTGGAGAAGCGCCAATCCGAGAGATGTTGGACCTTGGCCTGAACGTCGGACTCGGCACTGATGTGTCTGGTGGCTATACCGCCTCAGTTCTCGACCAGGCAAAGCTTGCTTGTGGTGTCTCTAGACATCGTGCAATTCACACAGGCGACAAGCGACTCATCTTGGGAGTCGAAGAAGCAATTTATATGGCCACGCTAGGTGGTGCAAAGGTCTGTGGCATCAGCGACCGTCTGGGTAATTTCCTTGTTGGCAAGTGCTTTGATGCCCTTTTGATTGATCTCTCGAGCGAACGCAACGGCCGTGTGGAAATATTCGACGGAGAAGAAGATCGTCGCATTTTTGACAAATGGGTCTTCAATGGAGATGATCGCAACATTGCCAAGATATGGGTCGATGGTCTACAGGTTCTTTAGGCAGCGTCTGGTCGTGGCTTCCGATAAGTTCAGGAGAGGGGGGGGGGGGGGGGGGGGGGCTGAAAAGGCTTGTCCGATATTGGACTTGCCCGAGACAAGTGGCTTCGCAATTGGGCTCCTAGATAGTCAGATAGCAACAAGATCATCGAGTAGTCTTTTGACAGTGTTCTTCGTGTTTTTTGCGGCGGACCCTTGGCCGTGTCCTCTAGTCACCAGTCAACGTATCGAATGCTGTCAAGGTATCTGAGCGGGCGCTCAAAGACTGCCAGTTTGTCCAATGCTTTAGGCTTCAGAATGCTTGATCATTTCGGCGTTCATTCTACGGGTGCCTTTGTAGGTGAGGTCGCTCGGACTGACCTCCTCCTGCGCATTATATAAGAATGGAGGATACAGCTTTCTTACCAGAGACGTACCTTCTATTACCTCCTCTAGATACCCAGACAGGAGATTTCGCCCGTTAGAGTGACTAGCTGCCATCAGACAGGCTCTGTCACAGTCTGTAGCGGTCTTTGACTCCTTACAATTGTGCTTCCAGTTGAGGAGCCTTTACCCCTTGGGCCTAGTTGTTTGTAATTTCAGATGGGAAGTTGTTGAGCTGCACTGGCAGAATTCCCGTAACGGCCGCGGACACTGTCACTGATCACTGGAGGCACATCTAACGAGCATAGTTCATATATCATATCTCTTCCGATTCTCATCATCATCATCACGCTCAATCCTGTAGCACTCCCACGTCTCTTCACTGCCACTTATTGCAAGTCAGGCAGCTTGCGGCTCTGCTGCAGCAGCGCCATTCTGCTTTGCACCCAAAACAGCTTGCAACCGTTCGACAGAGAATTTGACGGAATCTGCACTTGCAGGCGATTGAGCGTAACTGAGATGAACTAGCAGACTGGCTCCACCGGCACAAAAAAGATCGTCCTTGTTACAGTAATCCCGGGTGGCGGGTCGCAAAGGCTGCGGCACAGATTTCATATTCCCGAAAGTGCCACGACCGGTCCTCGCTGTTCCTGCATTTGTATCTCCGGCATTTTGTCTTGTCCAATAAGGATTCCCGTAGAGTACAGAAGCTGACGTTAGACAAGTTCAAAAGATATAAGGAGACATGCCTGCCATGTTGGGCGCATGTTTCTGGAACCCCCGATCATTCATAAGCGTTACGATTGACATTGCACCTTGCGAGTACCCAAAGCTACTGTTAGACTCGAAGACAATTGCAGCTTTGGAGTGCGACTTACAGCACGAAAGGCTGACCAGGACACGCTTGGGCTTGCTGATCCAAGTGCTTGACCATGTCTCGTGTAGCAATGCTCGGGCCAACAGTGATGGTCTCGAAGGATGCAGGATAGACGGCCTCGTACTTCTTCCCTCCCGGGACAGCCCTCATGATGCCACTGACGAAAGCCCGTTCGCCCATGGGATTTCTCTGACTCTCGGTAGTCTGCACGGTCAGTGGATTGGCATGGCGATGGAAACATACTCCACGAGCCGCAATGATTTCATACGCAGCACATCCTGCACCAGGACGTTGTCCACGGAATTGTGGTGCTGGAAGAGGTGATGCAAGTGCAAATCCAACCAGGAGAACTGTAGCGTAAAGCATGACTCGCGTTGATGGAACATAGACAGAAGCTACGCGTACTTATTTGAACGGATGCAGACACAGAGCCAATAAACATTTGTCTGCCGGTAGCAATCCCATCTGAGACCGTTGGTGGAGCAGATGCAGTTCAGGCCCGCTTGACCGTTTAAAGAGATACCGATAACGTTTCAGCTTCTCTGCGTGTCCGCACTATTTTGTTTTGCTGCAAACAGGCCACCATGACGCAAACGCATGGTCATGCGAAGTTATTTGCTGAGATTTCCGCGGCAGTAATGCTGGACTATCTGCTGTTTGGGGGCAGAGCATCCTCAGAGAGGTGTGTTTGCAGCGTGGCGTCATTGTTTTTCAAGCTCGCGATCAATAGACACTACCGAAGAAGTAGAGTCTGCGTGAGCTTGATTTCATCTTGAGATGCTCTATGAACTGGTCTGCAGCACGCAGTGAGCTGGTACGCGAGGCAAATGGTTGGATCGGTGTTTCGAGATGCACTGCATCGCCCGAAATCAAACCTTCGCTGGCTGCAGCTGGGACATACCCTGCTACAAGGCGAGGCGCCATCGTTTGCCTTGCTTTGAAGATGCTGCTCTCTCTTGAAGATCTTCCAGATGAGCTTCTCATTGAGATCTGCTCTAATTGCACGCTTCATGATATGTTCGCATTGTCCATGACAAGCTCCCGAATGCGTGCGATCAGTCAAGAGCTGCGGAAAGGCCTGCACTGCATAAACGAGCTTGAGGAACAATCTCTTTGGGTACGGCCTCTCATTGAGCTTTGAGCACTCAGCTGATTGTCCAGCACAATTACTCCTTGAACCATTATATTGTGCACGACCGCATGCCCGGGCGTATTCGCACGCACGCGAAGCACAAACCCTGGCATCCAAGCCAGAATGAGTCAGGCTGTCCACTGGAGTCAACGGCTCTGGTATCTTAGCTCGTTGCTTGGCATACTTCTACTATGCGCAGTGCCCGGGGCGAGTTGTGACTGCTCCTCGTATCGCCAACTTTCGCAAACTTGGAAGGATTGATCGCACTTTCTTTCTGCCGGCTGCTCTGCATCGTCTCAATATTGCGCGATACGCCGGCCTGTATCTGCGATCCTGGCACAGAGCAATGTCTGCTCGACCCAAGCCAATTTCAGCTGCCAATAGCGAAATGTCAACATCGTCGAGAAATAGCGCAACGCTTGGTTCGTTGCGCAGCCTCAAATCTCCGCCAAAATTGGATCACCTCGCACTGAATGACGTCCGGCTTGCTCATGCTGTGCGTCGTGTCAAGGATCATGACTTGACATTCCCAGATCCTGCGACATTGGCACCAGTGGAAGCATCAAAGCGACTTGCAGCACACAAGGCGGTCGACGACCATTTCCCAAAGGACGCAAAAGTCATCGGCATTGGCTCAGGCTCGACAGTCATCTATGCGGTAGAGCGTATCCTCATGCGTGACGACACGTCACAAATTACATTCATACCCACTGGCTTCCAGTCCAAAGAGTTGATAACGGGTGGTCGCCTGCGTCTCGGAGAGATTGATGGATTCCCTGTCATTGACGTCGCATTTGATGGTGCCGATGAAGTAGATGCCAATCTTCAATGTATCAAAGGCGGCGGTGCTTGTCTTTTCCAGGAAAAGCTCGTAGCCTCATGTGCCAAGAAGTTTGTCATTGTTGCAGATTACCGCAAGAATTCCAAGCAGCTCGGCGAGAAGTGGGCTCAAGGGATTCCGATCGAGGTGGTACCGCTTGCGCATGCTAAAGTCATTCGAGACTTGCTTGAGATGGGCGCGCAAGAGCCTGCATTGCGTATGGGAGGTAAAGCCAAGGCTGGACCAGTTCTGACTGACAATGGCAACTTCATCATCGATGCTCCGTTCCCCCTTGGCAAAGACCCCAAAACGCTCGAGCACGACATCAAGCAACTTGTGGGTGTTGTTGAATGTGGCTTGTTTGTTGGCATGGCTGAGGTGGCCTACTTTGGGAATGAGGATGGCTCGGTTGATGTGCGCTACTCAAATGGCAAGACGCAGCATGTTGATGCAGCGACAGACCCTACGCTGCAGCAAGATGATATTGCGCAAGAGAGCGCGCAAGTGCTCAAGGCGGAAGAAGCACCAGAGCTGCGCGAGCCGCGTTGGAAGGAGTACGACCGATTCGAGCTTCGTCGATGAGGGTCCCTATATCCAGCGAAGTCTGATCCCGAGTAATTAATTGTATCACTATGCTATATGATGACCGCTTGTCGCTTCTAATGCAAATCTTCCTTCTCGCCGTTACTAATCTACAATCGCAGGGACATCTGTTCGAGTACCTAGACCAAACTTGGCTCTGTCTTGATCAAAGACGGCATAGACATTCTTCAAGAACGCCACACCAAGAATGCCAAAGGATTCGCCCCAAGGTTGAATGAGTGAGTAGCAGTATCCTGGGTAAGCTTGCTCTGGGTACCATGCCAAATCTCTGGCAGGCACGCCCCAGTCTTTGCCACCAATCGAAAAGTAGACGTTTCGTGATCCGGTATAGTAGTCAGACGTGGCATTGCAAAAGATTTGCCAATGACCAGTTCCATCTGTAGCGGACAGTCGTCCACCAGGCAAGTACTTGTGAATGTTGGCCACCGAAGTCGGGTCGAGCAAAATGAGTGTGGTACCGGAATCAACAATGACCTGCTGAGTAGGAACATACTCATAGACACTACCGACCCTCACCTTGGGCAAGTTGATCTTCCAGTAAACGGGTTCAGTAATGTCAACCCATGTCAAAGCACCGACAATTGCGCTCGTGTCCCAACCACCAAAAGTCCAAGCGCCACCACCGCCCTCGTAACTCCACTGACGAGTCTTGATGTACTGCAGACCCAAGACAGCCTTTGGGATAATCTTTTGTGTGAGCATGTTGGACAATGGCGTCGGCATTCTGATTTGGGACAGGCTCGGGAAGCCAAGACCCATGATGCCGTCCATGGCGTTGCTGAGCAGATTTGCCGAGATGTGCCAGGGAACGTCGATAGACTGACCCTGAATGGGAGCACCAGCTACAGTGACAGTATCGGAACCGACTGTACCTGCAGTATACGAGCCATCGCCATAGCGAAGCTCAAAGGTAGTCGAGGAGTTGTAAAATGTGGTCGAGTCTCGTGGACGATAGTACTTGTGTGGGCTGGTCGTCTGGCACGTCTGGCACTCTGTCGAAAACATCCACAAGTCAGCCGAACCAGTATCCATGATGACACTGACCACGTCGTTGTTGCTACCAATCGCGATATCCGAGAGGAACTCAGAGTCGAGCATGATGTTCTTTGCATAAAGTGAGAGCATCGATGGCACGCTCAAAGATGACGAAGTGGATGAGGCCCTCGTGGATGTAGAGCTCGAGCTTGTTTTCGAGGAAGAAGAGCTAGAGCTTGAGGATGAGCTCGAGCGAGATGAAGAAGAGCTTGAAATTGCCTTGGTTGTCTGGACGCGTGCAGCTGCAGCTGTGGTGGTCACTTTGGCTGGTCTCGCCTGAGCGATCTGTGTGACGATTGCCTTTGGCTTGCCTTGCCGCTTAGCCAGCACTAGCTCTTCTGCCTCCTCTTGCTCGAGATGCCTGCGACGCAGCTCCCTGAGCAGGGCATACTTGGCCTGAGCAGCCGCACGGGCAGATGTGACGTTAGGCGTAAAGGCAGGGTTGACCTTGACAGGTATCCGGAGAACGGTGGGTTCAATGCCCAAATCAACGATAGGCACGACAGTGTCTTGAATGGCGACAGGAGGTGCCGTCACAACTGGTGCAGGTCTTCCCACGCGCGTTGTTGTACTACCGGGTGCTGGTGCTGCGGTGACCAGGCCTAGTGCACCGAGCAGAAAGATGTTTGTCAAGCCCTGCATGATTGCGTCTGCCAGAGAACAGGTTGATGCGCAGCAATAGCAGGTAGGAGATGGTCAACGGTAGAAGCAGAGTGTGAGAGGGCCGGTCGCCCTTCTTTTGTATACTGCAGTCTGCAGCTGTGAGCTGTGACATACTGGCATTCGACGCCGAAAGTTCTTTGACGTCCCTAGAAGACTGCCGCATTGAGCAGCGCATTACTCTCTTGCTCGAAGCAGTCGCCGGTCTTGTTGCAATTTTCGCGGCGCGTCTTGGGCCTTCCAGCCATCTCGCTGTGCTTTTTGTGTCACCCCCAAGCGGTGGCTGCCAATTTTGGGTTTCCTGGGACTTGGGCAGCCCTGTCATCCCAAATGCGAGAGGCTGCTTCGGGCAGAAACTGTGGATTCTGGTAGCAGAAGCAGTCTCAGATCCTTGACCCATGTCTCGCACCTCAATGTCGGGCACTGGGCACAGTCCGCGCTCTACGTGAACAGACTCAGCAGAGGACTGCGAGAGTCACGGTTCATAAAGGAAATCTCATCAAGCGCTGCGAGCCTGTAATTCTCTCCGTGCCAGCTCAGCTTGGCACCAGTCGCCAGTCCAGTGAATTAATCTTCAGCGTTTTGTGATCTGATTGCGCTGTCAAAGAAGCCCGCTGTGATTCAGTCGTGATATCCGAGACCCGACCGCGGTCTGCCTCCCAGGACCGGCAATAATGCATTTGCGCTATACGGCTAAAGCGCTTCATTGTAGCTTGCAAGCTAGCATGTTGCGCTTATGTAGACTTGATGAGCTTGAGCTACACAGAAGCTCACGCATGTCACGTTCATATCCAGGAACAGAGATGGTAGTCTGCGCCTGGAAAATGATATCTGCGTTCCAGAAGGCTACACACGCAGTCATTTGGCAGCACACATAAGACTCAATGAATGCATCGAGGGGCGTGTCGATTAAAGGAAGGCTCAGCTTTTTCCAGTTGCCTCTACTGATCACATCTTTGTTGGCGCCGTCGCAGTAGCAGCCCACGCACCTTGAGTCTTTCAAAGCCTCGTAACTCGAATTGAGTTGACAGCTTGTGATGCTGAGTAAGAGCCAGAAAGGCCAGGGCATACAGATAGATCATGAGCACAAGCCTAGGCTATAGGAGTTTTTGAGTGCATGTCATCTGATCCTGCAGAACTTCCGTGAGAAGTCGCGCAGACTCGCGCTTTAGTGTCGACACGCAACCGGGTAGTTTGATAACGTTCAGTCAACTGGCCTCTCTCGTCATGTCGGCCGAAGACTTGCTCATTCCGGGCCCTGAGTATGCTTGCATCTCACTAAGATCTACGCTAATCCACCAGTCACGGAGGTATTCCACGGGCGCCCTTTGTTGCAAATGTTGCAGACTTTGTTACCTCGACTGAAGACGTCGATCGCGTCATCCAGCAGTTCCAAGAAGCGATTGCCAAGTACAAATTTATGCAAGAGAGTCTGCAAAAGACGGCGGCCAATTTGATGGAGAAGATTCCTGATATTCGCAAAACGCTGCAAACGGTCGAGTTTCTTGGTGCACGCAAAGCAGACGACCCAGATTTGGTTGTTGACTTTGAGCTCAACGATACTTTGTATGCTAAAGCGGAAGTGTCACATACAGAGACTGTCAACATTTGGCTAGGAGTTTGTCAATTGAATGTCTATCGCAAATGCTAACAAAATCAGGCTAATGTCATGGTCGAGTACCCGATACCAGAGGCACAAGAGATGCTCTCGGAAAGGCTTAATACTGCCGAGGCTTCTCTCAAGACGACAGAAGAGAACCTTGAGTTCATTCGAGAACAGATTACCACCATGGAGGTGAATACAGCCAGAATATATAATTGTGAGTTGGCCTGCTTCTCAAATGCAACTAACAGAAACAGGGAGCGTAGAACAACGGCGTATGGAGCGCGAAGGTCAGACTGCAGAGCAGTAAAGCCTTAAAATTCCTGCAAAAGTCCAAAAAGGTAGCCAAGCAGTTCATGTGGCTCGTGTCTCAGCGCATTATGCAGCCATCTATTCGTGATGAGCTCTTTGCAGTTGCCAATGTGTTTTGCGGTTGCAAGCCCCGCATCCAAGTGCACAAACATGTCGTCGATATAAATGGCAGTCACGATGGGAACACGGTTCTTTTGCAGCTGCTCGAGGTTGTACAGTGGAGTCCAGTCCTGCCTCTTGGCAAGTTCAAATGCAACGTCCTTGAATGGCCGCAATCCAGCGTAGTCGTCAAACATTGTAGGCAAGATGATTTCACCAATGAAATAGTGATCAAGTCTGCTGAGCTGTGCCTGGAATACTTTCGCTGCTGCCCAGTCAGTGGCTCCTGGTTCTTGACAGTAGATGCTTTCGTGCAACACGCTGTAAATCGGCACAGAGTCGTATGATGCAGCCGCTTCAATCATTTCGAGTGTTCTGTACCCGAGCATACCAGATTGGACGATGTCGGTGTGTGCGCGAAACACAAGGTTGTGCAGCCGGTTGTAGCCTCCGTGCATGCCCAGGTCAAGGCCGAGTTGTCGGAAGCGATTACAAGTCAACGTTCCTCCATTAGGTGTCTTTGGAGCATGACGGACTAGAAATTGGTGAATATGCCGGACACGCACAACATCCTGAGGGAACTTTGCATAGTACTCTTCATTGGCTTGCTTGATTTTATTGATGATGCGCTCGTATACAGGCATTGGCGCGACGTCGAGTACAGGTGCCATACCGCCAGTATTGATGACAGCTTGAAGCGCCTCGGGAAAGAATGATAGGTAGGTGAGCTCGCAAAAGCCGCCAAAACTCTGACCTAGCAGGGTCCAGCGCTTCTCTTGACGATCACTCGTCAGGTGCTTTCGAATGAGCTCGCAATCTTTGACAATTGAGTCTGCTCTAAAGTGCTTGCAAAATTCGACCTGGTGCGCCAGCGAGCCCTGCTTGGCAAGGAGCTCAGCTGTCAAGCACGTTGACAATCCTGTGCCCCGCTGATCAAGATAAAGCACTGTATAGCCGCGGTCAATGAGCACTTTGAGAACGCCTGCGTAGGCTGGCGTGGAAGAAGAGCATTCAAAGCCTGGTCCACCCTGCAGAAAGAGTATATATGGAGACTCTTGTTTGGGTTGCGTAGTTGTAGCGGAGGTGTGTGATCGAGCAAGACTGCGACATATGCGCACAAAGACGTCCAAATGTGGACCATTTGGGTTGTCATGAGAGACTGGGCACTTGAAGAAACGTTCTTCTACTTGAAGTGCTGGCGGTATTGAATAAGTTTCATATGGAGCCTCAGGTTGTAGGTGCTGCGACGGGCTTATCGCCCTCGCAGGTACATGTAAGTCGAGCTGTGTCATGCTTTAGCAAGCTTCAGGCTCTGTCAAGAATAGCAAGTGTTACAAGACTCACAACTGCCGTACAGCCTACGGGCTACGGTACAGGTCAGCCGGACGTCAAGCGAAGGTTTTCAGATAGAGATCGCAACCCTGTCGAACGCGGTCGCCCTGATCTTGGAAATAATCAGATGGCGCCTAAACGATGGGTTCAATTTAGCGATTGGATCATGGTCTACCTACTGCCTGGTACCTGCTCTATGAATATGATCCTCTATCAGTCTATCATAGATTCATAGCTTCATCGGCCCTTCACCACGAATCACCAGTCGACTGTGACGTATATAATTGTCCATGTGAGTCTGTGACTGTGACTGGCTGCCCATCTCATCCCCTCAAGCCACCATCTGGGCCGTCGCCGCTTTTGGACGCAGCTCGACCGGGAACGCGAAACAACAAACTCCATCAGGTCGCACAAAGCAGCCTGGCTCCTGCTGCAAGTGGCTCATCCTTGCTCAGATACAGTAGGCAGCTTACATAGTACCTGCTGCGATATCGCTCTGTGAGTCACGAAAGCGTCTCTGACTCTCTGCACCTACTTGCGTGCGCGTCATTTGGACATTTCTGCCGCTGTGTGTGGAATCGGTGGAATGCTATATAGTCAGCTGCTGGGGAATGTGAAGCTGCTCCAGTCAATCACATCAGCTGCCCACTGCTCATTGCTCACTTACCGCTGGCTGCTGCTCTCTGCAAATCAAAGGCCCGTCCTGCTCAGCGCCCTTGTTGACCTTCGCCTCACAAAGTCCCGACCGTTAAGCGCCTGGCCGTTGGACTGCAACAGTCATCGAGCGACTGAAGTCAGTTCAAGTCGCTGAACCTTGAGCCCAGAGAAAAAGCAGCGCATCCCCACCAGGAAGCATCTCTGCAACCTTCTTGCACACACTGCACAAGCTCCTCTGGTAGGACTTTGCTTTGCGTCAAGGACTCTCCTTCTTCTCATCCTCCTCTTCACTCCAAAGCCATGCTCATGAATTCGTACGAGGCCGGTCCTATGTACAATTCCTTCTACGATCCACAGTACATGCACCCACAGCAGCAGCATCACCATCATCAGCAGCAGCCGCACCAACCCCTCCCATCGCCGCCGCATTCACCCAAGTACGCATGGCGAGTCACGACTGTCGACGAGGATGCACACAGGCATCAGCTCAAGGGACCAGATCTTCGGTCCTCACCGCCCAAAGGCAGGCGCTCTCAAGTACCAGCTGAAACCATGTCTTCCTTCATGTCGGGACCCGATCCTGCAGATGGCAAGTACATCTGTCTCTATGGCGGATGTATGCGCCGCTTCGGTCGCAAGTACAACATCCAGTCTCACATCCAAACACACCTCGCCGATCGACCGTTCCGTTGCACCGTGTGCGCTGCTGGCTTCGTGCGCAGGCATGATCTCCTACGACATGCACGCATTCATGGACCCTCCAAGGACTTCGTCTGTGGTTGCAGCAAAGGCTTCTCCCGCATGGACGCCTTGAACCGTCATCGTCAACGACAGATCTGCAAAGGTGCCATGTCCAAGGAAGAGATGGCGCAGGCGCGTCTCGAATCAGCACCCCCGCAAAGCACCAAGACTGCCGTCCGCAAGAAGAAGAAGAGCGGCTCCAAGTCTGGCACATCCAGCGAGAGTGGTTCCGAGGAGATCGAGTGCTCTTCAGGCAGTTCATCGCGTGGTAGCGTCTCACCACAAGTTCACACTTACTCGTACGCTGATGCAGAGCACGGCGAGACGTCCTCTTCTTCTGATGCCACGCTTGCGTTTCAACAAACACCTCCCATGTCGGTGCCTGATCGCCGAGAACAGCATCATACGTCCCTCGGGCCGTCTCCTACTGCGCGCTACCTGCATGAACCTCTCACACCCGCGCGCGAGTCGCACTTGATGCACCCTTACCTCGTTGCCCGTTCCTCCTCCCATCAAGGCTTCGCTGCAAACCCTTACGGCTCACCTGATCAATGGGTCAATCCTCAACTCATCTCCCCTATGGCCAGTCATGCTCAGCGTGCCTCTTCGCATCATGGCGGCTATACCTCTGAAGATGGTGGTAGTCCCTACTACTACTAATCTGTCTTCACCTCACCGACCACGACTCCACCTCAATAACGACCCAACCCATTTTAGCGCAGCTCACACAAAAAGTCAGTCAAAATGACCCAAGACCACACCCTCACACAATTCAACACCACTCACACGACAACCACTTTTAGGACACAGTACAGAGTATTCACTATGCACGTTTGCACGCTGTTTTGGATAAGGTCCATAGTACAGCTACTAACTTAGTATTAATCCACAGATCACAGATTCCTGATTTCTTCCTAATCTAGTCATAGTACCAAGGCTCCTTGACCACTTCATTGTTATCGTAGCGATGACCACGCACACCTTCACCCCTGAACAAAGCCGGGTAGCGGTAACCCTGCGGCACCTCATGCTCGCTTACACGTCGATAGCTCGGTTCAACAGGTCCAACCTCACCCGGCATGGGAATCACAAATTTACCGGTTTGGATTTCCGTGTCTGTGATGGTGGATCGATGCACACGCGCATAACCAACACGCTTGAGTCCACGGAACAAGATGTACTCGCACCATCGATCCCAGTCTGTGGGTTCAATATCGTGCATGCCAGAGAACTCTGTCAAATGCCGTTGTGGATATTGACCAGGCACAGACACAACATATCCCAAAAAGATGAATGGTCGTGGTGAGTCTTGCATGATCTTGCCGAGGGTGGTGGATTGCAGACGTCGATCCTCGGGATCTTCTTCTTGACCATTGTGTGAGACAATAACGTCCACCAGTGTGCCATACACATCTAGTGTAGCATGAATCGCTGGTGCCAATTCACCAACAGGCGAGGGAAGCAAGTGATGCGTTGAGTTGATGATTGGGAATTTCGACAACAGGGCAGCTCCCCAGGTATGCTTATTCGGTCCAGGTCCAAAGTCAGCATACATCCCAATCTCCTCTGCAATTTGCTGTGTCATGTCACGATTACCCATGATGATGCGCTGTGTATCGGATTCAAGAAGACCAATGACATCGAGTTCCAACTCCTGAATTACCTGTCGCATACGGCCTTCGCTTGCCCACATGTCATTGTCGAGACCGAAATGCACGGTCCAGATACCAGCAGTCAGGATGCGGTCTTCTGGATGGTACGGCTTGTAATCGAATGATGGGAAGCGTAAAAACGCAACGACGCACGCGCAGCCAGCTGTGAGCGCCATGGCAGCACGCAAGAGCGACTTGAGCTTACGCGGGGCTGCCGGTCGCAAGGATCCTGAGACCTTCTCCTCTGTAGGTTGAATGCTAGTATTGGCAACACCAGCAGCCAAACATGCAAGTGTCACAATCAACACCAAGTCTGTTCGTTCGCGCAAGAGCGGACCTCCCGGCACAAAGGCATAAGCCACAATCCAGACATGCATCAGGCACATCAAGTTGTACACCGTGTATGCCGTTCCGAATGTTCTGCCAGGTGATGATTGAGCGGCACCGGCAATCAGATGCGGTGTGAGACCGCACAAGGTAAAAGCGAACAGCAAACCTCCAATATATCCAAGCCAAGCATTGAATCTGTAGAGCAGAAAGTTGCCAACACACGCCACTGCAAAGGAAACCCAACTTTGTGCTAGGCGAGGGGCCACGATACCAAAATACAAACCAGCCAGCATGGTGCACAAGGTCAAGGCACCGTGAGGTACGACAATCGGTCCGCGAATGGGAAAGCCTTCCCAATTCCAGAGAATCAGAGTGCTTGAATCAGATAAGAGCGAGTGAAGAGCAAAGAAGGCGCCACCGAGACCCAAAGCAGCCAAGAGCCAGTTGGACTGACGGCGTGACTTATATTCTGGCTTGCCCTCAGGAATAGTGCCCATAGGCCTCGCTAGCGCAATCGCAGCAAGGATACCCACGACAAGTCCGATTTTGTTGTTGCCTCCATTCTCAGCATGCATAATGGGCCAAATGGGGTTGTTGGCATAGTGTGAGAACTTGGCAAGAGACGACAAGGTGATGCCCATGACCAAAGCAACTGCGTCACGCTGCAGTGCCTGAGGCCGGTCTCGGTTGAAGTGGAAAGCTGCAGACCAGTTGAGTGCCTGAATAGCATTGGCGGAAGCAACGGCGATCAACCTGTACAGGGGATCTGTAATCCAAAAGGCAGCAATACCGACCATTGAGACGAGATGAAGTAATTTATTGGAGCGAACAATCAATTTGCGTAAGGGCGAAATACCGAGGACGAACGGGATACTAGTAGAAAGCAAAGTTGCCTCCCAGCCAGTAATGCCCATGTTCCAAAGAGGGAAATGCCAGATAATCAGGCCCAGGGATGTCCAGATGGACCAGAGAGTGAACTGTGGTCAGCATAAGCCTAACTTTATGGTGAACTCACGCCTAAGTACATCCTCGCTGCAAAGTCAATGACATCTCCGGTAGTGAGTGATTGCAATTCGAGGAGCGCCATATCTTTTGTTTTTCTGCTTGTTAGCATAAATCAGAAGGACTATCACCTTACCGGTCCTTTTCGGCCAGAGCAACTGCTTTTGCGGATCTATGGCATGAGAATTGATGTAATGCAAAGAATTCGACTTGCCAGATCCAATCAGGTTGGCAAGAAGTAGCGTTGTTTATACCCTTTGTCTCCCTGCAAATCGACCACTTGGAGCTGGAAGGTGGCGAAGTCCAGTGTGGCCACAGCATCAAAGGCAACATCGTACAAGACAAGTGACCACTCGAGAAACGCGTAAATGGTGTAGGCTACTGTTAGAGCGATTCAGATGCTGAAGTGCCATACCTCCTGGAATTCTGTGAACCTTGTGTTGAATGAAAAAGTAAATAAGGGGCACCATAGTGCCAAAGAAGAGAGTGGCAGCTAGCTTGCGATATTTGCGCGCTTGTTCATTGGGCGGCGCCGTCAAGAGACAGCCAACAGTCCAGGGAATGGTTGCAACCAAGTAGCTGATCATGAAAATATCATGCCAGTCATGATCATCTGTTGAGGTGATGTAGACCCATCCTCCACACAAAATTGTACGGAAAAGACCGACAGCTGCTGTGACCTTGGGCAAGTAGCCAGGACGATTTGTCAAGAGGAACCACAAGCCAACAAGAGCGAAGCGAGGGCCCGAAGTGACGGCAATCATGAGCTGGAACACTGATCGTTCAGGGTACCAATCGCCAATCGTGGCAGACACCGATGGGAACCACTCTTCGGGGTAGCCATAGTGTTCATTCTGCACAATCTGGCGGTCAGCATGATTAGAAATAAGCCTCTGTGGCTTACCTTCTTGTAGTGAAGCGCCATGCCGACGAGCAACGCGCCAAAGAAGGCTGCATACGCGAAAGAGGCATGCGCAATGCCTACCCAGCGTCCTGCAACGGTTAGATCCGGTGAAAGCCTTGTACATTGGAGTGATTACCATTGACACTGACTATGAGACGCGCAGACATGGCTGACTTCTAACAAACTCGCGTTACTTGGCCAAGTAGAGTCTCTGACTGTATGGTCGGTCGCGTCGTCTCCTCTTCGGTCCTCACGTGTGGTCAGAGCCAAGCGCAGGAGGAGCTCACATCGACACCAGAAAAAAGTTGGACGCAGCCCAACAGGAGAGACATAGTAGTTAGAAGACTCCAGGATGGCAGACAGGGCTCAGTACTTTCTCGAGCAGTCGCTGCCAGAGCTCATTGACCTGCAGCAGAAGAAGATATTCACGCCGCTCGAAATCAAGGCCATCACACGCAAACGCACAGGCTTCGAGCATGCCTTGACACGCAAAATTGTGCGCAAGGCAGACTTCCTGCGCTATGCAGAGTACGAGATGAACCTGGAGCAGCTCCGGAGACAGCGAGTCAAACGCTTGGGTATCACAGGCAAGAAGACTGTCTCTGACTTTGCAGGCCCACGCCGCGTCTTTTTCGTTTTTGAGCGTGCAGCGCGCAAATTTCATGGCGATGTGGATCTCTGGCTGCAGTACATCAACTATGCGAAGCAAGAGAAGAGTGCCAAGGTGCTTGCCAAGCTATTCGCAACAGTCTTGCAGTTTCACCCAACAAATGATAAGCTGTGGCGCATGGCAGCAGACCATGAGCTGCATTACAATGGTAACATGACTGCGGCGCGCACCATGATGCAACGCGGACTGCGTCTATGCAAGGACTCGCCAGACCTGTGGATTGCCTACTTCAGACTTGAGTTGCTATATCTTGAAAAGATTCATGCCAGGAGAAAGATCCTAGGCATAGATGGACGAGCTGATCAAGAAGAACCAGCCGCGGAGATAGAGGAAGCCGAGGAGACTGACGGCACCATTAAGCTTGCACAAACGACGCAGGAAGAGCTCAACGGGGCTAGTCAAGCGCTTCTCAAGGACATTGAGCTGTCCTCCTTGACCACAGCAGAGAGTAATCCCGCATTGCAAGGCGCCATCCCAAAAGCTATTTTGCGCTCTGCTGTACAAGCCATGCCACGCAACGCTGAGTTGATTCTGTCCTTCTACGACGCTATAGCTGAATTCAGGACACTTCCATTTCAGCAATCACTTCAGGAGCACATTCTGGAATTGCTTTCTGCAGAGCCGGTAAAGAGCCACCCGAAGGCAGTGTTCCTGCGCATCACGCTACCTCTCAGGCGCATCCGTCACGATGTCGCATCGCCAGCGTTCCCAGCCGCTCTGAAAGAAAGCCTAGCAGCGTTCAATGCGCTGTCCGATGAAACGCCACCTAAGGACAAGCTTGTTTTCATGTGGCTGGCACAGTTGGTCGCCTACAGGGCAATTCCCGATATCGAGTCGAATCTGGCTCGTGCTATTGATGCTGCGCTCGTGCAGCGCTTCAAGCAATCAGAAGCAGAGGCAGTCTTGAGTCCATCTGGCTACACGCTTTGGGCAACATTCGAGCAAGGCCGCGGCAGACAAAGTGTCGCTGACGACATCACACGGCGTGCCCATGCAAAGTTTCCACAATTTGAGCATTTCCCAGCGCATGCGTAGCCAGTCCCTTTTTACTCATCGCCACCACGCGACCGTCGTGCACTCTTCTTGCTTGCATGTTGCTTTTTTTGCTTGAGTCGTACTTCATTATCACGGCGAATGAGCTTACCGACTCGCTGCTTGGTGGCTTTGCTTGTCTCGCCAACAAGACCAGCGTTGGCAGCATCAACCAAGACGGAAGCTAGCTTTTGGAAGACGTCTTGGCGATTCTGTTCTTGTGTTCGATTGCGTTGTGAAGAGATGAGCAAATCACCCTCTTTCGTTAGATACTGCGAATGAGCTTCATGAAGTCTCTGTAGGATGATTGATGGTATCCAACCTTGCTGGTGGCGTGGCACTCTCAGGGTTGCCTTTGTGTTAAGCTTATTGACATTCTGCCCGCCTGGGCCGGATGATCTGGCGAAGGTCACTTGGCAAGATTCTACAGTCAGTTACCATTAAGCAGATCAAGCAGCATACCTTTTGGTATAGCATCGGTATCAAAGTGCCTGAGGAAGGCCCTGGCCTGAGCATCTGCTTCAGATGGCTGAGAATGGTCACTGTATTGTCGAAAGCGAGCGAGAGATGGGGCCCGTAGCTTGGTAAATAGAGGCACAGTAGCAGAGACTATACAGCTTATTCTTCTCAGCATCTGCAGATCACGGTCCTATCCTATGCCCACATGTAGAGTAGAGTGCAGCTTCGTGAGGTTGGATTTCTGACAAATTTGAGCAGGACGGCATCACAGTCCACAAACACCACCACCCACTTGCTTGATGCACCGTTGATTCATCCAGTCCCTCGCCATGGACTCAGACAGTCTCATCACATCGCCTGTGCCTGTTCATGCGACATCTGGTAGCATACTAAGTGCTTCCATCCCGCTCCTCGACGAGCAAGCCCAGGAAAATGCTAAAGCCGACAGCCCCCAGGAAGACGTGGAGGCTAGTCATGCCAGCCCTGCCGATGATGACGACGCATCTACGACGCCTGATCCTCAGGTACTTTCTGCTGAATACAAGGACCACGCGTCACCGCCCATGAGTCCCGTTGTCGCTCCTGCTGCCAATGACCCGTCTGATGGTGAACTCGAAGAAAACGAAGCGACCGTGCCCCTAGACAAGACCGCCCAGGGAGCAGATCAGTCTCCTGCAGAAGAGGGTGAGTATAATCCAGAGGAACCTTCCTATGCCTCTGCGCCGCCTAGTGTCGACTTGCAAGCCTTGCTAAGGAGTTTCAACGCTCAAGCGCCGCAACCTCAAGCGGTAGAAACGGCGCCGACGTCTGCTGCACAGGCTGTTGAGCCGCCGTGGCATCGAGAGGTGACCCAGTCTGTCTCTGCGCCAGTGCCTGTTGCGGTACCAACCACACGCAACACCGCTTCAGACAATGCCTTATACGAGAAATTTCTCGTCGACGAACGTGCCGTCCTTGCTACTACCGCGCCGCACGAATTTGAGCCTGGTGCTCGCATGTTTCTCGGCAACTTGAGCAGCGAGACAACAACAAAACGTGAAGTCTTTTTCCTCTTCCACAACTATGGACCTTTGGGTCAGATTGCGCTCAAGCCGAACTTTGGCTTTGTTCAATTTATGCATGCGGCCGATTGTCGTGCTGCTATCGCTGGTGAGCAAGGCAGGCCCTTCAGGGACCGTAAACTTCAGCTCGAAGTCTCCAACCCACCGAGAACCAAAGGCGCTCGTGCCGCAGCAGCTAGTACGAGTTCCACGGGTGGTGCATACTCGCACAACCTTTATCCTCATTCGCGCCATGACTCGCGCTCACATTCGCCCAATGCGTATCGACATCTTTCGCCGCCGTCGTACGGAGGGCGTCAAGGTCAAGGATCGTCAAGACGTCGAGACCGTCGCCAGTCGCGCTCTCGTTCTCCCAGACGCGGCCGAGGCGACCATGAGCGTGCCACTTATCGTCGCTCGCCCTCGCCACCTCCCTTTCGTGCGCCCGTTGCTCCGCTTTCTACAAGTGGACTGCCAGCGCGCGTTGGTAAGGACATTCCAGAGGTCCAGCTGATTGTTACGGACCGCGCTGATCCAAATTATACCTACTGGGTTGAATCGACGATGAGAGCTGCTGGCCTGCGAACAGACATCTTCTTCATGTCCCCCAAATATGTCTTGGCTGACGTTGCCCGGCAACAAGTCATGGAGGGTGTCTTGGCGGTATGCTTCCTCAATACTGTCTTGCAAGCCTCGTCGCATGTTCAAGTGCAAGTGTTTGACCGTTCCATGGGTGCCAATAATGTTCGATTTGAGGAATATGCGAGCCTCGATGTGCCTGTTGCCATTCAGCTGCTTCTCCGCGAGCGTACGAAAGCAGCAGCCTATGTGCCGCCGACGCCTGTGCCTGCCTATGGACAACCCGTGCAACCTGGTCGATTGGCGCAAACAGGCATGCCTGCACAGCCTTTCGTGCCGCCATCTTATCAAGCACCGCTTCCGCCGCTGCCACAGATGCCAGCTGGCAGCCAACCTGCTGACCTCGCCGCCGTCATCTCACAAATGGATCCTGCCGCTTTACAGCAAATGATTGGTGCGTTGACTGCTCAGCAGCAACAACGTCAACAAGGCCCGCAGCCGCCATCTACATATCCGAATCCCTCGCAGCTTGAAGACATTATGCGTTCCTTGAGGCGCTGATGCACGTAGCAATTTTTCTTTCGGTGTGCACTCTTGTCAAATAGCATTCGTTAAGCGCCAACATCTTGCATCGCTTGTAGTTTTCAAATAGCCTAGTTTGGTAGTTTTGTCATGCGAACTGGACTGCGATTTCGTGGTGTCACTGCAGGACTGCGTAGTGTAATCCAGCGTGTATGTCTCATGACAATCTTGGCAACGAGTGCCTCTTCAATCTCAACATTGGCCGCACGTTGAGCTTCATTGAGCTCAAGCCAGTCTTCACTTGTCTCTCGACCTGGCTCAATTGCTTTATCTGCTTCGCCATCCGTCACAAGCACCACTTGCCAACTACGGCGATCGAGGATATTCGCAACCACACACTGATGACCATACGTTCGTAATGCTGCCTTAGCTTTTGGAATGAGCAGCGCTTCGTCTGTTTCCAGCTTGAAGCTACAAATGAATGCACGCGGTGCCCAAGCATGCTCTACAAGCGCTTGCAGTACCTTGGGCGCTTTTGCCAAGTGCAGCGTCATTTGTCCCGAGCCGCTGCTCTGAATCTTGTGGTGCGGGAGTTGAGCTTCTGGCACAACAAAATCGCTTACTGCTGCTGCAAGGTAGAACAGAACCTGTACTCCGTGTGGTTTCAATAAAAGTGCCATGGTACGGAGTAGATATAGGTACTCGCCGATGGTCGTAAAGTGCACGGTGTGAAGCAGATTTTTCTGCACCACACACTCTTCATAGTCCGCCATGACGCCTGCGAGCTGTTTGTGGAAATGTTCATCCGCAATCTCTACCCTACCAGACTCTCTATTCAAGCTGAGACGCGACAGCAGGGACTGCTTGGAGTGTGTGAATTTGCGGGAAAACGGTTGCAGCGAGAATTGACGATGCAGGAAGATGACTGCATAGCCATGCTTCATGAAATACTCGGCAGAGGTCGAGCCTCGTGTTCCAGCAGAAAAATTGTCAATGAAGCGGACATTGGAGCGTTCTAGCGGGACTGTCGTGCCTCCCGAGGTGATGAGGACGATGCGCCGAGGCTGGTCAGCTTGCCGATGGCTGTCTACAAACTGGCGACATGCAGCCTCGTCAAAGTGCGGTGCAGGATTTGGAGCTTCTGTCATGAGCAGCAGGAGAGCTAGTAGCGTGTGTTCTGTTGCTGGTGTATGAGTGACTGCGTCTTTGTCTGTCGTCTGATTCTCCAGCCGCACTGTGGCGCATGCTCACCCGCGAGATTACATGATCGAGAGCAACTACAACTGCGACTACCCCTACAGCTGCTACTGCTTAGATCATGCTCTCAAGAACAGGCCCTCTTATACTGCGCACCACTAGGCTCTCTGCTGCGCGCAGATGCCGCTTCAATAGCTCAAAGCCGGCCTTCAAGCCTCCTGCACCAGCGCCACCACAGCTCTCTCCTAAGGACCAAAAGGAATGGAACTCCTTGCAAAAGAAGGCAGAGGACAGCTCACAGCAAGTCTACTTCCATCCAGACGTACGGCGTAAACCTAAGCCTGAGTTTGAGGGCGAGCGAAATCCAACAACGGGTGAGACTGGTGGTCCCAAGAATGATCCATTGAGGCATGGCGACTACTCGTACGGCGGTCGCGTCACAGACTTTTAAGTCAGGTGAAGGTTGGATATGCATGTAGTGGATTAGTGCCAAGCTATGCAAGCTACGAGTTGTAAAGAAAGCAAGGTGTTGGACGTGAAACATCGTGAAGTATCATTGCAGGTGAACGTCTCTAGCCTACCTAGCCAAATCGACCGCGCTTGTGAAATTCATTGAGACTGTCAAAGGGTCCCAGCACGCGGCGCTTGACTGCTGACCCTGACCGGTCTCGATCGCGACGCTCTGATTCTTCCGATGATTGGCGCTCATGTCGGTCAGCTGTGTTGGTCCCGCGCGGGTACGTCCGGTGCGGCATGACAGGAGATGAAGTGCGTTGTCTGTGACGGGTGCTATGTGGATGCACGTTGAAGCGGGCCCCTGTTGCTGCGGCAGGAGGCAAGGTCGTTGCGCCAGTCAAGGTTGGGAGGACGGCTTCCGTCTCAAATAAGTGCGCCGCTTCCTGTTGCTGTTGCGCAACTGCTTCGTCTGCTGCCAACTCTGCTGATCTCCGTCGACGCTCTTCTAGCCAGTGTTTGAGCTTGTCTAGAGTCTCTTGTGCCGATTGATTATGCGGCGCTTCAGCTGGGTTGCAAAACAAGTTGTACATATCATCCACGGCATCTTTGTAGCCTTCTGTGCGTGCGCCTTGTGAGGCTTTGTATAGCGTTGTCAAAGAAAGGGCGGCCTCCTTGAACGCAATATTGATTGGATCTTCCGAGGGTGGTGGGCGCCGGGGAGGCAAGTTTGAGGAGAGCGACGAGAGATCCATCGCCTCTTTGCGCTAGGTCGTTGTGTTGTTGGCTAGTCCTTCAAATGAGTCCTTTGTTGGCGGCGCAAGTGTGCAATGGTGTGTGTACTGGATGCTTGCTTGCTCTGTGCCTTGGTCTCTGTTGCTCGTGTGGTTCCAGCTCCAATTTGTTTGGCAGCGTGAGAGGGAGAAATTCAAGGACTTCCAGAGATTACTCCCAACCACTATAGCTGATCGTGCTCGTCTCCTGACCACTGCTCTGACCTCGCCTTGGCTTCGCGCTGCAGCAGTTCTGACCTCCGTGGCTACGCTACCTCCTTCGTCCATACATTTTGTCTCTTTCACTTCCTGCGTTCCTCCAAAAACTAGCCTTTGTGCGCACCGTTATGCGGCGTATTCCTAAAGTGCTTTGAAGACTCTTGTGAACTTGCGCAGTAAAGTCAACTAGCGACTGAGAATCCTGGCGAAAGCTATGGCATCGAAGTTGTCGTTAAAGTTGCAGAGATTGGCTCTACAGCAAGTGAGAGGCTTATCTGCATCAGCATGACCATGAAGCAGCTGACTAGGCTAAGCATACCGAAGTTGACACTACCGCTGTACATCGAGTTGATGAGACTGAGTTCAATCGAGTTTCCGCCACGCCCTCATGCGCATCAGTCAACGTACAGAGTCGCGTCATCATCCGTGATGTTTGATATACAGCGCCGAACGGCCCATAAGAGCGACTGAGCGAAAGTCAGATGAAGGTGACTAACAAGCATGCAATCAGCCCCCTGAGCAGCGTTGGGAAGAACATTTGCGGCGCGAAGGAAAGATAAGCACAGACTTGTGGAGACGCATTTGTTCCAGGGCATGTTCCCAAGGGTCAAGCAATGCAAGTGCCGTGCAGTACATTGTACCAGAGAGTTCCGAGACTAGTATGAGCTCTAGGAGTCTAGGGGTAATACTATTCAGATGACATACACATTGCGGGTTCGGCCTCGCCAAGACGGTGTATGATTGACACGACTCACAGGTACAATCTGCAAGCAGTGCGACTCTGCTAGTGTGAATCTTGGCTTTCTTCCTCAAATCGAGACACACTTGACCGCTCGGCTTCTATCGCATTGATGAACGCTCCACCACAGTCCTTACGAGGCTCTCTCAGAATCCCTTGATTTCAGTCCTTTGATGCTCTCAAGAGGTTCAAATGCAGAAACGCAAACTCTCCGCGCACTCTTCTCAGACATGCAGTCGACCGATGATGTACGACAACCTTAGCCGAGTAAGACAACTTGTCTGATGAGAGTCTCGAAATTATTGACTTCATGAACATGCTCGACTATAGCTTTAGACCGCATACGATTATGATACGAGAAATGGACGACTCGCTTGGAGGTTTCGTTATATCTTGGCTTGCCGGGTAATCATGTACACATTGGCAGTCTGGCACTGCACATCTTTCTTGCCGAGTCCCGTTATTCATCGCGCCCTCGGTCAATTTCACCGCCGGTGCAGCGTCATCGCGGTAGATCGCCTTTACTTGCCCACGACCCACCACCAAAAAGTTCATCCCGGCTTGGGCAACGACACTTCTCCCGAGCGATCTCCAGGACCATTACCGCTTCTGCCAGGCTCTGGGTCAACTATGGCACGGCGGATAGTCCGGGGAACAGCCTTTACTCGGCCTTTCGTGCCACCCCCAATGCAAGGCATGACGCATAGAACTGGGTTGAATTGCACAAAGATGGGGAAGCTTGGCACCTCCATTAGACGTGTTGGAAAAGCTTAAAAGCTTCTTTCACCCCATTATCCGGGGGCGACAGGATCTAGAGCTTGCCGGCAGTCAATTTCTACTTCAACATGGCTGAAACTGAAGACTTGCGAAGACGGTACACTGGCGAGATGGAGCTCGGTGTCACTGAGGCCGCACAGCAGCACATTACACGACGCGTCGTCAGACCTCCACCAGCGAGTGCCGCTAGACTGGCCTTTGAACGTCGTCGACCCAAATTCCTTCGTGAAATGGCGGCCGAAGCTACGGGCGTCTTTTTCTATGTCTTGCCTGGAGTTGCAGCAACAGCCTCGCAAACCTTTGCCATCATCAATGCGGCCGAGTCTGCAGCTGCACCACCTGCTGCCGTGCTAGGCAGTCTCCTCAATGTCGCAGTCGCATTTGGCTTTGGTATTGCATTCGCCATCATCACATCTGCCTCAACCTCCGGTGGCCACTTCAACCCAGCCATTACTGTTGCTTTTGTCTTGTTTCAGGGGTTCCCCATCAAAAAGGCCATGCGTTACATCGTCGCTCAAATCTTTGGTGCTTTCTTGGCTGGTCTTTTGATCTACGGTATCTGGCATCAACAATTTGCAGCTGCACTCGCTGGTGGTGTTGAGAAGAGTACACTCATTGGCATCTTGTGCGCGTACCCGCTGCCGGACCAGACTATCGGCTACCTCTTCCTTGTGGAATTCTTTGTGGATGCCTTCTTGGGCATGGTCATTTGGAGTGTCCTCGACCCTGCCAACCCATTCATCGCTCCAGCATCCGCCCCTTGGGCAATCGGGCTCGCTTATACAGCAATGGTCATTGGCTTTGCAAGTATCACCATCAGCACCAATTTAGCCAGAGACTTAGGAACACGCATGGTAGCAGCGGCCTTCCTCTCAACCGATGCTTTCACCTACAAGTCTTATTCTTGGATCGGTATCCTTGTCAATGTCCCTGCTACGCTATTTTCTGTGGCTTACTACGAATTTGTCATGAAGGTAACCATCACACTCAAGCGTTCTACGTGCAGCCTACTAACATATCAGGATACGATGACTCACATTGCAGAGGGCCACCTTTCGCACCCAGACGAACACGAAGCTAAGCACTACAACGAGACTCCAGGCGATGTGTCCCCGAATCCGACCATTCACAGACATCGAAGTGGCGAACGACACATGAGTGAAACAGAGGAAGAGATCGGCGCATTCGGCGGTACTCGACTTGGTCGTTTCTTGAGTAATCGTCACCATTCTGGAGGCTCAGGCAAGCTGGAACAACCGGAATTCCGTGAGCATGTTTAGTTGTTCATATGTTCTTGTACATTTGTAGAAACGAATCAACTTCCTGACTCACATGAGAGAGGTCGGACGAAGCACACTGGACGAAATTGCTACATATGAGTTCAAGATACAACACCAAATATAATTTCAGAAGAGGAACTTGCGAATTTGACTCCAGCCCTTGCGAGCCTTGCCCTGGTGGAGCTTGCCAGCAGCCTCAAGCTCCTTCCACATGAGCTCGTCCTCGTCAATTTCCTTCTTGCCGGTGAAGAGGTCGACATCGCGAAGAGCAAGCCACTTTGTCCTCTTGACGAGCTTCCACACGAGATAGATGGCCGGCGTGACACCGACCATGAAGTAGGCGAACAAAAAGTTGGAGACGTCCCACTGACCCTTGATGAAGACAGAGTATCCTTGGAGGAAGATCATCAAAGTGATGGCTGTCAGGGAGTAGTAGGCCGTGTAAGGGTTGAAACGAGACCTGTAAGGAAGCTCTGAACGAGAGATGCCCTGGACCTCCATTGCCTTGTAGAAACGCAGGTAGGTGAAGGTCATGATGGCAAAGTTGATGAGCTGCGAAGAGGTAACAATGCTGACGAACCAGGTCAGGACAATGTTGGCGTTCTTGCTGACCGACAGGAAGGCAAGCAGACCAATGGCCAAAACCATAATGACCGAATTGTATGGAACACCGCGTTTCGAGCACTTGGTGAAGATGCGAGGGGCCTTGCCTTCCAGAGAAAGACCGTAGAGCGTCCTAGAAGCGCAAAACACGTAAGAGTTTCCTGCAGAGAAGGCGGAGAGCAAGACGGCGGCGTTGATGATATGCGGAAGAACCGGGACTTCGAGACGAGTCAGGGCAATGACATATGGCGACTTGGCTGCACCAGGCTTGCCGTCGCCAATAGCTTTGAGGAGGGAGGGGTCGTTGTAAGGCACAATGATGCCAACAGCGAGCGAGCCAAGCACGAAGAATGCCACGAGACGGGCAAAGACGACGCGGTAGGCCTCGGGCATGGTTTTGCGTGGGTTGATGGCTTCACCAGCAGCCATGGAAAGATAATCGGGACCAGCAATAACGAAAGAGGCAGTGACCAAGCACTGGAAGAAGCCGAGGAATCGACCCATCGACCCCTTCTCAATGTACTCCGCAAAGGCACCTGGATTCTTCCAGTAACGGAAGCCGAATGCATCTCCCTTGGGGTTTCCACCGACCATCAGAACAAAGGTCATGCAAATAAGAGCAGTGATCAAAAGCACTTTGCCAATTGCGAACCAGAACTCGCTTTCTCCGTAGTATTCAACAGTGACTAGATTGTTAGCGTCGTTTGGTGACAATATAATCAACTTACTCAAGTTCAAGAGACTGTAAAGAGCGAGAATGATGGCGATCCAGACAGCTTTGTGGATAGAGCCATCCACATCCCAGAACCGGACGATAACACAACAGGCTGTCACTTCGAAAGCCACGAGTGCAGCCTCGCAGACGAAAAAGTTCCAGCCAGCTGCAACACCGAGGGCCTCGTCGACAAATCTACCAGCCAAACGAATGAATCCAGAATTGATGGGCAACCAGGTGACCATTTCGCTCATGGCATTGTTGACTCCCCAGATAACACTCGACCAGATGATGAAAGCAATCAACAAACTGGCCGGGCCGCCAGCCGTCAATGCAGAGCCAATGGCAACGAACAAGGCGGTTCCGATGGTACCACCGATACCGATGAGGGCAACATGTCTGGGTTGAAGTTTGCGAACAGTATCACCATCACGGGTGGTGATGGAGTCTACCTCGATGGTCTCATCGCCGAATTTGTTCTTCTCACTGGTCTTGTGAGCAACCTCGACCGCTTCGTGAGAGGGCTGGACTACTGTCTGCATGGGGAATACTTCGTAAGGAGCTGCCATGGCTGAATTGTGGTGTGTGTCGGTTGAGGGCGTGAAGAATTTAACTGTCAGGGGTGAAGGGGGTTTGGCGGTGATGAAGGGGGGAGGGTGTGGCGATGTGGAAGGGGAGAAGAGGTCTTGAAAGCCGAAATACAGGCGATGCTGACCTTGTTATATACTGAGAGTCTGAGACTGAGAGCGAGGCGACCTGCTTCCAAGTTCCAAGCTGCTTGTAGCTGACCCCGGTTGGCCTGCTCGCTCCCTTCCCATTACAGACTTTTCGCCCTTGGTGGCAGTCTGGCAGATGGAGCCGAAGCCAATCAAGCAATTCAAAAGTTCCCGAGCGTGCAATTTGGGCCAGACCGATGCGACGCCAGGCGAACTGCCAATTTACCAAATTACACGAGCGCGTCAGTGTCAGTGACTGTCACTGAGTGTAATTATCTTGTGCTGCATCTGTCCATCAGCGTTATGCTTGCAAGCTGTAACAGAATCGCAGCTCTGAGTGTGAGCAGACCCAGGTAGCTCAAGCACTTCCATCTTCACTCAGAGTCCTTGCAATTGTAGGATGAAATTACGGGACCTGTGAAGTTTGCCTCAGCTGCTGGGCCATAGGCCTGGATACCTTTACGGTGAGGCTCTACCAAAGCCGCCAGGTTTCGACTTGCAATTCAGTATCGAAGCTTTATGCTGTGCAGAGTGCACTAGGACTGTGGCACTGTGCACGTAACAGTGCATCATCACTATGCTTGTTATTGGACATGTCAGGCTTTTCAGCAGATCCGGGGCCGCGGCCACGACGATTCATTCTCAACTTCAAGCCTCGAGCTCCATTATTTTCATTTCCATGTGCTCGACACTGCAAGCTGTGACGAATCTGACAAGCCTTTAATGTCGAAGCCAGTGCCTCATAGTCACTTACTAGCTACTAGCTATAGTTTTAGCGAGCTGGCGGTCAAAATCATAGCACCTGATTAAAGCCGTTCACTTGCCGGGCTGTTCGTCAGTCTCATTCAGGCGTGCAGCCATGACCGTTGCTCACACGATCACGGCCATGACGGGCCGCAGTGCACTGGATGCAGTAGGTAGGCTTTCGAAGCTCGAAAGCCTTGACACGAGCACAAAATATCACGATTGCGAGCGGTAGAAGCCCTAAGCATTTTTGGTCTTCAGAGTATATTGTTCGCCTCTTGAAAGCTAACAGCCCAGTATATTCTCGCTGCTCTGCCTCGGTACTGCAACATTGACACGTATAGCGATGGCCGGAGGGCCGAGACAATAAAGCAAGTTCTAGCGTGCGAAAAGCTTCTTTGTGACCTGTCACAGAATCTCAGCCCCCGATTGGCAGATCGATCCAGGCTAATTTTCAACGGGATTTGGTCCGATGACTTGGGAACTTGAGCTGAGAGGTGGATCGTGGCGGGGTGGTACACTGGTATTGAGACTTTCATGGATGGCTAGAGGACAGTACGGCTGAGTACGCATACTAGTATCTTCTAGGTGGACGCAGGCAGGTCCTCAGTTGACGAAATTTGATCATGTTGTCGCCTTCCACTCCTGGACCCACCCATTTGGATTTGCGCATGAAACTTTGGCATCAGCATCAAGCTCATATATCAACTGAAACTCACCTCGTCAAGTTCTTGTCTCTTGCAGCTCCTGTGTAAATGTTGACGCTTGGCTTCGCACATGACAAAATTTATCTTGCTCGTGCGTGCCAACGCGAAGAGTCGAAGACTGTCTAATGCATATCTTGACTTCAGTTGACGAAAAGTACAGCTTCGCCGCGCTGAATGGTCTAGCACCGATACTTTTTGCAGGACCTTCGTCTGATATGTTCGCGGATAGGCTCGTCGTACATGAACCTGGTGAGAGCAAGAGAGACCACTTCAATGACGCAAGCAAAATTTGCCTGATGGTTTGGCAAACGCAAGCGCGGCCTTCTTTTGTGTCGCATCTTTGTCAATTGCCGCCGGGGCACCATTTGATGATCGGTCACCTGGGCATCATTTGACAGACTTGACAACAACATGCATGAGATGGGATATCACCGGCGGTGACCTAACGAATGTCGTGGACAGTGTGCACAGTAGCACGATCATCCATGCTTGTGTTGGCTCTTAACTCTCATTTTGACACTTGCTTTACCCTTTGTGGCCTGCGTTAGCCTGTCCATCATGCATCCACTTTCTCGCCAGGATAGAACAGCAGATAAGGCAAACCGTTTGCCACGGAATTCCAATTGTGGATCACCTTGCAGGAAAGCCTCCAATGCAAGAGTATCGTCCACGTCTTCAAGGGGCTGGAAAGTGTCGAATGATGGCGCGCGGTCTTTCCAACTTGTGTGGAAGTGTAATTCGCGATTGATTATCTTGCAACTTGATATTGCCTCGATCTCAAGTTCTTCCTCTTCCTCTTCCTCCTCATCAGACTCTTGAGAATCCAGCTCGCTTTCGTTTTCTGGAGCAGGCACGTATAGCTCATTCTTCTGAACAGACATTGAACTTTCGCGACTCTGCCTATCAGACTGGTGCTGCTTCTGCCAGCTGCGGAAAGGTGCAACAGACTTACTGGGAGGCCGCCAGGCATCTTTGTAGTCAAGCTCCGTGCTGGTCATTGAGCCTGCGCGATCCGCCATCGCCCGTTCACCAGCGTGAGCTGATTCTTGGCAAGATCCACACAGGCCACGGTCGTAACCAATGGCATCGCCTTCGAGCAGATCCGGTGTGATTGATCTTGCGTGAGAGAGCCTCTGGCGACACATACGACATAAACGCACCTCATCGTCACGCTTGATTGCAACATTGGGCGGCGACACTAGTTCATCTTCAGAATCAGAGTTGCCACTGTCCCAATCCTGTCTTGCAGGCCGTATCATTTGACGCTTCCGCGGCGGTGCAGACTCTGCACGACTGTCCGTCGTTGATTCTGACCTGGATCTCTTCTTTGGTGGCCTGGCTGGCGTGGCTGCTTTGGCCTTCGCGCCTGGTTCCAGACCAAGGCCAAGGGACGCGAGCAGTCGAGCATTCTCAGCGATACGTTCCGCTCGTTCGAGCTCATATGCCGTCAAAGCATGAGCTTTTGGCATAGCTGCGCGTTGATGAAACAGTTTCACCTCTTGCTCGAGTCCATTCTCCCAAGGCTACTTAGTACTACCGTCAGTCGTTCTTGTTGCGATTGTCTCGAATTCCAGCTGCTGCGTCGCGCGGCGCGAATTTCAAATGTCGAAAGCGCATCAATAAAGTCAGCTACCGCTACGATACATCAAGCTTACGGCTGAATTGATTCTACACTCTTGGTATCTTCTGCATGGCCTGCATCGTTGCTTCCGAGGGCTTGCAGTGCAACTTGCGCATCTTTGCATAGATTGAGCGAGCCTTGGCATAGTCCCCGGCCTCGACGTAGAAGCGAATCAAACATGTCCACGTATATGCATCAGGCTTGACTCCGTCGTGCTGCATGTACAGCAAGACCTTGATTGCCGTATCGACTGCTCCAGACTTGCAGAGGCCTTCGATGACGTGTGTATAGGCAAACACGGATGGACGCCGCTCAGCTTGCCGCATGTACTCCAAAATTTCTATTGCCCGATCAATCTGCGATTCGTGCTTGGAGAACGCTCGCACAAAGATGGACAGGCAATATTGGTCCATTGTCAGCTCGGTCCGCTGTTGGCATATTTGCTGAAACCCAGCATAGAGACGGGCCAAACTCTCCGCGTCCGGGTTGAGCTTGACGAGTGTGTGCAGTACAAGACTGATGGTCTCGTTGCTAGGTCGTAGTAATGGCGCAATTTGCTGGCTTACAGAAGCAGCCTTGGGCAAACTCACAAAGCCAAGCTGCATGAGCAGGGTGTTGCCAAAATACTCTGTGTATCGCGCAATGAGTTCAGCGTGCTTGTACTGTAATTTGAGCAGATGCAATTCTTCAGTTGCAATAAAGACATTCCATATTTTGAGCTGCTTGGCTGTCGCCAGTACCCGGTACGCCTCATCAAAGTATGCTGGATCTTTACTAAGCGCCTTGAGCACAATGGCAATCGTTACATCATTAATGGGGTGGTTCTCAGCCGTCATTTGCTTAAAGCGTTTGAGTACACGGCTCGTGCCATCTGCCTTGTTGGCCAGCAATTTGAGGCGCACGTTCCAGCTGCGAACATTCAATGGGATCTTGTTGCGCACGGCAACATGAAAGACGCTCGAAGGGTTGATAATAGCAATACCGTGCTCATCCATCTTTTGTATTATATCGTCGTACAGGGCTGGTGAGATGCTCGATGCCTTGCCTAGCTGATCGAGCTTCGCGACAAACACTTTTGCTTCAATCAAAGCCCACTTGCGCACAACCAGGTCAGAAACTGGCTTTTGTTTCCCTTCTACTGGTCCTCTGGCATCTTTGACGCTCAGGAGACACCGAATGTAGTCATCAGCTATCGGTTCAACAAGATCGAACCGACTTATGTGCCCGCGTTCTTCTACCATGTCAATATGCGCATATGCTTGTGTGCTCCTTCCTGCCCTGATGCTCTCTTGAATAATACTCCGTAGCGCTTGCAGGTCTCTCGGGACAGTTTCTGGGGGAGGGAATCCAGCATCGAGGCGCTTTGTCATGAGTTGGCTTGCCTTGATGGGATGAACAATGCGCTTCTTGGTCGCCGATTGCAGCGCCTCCCAGAAGGATTCATTGGTCTGCACATGGCTTGCTGTAGAAGCGAATCGCCGCAGGATCATGAGCTAGAGGGATGCATGTGTCGGACTGCTAGACGCGGTCGCATCCTAGAATTGCTCTCGCCGTCACCTCTCGCCGTCGCAACACAAATTTGCCTTCAGATGGATCTTGGGCATCAATGACGCCAGTTTTCAGTCGGCAAACTTTGGCACAAGAACGAGTGCCTTGGAGCTACCATTGCTGCATTCTCTGCTGGAATTTATCCACACTGCTTGATCGACTCTACTGACTGCTTTCGTAGCCTATGAAAGATGCTCCAAATCTCAATAAGTTCAAATCATGGCTGAAGCATCCCGATCAAGGGATTCATATTCATCCTTCACTCGACATACGACAGCACGCTGTCAAAGAAGGCTATGGTGTATTTGCTCGTAAGAGAATTCAGCAGGATGAGATTGTTATGCGCGTACCCAAGAAGTGTCTCTTGTCGCCTCAGACATGTGCCATCGCCAATTTACTCGTATCAAGCGATCTTGGTGACATGGTCGCCGTGTGTCTGGCTTTCCTATACGAGAAGTATTTGGGCCCAGAGAGTCCTTGGCATGCTTATATAGCCATGATGCCTGAGAAGGTCCCGATATCGAAGCTTTGGACAGAGTCTCAAAGACACCTCTTGCGAGGCACAGAAGTTCAAGTGGTCGGCGGCACCACCTTGTCAGATTTCAAACACATGTTCAAGTCAGAGGTCATGCCATTCCTAAAGTCTCATGACGCATTGCTGTCAGAATTTGTCAGGACGCTGACCTTTGAGTCATTTTGCTACGGAATGAGTGTTGTTGGGTCACGCGCTTTTGAAGTCGATGCATTTCACAACCTCGCCTTGTGTCCCTTTGCCGATATGCTTGACCATACGCTCGACGAGCACGTTCACTTCACGACGCAGTACGAGGTGTGCGAAGTATGCGGCGAGGCCGATGGCTGCGCTCATGCAGAGATGCCAAGTGACGCTGAGATGGGCAGCGACCATGGCCAGGACAACGAGATGGGCGACGATGCTGAGTCGACAGGCGCATGGTCTGACAGCGGCTCCTCAACCGTCTCTCTAGACAACAACTCGGATGACCTCTGCGATCTCGTTACAACCCGCACCGTCGACGCTGGGTCTGAAGTCTACAATACCTATGGCGACTGTGGTAATGATGTCCTTCTGGCCCGATATGGCTTCGCCCTGGCTAATAATCGCCATGATCGCCTGAGTCTCTGGGCTGAGGCGCGAGATTTGTCCAAGAGCCATGGAGCTTTGCAATGGTTGGAGATCAACGGGCGCGCCCTGATCAAGGCAATTACGTGGCATGAAGGAATACCTGTGGGTCCCGGAAATGCTGAAGATGCGGATGAGGATGATACTGACATTGAAGACTTGTTCTTCATCGACAATGACGGCAGTATCTCCGCCATGATGATGTCGCTTTGCATCATCATGTTTTACTTTCCGGCGGCTCCCCTGCAAGACTTAGCCTGGGATGCGATTCTGGCTCCGGTCCAAAATGTCATTGATGCTTGGGATTTTCTCAACAACAAGTTGCCTCTCCCAATACACCGCTCCCTTCCTCTGAACGTGATTGGATCTTTGCGCGTGGGCTACATTGTGGAAAAGCGAAGGAATCGAAACGCATCCGTGCTGAAGGAGCATGATATCAGTTCCGACATTGCAGAGCTGGAACGGCGTATCACCACCACTCGAACGGAACGAAAATGGGAGGAGCACTTCGCTTTGATTGTGATTCAGTGTGAGCAACAGGTTTGCCTGCGTGCCCACACTGTTTGTAACAGGATTCAAAGGAATTGTGCATGGATGAAGGCACGAATGTCAAACGAGCATGACTAGAGACCACCGCGGAGGAGACAGACCTTCAGGGGTCGCTTCAGTAGACGTGAGACGGTATGCTTGTATGCTATGCTAATGCGAAATTGTAAATAGAGACATATGCTCATGCTAGAATCGTCCACGATGGACTTCGTGACGAGAGTTGGGTGGGAACATGGTATTGTACAGGAGAACAGCATCCTCATTTGCCAGCTGCATGGCTTTCGTCTGGAAACAGCGTAGATCTGGTTTGGTGAATTGGTAATGCGTTCGTGCGTCAGCCAAGATATCCACCGCTTCCTCCAAGCGATCGCAGCGAGCCAGCGCCTCAATGTAGAGCTTAGTGGCCTCTTGATCATGCCTCAGATGTTTGTTGGCGGTATTTGCAAGCCATGCTGTTCGCTCTGCCCAGACTTGATTGAGAAAGGCAGAATCGCGAAAAGCGTACGCTGCTTGAAGTGCAATTTGGAAGGAGAAGCGACTGCGCTCGAGATTTGCATACAAGGTCTGCCAGTCTTGTATGAAGCGCTTGGATGCTTTGTAAGGAATGGCGATAGTGAGATAGGTATCGATGAGTTGCGTTGAGAGGGACTCCGGGTGGAGTTGCTGGAGGTATGCCATGACGCGACGGCTCTCTTCGAGGACATCGTTGCTCGTGAAGGGCATTTGCTCAATCCACTCAACAGCTAAGCCTTTCTGCACGAGTGACTGCGCATCCCCCTCATCTCCGAGCGTTGCTTCGTCAATAGCGACTCTGCTCTTCTTCACGGTGGCTCCAGCATAGGTTCTGAATAAGAGCTGATACGTCTTCTCATCAGGTGCCCAAAGGGGCTGCTGCTTGCCAATCACCTCAAGTTCACGGACAAGCTTTCTGGCTCGTGTCAAGTCCTTGTTCATGGCACAAGCTGCCAGGAGAGAATGCCAAGTCGTTTTGTCTAGGTCGACCTGGTTGGATTTCATGAGTTCAGCCATCTTCCAAGCTTGTGCAAAGTAGTCGCGTCTGGTGGCATAGACGTGGATGAGCGCATTAAAGGTAGCCCTCGTTGGCTGAAGACCACGTTCAGCAAGCTCTTCAAAGAGCTCAGAGGCTCGCTCAGCCGATTGTGTCTTATCTTTTGCGCACGCGTGAATCATGAGTGTATAGGTGTGAATATCTGGTGCTGTATTGGCGGCACGGTACTTGAGCGCATCAAAGATAGAAAAGGCGCGTTCCGTCTTGCCGGCTCGAATACAGCAATTGATGAGTGTTGTAATGGTGACTAGATTGGCTTCGATGCCTCGAGCTTGCATGTGCTTATATAGCGCTGCTGCACGTTCGACGTCACTTGTCTTTGCAAAGGCTTTCATGAGATGTGCGTATGAGTACCGCGTTGGCGTGAGGCCTGCTTTCTGCAAAGCATCAAAAGCTGCAAGTGCCTGTGGGACTTGACTGAGCGAGGCATGCGCATCCATCATGAGGTCGTAGGAGAGATTATCCCTTCTGCATGTGGTGACAGCAAGCAGGCGCTCTCCAGCAGAAAGACGAGCTCTAGCTGGCATGGCAAGGAGGATGCCATTGAGGTCTGATGTGCTCAAACGTGCAGCATCGTCACTACTGATCAAATGCGACACAGCCCGACCCCAATCGACCGTTTTGAGGTCTGCAGACTCCGCCAGCTGCATTGTAGTGCGTAACGTGGCAGGCAACTGAGCAGCTGTCGGCTGTGCAGTCTGTGCCTTGTCTGCGAGAGACGCATACATGGCTAGTGCAGATTCTTGGTCTATTTCCTCAGGCTCTGCTGCCTTTTTCGCAGCAACGGCCTGCTTCTGTACCTTCTTCTCAAGCGATTTGACGTAGCTCTCTAGCTTGTCTATGTTTTGGAGTAAAAGAGGTCGAGCTGGTGGACGGCGTGTCGGGATTGTTCTTGAGAGAGCTGGGCATAGGAAGCGTGGTAGTCTGTACATGGCATGTTCTGCGTTCTACAGTGTATATACTTGCTACAGTCTGTTCTGTCGCGCATTTCTCTTCACCAGCCAAATTTAGCCGAGCGAGCAGTCAGCAGTCACACGAGACAAATTTCGTGGAAGGGCAACAGGCACAAGCCAGCAACCAGCACGCAGCCCTTCCTCCAACCAGCAGCTTACAAGGACTCGACTCCAGACTCGATAGTAAGCAGTCAGTCATGCAGGTCTTCATCAAGGGAGACAGCACATTCGCACTCAATGTCGCAAGCGAGGCCTCTGTCCTCGACACAAAGGCACAGGTCGCCACACAGGTCGGCTGCCCACTCGAGGGCCAGCGTTTGATCTTTGCTGGTCAGCAGCTCGAGGATGGTCAGGCCCTCGCCGACTACGGCATCCAGCAGGCTTCCACCATCCAGCTCGTCTTCACCCTGCGTGGTGGTGCCAAGAAGCGAAAGAAGAAGGTCTACACCACCCCAAAGAAGATCAAGCACAAGCGCAAGAAGGTCAAGATGGCCGTGCTCAAGTACTACAAGGTCGATGGTGAGGGCAAGATCCAGCGTCTCAGGCGTGAGTGCCCTGCTCCTTCGTGCGGTGCCGGTGTCTTCATGGCCACCCACAAGGACCGTCAGTACTGTGGCAAGTGGTATGTTTATTCTTTTTGCTTTGTTGTACGTCTTGCTAACCTCGCAGCGGTCTTACCTACATGGCCAAGGCTTAGATGTCCTGTTTAATAGGAACTCCATCACTTCTATAAATTGTTGTGTGCCTTGCTTGACTTGTACTGTACTCTGCCGGTCCATATGTGACCAGCGATCTGCTTCTTTGTTATTTTCCTTCCTGTCGTATACTGTACTCTATATAAATGCTGCTCATCTGAGCACTTCTTGACATGTCCCGCAGTTGCTCGACATGACCTCACAACAACGCGCCATCCACAACCAAACAGACAACAACCCACGACCATATATCCATTCGCAACATGCGCGCATGAGCTCTCAAGATCCAACAGTCGTCACAGGCACACTCAGCCTTCGCTACCCACTCACAGTCCTCTCGATTGACGCGCCCTTTGGTGCAGCGATCCGTAAATTTCAACCAGTCTTTACCTTTCAATTCACAGGCACTGCCGTTGAGAGCCAGGATGATGGAACAGATAAGGAGGTACCGCGGATCTTTGTCGAGAGCTTCGATAGTCCCATCGATGGTGAGGCACTCGAGTGGTTCATTGAGCAAGGCGATATTATACGCAGCGCACGGTAAGCAAGCGCATCTATTCGCAAGCCAGAGCCTAATAACAGGGACAAGCTCTTCTCAGTGATTGAACCATGTGTACATCAGGTACAGTATCGCGGCATGTGCGCCAACTGCGGGAAAGACCTCACTGCAGGCGACTTTCTCGGCATCAACGATGCAGAGCGCGCGACAGTCGCCATGTCGCATGATGACCTGGGCTTGACTGTTTCATATGGCGAAGCAGCGCGTCTTGAAAGAGAGACGACCAAGCGACTGCTGCAAACATCACGGCTGTCGCTCATCGTGGACCTCGATCAGTGTGTCATTCAAACAACCGTCGACCCAACCGTTGGTGAATGGCTCAAGGACGAGAGTAATCCGAATCATGCAGCACTCAAAGATGTACATCATTTTCGCATTGCAGAGGAAGGCCCCGGTGCACCCGTCTACTACGTCAAACCGCGACCTGGTTTGCAGGCCTTCTTTGAAAGCATCACACGCCGTTATGAAATGCACATCTACACGATGGGCACAAAACCATATGCTCTCAAGATTGCGAGTATTATTGATCCACAGGGAAATTTCTTTGGAAGCCGCATCTTGAGCAGAGATGAGAATGGCAGTCATACGCAAAAGTCCGTCAGCAGGTTGTTTCCGGTAGACACCAATATGGTGGTTATCATGGATGATCGTGGTGATGTTTGGCAATGGTGCCAGAACCTCATCAAGGTGAACCCCTTCGAATTCTTCCTCGGCACAGGTGACATCAACAGCAGCTTCCTTGCGCCCCTGGATGAACAAGATGCACAAAAGAAAGCACTCGCTGCGTCTCCTACTGCAGATCCAGCATCACCGGCAACGCCACTCGTGGATAATGCGCCCGTTGAGGATCCTGCGCTATTGGCAGTCCAGGCAGATGCGCAACAAGCGACGCTTGAGGCACAAGTAGAGATGCGACCGTTGTCTCGTGCTCAAGACGCGCAGCCGCAACACACAGGACGACCGGTATTGAACGATAATGATGATGTATTGCAATATGTGGAACAGACATTGCGAAAAGTGCACGAACGCTTCTATGCGTTGTATAGTGAGCACATGGCGGAGATGGGTAAGGGTCGTGCATTGGCCAATTTGAAGCCAAAACACAAATCACGGCGAAACGCAGCGGCAACGGCAGATGTCAAGGTGATTTTATCGGAAATGAAGCGGCAGGTCCTCAAGGGATGTGTCATTACCTTCAGCGGCTTGATGAGCGATCATCGTGATCCACGGCAAGAATGGCAAGGTCGGCTGGCGGTTGATTTTGGGGCTCGCGTACTGGATGCGCGCTCCAAGGGTCGGCCAACGCATGTCATTGTGGGTGAAAAGATTCATCTGCGCAATTTGACGGAAAAGGCAAAACTTGGGAAACAGTATCCATGGATTAAAGTGGTGTATATGGGATGGCTGACGGAATCAACCAAGCGATTCCAACGGCAGCCGGAACAGCCGTATCAGCTCGATCCAGAGGCACCGGATGTACCACTACCGGAGCTTGAATTTGATGAGCCAGGCGAGGTGAGCGAGGCAGAAACTCTTGATACCGACAATGGCGAGACTGATAGGCTGATTGACGAAACAGCCAAGAATATGGATTGGGGCGATATGGAAGGTGAGATGGCGGACTTTCTGGGAGAGCTGTCAGACGGCACTTCTGTCTCTGGGGATGAATCTGATGCGAGCGTCACTTCAAAATATTCTTCATCCTCGTCACCACGGAAACGTCCGCCTCAGGCTCGCAGCAACCAACGCACGCCGACAAAGCAGCACAAGCGCCAATTGTCAGATCAGGTGAGTGATCCAAGTGCTGATGAACTGCACCTTCAATCGCCCTTGAGCAAACGCAAGAAAGTGGCACAGATGCGAAAATCTGGTCTAGCGCGGTCTGTCATGCGTGCAGATTCTGGTAGCAGTCCTGAGCGGCCAGACTTGGATGTCCACAAGCCTGTGCAGGGTATGGTTGAAGAGGATGGCGTATCGGCTGCATCGGATAGCGAGAGCTTGCTTGACTTTGCTGCTGAGTTGGAGCAAGGTCTGGCGTGAAATAGGGAGTATATAGGCATCAGCAAGCATTGATCAAGCATCGAGGAATGAGTAAGTGTCTCCATCTGAATGGGTGGTGGCCCTAAACTGCCTCAACTGGAAAATTGCGGGGGAAGTGCCGGCGCCGAGAGAGAAGTGTGGGGAAGCAGCGTAGACGTAGTATACTTCAGAGAGAAGCATCCAAGATTTGAAGCCAATACTCACTCAGAAACATCAATCATAAATGGGCGGAAACAAAGCAGCAGTCTACAACAAGCCAGGCGAGATTGGCATCGAAGTCAGGGATCTCGAGATCCCAGAGCCAGGGCCAGGACAGGTTCTCATCAAGTACAGCCACTCGGGTGTCTGCCACTCGGACCTCTCCCTCATGTGCCACCATTGGCCCATGTTTGCTCCTGCAATCTACGAGTACGTCCTGCCAAACCTCTGTCAAAATCACGTGGCTAACACAACACAGGGGTCGCGTCGGTGGCCACGAAGGTGTTGGTAAAGTTGTTAAGCTCGGTGCCGGCGTGACTCAAGTCAAAGAGGGTGATATCGTGGGCAGCAAGTGGATCTCCTCGTGCTGCGAGTCTTGCGAGCTTTGCTTGTCTGGCCGTGATGCGTTCTGTACGAGTGCTGCAGTCAATGGTGGTACCGTGGATGGCACGTTCCAGCAGTACGCTGTGCAACCTGCATCCTACGTGACTCCAATCCCAGCAAGTCTGGCCCCTGAAGATGCTGTAAGCTTCTAATTGATCAAAGAGGACAATAACTGACAATAGTGTGTGCTGCTCTGCGGTGGTGTCACCATCTACAAAGCATTGAAGGTTGCGGGACTGCAAGCCGGCCAGTGGGTTGCGATTGCTGGCGGTGGCGGTGGTCTCGGCTCCCTAGGTATCCAATACGCCAAGTCGATGGGATTCCGCGTCATTGCCATCGATGCCACGGACAAGGCCAAGCTCTGCAAGGACCTTGGTGCTGAGGTGTTCATTGACTTTACCAAGGAGAATGTCACGGAAGCTGCACAGGCTGCCACGGACGGTCTGGGTCCTCACGCATTCATTGTGGCATCCGCTGCTCGACAGTCATACAAGTCTGCCATGTCGCTCCCACGAACGGGCGGCACAGTTGTCTGTGTCGGTATTCCAGGCCCCGACACGCCAATCGATGTTGAGGTGGAAGGCATCATCTACAAGGACCTGCGCCTCCGCGGATCTGCTGTGGGCACGCGTCTGGATGCTATCGAGGCCCTTGCATTCTGTGCCCGCGGTCAAGTGAAGCCTACAGTCACGGTTCAGCCACTCGATAAGCTTCAGGAGTGCTTCACCAAGATGGCAGCTGGCCAGGTACAGGGCCGCTTTGTTGTGGAAATTCCTGCATAGTTGGACACAATCGATGAATTGCAACGGGGTAATTATAGTTTTTGAAATGGCCACCAAGGTCCTCATGATGTAGCAATGCAAGTTCATGCAACCTTGTTACCTTGTGCGTGGTGTGTTTGGCTGCCCATCTGATTCGAAATCGGGCGTGCAACCACCCGGGCAGCAAGACAACAGACACGCAAGACCTGCGCCTGTGTTTGTCGGCGTGGAGGTTCTCTCATCTGGCCGTCCTGGAGTTCCATCATGAAGCTATAGTTTTGCATTGTCTGGGACATGTTCCACTTCAAGGGATCCGTCAAAGTCGGCGAGGTCTATCACTTTGATATCGAGGTGAAGCGCGATGAGCTCGTCAACACGATTGACAGCATCAGCTCATCTGGGGAGGACGCCAAAGATGCGCGTGAACTGCATCTACGCGTCAAGAATACAACAAGCGCGTTGATGCGACCGGCATACCTTGCAGGTCCCTATATCCTCTACACAGCAATTCACGAGTCCGACTATAGACACGACACGCCCGTCGGGGAACACGATCATCGGCCGCACTTTGATGCCAATGTCAAGGCAAGCAGCTCTCGTTGGCAAAAGTTACCTATTGAGCCTCACAAGTCCAAAGGCAAAGCAATGCGGACCTTTCATCTCGAGGTTGCATCGCAAAGCTTGTTTTCTCCGAGTGCGACGACTTACTTTGAAGTGACGCTTGGCTGGAATGAAGCTGAAGTGCGCAAGCTGGCGCGATCAGGCAAAGCGATGGAGAGTGTCACGCCTGGATTACAGGTACGTGTCCATGACACTTGGTCACTTTGGCAAATGCATCCAGTCGAGCGGGATCACGCCGGTCACCACGTCTCTCGAGCTCGCGTTGTGCGACCACCTACCGTGTTGAGTCGCGACAGTGATGGCAACTTATGTGATCATCTTGTTGTGTTAACGCATGGCATCCACTCCAATTTGACAGCTGACATGCTGTACCTCAAGCAGGTTATTGAAAGGACTTCGAAAGCGCAAGGTGGACGCACTGTGTGTAAAGGTTTTGCAGCCAATGCATGCAATACAGAGCGTGGTGTACGATGGCTCGGCAAACGTGTTGCTGAATGGGTCCTTAATGAAACTGGATGGGTGTTTGAGTCAGATGGTCAGATCTACCGACAGCCAAATCAGTACAAGCGTATTTCATTCATTGCGCACAGTCTTGGAGGTCTTGTACAAACCTACGCACTTGGCTGGCTGCATGATCGGACATTTGGTGGGTTTCTGGATGCAAGTGATATTGGATTGGAGCCAGTCAACTTCATCACACTAGCAACTCCCTGGCTTGGTATCTCGGCCGAGAATCCTGCATATGTGAAGCTAGCACTCGACTTTGGCGTGGTTGGCAAGACGGGACAAGACTTGGGATTGACGGTGAAACCGCTCGGCACCTACTCTAGCTACTCTGGCCCTGATGCAGCGGCAAAAACTACTAGTGGGCCAGCCAAAGTACGTGCCACAAGACCTCTGCTGCGGCTATTGTCTGAAGATGAGTCGCCCTGCAGACGGGCCATCTCGCTCTTCAAACGGCGGACGGTGTATGCCAATATCGAGAACGACGGCATCGTACCGTTACGAACATCTTCACTGTTCTTCCTTGACTGGGAAGGCATGGAAGCTACGCATGCTCAGCATGAGTCGGCTGGCGTCGCTCAATCACAAACACCGCCCAAGCTCAGCGATTTTGATTCTAGCCCCGAGTCATCCGACCATGATGCTACCACACAGACGCCTGTGAGTGCTGGCCCAGACATCAGTGTTGCCTCGTCGTCGCCCATAGAACCTAGCGAGGCGGCCCAAACCAGGGATCCTACCAGGCTATCACTGACGGGCGCCGTTCGAGGCGTTGGTTCGCTCATCAGGCGAGTCTCTCAAGGCGCGGTCAAAGCGGATGAGGTTGGCGGTGCACCGGAATCAAACGCAGGCACAGCCGTGTCTGACAAATCCCCAAGCGAGGTGGCAGGGCAACATTCGCATTCGACGGTGCTCGATGTGATTAGCAACTACCTCAAGCCACAGAGTGGCTCCAATACTGCAGCACCGACAGGCCATGCGCAAGGAGTCAAACAGACCAAGAAACCTTCCAAGGCATTCAGACGCTCTCAAACAATTGGCATGTCAGAGCAAGATGGTAAAGAGCCTCAGCAACTCATTGAGCCGAAGCATACGAGTTTTCTGCGCGCACTTGAAGCTGTCATTCGTCCACCGGGACCGGATTTTGCCTTCATCTATGATCCTGCAAGTCGACCGAAGCAAACCATTGTGCATGATCGTCTGTACAAGCCGAGCGATATCCCACCACTCAAACCTGCAACGGCCAGCAAGTCATCCTCCCTCAACACACATGACAGCGACTTGCCCATCACTGAAGATATCGCAGCCCTGGACGATGCTGCCACGCATAAATTGCAGCGTGCTAGAAAAGCTGCTGCTGAAGCAAGTTCTTCCTCCCGTCAAGCTGCTGTACGTCTTGAAAAAGTGAGGTTGGAGGAACGTATTGCGCGTAATTGGCACCGTGATATGGAGTGGCGAAAAGTGTTGGTTCGCTTGTTGCCGGATGCGCACAACAATATCATTGTGCGTCGACGTTTCGCCAATAGTTATGGATGGCCTGTTTTGGATCACTTGTGCGAGCATCATTTTGGTGCAGAGGCGGAAACGGAGAAGCTTGATCGGACTGCCGAAGAGGAAGCAGAGGCAGCAGAGTTGGAACGTGTCTTGAGTGACGGACAAACCAGCATGCGTGCTTCTGTGCGACGGCAAAAATCATGGGACGCAGCGACACTGCATGAAGCCTTGCTTGATAACCAAGGTGCTTTTCAGGAGAAGGATGAGGAAGACTTTTGGTCGTCGGATGCAGAGGAAGAGGCGGAAGTGCTTGCAGAAGGGTCAACAGAGCATGAAGAGCGTGACGAACAAATAATACGGATGAGCGAAGTCAGTGCTGGGTTGTAATTTGGGTGGCGGCATCATGGGGCATTTATCAGGCTAATGATACATGTAACCTGGTTAAGGCTATTCTTTCTTGACACGCATAATCATTAGTTTCATAAAGGGTGCATATCAAAACTGGCATTCGTCTAAGCTGTATATTTGTACGGATCTAGCAGATTTCCTATCGAGTCATCAGAGTGCGCGCTTTTCCTCCGACGGTGTGGCAGGGTACTCGCCTGGAACGTGTGTGTCACCTGGTGAATTCCCCTTTGCCGCTGCGAGATCCTTCTCAAACGTTTCTGCAATAGTTCCCAGCAAGCCCTTTTCATCACCAGCACCACCACCAGCGCCCAGTGACAAAGAAGAACCACGAGACGGTGGTCCACGGAATGTTTGTCGCTGATTGATCTTAAAAGCAGGTGAACGCGTTCCTGAGGCAGTGGCGCCATCCTGCAGATCAATCGATGTACCACGCGATGGTGTACCTCGAGCACGCTCACCCACAGAGACTTGTGAGAGCTTCTGTGCAACTTGCGCAGCACTCAAGTCATCCAGTGCAGAATGATCAAACGCTACTTCACTAGGTTGCTCTGACTGTTGTCCCTGAGGTGTTGCAACACCACTTGCGCTGCGTGAATTTTTGCGTGAGGGGACTTTATAACGTGCTTCATTGGATTGTGTACCCACGCGCAAGTGTGGTGCAACGTCATAATCAGCCATCGTTGATACAGCCGGGCTAGCGAGATGATCGACGGATGCTTGACGAGATGTGACTTTGAATCGTTGTGCATGTGGGTACGGAGAGACGGCATCACTGTGTGTACCTTTTGCAATGAGTGCAGCACTCTCGAGGTCTGCCAAAGAATTGTTGGACGGTGCAGTTCCCAATATTTGATCACTGAGTGACATACGACGGGAAGGAGTTTGGCCCGCACCGGCACTCACACCAGACATACTACCTGCGCGTGTTGGTTGATGAACTGTCACATCTTGGGAAGTCGTTGTGGGTGCATTGGCACTGGCCAGAGCACGCTCGAATTGTTCAGCGGGCAGCTTGCCAGTGGTGCCTGCACCGGGTGCCGGGAAATAAGGCGAGACATACGCTGCTGCTGCTGCTGCTGCTGCTCCTGTCGGTGCAGCTGGATCAACATGATGGTCTGTTGTAAGAGGTTGCATGGGTGGCACAGCAGAAGGATCACCATACGAAGCAGTTGCTTGCCTCGACGGAGTCTTGACACCAGGTCTAGGACGCTGCTGCTGGCGCGCAGGCGAAGTCACTGCAACGGCACTCGCAGGGCTACCAGCTACTTCCCTGAATGCCAGACTCGCCTGACGACGGGGTTTTGCCGGTTCGGCACCGGTACTCAGGGTGCGTGGTGCTTTCACATCGGCATCAGCTGGCTTGAAATCCTCATCGCCTGGCAATGTGGAGTGTGTTGTGTGTTCTGCATCATAGGGTAAATGCGCATTATCATCCAAAATCTCCTTTTTGAGGAAACCAGCCGTTGCAGAGTGGATGCTCGCTTGATGAACGAAGTGTGCATGGTCTGGTCCATTCATGGGTGTGGCACTGACGGGTGTTTCTTGCACACCGTAAGAGGACGTTGCTGTACGTGTCAACTCAGTCGTTGCAAGGGGCTGTAAGTCCTTGGCGGTGGCTGGCGGTGCATGAAGTCCAGCAGTGACGGCTGCAAGGGGTGTCTTGAATGCAGCAGCCGAATTGAAACGACCTGCCGCTGGCCTTGGTGTAGGCAGGACAGTAGCAGTTGTCAATGACTCGGGTCCCCGGTAAGGTTCTGCATCCGCTGCGTCTTCTTCGAGTGGGATACGTGGTTGTGGCTGCACGGCGCGTGCGCTGATTGTATTAGCCCGGGAGACACCCGTTGCACCGGCGAGAGAGCCGTCTGAAGTTTGGAGTGGTTTGCCAGTGAATTGGAAGGATTTGTCTGCTGCACGACCAATGTTGGTGTACCAGGTGAGCATATCCTCGCGGGACTTTGCACGGAAGACCCAGTTGTGCTCGGTGTGCAGGCCACCGAGCTGCTTGCCACGCAAAATAAACTTGAAAACCTTGTCGCCATCAGCTGATGTAGAGCCGAGCTCACAGTCTGGGAGGTAGAGGGAGAAGGTGGGTTCCATGTCAACACGCAAGTCATTCGACTTGAATTCATGGAGGAAGCGCGAGGGCGAGACAATGTAGAAGGACGTGGTGTACTTGCCGAGGACGTTCGACTTCTTCTCGAGCCAACCATCACAGATGGGCATGGTAGAAACATGGTCTTTACCCTGGTAAGACACATTTTCGAGAGATCGCTGTGATGATTTGGCGTCAATCAAGACACCGGCCTGGAGCTGTCGCTTACGGAAAAGCTCCCACTCTGAGGAGAGGTGTCCAGCAAGCAGACTGTCTTCCATCTTTTGCGACATGACGGCGAGTTCTGCCGCTTCACGGGAGACGAGCGCGTTGTACTTGCCCAAGGTGCGTTGAATAGCGGCAACCACCTGCTGTTCGAGCTCTTTGGCGGATTGTTCGAGGTTGAGGGTGGATTCCCTGAGGTAGGTCTCCTCACCCAGTGAGTGACGCAAAGTCTTGCGCGTGGCGAGGTCCACGACGAATGGATCGCGCTTGTGGTCTACACCGCCACCTGCTGCTTCCCAGCTTGTGATGGCATCCTGCAGGTCAAGCACCGCCCGTCGGCTAGTCTCGAGGTCCGCGGGGAGAGTCGTCTTGAATTCCTGCTCGAAGCCCTTGATTTCTTGGATCTTTTCAGTGAGAAAATCCCTCGCATGCTCGAGCTCGGGGACAATCTCGCGGTCAATGGCAAGGACAATGTGGTCGGAGTGTGTGACACGGCCCGTTTGCTGCTCGAATAGGAGCTGTCCAATGTCATGGACTGAGCCTCCCTTCTCGAAACCCTCGTGAGTGGTGAGAGGGTCCGCAAGGGTGTCCTTGATCTTGCGTAGGTGATCGTTGTGCGTGACCTCTGCGTCTGAGATGGAGCGGAAGTGTCTTGCCAGTTCGTGGATGACTGCTTTCCATGCTGCAGATGGTTAGTGGGAGTTGCGTATAGATAGACATACCCTCGAATCTGTCTGCGAATGTCTGGACTGGGGATGTGAGGGGGACCGTGGCTGCCAATGCTGGGCCTGAGTCTGCCATGTCTCTTGAGCTATGTCTAGTAGTAGTCTAGTAGTCTGATAGTAGTTCAGTAGCAGCCGCATGACATAATTGCCTAACCCTGACCTCGATCCACGTCACCCCCCGCCATCTTCCACTCTACATACTTACTACACTACTCAAGCAGCCAGCATGCACCTCACCCTCCTTTCCTCCATCACAGCCTCCCTCCTCGCAGCACACGCAGTCACCGCAAAGTCATTCCATGCGCCCCTCAAGAAAGTCTCCCTCGATGACAAACTCGCAGCCTTCGACCTCGAATCCGAAATGCGCTACCTCAAGCAGCGCTACCTCGGCATCAGGCCCCAGCAGCACGCAGCGCAGATGGGCACAGAGTCCCACGGTGTAGACGCAGACGGCGCACCCACCCACGGTGTACCCCTTACCAATTTTGCCAACGCGCAGTACTTTGCAGAGATCGGCCTGGGCACTCCTGCTCAGACATTCAAGGTCATCCTCGATACAGGCAGCTCCAACTTGTGGGTTCCCTCCAAGTCTTGCTCCTCCATCGCTTGTTTCCTACACACAAAGTACGACTCTAGCGCTTCGAGCACCTACAAGGCGAACGGGTCAGACTTTGAGATTCGCTACGGCTCTGGCTCCATGAAGGGCTTTGTCTCGAATGATGCGCTCACGATTGGAGATATCACCATCAAGCACCAGGACTTTGCTGAGGCTACAGAAGAGCCAGGACTCGCTTTTGCCTTTGGCCGCTTTGATGGCATTTTGGGACTTGGCTATGACACCATCTCAGTCAACAAGATTGTCCCTCCCTTCTACAACATGCTCGACCAGCTCGATGCACCTCTCTTTGCTTTTAGTCTGTCTGATGGCACCACTGAGGACGGTGGCGAGTTTTCTCTCGGTGCTACCAACCCAGAGAAGTACACGGGCAAGATCACACAAATCCCAGTGCGTCGCAAGGGCTACTGGGAGGTCAACTTGGATTCCTTCTCCTTTGGCAAGGAAACACTCGAGCTCGAAGATACTGGTGCTGCCATTGACACGGGAACCTCGCTCATTGCCTGTCCCTCGGATGTCGCTGAGCTCCTCAACAAGGAGATTGGTGCAAAGAAGTCTTGGAACGGTCAGTACACCATTGACTGCGCTGCTGTGGATTCCTTGCCCGACGTGACATTTGAGTTTTCCGGTCACAAGTTCACTTTGCCACCCCAGGACTACATCCTCAACCTGCAGGGATCATGCATCTCGACCTTTACCGGTATTGACATTCCTCCTCCTCTCGGTCCTATCTGGATCATTGGTGATGCCTTCTTGCGGAGGTACTACTCAGTCTACGACTTAGGTAAGAACACAGTCGGTCTGGCAACGGCTGTTTAGGGACATTCGTTTGTTGCATACGTTTTAGTTTTGTATAGAGCGCTTGTTCTTCTTACGAGGCTCCAGGTATTCATTCATCCTTACTGACTGGCTCAGTATCCAGGGCACTGACAATCTGCTGAGCACGGTCGTAAACGGTCTCTGAAATGGCTTTCTCTTCGTCCTTCTCCTTCTCGCCTTCCACCTTGCTCGCTTCTTCTGTAGGCTCTTCTTCTGCTTCTTGCTTTTGTTCTTGCTCTTGCTGTTGTGCCTCATAACGCTTCACGAGCCCTTGTGCTTCCTCCAACACACGCTCCCGACTCGCCCCTTGCATCTCTCGCAAGTACAAGATACCTTGCTCTTTGAACCTCATAGCACCCGTCTCATCCTCAGGAAACAAGGCTTCCCCCTCGACTTGATATAACTGCCTCAATAAATGATTTTGTCGTTGCTTTGAGAATTTCCAACCCGGTAGATCTTGTGACGGACTTGCCTCTGCTGTTTCTGCACGACGTGCTGCTTTTTGAGCTTTTTTGGCAAGCTTGAGTCGTTTCCGTTCAGAGACGACCTCTTCCTTTCCAGCCACCACTGCATCTGCCTTGACAGTTTTACGTTCGTCATTGACAAACGAGACACCAGTTCGCTGAGCAACGAATAAATCAAGGTATGCACGCGTTGCTGCCAATGCAGCACGTCGTTCCGCTTCTTCACGTTTCCGATGCGCTGTTTGATGTTGTGCCGCTGACCGTTGTCGTGTTGCTTGTTGTGTGCGTTTTGCCGATTCCTGCTGCGTTGCAAGAAATGTACGCTGTCGTTTCCCCATTCGCTTGGCAGGTGGATCTGTTGCATCTGTTGCAGTCGCACGTTTTGTTTTGAGCGCTGATGGTAGGATGCGCGCTTCTTGCAGCTTGGGAGAGAGCTCGGGCGGTTCTTGTTTGGCTTCATTCTTGAGAGAGAGGAATTTCTTCCAAGCGGGTTCAGTGGGAGTTTCTGTCATATGAGATAGTCCTCTAGGTTCTCTTGGGATATGAGCGTGTACTAGCTAGACGACAGAGCTTCAGAGCTTTGGCAATGCCAGGTTGTGTGGTGTCTTTAGCTTCAGCTGATTTCAACTTTTTTTTCCCGTGGACGACAAGATCAAATTCAATGAGCAAAGACTACTGATAGCACTTATCCTGTTTAGCATCAAAACGAGAGAGACAAAAGAAGCAGAGTGCATAGATTTGAAACAAGACAAAAGCGTCATTGTGTGATTTGATTACTTGAGAGTGAATAAAAGAGGATAGCAACAATGCAAGCTCGGAGATGAAAGGGAGGGAATAGGTTGGAGTGGACGCGTTCTCCAAAGAGGGGCTGGACTGTATGTGCAATAAGTCGAATTGGGCCCCCGTGATTGAATACTGCAAACTAGCTTAAGCTTCGCCATAAAACCTAGCATGTTAGCTCCTTCTGAATTCCATACGCTAGTAGGAGACTCACTTCTTGAGGTATTCTTCAGCCTCGGTGTACTCAACCTTGACTTGCTGCACCTGGCCAGTTAAACGCTCAAGGGCCTCCTCCTCGCCAATTGGAGCCACGCCATCTGCTGCCTTGAGCGCACCGAAATGCTGAATGCGCTCGCACGATGTCTTGACTTTTGTCATACCAAGGGCAGCCGATGAGCCCTTGAGGAAATGGCCCAATGAAGACGCCTTGTTGAAATCTCGCTCTACACTATCACATTAGCTCTTGTGGATTGACACCCTAGAAAGACTGCACGCACATAGCTTGCTCCATTTGTCCAAACGTCACTTCTGCCTGCTCAAAGAAATTCCATACAATCGATTTTGAAAACTCTCGCTCGTCGTCGTCATCCATCTCTAGCAGCTGATCAAAGATTGTGTGGTCGAGCAACTCATCAGGCGCAGTCGCTGTGTGGTTGAATGCTTCCGAGTGAACAGACCCGTTTGTCGCACTGGATGACGCCTTCTCAAGGGTCGGAGGGATACTCATCTTTTGATTGGAATGTGTTGCTTAGAAAGGTATTTGGTGCAAGGGCCTGGCTTCTCGGTGATGAGTAGCTGAGACGTGACTTGGACGACGTGTTGCTGCGAGGACAAGGAGGATGAGTAAACCTGGTCGCTTCTTTGGATTCAATGCGCTCCCTTGGTAGAATTGTGCGACAGAGGAGGGGAAGGGGCCCGGTGTTGTTGTCGGTGGATGGGAGGGGAGAGGCTGTCTGTGGTAGGGCTGATTGAGTTTTCTGTATCTCTCTTCTCTCTTGTACACGGTAGACTGCTGCTGCTGCTGCTGCTTCTGCTGCTTCTTCTTCCTGCGCACTCTGACCTGGCACGTGCATCTATGTCATCAACGGACCCACCGCAAATCAATCGACACTCAGCCAGTCATATACTAACAGCTCCATTCTACATCATGTCTACCTCCGAAGCATCTCCGCTGCACATAGACATAATCCTGCACCCCATTGACTTTGCCCTATACTTGCAGATTCCCGCATGCAGGGTACGCTACATCGCATGATAATGACAGTCGACAGCACTGCGAGTCTGCATCCTAGAACTAAGGGCTCAGGTCCTGGGCTCTACGGGACTACAGGCTACAGCCCTGCCAAGCTCAATCATATTGCAGAAAGGACGGGTAGGGCAAGCAATTAATTGACGGCGGGGCACGACGCATTTTGGGGAACCCTGGATTCTTCGACCGACGAGGTGGGGTCCGCGACCGAGTACTCTACACATTTTGGAAGCTGATTTGCGTGATTGTGTCTACTCCTCTACTGTAGCCTTCCATCTCATAGCTCAGTGCCTGCTCAGCTTGAAATTGCTGGCTTTTTGCTTGAACGCCTTGATGCTGCTCAAGCCATACGAGCCAGAACGATCGCCCAACGGATTCGGCAGCCGCAGATCCTTCAACTTCCTGAGCGAAGTCACCACCTTGCCCGTATCGTCAGTAGACTTCTCAAACAACTCATCATCATCTTCCTCAGAATCGCCATCATCATGCTCAACCATCTGGTAAGAGCCATCGCTGTCAGCAGACCCAGGCTGTGCTCGACTTGGATCCTTGATGAGCGACCGCGCATACTCCATATCCCGATAGATGTTCTCAATGGCATTATCCACGCCACGCTCACTCCGAATCTGTTCACCAATCTTATCAGCTTTTTGAATGGTCAGCTCATCCGTCGTGCAAAACTTGAGCGCCTCAGACAGTGACTTTGCAGTCAGCTTCTTAAGGCATTGGCCCACACCGAGATCTTGTACACGACCACCAAAGAAGTACTGGTCGCCAAAGAAAGGCTTGACAATGGTAGGTATACCAGCACGTAGACTCGCACCCAAGGAACCAGCACCACCATGGTGGCATGCGCAGTCGAGTTGCGGAAAGAGCCAGTCGTGTGGAATTGAATCAACAGACAGGATGGAGTCGCCAAACTCTTTGTTCTCCTCTTCCTTCTGTTTCCGCTTTTCCTCCTCCTTCTCCTTCTCGGTCCGCTCATCTTCTTCCTCGTCATCATCGTCCTTCTTGCTGCCGCGATCGGACCAGCCTTTCGACAAAATGCAGCGTACTCCAGACTTCTTCACAGCTTCCACCACAGCTTTTGTCAAAGCCTTCGGGTCAGACACGACAATGGAGCCAAATCCAATATACACCAACTTCTTCTTGTCACTCCTTGCCTTTTTAATGAAATCCGCCACGTCCTGCGGCGCTTCCCATTTCTTGTTATCCTTGTCATCTGAACCTTCTAGGAACCAGTAACCAGTCACTTTGATCCACTCTGGCCAATCCATGGCAGGTGGCACAACAGACGGCGAGAAATTGTACAGAAAGGGAACCTTGTGCTGAGCGAGCTTATCGAATGATGTACTTGACAAATTGAGGGACTTTTTCCGCCATCGATTAACCTGCCCTGAGATACCCTTCCAAAAGAGCGTATCGAATGCGCTGTACGTGAATGTGTTGTAGGCTCCACCCTTTTCGCTGCTGGGGACAGCAAACGCTTGTGGATAGACGCGCGTTTTGGACCAGGGCATGGTGAAGGCGCGAAAGTAAGGTATACCGAGCGCCTCAGCAATGTGGATGCCACCCATAGCGCTCGGTGATTCAATCAAGACATCTGTATTCTGACAAGCCTTCCAAGAGCTTTTAAGCAAGTCGTCAATCCAGCCCCGGAATTTTGATGTCGCCTCCTTCAAGAAACTGTAGGTGAACATCCCATGCTCGACGCAAATCGCCATCAACTCGGCAGGGTTCCCATCAATGGGCTCAAATTCAATACCATGCGACTCAACAAAGTCGCGAAACTCTTCATGCGTTGCAATCTTGGCTTTTTGACCATCGGCAATCAGACCTTTGCACAAGGCCACGTAGGGTTGTACATCGCCGCGAGAACCAATTGTCAGGCATGTAAACCGCAACTGCTTGGCTGGCTTGAAGGCGACCATGGAAGCATTCGGTGTATCAAAGACCAGCCCTGGTACGTCCACCACATTTTCCAGTGGCGGTGAAGCCTGGTCATGCTTGTAGCCTGCCTTTTTGAATGCATTTTCAATAGCATCGTGTTCTTCCTTGGCCAACTTCTGTTGCTTTGCAATTTCTTCAATCTTGGGCCGTTGCCGTTCCTTGACGTTCTCCAAATTGTCTCGGGCTCCCTCAATGAAATCCAAACATCTGTCCCGCTCGCTTGATGATGAAAACTCAAAAAACATGGGTTCATGTGCTCGAATGTTGATGACAATACCAGAAAATGCAAACTTGAAACCCTTCTCCTTCTTGACCGTCTCGATGTCTTCGAGTGGCAACTTGACTCGCACTTTGTAGGCAGGTGTGTGTGCATCGTAACAGATGTGGTTCTCACCAATCGACAACTCGCCAGGACTCGGTAGTACTTTCATGTAGAATGCCTGGAACGTTCGCAACAGGCGCGTATCGTCTCGTAGACCAAACTTGAGGCGGTATGTCTCGTTTGCTTGTTGATCCGCTTCGCCCATCGGTTCATCTTTACTCGCAAAGACACCACCAGTGACGACGTGACCTGCAGTTTTCGCCACAGTCTTGATTCGACTACCGATTGCAGGCAAATTAAGCGCTGAACCTTCCGGCGCAGTGCTCTGGACATCGTCAAAATCGTCATCATCAGCATGACCGGAGTGAAGGATGGGCAAGGAAGGTAAGATGCCTTCCTCTTTCTTGTGCTGCTCAACAAGAGCCGTAGCGTACGTCTCGATATTGGGTGCCTCGCCATCCTTCATCTGTGTCGCGAGCTGCTCATATATCTTTGGCCGCTCATAGATCGGCGCGTCTCGACTCGTATCGCTTATATTGGAGACTGCACTGGTCGAGGGAGCGCGGCCCTGTAATTGAGACTTGACTTGCGCAATAATGTCGGACGCATTAGAGAAGAGCGGGAAGAGGTACTCATTCACGGCGTACGTTTCGTCGTCATCTGCAGCTTTGACTTTGAGCGTCCGTGCAAATTCAACAATGTCGCTCTCCTCCACATCTGTGATACAAGCAAGCGGAATTTTGATTTTAACGCAGTCGCCTTGGTTCTTGAGTCGAAAGATGACTTTTTGTATGATTTTGACCCATTCACTGACAGCTGACGCTGTGTCCGCCCGAAGGTAGTAGGTGCGATGGCTTGTAACAAGCTTCATACCAAAGTAGCCGTCTCCACTGTTCTCCACGTCTGGAACAACGCGCTCTGCATAGCGCAAATCGATGCTGCCACTTGGAAAGTACAGCGCATCTGGCTGTTCATAGTAAGACAAAACATCATTCTTCAAGATGAACCAGTGCCTGTGCTGGCGGTTCGATGTGCGCGACCGCTTGACAAGCGAGCCAGATTTGACTGTAATATCATCATGTCGAGGCATATAAGCGTAGAAGCAGAGGAAGCTCTTCATGACGAAAAGATAACCTTGAATCATGACGCTTTTCAGGAGCCATGCTGGATGCGCTGCGACAAGTTGCTCAGCTTCAGTCAGATTGAAACCTTGCTGAATCAGCGTCTGCAAGGCATCTTGCTCGTCCCTATCGAGCGATTCGGCTGACTTTGAAGCAAGATCCAGGTACTTGAGGTTACTGGGCAGATCCGCTCGTGCTCGCGAGTCGGAGTACAACTCTTGCGTATGCACATTGTCCGAGGCGCGCGCTCTTTCTCTGTCTTGTCTGTCAACATCTTGTGCCGTCTGAGGGACGACTACGTCCACGGGATGTGATCCATCAACCTCGAGTCTGGGAACCATGGATCTGTCGTTGCGCAGCTGTTCTAGATCATCTCCCGGCTGAATCTGTTCGTGCTCTGCCTGTTAGTCGTGATTTAGGAGCAAAGAATGTCGGCGCACCATCATGCATGTCGATGAAGCTGTGCGACTGCTCTCTGTATAGCGGTCTCGCCAAATCAGGCTCGCTATCATTCATGTTTCGTTGAGCAGCTGGATGGCGCACGGTGACCTTCGTTTCGTGATGCGCTCAGATGCAAAGGAGTTCACTGAAGGCGACGAACAGAAAAGCGATGTTATTTGATAAAGATGGACTATTTGCTGTACACGTAGCGTTGACAGTTCCTCGGGAAGGTGATGCCGGGGCTTTTTGGGAGTGCAACAGAACAATGACGTCCTCGCGAATCTTGTAGACTTCTGCCAGCTGACATCTGGGTTCGGCACAGGGAAGTCAGAAAAGGCCCGCGAAGAGATGGGCTCTGTTGTTCACTCAGTCACCAGGTAGTCGGCTCAATTGATTTATACTACACCAACAGTCTGCAGACTTACAAACTTCCTCGCCAGGTTCACTGTTGCACGGCATGGCTCTCCTGCTCAACCTGTTGCTGTGCCGCCATCGCATCAGACTGCAACAGCCATCGCATGAGCGAGATGCCAAAGTCCCGAAGGAACTTGAGATCCTCTGCTACGAACACCTGGGACTTCTTCTTGGTGAATGCAGCAAGCACGTAGCCACCACCGTTACCCAACTGCAAAACAGGCACAAGCATACCTGAAATGTACGTGCCAAGCTCACGAGCCACGGCAGACTCTGGGTCAGGGTGAACATAGAGCAAGCCACTCTTGGAACGCAAAGCACGACCGTGTAGACCTGCATCAAACACAGGATCTGATGCCAATCCATACGACGAGACAACGCGTGTGGTTGTACCCGTCTCCGCAGAGCTTTCGAGTGCCAGCAAGTAGACCAGATCCAAGTTGAGTGTCTGTGCAATGAGCAAGACGGACAAATCATAGGGATTCTTGGCGGGCGTTGCCACGATAGACTCGTCGACAGTCGTTGTACCTGCTGTGCCGTGTTCGTCGATCGGCTTGCCAAGTGCAGCTTCGCCATCCTTGTGCTGTGTTTGAATCAGTCCCTCTGAATTGGCTGCAAGCGGCTGAGCTGGGGCCTGATTGCCCAGACCAGCCGGCATGCTCTTCTCGCCGGCTTCTTGCCCGTGCGTCAGAGCATTCATGGCAGCCAGACTCGAGGGGTCATTAGCAATACTTTGTTCGAGAGATGAATTGGCCACTGCACCAGCCGTGGTATCTGAAACAGCAGTAGAAGACTCCGCCGTCGTGGGCGATCCGGGCTTGAGCGAACCCGTCTTGGCCACAACCTTGAGACCCTGGTTCCGACCAGCTTTGAAGACTGCCTGCTGCTGCTCGTGCGTGAATGTCTGCTTCATGCGCAGACGCGATTCTTCAAATTCAAGCGCACTCATGACATGTGCCGAGGCGGAGCTAGGTGCACCCGCTGGCGTTGGGAAACCGTCAATGGCAGAACGCATGCGGATCATCTTTTCCTGTTGGTTGCGCTCGTACAGGCTCTTGATTTCAGCCATGGCCAGCTCGGCAAACTCAACGAGTTTTGGGCCGCCGTCAAAGGATGCCCGTGGCTCTAGGTCGATGATGCACAGAGTACCAAGGGCATAGCCCTCTGGTGCAATGATGGGCACTCCTGCATAAAATCGGACGTGTGGTGGGTTGGCAACCAATGGGTTATTCTTCATACGCCAGTCCTTGCTGCAATCGAGGATGACCATAGGCGCCTTGCTTAGTATGGTGTGACCACAAAAGGAGATGTCGCGGGGCACAGTCTCCATGCCGGTCATGCCTGCCTCTGCGAGACCCACTTCTGACTTGAAGTACTGACATTCGTCGTCCAGCAGAGACAACAAGGCGACCTTGACACCAAAGGTATTGCGGGCCAAATTAACGATGCGGAACAAAGTCTCCGACTGAGGCGTCGGTTCCGTACCTTGATCATTCTTACCATCATGGTAGTTTGGTTCATCTTGGTACTGGTACTTGTACATGTTGAGCTGGCGTTCGCGCTCATCAAGCGGTAGCTGTGCACGTAGGAACTTTTCATCCTCGGGCAACTCGGTAGGCGCCTCTGTCTGGTAATCATTCGTGACCTCTCCCTGTTATTGTTAGCTTCGTGGTGTTCTTGTCCATGTCAAACGGCTCACTTTGCGGTACTTGGCCAGCCACTCAGCGAAGGGCATCTTCTTGCTTGCAGGCTTCTCTGTACTCCCTGTCACAGGTGTAGTCGCTGTCGACTGGACAGAGGACTTTTGTGCAACATCAGCCGGGACTGAGCTGTCGCGGCCGATGCATGGCTTGAAGCATGACTTGAGGAAGCTCATCTTTTGTCGCAAAAATTAGACAATAGATGAGGTGGGGAAGTCGTTGTTGTGAGGTTCTACAGACTCTCTGTGAAGTCCAAAGTGATCCCTGCAGTATATCAGACACAGATAGATGGTGTGTGTCGTACACGAGCAGGCCTGTCGTCTAGCAGTGAACAATAGCACAGACAATGGGGGTTATAGGTCGGCTGGGACGCCGTGCGATGGATTCCTTTATAACCGAATGGCTGTACGATGAAAGCGGGCACTTTAGCGCTGAGACCTTACCTTAGACCCTGCGCTCTGGCCCGCACTCACAGTTCTAGACAACGGCAGGCCCGTCCAGATGGGTCGGCACCTAACTCGGTCGTGTATTCGCTTGCGGGCTACAGGCTACAGCCTACAGGTCTTTCATATGAGACCAGATAGGACCGTGCGGCGCTAGACATTAGCATGGAGAGCCGGACAGGCCTAGTGTTATACTCTGGATTAAGCCCGGTACATCGCTTTGACCCACTCCGAAAAAATAGCTTGAACTGTAGTCGCTGCCGCCACAGGTCCAAGCGGCCAGTCATCTCGTTCGCCTTGGTTCTCAGGCCTTGATGTGTCAAACAACTACATCTGATTTGCCCTCAGTCTATTCGTCATCGGACGGATTTGTTGACGCCCAACGCAGACCTACATACAGCGCGATCTTGGCGACAGAGGCGCGTGCGGGTGCTGTAGGTTTGCTCAGAGTATCTCCATGCGACATCTAGGCATGTGTACACCTACATCGTGTTGATGAAGCCTTGATCTTCGTCGCCACAACGTTATGCGCTGGCGCAAGCTGAAACTGCAGCGGAGCCTTTTTGCCGTGGTCAAAAGTTGACGGGCCAAAACGCTAGCGCTACCTACATCACAAGTACACAGGTTCAAAGCTCGAGAAGCTCTAGTAGGCTGAGGTTACTCTCAAGATATAGCTACAGATTTCAGCTAAATCCATTCACTTGCTTGTTTCTTCTGTACTCGTGTCCTCTGCTATGGGCAAGTCCCAAGAACCGAAGAAATCGAACGATATCGACGACATCTTTGCCAAGAAGGCCTCAAAGCCTACTGAGACAGCTGCACAAGATGACACCAAGAGCTCGACTAGCAAACTGAAATCTGCAAAACAGGGCAAAAATCATACCGCAGCTGATGTGAGAGATGCATCCGTCAAGAAGCCAAGCAAAAAACCTACTGGAAGCTCGATACCAAAGGCGCTCCCATCAGATGATTCCTTATTCACCGATCTGAAGGGATCAAAGAAGCGTAAGACTTTGCTGTATGGTGCGCGTGGCTGACTTGCAGGGAAAACTACAGAAGAAGGCTTCAAAATCTACGACGACGAAGAGCTACGGATAGATCCAAATGCTGGCAGCACAGACGACTGTCCCTTCGACTGCCAATGCTGCTTCTAAGCATGAGTCTAGCACACTTGACTGGGGTGTTGGCACAACGATATGCTAGACAGTGTGACTTTGACTGAAGGGGGCCCAATGCAAGAATACGAGCCATGCTAGCGCCATGTATGCGCAAGTAGAGCGGGCTTTTAAGGACTTTGGCAGAGGCGATTGCTCTGATCATCACCTAGAAGACCTTCGTATAATATCACATGCAAGTTTGAAGAATTCATGTACGAATTGTACCTACCTTCCACTACGTCCCCTATTCTCTGCTCATTTCTGCGTCCTCTGCTGGTGGTGGCAACAATGCCTCGGCGACTTTTGGCCGTGCAAGCATATTATCCACCCATCTACCGACCTCTGGAAACTCTTGCTCCAAATCGATATCGAGTCGATGCGCCGTTCTTGCCCAGGTGAGGTACGACAAGTCTGCAATCGTCATGGACGACCCAACGAGCCACACAGGGTAGGTATGCAATGCTTCCGGTAGCACATCCTCACGCTCTGCATGATCCCAAAGCTCTTCACGCGCTTCTGCCAATCTCACTTCGAGAACGCCATACACGCGTCGTGTTTCATCAATATAGCGACGTGTTGCGCTTTCAACTGCTTCATGATGAAAGAATTTGAACCAGAATGCTTGTCCCTGTATGACGCCGTGCCCTGAGACTTGAAGCATGATCCAGGATGTTATTTGTGATTGCTCTTTACGATCACGCGACCAGAGTGTGTAATTTGGATCGTAGTGTTGGACGAGGTAGAGCAAGATGGCTCCGGATTCCCAAACGGCAAAGTCGTCATCCCTGTGAAAGACACATAGCGGAATACGCGCATTTGGGCAGAGTCGTAGAAACTCTTCTTTCCGATGATCACCTTTCTTGAAGTCAATGAAAATGGTGCGATATTTTAGACCTAGCTCATTGAGCACTGTTGCGACCTTCCACTGCGTCGTGTTAGCTTGACATTGATTAACTTGAGACAAACGAACGCCATTGGGACCTCCTTGATGGCTATAAAGCGTCACATCGACTTCTTGTCCCATTCGCATGGGGCAAGGCAATGGTAATGAAGCGATTGCTGAAGGTTGCGATGCACTAAAGAAGCCGCGACGGTCAGACGAGATGCTTGAGAATTGTCTAACGATGCGCTAGTAGTGCAGGTGCCGGTATCGCGGTACGTATAGTCTCTTTTAGCGAAAATGGAAGGATGCCGTTGCGCCAACGAGGCCTCTGCTAAGAAACGGTCGTCGTTCTCGCAAAAGGCCGATGACTAGAACGCGCAAATGGTTGTTGTGAGAACTTGTGACCCTGCGATGTTGCAAAAGACCGGGGAGGACCCGACGTTGCAAACGTGCAGGAGAAATGTAGGTCTACGCAGGTACTCCTGATTCCAAAGCGGTCTCTTCTTTCCGTTTTGGCTCTGCTCCTCAGTGTTGCGTCAGCTAGCTGGGCCTGAAGGGTTTCAAGTCTTCGTTGGCTCGTTGAAGACTGGTCCAAGCTCAAAGGGTCCTTGCTTGCTCCACAAGAAAGCGTCGGCCCGCGCCTGGCAGTCAGCAGATCTCGATCGAGCCCTTTCAGATGGAGGTGAGTATGCCAGTCACATCCCGGGCATGACTCTGTTTCAGTGATGCCAGACTGGGGCCAAGTGTACCATGTGAAGAGTCTCGGCGGTACATCTGGATCACTGAGCAAGTCTCTCAGAAGGAGACAAGAGAAAGAGACAAGAGAAACACTCTACAACAGCTACACCCACTACATACACAGGTATCTAGGACACTCCTGAATGAACTTGGAAGACTCCCACACCATCTCCATGCCTACGAGTGACCATACTGCACTGGATCATCCAGCATCAAACGAATTCCCCATAGCTGAAGCAGAAGACACAGTGCTCCAGCCACTCCAGACACTGAACCAGGCACAACTCGATACTGAACTGCAGGACATCCTGGCAGAGCTGCAACAAAGGGAAGAGGCGCTGAAGGATCGTTTCAATGGCAAGAGACATTGTGTGAGAGTATGCGAGTATGCTAACCCTGATAGCGCTGTGCAAGCAGCTTGGCAACTGGGCAAAGGAGGGACTCGACTCGAGTGAGCACTTGAGTCTCGATCTGTATGTGCTCCTAGCTCCAAGACATGAGTCAAGATACTGACTCGCCAGATTGACCATGGAGCGTCGCTTTGTTGATGAGAAGCATAAGGAGCTGGAGGAGAGGCGCATCAACCTCGTCACTGTCATTCAGAGGTACGCACCTCCTTGTGTTTGTGTGCAACTGTACTGACTGACTCTGCAGTGTCCAGCAAGCATCCATGCTGTATGTCTCCTTCTAAGGACCTCGCTAAGATGCTAACCATAACAAAGACTGCGGGACTAGAGCACGATTGCAAGAGACTCATAGATCTGCCAGTTCATCCATTGTACGCACCACCACCTCAAGCGAGTCAAAGAAGGCATTGAGACTGACTCGGCTGGTACGTGCACTGGTGCATTGAAAGCGACACAGCAAGTCTCTGCCCTCAACGGAGACTGTCTTTGAGACTTGGTCTGGTTTGACCTCTGCGTCTGGAGAGAGGGAGCGGCATGCGATCTGAGCAAGTGCTTCTGTTGGGAAGGGGACACGGACAAGGATGGTGCTCATGTTGGGCTGTGAGAGCTGGATTCTTTGAGCTGTGCTGCTGTAGCTAGGCACGAGTTGACTGTTGCGCTGTGGTCCTCTCTCTCTGTCTCCTCTTTCTCACCGCAGCAGACCAGCACAGTGCACACAGCAAACCAGCACCACAGCAGCAGCAGCAGCAGAGAAGAAAAATTTTGAAGGGCACAAGACACAAAACAAGAGCCAGGCACACAGCTGGCACCATACAGGAGCAAGCAACAACAGGCCTGTCTACTCTACCACTCTACCTCCATCCACACTCTCATCTAGCTCGGTATGTTCACGTCCACAGGGAATTGCGGGACAGGGCCGGCAGTAGTGACCCAGTCAACGCGACAACTGCACTGCTGTCTTCCCCCGTCAATAGAAAAAAAAGATCATCTCCCTTCTTCAGCCTGGTGCAGAGTCAAGCATAGCTAACGTGTCTCTAGCATCTTCCCTTCAATCATACACAACCAACGCCAAAGCGATGAGAAAGTCAACGTCTCGCGAAGAAGCGAATGCACCCACAGCCTCGCGTCTCAATGGCGGCGGCTCCTACAGCTCCATCGTCGCTTCCCTCAACGGGCCGCATGGCAATGAAGCAGCAACAGGCGCGCGCATCCAAGGAGAGGGCCATAATCCTTTTGGGTATGGTAAGGAAGAGATGCTGCAAGTGTACAGTAATCTAGCAAGTGACGGGCACAAGCAAGGCTTGAATCATGCGCCGCTCGACTATGAACCTGTCGGTGGTATTACAGCTTCGGGGCTTGTACAGCCAGTCACTTTGACAGAAATGTCTGCTGAGGAAAAGGCATTGCTTGCTGGCAACATCAACAGCGATCAAAAACACAGGCGAACACAGCCAGACGACACGCATTCGCGACTCAATGGACGCAGGACAATGGGTGATGCTGGAAGGCACGATTTGTCCTCACGCACTGGTGACAGTCGCAAGTCGACTGATTGGGCAACGGACGACAAGGCTGCTAAAACGGATGCATTCGAGGACTCCTCGACCTTCCCAGCTCCCATCGCCGGTGGTAGGACTGGCAAGTTTGCTGCGATGGGCTTGTTTGATACCGGCGCAAACGGCAAATTGCAGCAGCAGGGTACCGTTGAGTCGAGCAGCAACAAGTGGGCCGATGACAAGGACGACGATGTGCTCAAGGAAGCGATGGGCTATGGTGATGCTGGATCACATGAAGTGGATCGTTTGGGCAGCTTGTATGCAAAGCAGTCACTCATGGACTCACACACCTCACGCCAGTCTTCGCATCTGCAAACATCGCAGCAACCTGCGCAACAATCGCGTTTTGCTCAGCAGCTCTACAATCCTTTGAATAATGGCTTGCCAGACTTGTTTAGCAACAAGCAAGTTGGTCAGACGCCGAGCTTGTATGGTCAGCAGCAACAGCAGCACCAGCAAGTCGATGCGAGTCGTTACGGTGCCTCCGGTACTCCAAGCCCTGGCTTAGCCGTGCGACAGGATCCACCCATGACAACGCGCGTGATGGTGATGCCGGACAAGCTCAAATGGCAGTACCGTGACCCAACCGGTCAGAATCAAGGTCCCTTCTCTGGTCTTGAGATGCACGATTGGTACAAAGCCGGCTTCTTCCAGCCAAACTTGCTTGTTAAGCGACAGGAAGATGAAGAGTTTGAGCCCTTGTCCATCTTGGTTCGTCGCATTGGTAACCAACGTGAACCATTCTTGGTCCCATTGCCATCTCGTGTTCCAACCTCGGTTGTGCAGACACGGCCTGGTACTGCAGATGGTACGAAGGATACTTGGCCCAACGGTGGCAGTCATGCTTGGTCCAGCAATGGCGCAGGCGGTGGTGCTTCCGCTCAAGCGGGCGGTGCCTCTCAACCACCCTTCCCATCTTCCTTCCCTTCTTTTGGGACCACCTTGACGGCTGAGCAGCAGAATGCACTTGAACGACGCAAGCAGGAAGAACAGTACCTCATGCACAGGCAGCGCGAATTCCTCCAGCAGCAGCAATTGGCTCAGCAGATGGCCGCACAGCGATATATGCACGGTCAGCATCCTGGTGCATACAATGCACCTGGTCAAGCTGCAGGATATGCCGGTGCGATGGGTATCGGTCGTCATGGATCACCTTTTAGCAATGGCAGTGATCGCCCCGTTCCTATGGCTTATGATACAAGTGGTGGCGGTACGCCGGGTCTCGGCTCCTGGCAACACAACGCAACTCTTTCTTCTGCAGCAACAGCCGCATTGGCTGGTGGCGTCCCCCTGCATGGTACACAGCAGCGTGGGTTTGCGGATTTTGGGGTAGGCATCTTCGATACCCCTAGATCGGAGGTGGCCGATTCTTTTAGCCAGGGACAGAGTGTGAGTGCAAGTGCTAGTGCCAGGGAGGAACGTCAGTCTTCACTGACATCGTTGGACGGCGTGCAACAGAGGGAGGAACAAGGACGCGGTTTGCCTGAGCGTGAGCAAGACAAGCCCAATGTCTCACAGCAGCAAGCCCAAGAAGTGACAAGGAAAATCAGCTTACAGCAGGTTCAAGAGGAGGAACGTCAAGAGGCTCTGCTTCAGCAGCAGCAGCAGCAGCAGCAGCAGCAACAACAACAACAGCAACAGCAGCAGCAGCAGCAGCAGCAGCAATTGAGGGACTTCGAAGCTACTCAAGAAGACTCATCAACGGCTGTACCTCAATCTGAGCCAGCAGCACTCTTGACACCTTCTGCTTCTGCAGCACCAGCACCCTGGGCGCAAGCACAGCGTGAACCAGCCAAATCGCTTTCACTCAAGGAGATCCAAGAACGCGAAGCAGCACGCGCTGCTGTGCTTCGGGAGCAGGAACGTAAAGCGCAGTTGGAGGTGCAAGCACAAGCAATGCTTCAATCTCAAGTCCAACATGCAAGCAACACGGCACCACTCAACCTCAACTGGGCCGAGCAGGCACCAGCGTCTGCCACAACGATGCAAAATGGTTTGCCGTGGAAGGCTGCCTCGACGCCCGGCAAGAAGACACTGGCGCAGATCCAACAAGAGGAGGAGGCTGCGCGACAGCGACAAACTGCACAGCTTGCTCAGCAACATCAGCAGTTGGCACAAGCAGGGCTCGGTCATATCAAGCTTGGCTCGCGTTATGCAGAAACGGCTAGTAAGCAAGCGGCACCTGGTGCTGCAGTCACAGCAGCCGTTCAAGGTGGACCTGCTTGGTCGACTGTTGGTACCGGTGGCAAAGTCAGTGCTCCTGCACCACGCCCTATCGACACACGGGTTCAAGCAGCGCCTGCCACCATGTCAGCCCCTGCCAGGGCCACGTCGGAAGAGGTCAGCAAGAAGCAAGCACCCACTCAGCCTGCAGACCCGAATGCCATTTCCCCAGAATTTTTTAAATGGGCTCAGACGGCACTTGTGCGTGGTCTCAACCCTGGTGTTCAATTTGAGGAGCTCTTGCAGCTGTTGCTCTCGTTTGGTACTGATACTGGCAAGACGACGCAAGAAATCATCAGTGACAGCATCTATGCACACTCAGCGACTCTGGATGGTCGTCGTTTCGCTGAAGAGTTTTGCAAACGGCGCAGACAAGAATTGCGCAATAATGGCGCCAAGGCTTCTGTGCAAGAGTTGAGCAAGACGATGGGATCTGGTGCGTCTGCCAAGACTCCTCAGAGTGCTGCCGGTTCGTCTGCAGGCGGCTGGAATGATGTCGTTAAACGACAGAAGGACAGCGCCTCTGCTACTACTGAGACGGATGGCTGGAATGCCGCCGTCAAAGTCCAGGGTTCCAAGAAGAAGGCTGCTGCCAAGCGCCACTAAGCACTCTTCACTCTACATCTGACATTGCATGCTCCAGCCCGAGCCTTCTGCGGTTGGATTTTCTGTTTCAAGGTCGTTTAAGCATCGTCTCGCTCCTTTTATGAAAAAGTCATCTTTCAAGGCAACTGCGCGTCCTTTCCCCGTCATCTCATAGTACACGTTTCTTTCCAAGCCTATTACAGCCAAATTGTCCTTCCTCTTCCTATCTAATTGAGCCTGTTCCGGGCCATCCCACGTCTTCTTCCTCGTTTGGCCGAAGAAATTCAACAAATCTTGAGGCGACGGGAAAGGGCCCCCATCAACGACACAAAGACAAAACAGCTCAAGGATGTTGCGCCTGCCTATTCGCACTGCAGCCCGTCTGGTGAGCCGGCTCCTACCTGGCTCAGTGTACAGACTCGCTAACAATTAGACACCCAGATCACTGGTGCCAGCGGCGAAACGATTCTACGCCAGTGAAGCGGAAGAACTTGGTATGTGTCAGCTATGCTTTCCTCTGGCGCTAACATTGTAGATGTGCTTGTTATTGGCGGTGGTCCCGGTGGATATGTCGCAGCCATCAAGGCAGCCCAGCTTGGTCTGAAGACAGGGTGTGTCGAGAAGCGCGGCGCTTTGGGTGGTACCTGTCTCAACGTCGGATGCATTCCTTCAAAGGCCCTGCTCAACAACTCACACCTGTATCATACCATCCTCCACGACAGCAAGAACCGCGGTATTGATGTCAATGATGTCAAGCTCAATCTGCCAAACATGCTCAAGGCAAAGGACAATGCCGTGCTGGGCCTGACGAAGGGTGTCGAGTACCTCTTCAAGAAGAATGGCGTCGCTTACTACAAGGGCAGCGGAAAGTTCGTCGATGAGCATACCGTCGATGTCAAGGCAGTCGAGGGTGAGAAGGACGTTGTATTGCGCGCCAAGAACATCATCATTGCTACCGGTTCAGAAGCGACACCCTTCCCTGGTATTCAATTTGATGAGCAAAAGATTGTCTCCTCTACAGGTGCACTTGACCTGCAGAAAGTTCCAGAGAAGCTCATTGTCATTGGTGGCGGCATCATCGGTCTCGAGCTCGGCTCTGTCTGGGCGCGACTTGGCAGCAAGGTCCAAGTTATTGAGTACTTGCCGGCCATTGGCGCCGGTATGGATGCAGACATGTCCAAGGCATTCACCAAGCTCATGAAGAAGCAAGGTATTGAGCTCAAGGCCAGCACAAAAGTCATTAGTGGCAAGGTCGATGGCGACAAGGTTGTTGTCGAGGTCGAGTCAGCAAAAGGTGGCAAGCAAGAGACGCTCACTGGTGACGTGTGTCTTGTCGCTATTGGTAGGCGACCATACACAGAAGGTCTCGGTCTGGAGAATGTCGGCATTGAGAAGGACGACCGTGGGCGAATTATCATTGATGAGCAGTTCCGGACAAACGTCCCTCACATTCGCGTCATTGGCGATGTGACATTCGGTCCTATGCTTGCGCACAAGGCTGAAGATGAAGGTATCGCAGCAGCCGAGTTCATCAACGGCGGACACGGCCACGTCAACTATGGTAACTGCCCGAGCGTCATGTACACACACCCAGAAGTTGCTTGGGTCGGTCTGACCGAGGCGCAGGTGAAGGAAGGAGGCAAGCCTTACGACGTAGGCACTTTCCCCTTCAGCGCTAATTCGCGTGCCAAGACCAACGGCGACGCTGAGGGTCTCGTCAAGATGATTGCAGACAAGGAGACGGGTCGCTTGCTGGGAATTCACATCATGGGCCCCAATGCAGGCGAGATGATTGGCGAGGCAGGCTTGGCGCTCGAGTACGGCGCATCAGCGGACGATATCACTGCTGTCATTCACGCCCACCCAACCCTTTCAGAGGCGTTCAGGGAATGTGCCATGGCGACAGGTGGCAAGGCTATCCACTTCTAAATCATCATTTATAGAATGCAGCGTTTCCTTAAAAGCTATTGAGACCTTGCTTCCTTTAAAGTAGATTGTTACATGCTCAGTGCGGTGGCGACGGCGAGCCAGCCGTCACCGAGGGACTCGCCATATTGCTCGCATCATGCACCGTTGCCAAAGGTCCCTTGCGTTTCTTTGAGGGCGACGCCTGCGTCGGTTCTTTGAGGGGTCTTTTTTGTGCGCTCGCTGTAGGTTAGTTTTGAAGGAGTGTCGATGGAGGTGCATACTGATCTTGCCAGAGGGGCCGAGTCTTGGTTTGGGCTTGCGTTGCCGTAGCGGCAGATCCTCGTCTTCGCAGACTTTTCCTCCGTCTGCTTCCTCGAGTGCTTCAAGTTTGAGCATCAGGAAAGGACGAATGAGGCCAATTTGCCGTTCAGCGTACTCTGCCGTCAAGGGTGGATATTTGCGATCAAAGCGAAGAACTCCCGCACCGGCGCCTTCTTCGTCCTCGTCCGCTCCAGCAGTACCGCCCATAGCAGCTCGGAAGCGACCTTGCAGCAAACGCAGTGGCACAGAAAGAGATGATAAGCCAAATTCCTTATCAAGGCCAAGCTCCTTGAAGCCGAAGAAATCTTCACCCGTCTCCTCTCCAAATGTACCGGTGACAAAGGCATCGCCATTGTTGTCGCTGAACATATTGCTGCCATCTTGTCGTAAGCCGCCGGCTCCTTCGACAGTACCGTGGATGAAGTCGTTGAGGAATGCTTGCAATCTTGTGTGAAAGTTAGACAACTTGTCTGCTCTGCCCTTGACATCGTCGTTGATGTACGATTCGAGAACCATCATGTCAGGCACTCCACCTTCAAACAATGCATGGCGCAAGATCTTTTCTGGAGTCTTTTTCGGCAGTTGCGACTCGCTGTACTCCTTCAAGATCTTGCCGAGCATTGTCAAATAGTCGGCAGCCACTTCAGTCACGCAGCCAAGTGCCTCTACTTGAAAGTCCTCGAAACCAGCTTGATAGAGAAGATGACCACACTGTCTTTCAAGTAACGCACGAGCGAGCGGCTCACCACAAGGCTGTATGTCATAGCCTTCTTGCTCCAACAGGGGGGCTTTCAAACTCAGCTTCGACTCTGCTCCCATCAGTTGACGAAAGTAGCTTGCCGGGAATGCAGCCATGGCTGGATCTTGCATCAGCTTGAGACTACTCAACTTTGTACACAGGGACCGTATCGCTTTCATTTCCATTGTTGAAGACTTGAGGCGATCATACAGACCATCAGAGGGTGGCTCAAACGCTGATGTGTCAACCACCTGCAACGGTCTCTCATCAGCGTGATATTCTGGATCAATGTCAATTGGTGGAAGGTTGCAGAGCTCATACTCAGCCAGATGCAACTCCTCTTCTCGATTCTCGCGGCCAGCTTCAGAGCGCAAGCTGATATTGCTGTTTCCAGAAGCCGGCCGTAGATCGCGCGTGAAGCTGCCACTCGCAAGCTGTTCCGTGGGAACATGAAGGAGTCCTTGAGGTGTCGGACTGCAGATGGCATCCTCTGCCCTGAGCATATCTTGCCTGAATCGTCGATGCCGAGCAGCAGAGTAGCCTGCGCGAAGTTTCTTGGTGCGTGTACGCCATATCTGTGAGGGAATATCAATCTCATCCGCCTCGCCTGCATCACTCGCATCGTCGGCCATGTGTGCCGTGTTGTCTTCCTGATCGTCACCGGGATTGTAGCCATTCGGAACGGTCTTGTCGCCTTCGGTAGGTAGTACTTGATCCGCCTTTTCGGTGAGTTCTGCAGTCTCGCTATCCCGCTCCTCCTTGTCTGCTTCAGCAACGATATGTCCGTTAGGTTTTTGTACCGTCTTTGCCTTTGCAGACTTGGATCCAAATGTGCCTCGCGTCGACTTGTTGGCTGGTGGTGGCTGCAGCTTGTCGTCTTCTGACTCTGCATCTCCATCATCTCCAAGGCCAAGTTCTTCCGCTTCCACATCGACTCGATCTCGAACAGTGATGTTTGGCACCATGCCAAGCAGCTGTTCTGATTTGCGCCGCATGGCATAGGCGTGCTTGCGCAATGGATGATTGGGATCGGCATTATACGTCAAGCAGTTTTGCCAAATGAGAAAGACGTCGTCTTGAAATTCCTTTTTGCTTTTATATTGCAAGTTTTTGAGATTTTTCATCAGGGTGCCGAGATCCATGGGTTGCTTGATGATGTTGTAGTAATCGGGGACATCTCGCTTGGTGACCTTGTTGAGAAATGCAGTCGAGTGCTCGGTATAACCACGAAGCTCCAGTACAACACGCTCAGCAGCTTCATACAACTCTTCTTGGCCAACTTTTTCCTCGTTTGCCCATTTACTGCGATTCTTGCGCACATCAGACAACAGCGTGCGAAGCTCATTGTCAGTCATTGCCAACTGCTCACGCGACTTGTCAATCTTGGCAATCAAGTGCTTGAGGGAGAGGTTGGCGGCACCAAAATTGACGGCCGAGAGCTTTTCGCGATCACCCGAGGTCGAGTCTTCTTCTACTTGACGGTCTGACGCATCGAGTTTGTGCTGTTCGAGCATTGCATGGCGATCATGTTCGAGTGTGTGGTAGAGTGTGTTGAGTTCGAACCGCAGGATTGATTCTTCATGCAATCTATTCTCTGCTGCATTCTGTACAGCTTGATGGACAGCTGCGCCATTGGTTGCTGGTACGTTTGCGGAGTCTGGATGTGAATTTGGGGGAGTAGATTCTCCGTCGCTTTCCTCATCATAGTCGTCATCGCCCCCTCGAATTGTTTGCGTTACTTTCGAGGTCATTGACTCTTGTTGATCCAAGGCTGTAGCTTTGCTGTCCACCACGTAGGGAGAGACAAGCACCGTGGAGCCATCAACTGGGCGTTGAAAGAGATCAGAGGCAATACTCGTCTCGTAGATCAGCCGCCGCGTGCGAAACAGTTTTGTAAGTTCATCCACTTCTGTCTCGGCAGTCGAGTCTGAAAGCCCATTCTGTGAGGAGTTGGCGGCCGGCGTGACCGGTCGACTCTGAACGGCTGTGATCTGTGGGTGGCTCACGACCGCGGGTTCCTGCCGAGTCGTGTGCGCATCAAGTGACACTTGAGTCCAAACATCGTTGCGAACAGCGACAGATGCGAGTAGATTTCTGTCCTCGACACTCAGCCGTTGTATCGCCAAGTTACTCGTCAGCTCTTCGGCGATGGCCTTGAGGAATTTCGGGTCGCCATTGATCCACCGTTTCCGCGCGGGATTCACCTGCGTCATCGAAAAGTACGAAGTGTGTCGATGCTGCCTTGTATCACGGCCTAGCACATGATTGTGCGTCTGCCTGAAGTATACGCTGGAGATGGAAGTGGAGCTTCTGGACGAGCCTGCCCGCCTGCTGCTTCCCTTCTCAAGCTTAGCGACTCTACGCGACCCTTTTGCTTGCCGTTGTGTGTGGTGTTGCTGTCCCTGTGCACGTGTCTTGCCTGGTCGCGTCGAGTTGCCAAGTAGGAAACGCTGGCAAGTTGACTACAGTCCAGTGCTAGTGCTAGTGCTGAGCGATGCAGGAGATACAGCTGCTGGGCCTCAAGATCAGGGTCGTGCCTGCTGCCATCTTTGCAGCGCTGGTTCTCTTTTCTGGCTGGGCAGGACTTTATATCAACAGCGGCACAATTCCAGTGCACGACAAAGCACAGCATGTCACACTCTTCTTCCTCATGGCGCTCTCACTCTACTGGGTCCTGGATGTGGGTAAGCGGAAGGCGACTCAGATGACGTTGGTCGTTATGCTTGCTGCGAGTGTTGGTTCAGAGTTCTTGCAAAGTGTCTTGACAACAAGGACATTCGATCCGCTGGATATCGGCGCAAACGTCGCAGGATCTATTGTGGCAATCAGGTACTTAGACTCACTCATCAAACTTGTGCTAATGCTAGTCTTGATTCATGGTATCATGGACGCATGCTTGAACGAAAGAGAATTGCCAAGTATGCGAATGTGCCGCTTGCAGGCGCCGATGAGGATCAGATTGGTCTTGAAGATGTGTCTGGAGACGATCAAGTGAATACTATTGCCAGGTGATAATGATGACTACTATTTACGCTACGATCACGAAAAGCGACCAACCTTCTTTCTTTGAACTTTCACTCTTTTCAATAATGCCTGCAGCACTTGTTTCACTTGGAGTTCTGCATGTCTGAGTCATCGCCTACGCAGTAACATGCTTTTGATTGCGTGAACAACGCTGTCTTGGCATGTTGTAGTATGCTGGATTGCCATGCTGTTGCTAGCCTTGCTTCCACATAAATTCGCACCGACTTTGTCATGACGAGTGTCCAACAAGTCGATACTCCATCCCAATGAGTCTTGCCACCTTCGTCCTCCCCAGCTCGCTCCGTCCATAGTCACTCCATGAAGCAGCAAAAGGCAGTTTCCCCTTTGCCTGTCATCTGAATGCTGTCTGCCAATTGAATTCTCCCGTTGCGCCACGCTCAAGATCACAGACAAGAGCAAACACACTCCCTCGTCCTTCCTGCTGCAGTGTCGGGCTCAGTCACTGCTCACGGCATCGCCTATCTGTTCGAAGCGCAGGGACACCATTCTTGACAGAAGGCCTGTCATTGAACCGCTCATTCATCCACATCAGTCACTTGTATTGCATGCACTATGAAGTTTGGCAAGAGTTTTGAGAAGCAGCTCGAAGATGAAGATATCCCTGCAGAATGGCGCGCAGCGGCCATCAAGTATAAGTCGCTCAAGGTATGTTTTTGTTTGTCAAAGACAAAGAGGTGGATGGCTAACTTGGTCAAAGAAATGCATTACACGCGTCGTTCAAGAACTCGAATCACTTGGCTTGAGGCCCGAGACGATCAAGGATCTGCTCGATACCTCTGCCGCGCCCGATGCCACACGTTCCTCAGGTGGCGCGATTGAATACTTATTTGATGGTACAACACGCTCCATTCAACCCAAGATTCGGTTTACGGTGGATACGACCGGTGCGCATATGGCAGAATTATCCTCGACCACGCGAACGGCGCTACGTGATTTACTGCAAAAGGCAGCAGCGAATGCGACATCATCCAAAGGAGAGGAGATGCCGTCGCTTGATCGTGTTGCTTCACATGGCTCCTCATCGTCTTCTGAAGCGTTGTATGATCCTGTTCAGGGTGAAAAACTAGAAGAAGAGGTTGAACGGATACGGCTACACAGACAACAACTCAAGCTCAAACGTCCGCCTGTTCTTGGGACTGCGTGCTCGAATGGTGCAACAGGAGATGAACCCTGTGCTGAGCATCGCGAGTTGCAAACCATTCAAATCAAGCTCGATTCGGATCTCGAGTTTTTCGATATGCTGAGTCAAGAGCTCGATACGCTCGATGCACTGGAGGAGCGAGAGAAGCAGTCTGTTGCAATCAGCATCAATCAGCTTGGTTCAGAAGTGTCTGCACTCGTACGACCGAATAACAAGGGCAAGTTGAATCCTGACCTTGAAGCATGGCGGAAACTGTTGCGATTGTATGAAGATGCTGGTGTCTTCCAACCTGTCTCCGAATCGCAACGACGCTCCCATACACCCGAAAAAGCAGCACGACAACTCGCGTGGTTTGCAAAAGAGGTGGAGCGAACGGGTATCCTTGTGACGAATGCCAAGCGTGGCAATGCAAAGAGTCAAGCCCTGTACAATACTTTCAACATCCTCAATTTGGCGATCCTTCGACAAATCAAATTTCACAGCATGAATCAAGAAGCCATGTCGAAGATTCTGAAAAAGTTCGATAAACGCACAGCATTGACGGCAAGACGCTCATTTCCTGACTTTATGGCATCTGATCCATTCTTTGGAAAAGGTTTAGCGCAAGCCATGTATGCTGCAATTGCAAGCAACATCCTCTCCATTGTGCCACAACTCGACGACTACGCGTGTCCGGTGTGTACCAGCATCACGGTCAAGCCGATTCGTCTCGATTGTGGCCACATTTTTTGTGTGCGATGCTTGATTACGCTGCAACTCTCTCGCGAGAAGCACTGCCCCATCTGTCGCAAACCGAATGTCTTGCGCGCTGATTCGAGTAATATTGATTATGCGCTGTTGAACTTTCTGAAGCAGTACTTTCCAGTGGAAGCGAAACAGAAGCAAAAGGAGAATGAGCGGGAACAGTTGAGGGCTGAGATGTTGGCAGCGGGGATGGACCCTGACAAGTCAAGCGGGTGTGTTGTCATGTAAATTGAGGTTGGCAGGTCAAGAATAGACGGATGATGAGGCTGCTTCTCCATCATTCAGCTTGTAGTCATTGTAGGACAATGTAGGTTTGTGGTAAGTAGCGGTCGACTGTGGAGCCGAAGCAGGGACGAGCTCAACGCATCACGATGACTGCACGATAACAAGCTGCGCTCAACAGGCACAAAGACCAGATCTGCTCCTCGGCTCGAGACTATCAAAGATATCCAACAAATCATAGAAAGTCACCCCGCGATGTCTTCTCGACGCAGCGCAACGCACACTGCCGGCGCAACATCCTCTAGCAGGCAACCTCCTACAAGCATGGCTGGGCCATCCACCACCACAGAGACTGGCTCGCATGGGACGAGTCCACGACGGACCCAACCACTCGCTATGAAACATGGTGCGCGCACAAAAGTAGAAGATAATCATGGAAGTCCTGCATCCACGGCAACGGCGACACCTACGACGACCACCAGCACGACGATGCGCAATGATCGCTCTACAGGTGTGCGCTATGCATCGTCTGCTGATTTTCTATCACCAACGATGCGTAGTTCATACAAGTCAGAGACATTCGACCTGTCCATGTCGCATGATGGGTATGGCTACCATGTGGGTGGCATGTCTCCCTCTCCTGTGATTGTGACGAGTAAAGCAACTGGCTTTGCATGGAACCGGGATGTGTTTCTTTCGCGATGGGGACAGGAGCGTGCTGGGCTGGAGGAGGACTATGGGAGTGCACCTGGACATGGACAGCGCGTTGAGGCGCATGAGATTATCCTGGACGACGAGGATTTGATGTTTGGGGTGTGAGTGGTGTGTCAGTCATTTTAGCGTCTGCGTCTGTCTCTAGCTCTGTTACTACCTCTCTAGCTCTACTAGTCTCTGCTAGTCTCTACTAGCCTACTAGTCTATCTATGTTTTGCTGCCATTTCCCGCTTATGTCAGCATCCCGCGCATTTCTCGGCGTCTCCTCGGGCAGAGAACAGATATAGACTGCAGTACAGTACACAGCATACAGTATAGAACACAGACAGTTCTTCCAGAAGAGACGGCCCGCACGGCAACACAACCGCGACCACATGTGAAACCTAGTGGGGGCCCAAGCAACGGATGCACTAGCACAGCACACACAGCACACACAGTACAGACTCCCTCTCCTACAACCACACTCCCTCAATGCAAGACATCCAACGAGCGGCCTACTCCCTCGACGCAGCACTCGCACGCACCCTCCATCCAAGCGACCATGCCAAGACCCACTATCACAACGACGACGACGACGTCCAAGACTACTTTGTCCCCCAAGCACCCAAACAAACCGCCTTCATCCCCCTCGAACGCGCCAACACGAGCAATAGTCGTGGCAAACAAGTAGTCAACACACGCGCAGCCATGTATCCACGCTACACGTATACTGCAAAAGCTGGTCGACACGGTGGCAATAGTCTGGATTCAAGTGCTTCGTCATCACCCAATGCAGGAATACCCACGTACCTCCATGGCAGTGATGAGGACCACCAAGGGTTGGCGACGCTGGCGAGTCATATGCATTTATTGACTGTTCATGTCGATCAGCAGATGTTATCTCAACAACGGCCCTTACAAGCCGTGACGGAGGAAAGGGATGGAGAAGAGCGGCGTGACGACTTGTCTGCTGTAGGATGCACCAACGCTGCCTGTTTGCAGGATTGTGCGAATCGTGAAAAGGCAGGCCGCGTACCTATCCCTTGTATAGAGACTAAAGTCGCGCTAGCGGATCGAAGACAAGCATTGGCACAGCAGCAGCAGGAAGAAGCGACCACTGAGCAGGATGAAGAGGTGGCGTATGATATGGCCTTGGTGACGCGGTGGGTTGAGTACCATCGTGCGTTGGCGGAGGAACAGCGCGAGCAATTTCAAGCACTGTGTAAAGGCACTACGCAAAGTGATTGATATAGACTAAACGGCTTTAATGATGATGACTGGAGACCTTTATGTTTTTGTTTGCAAACATTTTCATGATTCAGGGGCTGCTCTTCCAGTTACAAGCAGACGGAAACGAAAGAAGGACCTTGAAAGAGATCTATATACGCAACATGCTGTTTTCAAGGCGTACACCAGAGTCAGACGCCAAGACGGAGCGCAAAGAGCCAGAACGTCTCATTGTCAAGGCATTCATGCCGCTTCCCATCAGACCAGACCCTATTGCATTTAAAACCCCCAAACAAGTAGAACGCACCTTGCCTGGCTCCTTGGATGCCTTCACCACCTCCTCTGTTGTTCAAAAACAAAATCCCATGGCGGCGTGTAAGAAGCCAGTCTTGTGCAGGGAAGAACGTGTTCGAATCAGCGACATTGCTGAAGCTGATGAAGCGCATTTTGACATACTGGGACGCATGCATGGCCAGCTGCCATTCAATCCCAACGGAACGCAGACATCGTCAGAGACTAGCACAGGTAATTGACTTGTATATCCTTCACGTCTGACGCATGCGCCTGCCAATATTGCGACGCACATGCCAAGCCTGCCATCCAACACCTTCTCCAGCCTTCTGCGTCACATACGGCCTCTCACCACGTATGCCAGTTGCATTGCCAAACATGGCTGCAGCAGGTACTTCAATGCCACCGGACACAAGCAAGAGCGCGCGTTGTGCATCTTTCCTTGAATACTTGTCGAGTTGCGCTGCTGTGATGGGGGAGATGAGGTGGATTTTGCGCTGTGCAAGGTCAAGTCCTGCGACGATGGCAAGAGCAATACAGTTGCTTGAGGCAGGCGGTATCGGTGCTCCGTCGTTTTCGAGATAGGCAAGACCGTGCTGTGTGCGTGGCAGTGGTCCGTGCAACAGACTCTTGTCGACTTCAACGAGTGCCATGACTGTACCGTTGATGGCAGCAATCAGATCGAGCGGCTGTAATGATTCTCGTAGGATGGCAATACCATGGATCCCTGCTTCATCAGAATCATAGGATGTGACCCACGTATGGGTGCCTGCAAGCGGTCCAGTCTGCCAGCCATCACCAGATCGATGAAAGTATGTCAACAAATTGAGCGTCCTTGCATCGGCTGCGCTCATCGTAACAGCGTCAGTAGGAAGCGGGGCAGGCATCGCTTCATTGGAGACACCTTCAGGTAAATGTCGTTGTAAGTCTGAATGCCCCAAGTGAAGGACATGAATGCGCGTATCGGATAGTGCTTGCAGCGACGCTGCAATGATGGACGACAGAAGTTCTAAGCCGGTTCCCTTGACCCAACCAGGTGTATTGATTGTCACTACCGCCTGAGGGTATCGCTCAACGATTCGTATCAAATCGAGCGCACATTCGAAATAATGCGATGGATCTTCCTTGGCACTCGTCTCGCCAATCCAATGGGATCTGAGATGTTGTGGAGGTCTTTTCCAAATAGGACCCGTACTGAGCATAAAATGAGCAGGTGTCATCAGCAAGTACGCCGACATGATGCCAGGCGGTGAAAACTGGGGTTGACCGGGATCCAGATCAATGTACAAGACAGGATACCCTGAAGAGAGCGCCTTGTTGCTTCTTCTACGCGCCCAAGTCGACTTGCCACTATTCTTGGGCCCTGTAAAGAACGTCAAGTCGCCTGGTTTATCTTGCCATGCTAAATTTTCTTCTTTATATTGCTCAGGGCCATATCCAAGTAGAGAAGATTTGAGTCGTTCACTCGAAATTGGAAATAGAGCTCTTCCTTGTGGGTAATGCGCCAAGACACGCGGTATTCCATCGTGGCAGGGATGCATCAAAAACGTCACTGGCTCGTTGCTCCCTGTCTCAGCGGCAGAAACTGGCCAAGACTCGCTTTCTGGTATCTCTACCAGAATTGCATAATTCATTCGACCAAGTCTCGCACCTAGTAAGCAAAGACTGCCGGATTTGACAACCAAGAGAAAGCGACCACGCACTGAGATGACCTCAAGTTAGTGCCAAACAGCATCCATAGGCTCTTACCTCAGATGCAGGCAGCTCAACGCGAAGTGAACCTTCCTCTTCCTCTATCGTCGCTGGCAGTGGACGTTGCTGACCAGCAGCAGCGACGAAGCCCTCTCTCGAAGGGTGCACACTCGATTGACCTGTGCTGGAGGCGAGAGCAGCAAAGCGATTGACACCTGTATCCATGCCATCTTCAAGTTCACTGGCAGATCCATCAGATTGAGCAGCACTGAGCTCCTGCCCAGGCGACTCTGCATCTAGATCAGATGTGGTCTCGACAGGGTCATCTGAAGCGTTGGCTGCAAGAGCGAGAGCAGCAGCAGCTTGGGCCTCTTCTAGGGCAAGTTTCTTTGCAGCAAATGCTGAGAGCTGATGAGCATCTCCTTTGCGTTTCATAGGTCATGGAGCCATTGAGCATGGAATTGACTTGGTGTAGCTGGTGTCGTAGAAGGAGTCGTCACGTGGGCGAGTGAACGTCATTGACAGGACGAGGAAGGGAACGCAAAGCCAGACAGGACAACAGGAAGAGACCAGACTCGCAGCGACAGTTGCGATAGACATACAGAGAGAAGAGAGGGTCGCGGAAGAGAGACCGATTCTCCCAGTGACGAGCCAAGTCGAGGCGCTTCTTCCCAATTGGCACTCGGTCGTTTCAATCACATCACATCAGCCTACATGTCTTCGGAAAACATCCCTGCGGAAGTAGCCGCTGCGGACGAAGCAGTCGCACAGGGCGATACTGGCAAGTTCAAGCTCATCTTATCCATTCTACGACAGTAAGCATCCAGCCAAAATGCATGTCAGACGGCTAACCTCCAGATTTATCGGTATGATGGCAAATTGACATGACCACCATTAACATTCAGGCGTCAAGGATATGGCCAATGTGCGATTCAGTCTACCGGCTCAGCTGATTGAGCCGATACCCAATCTCGAATACTGGAACTACTGCGACCGGCCTGACTACTTTGTTGCGTAAGCTTGCCTTCTCTCATCAACAAAGCCTAATGATAGAATGGATGAGAGTGACGATGCTTTAGAACGTATGCTCGCTGTGTTGCGCTGGTACTTGACAAAAGATCTGAAACTTGTGGTAAGCCACTGCGCTGTGCTATACAAGCTAACCTCTAGCATGGTAAGATTTGCAAGCCATACAACTCAGTGCTCGGCGAGTACTTTCGCTGCCGATGGACAAGCACAAGTGTGCCACTCAATCCAGTGACTGCCAAACTGCTCGAAGGACCAGCTGAGCCTGCTGCGACCGCAAGCAAGGCATCCCGCTTCAAGCCTTCTTTTGGACGACGTGGCACAAGCACAGCTACACTTGCAAGTGTTTCTGCTCCTCCAACACGTCCCGTTTCCCCTACAGGATCGACAAAGTCGACCAATTCAGGTGTTGCTCGGGATATCACCGCCCCGCTTCAAAAACCCATTCAAACAGCCTTCTTGTGTGAGCAGACGTCGCACCATCCGCCCGTGTCTGCCTACATCTATTCATGCCCAGAAAAACAGATTGAAGCGGTGGGCATGGACCAGATTGCTGCGAAATTTACAGGGACCACCATCAAAGTCGAGCCTGGTGAGTTGAATGAGGGCATCTTTGTCAAGCTCAAGAAGCGCAATGAGGAATACCGCTGCACACACCCAACTGCGACGATCTGTGGTTTTTTGCGAGGCACGCTGTACACGACCATTCAAGATTCGGCCGTCATTACATGCAAGCAAACGGGTTTGCGGACCATTATAATTTACAAGGATGAGCCATGGATTGGTAAGCCCAAATTTCAGATTGAGGGTCTCATCTTTCGTTACAACCAAGATGAAGATGAGGATATTGTTACATGCAGAGATGTGCCTGAAGAGGCGATTGTTGCCAAGATTGAGGGTTCATGGAAGGGCAAGTACTACATCTCGAGTCCCAAATCGGCAGAGAGACACGTCTTGCTCGATGTGACTGATTTGCTACCTGTCACCAAGACCGTGCCACCTATGGAGCAGCAGCAAATCAACGAATCGCGCGTCGTTTGGGATCCCGTTACCAAGGCGATTCTTGCGCGAGATTTTGTACAGGCAACGCGCAACAAGACGGAGATTGAGGATCTACAGCGTACTGTCGCAAAAGAACGGGCTGCCAAGGAGGAGCCCTTTGTGCCTGTGTACTTCCAGGTGAATGGGGATGGGCGACCAACCTTGACAGAGGCTGGTAGGCGGACACTGCTTGGCCAATTTGACGCTACCTCTTAGATTGCTGAAGAGTTATTCCATGTACACTACAAGAGACCCCAGAAGCCGTATACATAGCTTAAGTATCTGCTTCATCCTTTCGCTACCCTCATTCGCCTCATGGTTGGCAGTCTGGTTGAAAATCCGAGTTTTTTGGGCACTCTACCCTTGCGCGGTTCTCCTTGAGAGCCAATGAAATCGCTTGAATTGAGTGCAAGAAAGGACCTAGAGAGCCAATCACTTGCGAGGAAGGCCAGTAAAGAGCCAATCATCTGCGAGAAAAGGGACAGCAGAGAGCCAATCATTGTCGCGATATCCTTTGCAGCGCGCAGTGCCAGACTGCCAGTGAGCTCCAGGGCGCAGAGCATACGCGTAAATTGGTTGTGAATAGCGACAACCAAACACCTCTGAACTTGCATCTCCTACTGCTTCCGTGCATAGCTGAAGCACATATTGCTTGTTGCCGTCTGAGTCTTCAGCTTCCTTCATCGACTGCCGAAATGGTACCATAATCATCGTCCTGTTCCAGAGATATGGCCAGGCCCGCCAGACACTTTAGTTTCGTCAAGTGCTGCGCTTCTCAGGCTCTCAGCACGTCACATGCAGGCATCGTTGAAGCTAGTGCAGAATGTCAAGACACTGTCGCGTCGAGCAGTCAGGCCAATCAGGTGCCAAGATTCTATATTTTACGCGTCCTGGACGACTCATTTCATTTGATACGTTCTCGCTACAATTTGCGTGTTGAACGCTGGCGTCACGGCATATGTTGGAAAGGTGGGTACAAGTTCGAGCTTTAAGATCAGCTCAAAATGCTCCACATTGAACTTGGCATACCTGTCCCAGAAGTACTGCGTCACTGGGTTGTGGTGGATGAATACGCTGATCGCGATTCTCTTTATCTCGACCAACGATTTGGAGTAGCCTGCCTCTCCCCGGAGCTTTGCACATCTCACGGTTTTCAATCGTATGCAAAAGACGAACAGGTCCACGACTATCTCGCCAGCCAGTTCGGAACAAAGTGTGCAGTTGCTCCCGTGACAACTAGAGCAGAAAGGGATTGATGCAGATTCGCTCTGGACGAATGGCAAAGGTCAAGTGGGCGTCAAAACATATTGCCTTCGGCTGAGGGCTATATGCACATCACCAGAGCTGTCAACGAAAAGGCTGATGGGCAGACCATGCAATACAAGCTCGTCGACCATGTCAGAAAATTCTTAGAGAGTGACGAGAAGAAGAGGATGAACGACAAGCTGACAAACTTCTTGCACTCGTCCACGATGCGGCGAATAGCGGCTGGTTAACAGGCGAGGCTATCAACAGAAATGCGTCATCTCACTTTAAGCGACCCTATTGTGTGCAACCTTGGACCGACCAGACCGCCTGAGCAGCCTGTCAGGCATATGAACCTCGCCGCTCCTGCACCAGTACCGCGGCCTGTTGATTCCTCGGCGCCCGAAATTTTCATCCAAAAGGGAAAGCACTCAAGTGATATGCGCAGAGTCTGCAAGAGTTGCAGTCTCCAATCATGCGGTGCTTTGAAAGCAGTACATTGTGTGCTTCACCCCTCAAAACTTGAGTCGTGCTGAGCGCTCCGTAAAGTTAGGAAAGCTGAAGCCAGACATCTTGAGACTATGGAATTGCTGGCGTGTATTGCAGTATGAACGCAAGAGGAATTCAGGATTGACATTGCCTTCAGCTTGCACCACGAATTGTATAACACTGTTTGACAAGCTCTAATCTGATATAGGAAGCAGGTCAAGCAAGCTGCTTGGCTTCCTTCAATCTAACGCAAACTTCATTACATCCTGAAGCATACATTGAGGAACGGATAGTTTGCAACGCGTTTGTTCAGGGTACTGATAGGTCGACGAAGATGCAGTCGTTTGTCGCCGAGCCATCTGATGATTTGCGCTCATTGGAGGTTCGAAGCAGGCGACCATGCCATCAGGGAAAAGCAGTCACCAACAGAATCGATGCTATAGAGAGCTCCAATACTTACCCAAGGGTACTCATCTTTGCATTTCACAATGAACGGCGGCTAGCGATGTCATTTAAACCCATGAAACGTCTATATAAACCGCCTAGGGCGCTTTGCGCCCCAGGCATGGGAATATAGCCGAATATAGCCGTTTTTTGCTGGAATCATCTGTCAGCTCGACGACAAAGACAGTGCATGCTACGGACATCCTCCCGACGACTTGCTGCCATCTCCACTGTCTTTGCCACTCAACAGACTCTCTCTACAGCACCCAGCAAGATGCCGCAACACAACAAAATCATCATTATTGGTTCAGGCCCAGCAGGCCATACTGCCGCCATCTACCTGTCTCGTGCAGAACTCAAGCCAGTCTTGTTTGAAGGCATGCTTGCCAATGGTATTGCTGCTGGAGGCCAACTTACCACCACCACAGACGTTGAAAACTTTCCCGGGTTCAGCAAAGGCATTGGTGGTCAAGAGCTCATGGAGGAGATGCGCGGACAAAGTGAACGGTTCGGTACAACCATCATCTCAGAGACGATTGCCAAGGTCGACCTTAAGAGCAAGCCATTCAAGCTATGGCGTGAGGGAGAGGAAGGCAAATCAGAGCCAACGGATACCTGTGATGCACTCATCATTGCAACCGGTGCAAGTGCTCGAAGGATGAACTTGCCAGGAGAGGAGACGTACTGGCAAAATGGCATCAGTGCTTGTGCCGTCTGTGACGGTGCTGTGCCCATCTTCCGCAATAAGCCATTGGCTGTGATTGGTGGCGGTGACTCGGCGGCAGAGGAAGCGTTGTTCTTGACAAAGTACGGATCGGAAGTCTATGTTCTGGTTCGACGCGACGTGCTGCGTGCTTCTGCTGTCATGAGCAAGCGGCTGCAAGCGCACCCCAAGATCAAGATGCTTTGGAACACTGTTGCTGAAGAGTGCTTTGGCAATGACAAGGGCTTGCTCACGCATTTGAGCATCAAGAATGTCAAGACGGGTGAGGCTTCCAAATTGGATGTCAACGGTCTATTTTACGCTATTGGACATGACCCTGCAACGCAGCTCTTCAAGGAGCAGCTCGATGTTGACACAGAGGCGTACATCAAAACAACACCTGGCACAACAGAGACGTCTATTCCCGGTGTGTTTGCCGCTGGTGATGTGCAGGATAAGAAGTACAGACAAGCCATCACCAGTGCTGGTAGCGGCTGTATGGCTGCACTTGAGTGCGAAAAGTACCTGGCAGACTCGGAAGATGCAGCAGTGCACGTCAATGAGCTCAAGGGATCAGGCGGTGAGAGCTATAGTGAGAATCCGCTCGTCAAGGATACGTAGAGCTGCATTTGTAGACATCACATTGCAAAGTGCCAAGCATGTCCAATAGACAAAGCAGCGCGCTCCGATTGTTGAACATATTGTCTGTAGTATGCATCTTGAACGTACGCGTGGTAGGGGCTGGTGTGGCCAAAGAGAGGCTACAAAGTCTACTATTGTCTTCCAGCGGGCAAATCTCTTTCAATAACATCCGTCACTAAATGATCACCAGGACTGCTTTTTGCAGCGTACGTTTTCTTTGACGGCCGGATCCGATATTTTGTCAAAGGAGAGAGTGGTGTCGCCGTGCTGGCCCGAGTCGGCCGCCGGGGGGAGATCGATAACTTGGTGTTCGGCTGGCAACAAGTTCTTCAGTCTTCTCTGAACGGCGACCAATGCCGACCATACCGCAATCATACGTCGTTCCGTCAGATCGCTTGAATTGCACCTTGTCAGACGTACGAGCACGCCAAATTACAACCGCACCGGTGGGAATTGTGCAGGTACCGGCTCCATCGTCCCAAAGGGGAAAATAGAAGATTTTCCCATGTTCCCGGCGACTCCAGCTGATGGGAAACGTACTTGCGCCAGCATCTTTGACTTTGGGTTGAAGGCATAAATCATTGGATTTGGCGACTAGATTCAAGAGGAGAGTTGCATCCGACGCAAATTCATGAGGAAGCGAGTCTATAGTGAGGCTCTCGCACCACTTCTTTCCGCTTGACTTATTTGAGAGGGCGATAGTTCGCCGCGCAATGATCGCGATTTGCATGCCCTCATGGCTAAGAGCTTCATGCAGTGCGCAGCTCAGCAGTAAAAGTATCCAAATCAACCCCATCTGACAAATTGGTGAGCTTTTGATTGGAAGGACCTAGGATCGTCCACAGGGGACTCTGCCTCAGCGCAGGTGGGCGTAGTAGACGTCGGTGAAGAGCATGGCTAAAGTTGACGCGTCACCCTTGATTGTCTCTTTGCTTCCATCTGTCGGACGCCTCACGCCTGCACTGAAGTCCCTGACAACGACGCAACCTTGCCCCTTACCACTATACGCTCTTGGCGCCAGCATCGAGCCCATTTCCCACTAGAACAGGAATCCATAGTCCCGTGCATGACAGCACTGGATTCGGATGAATGGGATGTCGAGAGGAGCGCGAGCTGCATCGTATACGAGTCGGCCATCAAAGCTCAGTAGTCTGACTCTCTAAGCCGCTCCTGTCGGTCTCGGGCTGGGTCGTTTCCAGCAGCTGCATAATTGCAAACATAAGCTCTAAGGGCGCTCTTAACATCAATTTCAGCGTCAGCTGCAAAAGATCTTGGCATGACATATGCGAATTGGGGCCAGTCGTATGTGGCTGAGCAGAAGCATTCATGAGTCGCGCCGGTCTCCATCTTGACCCTTGTGTTCTTCATCTAGCACGCTCCTGATCCTCTGCGACTTCATTCAAGGCAAAAAGCGCAGGAGAGTCCAGGGAGAGCCACAGCGTGACATTCGAAGCATCTTGATGGAGTCGTATGTTCATCTCTCTTGGAGACCTTTGTCAATATGGTGACTCAGTGGTGAGGACCTGAAGCAAACTTTCGCGCATGCCTCGTAAACTTGCCAGGGCACTTGTCAGGGAGGAGATTCGAGATCTGCACTTGCTCCTTGATTGCTTGAGCCTCTGAAGTCTGAACATTTCGAAAGTAGCTGTTGACGACAAACGGCCGATACGACCACGCAGTAAGAGAGCCGACGTTTTGAGTCTTTTGACATTCTATCCGAATATCAATGGACATGGAGAGTGTTCCCTAGTCGAAAGCGCATCAAAAGCGGATATGATTTCAGCAGTCGTTGAAGACTTCTCGACAAGCTGCTCAAATGCAAGGCGGTTTGGCCGTGCGGGCTAGTCCCGTTCCATTTGTTGATCAGGCCCATAGCATAGTAAGTATTAAGACAAGAGTATGTCCTCTCGGCCGTGTCGTACCTTAAAAGAGAGCTCTAGCTCCAGCTATACGTTGTTTAGTAGTAGTGACGAAATCAAAGCACGAGGCGGCGACAATCTATGAGCGCGACAAGGTTCAGACACAACTTATCTTCACCAAGCGCTCGTTACGCATACAACAATGCCAGGAAAAAAGAAGAAGGAACGGAAGCCGCCGCCTGGTGCTCGCAAAGGGAAGAAGACTACCCCGATCGGCAAAGGGAACAAGCATCGTGATGCGCATACAGGTACACTCCCAATAAGACAGCGCGGCCATTCCTGTCGTCATCTATATGGCATGCTGACACGCGCCTGTAGACTCGCCTGCACACTCAAGTCGAGTGCAAAGGACTGGAGTGCAGCAGAAATCATTTACACTGATAGATGAGGCGTTGGATTCTAGCAGACTGGGCTCTAAGCGGCTCTGGAAGGGCGCAGCGGCAACGTCTAAGCTACGGCATTCGCCTATCGTGTTCATCAGGGCAGAGGAGGTATATGATCCTGGAAAGCTGCTCAGAGATCAGATTGCAATGCGTGTTTTGGCCGAACCATCACTGCCTGATGCAACTATGTCTCTGGAGCTCAAAATTCCAGTCGATGAGAGTAAGGAGCAGCTTGCAGATCAACTCCTAGCAACACTTCATGGAGATGTGCCTGTTGCTGTCGATTCTCAAGGTCAGCCGGAGCATTTGGCAACACCTCTACTGCAGAATGAGCCTATCGTGGAGAAACCTGCTGTTGAAGTCAATAACGAGCTGATGAACCCAGCAATTGAAGGCGTGTCTCTTGAGGAGGCCACCGAGGTCGAGACTGATGAAAGCCTCGTTCCGGATGTCACATCGCTCAATAATCCCAACCGCACAGTGGACGCGGCCACAACCTCTCCGCCGGTTGATATGGACGCACTCCTTGATTCTATGGCAGTAGACGACGAGCTTGATGATCAGGCTTCAGACGTTGCAAATCAAATGGATGAAGAGGATGAAGAAATCACGTCTGATGATTTTCAAACAGCATCGAGCGACGAGGAACTGGATGAAGAAGTGTCTTTCTTTGTAGACACGGAGGGAGACACGACTTTTGCATCTACAGAGATGCCTACGACTTCAACTCGACCGCTAAATATGACAGCTGCATCCACACCCGTCGGTATGGAACACAGTGGAATATCTACACCATGGGCCCGCACAATTGATGACCCCGTCTTGGTAGAAGTGAACGAAACAACTACGACAGCCAGACCGTATTCAGGACATGCCTTTGCAGAGACCCAATCGCGCGGCAAACGCGGCGGGCAAAGGAAACGGGAAAGACAGCAAGCCGCGCAGGAACAACTGCGTATGGATGAAGCTTATGCCATCCACCTCGATTATATGGAGAATTCGCGCTGGAGAGAAGATGAAGATGCGGCAGAAGATGACGAGGACGAAGCGCCTTTGCTGGCACAGATGCTGGCGGGACTCGGTCCAGCCAATGCCTTTGGCAATACGGCTATGGACAGCGATGAAGAAGACGACGAGGATAATCAAGAGGATTCGCTGGACGAAGACGAGCTTGAAGCTCCTCTTGATGCAGAAGAGAACATGTTTACGCTCAACTACAACAAGTCTTCGCGCAATCGTTACAATGATTTTGCCAGCGATGCGCTCTTCCATGACGATTTTAATGTTTACGACTACAACTCTGCAGGAGAAGATGATGCCGAGTCCTTGCCAGACTTGCCGGCCTCTGGCGCTCGTCGGCGGGACCTGAATCAATTCGTGCAAGACATGGATTTGTCGGACGAAGAACTTGAAGCAACACTCATTGCGCAATGGAAAGCTGACAAGGCTTCCAAGAAGTCCAGGAAACGAGATCGTCAACAGCAGCATGCCGAAGGACTGGTTGGAAAGCGCGCAAAGCGTGCACGCGCTGCACATGCTGCCAATGCTGGTCATGGCTCTTTGAGTGAGTACCACACAATCATCAAGCATTTCGTCTCACACGCGGATTATGTGGGCGTGGAGCAGTTGCCTTTGCCTGCAATGGACCGCTCTATTCGCCGAGCTGTTCACATTATTGCCCAGCACGGATATAATCTGCAGACAAAGAGTCAAGGCAGCGGAAAGCGACGCTATCCTGTGTTGTACAAAACGAAGCACTCCTCGTCTGCCAAGAATCTGCCGGATGCCGTCTTTATCGAGGAAGTCATGGTACAAGCACAAAAGACTATTGGCTACACAAGCAGCACCAAGCGTCGCGATCCAATGCAGATCAAGACGAAGGGCAAGGGCAAGATTCCTGGCGGCGGCGGTATCAGCAGAGCAGCGGGGGCGGGCGCTGGTAAACTGCGCGATGGTGATATTGTTGGTGTGGATGCACCTGAGATTGCCCTGTCGAATCGTGGTCGTGCCATGCTCGAGAAGCTCGGCTGGAGTCATGGAACGGGCCTTGGCGTTGTCGGCAATATCGGTATCTCTATACCACTGACAGCGACAGTCAAGAATACACGAGTGGGATTGGGTACGTAGATGAAGAGACTATTGTATTGTATATATGCCCAGCAGCCCAGGTGTAGAAGCAGGTAGATGTTCAGATGGCTTTCTCGCTGACATAAGCTCACGTGCGAGACGTCACCACCGCGATCGTGCCGACGAGATTGAACCGACAGCACGGCCTTCAGGTCACATCCATCGATACAGCTTCGTGAGTGCCATTGCTTGCCTCACAAAGGTCCCGCTGACAATCAGATCATGTTGAGGACTATTCAGAGCAGGACTGCCACATCAGCACTTCGTCTGCGTTGTGCATCCACATGGGCGCACGTCAAGATGGGACCCCCAGACCCCATTCTCGGCGTGTCTGAGGCATTCAAGGCGGACACAAATCCTAAAAAGATCAACCTGGGTGTGGGTGCATACCGTGATGATAAGGGTAAGCCTTACGTGCTGCCATCTGTGCTCAAAGCCGAACGCAAGATTATGGAGCAGCAACTCGACAAGGAGTACGCCGGCATTACTGGTGTTCCAGCCTTCACGAAGCACGCTGCTGTCCTCGCATACGGTGCTGACTCAGCTGCCATCAAGGATGGTCGTGTAGCCATCACACAGTCCATTTCGGGTACGGGAGCATTGCGATTCGGTGGACAGTTCCTTGCACGTTGGTTCCCAAACAAGACCATTTACTTGCCAACACCATCATGGGGCAACCACACGCCCATTTTCAAGGACTCGGGTCTTGAAGTGAAGCAATACCGTTACTACGACAAAGAAACCATTTCACTCGATATCAATGCTATGCTCGAGGACATCAAGAACATGCCTGCAGGCTCGATTGTCTTGCTCCACGCTTGTGCACACAACCCTACTGTATGCCTACCTTTTTTCATAAAATTCAAGCTAATCACCAGGGTGTCGATCCGACCAAGGAGCAGTGGCACCAGATCTCTGACGTCGTCAAGGAGAAGGGTCACTTCCCCTTCTTCGACATGGCCTACCAAGGTTTCGCCTCCGGCGATACCGTGAAGGACGCCTACGCTCTGCGTTATTTCGTGGAGCAAGGCCACCAGCTCTGTCTCGCGCAGTCCTTTGCCAAGAACATGGGCTTGTACGGAGAGCGTATTGGTGCATTCAGCATTCTCTGTGCTGATGCTGAGGAGCAAAAGCGTGTGGAGTCGCAGCTCAAGATCGTTGTGCGACCCATGATCTCCAACCCACCTATTCATGGTGCACGTATTGTGTCTGAGGTGTTGGGTGACGCACAGCTCAACAAGCAGTGGTTGGGTGAGGTCAAGGGAATGGCTGACCGTATCATTGATATGCGGCAGGCACTCAAGACCAAGCTCGAGGGACTCGGTACAGACAGGGACTGGTCGTCGATCGTCAAGCAGATTGGCATGTTTTCCTTCACCGGATTGACTAAGCCGCAGTGTGAGTACCTTGCCAAGCACCACTCGATCTACATGACGATGGATGGACGTATTTCCATGGCTGGTCTCAACACCAAAAACCTTGACCATTTTGCACAAGGTGTTGCTGATGCCGTCAAGCAGGTCAAGTAGACATAGGGATAATAAAAGAAGTGTACCCTCAAGATTGTTGTAATTACTGCGGACCCTCTTCATCGCTGAGTATATCGTCTTGCTCATTGCCAACAGTCACATCTCCTAGATCAATTGCTTCGTCGTCGCTCGCTGTGACTGACGTCTCTTCATCGCTCATCACGCCAAAATTGTCCTCGTCTTGTTCTCCAGGCAAGCCAATCATCTCGCCGCTATCCAGACTGGTGCCAGCATCCGCTAAGGACGATTCTGTGTAGCTCATGGATGGATTGCTTTCGAGTGATGACTGGCGCTGCAGGTCCAGCCTGCCATTTCCAGTACGACTTCCATGATGATGATGACTTGTGCTCTTCCTGTGAAGCCGTGTTGGCAAAATAGGCGATTTCTGCTCGATAGAGGGTGAGAGTGATGGGCGTGACTCCATCACGCAGCAGACTTGAAGCGCACGCGAGTCTTTGCCAAGGACTTCCGCTACTTGAAGGTGTTGACGGAATTGCTGCCATGCAGCAAGATCACGAATGAGAAATCCAATGAGCATACTTGGATCAATCTCAGACAGATCCATCCGACGAACACGGCGTGTATGTGCACTATCGCGTTCTTCCTGAGAGTAGACTGCATTCTCGCCAATGAAGGGTAATGCAGGTCTTGGAAAATGAGGATCGAGGAAGAAGACTGCCTGACCTTGCTTGGCGAAGAAGTAGTGTGCCGAGGCCGGACGACCGCCAGCGATCCCAGCAAACTGTTCGAGTGAGAACAAGCTGAGCAGGGTTGAATGGTATCGCGGATTAATCTTGTCATGGCCAAGGCGCGACGGGACCAAGATGAGTACCGGCTTGAAGGGCGGATCTGGGTCAGGTACCAAATCGAACTCTCCGTCTTGGTCTGCTGCGGAAGCATGGGCTAGTTTGAGTACCTCTTCAGCGTAGATAGAACCACCTTGCTCGTCTGCAAGATAAACTGCCAACTGCGATGAACGTTGATTCTGATTAAGCGCTTTGATGCACTGACTTGCTGCTTGTGGGCCAAACCACTGTCCTGCAGGCTTATCACAAGCGGCAGCGCCATGTTCCATGAACCGATGAATGGAGAATGGCGCGCGCTCGTCGTCAGCAAAGAGTCGTAAGATCCGGGACTCGCCTTGTACATCGTCACCTCGCCGCCAGCTGCGCGATAAGTGCAGCGTCAGAAGAGCATTGGCAAGAAGTGTCTGCGCTGAGCGCACCATGCAGCCAAACCCTGTGTCCGCCGTGAACCCATCCTGACTAATCCTACCAGCCATTGAGCGGAATGTACTACTGCCAAACTCGCTAGGAGATGCTTGTGCCTGTCCAATGTTCTTTGGGATCTTTGGGAAGCCTGATCGATAGGTGAACCACAACCGCGCTTCTACATCATTGAGAAATCCGCGCGGCCAAGGAATGGTCTGAGAGCGCTCTGTAAGTCCAGTCTCGTTCGACGAAGCAGGCGCCGGGGCAGAACTGTGGTAGATTTGACCAAGACAAGCGATCGGCTCATGTGGGGTGTCATTAGCGGGTTCAGGATCATAGAGGTAGCGTTGAATGCCGCGATTGATGGCGCGATGGAGGCTGTCCATGCAGCTCGGCCTCGAGCTCCTGCGCCTGAGCCAGGATGATGCGCGACCGTCAGCGCTCGAGGGTGAAGAGAGCTGCTTGAGAGTCGACGCGGCGAATTTGAATTGAACTCCGCAAGTTTGAGGAGACGAGAGCAGCTGAGGCTTATCCTAGAGCTACGGACTATGAAGCCTTCTCTCCTACAGCAACAGGAGCGGGCCCAAAGAGCGATACCGTCATGGGATGCCCCAGTGCCTCTGACGGGAGAGAAACTGTCGAACCCTCCTTGTTGCTTACATAGCGAACCATACCACGCGGCAACGGTCTTGTCGCCCTCACTGTTGGCGCCATCTCATCGTCATCGTCCAGTGCTTCGTTCACTGACGCCTTGTAGACAGCGCCACGCGCCTTTGTAGCCTGTTTGTTGAGCAGACGGTTGATTGTCTCTTGCTTCTCCTCCTCAAGCTTCTTTTCATTCTGATTCTTGCGCTTGCGTGCATTCTCCGACTTGCGCAGCGCCGCTTCCTCTGCAGTCAAAACAGGCTTCACTGTCTCTCTTCCCGTAGGCAGCGACCAAAGTCCAGCAGATTGTTCTCCACTCTCCAATGCAGCATCACGCGCTTTTTGACGCTTCGTCTTTTTGGACTTATCAATCATGGGTTTCATCATTGTCCTGAGGATATCCTCTTCATCCTCGTCTGGATCATCATAGTCTGACGCGCCTTGGAGGTCTGGCTCATCCTCTAGCATTTCTTCGTCAAGCTCTGGTTCTTCTTCGTCAAGCGAGTCTGCCTCGGACAATTCGGAGGTATCGTCGCCATCAAGGTCAAGAACATCTGCTGCAGGCCGCGCTGCTGCTTTGGCTGCTGGCGGCGGAGCGGCCGGTGCGTTTGGTGCGCTAGGCTGTCTCAAGATGACGCGCTTCACCTTGTACTGTACTGGCGGTTCGGGCTCCTCTTCATTCTCAGAAGATGAAAAGTCGATTTGACGTTTGTTGCGTTTCCGTGTCTCCATAGCTTCTGGGCTGATGAGCTCTTGTCTTGAAACGAAGAGAGGGATGGTCTGGATCTAGATGTCGTCGTGGTTCTTTCGTCGACATTCGAGCAGCACAAATACACAACACGGAGCGACGCGCTGCAGCTACCATCTATCCATGCCTGTAGAGCTATAAGATATCAAAAGGAGCCTCCGACACCAGACATATAAGACGGCGTGCCTGGTGTATGGACAGCGAAAGCGACCCGCCGGTCGACACTGAGAAAGACTTTTATGCGCGCCTGGACGCGCTGCTGGACAGCTCCCTGTGTCCAGACGACCCAAAGGCCTGGCTCAAGCAAATCATACACACTCTGGCTCATCATGGCGCGGAATATTTGGAGAGCGACAAGGACGTGGAAGCGTGTTGTGATCGCATCTTGGATAGCAAGACCTTTCATACGCATCAAGAGGACTTGTGCGCAGCCCTGGTCTCGACGCCGATTGACATTGATCGGCCCGGCGAGTCATATATTACGCTCTATCTATTGCTGCTCTACGGTCAAGGGCATCCGAGAACATTCAAGCTCATGAAGCGTGCTGGCAGTATTCCCAGCATCATTGGTGCTGCTCGTCATTTCGTTCTCGAAAGCGTTCGATTCCCGAGGCTCGCGATTGCTGTGCTGTATGAACTTTGTCGGATGCAAAAGCTCTCCCGGACAGATCTTGCTAGCTTCGACCAAGAGGCGATCTGGTTCCTGATGCGCTATGTCGAATTCGGTCGCGACGAGGAAGACCCTTTCTCATACAAATGCATCAAGCTGCTCGTCGCTCTCAATGAACAGTACATGGTCTCTTCTCTTCCACAGACACAACAGCCATTTCCCCGATCGCCGTCAAACACGTCGCTGGCTCTGGCCGATAATGCATCTCAAGACCCACAAGAGAATTGCATCATCAAGGTCCTTTCTATGCATGGCCCGCGTTTCAAGTGCTTTGGCGAGAATCTTATCCGTCTTTTGAACAGAGAGCGCGATCCATCTGTTCAGTTATTGATCCTCAAGGTGCTCTTTCTTTTGTTCACCAACGAGGCCACATATGAATATTTCTTTACCAACGACCTGCATGTACTGGTTGATGTCTTTATCAGAGAACTGTATGACTTACCACTTGAGTCAGAAGCCCTGCGACATACTTACCTCCGAGTGCTGCACCCACTGTTAATTAATTCACAACTTTGTGAGCCACCGCACTATAAGGCCACGGAGCTCGTCAAGCTATTGACATCACTCAACGTCGAATGCAGTCATTTCGGACCTGTTGGAGCAACAACTGTACGATTGCTAGCAAGATGTCTGACAGTCCCTTGGTTACTACCACCAAGGAAACGGCGGCTTCGATTGCCAAAGCCACCGTCATTTCCTGAGCGGAAACGGTCTCTCGTCAATACGATACTAGGATTCAACTTGGGCTCACCCACAGAACCTGAGCATGAGCTTGAACTCTCTTCTTCATCTGCCTCGATCCGCTCCTTCGATTCCGTCACGTCAGTCGCAAAAGTCAAACCACCGCCACCGCTTCGCAAGAGCCTGGCACCGTTAGTCGAGGGCAAAACAGCACTGCCATTATTGACGACAACAACCAACGGTAAAAGACCGCCGCCACCTCCCGTACCGGATGTGAAACCATTTCAGGCGGATAAGCATAAGCCTCAGGTTCCTGAGCGTCGTCGAACACCGGCAGGTAGTATAGCGTCGAGTATGTCAACGACGCCGACACGTGGCGATGAGGAGAGGATGCATGATATGGCGACTGCTGAAAAGGAGATGGATCTCATCAAGGAGCTGGAGAGGCTGCAGACGTAGCGAGGATAGTGAGTAGTTATTCCTCGGTCTGTTGGGCTCCATCTGAAATTGCCGTCCCCCACACTTCAACTGATCCACCTCACGGAACGAGCTCTAAAACCATACGTGCACTGCCCAACAGCCAAGCAGTGTTCTCGACATCAAGCATGAGTTGTTTGTTTTGCCGAATAGTCAAGGGAGAGATCCCATCCTTCAAGCACGTCTCACCAAGCTGGAATTCGGTACGCCTGCTGACAGAATAGATTGATTGAGACTGCCAAGACCCTGGCCTTTCTTGACGTTGGCCCATTGAACAAGGGACATGCACTCGTCATTCCAAAGGAGCATGCAGAAAAGATGCACGAGCTGAGTGACGCAAGTCTTGCAGACTTACTGCCAGTCGCCAAGAAGGTCGCACTTGCAGTCGGCTCAGAGAACTACAATATCCTCCAAAACAACGGTATGCCTATCTACTGACTGTCTATCTCTCACAGACACTGTTGATACTCTGGTCGAAAACATTGAGAAAACTTGCTGATCACTACAGGTGCTGAAGCCCATCAAGAAGTCGGCCATGTCCACTTCCACATCATTCCAAAGAAGAGCATCAAGGATGAAAGTGAAGGGCTCGTCGTTGGATGGCCTGCTACAAAGGGTGAGTTTCCTCTGTGCTCCTTCGCAGGCTTCTAATAATCAGGTGACATGGGCGAGCTCAAGGCTTACGCGGAGGAGCTTAGGGCAAAGATTGAGTGACTCGCTGGACCCCATCTTTAGACTGCTTGTAGGATGCTACGAGCGAATCTATCTAGTCAGAGGCTCGCCATACTGCTGTGTGACTTATCCGAGAACTTCGCTCGCTCTTCCATCGAATGTCCACATGTACAGTGCTGCACCTTGATAGAGCCCTGAGACTATAAGTCATTGCCGGGCCAATGGAACTTCGTACAGTGGAAGTGGTAAATGCAGAGGAGGCCTTTCCTGAATTGCTGTTCCCTGCGCAAAGACATAAACAGCGTAGCACCTACACAACAACCCATGTTCGCACTCAGGAGCTTGAGCAAGAAGCTCTTTGGCACAGATACAAAGCTAGAGATATGTACCATTGCAGCGGGCCAGCTCTATCTCGTCAGACCCGGCGGTATCAAGGGCTTTACAGAATGCATCTTTAAGGATGCGCAAGCAACAATCAGGCGCACGTAAGTCTTGTCGCTGGTCTAGCGCATCAAGTTAACCATAGCAACACGCCCTATCACTACCAGCTCGTGATTGAGCGCGCGTTTGAGGAGGGCGAGGAAGATCTTGAAGAGGATGGACTAGGCGACGACGACCGCGACCTCAAATCATACCTACTCGATGAGAGTATTCGATTCTGTACGAGTGATAAGGACGGCTGTACAATATTCCAATGGCGCGACGTCGATGGGGATATGGGCGACTCATATACGTTTGTCTGTGATCCCTCAACCAAACCAGAAGAAGCGGCTACCTTTGAACTGGTCGCTGTGCAGTGTCTATACGAGCGCAAGTACCGCAAATCATACGAGGAAGCGACTGAGGAAGAGTTGGAAGAATTCCGCCTTGACTCCGTAGCCAGCCCAGTCACATCACTGCCTACGTCGCCAGGAGAGACCAAACAGACATTTCGGACGCTCGAGACCTCGCCGTCCAAGAACAAGCAGCTCGCCTCAACACCAGCTGCAGTGAGTGCACCTTCAAATGCAACTGAGGAACTCGTAACTGTGCAAGCAGAGCTGCATCTATTTGATGCTTCAGCTGCAGTCTTTGTCCTTCAGCATGAACTCGTCACGGCAACAGTCTCTGAAACTGGCAAGTGGGAGTATTGGCTCAGTATTCGGGATGCACTCGAAGCGGAAGGCAAGCTCTGGCTCGGTCAACCCATGGAGGCCGAAATGAATCCTGTCTTCAACTACGAGCAGCTTTGCTTCATTTGGAATTACTACGACGATGACTCCAATGCCTTTTCGTGGCTGCTCAAATTTAAAGATGCCAAGGAGCTCGAGAAATTTCAGGAGGGAGTGATGCGTGCACTATGGGAGCATCTCAATGAACTCCGATGGGGAAAGCAAAAAGATGACGAACGGGCTTACTTGATGTCTCTGCAAGAGGAAGATGAGGAGATGGAGCAGTTCGAGGAAGAAGAGGAAGCTGGGGAGTCCGAGGACGAGCAAGACGCGCCTGTACCGGCATATTATGACGAAGATGAGGAAGAAGATGAAGTTCCCGAAATGACGGGACAAGGGGAAAATTCACAACTGGCTGTCGGATACAAGCATGATCGCTCGTTCGTTGTTCGCGGCGACAAGATTGGCGTCTTTCGGCATACTGATGACAATAAGCTTGAGTTTGCGACCAGCATCAACAAGGTCCAAAAGCTCAAGGGTGCCAAGTTCAATCCTAGCAAGGTGATGCTGCACAATGAAGACACCAACATGATCTTGCAAGACCCGAATGACTCTCAGCACCTGTTCAAGATGGATCTCGAGTACGGCAAGGTTGTCGAGGAGTGGAAAGTACATGATGACGTTCCTCTACACACATTTACTGCTGCATTCAAATACGCCGGCATGACGAGTGAACAGACTCTTGTTGGTCTTTCAAAGACTGGCCTGTACCGAATTGATCCGCGTCTCGCCGGCACAAAGCTTGTTGACTCTGAATACAAGCAGTACAAGTCGGCCAACGACTTTTCTGCAGCTGCAACCACTGAAGCTGGCCACATTGCGGTCGCTTCAGCCAAAGGTGATATTCGCTTGTACGACAGACTCGGCATCAATGCGAAGACTGCTTTGCCACCCATGTCTGCGCCAATCATTGGCATGGATGTCTCTGCTGATGGGAAATGGGTCTTGGCAACGACCAAGACGTACATTCTGCTGATTGACACGACGATTCAAGAAGGAAAGAATGCCGGCAGCTCGGGCTTCACAAAGTCCTTTGGTAAGGATAGCAAGCCTCGGCCGCGCATCTTGCAACTTGAGCCTGAGCACGTTGCCATGATGCAAGGCAAGCTTTCATTTACGCCTGCCAAATTCAACGCTGGTGTTGATACAAAGGAAACATCCATCGTCACTTCCACAGGTCCCTTTGTCATTTCATGGACACTCAACCAGGTCGTCAACAAGAGTCAAGCGCACAAGTACCGCATTCGCAAATATGCCGAAGAAGTCAAGGCCGACAACTTCAAATTTGGCAGTGACAAGAATGTCATTGTTGCGCTGCCCAATGATGTGAGCATGGTTAGCCGGCGATCATTGAAGAACCCAACAAGGGAATCATTAAGTACACCAGTACGCCAGCTCAGATCACGTTCCAGTATTGTCAATTCTCCGTACTGAAGAGAACATGCTCCACGACTTCAAGGTTTCTCACTTCGCAAAATAGCGAATGTGTGGAACGGCAAGAAGCGAAAGTTACTCTACGATCACATGAACCATAGATTCTAATTTCTATCTCAGCATCATGTGGCCACTGTTGCCTTTGGCGCTGATTGTGTAGAGTCGGTAGACCCCGGCATCATGCGGATCCCTCGATATACTGGCCACTAGCCAGGACGGCTGGCGGTTGGGGCCATTTGTAATCTTGGCTGGTAGTCTAGGGAGTCAGAACAAACAACCATCATTCATCGACTGCATGCGCAGTTGCAGGCCCAGCAACACCACTGCTTTCTTGCTATAGATTAGTAATACCCAATCGACTGCAGCTCGTGGAGATCAAACCGAGTCAGCACCTGCTAGCACATTGGTACGGGGTTCAGACGTCTCAGCGCTCACTAGTACGCTGATACTATGCCACACACTACTGCCGCCTCTCGAGCCACTAGAAATGAGCTGGATTTGCTTAGAAGCTATCTACGGGAGCAAGGGGCTTTCGTGCAACCCTCTGCCAGCGAGACTTGTGCTCCATGCTTGTTTGTCAAGAAACAAGACGGTTCTTTACGTCTATGCGTTAACTACCGCGGCCTCAACGCAATCACTGTCAAGCAGAAAGCCCCTCTGCCGCCCGTCAATGAGATGCTCCTTCAATTACACGGCGCCAAAATCTTTACCAAGCTGGATCTGCGCGGAGCTGAGGATTTGCGCGTAAGTGCAGGTGACGAGTGGAAGACGGCCTTTGCCACACATCTGGGGCGCTTTGAGTCTAAAGTCATGCCATATGGCTTATGCATCGCGCCAACGATCTATCAAAGCATGATGAACAGAATCATGAAAGAGCTAATAAACGTGTCAGTTGTCGTGTATCTCGACCACCTCCTCATCTACTCTCGAGATGTCAATGAACACGAGAATCATGTCGAGGCAGTGCTTCGAATTCTGGATGACAATGCCTTGCATGTCAATAGCCAGGGGACCACATTCTCCGAAGCTTCTGTTGAGTTTTTGGGCTTCAAGGTGAGTGGCGAGGGTCTGTCAATAGACAAGCCCAAAATTCCTGTCATCACTCGCTGGCCTGTACCTCTGACTCGCCAGGATGTTCAGGTCTTTTTTGATTTTGTGAACTTTTACCGTCGTTTCATCAAGGACTACAGTGTCATTGTCAAGCCATTGAACAAGTTGCTTGCTGACGAAACGGCCAAGTTCAAGTGGACCGCAGAGGAAGACACAGCAATGAAGCAGCTGAAGCTGGCATTTATGAAGGCACCAAGTATGTTGTTCTTCGACCAAACGAAGCAGATATTCGTGGAGGTCGAAGCATCTGACTCTGCTATGAGCACAGCATTATTGCAGTATGGCGAAGATAAGCTGCTGCATCCCATCGCCTTTCGAAACAAGAATTTTACTGCGGCAGAATATGGCTATGATGTGCATGATAAAGAGCTGCTCGCCATTATCAGAGCATTGGAAGAATGGCGTCCATACCTGGAGGAAGCTGGAGGCATAATCACCATTTGGTCAGACTATCGCAACATGGAAGTGTTTACTACTAAAGAAAAGCCTATCACCAGACGTCACGAAAGATGGCACGAGAAGCTGTCCCAGTACAGCTTTCGCATACACTCTCGCGAAGGTAAGCTCCTTGCCAAAGACGACATCTTACCACGAGTACGGGCATTGCGACTCGGCGAAAGAGATTGCAATTCTATTATTCAGACCTTTCTCGACCGTGATCAGCAGGCCTGAATGCTGCCGGGCAGTGTCGAGTACTCGTGCGACGACGATGGTCATGGCGTGGTGAAGATTAGGTTCACCCAGCCAGCCTGGAGAACAGCTTTTTTCTTCATCATCAAGCTGTTTCAGGCCGGAGACATGCAGAAGACCCCCTTTTCTGTTGCAACCAATGCTGAAGTATAGTCGTCTTCTTGTATTCTCAAACCTTTTCTAACATGACTTTGGCTACTATCAAGAGGTCCGACACATTGCTCCTGATCATGATCCATGAATGAGACGGTCCATTCGCTCTATAATTGGTACTTGTTTCGTAATGCTCTAGATCACTAGACGTTCGAAATTGAAAATTCAGGGGTTGCCTAAGAGCATTGAACTTTGGCGCGGACGAATGGCGACACTGACACGACATTTCTTGACCTCTCTCCTTGAAAAGACGCTTCGCGCAAACGAAAGCATTGGCTTTCTAGGTCACTGCATAGGGAGCATGGTCGCTCTAGTGGCCAGATTTATTCATAGCAAGCGTCGTATCAAAAGCGATAAGTCAGGAGAGGCCGGCTGCCAGCAAGTGGACACGTCCACCTCTCTGACCTGTTCCCACCCGTCTGCTCCAGCTGAAAGCATCAAAGTATATACCAAGGTAAGCATGCCCCAGCCTTGCATAATCAGCGCACTAACACGCTATCTCCAGGTGCACTATGCGCGCCATTTGTGTGATCAGCTCTATTGTCATGTTGGCAACGCCTTCGACAATCCCCAGGACCACGGAGAAGTGCTTGGGCGCTGTGCCAATCGACGGCACGAATGATCTTGTTGACATCGCACAGCACAGCATGTTTTGTCCTTCAGGGAGCTTGCAGATTACAGGCACGGTTCTCAAGCTGGATATCAAAAAGTGCCAACCCGGCACTCTTGTTGAATTCAAGCCAGAGCCACGCGAATGCTGGGTCATATTCCGCGATGATCCACTTAAGAAGGTTTTCTGGTATTGTGCCTCAAAAGGTTCGAAGACACGCCTCTGCAAAAAGCATTCCTGCTACTTTCGTGTCGTCGAGGACGGAGCCTACAAGGATGGACGCGTGCACGCTGAGAACTGCAAATGAAGTAGATGCCCATGTGTGGCAGACTTTTGATGCCCTTCTAGCATACTTCCCGTAGCAATCAATTCCAATGAGCCGCAAGGCTTAGCAAGTCTGAGATGGGCTGACCCGAGACTGAAGCGGAGAAGCTTAAGCTGTGAGAATTGAGCTTTGAAGACTGTGTCAGACTGTCAGTAGCAGGATAGGAGCGGCATATCACTGCATAGAGAGCTGATTTACCGGATGCCGAGCCTGACAGTGAAGGCCGGATGCCGTGGCCGCTATCTGCTATCTGTTATCTCTTGTGTGTCGGGAAGTGGAGCGAAAAGGACAAATCTCAAATCTCAAATCTCAAATCTCACTTCTGGCGGCAGTCAGATCAACAAGCACAGAGCAGCCAGCGCCAGAGAGATACAAGCATGCATCCTGTCGTCGCCCCTCAGTGCTAGTCATCTCCTCTTCTCCATTCAATACAATATGCCACCCAAGATACCAGTACAGGCGCTGGACGCTGCTCAACAAAAGGAGGCCGCCCAGCACCTGACAAAGACCACCAATACCCTCATTCTGGACTATCTCCTATGGCTGTCTGCTAAGACTGTCCTTCATGAAGCACGCGGCCATCATCTGCGACAACCGCGGCCTGTTTCTAAAGGCAGGCGCCTGGTAGGCCTGGTGGATGGCTTGATTCTCTCTTTTGAACACAGCGCACAACCCAGGCTCCCCTCACAGAAGCTAACGGAACGACTGCATCTCTCTGCACTCGTCATCTTGTACGTGTATCGAGATGCATATCGTCTGTCCCGTGGAACGCGCGAGACACATGAACGACGCCGGGAAATCACGCGTCATCGTACGCGTCAATATCTCAACGCGCGACGTGTCGAGCACTGTCTATCTGGCCTCGCGTCACCTGCTCAAGCTGCTCGTTTCTCTTCTGAACCCAGTCACTGCCCGCGTGCTATCAGACAGGAAGCTGCTACTCTCTTTGGCTTGAACCCCGAGCTCGACCTGACGCACAAGGATTTGGCTGGGAAACCGCCCATGCTCTTTGAAGCCCTTGAAGGGTTCATGATGGTCTCTGCTGAGCAATTTCGCAGCCAGAGAACAACACCTGCTGCCATGTGGACGGATATGGCGAGTGACTTTATGCTTTTTGCGTGTCTCGAGGCATACCTCGTGTATGGCGCGACTGGTATGGGTATGCTCAATGCTTGTTTCGCTTGGGGTCGGAATGGAGAGACTGGCTCTGATGCATTGAATGGCCTCTTGAAACCACGTTCGATCCAAGTGCCTCATTTCGCTTTACTGGAGCAAGGCCAAGCAGCCAGATTGGCATTACTCGTTGCAAATCTCCCCTTGGAGGGCGCCTCCCCATCCGATCCAGTCTTGTTGGAACACATGCTGGAAATTGCAAAGGAAAAGTTGTATCCGGATTTCAGGGATCAGGTGCTTTCCTACCTTCATGCAGTCTTGTCATCGATGAGTGAACCGGATCTCAGCGCGTACGGTGCAGCTAGTGCGGAAAACAATATTCAAGCGCCAATACTCTCCAAGAGCGTCTTGACAGCACCTGGAGAGATTCTTATAAGCCATGATAGGGAGGCAGAGGACCGTCATGCGGACCTTGAGCGTGAGCCTCGCATGACAGCCACCCAAGCAGAGCAAAACATGGGCGCTTATTATGGTCAACATGGCAAGAAGCGTGATGCGCCTGCTGGAGGTGCAGAGAGCAACAAGAAGACACGCGTCTATGTGTAGCCCATCGAAATCAGCTTGTCGTAGAGATTGAGAAATCAAAAAATATACAAGTCTCATCGATTGAAAAGGATGATGGTCGGGTCATGTTCTTTTAGTACCCACCACGACCTCTAGGAGTGAATCCACCCCGTCCTCGCGGCGCTCCACGACCTCTTGGTGTGAAACCACCACGACCGCCAGGAGCCCCGCCAAATCCGCCACGGCCACCACCTCTACCGCCGCCAAACGACGATCCACCACGGGGTGCACCACGCCCGCCGCGCGCACCACCACGAGGTGCACCACGACCAGCAAACCCACCTCGCGCACCTCCACGTCCAGGCTTCTTGACGCCTGCGATCTTGGGTTGTGGTAGGAAACGCTCGATTGGGAGGAGCTTGTCACCGCCGATAAAGCACTTGTCGCCTTCCTTGAACGACGTCGCTTGAATACCTTCTTGTGGCTTGACTGTAAAGTAAACTTGATTCATCGGCCCTAGGATCTCATCGACTTTGCCGATTGGTGATTTATTGGCAAGGAAGATGGGAGCATTGAAGTAAGGGATTTTGGTGTGCGTGGATGAAAAGACAAGGTCACCTTCTGAAGGGTGCATGAATGTACCGAGCTCGAGGACTTGGTCAGGGATCGCATTACGGTCTGTTTGTAGGATTAGCACGTTGATGCCAATGGTTGAGAGAGAAGCATACCGGCAAAACCACCGCCTCCGCCAAATCCACCACGACTGCCACCACGGCCGCCGCCACCCCTTGAGAAGCCTCCACGTCCACCTCTGAAGGACATGCTTGCTTTATAATTTATAATGTAAGAGAGGCTGCTGCTGGTGTGGTGTCTTTTCTCTTTCCGAAATTCATAATTCTCACGGCAGCACCAGGGGGAAATACTCTACATTACTCTAGTCAGGTACTTACAGGCGACGGGACAGTCTGAGCAGTGGTAGTGGCAACTGCAGCAGCAGCAGGAGTAGAAGGAGTAGTCAGCACAGGCGCACGCACAGGAACCGGTCCAGGCTGCCGCACAAACAAATCCTTTGCAAGCGGCGAAACCTCTGGATGCGGCAAGACGTGATCGCGCGTCGACAAGACAGCCTGATCTGCAGTCGGTGGGAGAGAACCTGAATAACTTGCTGCATAACGCGGTATCAGATATCCTGTGCGTCTTCGTTTGTGCTCGGCCAATATACCGGCTGAGAGACCTTGTTTTAGAATTGCACCGGCAAAATACTGCTGCAGCTGCTGAGCCAGCGTTTGTTCTTGTGCTGGTATCGGCGTAAAGGGATTCTCCGTGAAGCGCGCAGTTTGTAGGGATGCAAGTTGTGCAAGGATCAGTGACGGATCCGCTTCTGGTTCATATGCAGTAATGAGTGCTTCATCGAATTCTGTCGTGCTGGTCTGTGTCTGTTGCACACCAGCCATAAACTCGTCGGATACTTCTTGCGCCTCTTGAGAAGCAGCGTGTCTCGCGCGCCGTCTGCTGACGCGTAAGGGCAGCAAGTCTTGCTCAGCAAGCACGGCCCCACTGCTATCAATCGTCAATTGTTTTCCAGCAAAGGGATCAGTCTGCTTGACTACCTTGACCACTGGCATTGCCTTTGTGCTAACCGACAAGATGGATTGTTTCTGCGGTGCTTGTTGGCTTGTATGTAGATCCATCAACAAGCCCGTCTCTGATGCTGGTGTCGGTACAATGCGCGTCATATGGACACCTTGCGGCAATTCCACATCCAGTGCCGGTTCACCTGGTAGTCGACGAGCAACAGAGGAAAAGAGCGGACCAGCAAGACTCGTCAACATGAGTGCTTGCTTTTCACCAACAGGACGTGCCGGTAGATCGACCCCTGCTGCTTCTTCTTCTTCCTCCTCTGCAGCTGGGTCGTGTTTGACCTTTATGATAGAGCGTGCTTGCTCTGCATGGATAATGTGCTTGACGCGCGCATACGTCTCTGCAACGGCTCTTCGCTCCGTCGCGCTTGTAATGTATCCATAAATACTCGCAACACTCGCATCAAAGCTTTTGCCAGCCATCGATAAGCTCGAGAGGCTCTCGTCGTGCAGCTGTTGCCGCAGCGAGGAAGATGAATCCTGTGTATGGTCGAGGATGCGCGTGCCCTGTGGCAGTAGGTCGAGTAGCTGTTGAAGCTGATTTAGCTGTGCTTGTACCTCTGCACTGATGACTACAGATGGCTGTTCGCCTCTCCTACGCTTTGTCATGGCCAGTGTTTGTAGTAGTCTTTGCTTGAGACTGTAGCTACTCGCTGGTCTTGTTGCTGTTTGTTGCTGCTCCCGTGCGATTTGGAAATTGACCAGCGTGGCCACTTGACTCGCACTCTGCACCAGCTACACCCCATCCTACATCAGCTCCACAACGAGACAAGGCCTCTGGCAACCATTACTGGCACCTGGGCCACATCCAGATGCACCTCTCCTGGCTCAATGCTCTCTTCCTAGCGCTCCTAGCAAACCCTTCAGCCCTCATCGCAGCACAAGGCGATGAACCTGTGCAGGCGACACTCGACAAGGCAGATAGTCTCCTTGCACGCGGCAAAACCGCAGATGCCCTCACCGTCTATACCGCAGCCATTGATAAGGACCCACAAAACTACCTGACGTATTTCAAACGCGCAACCGCATACCTTGCTCTCAACAGGCATTCTGCTGCGCTGGGCGATTTCGCAAAAGTCCTACAAGTGAAGCCAGGTTTCAAGTCTGCCTTGACGCAAGTTGCAAAAGTCAAGGCATCCTTGGGACAATGGGATGCAGCGGCAGATGCATTTGCGAAAGTAGAAGGGGATGTAGCCAAGACGATGCTCGCATCGTTGAAGGACGCAAAGCGCGCCGCAGAGGAAGCGGAGGTGCTGCGAAAGAAGGGCGATGCAGCAGGGTGTTTGGTGGCTGTTGAAAAGGCGATTGACGTGGCGTCTGCTTCGTCGCAGTTGCGCTACCTCAAAGCGCAGTGCAGTGTGATGGCTGGACACTTGGAGGAAGCTATTGCTGATCTTGTCTTTGCAGGCAAGGTCAATCCAAGTGACGCGCAGGTACAGCTCCTCTCATCGGCATTGTTCATGTTTGCATTGAACGATCCTGGTCGTGCCATTCAGCAACTCAAGGCATGTCTCCACTACGACCCAGATGCCAAGGCGTGCAAAAAGTCATTCAGACAATTCAAGGCATTGCAGAAGCAAGTGGATGCACTCGACAAGGCTATTGCGGCAGGTAGTTGGATTACGGCAAAGAAGCTCATCAAGGGTACCGCGGAAAAACAAGGTGTGCTGGCTGCAACTGACGAGCAAGTTGCGCAACTCACGACGGAGGGGTTGTTGAGTGCTGCTCTCAAGATGGATCTACCCCTTGCCATCAAGGAAAGGGCGTGTGAGGCCTTTACAGAGACCAAAGAAGCGACGGCCATGGAACACTGTGATGCAGTGCTCGCCCAGCATGATACATCCCTCACGGCGCTGCGCTGCAAGGCCGAACTTTTGCTGCGTGCTGAGAACTATGACGGGGCCATTGACTTGTTGAACAAGGCAAACGAGCATGGTGGACGGGAAGACGACAAGGTTCAGCAGGCGATGCAAAAAGCGCAAAAGCTGCTGAGACAGAGCAAACAAAAGGATTACTACAAAGTCTTGGAAGTTCCCCGTGATGCTACCAAGAAGGAGATCAAAAAGGCGTATCGCCGGCTGTCCAAGATCTGGCACCCTGACAAGTACCATGGTGATTTGAGCAAAGCTGAGCAAACTAAAAAGATTGAAGCCATCAATGAGGCGTATGAGGTGTTAACGGATGATGGCTTGAGGCAGCGCTTCGATAATGGCGATGATCCTAATGCACCACCTGACCAGGGACACAACCCATTCGCTCATCATGGCGGTGGTAGTCCATTTGGACAGCCCTTCTTCTTCCAGCAGGGCGGCGGTGGTGGTGGCAATCCATTTGGTGGCCAGCACTTTTCCTTCCAGTTTTGAGGCGACACTCATGTTCGCTCTCAGTCATGCCCGCAGTAGCCTTTTCAATTTTGATGAGCCCGTTTAGACAATTAGACTTATGAAACCACAAAGCTCTCATTGTGCCTGGTCCTGGTTGCTGCTACGTCACTAGCGACAAGAGTTGGAAAAACATGAAAACAGACACCAGGGATCCCCCTCCTCCACATCTATCCACGGCCAAGCAAGATGGCCCCCTCAAAGACAGCCAGTAAGACTAGCAGCCGCTCCTTTATCTTCATCACTGACACATTATAGAACAGGCAGAATCGAAATTGCTCGACTATGTCAACGACACGAAACACTTCTCCATGCGTATATCCGTCAACCAAAAAAGAACAAGGCCAATCTAACAATCAGTACGCAATTTACACATGGCAGACTACGTGACCCTTGTGAATGGCTTTTCAGGCGTCATGTCCATCTTCTCTTCCCTTCGATACTGTGCTTCCCCCGTTACCAGTATTCCAGCCGTTCAATTTGCTAGTCTGTCCACGACTGGGCATTACAGTACAGGCTACCTCTACGCTGCCATGCTTTGGATCGCACTCGGCACATTCGCTGATGTCATGGATGGCAAGATTGCAAGGATGCGTCACAAGTCATCGCTCGTTGGGCAAGAACTCGATTCCCTTGCTGATTTGGTTTCCTTTGGTGTTGCACCAGCAACTGTTGCATTTGCCATGGGCATGCAAACGGTCTTGGATCAAATCCTGCTCGGTGTGTTTGTCTTGTGTGGCTTGACGCGGCTTGCACGATTCAATGTGACGGTGGGGAGTATGAAGAAGGATGAAACGGGCAAGATTTCGAGTTTTGAGGGAACGCCCATTCCAACGTCGTTGCTACTCGTTCAAGTCATGGCATTTTGGACATTCAAGGGATGGGTGAGAGAGGCATTGCCTTTGGGCGTATGGAACGTGCTTGGTTTGGAAGTACACACGGCGACGTTGTTGTTTACGTTGCTGGGTGCTGCGATGGCTAGCAAGACACTCAAGATCCCAAAACTCTAAGTGTCAAGACGCCGGCCTCTCTCATACTGTTCAATGTTACTTGTATACACAGAATGAAAGAGAATGTCCTTTTTTTTTTAATATGATATGACTGTGAGAAGGTATGAAAGAGACAGGCGCCGAGCAGAGGATGTACAACGTGTATAGAAAAGAGCGCAAAAAAATCAACCCCGAGGCCAATCTCAATTGACAACGCGAAGGATCTTTCGCGAGTAATCCTGGTTATCCGCAAAACTCTCTGAAGAATCACGTCGCATGGCAAGACTTGTATCCAAGCGCGTATCAGCAAAACTACCACCGCCATTCCCTTGACGTGCCAAGGTGCCGCCCGCGGCAGGTTCAATGTGACGTTTGTATTCTTGTCCTGAGAAGAGGGAGCTTTCATCGCGTTGCTGCTTTCGCTTCCATAAAAAGATACCAGCGCCAATGGCAGCGAGCAGGGCAAGCACACCAACAATGATACCAGCAATCGCACCACCTGACAAGCCGCTGCTCTTTTGGCTGCTGTTGCTCGTTTGTGAAGAGGCGGAGGAGGAGGAAGAGCTCGAGGGCTGTGCAGTTGGTCGCGCGGTGACTGTTTGAACAACCGTCACGCCTTGTACCACAGCTGTTGTGATGGTGACAGGCGAACCCACTGTGGTCGAGGTACGCGCTTGTGTGACTGGCGTGGTGGGTTGACGAGATGCTGCTGCTCCGCCTACGGAAGAGATACCACCGCTCAGAGTCCCGCCACCGGTGAGAGTACCCGTCCCAGTCAGCGCAACGAGAAAGTAGCCTGAACCACCACAATTGTCACTTGGATAACCGACGCAAGCAATGTTACAGTTGGCACTGTCTGCTGAGGTGGAGGGTAAACTGTTGCCGCAATAACAGTGGTTGCCATCTGCCATGGCATACACGGCAAGACCGGCATCTCTGCAAAGGCCGAGACAGTAGCCTGCGGATTGATACTGGTAGGCACCTTGGTCTGTGAGGGATGAATCGAGCTTGTAACAGCTGGAGCTTGATTGGGCCTTGATTGTTGCCGGTGCCAGCGAGGCGAGGAAGGTCAGGAGGGGAAAGGATGTTGCGCGCATTGCTGGTGCTGTTGAAGTTGATCTTTAGAGCAGGGCCTTTCAATGAGAGTGTCTATCGAGAGGACGGTTGTCGTGTAGGGGTGTCGCGCGTCTAAAGAAAGAGAGAAGAGACGCCGGTTTGATCTGTTGATCTGTTGATGTGCGTGTGTGTTGGGGTGTTGTTTGCTGGGAGGGTAGGAAAAAAGAGAGGTTGTCGCGGTGTGATGGCGAGGGTGTAACGAGTGCAGATGGAGGACAGATGGGGGGAGGTGATGGTGCTGTGCTAGCTGGGCGAGAGAGGGTGTGTGTCTTGTTGGTGTTGGTGTTGGATGACTGGAGGAAGGAAAGAAAGAGGAGAGACAAGAGCGAGCGGGCGAGTTGGCGAAAAATGGGAAAAAGAACGAGACACAGCCAGCATCAAGTAGCAGCAGAGAAGCAGCCTGCCTGTCAGTGCCTGATACCTGAGCCTGCCTCTGACCTACTCCTTCTATCTGTCTGCTGCCTGGCCCCTCTGCCTAGCTCTCGACAGACGCAGTTCCCCTCGGAGCTCATGTCAGCCAGACCCCAGACAGCCGAAATCGAAAACCCCCTCGCATGCGCTTGCTGGAATTCGAGTCTCCAGCATATGAATCGATTTTATACGAAGGTGATTGTCACTGATTGAAGCGAGTGGCATGACAGATGCTTGTCAAGTCAGTTGTAGACCTCCCCCTCAGCTTCCATCGCTATGACTGCTGCTTCTCGTGTGCGTAGTCCCAGTTTGTGACTGTGGTGTCAGTATCTAATCTTGGCAGGCACCAACTCAGCCTGACAACGCAATACACAAGCTCAAGTTGAAACATCTGCCAAGTATAGACTGCTAGCTCTCTTGGGCTTCATTGAATACCCAGACCATCTACCATACTCATCTACAAACAAATTGCGCTTTCTTCGCAATGGATCTAGAGCTCGTTTTTAAAGGCGCCAACCTGGGTGCCAGCATGATCATGCTGCTTGGCGGCCTTTCTCAATTCTTCACAGGCGGCTTCAAGCTCTTCATCATTAGCGGCTACATCATGGCCTTTGCCGTCATCACAGCTGCCCTTGAATTCACAACCCACCCAATTGTCGTCAAGTATTGCAGCTTCCTCTTCTCCTTCCTAGGCAGAGGCTTGTTCTATATCTTTGTGGGAGGCTTGACACTCAATCAAAGCGCGCTGTCCATCATTGCTGCATCGCTCTTGATCTTGCTTGGCATCGTCTACATCGGTATGGAGTTTAGCCCTCAAATCGAACGGCCTTTGTATGAGCCATTCTTGTACCGTACATCCACTGACATTTAGGAATATGCGGGATCCAGATGAGGCTCTGGATGATGAGATTGAAGGAATCGTATAGCCGCATAGCCCAGTATAATTGCCTGATGATTGACTTTGCTGTTTGCGTAGCCCAAGATGACTTTTGCAGATGCCACGACATCACTTCATCTACACACTCTCTCTTTAAAAGCTTAAGCTGGAGCTGCCTGCATGCATGCGAGACTACTATGAGGTACTGCAAGTCTCTGAAACAGCTTCAGATGAAGAGATCAGAAAAGCATACCGCAAGCTAGCTCTCAAATACCACCCAGACCGCAACTTTGGCAATATCGAAGAAGCAACAGATCTCTTTGCTGAAGCACAATCGGCATATGAAATTCTAAGTGACCGGAATGAACGTGCTTGGTATGATAAGAATCGCGAGTCTATCCTACGCGGCGCTAGCTTCTCCGATGAACCGACCGCATACACACAAGAAGAAATCGGCTTGACACCTGCTGAAATCTTGGCAGCCGCAGGGTCTCTTGCATCATGCAAGCTCGATGACAGTCGCGGTGGTTTCTTTGATACTGCAAATCGAACGTTTGAATTGCTTCATGCGCAAGAAGTCGCTGCGTGTGCTGTACAAGGCACAGATTGCCAACCGATTCCCTCGTTCGGCGGCAGCCACACAGAAGACGCTTCAGTCCATGCATTCTACAACGCCTGGCAAGCTTTTGCTTCTGCAAAACGCTTCGATTGGGCGGAACGGTATCGCTATGAACGGAGTTATGATCGTCGACAACGCCGGATTGTTGAGAAGGAAAATGCAAAGCTACGACTTGCTGAACGACGCAGCTATAATGAAGCTGTCGCAAAGTTACTACAAGCTGCACGAAGGCGTGATTTCAGGATCGTTGCAAAGACAACAACTGCTGCACAGCGAGAAGAAACGATGCGTGCATTGAGGCGAGAACAGCAAGAACAAGCGCGTGCTGAGAATTTGGCCATGCAAGCGGATTACAAAGAACAAGACTGGCAGCGTGTGGATGTGAAACAGCAGATGGAGGAGGAGATGCAGCAGTATGAAGAGTTTGCTTTGGAGATTGAGTGTGTCGCGTGTGGAAAGACGTTCAAGTCAGAGAAGCAGTATGCTACGCATGAAAGAAGCAAGAAGCACATTCAAACAGTCAAGCGACTCAAATGGGAGATGAAGAAGGAAGCCAGGCGACTTGGCTTGGACTCTGATCTAGAGTCTGCCGAGGAGACTGACGAGAAGGACGATTACCAGACCTGTGACGAGGAAGCAAAGGCCGAACGAGCCGAATTCTCGGGAAATACAACCGAGCCGATCGAGCCTCCTGAGAACGGCGCCAAGATACCTGTTCGAGAAGCTAAGGCAACCTCAAATGTGGATCAACTGGATCTTGATGCACTGTCGCTCTCGACTGGTAGCTTGGACGAAGACAGCGACAATCAGCCACGAGCACCGTCTCCTGTACCTAGGCCCATGCCAGCGTCCAGCAATAAGAGCAAGAGCAAGCGTAAAAAGCAGCAAGCAAAAGCGAAGCTCCGAAAATGATACCGACAGCCTCTCACATGTGAAGTCACCCTGAAACAGCTTTACTACACAACGCAACACTCAGCCCTGTACAGCTCCAACCTCCTGAGAGGCTTGAACCAACCGAAAGATTTTGCCAGGGCTTTTCAAATGATGCAATATCGTCTTCTTGTAAAGGAGCGATGGTCCACGTTGTATGCTCAGCGTTACGACCGGGGAGATGCGGGCCTTCTCCTTGATCTGATTTCAATGGTCGGGCTTAAAGGCGCGAATATAGCGCACGTCCTCTCTGTGCTTCTCTATTCTCTTCTCTTCCTTCTTCTCACATTCACTTTGTTGGGACAGGGTGGTTCTAGCTTGACATGGCAGCTCTTCTTGAGATGAACGAGCAGGTTGACGGAAGGGCGGATCAAGCAAAAGAGAGGCCATCCTCACATCTACCACAGCAGGATGAGCAGCAGTCCAGCCACTTGTCAGGCACGCCACCCATTCTCTTCCCACCTTCAAGCGAACACACACCACGTCTTTGGCCATCGTGGTTTCCACCAGCTTTTCCAACAAGTGCAGGCACCTACCCTGTTTCGCCATCCTTTACTGGCGACCATTTTCCACCCGTCTTTTTCCATGGATTTGATGAACATGAATGGAGTCCGTCTGTTATGTCTACACACTCTGCTATGGAGAATCAAGAGAGTGGCAGTAGCGCTGGTGCGTACTCGACGTTTGGCAGCAACAGCAATACTTTTTACTCATACGCTTCTGCACCATCCACATTTCGCAGTAGGAGCAAAAGCTACGATGAAAGCTATCGTCTTGGACCACACACTGAGTCGGAAGCTACCGGACAGCAGCGTCTGCCCTCATTGACTCCATCACAACTTCTTTTTCGGCCGCCCCTGGATGACTTTGCAGCATCACAACAGCCAACGCATGCTTTGTCCATACCTTCTTCTTTTGCATACCCAACAGCCATTGGCCAACTCCCTGCACCTGTCACTCGGCCATCTTTGCCAAGCTTGAGCTCACGTCGCGCCTCTGTGCCAACACCCATCTCATCAACGACCCCTTTCAATCTACACATGTCTTCCACAGCATCATCCTTCAGCAGTCGTTCAATTCAGGCAGTCGCTGCATCGAGTGTCTCGCCTCCAGAAAGCTCATCGCGCGGTAGTACCATTGTTCAGCCAGTACGTTCGCGCTCTGACAGTCACCCAATCCTCCCATCAACAACAAGTCCCTATACAACACCTGTCAGCAATGCGACCTTACGAGCAGAACGTGAAAGACTCACAAAAGGTTGGTCACAGGAAGATGATCTCCTCATTATTGAACTGAAGAGACGTCGAAACTACACCTGGAAGCAAATCCAACGTGGCTATTTTCCTGATAAACGAGCAAGTGCGTTACAGGTGCATTATTCAAGGCATCTATCGAGATTAACGGAATCTGAGGTAGCAGCGAAGGAGGACGCGTATCAGGAGAAGGCTTGGCAGCGTACAGTGTTGGAGAGGAATTATCAACCGAATGCTGTTGCGTTGGCTTATGAGGCGTTGGCGAAGCAGCGCGCAGAAGCAGCTGCAGCTGCTGCTGCTGCTGGGTACGGTGAGAGGGGTCAAGGTCGTTTTCATGAGGAAGAGGGAGGAGACACAGCCATGCAGCCACCCAATGAGGATGGACAGCAATCGTATACGGCTGTGACGGAGGGTTTACATGATCTTACACGCCACTTTACACGTTGATCGGGGGTTCAACGGACGTTGATTATTCGGGGCAACATATTAGAAGCATTACTTTTCACAGCAGCAGCAGGGCATGCGCGTATAGATAGATAGCAGGACGGATTGGCATCGTATCAATGGACAAAAGAAAAGGTCATTATGCAGTCATGAGTAGTGTTTTTGAGTGATTTTCAATACGTGATATGATATGATGTGATGTGAATGAACGCCTGTACAGCAGTGTCCTAGCATATCGCCTCTTGTACGTTGATTGTCGCAAGGTGATTTCCTGAGATCATGTCAAGTACAGATGAGAGGATGGCAGTCGAGATGAATGTCGTGCAGTGCAATTGAACTGAGATTCATTAGAACATGCTTATGAGGTACTAGCGAACCGGTCAGCAACACATTCAACAGAAGAACAAAAGAAGCACTTACGGGTTGGGGTTCATGCGACGCTTGCCACCGACGAGTGTCGCAGCAGTGACGAATCGACGGTTGTACTTGATACGCTTGAGCGCGCGTCCCTTGGGTGTCTTGGGCTTCTCCTGCTTTGCAACCTTGGGTGTCTGGCCTCTGACCTTTCCTGCTCGCGCGAGCGATCCGTGAACTTTACCCATGCTTGTGTGATGAGAGAGGTTGATGCCTTTGCGTGTCGTGCTCTTTCTTCGGTCGTCGTGGCCTGGCTGGAGACAAGAGAGCAGTCTCAAGGGACACATAAACTGGACCCTAACCCGATCATATGGGACACATTGCTGATCTAATCATCTCACGGTCTCCCTTCCAGAATTTCTCGTGAGAAAACAAATCAAGTGCAGTCAGTAGTAGTAGTCCTGAGTGAAGAAGCTCAAGAGAAGGCCCAGCTAGATAACCTCTGAGATCATGAGCCAGGAAGACACAGCCGTCATTGGCATCAGCTTCGGCAACACAACTAGTGCCATTGCGTACACCAACCGCGAGGGGAAAGCAGAGTGTATTGCCAACGAGGAAGGCAACCGTGCCATTCCATCTGCTTTGGCCTACGTCGGTGGAGACGAGTACCACGGTGATCAAGCCTATGCACAGCTCGTCCGAAACCCAACCAACACAATCCTTGCCTTTCGCGATTTCATTGGCAAGCCTTTTGCAAAAGTCGACCCAACACCCTGTCACTTGAGCGCACACCCAATCGAAAAGGATGGCTTTGCCGCATTCAGTGTGTCTCATGTTGTGGATGGACAACCAGCGAAAGCGGAAGTCTTGACAGTCTCGCAGGTAGCAGCGCGGCATCTGAGTAAAGTACGTGATTCAGCGGCTGATTTCTTGGGAAAACAAATCGCTGGTGCGGTAGTGACTGTACCTACTGATTTCTCCCCAGAGCAACGCGCTGCCCTCGAGCAAATTGGTAAAGACGCCAAGCTACCCATCTTGCAATTGATTCATGAACCGGTCAGTGTGGTGCAGGCGTATGCAGCGCTAGACTTGGCATCCGGTAAAGAATCACAGGACAGGACGATTGTTGTGGCGGATGTTGGTGCGACACGCTCCGATGTTTCCGTCATTTCATGCCGTGGTGGTCTCTACACACTGCTTGCTACTGCTCATGACGAAAGTTTGGGAGGCAGGCTACTGGATGATGTGCTTGTGGAGCACTTCCGCAAGGAGTTCCTCAAGAAGCACAAAGTGGACATTGCCGGTAATACGCGCGCCTTGGCAAAGATGCGTCAACAGTGTGAAACAACCAAAAAGACACTCTCTGCCTCGAGCACTGCCACCGTCTCTGTGGAATCCCTTGCAGATGGTCTTGACTTCCACTCAAACATCAACCGTATCCGTTACGAAACCCTTGGCCGTCCCGTCTTTTCACAAGTTGCAGACTTGGTGCTCGCTGCTATCAAAAAGGCAAATCTTGAGACCTTCGATGTGGCAGAGGTGATTCTTGCTGGTGGTACCACGAATACCCCTAAACTCGCCCACAACATTGCCGAGTTATTCCCCGAATCGAGTGATATTCGGTCACCGGCCACGAGCAACACCTCCCTCAACCCTGCAGAACTCGCTTGTTTGGGCGCTGCTGTGCAAGCTTCATTGATTGCTGATTACGAGCAAGAAGATGTGCAAGAGAATACACACCCAGTCATTACAACAGTCCCTCATCTTGCTGCTGCCGTGGGTGTTAAGACTGCAGATGGCTTTGTTACGGTCTTGGAGCAGTACACGCCCTTGCCATCACGTCGTACGGTCACGGTACCTTTTGCAAAATCGCTCGAGATTTGTGAAGGGAAAGCGGGGATCAAGGAGGTTGAGATTGAGGAATCCTCGGATGAAGACTCGGATGACGAGGAAGATGACGAGGAGCGTGCGCCACGGATTGAAAAGTCGCGTGTCATGGAGGCTGCTACCAAATTGGCCGACGTTGCGATTACTGAGCAAGGTAAATCTGTTCAAGTCATGATTCAGGTTGATGTCGAGTCGAAAGTGACGGTGCAATGCAGAGTCGTTCAATAGAAAGGCAGGGGCCATATCACAGCTCGTTACTATATGCATCATTCCAAAATAAAAGGTATCGCCATCGCTAAAATCATCAAAACGGAAGGGCAAGTCATGAGGTGACCTGTGCGTGTAATCTTGTCAGTTGATTCATAAACGATCGTTTCTTGAAGCGAGTCTTCTCCAAAGACTTGACCTCTGCTTGCCAGAATGGCCCCTGATCGCTCTTTTCAGATGACACACCAGCTAAAATAGACACACAGCTGGTATCTTGTCGAGCAGGCGCAGGCACAGATGGGACGTCGCGCGTCCATAGTTTGCAAGCGTGTTGCCAATGCTTGACTTGCCAAGTCCGTTTCGAGTTATTCAGTTTGTCTATCGCGTGACATTCAGCCATGGCTGCCTCGGAAGCAGTTGCAACGAATCCGAAGAATCGCAGCTCGTATAATGGAGACCGTAACGTGCTGCGTCGCGTCTCGAGATTGGTGAGGATTTGGTCAAAACAGCCATCAATGACTGTGTAGGAGAGTTCGTTGCGCAACTCTTCTGTGCCAATAGCACATTCCGTCAAATCAGCATACTGCGTGATGCGGTCATGCTGGAGCAGTACAAAGGCACGTTCGATCATTGCGCGATGCAGTAGAGGAAGATGTGCGACGGGTGCGTCGCAAACAGGGAAGTCGATGGCGACATAGAGGCCGATGAGGTCAACCAGACTGTCGACAAAGCCGAGTGTTAGGAGTTGCAGTTCAAGTGGCAGTGTCTCGAGCATCGCTGCCGCCTGTTGCAGTGTGCAGAGGGAGAGGGGACCTTGGTGGGCGATGGCGCGAGAGGAGGGCTGCCTTGCATCTGCATCTTCTCCCTCTCCCTGCCTGCCTCTCTCTCTTGTGCTCTGTGTGGGTCACTCTGAGTCTGCCAAGTGGGAGGATTGCACCATAGCACGTGAAGTACAGCGCACAAAGTGCAAGTCACAAATAGAAGGAAGATATACTCACTGCAACACTTCTATCTACGCCTCAATCAGCGACTTGAGCTTGCCGCTCGACTTGAGAGAAGACAAGTCAGAGTTGCCGCCAATGTGCTTGCCCTTGATGAAGATGTTGGGCACAGTGCGCTGCTGAGTCTTCTCCCCGAGGTAGTTCTGGATGTCGGCGCCGTTTGCTAGAATATGTCAGTATGCACAGTAGATACAGCGAGGACACTGCCGAGAGAGCAGATTCTCAGATACACGTACACTCCTGGTCAAGCTCAATGACGTAAAAGTCCTTGGTGAAGGCAGCGAGGGTCTCCTTGGCAGCCTTGCAGTAAGGGCAGTAAGACTTGGAGAAGACGGCGATAGCGTTCTCGGAGATAGCTAGAGTATTGTCAGTATGGTTGTCCTTCATTGGTTGCCAGCATGAGTGTACATACCCTTGTCGACGATTTGCTTGACTGCAGCCATTTGTTCAGGTCTTTTGTCAGTGTCTGACTTGCGTAGATGTTGCAGCAGCTTACGAGGTTAACGGTGAAGAGAGGAGGGAGCCTATATTGACAGATGAAGCAGCACTGACGTGTGGTTCTGATGTTTTGTCGACAATGTGCGCTCGGTGTCGTCATACCTACATATGCTTTGAAATCGCCACTCAGCACCTTAAAGGCGACAAGGTCGTACATTGTAGTTGTAGCATTTATAATACCATTCGTGCTCATTCTGTCTGAGAGCTAGTTATTCTATGCTTCAAGTCACCATAGCCATAGCATGACATATCATGCCTTTCTTATCTGTGACTGCTCCCTTCCCCAACAGCAAGCTTTTGATTTTTCCATATAAACTAGCGTCTCCCACTTTCTCTGCTCCCCGCCCGACCACCCAGTTGATCAGTGAAAGTCGTCAAGATGGCTAGTGAGGTCGATGTCAGACCCATGCCCGAGTAAACGCAGCGATCCTGGTGGGAAGTTTGGATCCCTGGTCGGGTCCGCGCGGAGTATCGCCTTGCCCTTGGACCTCTAGAGGCCCTGTCGCGCGTTAAGCAGAGTAGGAGGACGACAGAGTCGGTCGTTTGGGTCCCTATGAAGGAGACCCAGCCCTTTTGGATGTCATTTCGGATGAAATACAAACGTCAATACACACGAGCATGAGTGTTCAGTGCAATCACTCTATCGAGAGTTCCCGTTAGCCACGGTGTCCCCGTGCTAAATCCTCAGCCACCGCTTCCGGTGTGATCTGTTAGCCACCACTTCTGGTGTGATCTGTTAGCCACCACTCCTGGTGCAATCTCTAAGCCGCGCTCACTTGCGTGCAGTCTTGAAGCCGCGCTCCCTTGCGTGCAATCTCTAAGCCGCGCTCCCATGCGTGCAGTCTCTAAGCCGCGCTCTCATGCGTGCAGTCTCTAAGCCGCGCTCTCATGCGTGCAGTCTCTAAGCCGCGCTCTCATGCGTGCAACCTCGAAGTCGCGCTTTCCTGCGTGCATCATCACCAACTTTCTCCGCATCGTTGGCTCTCTCTACCTATCGGTAGATCTCCGTTAGTCACAAGTCGTGCAAACTCTCACCAGCGTACATCACCGTACAGTTGGCATCTTCAACCAATCGCCGCTTTCCAGTGACAAAAGGTCTCCGTTAGTCACCAGACATACATGGTGCAAATGCTATTACTCACCAGCGTACATCACTGTACAGTTGGAATCTTCCACCGACTGCCGCTTTCCAGCGACAATAGGACTCCGTTAGTCACAAGTCGTGCAAACTCTCACCAGCGTACATCACTGTACAGTTGGAATCTTCCACCAATTGCCGCTTTCCAGCGACAATAGGACTCCGTTAGTCACAAGCCGTGCAAACTCTCACCAGCGTACATCGCCGTACAGTTGGCATCTTCAACCAATTGTCGCTTCCCAGTGACAATTGGTCTCCGTTAGTCACTAGACATACATGGTGCATCTCTCCGCTCTCTACCCGAGGGTCCAGAGATCAATCGTCGGTTCAGCTTCCCGGCTGGCGGTCATTGTTGCTTGACCGATAACAAAAAGTGGCAAACCCGGCTAGCATGGCTTTGGTATATTTCTCGCAAGAGGGATGAATCAGGGTCATGTTTGCCATTGATGGAAGTGGGTGTCGTTCAGGATGATGCTATGTTGAAATGCTGTCAAGTCGGGCCGAAGCGATGCGCTGCCTGTGATGGCTGTTGACGACGTTGCCACACCTCCGTGCTGGGAACACTTGTCAACAGTCATCTTGGTTAGAGATATGCTGAGCGTTGGTTTCGGCGTTTCTGTAGTTTCAGTTGATAGTTCAATGCTTCTCTGTCAAGACTCAAGACTCCTTCTTCGTGATACTGATTGATTCTTGCTACTCGCTCCTTGCCTTGGTGAATTGACGAGGCTTAGAACGTTGACAGTTTTGCGTCGACAAATAGTGCTTGACGACAACACCTCAATAGCTAGCTCTTCACTCACCTGTACCAAAGCTCGCATCATGCCTACACCATGAGCGCGCCAACTAAAAGAGCTCCAGCGAATGTTCTCTCACGCAAGATCTTACAAGAACGAGCCATCGCAGGCCTCCAAGCTTCATGGAACCCACAAGCGCGCCTACAGCTATGGTTTCGTGCATTTGAACGAATCCGTCGAGAAGCTGAAACTGTACACGCAGAGGGCGATGTACAACAAGCGTATATGCTTCTTTTACGCTGTGTTGAGCTCGTTGTGACGTACATGCCAACACATCCTCAGGCTCGAGAGCCAGAGCATCGACGACAACTCGTACAGCTCAATGCCACGGTTGAACGTATGTTGCAAACGCTGGCAGAGCTTAAACGCAAAGTGGACGATGCGTACGCTGTGCAGGAAGCGCAAGCGAAAAAGGATGCAGCCGATAAAGCTCAAGCTATGCAGAAGCTTGCACTTGCCAAGAGGCAACGCGAGCTTGAGCAAAGAGCGCAGGAGCAATCGAGGCGATCTAGTGGAAGTAATGGCAATCGTACGGATATTATGCAGAGACTGGCAGCCTTGCGTGAAGCGCACCATCTTGGCGAGGAGCACGTCCAGGCAGTGCCTCTCACACCTATCGTCAGTTCGACAGCCGCACTCAATGAACCAGATGTTCCGTCAAGTATCTCTCCTGGACATCCAGCCCAGCTAATTACAAAGACTTCGAACACATATAACTTCTCTGCTTCTGCTCAACTCGAGAACGGGACAGAGCTGCGAACAGTTTTTGTGCCTGGAACACTACGTGACAAGTTCCTGTCGATTGCAGCTTCCAATACGAGTCGCAATCTAGAAACTTGCGGCATTCTCTCTGGCATAGTCAAGGCGAATGCTTACTTCGTGACCCATCTCATCATTCCCGCCCAAGAGAGCACAAGTGATACATGCCATACGACAGATGAAGTCTCTCTTTTCACCTATCAGGACGAGCATGATCTATTCACTCTAGGCTGGATACATACGCATCCAACGCAGACCTGCTTCATGAGCAGTGTCGACATCCATACGCACATGTCGTATCAGGTGATGCTGCCCGAAGCCATTGCTATCGTGCTGAGCCCTTCAAAGCAGCCAGACTGGGGCGTCTTTCGACTGACTGATCCTCCTGGGATGCAGGCAGTCAAGAATTGTCGGCAAACTGGGTTATTTCATCCGCATGATGAGACGAGTATGCGTCTTTTGCAAGAGCGTTTTTGATTGCTGACCATTAGATATCTACACGGATGCGTTGCATGAGGTTGGGTCAAGCGTGGGCCATATGAAAGAAATGTCCTCCATGGCCTTCTCAGTGGTGGACCAGCGCTAGTCGTTGCAGTACCTGTTCCTGTTCCTGTTCCTTATTTAGAGCTCGATCTGATGGTGCATGTGCCAAATTCCAATCGCCCCCCACAAAATTCATGATGCAGACGCGCACAGAACAAAACACTTAATCAACCGCCTCGCCGGCACTCAAAGATACGCACGGAGCGCTTATTACTGAAGGTCATCGAGCTGACGACAGCATATTGCCCTCAGTGGACGCCATTTAGTCTCTGCACACAGTAGGACTGGCAGATTCCATCGTTTCTTATATCTACGACGTCGCGTCATGCCATTTCCTTTCACTGGCCGAAGCAAGCGCCATTCATCCGCGCCGCTGCCAAATATGCCAGGGTCTAATGCTCTACAACGCTATGATGACAAGGTGGCGCGCGACGCACTCGCGACTTTGCTACCAGCGCAGGTTGCCGGTGCGATATCTCAGCTTGCCGGATTGTCATCGTTTTCGCTGCACGTCTCATCTATCCTGGTCTACAATCTGATCGAAGCTGGCAGGCAAGGCACACAAATGTCACTTGAGGCGACGCGCAAGGTGGGTTCAGCCTTGCTCTATGCACACCGTGCGAATGGCGTCGCGGACGAAGAGTATGCCAAGTATCTTGAGTCTTGGTCTGCCACGGGCACACATCTATTATACTGCAGCATTTCTCTGGTTGAGATATTCGCACAGGCATCTTTCAGTATTCTACAAGTCTCCTCTGCAGGTGGATTCTACTCTGCTATGGAGAGCGTGCGCACCATTGATGCCTTGTTTGGATCAAATGAGACTTCTCGCATGCTAGCCAGCATCATTTGCTTTATGCGTAAAGAGCTTGAATCGGAAGGGAATTATCATGGTCTTTTCTATGGCCTTACAAAAGCACTTTCGACCTTTGCAATGCTGCAGAATCTCACCTACGGCCGCACAGCTCAGGAGAGACAAGATCGCATTTGTTGGGACGTGATCAGCATCGGACGCGGAGACCTACCAGCCAGTGCTACGCATTGTCAAGTGAAGCCGACGATTGCTGACAATACTATTCCGAGCGACATTTTGAGGCAAATTCCAGTGAATGCGACTTATAGTATTGCAACTGAAACAACAGTGACTACCAAGACAATCGTCAACATTGACGATATTGCTGGACATGCGATACCTGCTGGGAAGTCACGCTTCTCTTTTGAAAAGGTGCGCAAGAAGCTCAAGACATCCAAGTTCATCAAACAACGTCAAGCAATATACGGTGGCGCCCCTGTCCTAAGTCCTACAACAACACGCGAACGTCCAGATACATTCATTGCGCTTCAGTATCGCTTTGGCGAACCTGAATGTATCTCGCAGCGAAGAGAAAAGCCAATTATACCAAGACGGGACAACAGATCGCAACCGCCGAGCCCATCGAAGAATGCATTGCCATCTCGACGTCCATACTCGTTGTCCACAAATCACTCGACGAGCAGCATTGTCACCATTTCTCTACATCCTTGGGAAAGTCCCCCAGAAGAGCGACCTCAATCGCAGACGTGGCCTCCTGTTTTGCTGGAGCGTCTTCTATATCGCTTCCACCGCTTCTCAACCGCGGCTTACGGGCAAGTCTTTCTGCAGCTGCTTGGCTTTTCCGATCCAAGCCACTGGGCTTCGCACCACTTTGTGCGAGATCTCAATGACCACGAGAATCATGCTGCGTTTGGCGCTCATGTCGGATGTAGCACAGCAGATATATTGTTGTCAAGCTACGCTCCTGGCAACACGACCCGTGCGTCTCCCTCGATCGTCTATTTTGTCTCTGTCGATCATCAATCCCAGTCCGTTGTGGTGTCTTTGCGAGGCACCCTGGGCTTCAGCGATTTGCTGACAGATCTCACCGCGGAGTATCATCCCTACACGCGACGTGGTGCTCGTGGCCAGCCGGAACAACACTTTGTACACAAGGGAGTTCTCGAAGCAGCCCAACGCCTTGCTAGCAATACTGCCCTGCTCGCATGCATCAATACGGCCTTGCGCCAACGACCTCATTTCGGTCTCGTACTGACTGGTCACTCACTGGGTGGGTCAGTGGCTGCATTACTAGCGCTAGAGTGGAGTTTGCCTGCTCAGCAAGTAACGGGAGATGTTCAACTACCAGGCTATGCGCATTACCTGCAACTACAGGGACTTCCGACTGTACCCATCTCCTCATTTGGATATGGCACGCCGGCATGTCTGTCACCGTCCATGTGCTGCGCAACGGCAGGTCTCATTGTGACGTGTGTCAATGGCTTCGATGTTGTCCCAAGCCTCAGCTTCGGCCTTGTGCATGATTTCAAATCCATCAGTCAAGTCTTGAGTCAAGATGAATCGGGTGTCTTGGCACGTATAGGGAAACGCCTCGTTTCCGGTGCTGCAGCAGGGATACAAGCGAGTGCGGCTGACGATGATTATCTCTTTGCTGTGCTCAAGACGTTGCGTTGTCAGATGGATCATGACAAGCTGGTGCCGCCTGGACGCTTATTGAACATTCAAGCCTCGCGACATCGTTGTCATTCTCCTACTGCAGGTCATGCAATGCAAGGCACGCGTGTGGTGGTGAGTGAGGTGGTTGATGTGCAGGCTCGATTTGGCGAGATGGTATTTGCCAAGACCATGTTATCGGATCACTCGCCTGTCGCTTATGAGGCTTCTTTACAGGCACTGGTGCGTGGTCTGGCAGAGCAGAGTGAACAACAGCAAAGCGGTGATGAAACATTTGTTGATGAACAGTAATGAATCTCATTAATGGCAACAGACTTTAAATACTTCAGGCATCCTGATATCAAAAGCCCTTCTTCTTTCCGGGCGCACCTTTGCCTTTGCCCTTGTGCCCGACTGGCTTGGTCTTTTTGTGTCCGCCCTTTTGACCTTTCGCCTCGCGACGCTCTTTCAGATTCTTCTCGCGAGTCTTTTGCTTGTTCTTCTTGGCCATGGCAATACTACTCAGCCGAGCCTTCCATTCCTTTTCCGACTTTTTCTTCGTTGCCTCTTGCCGCTTGACGGCCTTTTTCAAGAGACCAACATCGTCCTTGAGCTTCTCGCCATCTGCTTGTAGAAGCGCTTTGTGCCAAGCATCAGAGTCCTTGATGGCCTGCTTCTTTTCGTCATCGAGGCCTGAGATGCGTTTCCGCTTGTTGAGCGCGGCTTCGAGTGCCGACTTGGGATCTTGATGTTTCCGTTTCCGCGCACCTTGTGTCTCGAATGTCGAGGTGACTGATTCGCCACTTGGCAAAGTCAGCTTTCCATACGAAAGCGCAGCATCACCTCCAGTAGGATGTGCCTCGTCGTCATCCTCTTCATCGCTCGCGCTATCACTTTCGCTCTTGACTTCTTCATCTTGCGGCATCTCCAAAGCAGCATCCTTGCGTGCTTGCTTCTCAAGCTTCTTCTTTGCGGCGCGTGCCTCCTCCTTCTTCCTCCTGACCTCCAAGATTGCCTCGCGCGATCTCGGCGCACCTTCGACTTCCGTGCCTGGCGCTTTCCGACGTGTCCGTAACGCTTCAATCTTGGCAGCAAGTTTGGCACGTAAATCAGCAATATTGCGATTTGGATCCGGCTGATTTGGTAAATCGGCCTCGGTGCTTGTCGATTCGGGGAGCGGACTTGCATCAATGGATGAAGGCTTGTCGTCGTCGCCTGGAGCAGTCGTCATGGGCGGTACGGCAAGATCTTTTGGTATCGCCTTTCCACTTTTGGCTTTTACCTTGGATGCAGACTTTGCATCAGCGCTTCCATTTCCCCCAGCCTTTGTCGCCTTGGCCTTGTCCGTCTGTTTCGCCTTCGGTTGCTTTACTTTCGCCTTTCTACTCTGCGCGACCGGCGCATCTGTTGTACTACTCACAGCACCCTCTTCCACCCGCTTCACCTGCCGCGAGTTCTGCGCTGGATCGAGCTTGGCCCGCTTCGCCTTGACTTGCTCCTCTTTTGTCTGTTTGCGCTTGTTCCACTGATTCGCGGCATCTTCTGGATTATAGAACTTTGCCGGAATCAGATCGAGCAGGCCCTCAAAGGCATGTTCATGAGCTGTGAGCCTGGCTGCGAGCTCTGCGTCTGCCATGTCCTTTGTCTGCTCTATAGATGCTGTTGGTATCCTTCTCCTTCTCTCGCTGCTGCCGATTATTTTTCTGTTTCGTGGCGTGCGACAGAGGACAACGGGCGACACCTCCACTTCCTAGCGGCTAGAGCTCGACTGCTGCTGACGAGTCCCATTCCAGTCCTGCTATCTCTCCTATCTCATGCTCGCATCGCCCGCTCAGCTCAAGGCGCTATCGCCCATTCATATCCTCCGAGGCGCACAACTTGCTTGGCTTGGCCTCCTGCGTGCCCTCGAGAATAAAGAGCTCTATACAAGTGAGCACTACAAGCAGCTTCTCTTAGCAGTGGCCATTGGTGTCGCTTTACGAATCATCACATGGCTGCCTGTCTTTCTGTTTCGTGGCTCAGTGACAATTTTGAGCGCTGTGGTGGATGTGCGACGTGCGCATTGGGAGCAGGATGTTCTTGCAGTCCTGCATTTCATTCAACATTGGGTCATTTCGGTACCGACGCTTGTTGTCAATTACATGCGTAGTGTCGAGCCCAAGCCCTTTGACGATTTGTTTATGTCGAGCATGTCATGGGTCGATAGTGAGTATGAGCGCCGGCATCAAGGTGAGGATAAAGCTTCCCTGCGGCCAGCATACACAACAAATTTGAAGCGATACAAGCCAGAGTACCGCTCAACCTTTGTCAACAGAACCCTCAAGAGAACAGGTCTTGGACTCATCATCTATCTGCTCTCCTTCACACCTAAAGTTGGCTCACTTGTGCTTCCTGCAGTCTCGTTCTACACACTGCACCAAGCAGTAGGTCTCGTACCCGCTGGCGTCTTTTTCGCTCTTGCAACACTCATTCTGCCACGCCACTACTTTGTCGTCCTCTTGCAAACTTACTTTTCAACACGTTCACTAACCCGACAACTCCTGCAGCCCTATTTCGCGCGTGTTGGTAAGGGCTTCACAACGTATCAAAAGGCGAAATGGTTCAGGGAGCGTGAGGGCGTTGTCTTTGGTTTTGCACTACCGTTTGTGCTCGCTTTGCGGATCCCATATGTTGGTATCATGACGTACGGTTTAGCGAGTACATGTGCGGCATTCCTGGTAAGTAAGGTGACAACGCCGCCACCAGAGAGTGGCGATCTGACGGATCTTCAAGCCTACGCAGCGTCAGAGGTCGTTTGGACGCAAGGGAGGCGGAATCTAGTCAAGGCTGGTCTGGAGAAGCTCGATGCTGTTGTGGCGGATGATTCAAATGCCGGATCCAGCAGTCATGTGAGTATAGGACAACAAGACATCTCTGCAAAGCGAAAGACTGCAGCATCAAGTCGACAATCGTCACGCGGTGGGTCAGATGATGAGTGGGTAAAATTGGCGACCCCTAATTCGTCATAAATTGGTTGCGCGAGGCATTTGTCTTTGGTAGTCGTTCTTCATCATTCTATCATGGTCGGGAGCTATATCTTTGTAGCACTGTAGTATGCAGCGAAACGTTTCCGCTCGATGAAGATTGTCGTGCTCAGCATTGCCAGGCCTAGAGCGCCGACTCTGAAAAGATAGGACAGGAATTCACGAGCACTTGCTTCAGATGATAGTGAAATGACGCGAACCAAAGCTGACCCCAAGGCACAGACACTGCAGGTCATGGGATGTGGCAGCACTTCTGTCATTGCCAGAGAGTCCTTCCTTTCTAGGAAGTATCCCCGTGCGTACTGCCATGCATAGACGATTCGGAGAGCGAGATTGAACGCATTGGCAGCAACGAGCCCTGATGCACCCCATGAACTGAACGTATAGCCAGCTATACCGTAGAGAACAGAGAAGCCTAGCCAAGCAAAAGATTGTCGCTTGAGATCAGCTGCAGTGGCAGTAGCGGCAAAGAATGCCTCAAGCACACCATTGGCGGCTAAGAATGGTAAGTAATAGACGTACGCAACCAGGACTGGTGTGATGTTTGACCATCGAGAGCTCTTGCCCAGAAACCACGGAAGAGCGACAGCCATGATACGAGGCACAATCGATACTGTCAAAGCTGAAATGACCGCATAGAGCGATAGAAGTGCCACGAAAGCATTCTTACTTGCCTGAGTTTGTTTCTTGTCAATTTCTTTGTTTTCCTTGCTCCGTCCATTTAGCTGACCGAAGAAGGATCGCGATGCTTCTTCAATTGGCTGTAAGATGATTCTAGCAACAAGGCCACCGTAATTTGCGGCGAGACCGTAGGTTCCTTGCTCAGCGTTACTACTGAACCAAGAAAGGAGAACCTTGTCACCTTCTGTCAGAAAGTGCTTAAGAATGCCTTGCATGGTCGATGTGATTGCAAAGCGAAGAGAACTTGTATCAAACCAGCGCCCAGGTTGGCTGGTCTTTGGCAAAAGCGAGTTCTGTGTTGCAAAGAGGTACGCCATGACCAGCGTGATGGCGTACGCTAATTGCCCATATGCAAATGGAAGCGCTCCCATATTGTACGAACGCGCACTAAAGGCGGATGCAAATGTCACAATGCAGCGTACAAAGACAGCAATGCCCTCACATGCTGCACGACGCTTGAAGGCCAGACTGTGGAGAGCCAGATTGTATGCTGGCTCACTGAGTAGTTCTAGCATTGTTGCAACGCCATACAGAATGACTGTACGACGGAAGTAGGGAATACTCAAAGACTCTTCTGGTGCATAAGTCAGAAATGCGCTAGTCGTAGCACTTGAAAGGAACAGGCCAAGAACGACTGGAATGCATGACAGGTTGATAATCTCCTGCTTAGTTTGTTGTTGAGCCTTTTCATCACCGACTGACGGTAATCTCTGTACAGACAGTCTAAATCCCTCTCTACAGAGAAACAAGATCGTATTCAAGAGCAACTCAAGCTGGATCGTGGCAAACCCAAAGACAGACGGGCTAGTGTAGCGTAGGATGAGTGTATTCAGGCTGAATGTCAAGACACGGGATACCAGCTGTAGACCAATGAGGTAGCTCGTGCCTCTGAGTGAAGCACCCAGTAGCGATGCCATAGATGTCAGTTGCAAGTCATGGATCAGCTCAGGAGCATCTTCTAAGCTTGTTTGTGTCTACAGTCTGGTAGCCTTAAGCTTGTACACCGGCTGGACGTTTCAACTTTCACGCGCTCGCGAGATTTTGACGACGAGCAAAAGATCAAGCGACAACCGACCAGCAACGACCAGTGCATGCTCATTGCTAGACGGCTTCTTACAGTCTCCTGCATCCGTCAAATCAGTCAGATCCAACCTAGATTTCATTTACAGCAAAGGAATATGAGTGGTCTACTCGACAAAATCGACCAGGCCGTCGAAGGTGTTAAGAATATTGCCGCTGGTACACAAGAAAAGGCATCAAATGCAGCCTCTGCCGTACAAGAGCAAGCTCAAGCAAAGCCTCAGAAGCAAAGTAAGAAGGACAAGAAGTACAAGAAGGCTGGCGGTGCAGCATCTAGTGCACCACTCGAAATTGACCCAAAGCCAGAGTATGTCGCTCATAGGCTAGCGCTCTTCGATATGCTCAAGGCTGAGCAAGATGAAGCTGCTGCTGCAAAGCCGCGATCGCCTATCACAGTAACGCTCCCAGATGGTGCCACACGCGAAGGCACATCATGGCAGACAACACCGCTGGAAATCGCATCTGCAATCTCGCAAGGTTTGGCAGACCGTACCGTGATTGCCAAGGTCAACGGTCAGCTTTGGGACATGACTCGACCATTTGAGGAGAGTGCCTCCCTCGAGCTCTTTGATTTCAACACGCCAGAGGGAAAGCGTGTCTTTTGGCATTCGAGTGCTCACATTCTCGGAGAAGCAACTGAGCGGCACTATGGCTGCCTTCTTTGCATTGGACCTCCCACAGATGACGGTTTCTTCTATGAGATGGCTATGCCGGATGAGCGAACAATCGAAGCCACAGACTATGCTCCCCTTGAGCAGATTGTTGGCAGCATTGTCAAGGAGAAGCAACCTTTCGAGAGGCTAGTGATCAGCAAGCTTGACTTGCTTGAGATGTTCAAGCACAACAAGTACAAACAGCACATCATCAGCAGTAAGATTTCAGATGGCACGAGCACGACCGTCTACCGATGTGGTCCACTCATTGATTTGTGTGTTGGACCTCACGTGCCACACACTGGCAAAGTCAAGGCCTTTGCAGTCATGAAGAACTCGTCATCATACTTCCTGGGTGATGCCAAGAATGACTCTTTGCAGCGTCTCTATGGTGTATCCTTCCCAGACAAGAAGCAGATGACGGAACACAAGCTCTTCCTGGCTGAAGCGGCCAAGCGGGATCACCGTAAGCTTGGCAGAGAACAAGAACTCTTCTTCTTTCACGAACTATCGCCTGGCTCTGCATTCTGGCTTCCCCATGGCACACGCATCTACAATACTTTGCTGCAGTTCATGAAGACAGAATACCGCGAGCGTGGCTACGAAGAAGTGATCACGCCCAACATGTACAACGCCAAGTTGTGGCAGACGTCGGGCCATTGGCAAAACTACAGCGAAAACATGTTTTCTTTCGATGTGGAGAAGGAGAAGTTTGCTTTGAAGCCGATGAACTGTCCAGGTCATTGTCTCTTGTTCAAGCTACGCAATCGCACTTACAAAGAACTGCCGCTGCGACTTGCAGACTTTGGAGTTTTGCACAGGAATGAATTTTCAGGTGCCTTGAGTGGATTGACGCGAGTGCGACGTTTCCAGCAAGATGATGCGCACATCTTCTGCACGACTGATCAAGTTAAGCAGGAAATCAAGGGAGTCTTTGCCTTCTTGCAGCACGTCTATACAGTCTTTGGCTTTGAGTTCAAGATGGAGCTCTCGACGCGTCCAGAGAAGTACCTGGGTGACATTGCTACCTGGGATACTGCTGAGAAGCAGCTTGAAGAAGCACTCAATGAATTTGCTGGAGAGGGCAAGTGGGAACTCAACCCAGCAGATGGTGCATTTTACGGTCCCAAGATTGATATCACCATTTCGGATGCACTCAAGCGTCAATTCCAATGCGCTACGATCCAGCTTGACTTCCAGCTGCCAAAACAGTTCGAGCTCGAGTATGTCACTGGTGCAGCACCAGTAGGCGAGTCTTCCGATGCACAAGCAGAGTCGGGTTTCGCACGACCCGTTATGATTCATCGTGCTATTCTTGGCTCAGTGGAACGAATGACTGCCATCCTGACAGAGCACTTTGCTGGTAAATGGCCATTCTGGCTCTCGCCACGTCAAGTAACCGTCATTCCCATTGCGGAAGCCTACAATGACTATGCGAAGGAAGTCCATGCAAAGCTCTATGAAGCTGGTTTCCACGTTGATATGGACCTCACTGGCAACACCATCAAGCGAAAAGTGCTAGCGGCGCAACAGCAGCAATACAACTTTGCCTTTATTGTTGGTGAGGATGAAAAGTCGACTGGCAGTGTCAATGTCCGCAATTGTCGCGGCGAGGCTGCACAGCAGGCACGCACGGAGACGGTAGAGCTGTCTGCTGTTATTGAGCGGATGAATGCACTGCGGGAGTCCAAGTCTCAGTCTACCGAGCTATAGAGTCAACCAAGAGGTTTGTAGTCCCCCATATATGATGTCATCTCTAGCCAACTCCATTCAGGAACTTGACTTGACAGCGGCCCTTTCCCCAGACTATACAAGCCATCATGTTCCGTCAGACTACTCGCCTCTTCTCTACTGTATGCTGCTTTCATGATACGTGTTCTTGCTAATATCAGGCTCGCCCAGCATTCAAGACCATCACAGAAACGGTCAAGCAACCCATCGCCAAAGGTGGAGTCGCTTCGGAAGCCGCATTGAAGGCTACCGAAGCCGTTGACTCTGTTGCACAAGCTGCTAGGAATGTTGCTGGTTCTGCTGCAGCCCAAGTCAAGGGTACCGCCAAACAGGCTGAAGGTGCTGCTGAGAATTTGACGTCGGGCTCAGCTACTGCTCAGGTGAAGGGTACGGCTCAGCAGGCTGAGGCTGCTGCCAAGTACGCTCAGGGTTCTGCTACAAAGAAGGTGGATGAGTTGAAGCAGGCTGCGAAAGACACGCTCAACAAGCTTTAGGACCGTTCATACTCATCCAAGTCATGCTCATGGAAAGAACCTCTTTGATTCTATATTGAGTGAATGGCACAGGGCCCTAGTTCGGTATACATGGACCGATCGAGGTAGTTTCTGCTTGCAATGGAAGAATGCGATGTATCCGTAAAGGCAATGTGTGCAATGATTTGAGCACCCAAAAAGGTCGCTTCCTCCGGGACGCCTTTGCTCGATGCATTGCCTGTTGCGATATCTGCTTCACGTATATTCCATTCCGGAAAGTGGACAGGGATTTTGATGGCACGTAGAATCGTCGGGTAGGCTCCAATTGTTGGCGCTTGTGCTTGTCCGTAGGGGTCATAGATAGCAACAGGGGCAGCGCCCAATTGACCGGTACTTGCAAAGCGATCTTGCAGGCGCATGAGTAATGCTTCTCTGAGCCCAGAAATGCGCGCACCGAGACCAACAATGACAATGTTTTCCCAGAGTTCATGTCGCCGACTTGCTTCGATGGTTGGGTGATTGACGGTGGACCAGATTGCCTCTGCCAGCTCATTGGAACTCAACACCCTCTCTGCTGCTTTGAAACGTGCACCATCCACAACAATCGTGCGGCCACTTTTCAGGAGAAGCGTATTGTGTGACAGTTGCGCATTAGGGATGACTTGCTGCTTCTTGCCACCCTCATTGCGTTTCTCTGCTTCAGCGCGTGCCAGGTATTCGCGCGTCTTGCCAGATGCAACAACAGCTGCGATATCCAGAACACCTTCGTCTTCTGTTGCTCCTTTTGTTGCAGCAGGTTGCTGTATATTACCGAGGGGTACCTCACAGATATCAGAGCACTTGATCTCCTCTGCAAGCTCAAGTGTGATTTCGCTCGCAGAGAGAGATTGCTGTGTTGCTTGGTCGAGCGGCGGCGATGCTCGTAGCAGAGATAGCAAATGTTCTGTGATTTGCCGTCCACCGAGCTGTGAAACTGTCTGCCTTGAAGGATGAGAAATGATTGACTCGAAGACACCCGTTACATCCGTCTTTTCATGGCCAATGTCAATGACGAGCCCTGAGAGCGAGGAACACGCAAATAGCGAAGCAACAGCAGGGTCAGCAGCCATGAACGCCTGCACCCTGAATGTTTGAAAGAAGAGCTGCGTCAGTCTTTCCCTCTCGGTCGGACTCCAGCATGGTGGACACATGACGAGGACTGGATTGCCGACAGGTTGTAGGATGGGCTCTTTGCCCGTCAAGGTGTACAGGATATGGCTCAACAAGGCAACCAAAGCTTTCCAATCCGCCACTTTTCCAGCAACAAGCGGCCGAATGATATTCAGTGATTCAGCTTCAGTGGAACTAGTCGCATCCTCGAGGTCGTTGCTACAAATGTAGTCGCCAGAGGGAAGGACACCGACACGCGTAGGGAAGCGGTGTTGCGGCGGTGCGAGAGATTCCGCTAGAGACAATGTAGCTCTGCAGGTATGTGAGCCGAGCTCAATGACGAGCATGTCATGATCGCGGTAAGGCATGGCCTGGGCCGGCTGTCCTTGTTGCTGGTTTCAGGTGTGTGTGTCGCGTATTGTGGTTGTTTTTGTCGAGATTGAAAAAGCGACAGAGATCTGAGATCCTGACCAAGTGTCTACTCTTCAGCTTCTGCCAGCTCCTGCTTAGTGCTTGCTCTCAAGGGCCATGTCTGATGAACAGACTGCTATAGATGCTACCAAGGCAGCTGATGCTACTACACTTGCAACTGCTCCACAAGATACAGCTGCTTCTCTAGATCAGACCGACACAGTCATGAATGACTCGATAGAAGTGTCTACGGCCCCTTCAATCGATGCCCAGGCAAAGCCGCCGATACCTGTTGCAGAGCCAGTTCGCTTGCAAAAGCCTCGTGTGCAAGTCACAGTACCCACTGTTGACAAGGATGGCAGACCACTCTCAAAAAGTGCCATCAAGCGTGCTCGCAAAACAGCCGAATATGAAGCCTTGAAGCCGTATCGCAAGGAACGCGACAAGCTCAAGAAGAAGGCGCGTGCAGATGCCTATAGGGAAGGACTTGCACGTGGTATCGCTGCAGAAGAATTGTTGAAACCCAAGAATACCAAGACGAAAGCGCAGCGTACCAAACCACCGGCTGGGCAGAGTGCGTCTGGCCTGCGAGTCATTGTGGACTGTACCTTTGATGCACTCATGGCGGATAAGGAGATTAAGAGCATGACGTCGCAGCTGACTCGGTGTTATGCAGACAACAAAGCGGCTGTCAAGACGATTGATTTGATCATGACTGGTATGTGCACACAAACGCTGATGCAGCAACGGCAAGACGAAGTGCGTGATCCGCCACTCGTCTTGAGTAGAATTGCAGAGCGGTATGAAAAGGTATTCAAGAATCAGCATCACAACTGGAAGCATTTCGAGTGTTTTCCGCAAGACTATCTATCAGCCGCCAGCAAGCAGGATCAACATGGCCAGACTGTGCGTCAATTAGAGGTCGTGGCTGGCCTGAACAAGGAAGACCTCATCTATTTGTCTGCCGATGCCGAAGAAGACCTCGAAACACTCGAGCAGGGGAAAACTTATATCATTGGTGGTATTGTTGATAAGAACCGGCATAAATTGCTATGTCAGAAGAAGGCTACCAAGCAAGGTATTGTGACGCGTCGCTTGCCAATCGGACAGTACATCAAGATGAGCGACCGCAAAGTGCTCACGGTCAACCATGTATTTGAGATTCTACTCGAGTATGCTGTGTCAGGGGATTGGGCCGACGCGTTCAAGAAGGTTATCCCAACACGCAAACAGGCCATTTCAGAGGAAGAGGAAGAGGAGGATGATGAGGAAGAAGAGGAAGACTAAAAATCGAGCGTCGGCCTCTTCGGTTGCTTGTTTTCCGCCTCCACGACTGTCTCTGCGTGCTTCTTGAAGCGTTCGACATACGGCTTGAGGCTGGTTTTTGCATAGTCTGTCTGTTAGCCATCATTGCATCTTTCATATCAAGCATACCTGGAATTTCCTTGACATCCTCCTCTTCGCTCTGATGAGTTGCTTCCCAAGCGTTGAGCTCATCCAGAAGTTTCGCCACGGTTGGCACCTTGAATGGATCAAATGACTCTGGATCTGTCGCATCGATGGGCACACAGACATTGCCCGTCTTGGGATGCACACAAAAGGGCGATTTGAGCAAATGGTTCAAGTGTTTCGATACCTCCACATCAAGTCGTGGGTACATGTACTCCAACACCAAATCTTGCTTGGCTGCCACCAGCTGTGCAGGGTTGAAACCTTTGCTCACGGCACCACTTGCTGCCAATGCATCTAAATCGGCCCATTTGAGGGCAGATGGACGATTCTTGGCTGTACTCCACTTTCTAGACAAGGCTTCACGCAAGTCGGCATCTGGAATGCGCAAGAGAAGTTTGTCAGCGCCCGCTTGATCGATCCAAGGTTCCTGTGTATCGAGGACATCTTCCTTGAATGTCCGCTTGAGTAAATCCAAACTGCGAACGACAGAAGGATGCAGTGGTCTCCGCAAGTCAACACCTTTCTTACCCTTGACAAGCTCAAGGTAAGTAGCAATGGATCGACGCTGGCTGTCATCAAGCATCCGTGCCTTTTTATCGCTAATCCACGCATGTGCACCACGACGTCCAGAATAGACCCAAAGGATATGCTCAAACCCGAAATCTTCTCGCAAGCACACATCCATAGTGCGAATAGCAAATGTGATGTATGTCCAGCATTTGTGACAGATAGAGGTCTCCTTGCAACAGGTTCGGATGTCGTCGTAGTCTGTCAGATCAATATCAAAGACGAGTTCCTTCTCGATGGGTTTGAAGATTGCTTTCCGTAGAGTTTTACGATCACGCGGGTTGTGCGAATAGATGGGCCCGATTTCAAATCTGGCAGGTTTGAGTCTGAGCACATCTTTACGGAAGGCATCCCATGTCGGGAAGCTGTTGTAGCGGATGTAGACGTCGTTGAAGAGGGAAAATGCAATTTCGCGATGCGCCATGTGCTTTGAGGGGACATGGCTGTGGTTGAGCCAGGTGAAGAGCGGCTTGAATGGGAAGAGGCGTTGGTAGAAGATGCCGATGACATCCTCGTCGACCTGCATGATGCCGTCTGAGACTGAGAGTTGTCAATGTAGCTTTTGAAAGTGCTTCGACGCGTCGCGAATCTGAAATTTGGGCTGGGCGGAGGATTCACTAATTCGCGTTTGATCAGGGGAATATACTTGGAATACTTGGAACACGGAATACCTGAAATGCTACCTGCCCGCTAGCCAGACACATTCCAGTTGAAGCAATCCACACACTCGTCTGTACGCACAGGGGTCGGGGTGGAGTTATACCGCATAATCACATCCTCAATCACATTCCGGATGCGATGCGTACTGACACCCTGTCGCCACCCAAGATCCTCCACCGTATCATACACACACTCATACCCCGAATGACAGTGCGTCTCCATTGCAAAACCAGCAGTCCAACAAGCAGAGGTGATACCGCCGCATGTTCCCATGAATAATGGATCTGCCGTATGTCCAAAAGCCCAAATATGCTTTGCAAAACCAGCATCTGAGTGATTGCTTGTAGGGTGTTTATCCTCACCCTGCCAAGGAAATCCAGCACCTGGCATAATAGGCAGCCCTAGGCGTCGAGCGCTGAGTTTCTCCCCTGGTGCTTGGAATGTCACGGCCGGTAAGCCATATGTCTGCGCAACAAGCGATGCAACTGCACCACCCAGTGAATGCCCAACGATCCAGATATCACCCTTTGGAAAGTCTCGCTTGACGTCGTGATAGACGTCCAGAGCTGCGCGGTAGTAGTGTTTCCGCGAACGCAACTCATTCTCAAGGCATGCAGCGTTGCACGTATACGTATCTTCGTAGCAGTCGCAAACGGGTCGCCAAAGGTAAGAGACTCGACCGCAGCAGCATGAGAAGAGGAGGTTATCGTTGCGCTTATCCTTGAATTGCGTACCGCCGACCAGACTTGTCCCTTTGTACGCCAATATAATGGTGGAGTTGTCCTCGTTTGTAAAGACATGACCACGCAGACCATCATCGTCCCAGCCGAAATGATAGGTAGAATTGAAGCCGTCGTCCAGATCAATCCAGTCATCTGTCTCAGGAACAGCCGTGTAGCAATCATTTGTCATTTTGGCAAGATTGAGGATTGTTTCTCTGTCATGAATTGCAGGTAACCGTATCTTGTGCCGCTTGAAGGGGTGCTTTGTGATACCCAAGTGTCGTTGCGCATGGTAGTCATCGAGCGCAGCTTGTGAGTGGTCCCGCAATTGGTCGACTATTGCCACCTGTGATTTGCCAAGTGGTATGGTATAAGCTTTGGCAAAACTATCATCGCCAAGCGCTTGTGCGAACAGACCCTTAGAAAGCTTGCGATGAAGACGATGCTTGTCGCCGAGCCCACGGACGTGTATCGCCTGCAGTGAGAAGCGATCCAGATCAGGCGGTTCTTTGTCGCGCATTGTGCGCGGTATCGCATCGTGCGCCTTGTCATTGAGATATTGCCAGGGTAGTTGAAGCGCCTGAATTGGCGCTGATAAGAAGAGAAGCGCCGTTGCGCAGGCTATGATGCGCATGGCTGGAGAGAGCGGATGAGTGCTTTGGTTGTGTGTTGCTTGTTGTCTCGAGTCGTCGTCATGATTGCGATTGCGATCGCGAAATGCGGGACACGGACCAGGCACCACACATCCATTGACGGAGATCTCATGCCAGACTGCCAGATGTGCAGAGTCAAGGAAGACATAAGTGCCTATTCTATGCAAAGCTCTCACGTGCTGTCAAGTAATCCCAAAGTTACTACGCCCTCGGGCCGTTGCAGCTCTTAGAAAACCGACTCTATATTGGCCTCAAGAGTCAGGAGACACCTCCCTTGACTCAGCATCAGATCACGCACTCTAGAAACTCCGCTACATCACGTTGATGCGCCCGTTATTTGTGCAGGCATGATGTCGGGAGAACAGATGTTCCAAATACGACATAGAGCCTGTCGCAAATCACACCAACGTCTGTCGGTCTAGCGGCTCTAGCCCATCGGCTGCTCAATAACCGCGTGGTCCTCGGCAAAGCCAGAATACTCATTCCGATGAGCAAAGCGTGATGAGACATGAGGAAATCACTCAGAGGGTCTAGGCACAATCTCCTGAATCTTGGTGTAATCTAACAGCAAACCGCCTGCTCATGTGCATGGCTTATGTCCACACATCTCATCCATCAACGACAGCAGCAAAAGTCTGGCCTTCGCCACTGGTATCGTTACAAGGTACTACCTGTAAAGAAACTCCATGAATAGCTGACTGAAGCCGTCGCATTCGAGCTGAGACTCATTGAATCGAGTGCAGAGATGAGCCCACATGGTCTTTGGCAGGTGCTGTCTCTATTGTTGCCATTTATTCACATGCTTGATGGTCATCCGGTCCAGGCTAGCACGCCAGCGCCACGATGCGGCCCAAATCCCAAATTGATGGCATTTTACGTCCGGGTGTCCCACTTACCTGAGAATGGAGGATGTCGGTTGAATTGTACAGACATGGTCATCAGAGCCTTCCCTTTGAATCAACGATTCTCTCGTTGTCAAAAAAGGAGGACTTTGGTCTTTGGCAAACATAGCTAGTCTGTTGTGTACGGCACGAAGCCCTCTCTCACGATAGAGAAATGCGTTTGTAAGTTGTCCTTCATCTTCGAAAGTCTCGAGACAAGCGCAGGTCGGGTTTGCGCGCCAGACATTCTGCATGGCAATATCGTGGCCAGCCCAGGCCGATGGACACACAGCCAGACAAAACGGTCGCTCGTGTCACCAAAACCCAGATAACCAATATGATCTGAAGTGGACACGTCACGTATAAAGCATACTTATACCCAACAGCACTTGTCACTGATCAGCATTTCTTTATCCTTGTGCTTAGTCCATTTGCAATACTACTATTTCGTAAATTAGAGCGCCCCTTCTGAGCTACACGTTCAACGCAAGTAAACGCGCCCTTCAACTGCGTCATACTGGAGACGGATATACGAGCTTCATGCCAGCTTACCCGTCGTCGTTCTCTACGCTAGCAGACAATTCAGGTTCACGGCGTTTGTGAGTACTTGCACTTGATGACTAGAACTATTGAGGATGCGGCCCAGGAACGCGAAATACGCGAAATTGAAGGAAGATGAAAAGTGCGAGATGCATCCCACGAACAGGCCTGGACGCCTCTGTAGGTTGTCGCTGCTTGTCAAGGACATGACAGCCTTTGACAGGGATGTGTTGATCTCTCCGTACCTGTGTAGAACAATCATGGTCAGCTTCTTCTACCTGATGCCTGTTCCGGCCCGACTCGTATTGATGCATATCGCGTAATCTATCTATCTACAGTACGTGAGTTGAGAGGCTGCTGCCAGGCCCTAGCTCATGATGACCACATAGACAGGCTCGATAGTCCGTAGTCTGCAATAGAAGAAGAGGAGACGCAGCTCTGAGTGTTGCGTGTCTTGCCTGCTGCTCTCCCGCCATCTTTTCCAACGGTCCAGAAGTGAAAGAAGAAGAATCCAACGAGCCATCTACCAGAGCAGAGACACAACAGCCAGACATCACAACGCCTTACTCTCCATCCGACCAGGCATCTATCTAGACACACGCGCTTCATCAGAGGAAACAACCAAACCCCCCTTCCGCAACATGACTCCCAACGCGCGCGACGCGGACGCGTCTTCCAGTACTGACGCGACCTCGACCACCTCCCAGCAGTCCCCGAGCTCGACCACAGCGCAACGCATCCTTAAACGCGCCGAGGTCTCTCGCATAACGCGTCTCCTGAAACACCGCCTTGAGATCGCACAATATAAAGTCGAACGCAAGTGGCAGCATTTCAGCTTGAAATCCGTCGCGCCGCAGCTTGAGCAGGAAGTCTTGCTCGCGTCGCAGAGTAGACAGCAGCAACAGCAAAATCAGGCCTTGACAAATGGGAATGGCTTATCGATGAGCGAGTCGAGTGTGACGCCTCCGCCCTCCTCGATGGGCGCTGCAACGGCGCATGAGTCCTTCTCAGGCGCGTCAGGTCGTTCAGGACCACCCGCCGCTTCTCCGCCACGTTCAGCAGACGATCCATTCTTGATTCCCGACTTGCCTATTCGCTCGAGATTCCAAGAATCGAGTGTACGCAACGGGGATGCAAATGGGCCTGCGCTGTATGCGCACAGCTATGCTCCCTCTCAGCAAAACACGACCGCCGGCTTTCAAGTCTCTCCTCGCAAACGGCCAAGAGCGCCCAGTGATGAAGAGGGCGAGTCGGATGCAAGCCACATGTCGCCGCTCAAATATCGTGCTGCAACGCCTTCGATGCAACGGCGTAGCAGTCATGGTCATAGTGGGAGCGAGGGACCCCATCCACCACGCACGCCGCCGCCCTCTACGCCACCACCGTTGTATCGCACTGCCCTTGCGAGTTCTTCACGGACGGCAGGGAAATCGCAGCGGCAGGGTCAACCCAACAATGCAGCATCCTTTAAGGATTCAGAGGAAGGCGCTGATTTACTCCTCTACCTCGCCACCTCCCCCTCACCAGCAAAAGCGCGTCGGTCGCGAGACTTCCTACCACAACCTTCTCCAAGAAGCAGTGGCAGTCATGCACATCATGGACAGACAATGTATCCCGGTGGTCCATTTTCGTCACCACCACCCGTCATGCGTGGTTCATCACAAGTCAATACCCCTGTAGGCGGTGGCTTCAATCTATCAGAATTCCTCAATTTCACACCATCCCCCGCACAAGCTGCAGCAGCGCATCATCCGGGATTGCATCTTCAAACGGCAAGTGGACAAACAATCTCAGGTCGTCTTGCAGCAGCTGCTGCAGCAAGCGCTGGATCATCATCAGCGAACCGGTATGGACACGTTGGTGATGTCAAGGTTTCACCCATCAAGTTGACCTATGACGCAGCCACGCGTGCGTCACCGTCGAGAAATGCAACGGCTGCACGGTTATATGGGTCAAGTAGGGAGGAGGTTGCATCGTCGGGCTATCTTGAAGCGGCATTAGGATCACCTTCACGGAGAACAGGCGCCACTACGTCCGGTACTGGTGTGAGTCATCGTGGTTCGACGACGACCATGGCACGTCCTGCGAGATTGGATTTCGTGTAAATGGGTTTTGAGAAGTGTGATATCTTTTTTATGGCTTGTTTAGAGGTAAGTGGGCCTCTGTATGTCCATGTTATGTATGTTGTTTTATGTAAAGATCTAGATTGCTACCTTTCAAGGCATCAGGCTTGTCATCGTCCAGGCACGTCACTTGGGCACTGAAAGAAATGCACAACAGTCGCCTGGCTGTTATCGCATGAACAATTTACGATGCGATGTAGATATAGACAACGATCTGAATGACTATACAGTTGCCTTGGCTCGATAGTTGATGCCTCTGTACGTTGTAAGATCCTCCCAGCATAAAACCCTTAGCTGTGCCCATCTGAAAATTTCGCATGTCCTCGCAGTAGCCACCCTGACAGTGCTCTAAGGGTGAAGAGCGTGTCATGGACAATCGCCAAGCCTGCCTCACAGTCGACATGTCTGCCGTATTCAACCACTTTGACCAACGCTTAAAGAGTGAATAGAATCTCGGCAATCTGCAAAGGATGCGAGCACGACAATTGTGGCCGTTGCGAGTAATTACCCTGATTCATCTCATCGCGAATACTGTTGAGCAATTGCAAGTAGCTCTGTTGAGGGTTCTTCAGCAATGCATTACGGAATGCAAAGGACATGGCACCTTGTCCCTGTCCAGCAATAGACGCATCTGCTGACGTTTGATCGTCCTTGCAACCGGTAAAGCAAATGACATCTGCCGGTGCCGTTTTCATAGCTTTTACTTGTTCTCGATTGCCACTGCCGCTCTTTGTCACTTTGCTAAAGAGTCCCGATGCGCCCTTGAGCACGCCACCGATATCATTTGAGAGGTAAGACTTGCCGATACCAAGGAGACCTTGTCCAGCATCCTTGAGAAGGTTGGGTTCCTTGAGCACACCTCGCGTGTTGTACATGTATGGCAAATCCAAGATACTGCCAGAGTGGCAACAATCAAAGATTGCAGTGAGTCGACAGCCTGGTGGCAGACTCTTGACGCAGATATCATGCATAATGTCATCGATGATGTGACCAGGTGGGGTTGTTTCCATATCGACTGGGTAGATGCATTCATCCATGCCATCTTCCTCATCACCATCTAAATCACGCGTACTACCGCCGTGACCGGAATAGTGCAACATCAAATTGTCACCTGGTCTGGCACCTGCAACAAGCCACTGCATCGCACTCAGAATATTGGCGCGTGTAGGAATAGCACGCGGATTCTGCTGATCATCCGTCAAAATCACCATATCATCCTTCCTGAACCCATAGCGCTCCGTCAAGAACTGTACCATGTTGTGAACATCATTGATGCAACCTCGCAATTCACTCTTGGTCCCAAAATAGTTGATGCCAATCAACAGGGCCTTCTTCTTACCGTGCAAGTCTGAGAATTGGTACTGCATACCGCCAACGCCAAACTGTCGTCAGCTTTTGCTTGAGAATCCATAGTGAGATACTTACACTCTGTGCACCGGTGGGAGGCGCATGAGGGGCCGCGTAGCCTTGAGGTGGTCCTTGCTGCTGCTGAGGTGGTGGATATCCACCTTGCTGACCACCATACTGCGGCGCATTGTTCCAATTAGGTGGAGCGCCCTGCGGCACACCATACCCATTATTGTTTGGGTTATAGCCGCCTTGACCAGGTGCTGCGTAACCGCCTTGCTGATACGGCTGGGAGGAACCATAACCACTGCCATAGTTGCTGCCCTGCTGGTGTTGCTGCTGATAGTTCTGACCGGGAAAGGACATCTTGACTTGTGGTAGTCTATCTGGCTGTACTCAGTCAAGCGACGTACAGAGCACAGGTAGGAGCAGGCAGGCGGTAGGCAGCGCTCGTGCGTGTTGTAGAGTGCGTTGGCTCCGCGCTTGTGATTGGCTGATGACACGCGTGCAGACTAAATCTAGATCTACTAAGTCTACGGTAGGTCTTGTAGCCAAGTTGTAAGTCTACTTTAGCTTGAGCTTGGGCTTGGACTTGCACAAGATATACATCTCATGGGTGCCTTGAGTCATTGTCAAATTTACTAACCGAACTATCATTGAGAGTATATAATGTATATGATCAACTCACGCCTGTCAATTACGCAGAGCTTAAGGATTGTCTATCCATTCTTCTGTAAGCTGACGAGTCCGTCCCATCGAGCCTCCCGGCAGCTTTCGCTCAAGAGCGAGGAAGGAATTTGGAGCGAAGAGAAAGTCCTTGACATTGGTTGGTCACTTTTTTAGTGCTAGTGGGCGACAGGAAAGACTGCATCCAGTCAAAGCCAAGTGGCCACGACGCACCGAAACACCGAGAGCATTCTTCCTACAAGCCCTTCGGCACCTTGAAAGAACTCCCCGTCATCGCTTGTAGCTGACACAAAGCAAACTCATTCTTGCACGCGCAAGCGATGACAAAATAGGAAAGCCGGAGGCGCGCAAAGGAAAAGCAAGGTCGCCAAGACAACGACGTCTCAATCGCGAGCAACTCCAACGCCAGCAACTCCAACTCCAGAGACACCAAGTCGAGAGCCAATACAATCGCTCTCGTTTTCACCGGCCAGATCGACTCCAGTCGCGGAGTAGTCAGAAGAACCACAAGCCACACAGGCCGGCACAGGTGTTACAACGTCCGCCTCAACACCAAGTCAAGCACTCACTGCTGAGACGTCCGCCAATGCAAGACCAGCGAATGGGAGTGCCGCTTTCGACCTATTGCCTCCGGGTCCATTGTCAGGCCAATGGTACGATGTCAAGCAATACCCCAGCTTGACGAGATTGCGGACGCAAAGCCAGATGACACATCAGAGCCATCGACCGAGTATCGATTCGAATTCAAGTACATCGGCACAGTCTACAATTGATACTCGGTCGATGGCTCTGATGTGTCATCTGGCTTTGGGGGGTCTCTACCTCCACTTGGGCCCACAGATTATGGCGTACTGTCTTGTGAGGACTGATGTCAAGCTAGGCAAGCGCAACGAGGATGAAAATAGCAGGAGAACTGTGGCATTTTGCAGCATTTGCCGCACAGACGTGGCCGAATCATCATGGAGCGAAACATATAAGTCCAACCATTGGTGGGCTCACCACGCTCGCAAGCAAGGAAATGAAGGTCTCTTCGGGTGACGGTTCGCCTTGCTGATGCAAAAGTGGAGTTCCAAATGTCCAGGGGACTCTAAGTCCTTTGATGAAGAGACGTTCAGGATTCAACACCTTAGAGGCAGCTCCAAGCAGTTCAGTGATGCCGCCAGTAGAATGAAGCGCCGGCCAGGCCTCCAATGGTTCCATGCTTCGTAGTTCCTCTGTCGTACGCATCCAAACCTTGAGGAGTTGATCGTCCAGTGGAGTCTTGAGCTGGGGTTCGCAATGTCCCACGGAAGAAGAGATCTCTATTTCATCACGCTTGGGCTTTTCTTGTGACTTGACTGGATCAGCTGTGAACTCGATCGCACGCGTGGCTTTCTTGGCGTGTCGAGACCATGTCTTGGCATCCATTGTTTCATCAGGCACCGTTTCCAGCATCTTGAATGTCTCCTCATCAAAGGGCCAGGAGTCCTTCGGATATTTGGATGTCCACCTTTGCATCAGCAAGGCAAATCACCGCCCAAAGAGACCTTCATTCCCTCGCTTGCGAGCGTGGTGGCCCCACCAATGGTTGTTCTTGTACATGTCCCTCCATAACGATTTGGCCACGTCTGTGCGGCAAATGCTGCAAAAGGCCACAGTCCTCCTGCTGTCTTCATCGTTGCGCCTGCCTGGCTTGACATCAGTCCTCACAAGACTGTACGCCATAATTTGGGAGCCCAGGTGGAGGTAGATGTCCTGGTAAACCGTGCCAACGTGCTTCAATCCGAATTGATACTCGGTCGATGTCTCCGATGTGTCTCCTGGGTCTGCGTCCGGCATCGTGGTCAGGCCGGCGTATTGCTTAACATCGCATCATCGGCCTGACGATGGACCTGGAGGCAATGGGTCAAGAGAGGCGATCCCAATTGCTGGTCTTGGATTGGCTGACGCCTCAGCAGTGAGTGCTTGACTTGATGTTGCTGAGGCGGACGTTGTAAGACCTGTGCCGGCCTCTGTGACTTGTGGTTCTTCTGACTCCTCCGCGACTGGAGTCGATCTGGCCGCCGACTGCGACTTTGACTGAAGTTGCTCTCGACTTGGTGTCTCTGGTGTTGGAGTTGCTGGCGTTGGAGTTGCTCGCGATTGAGACGTCGTTGTCTCGGCGACCTTGCCTTTCCTTGTAGCCTCTGATGCAACTGGCTGGTTGTTGGTGGGCTGGGTTGGTCAGTGAAGTTCGGTCTGCGTGTCATCGTTCTGTTGAGCAAGGCGTGAGATATTTCCCAACAGGCCATTCATGTGCCTCCACCGCGTCCACCCGTACCTTCAACCTCAACAGGCGTCTGGCATGTGCGCTGGGAAACATCTCCATGGGTTGTCTTGGTGCTGATGACTATTGTAGTTGCAATTGCCTTGGACACGGTCGACTCGGGACGGAGGCGCTGCAAAAATGGGAGTCTGCTGCTCCAAAAGGGTACTGTTGAACAGCAGCTCGTACTGCAGCCTGCATACCAGGCGAAAATTGCTGCATTGGTACAGCTTGCTGGTTGACTGGGGTTGCCGGCCGATTTTTGCTAGTTCTACCAGTCCGTCTGGGATGACCAGACGATGAGAAGTCATCGGAGAAACAACTGGACTGTAACCTGTTGTTTATCTGAGTGAACAAACAAGCAAAGGAATTAAACACCGGACGAGTGACTAGATTAAAGATCACAGAAAGCCTGCTGTATAATGTCTCTGTGTCGGCCCATTTCGAGAGCTCGAGGGGTAATAATGCACACCTTGCTCAACAATTTCATCATCTAGGTACTTTAGCTAGTACGTCGGTTTCTCCCAGCCAGAGATCTCGCGAACCCAAGCAGCCGTATCAAGCACACTAGCAACCTGTTGGTCCACAGGCAGCGTCTCATGCAGCTTACCCATACGCAAATACGAGTCAAAACGCTCATACGTCTCAAGTGTCTTGTCCTGCGCCATCTCCAGCAACACACCTGCAACAGGTTCTTGCTCATCATCCAAGTACAATTGTAGTGCCTCCCTAAACAAAGCAAACGCATCTGGCAAACCTGCTCTGAACTTACGATTCGCTTCAACGAGTGCTTCGGGCTTCGTTTGCTTATTACCCATACATGAGCGTAGAGGTTGTGTGATCCCATCCGCACACGATGCAACAAGCTGATTGACTGCGAGTTGAAGCTGATCTTCAAGTTCGAGTCGAGCGTCTTGCATATTCTCAACAGGTCGCGAAAGAGCACCGGCTGCGAGCCTCGAGAAACCAGATGAAGCGAGGCTGTAGAGTGCTGAGGGAGAAAAGAGATCTCCTTTAGCTGCTGCATCCCAGAGCGTTGCCGTGATTCCTTGTCCTTGCTCCAGGCCTGACGCTTCTGGCAAGTGCTCCAATTCGAAACCAGCCATTTGCTCTCTCAGCAGGAGCAAGTGTTTGATGAGGAAGAGTTGACCATTGACGAGATTTTTGCGACGAATAGAACTTGCTGCTGACAACAAACTCGACAAACAACCACGCACCACCTCATGTGCCAGCGCATCGAAGAGACTGCTCTGCACAAGCCTGTAGATTTTGGATAGCAAAGCGATACTTGTTCGTAGAGTGATGTACCAGTCTGCACTGCTTCCTTGCAAACCAGATTGAACTGTTTCAGAATCATCAAAGACACTGCTGCTGGACGGTGCTAGAGAATGACCCACACTGCCAGTTCTTGACAAGGCCGGTCGAGTTCGTTGACGACGAACAAGCTTTCCATGGTAGTCTAGATCTTGCTCTGTCGGAGCGTAGCCTGTGATATTCGATGCAATGGCTGCTCTCGCAAGGGTTGCGACTCTTGCCTCGAGTTGCTGCAAGGTTGTGGTAAAGAGTGGACTCAGATCAAGCCCGTGCGTGTTGTCTTCTTGCACGCACTGTGCTTGCAGACTTGCGCACACCTCACAAAGGCGCGTCAAGCTCGTTTCGGCTGTGATGCGTGGACCCATGGCATCTGTAAAGCTTGGACCCAATGTTGCTTGGAAATTGGCAAACGCAGCTCCGTCTACCTCGGGAAAGAAGGCTCTGAAGAGTTCTTGCTCATCAGCGACGAGACTGCGCATAAAGGACACGGAAGACGTTGCAAAACTATCGAGTTCCTTGATGAGTGCAAAGTCCTTGAACGTGGTTGCCAAGGTGCTTGCAAGTAATGCCTTGCGTGTTGCAAAGTAGGCAGAGAGACAGTCATTGAGCAACGATTCGTACTCGGTGTGATGTTTCGAAGCTTGGCTCAATCTCATGAGTAGTGGAGCCATGGACGGCGACAAACTTCGGAATTTCGTGTAAAGTAATGCAGCTTGAGTATTCTTATTGAGACCATTGGACATCTTACTCGTCACATCTGCGGTCACTTGACGAAGTGCCGTATTGAAGTGAACACGAATCAGTGTTAGTGCTTTAGTCATGCACTGTCTGTAACTTCTTGTAAAGACATCGGCATCCTTGTAGTCTGGATGTTGTTCGAGGAACTCTAGTGACGTCTCGACACGATTCAAGAGCTCCCTGTATGATGGTTGCAGCACCAGATCACTTCCGGGAACATTCAAAAGTCGTACAGCTGTAGGGAGGTAGGAAAAGGGCTGCAGCGTTTCCTTGATGTCGTCCGCAAGAGAAGTCATTCGCGCTTCCTCTGCTTGTAGCTCATTACATCGTGTTTGTAGAGTGTGCGTTTGTTCAGCTACTGCATCAAAGCCATCTTTGATGCCAGCAAGGACAGATAAGACCCTATCTGCTTGATCAAGCACTGCTCGACAGGAGACCAGTCGCAGCAAGCTCGTCTCCTTGATTTGCTTCAATTGCAAATCCTGCAAGTCTTCAAAGATTTGTTCATCGTCGAGATGAGCCTCCTCTATCTCCTTCACATCCCAATGTGTTGCATCACGCGGCAATATAGGTCTAGGCAGTTCAATGCCTTGTAGCGACCGTGGTCGTCTGCGTACATCGGCTCTTGGCGGTGACTTTGCTACTTTTGGGATACACGGTGCAAGTGGGGGTGAGGGCGACCTAGCCTTGATGGGCGAAGGTGGTCTGAGGTCGCTATAGGCGTACAAGTAGTCGTCCATGCATGCTCCCTTTGTGTGTAGGTTGCTACTTGCTGCGGTAGATGAGCGCGACGTGTTTTGTAGTGTGAGGAGCTCCTCTTGGTGATCTCATTAGCAGAAGAAGACTTACTACAACAGCTTATACCACTTGCTGCAGTCGAGATACAGGGAGAGAATCAAGATGGCAACCAACACAGCAGAGAAGCCCCTCGGAGACGGAACAGTCAAGTACAAGCAGCCATTCATTGTGTTTTCAGACTTTGACGGCACCATCACATTGCAGGACTCAAATGATTACCTTACAGACAATAGTACGGGCATCTTCCCGAGGCAACAGAGCTAACAGGCAGTTGGTTTTGGCCAAGAGAGGCGGGTGTTTCTGAACCAGGAAGTCCTCAAGGATAAAATGTCCTTCCGCGACTCATTCGCAGAGATGCTCGACAGTGTCAAGACGCCCTTCCCAGAGTGTGTCCAGTTGCTGCTCGACAACATCAAGCTCGACCCTGGCTTTGCCACTTTCTACAATTGGTGTCTTGACAACGACATCCCCGTCGTTGTATTGTCTTCTGGCATGCAGCCCATCATTCGAGCCTTGTTGACCAAGCTCATTGGACCCAAGGCAGACAAGATTGACATCATCTCGAACGACGTCGCCATTAAGGAAGACGGATCATGGGATATCCTTTTCCGTAAGTGCTCCAAGCTTGGTGCAGGACTTGCTGACTAGTAGATGACCCTTCACACTTTGGCCACGACAAGTCACTCGCCATTCGGCCCTATGCAGCCCTCAACCCGCGTCCCAAGATGGTATACTGTGGTGACGGTGTCAGTGATTTATCCGCTGCCAGAGAAACGGACTTGCTGTTTGCAAAACGTGGTCGTGATCTCGTCACCTACTGTATCCGCGAGAAGATGCCATACACTGAGTTTGACTCGTTTGCAGACATCCATGCTGTTGTACAAAAGCTGCATGCTGGAGAGACGACGCTCGAGGAGATTGCACAGCAACAGCTGGCCGCCAATGAGAAGTAGACGCAGCACTGCATTCGTCGACATAGACATAGACATAGAGTTGGGTTCAATGATCATCCTCTTCGGGCTCCTCATCGTCTGGCGAGTCATCGCGTACAGGCAAAGTCGCGCCCGTCCCGTCGCTCATCAAGATCTCAGCCTCAAACCTCCGTCTATCCATCGGACACTGTCCCTTTGAACTGTCCTGACTGAGCCATTTCAACAGACAGTGCATGTGAAAGACATGCGTGCACTTTCCCCAGACTACACAGTGTCAGTTTGCCATCTGCATTTCAAAAGAGAGCATACTGAGGGGACACTCATCGCCTGGCGACTTGCAATCTGCGCATGTCCCGTCAAAGGCGACGCGACAAATGCCACACACGTCGTCTTGCGCGACTTTCCACTGCCAGACAGCGACTGCATGCCAGTCTATTCGTTAGCGCGTGGTTCTAGTAGAGCCTGGTATAAGCCTGGCATGGAAGCAGCATACCCTTGATGGTCACCTTCATCGCATAGACCCTCTCTCTACTATTGTAACTATTCTACCTGGCAGTGCCTGTGAATTGTTTCCTGGGCGACGAAAGAAATTCTTCAGAACAAGACGCGACGAGGGACACCACACAGACCATGAACAGCCAAATCCCCGTCATCGGTAGGGCCCTCTCCGTGCGCATGTAACATGCATCACTAACAGCTGCAGTCCTCAAGGAAGGCACAGATAATTCTCAAGGTCGCGGGCAGCTCATTAGCAATATCAATGCTTGCATTGCCGTGCAAGATACAATCCGGACGACCCTCGGTCCACTGGGAGCTGATAAGCTCATGGTCGATGCCCAGGGCCACGTCACTATCTCCAATGACGGTGCTACGATTATGAAATTACTGGATATCGTGCATCCTGCTGCCAAGTCGCTTGTGGATATTGCTCGTGCACAAGACGCTGAAGTAGGCGATGGTACGACGTCTGTGGTTGTACTGGCTGGCGAGATGCTCAGGGAGGTCAAGACATTCATTGAAGATGGTGTGTCGCCGCAAGTCATCATTAAGGGATACCGTAAAGCGAGTCAATTGGCAGTCAACAAGGTCAAGGAACTCGCAGTCAAAGTGGACAAGCGTGATCAAGTCAAATTCAGAGAACTTCTCATGAAGTGTGCAGCGACTGCCATGTCAAGTAAATTGGTTCATGCGAATGAGGGGTTCTTCACAAAAATGGTCGTGGATGCTGTTTTGTGTCTTGACCAGGATGACTTGAATGAAAATCTGATTGGCATCAAAAAAGTACCAGGCGGTGCCATGCAAGACTCCATCTTCGTCGATGGTGTTGCCTTCCAGAAGACCTTCTCCTATGCTGGCTTTGGCCAACAGCCGAAATCCTTCAAGCAACCCAAGATCGCCTGTCTCAATGTTGAGCTGGAGCTCAAGGCAGAAAAGGACAATGCAGAGGTTCGCGTTGAGCAAGTCTCTGAATACGACGCTATTGTCGATGCAGAATGGCAAATCATCATCAACAAACTCGAATTGCTCGTTCAGTCGGGCGCAAAGATCATCCTCTCAAAGTTGCCGATTGGTGACTTGGCAACGCAATACTTTGCCGACCGTGACATCTTTTGCGCTGGTCGTGTGTCTTCTGACGACCTCAACAGAGTGACACAAGCGACAGGTGCTTCCGTACAATCTACTTGTTCCGATATTCGCCCAGAACACCTGGGTTCGTGTGCTTCTTTTGAAGAGCAACAAGTCGGTGGCGAGCGATACAATCTATTTACCGGTTGCAGCACTGCCAAAACGTGCACCCTCATTTTGCGTGGTGGTGCCGAGCAGTTCATTGCAGAAGTTGAGCGATCACTGCATGATGCCATTATGATTGTCAAGCGCGCCATTAAGAATACAGAAGTCGTTGCAGGTGGTGGTGCCATTGAAATGGAGCTGAGTCGATACCTGCGAGACTACTCCCTCACCTTGGCTGGCAAGCAGCAACTCATCATTGGTGCTTTTGCAAAAGCACTTGAAGTCATTCCAAGGCAATTGTGTGATAATGCCGGCTTTGACGCAACCGATATCCTCAACAAGTTGCGTATGCACCATGCGCGTGGTGAGATTTGGGCAGGTGTGGATATGGAGACAGAGGGTGTTGCTGACAACTTTGCCAAGTTTGTATGGGAGCCCACCAGTGTCAAGGTGAATGCCATTGCCTCTGCTGCCGAAGCTGCGATGGTCATCTTGAGTGTGGATGAGACCATCAAGAATGAACAGTCGCAGCACGCACAGGCACCGAGAGGTGGACTTCCGCCTGGCGCTGCTCAGCGTGCATTGAGAGCCAGAGGGCGTGGCCGTGGTATGTGAGGTATAAACACAACTTTGCATTTCTAGTCTCATACGTGACTGCGAATTTCCTCACTATATTTTGTTTCCTTGGCGGCTTCCAACACTTTCCTCGGGCGATACTCCTCGGTCTTGCTCTGCCATGAAGCCACTATCACGCACGGCCGTCGAGGAACGCATAGATCAAGGCGAGATACTTGTCATTTATCAAAATCAAGTCCTCAAACTCGATCATTGGCTCGCACGACATCCTGGTGGCGACAAGGCTATTTTGCACCTTGTTGGACGCGACGGAACCGATGAGATGGACAGATACCACGCCAAGGAGACGACTCGGCGTATGAAGGCGTATGCAATAGGTCAGGTTGCTATGGAAGCGCGTCCGTGGCGGAATATGGTGCCGCCGATCCAATGTCCAGCACTGGTCAAGCAAGACGCCCCGGATTATAGCGACGACGAAGGTATCGCTATGAGTGAGTCGAGTCAATCCACCGAACCGATTCAAGGCCCAATAGATGCGCATACTCAAGCAGAAATTGAGCGCGACTTGGCTACGTATCCGTCGCTCGATGCGACAACGCAAGGAGGTATCCAGGCCAAGTACCGTGCGTTGGCAGACAAGCTCGAGCAGGAAGGTTACTATCAGTGCAGATACAGTGACTACCTGGTATGGGAGCTTGCACGATACGTCTTACTGGCGACAGCTTCCTTGACACTATACAGTCATGGGTGGTACAAACTCTCGGCAGTCTTTCTCGGCCTCTTCTGGCATCAAGTCACGCTTGCCTGTCATGATCTAGCACACAATGGTGTCACGCATGGTCCATTGGACACCATTATCGGCATGACCCTCGCCAGTTTTGTTGGCGGGCTGAGTATTGGCTGGTGGAAGCGCAACCACAATGTCCACCATCTCGTCACGAATCAACCAGAGCATGACCCTGATATCCAGCACATGCCCATCTTTGCAGTGACGCCGAAGCTCCTGACAAATGTGACGAGCACGTACTATGAGAAAGTGCTGGATTACGATACAGCTGCGCAGCTGCTCATCAAGGTGCAGCGTTTCATTTTCTACCCCATCATGCTCTTTGGCCGCTTCAATCTCTACCGTCTGTCACTGGATCACATTCTCTTCAATCGTGGCCCCAAGACGCGTTTCAATACCTATGCCAGAATCTATGAACTGCTTGGGATGTGCGTCTTTGGCTACTGGTACTGCTATCTGCTGGTCGGATCACTCCCAACAACATCGAGCAAGGTCTTGTTTGTCCTCATTTCACATTGGGTAACAGCGCCATTGCACGTTCAAATCACACTCTCTCACTTCGCCATGTCTACAGCAGACTTGGGTCCGCAAGAATGTTTTGCTCAGCAGCAGTTGCGAACCACCATGGACATTGACTGTCCCCCGTGGATGGACCCCGTTCACGGTGGCTTGCAGTTCCAAGCAATCCATCATCTCTTCCCGCGGATACCACGACACCGGCTACGGGAGGTTCAGCCCTTTGTGAAGCAGTTCGCCAAGGAGACTGGCGTGCCTCATAAAGTGTATGGATTTGCTCAGGGGAATGGCATTGTGCTTGGCAGACTCGCCGAAGTCTCAGCACAAGCTAAATTGCTGGCAAGTTGTGCAGCGACCATGCGGCAACATAATGACCTGGGCTTTGACTTGGTTGGCTAGAGCACTTTATAGTTCTTCCTTAGCACATGAGCGTGTGACTTGCTTTCGTATAGTGCTTCATTCGACGTCATGACACAAATTATCGCCAGATTGCCGAGATACAAAACTCAGCGAAAGGTAGCTCTTGCCGACCCGCCCCACCAACACCATCTACTCAGGTACGATGGCCAAGACTAAAGATCTATCGGCTCAAAGCGATCCTAATCCCATCAACCCAGGTGGCCCTGAATCTTTACCGCGCGCCAATACCTGGCATGGTCTTCCCGGCATCAAACGACCAGATTCACCTGTAGATGCCGCGCCCGGTGAGCCCAAGAAGGCTATTGTCGAGTCGCCTGCTGTTCATCGACCTCCCAAGTCGCCTGAAGATTACTGCGGTCCGTACTTGCAATTTGTTGGCACGCGCGATGGGAGTTGGTTCGGTTCTGCTTTGTTGTTGCGGCATAAGCATTTGGCGTTGCCTGTTTTCACCATGAAGACCGAGGATGGCGCAAAGGTACAAGAGCCAAGATGGGAGACATTGTATGAAGACATGTTTGGTATGACTTGCTGGAGATTGCATCTTGAGGTTGAGACGTTGTCTGGTATTGGCGAGACGACCGTTTCTTGGCTTTGTACATGGCCGCATGAGGAGAAGGAAGATTTCACCGAGAAGGGCCGGTTTGTGGTGCCTCACCAAGATGGTGTCTGGCGCGGCGGCTTCTTCAGCTGTAATGGCTTCGATGCCACTGTTCCAACTAACTTGGCACAATCGCTCACTTACACACAGGTCTGGAACCATCTTGGCTCTGTTCATCTCGAAAAACCCATGCATCTGCTCATTTGGGGCGGAGACCAAAACTATATTGACAACATCTTTGACGATATTCCCTTCCTGAAGCGCTGGGTCGAGATGGACTGGAATACAAAGTGGCAACATGAATTCAGTCAGAAGACTGAAGAAGAAGTCTGTCGCTACCACATGTACATGGCATTGGAAAATTGGGAACGACCAGAGGTCAAGCTGGCCCTTGCCAACATCCCTAGTCTGATGAGCTGGGATGACCATGACATCTTCGACGGCGCAGGATCATACCCACCTCTGCTCCATGACTCGCCTGTCATGATGGGACTCTTCATCTGTGCACAGCGATATAGGCTGCTGTTCCAGCACCATACGACGCCAGAGCTCGCACGCTCACATCAGTTGTTTGGTTACAAGGGTCACAACCAGATCATTCAATGCGGACCCAAGCTCAGCGTCCTTCTGACTGATGGCCGCACAGAGCGAACCCCGGAAACCATTCAAGATGATAGGACCTGGAAAGAGACATTCGACAGGCTCGATGCTCAGATTCCGCAAACCACGCAGCATCTGCTTGCCGTCTTTGCTGTTCCCCTATCCTTTGTTCGCATCCGTTTTGCAGAAAGCGTGTTTGAGCGTCTTAAGAATGCACCTCACATAGTGCGACAACTACCTTTGGTGAAATCAACCAATTCCATCTTTGGCTTGCCAGAGCTGTACGACGATTTGTTGGACGAATGGACTCACGAGAACCACATCAAGGAACGCAACTCTGCGATTGCCAACTTCCAGAAATTTGCAGAGAAGCGTCAGTGCCGAGTCACTTTCTTGTCTGGCGATGTTCATTGCTGCGGCCTATCGTATGCGTCCCTTCATTTGCGACCCAACTAACACTTTAGACGATTCCGAACAAAGCCATCACACAAAAACGACGAGTCACTCACCCCGGTAGCTGATCCAAGGCTCATGTATCAGATCATCTCCTCTGCCATCGTCAATATGCCCCCGCCACGCAATGCCCTCCGAGCTTACCACTACTTCAAGATGAAGTGGCACTTTGATGGCACTGAGGAGGAGCTACTCAACTACTTCGAGCGACGGCCCGAGGGTGGCCGTAAATTGAGACACCAAAAGTTACTCCCGAACCGCAACTGGTGTCACTTTTCACTCGTGGGTCCGACACCGCCAGAGCCATCGCCTGGTGGTATGGCTGGCTTGCGACTCAATCAAGCAGAACCTGTTGTGCCACGCACCCTCATCAATGGCGTAGCAAACGGCGAGCTGCCAGCCAATGTTGCTGGTGTGGATGGATCGCATCAAGTCCGTTCAAGTGCGAATGGGCCAGACTTTTGGCGTCACCACTGGCCTTTCACAAAGCATCATCCCTACCCAAGCAGTCTAGGACCTACCTCTGATGAAAGTGGTCTTGGTGGCGGTGAGCCAAGAATCCATAAACACTCGGGCGGTCGTTTCTGCAGACACGGCAAGCATGGCGGTATTGAACGCCATGAAGACTTTGGTCGTGGGCTCGAGGGTGACTTGCGCATCAGGCTCTGGGTCGAGTCGAGTCTCAAGACGGACAAGGGACGCAAGTTTGCCTCGTATGAGGTTGTTGTGCCACCTGTTTTACAAGTTGGACATGCAACGAAGTAGACACTTTCTCTTGTACACTAGGCTAAGGGTTGTGTAATTGGGTTATATTGGTTCAAGCAAACAAAGTGTGACTGCCTATCTTTTGTCCTCACGAGCTGAATCTGGCAGCCAGTTCAACTCTCAAGCTTCAGTATCAGCATTATCGTATCTATACCAGACAAGGGCTATGGGAAGAGGCGGCAAGCGTGATTACAAGCCGAAACGTGGCGGAGGCAAGTCCTTCTCCAAGAACCTGCAACCATTGGATGAGAATGGCAATGAAGTGAATACGCCCGACAGATGGGAACCGCGCAATAGGCGCCAACAGGATGCTGAGGACTCTGAGAGTGAATCAGGTAGCGAGTCTGAGGACGGATCCGGAAGTGGCAGTGATGATGATAGCTCAGAGGATGGGCTCATGGGAGCTGGTGCGCCTAAGTCAAAGTCTGATAAGAAAGCTGCTGGCGCCTCATCTTCAACAAAGGGCGATGCGCCAGCAGCTGCGAATGCCAACCGAGCGCTCAATAAGCCCATGTCTGCCAAAGAGCTGGCAGCAGCAAGTACAGAAGGCAGTAGTGCGCGTGCAGGCGGTGAGATGAGCAGACGCGATCGAGAAGCACTCGAGGCGAAAGCGGCAAAGGAGCGCTACTGGAAATTGCATCAAGCTGGAAAGACCGATCAGGCCAAAGCCGACCTTGCTCGTCTTGCAGAAGTCAAGAAGAGGCGTGAGGAAGCAGCTAGAAAGCGAAAGGAGGAAGAAGCAAGCGTTGCCGAGGAGCTCAAGGCTTCACTCGAGCGCAGTGGCAATCTTGGCAAGAAGAGCTAGACGTTTCTTTCTTGACAATTCATTCGCATGCTACAAAATGTATCAACGGCTCGGAGCAACGGAGGCTGATCTCGCACTAGCACGCTCGCTAGAATTGCTCTTGCCAGTTCTTAGTCTTTCCTCGACGCGCAGTCCTTGACGCAGCGCCTTGATGTACGCTGTATACTTGACGATATCCTTTCGCAACGCTTGATCGCGCAATTCAAAATTGACTATCGCCCGTCTAAAGTTTTCGGTTCTTGGCGACAGGAGCTGAGGCAGGCTGGCTTGCATTGCTTGATGCTGCTTGAGCTCTTCCTCGATCGCAGCCAAGAACCGAGTCAACGCGACAATTTGCTCGGTCACAGGCAAAGACGAAATGGTGGAGCTTGGCGGCTCTGGCTGCCACTCCTGAATCACAATATGATCTCCAGGTGCTCCTTTCTTGGATCGACTCGAGCTTGCCGTGCGCGGTACTGCAGGTGATGATTCTTGCTCAGCAAGCAACGCAGCCATCTGTTCACCCCAACCATACTCAGCGCTGCCAACTGCGCCGAGCAACGGCTCTTTACTGACTCGACCAGCCCAGTAATTGGCAGTCGTGACCCATTCTTCCACAAGGTCTTGCGTACCTGTAGCGAATGCGTGTCTTTGGCCATTGGCTGTGATGAGCGACCAGACATGCGCATGGTCCTTGTATGCTTTTGTCGAGAGCTTAAAAGCAACAGCCTGATTCAGCGGTTCTTCCAGCACAAGTCGAGCATTCCTAGTCCAATCGCCACCGCCTAGGTTTTGGTCGGCTTGCAGTGTAGGCGCTTTGCTCGTTAAGTCGAACAAGCACAAATGACCCTTTTCCAATACACCAAACAGCTCAGACGACCAGCCCTTGAGTTTGACGGGCGCTGTCGAAGAGCGTTTTGTCAACGTAGCAAAAGTGGTGGTTGCTTGAAGCAAAGAATGATAGAGCCGTCCCTCTTTAGCAAATGGAGGACCTTGCAGAGCAAGCAAATCGGAGATACCAGTGGTTGGATCATCCTGCGTGTCACCGTGCGATTGACTTTCCTCACGAATGACACTGTTGACTGTTCCGACAAAGCCGACGCTGCAGGTTGCTGGAGCCAATTGCTGACTACTCTGCCTGCTTGAATGACGCAGGTCTCTGGACGTTGATGAGCGACGATACAGTTGTGAGATCTGAGACGTGCTCGACATGGATCGCATCATGTTGCCGTTCTCCTGACCACCATTGCCATCAATGCTAGCCATCCGTAGACTTGCAGGGCTCTCGAAAGCACTCTCACTGCCCCGCTGTAGAAATGGCTGACGAATTTGTTCTCGAGCAACACTCGTGTAAGCGTCCAGTAGAATCTCCTTGATGTACACTTCACGAGACAAGTCAGACTTGGGCGGATCTCGCCACGCATCTAATTCAGCAGCGCGTCTTGCTGTCTCTTGCCGCTCTTGTGCGTTTTCTTGGTCGAGTGTTGCTTGACTGACTGATCGAACAACTCGAATGGTGGATTGGACGAGGGGTACTTCACTTTGGTCTGTGCTGCTGCGAACTGAATCTTGGCGCCTGGGCGGTTCACGTCGCGTCGTATTGCGATAAGCACCCGCACGTATCGCAGTGAGTGTATTTTGAACAAACTCGCTGCGTTTCATCTTACGATCGCCGCCATCGTGGTTGGCAACGTGTAAGTCTGTGTTGAGGGCAATGAGGGCAAAAGCCAAAATGTAGGCAACATCCTTAGAGAGCCAACGACCTTCTTGCTCCAGGTTGCACTGATGCCAACGATCAGCAAATGCTTCAATAATGCGATCGAGAACTTGAGTCTCGCCACGTATAAAGAGCTTGGAGCAGAGCAGCCGTAATGCTTTGATGATGCTCAAGCCAGAAAAGTCAAACAGGCTCAAGAAGGCTTTGCGTACGCCAATGTTGAAGGGTAAGTCAGTACCGAGAAAGACTGCATATTCCATAGGCGGACTTGCGTCACTGCAATCGTACAGCGCTTGCGCTTTTGCTAGATATTCTGAGTCCAAGTTGCCAAGAGAAGTCGTTCGTGGCCCAAATCGCTCCAGATTGACAATGGGACCCTCAGCTCCCTGAGCTGCTGTTGGCGAAGGATGTATCTTGGCGTCTCTCTGCGTGACAGTGTCTGGCTCCAAATTTGCAGGGGCGTCTGATGCAAATGTTGGCTGGCTAGCCAAAAGGGGAGAGTAGGACTTTGAGCCTCCAAAAGGATCACCCCAGCTGAATCTGTCTTGCGAGATGAGTGGTGTCTCTAGCCGATACATGTCGTTCTGGTTGGCATCACCCTGGATGGATGACACAAGCAATTCGGCATCAGCTTCGCGTGGAGGCGACGGATTGATCAATGGCAGCTCACGACCTGCTGACAAGCCACGCGAAGAGTTGGGCCGCTGCAGGGATGGACTAGATGCGGATTTGAAGAGATTCGCAACAGATGCAGGCCTGTTCAAGCTTCGACTGGATATGGAGCTTTCCTCTGATGGCTCACGCGGGGTCGCATGGCCAAAGACACGACTGAAGAAGCCACGCTTCCGTGCTGTGATGGTCGATGATGGATTCTCACCTGTGCTAGGCCGTGGTAGTCGTTGCGACTGTGACGGCGTACCTTGCAGTACCTTGAATGGTGAGACGAGAAAAGATAACATGAAGCATACCATATTGTGGCCACGCGGGAGCAAGCAGATCCCTAGTTATAACCGCTGTGCTGACGCTGAAGGGCGCGTGGAACCAAGAAGACCTGTGTGTTTGTGGATGCTGCACTAGGGCGAACAGATGAGGTTGCGAAAAACAGTATACTCTTACTACCACATAGCCAGGAAGGGACACCTTTCTTACTGACCACCTGACAACAGCACTACAGCGTATCCTCCTGAACGAGCCCCCTTGTGCTGGCGGGCGATTTCTCTATGCTGCTGTCGCTTGAGCGGTCTTTCTTGCGGCTTTTTGTTTTTGTTTGTTTTTTGCTTCCTTGGCGAATTCATCCTGACCACTCACCTACAAGCAGCGCTTTTATACAGTGTACTGCCGTCAAGGGCGATCTTCAGGCTTGCAAGTCTTTGATAAGCATTTTTGACGATGCTTCGTCCCACAGCTTCTTAACGGTAAGCAGCGATAAGCTGGACAGAACAGCTTTGCCAGAGGTTTACGCAACCTTAAAGACGATAGATTGGATTTCATGAAATGTCTGAGTCGTTCGAAGTCAAAGCAGCAAATCATCTGTCTCAAATGAGCGCAGGCCCGGAAGAAGCTCACGCGGAGGGCAGACTCAGGAGAACTGTTCTGCCCGTGTGATTGTACACCAAAATCGCCCGGGCGGCGAACGCGTGAGGCGCATTTGACTTAGGTCATGCTCGAGCTGATACGACCATTGACTATGGCCACATACGCAAACTTGTCCCCAGAGATCATGGTCAAAGTTGCCCTTTACTTGACTTACAGCTGCAGGATATCCGCACACCAACATGCCCCCGACAGGGTTGTAAAAGCACCTTCGCTCCGAGGCAACATTTTCAACACAGGTTTTTGTCTCCTACGTGGCCAGCTATGCCCTATGCTTGCAAGATCCCTGACAGGGGTCTTTACCATTCTGCTCGATAGAGGCTAGAAGGCACGCAACGGGATGCTGCATGGTCAAAGGTGTCGCTTCGGACGTTGAGGTCATTCATGTCGTCGTTACGTGTTTAGTCCGGTGATTGCTCAAAAGAATCCGAATAGGCAGCTTATTCGCTCTGGAATCCTTCCTGCCGCAAGGGTTGGACGAATAGTCCCATATGCATCTGTGGCATTAGGCCTGCCGTAGGTGTTAGGAGATTCGGATCAATCATTCCAAGCTTCTCTAGAGGTGCTAATCTGACTCTTTGATTGGCAGGGGTGATTGGGTACCCTCTGGCGTCTTCAGACGACAATTCAGCTCGAGGGTGTCGAGACTTTGCCCATCTGAACAGTCCATGCGCGAAATTGGGCATGCTACGCGAAAAGAACTCCAACCTTACGACAGCGCAGCGGCCGTGTCAAGATCGAGTCGCGACTACCATTATCATGGCCAAGTACGAAGACCTGCCTCCAGAAGTCGTCATCAGAGTCGCTACTTGCCTGACTTCCAAAGGCGAACATGTCCGCGCATTAGCAAGATGCTCGCAGGTCTGTAAAAGTACCTATGCTACGATTCAGGGGGCACAGGAGCTTTGGAGGGCTGCCTACATCACCTATTGGATCTTCGAATCGGCTGGCGTCCGTGGAAGGACGTCAGACCTCTACAATCGCAAGGATCCTCAAGTGTCTCACGGCTGTACGCCAGCCCTTGAGGCCGACTTGCCGCGAACAGCATTCTACAAGCGCCAGCGCGTTGACATTGAAGTAGTCCACCATGTCAACACGATGATTCGCGGCACAGGTGGATACACAGATCAAGCGGAAGCTTTGATGAAGATTGGCATGAATGCAGCAGATATGATTTGCAGAGTGCGTTTGGCCGCGGCTGGTTCGGGAGATTATGAAGTCAAGCGTTTGTGTGAGGAGCTTCTTCATGGCATCAGCTCGTCGCTTGGTGACCGTCTCCTCACGCAAATCTGCACTAGGCCCAAGATAGCACCCTGGCGAGACCAAATTGGCGTGGCTGCCGAAGCGCTGGATGGCTTGTTTGCAGTCGGCGCCTACCATTATTTTGGCGCAGTGCGCCCGGAATTGGACCTCGAGTACCATATCAAGTTCATGGCCGACGATGTTTTGAAAAATTGGCCGCATGAAAGGGACTGCAAATACGCAAAGGACATCACCAAAGAATGTGTTTGCCTAGAAAGTGTCGACGGACCTGGAGCCTTCCGCGCAGTAGAAAAAGCTTTATGCGATTACAATATCACTTTAATCGACCCAAGCTCCAGTAACTCTAAGCACCCCACAAGCAACTTCCTCGGATACACGCTCGAATTTGAGCTATCGGCTTCTCCAATAGTTGTCGTCTGCATCTTCTGCGCGGTGGCAAGACAGCTTGGCTTAATCACTCAACCAATCGACTGGGCAATACACGTTGTGGCCAGTATGACCTTCAAGGAGAATGGTGTGAAGATCGAAAAGTATTGGTCTCCTTACGTTTCTGGAGACGGTTCTCCAGTTGGCGAGATCTACACTCGAGAGGAAATGATATACGCCGTGCGCGAACGTTGGGGATGGTCGTACAAGAAGGCGAGCAATGCCCTGAAGCCGCCTCTGCACGGCATAGACGCTGCGAGACGGACTGTTCAAGGCATAACGGAATGCTTGGACGCTGCAGACAGGCCCAACGCAGACTTGACGTTCTACATGTCAATGTTGAAGACCACTCATCGGTGCGGCCAAGCGCTTGTTGTAGAGCCGCATGTCTTTGCGGAGTTGCTGTGCATGGGGGACCTCCCGACTCTCTCGGCCTGGATTCCGGAAATACGTGATATGGCACGACGAGGTGAGTACGGAAAGTCCTCGGCCGACAGGGCACTTCGTCTTCTGAAGGATGCACGGATCAGTATGAATAAGCCCATCGAGATTGCACCACGCAATAAGCCAGCTAGGCCGATTCGGTATGCCATCGGATCCATTGTCAGGCACCGCAAGCACAAGTACGCCGGCATCATCTTTGCACATGACGAAGACTGCAAGAAGAGTGTGGACTGGCAACAGGACATGCGCATACACAAGCTGAAAGGCGGTGGTGCCGACCAGCCATTTTACGAAATCAGGACGTCGGATGGCCAACACATGTATATGCCCGAGGTCAACGTTGAGTTGATGACTTGCCCTCGCTGTGGCGATCGAAATGCCTTGCCGACCCAGGGACCGACTCCCTTGACATCGGAGCTAACTGCTCTATATAAGAAGTTCGAGGACTCCCTAGATTCCACCGCCGGACAATACATCTCTCAAAAGAAGAATTCCGGTAAATGTGGCTTCATGCCAAGTCACCTGGCGCAACACAGATTTACTGCACCTACGTGGCCAGCTATGCCGTATGCTTGCAAGGTCCTTGACCAGGGCCTTGCTTTTTGTGCTCGATAGATGGCGAGGGCCAGGCGATGGAACATTTCATGGACAAGCAGCGTCATTCTGCTGCACCAGGTCACCAGTATAGTCGTGCTCAACAGGTAGTGTCGTCCTGATTGTGCAGCAGAAATGTTAAAAGAACAGCCTCTTTCAATCTTCCTGTGCTACTCTCGTCTAAAGGCTGTTGTTTGATCTACTCGTATGCGCATAGGCATCTACGATATCAAACCTGATAAGATTAGCCTGCTCAAAGACTCATCTCAGCTTTTTAGAACAGCATAATCTAGCATGACGAGGAGCAGGGTAGAACGGGCACCCTCTAGTCTTCAGACGATTCGCTCGTTGAAAGAATTTGCTCAAGTCCGCCCAGAAGTTCACGGAACGCATGCTCGAGAGCTCGTTCGCGAGGAGCATGGATTATATGCATGTCATATTCGAGGCGTGGCGTTGATACCACTGACTATGGCCAACTGAGCGGACTTGTCGGGTCTAGTTTGGCCTGAATATGTCCGTCGATCAGAACTCGGAGTCAATTTGGCAGATCTCTTGCCATGATTATCTGCCTTCTGTACATATAGTTTCCCTTGACCATTATAGTTGTAACACAGATCTATAAAGTGTAGTAATCGGTTGACAACGAGATATTTGAATGACGCGAGCTACCCGCATCTCTTCAATATCTGCCCAGAACTCGCAAGGCCAGCCCCTTCGACGAGCGTCCATGACCCTCCAATGACTCCACGTGCTTCGGAGCGTATCATAAGAGGAGAAACACCCTCGCGATACCGACATGCAGCTCCGACTTCGCCAATAAGCTCACTAGTCTGGGCAGTGTGGAAACAATGGCCATCGCGAATTGGCTTGCGGCTGATTCTGGCTCTGAACCGGATGCGAACGGTCAAGTTCGCTTGAACCATGGGCGTTATTGGCTCAAGAATAAGAAAGACTGCGCTCGCAGGATTATCGAGCAGGTTCCAGAGATTGTAGCATTGAAAAGATCGCTTGGTGCCAAGGAAACAGATGCCAATTTCAAAGATAAGGTTCACCGCAAGGTCGTGCAGATGACTGGCAAGGTTCAGGAAATGAAAAAGGTGCTCAACTCGACAGGAGCTGGCACTAACTCAGTCCAGGCGATCATGGGCAAGAAGTATATCCCTGGGAAACATGAAGGCCTTGGAGTTCGCGGCAGGTGACATTGATGCCCTTTCTGTTGTCTAACTCTGCAGAGGCTGTTGAACAGAAATGCCCCTGGTACTTCTTGTGCGGAATTGGGTTAAGATGCTGCCACCACAGTCGATACGCCTACAGTGCTCAAATCGTCAAGCAACTGCTTCAATCAGCTTCGCGTCGCCATTCAGGGGAAAGAGCTCGCCTTGAGACGGCTTGCTGCAAATTGCACCCACCGATCGACGGCCGAGTTGTTGTCTGAAGATGACGATCATGACAGCAACACTCCTCAGCGTCATGCATCAGCTGCCTCCATGGATCAGTCAACCAGCTCGCAGCAATCGCGATCGACCTCAAAATCGGCATCCAAACGAATGCAGGTGACACTGATGCTTCTTCTGTTGTCCAACTCTGCAGAGGCTGTTCAACCGAAACGCCCCTGGTTCTTTTCAATTGTTGCCTCCCGTTGAAGCTGAATATTTGCGTCTGCAATGTCCTTGGCGACTTTGCTCATTTCAGTTGTTGCTTCCTTCTGGGCGGCTTGCACAATCTCGAGAACGCCAGCCAGACTGCCGCTCAGTTCAACCGCCCTGCTTGATGCTTTGGACTTCTTCTTAGCTGGTGTCTTGCTTTGCTTGGTGACAGGCTCTCCGTCGTCTTGGACAGACGAGTCTTCTGAATGGCCATCGCTGACGTTGCCGTCTATAGCTGGGAAGCTGGGACGCTTGGCCGATTTGGGAGGATGCATTCGTTTGGATGCCGATTTTGAGGTCGATCGCGATTGCTGCGAGCTGGTTGACTGATCCATGGAGGCAGCTGATGCATGACGCTGAGGAGTGTTGCTGTCATGATCGTCATCTTCGGACAACAACTCGGCCATCGATCGGTGGGTGCAATTTGCAGCAAGCCGTCTCAAGGCGAGCTCTTTCCCCTGATTGGCGACGCGAAGCTGATTGAAGCAGTTGCTTGCCGATTTGAGCACTGTAGGCGTATCGACTGTGGTGGCAGCAGCTTGACCCAATTCCGCAAACAAGAAGTACCTGGGGCATTTCTATCCAACAGCCTCTGCACAGTTAGACAACAGAAGAAGCGTCAATGTCACCTACCGCGAACTCCAAGGCCTTCATGTTCCCCAGGAATATACTTCTTGCCCATGATCGCCTGGACTGACTTAGTGCCAGCTCCTGTCGAGTCGAGCACTTTTTTCATTTTCTGAACCTTGCCAGTCATCTGCACGACCTTGCGGTGAACCTTATCTTTGAAGTTGGCATCCGCTTCCTTGGCACCATCTTTTCAATGCTACAATCTCTGGAACCTGCTCGTAATTCTGCGAGCGCATTCTTTCTTATTCTTGAGCCAATAATGCCCATGGTTCAAGCGAACTTGACCGTTCGCATCCGGTTCAGAGCCAGAATCAGCCGCAAGCCAGTTCGCGATGGCCATTGTTTCCACACTGCCCAGACTAGTGAGCTTGTTGGCGAAGTCGGAGCTGCATGTCGGTATCGCGAGGGTGTTCTCCTCTTGTGATACGCTCCGAAGCACGTGGAGTCATTGGAGGGTCATGGAAGCTCGTCATAGGGCTGGCCTTGCAAGTTCTGGGCAGATGTTGGGGAGACGCGGGTCAAAGAGGTGGTGTGTTGCCGCGAATGTCGAGTCGCGAAACAGGAGGTAGACTCAGTAGACAATTATCGGTCACTAGAATTGTCCCGCGAGCAAATGTCCAACGAGCAAATCAGCACAAATTCTCCCCATCTGAACCGCGTCTCAGCGCCTGTCTTCGCGACGACCGAACAATTTGACAGACACTAGCAAGGCCCTTGCCAGTCAACGTGCAAGAGAACCCGCGATTCTGAATGGCTCGCTACGATGATCTGCCAGCCGAAGTAATCGTACGCATCGCCGCTTGCCTGTGTAGTGGCATAAACACTGATGTGTCCTCCTTTCTGTGCCTGTCCTTGGTAAGCGCGAGCACGCGTGCGGCACTCAACAGCTCTCAGCAACTCTGGCGAGATGCATACAGCCACTCCTGGCTTTTTGAAAATGCGGGTCTGCGTGGCAGAACGGCAGACCTCTACAATCGCAACGATCCACAGGTGTTTCCCGGTTGCAAGCCAGCTCTCGAGGTTGATACTCCATGCCTGGCATTCAGAAAGCGTCAGCAGAAGGATATATTTGTCCATGAAGCTCTTGAGTCAATGGTGCGTACAAGAGCCGGTCGTGTGGGCAAGGGAGAGTCCATTGTCAAAATGGGCGCCGACGCAGCGGACTGTCTATTGTTCGCCCGTGAAATCGCTAAGGAGGACGGAAACCTTGAAAAGATTTACTGGTGCGACAAACTACTTCAATGCATCAGCTCTTCGATCGGCGATCGTCTCTTGCGGCAGATTTGCGCCCACCCCATGCCAAAAGCGTCATCTTGGCAAGATGACACACAATACGTACCTGAGGCTCTAGACGCTCTGTATGCAATTGCGACTTATCACCACAGTCTAGGGGTATTGCCTGCTTTCAATGTCGAAGATCTGATCGGCGACATCGCAAAGGATGTTCTCTACGAGTGGGATCATCAAGGGTGTTGCAACTTTCCTTTTAGTGGAGAACTCAATTGCGTCTGTTTCAAAGATCATGACATGTCATCGGTATTCGGATTGGTTTTGGAGACCATGCATGACAATGACTTATGTGTCGACCATGTCCTTCCTTGCGAGTTTCCGGACCTTGAATCTAACTTCATCTCGGACAGTCTGCTCGGAAGGAAGCCTGCTTCACCCATTGTCTTCACGGTCATTTTCTGTGCTGTTGCCAAACGCATCGGATTGCTAGCAGCGCCAATAGTCGTCGGTGACTTCGTCATGGCCAAAATCTGTTATAAACAAGATGGAAGCAATCGAGAGAGATTTATGGATGTTTGCAATGATGGACAGCTCTTCACCATCAAGGCACTATATGAGTTGTTGCAGCCATATGGGGCGACGCGCGAAATGGTACTGGAAGGCAGCAAGGCCATTCAAGGACCCATGCTAGTCAAATATTGTGCTCACAGCATCTTTGAGTGCCTACAAGGAGATTCGTCAAATTTGATTGACTACTTGGCTGTCGTCAGGTGTTTCCATTGGTGCGACCACCCGACGGACATAGTGCCACTGAACATTGCGTATATTCTCGGCGAGATGGATCACTTTTCAACGACAACATGGCTTGAGGTGCTGCCCCAATTGGCGAAACTAAGCGGCTATACTAAGGAGAACGCTCGTCATGCTTCCGAAGTCTTGCAAGCATTCCAAAACGTCAAGAATCACGCATTGTCAGTCGCCAGGCGCAGCAACCCTGAACGAGCAATCCGATTCGCTCTCGGCTCCTTGGTTCGTCATCGCAAGCACAAGTATCTTGGTGTCATTCATGGCCATGACGATGAGTGCAAGCAGTCGCAAAAATGGCAAGAGGAGATGCGTGTTAGCAAGCTCAAAGGCGGTGGACCAAATCAACCGTTCTATTATATCAGAAAGACAGATGGTCTGGATATGTATGTCGCTGAGCGAAATCTTGAAATCGTCTCTTGCGACCGCTGTGGAGACCGTCAAGCAGACGTCAACAATGGCTCAAAAGTCTTGGACGCAGACTACTTGCCTTGTATTATGAAACTTGAGCGTCTGCCATCGGAAAGCAACCTCGGTCAAATCGTCAAGGCAAGGAAGAATAAAGGGGCGTGCGGCTATGTGCCGGGTAGCGACATTCAACAGCAGTATCCAGCCAGCTTGTGGCCGCCCATGCCAAACGCATGCTCGCAGCGATCGAAACCTTGAGGATGCACCTTTCAGCAATTTTGAGGATGCACCTTTCAATAATTGCATTGATGTACGTCAGTACGAGCCCCTGATCCAGTCGCCACCGCCTAGGTTTTGGTCGGCTTGCAGTGCAGGCGCTTTGCTCGTCAAGTCAAACAAGCACAGATGACCTTTTTCCAACACACCAAATAGCTCAAATGACCAGCCCTTGAGCTCGACGGGCGCTGTCGAGGAGCGTTTTGTCAATGTGGCAAATGTGGCGGTTGCCTGAAGCAAAGCATGATAAAGCTGTCCTTCTTTTGCAAATGGGAGGACCTCGCAGAGCAAGCAAATCGGAGATACCAGTGGTTGGATCATCCTGCGAGTCACCGTGCGATTGACTTTCCTCACGCAGAGCACTGTTGGCTGTCCCGACAAAGCCGACGCTGCAGGTTGCTGGAGCCAATTGCTGACTGCTCTACCGGCTTGATTGACGCAGATCTGTGGACGTTGATGAGCGAAGATACAGCCGTGAACTCTGAGACGTGCTCGACATGGATCGCATCATGCTGCCATTCTCCTGGTCACCATTGCCTTCAATACTAGCCATTCGTAGACTTACAGGGCTCTCGAAAGCACTCTCACTACTCCGCTGTAGAAATGGCCGACAAATCGGAATGCTGCGTCGCAAGAGGCATCGCTTCGGACTTTGAGGTCGTTCTTGTCGTCAAGACGTATAACAGTCACGTATTTGGTCCAGTGCCGGCCAGGTTGCTCAACAGATCCCGAATAGGCAGCCTCTTGAAGACCCTCTATTGGATGGCTACTCACATCTGTGGCGTTAGGCCTGCTGTAGGCGTGAGGAGATTCGGAAGAATAATCTCAAGCTTCTCTAGAGGTGCTGATCTAATTCTTAGATTGATTGGCAAAGGTAATTGGGTACCCTCTGAGGTCTTCAGACGACAATTCAGCTCGAGGGTGTCGAAACTTTGCCCATCTGAACAGTTCATGCGCGAATTTGAGCACGGTACGCGAAAAGAGCTCCAAACCTCACAACGCGTCAAGACTACCATTGTCATGGCCAAGTACGGTGACCTGCCTCCAGAAATCATTATCAGAGTCGCTTCTTGCCTTACCTTTAACAGTAAGGACATTCGCGCATTATTAAACCTCTCGCAGGTCTGCAAGAGCACCTATGCCGCAATTCAGGGTGCACAGGAGCTCTGGAGGGCTGCCTATCTTACCTATTGGGACTTCGAATCGGCTGGTCTCCGGGGAAGGACATCAGACCTCTACAATCGCAAGGATCCTCAAGTGTCTCACGGATGTACACCAGCCCTCGAGGCAGACTTGCCGCGAACAGCCTTCTACAAGCGCCAGCGTCTTGACTTGCAAGTAGTCTACCATATCGAAGAAATGGTTCGCGGCACATTTGGATACGCACATGAAGCGGAAGCCTTGGTGAAGATTGGTATGAACGCAGCAGACATGCTTGGCAGAGTGCGTACGGCCGCAGCTGGTATGGGACACTACGAAGTCAGGCTTATGTGTGAGGAGGTTCTTCATGGCATCAGCTCGTCGCTTGGTGACCGTCTTCTCAAGCAAATATGCACTAGGCCCAAATTGGCACCATGGCGAGACCAGGTCGGCGTGGCTGCAGAAGCAATGGATGGCTTATTTGCAGTTGGTGCCTACCATTATTTTGGTGGAGTGCGTCCGGATTTGAACATCGAGGACCATATCAAGTTCATGGCCGACGACGTTATGAAAAAATGGCCGCATGAAAAGGGCTGCAAATACGCAAAGGACGTCACCAAGAGATGCGTCTGCTTAACGAGCGTCGACGGACCAGGAGCCTTCCGCGCAGTTGAAGCAGCTTTATCCGATTACAGCGTCACTGTAGTCGACCCAAGCTCTAGTGGCTCCATGCAACCCAAAAGCAACTATCTCGGTTACTCGCTCGAATATGAGCAACCAGTTACTCCACTAGTTGTCGTTTGCCTCTTTTGCGCGGTAGCAAGACACCTTGGCTTGGTCACTGAACCAGTCGACTGGGCAATACACGTTGTGGCCAGTATTACCTTCAAGGAGAATGGTGTGGAGATCGAAAAGTACTGGTCTCCTTACGTCCATGGAGAAGTTCATCCAACTGGCGAGATCTACACTCGCGAGGAATTGATATACGCTGTGCGCGACACCTTGGGATGGTCGTACATTGAGGCGAACGATTCCCTGAACCCTCTGGACGGGATTGGAGCTGCGAGACGGACAGTTGACAACATATCAGATTGCTTGGAAGCTGCCGAACGCAGACCAGAATTGACAATTTGCATGTCAATGATGAAAACTCTGCATCGGTGCGGCGAACCGCTTGTCACAGAGCCGTATGATTTTGCGAATATGCTGTCCGTGGGGGATCTCCCGACTTTCGGGGCCTGGATACCGGAACTACGTGAGATGGCACGACGAGGCGGATTTGATCAGTCCTCAGCCGACAGTGCACTTCATCATCTGGAAGCTGTGCGAAATGAGATGAATAAGCCCATCCAAGTTGCGCCACGCCAAAAGCCAGACCAGCCGATTAGATATGCTATTGGTTCCGTTGTCAGGCACCGCAAGCATAAGTATGCCGGCTTTATCTACGCACATGAAGAAGATTGCAAGGAGAGTGAAGCTTGGCAACGGGAAATGCGCATACACAAGCTGGAAGGCGGTGGTGCCAACCAGCCATTTTACCACGTCAGGATGCCGGATGGCCAAAGCATGTATATGCCCGAGGTCAACGTTGAGTTGATGACTTGCCCTCGCTGTGGCGATCGAAATGCCTTGCCGACCCAGGGACCGACTCCCTTGACATCGGAGCTGACTGCTCTGTATAAAAAATTTGATGACGAAGTCGCCATCGGACGCTACGTCTCCCGAAAGAAGAATTCAGGTCAATGTGGCTTCATTCCAAGTCACCGCTCGCAACGCAGGTTTTCTGCTCCTACATGGCCGGATATGCCCCATGCTTGCAAGGTTGCGACTGACAGGGGTCTTTACCATTCTGCTCGATAGAGATCGAGAGCCTGGCGATGAAACTTCATGGACAAATTGTGTCATTCTGCTTTTCGAGGGTCACTAGTATATTCGTGCCCTACAGGTAGCGCCATCCCGAGCATTCAGCACATATCTTGAACAGGCAGCCTCTTCTCTTCCTCCTGCGCTCGAGTTCCTAATCCTGTCAAGACGGTTGGTTGATCTTCTCATACGCGTCTGCAGCATCAAATCTCACATAATCACCCCTTATTATAGACTAATCTCAGTCTTTGGTGGAGGTATAACCTGGCACGACGAAGAAGGAGCAAGATGAAACGGGTTCATTGCATTTCACATAATTTTAGGCCATGTGAGCTCTTGCTCCACATTTCAAAACAGATCGCCTAATATTTCATGTCAATGTCTCTGAACAGCAGCATTACGAGGCGAGCATAACATTGCTGCTCGTCATGCTCGTGATCTGAATCTCAGGGGTAGTTCTACTTCATACTTCACCCTGCTCCGCCGGAGCGCACTTAAGCGCATTCTTCGCTTTCTAGAGGGATAACAAAGAGCTTTCTGCACAAGCATATCTATTATGAGCTTGAGTCCCATTTTGCTTGTGACAAATTACACGTGCGCTGTCGCTGCAGTAGATAAAAGTTGTTCATAATATGCTCATTCATTCGTGTATATCCTCCGAAATGTTACACTACAGGCACACCATGACTATAATTTCTGAACGTAAGATCGATCCAGAATAGGCCAGCATGTACATCAGCTTCTCAAACATCTTCTCAGCTGCAGTTTCGATTGCAATGCATTTGGCAACCAGCATGCTTGAGAGATATACACTATTGGAGCCATATTCGGTGGTTTAGAACCAAGCCAAATTTGCGTCTCTTGAAGGCCACTCTATCAACAAGCGGCTTCTTCAAACAATCAAAGAGACTTCGCACATGTGCACATATTTTGCAAATCAGTCTGCGGCAAGAAGCGTTCGTCCCATCTGAATATCTTTTGGCGACATCAAACCTCCTGAGAGACAAGGCTCATTAGGCACTGGCATGATTGCAATTGCCAATCTAGAACTTGACACGTATCTACAGACTGCAAAACTATCACCAAAGTGCAGCTGGCAAGTCAAGTTCCATGGCTCTGTACAATGATCTGCCGCCCGAGATCATTGTACGCATTGCCACTTACCTGATCGGCACTGGCGAAGGAGCTGAAGTAAAATCCTTCTTGCGCCTGACTATGGTCTGTGCAAGCACGCGCTCTGCACTTCGAACCTCTCAAAAGCTTTGGAAGGATGCCTATACTCACTGCTGGATCTTTGAGAATGCGGGTGTGCGTGGCAGGACGGCTGACCTCTACAATCGCGAAGATCCGCAGGTATTTCCTGGATGCACGCCTGCCCTGGAAACAGATGCTCCGTTTGTGGTATTTTCCAAGCATCAGCAACAAGACATGTCGATATCTTACGATATTGGCAGATGGGTGAAGAATTCAGGAGGTCGCGCGATCTTGGGAGAAAGCATTGTCAAAAGAGGCGTTGACGTAGCTGACGCTATATTGTGTGCGCGTGAAAGTGCTAGGAAGGCAGGGTATCTTGAGAAGATCTACTGGTGCGACAGACTTCTCCACTGTATCAGCTCTTCCATCGGCGATCGGCTATTGCGGCATATTTGCTCCACTTCCTTGCCCAAAGCCCGCCATTGGCAAGACAGCCCTCATTACGCACCTGAGGCTCTGGATACTCTGTATGCACTCACAACCTATCACCACAAATTAGGGTAGCGCCTTACTTCAACGTCGAGAAGAAGATCGAAGACATCGTCGAGCTTGTTTTCCAGCGTTGGCGCCACGAGAAGGACTGTGATTTTACAAAGACTGGCAAACTCAACTGCCGGTGTTTCAAAAATCGAGATGGCCCGGCTGCATTTCGTGCTATTCAGGAAGCAACATATGAGACTGATCTGTGTGCTATGGGTCCGGACATTTTTGAATTCTCGGATCTTGAGTGTCACTACCTTGCAGAACCTTTGTTGAGTCGACAGCCTGCTTCTGCCATCGTCCTCGCCGTCATATTTGGTGCTATCGCCAAACGCCTGGGCCTACTCGCGGCGCCTATAGCGGCTGCCTCGCTCGTCGTGGTCAAAATTTGTTACAATCAGGATGGAACCGAACGTCAAAGGTATATGGCACTGTGCAGCGACCAAATCTATACTTTCGAGGGACTTATCGATTTTCTGCAAGCAAGACTTGACTGCTCGCGAGAAACAGCACTGGAACACAGCAAAGTCATGCGAGGTCCCATGCTAGCTGCCTATTGCGCTCGCAGCGTTCTTCGATGTGTACAGGACGACACAGGTACGAAGTTGGCAAGTCCAGTCGATTACCTGGGCGCTATGAAGTGCTTATACTGGAGTGGCCGTCCGATGGAACAGGACCAAGTACTGCCGCATCAATTTGCCGATCTTGTCGGCAGATTTGACATCTTCTCGTCAGCCACCTGGCGTCAAGAAATGCCACACCTTGCAAAGACAGGTGGCTTTACTTATGATCACGCTTTGCATGCGAATGAAGTCTTGGAAGACTATCGTCATCTTCACAATGGATTCGATCGAATCGTTAGGCGTAACAACCCGGACAGAGCAATTCGGTTTGCCCTTGGCTCTGTGATCTGCCACCGTAAACACAAATTTTTGGGCATCGTCTTTGGCTTCGATGACGAATGCATGGAAACGCCAGAGTGGCAAGAGCAGATGCGTGTCAATAAGCTTAAAGGCGGTGGTCCCAATCAGCCGTTCTATCATGTTAGGACCATAAGAGGCTCAGACATGTATATCGCGGAGCAAAATATCAAGCTACTCTCTTGTGCTCGCTGTGGAGATCGAGAAGCTCAGACCACGCAAGCCCCCGAGAGTGTGCCCTCCGAGATCTTGGCTTTTATGAATGGGCTTGAAAGGCTGCCGGAAGAATATGAGTTGGGTCGACTTGTCATGACAAGGAAGAATGATGGGAAGTGTGGCTACGTGCCCAGTAGTGCTATACAGCACAGGTACTCCGCGAAAGTGTGGCCACGTGTGCCAAATGCATGCTCCCAACAAGAAGGTTGTCCAGATCTTGGTCCGGATGAAGAGTGAGTTTACGCCTCTTATAACTTTTATCAAGGGCTTGTGCCTCGCAGTTTATCACATCTCAGTATACTATGTGATCACATTCTGAGTGAATTGAAATCATACTAAATAGGCGAATCTTCTGCAATTCATGCCGAACAAATGTTCTCCAGGTGTCATCTGAATTGTTCAGGGGTAATTCCTTTTTGATGTAAATGAGCTTCGAGTATCCGGCATTCGAAGTTGGATAGACCTGCAGGAGATAGACCCTGTGAGCACTGACTCCTAGAAGCAGCCCAGGAATCTAACTTGAAGAGCTGCAGCGTTGTCCTCTATGAACTAGTCACTTTTGGTCTCTATGGGAATGCGATGCGAGATCCGAATAGATCTGACACTACCAGCTCTATCGTGCTTTCCTCCTGACATGTCAATGCAGGATACAAGCACATTTGTGACGACACCCAGAGGCTGATCAATTCGAATGCAACGCCTTAGTAGGTCCCTTCTAACAAAAAGTGGTTGTCTGTACGAATCGCGCTTGAAGTGCTGCCGATAGCAATCTAAAATGTCCAGCAAACAGTGCATATAAAGCTCAGGGTGTCCACTGAGACGGATGATCTCTACAAGCATGTCTTTCTACAACGAGCCGAAGTCTCTCAAGGCAAATTCCAACAGCTCCATATCGAGCCCAGCGGCCAGACGGCTGAGCAAGATTCGGCGACTAGTGACAGTCTCACGCTTGATCGTCTCCGTCCACAGACCCGAGCAGACACAGTATGTAGCCAAATTGCCAGCTTTAATCTTTTTGCACCTTCCACAACGCAAGTCTTGCATTTGGTACTGGGCAACAAAGCTCATGAAGTGGACAATAAGCGCTTCTTGCACAGCCAGCATGTCGAAGGTTGCACCGCAACGAGTACAAGCAGGAGCCATGCGGGACGCACCCTCCGTCACCATCGAAGAGAGTTGCTGAGCTGGATCTCGTCCTATCTGCAAATCCTGGACGTTTGAGCAGCGCTGGCAGCAATGGCGCGACAGCGTCACAGAATTGCATGGGTCAATAAACTTGGCCTTGTTGGCGAATTCGCGAACATCCAGTACTTGGAGCAAATCTCTCCTGAGGACACGGTTGGCCTGGGCAGCCTCGCCAACAAGCATGAAAACCGCACAAAGACTCTTTACCATTGACAAAAGGGGCGCTTCTGTTGGCTCGAAGCCAGCCGGCTTGTGTTGCATTGCAAAAGTATCATTTTGTTGTTGGTCCTCTTCATCTAGCAGTTGCCATTGCTTGTACCTCAGCGCAAGTTGTTGGATCTGCTTTCGCAAGGGCCCACTGATTTTGGTCGTGACATCGCTCATCTTTTTTTCGAGCGCCTCCTGGTCAGCAGCATTAGCTCGCTGTGTCAACGTAGTGTCTGCAAGTTCGCGCTTCACATCGTACATGTCGCCCATGTACTCCACCACCCAGTCCTCGAACACATCGCTCAATGCCTTGGGCAGATAGTGCTTGACATTCCACTGCATCGCGACGGTCATCTCTTGATCCTCGGAAGTCACTTCCTTCGTGCAATAGCCACCATAGTTGACATCATCAAGCCACAAGAGATAATCCCAGTATTCTGCAATTTGCATGTCGATGAAGTGAAAAAGGGTCTTGGAGCGGATTGCTTTGACGATGTATTGTCCATAGGCATAGGCTGTGCCGACATGAGTCTTGGTGGTTTGAATCAGAATACGACCAGGCGCGCCAAAGATGACGCGACTGCCGACTTTTCGAAACTCCGCCATGAGCTGTAAGAAGGCTTTGTTGCTGACTCGCTGCGAGTAGAGGTCCAGATTTTTGTCATAAAGGGCAGAGTCTTGCGATTTGATCCATCGAACCGCGCTGTCAATCATGATGTCGGCTTCCGGGGTGCCGACAGACGCTTCGCGCCACCAATCCTTCAACAAAGCTTTGAATGCTGCGATCGACGGAGACGCAAAAGCGCCGTCCTGCATATCGCCAGATGCAATAGACAAGAAAGAGTCATCAGCAGACGACCCTTCAAGCTCATTAATGACCGCAGAATTCAGCATAGTGGAAATGATGAGGTTGCGGACTTCAAGTTCAATGCACACGGTCGAATAAGCTCCAGGCGTATTGACTTTGACGGAGTCAACCGTCTCCAGAGATTTGCTGAGATCGTCCAACTCTCGACCACCTTGATCAGCTTGAGGGGCATCAGACCACCACAACACAACGTCCAAAGCCTTCAGTTGTCTGGCCATCGTGACGTCAATCACAGTCCGCGCTTCATCTTCGCCAAGATTGCATATAGGCAAGCGTCCATATCGAGCGAGCAAGAGTCGATAGTCTAGCCATGCGCGAGCTGATAGGTATCGAATCACAGCGAGCTTAGCAGCCGCGTTGGCCCAGTCGAGTGCAGATGCCAAGTTCTCGTCACCAGGCATGCGCATGACGGGCTGATCAGCCAAGGACGGTACCTTCTGCAGGAACGCCTCTGAGGGAGTCGAGAGCACCACCATGTGGGGCCCGGGCTGCTCCGCCTTCATCGTCTTAATGGCATCGGCGATGGCTCGGAGATACCTTGGCTCAGTGTTGTGAACCTGATTATTGACGGCCATCTCATTAGGATACTTATCGGCCAAGTCTCCGAGTGCTTCAAGCGCTGCTTGTCGCTGCTCACGATATATGCGCACAACATTTGCCTTGCCTTGCTCGCGGGCTGTATCAAAAGACACGAAAACAGCCTCGGACTTGTGAGAAGAAAAGAAGGCTACCATCTCCTTGGGGCCGGCCACAACGTGCATAATGAAGATGTAGTGGAAGTCAATGCTTGACAAGTAATTGTTCTTGGTTGCAGCATCCAACTCCTTGAGTGAAGTCAGAGCGAAGCCATTTGACATGGCTTCACCAAGAGCTCCTGCACGAGTCTCAACGAAAGAGCATTGTGAACCGAGGCTGATGAGAGCGCGATCGACGAGTGGCAATTGGCGCTCGTAAATTCCTTCGACGCTGGGGTGAGACACCAGAGCAGCCAATTCCTTGCTGCTTCCCTGGTAGGTTCCTTCCGACATCGTGACAAGGAACATTTTGGTCGACATTTGCCCGCTTGGTAGTTTCGCCACAGTCTCCGTCATCTTGCAGCCGGCAAGATTGATGTCGGGTACATCAGCTCCATCTCGAAAGTTGACATAAAACGACCGAGGGACGCGCAAGCGTATGCTTGAGGTTGCTTGACCGATAAGTACCCAGGCCTTGAGCACACCGGGCTCATCCGTTTCATGGACTTGCAGTATCTCATAGTGATCCGCGGCGATGCGTTCAGCAGCCTTGTTGCGCAAACGCTCGATAGCACCACCACCACGCACGCCTGGTCTTCGAATTTCATCCTCGCCCATGATTTGTCGGCGACGTTGCCTCGCGGCAGCTTGCGCCTTCCATTTTTTCTTTTGATGGCGAAGCCATACGGTGTAGCCACAGACATCGTGACCATTTTCTTCCACCGTACCTTCATACCCTGCCAGTGGCAGAGGCTGAATAACTTCGGGCTGTTCAGCCATGCTTGTCCTGCTACGCTCTTTGCGTTTTGAAGTCAAAATGCTAATGCGCTTCTCAGCATTGCCAGAAGAGTCATCAAGGTCTGGTATAGCGTGATTGAGGATATTGGCGTCCTTTGCTTGCAAGACTGGTTCTTGGTGAGAGAAAAACTTAGTCACCTTGCTCTGCTTGAAAGGATCCAAGGCTGTGGCGAGTTGCTTGTTTAGCCAATCTGGGTGCGCAACTCGCGGGACGGGGTTGCTGATTTTCTGCATCGCAGCTGGCATCGTGATGAGCTTTTGAATCACGGAGCCGAACCGGTCCAAGTAATAGTCCCAGTCCAAGATGCTGCGCAAGTCGAATTGCGTGAGGCCAGGATCCTTGAGCCATTTGCGAAGAAAGTGGCGCTTGATGCTATCTTCAGCAGAAAAGATGGCGATGGGAACAGCGCGCTCTGTCACTGGTGCCGACTTTGGCTGAGCTGAGATGATGTACTTGCACGCAAGGCCCTTGTCCTTGATCATCTGATCACCCAGGAACTCCGCCAGTCTTTTCGCCGTTGAGATGGAAGTGGATTTGAGCGAGCCATACTCGGCAATTGTCTTGGACATGCTCCTGTTCTCGCAAACTAGCTCAACAAGCTCTTCGTCGCCAAGGGTCGCGCCTTTGCTATACAGCACATCAAGCCACTTGTCAGCGACCTTGGCAACCGCAGCATAGCATTCTTGCAAGTCTTTGCCCTCAAGAAAGACTTTGAAGACTTGTGTCTGGAAGACTTTGATGAGTTTGAGCTCACCGCGTCGCTTCACCTCGAATCCTTTGAGTTCTGCAAGCGTGCCATCGTCGTTGAATACGGCGTATCGCTTCTTGAGATTCTTATTTTCTTCTTTTGACGTCGGTAGAATCATGGCTTTGTATGGCCCATCAACTTCGAAGAAGATGGAATTTTCAGAATGCTTCTCATACTTGAAGGATTTCGGATCAATCAAATCTTCATACTGGTGATTGGTGAACTTGTCGTGAACGAGATGATTAAGCATGACACAGGGGTAGGAGATGAATAAGGGCTTGCCATTGCGCATCTTGAATGTGAAGTTCTCTGGGAAGGTTGCAGGCAGAATACACCAAATTCCGTCCGTATCGAGCTCTAAAGGACGGCCTATCTTTTCCACAAGCTGTCGTGCAAGCTGAATGATGGTTGCACCAGTCAAGCAGGTCACACCTGCCATCTCCATGGAGTACCAGCGAGAGCCTTTGCGCATCACATATCCATAGAAACTGTTGAGAATGACCTTGTGTGCTAGTTGCAAAGAGTCATACAAAATGACCATCTTCTTGGCATCATCGACCTCAAGCGGCGAAGCAGATGCAGCAGCGAGCTGCTCAGCATTACGCTTCCAAGTCTTTTGGTGATTCTTGTACTCGTAGCGTCTGTCTCGGAAGCCCTTGACAGTATTGACATAAAACGGATTTTCGCGTTGGCAAACGATCGTTGTACGCTCAATTGTCTTGGTCTCTTTGATTTTGTGATAAACCTTACGAGAAAAGTCGCCAAGCCGTTTTGTGATGTGTGTCATCTGCTCTTGTGCCGGCAATTGATCAAATGTACGAGGCTTGCCCATGGGGAACCTGGGAGGAAATTGCTCAGAAACAAGTGTTTGCTTGATCATGTTGTACTCATCACGTTTTGGCGGGTAGTATTCGCCACGCCATGCCCAAGTCATCCGCTTATCACATGTTTTGCCAGGCCGGTTGAAGTCGCAAGTAGCGCAATTTGACTCGTCCACAATAGAGTCGGGCTGCAGCCGATTGGTCGTCATGATGTTTGGGTACATGCTGGCAACGTCCAAATGGTAGATTTTGGGGCAATCGTTTCGAGAAGGTTCATCACGCAGCTCTTCGAGTTGTGATTTAATTTGAGCTTTGATGTCCTCGTAGTCTTCGACGTCGTCCATACTCTTCCCCGCTTCGACCTCGATCGAAAATTGCAGAGCGCGATCCAAGTCATCAATAAGTCCCTGTATCGCATCTGGCTGAATCTCAAATTTCTCGGGTATATCGCTGCGAAAGACGCCTGCTTCAAGAGACTCGACGTGACCGCCGACATAAGTCTCTGATTCAAGTAGATGACCTTCAAAGAAGCGTTCGGGTTCTTCGACGTACTTGTTGGGCAGCACGATACCATCTGAGTATGCATTCACCTGTTGTTAGCGCCACAATTGTGAAAAGATCATACCATCAGTAGCATTTCGCACAGTGTACCTGTACCCTTACGAAGGCAGTCATCTGGATTAAGGGGCAAGATGTTGCATAGCGAAAAGATGAATGGGTGGCAGTACTTCATGTAGAGGTAGTAGGTTGCCACAGCATCGGATACAGAGTACTGCGCCAAGACTTGCGGCTTTTCGCTCGCGTACAACGTCATGAGCTCAGGATCCAGCTCGATGGGATCATACCCGAGCTTTGCAGTCGTGACGGCCTTGAGACCTTGACTTCCTTGAGGCAGGTACGAGTCGCGCTTGACCCAAGCAAAGGCATCCATATGCGCACAGTAGCGTGACTGATAGATGTCATCATTGTTCTTCCTGAACCCAATCTCCTCAAACATGTCAATACCGTGGATGAGTGCTCGCGTCTCGACAAAGGGCCAGTCGAAGAAGTCACCGTTGTAGGTGACAATGACGGTCGGCTTGGCGTCTTGAATGTGCGAAAAGAAACGTTCGATAACGGCTTTTTCATCAGGTTCGTTGAATATCATGAATGGGCCTTTGAACTCTGGTTTGGGCGTGTACTCAAAGTCTTCAATATCTCCTGCAACAATCTCGCGATTCGTGATGAGGAAACCTTCGCCATCAATCATGTACGATATCATCATGATTTGGTCGACAGCAGCATCTGGGAACTTCAGCGGTAGTTTGGTTGTTTCAATGTCATAGGCCATGATGACCGGATCAGCACGCGTAATGCGAGACTCCACCACTGAAAAGGAGACTTGTCCGTGCTTGGCCGTCACATCATACCACTTTCCAATGCGAATATCTTTGTCTATCGCAACGCGGACTTGGTAAGGAACATCGTACTCGCGCAAGTCAACGATCGCCTCGGTTGGATCTTGCTTGGCAGAAGCAAGGGCTTCTTCGTCGTCGTTGTAAAAGTTTTGTGCAGCCACTTCATTGTACACGTCCATGGCATCCATCTTGCTCTTGTTCTTCTCCACGACTGGCGCCAAGAATCGTTTAGTTTCAAAGAGATCTGAGGTATTTGAAAAGGTGACCTTGATGAAGGTGCGTCTGTAGCCAGTCAAGTGATTCGGCATGCGTAGATCTTCTAGCTGTACACGCGATAGATGCCGTACAACGCCTTCAAACTTGCGTCGCAGAAATTCCTCCACCTCTGCCTCATGGTTGACCTTGACGGCAATCAGAAAGTAAGGCTCATATGGAATCGTCGCACGAAAAGAGTCACCACCGTCTTGTAGAAAGTAAAAATCGACGGCAGCGCGACCCGTTGCATGGTCTGCATCGACAAGAAGCGTTGGATGCATATTGATGAGCCATCCTTGGCGCGTCGGTCCAGCCTCGTAGCGCGTAAAGCCAAACTTGTCTGGAATTAGCGATTGCTTTAACGGTAGCAATAACACACCATCAATGCCAGAAGCAAGCGAAATGGCGTTAAACTTGTCTTCGGTCGAATTCGCAGTTGTTGTATCGGTATGACCCGCGGTTGCCGGTGCTGCAGGTCGCTGCTTGACGAAGCGACCACGCGAGGCAGCACTACCGCCACGCGCAGCGGAGCCTGGGATGCCGAATGTCTTGCTCGGCCTGCCCATTGCGTTGTGGTCGTCTCTGTCGTCTGTCTGTCGCGTCTGTAAATTCGAGCGCGTCAAAATTTCGGAATTCGCGACTGAACATGAAGGAAGGATGTATATTTGCTACAAAAGACTACTGCTGAGCCTGCTGCTTCAATCGCCAAAGCTCATATGCCAATGAATGCCCCAAGACGCCCTCCTCAGGCAATGCCTTTGCCACTGGATCTACAGGCGGCACCGTGAACCACACAATCTCACCATCTGCATCCCTCAGGAATCGTCGCTTGACGTGCTCTTCCAATGTCAGCTGTGGTCCCTGCGGACTCGTCAATGTCAATGCAGTCGGATGCACACGATTCCCTACACTGACAATCCTAGTAGTACTTTGTACAACGGGTTGTTGCGTTTGTTGCGTTGAAGGTGTCGCTGAGGATGTCCCAGCGCTCGCATAGGGACTCGTATAGCTACCAAGCTGTGAAGTGGGCTGGGCCTGCACATACGGTGATGCATACGTCAACGGCGGTTGCGCTGATCCTGGCATGGGTGAACCACGCGCAGGTGTCCCAGATGTCTTTGAGCTTTGTCGTAACGGCGCTGTTGGACGTCCTAGCGTCTGTTGCGCTGATCCACGTTCTGGGGAAGCTTGTGTGTACGGTACCATCATAGGTCCTTGTTCTTCAATTGGCGGTCCAATATAGACATTGCCAATTTTAGGCGGTGCGCTGCGATTTTGCTGATCAAAAGCTTCTGGCAGAGGTACCATTGGATCGTAGACGTGCTGGTTCTGGTCATTGGGGAGCAAGTAGAGCAAGGATGACGGTTTGCGAGGCAGCGTGATGGGCGCTGGGTAAGGTTCTGCCTCTTCCTTGACTTCCTCATCCCGCACACCTTCAGGGAGACAAGACTTCCAGGACTTGATTTTGGTAAACTTCTTCTCCTCAACATTGTAGCGCGACTCGCAAACAAAGACTTGTAGCTCACGACCTGGTGGGAATTTGGCACGGCTGCGAACATATTTGGTGTAGTATCGTACAAGGCAGGGTCCAACAACATCGTTGAGGGCCTGATCCCGGTAGTGATTGGTTTTGAATACCTCATTGTCGTAGAATAGCCGATCAGAACGATGAATCGTCTGTTCTGGACGAAAAAACCAGCATACATGCAAACCGAAAGACTGATCTGCCTCCACCTGGAAGCACTGGTGAACCTGCGCCACACACGGGACGTCCTTGTCATTAGGATTCGTCACGAGGATCCAGTCGCCAAGCGCATAAGTGTGGCCATTTGACTGAACGCTCTCCAACATTCGCCGACCATTCTTGACGGGCGCTGGCTTCACTGGCTCTTCCTGTACTACAGCCGGTGTTTCAATGATCGGCGGTTCCGGCTTTGGTGGCTTCGGTGGCTCTGGCTGCTTCGTCTCGGCTGCTGTTATCTCCTTAAGCGCTATCAACAGTGTCGATGCAGCTTGATATATCGCAGACCCATCTTCATTGTAAAGCTGAGCATTGCGAAAGATGAGCTCGAGGTCCGCAACAAACGCATCAACTGTCGAGTAGACCTTTTTCTTGATATTCGCCTTGGCTTGCGTCAGACACATGGGATTTTTGACGGTCTGATAGTAATCCGGATACTCTGCCTTGTCTGGTAAGCGTTCAAAGGGCGGCGCCAAAGGTTTGCCTGCACCCCGACAGACTTTGCGTATGCGTTTGATGATGTTGGACATGATGGTCTCTTCGGGGGTTTCCGTATAGGCCGGCCGACCTTTTCTCCGCTTTGCAGATGAAGGACTGCCACTTGCCTCTTCCATCTCTGCATCATCGTCTGAGCCTTGCGAGCCGCCTGGCAATGGACCCAAATCGGGCCGTTCTGCCTCTTCGGAGGTCAACGTCTGTTCTGCCACAAGCTTCTTCATTTCCTCCTCAACTACATCTTCTAGCGCCTCTGCGTCGATATAGATGGGCGAATCGCGTCTGTTGTAGGTCTTTGCATTGTGGAAGATTTGAAAGACATCTTGCTTGAAATCCTGCCAAGACTGATACTTGCTGCGCTTATCCCGTACCATGTCTAGCGCCATGGGTTTCTGGATGACTTGATAGTAGTCGGGGAGCTCTGCACGCGGCGGTAGTTCATGAAAGACGGCTGCACGGTCATTGCCATGCTCGTCTTTTGCCTTGTTAATTTCTTGCAGGATGCGCAAGGATGCAGTGCGATGGGATTTTGTGAAGCCCATCTCTCCCGTGACAGTGCTGCGGCCTGCGTCTGGCGCTGTCAAGGACCTGGCTCCGGTGCTTGGTTGTACTTGTCTCGTCTTGTTTGGCTTCGGGTCGCGTCCAGGAAACAAAATTTCACGTGAAGGGGAAACAGTCAGGAATCAGGATGCTTTGCTTCTCTTGTCTTGCTTCGCTTATGCTGCTTCTACTTGAACAGATGCCCAGAGACTGGTCTGGCTGCAGCTTGTGCTCGAGTCTCGGCTGAGGATGGCTGCCTTGTGCGACAGGCAGCATGTGCTCAGCTTAGGCTCGACGGCAAGTCAGCAATGTGCCAGTGCAGCCATCGTGAACAGGTCGATGGAAGGCCGGTTCTCTATGTGCTCACTTCAATGCCCTTCATAAATGCGAAAGGCTGGAAGCATGATTATCCATGGCAGCCGATATGATGCGAAATACTCAGTTTTGTCACTACCATCGATGGACCTGGCTGTGCTCTGCATGGCCGCGTCTACCTGAGAAGACTTGTTTTGTCTGATCCAGGCTGCTATGGATGTTCTCTTCTTACTTCCAGCCAGCACATAGACCATAGTTAAACCGAGCTAATTGATGATATTGGGTTGTGCGCCATTGCTCTCTGTCGGGATATACCTGTTGCCCGCCTTGGGTCCCTCTGCGACCTTCCACGAATCCTCCGTCATGCCATCACGCGTCCGTCGCTCGTCTTCGGGCTGAGAGTCCTGTCGCGTTTGCTCTGCAAAGTTGCGCTCCTTGTCGTCCTTCAAGCCTGGTGCACCAGACAACGGTCCCTCGGGTCCCGTCTCTGGAAGCACTGCTGAAGCCAATTCGCTTGCCTTTGTCTTGATGCTGTTCATCTGCCATTAGCATCACTCTGTATGCATCAAGAGTACTACAGTTGAATTGGAGGACATGTCGTCTATGAGATGCTCTTGTCTATGTCTATGACGTCTTCTCTCAATCCTGCGTCGGATGGTTGACGCCCTCGGCCTGCGCACCGTGTTGCTCAACATGCTTCACACTCGCCAGGATAGACTGTTCCAAGTCCCAGACCAGATCATCATAGTCCTCAATACCCACACACAACCTAATCAAATCCTCAGGCAACTGACGCTCGCGCCGGACATGCTCCGGGATACTCGCATGTGACATACGGCATGGCATGGAAATGAGCGAGTCACACGATCCAAAAGACACTGTGATGCCAAAGATTTGTGTCCCCGAGACAATTTGCTCAGAGAGGGCAACGCTGCCTGTGGAGAATGACAAGACGGCACCACCCCCTTTGGCAATTCTGCTGTGTATTGCATATTGTGGATGAGAGGCCAGTCCTGGGTAATTGACTTTACACTGTGATTTGAGGAGACGCGGAAGATGCTCCTCGAGCCAGATGGCGAGCTTGCCTGCAGTCTGCATAGCACGCTCTAGACGGATCCCCAATGTCTTGACGCCGCGCATCAATAACCACGCATCAAATGGTGCAATACCACAGCCTGTTGCATTCACAACAAAGAAGAGGCGTTTGTAGAGCGCTTCATCATTCACAGCAATGATGCCAGCCATGACATCGTGATGGCCATTGAGGTACTTGGTTGCAGACTCGTAATGAATATCGCAACCCAACGTAAGCGGCTGCTGCAGCAACGGCGACATGACGGTGTTATCCACCACAACAATCACCTCTGGATTGGCTTTCTTTGCTGCAGCTGCTAAGGCTGGCAAGTCGGCAATCTTGAGTAAGGGGTTTGTCGGCGTTTCCAGGAAGACCATGGTCGTCTTGCTGGAGCAAGCTTGCTGAACTGCCTCTACAGAGGTTGTATCGACATGCCTGACATCGACACCTGCATTCTGCTTCAAATAGCCTAGCAAGCGATTGGTACCGCCATACAAGTCATCGCCAGCAACCACTTGGTCACCTGGCTTCAGCAGCCGTATAATCACATCCATAGCGCCCATTCCGCTATTAATGGCAAGAGTATGCTTTGTCTTGAAGACCTTGCACATATGTGCCTCGAGCTGGGTCCGTGTGGGGTTGCCTGAGCGCGTATAGTCATAGTCGCCCATTTGTGTTGCAGAGACTTGCTTGAAGGTGGCTGATTGATAGAGCGGTGCGACACTGGGCATAAAAGGATCTTGTCTGGAGGGTCCATTGTTGAAGTGGACGAGCTCTGTTGCCAGCGCAAAGGTGCGCTCTTTACCCATTTTGACCGTAGCTATAGATGGTCGACGTAGTTCTGGAGTACTTTAATCAGATAGCATGAAACAACGCAGTCACATACAATACTTACAATACAGATCCTATACAGACGTCGCCACGGTCGCACGATCAGAAGATGCCCGTTCAATTTCCTTGTTCTCCAATGAGATACTGCGCGTCATGTTGCTCGTCTTGTAGATGCCAATGAGCCGAGCAGACAGCTCAAACATATTGTTGCGCAGTGAAATGACAATGAACTGGGCATTCTTGGTGCGGTCACGGATGTAGTTGGCCACGATACTGACGTTGCGAAAGTCCAATGCAGCATCAATCTCATCCATCACATACAGAGGTGTGGGCTTGTAGTGGTGCAGCGCAAAGACGAGCGCAAGGGACGAGAGCGTCTTTTCACCACCAGACAAGTTGGCAATATTTTTCCAGCTCTTCTTCGGTGGCATGACAGAGAAGAGAATACCCTCAGAGAAGGGATCTAGCGAGTCCACCAGCTCGAGTTCAGCATTGCCACCCATGGTGATCATTTGGTACATTTCCTTAAGACGAGCAGAAATGATGCTGAAGCCTTCCATAAACTCCGTTAATCGACGTGTACGCAAATCTTCCACCATGGAACGTGCAGCGTCACGCTCGGAAATGGATTCTGCCAGCATTTGAGATCGCGAGGCATGCTCTTCGCAGCGACTAATGTACTCTTCCAGCACGCCTTGCTCAATTTGCATGTCCTGCGTCGCTTGCTTGAGTTGTTGAATCTCAGCAGTCAGCACAGCCTTGTCGAGTGCCTGCAGCTCATCTGCCGTCAAGTCGTCCAAACTGCCTTGTGCTTCCGTCGCGAAATGATGACTCAGGGGAATCAATGCCAGGCTTGAACGCTTCTCTGTCGCCCAAGCCAACTTTGCAGACGCCTCTTGCAGTCGCTTGGTGTGTTCTTGCAACTTGACTTCAAGTTCCTGCTGCTGCGCAGCAATCTTGTTGCGCTGCTCCGTCTCGAGATCAAGCTCTTGCTTGAGGGCTGCCAGTTCGTCATTGGACGCTTCCATGGTCTGTTGTTAGCTGTATTCAGGAAGACGAAGACTTACGTATTGCAGGTCTTCAATCTGCTTGGCAAGGCCTGCATCGCCTTCCCCGTCGAGTTGTGCCTGTAATTCACTGAGGTCCGTCTCAACACTTGCAAGCTCAGCAGCAGCCTTTTCAGACTGCGAAGAAAAGGTCTTTGACTGCGCAAGGGCTTTCGCTTTGCTCAAATCCAGCGTGTGCAAGCGCTCAGACATGGCTTGAAGTTGATCCTTCAATGACTCAACCTTGCTGCTCTGCGTACGCAACTTGATGCCACCCACCTCCAAAATCTTGTCTTGCAACTGCTTAATGTCGTGTTCGAGGGAAGAAGTCTCTTGAGCCAATTGCTCCATATCAGCCTCCAATGCTTTCACTTGCGCAACCAACGCCTTTTCCCGCTTGGCATCAGCAGGAGACATGCCGGCACTTGCACCTGCAGCAAGCTGCCTGCAGCGCGTCTGCAAATCGCCCTGTCGCGTCAACAACGATGCTTCCTCAATCGCTCGTTTCTGTCGCTCAAGCTGCAACTTTGGTAATGCCTGCAAGTACCCCGCTACACGCAACTCTGCTTGTGCCAAATCAGCAGCGACTTGCTCAAACGACACCAAGCATGCTTGCTGCTCCTTTTCAAGTTTCGCAACACCCGCTGCAGATTCTGAAGAAGCGACGAATTGTGATGCCATACCACCTTTTGCCACACGCTGGCCACCACCTGTCATGGTACCAGACTTGTCAATCGATTGACCATCCAAGGTAACAACTCGCCAACGCTGTTTACCACCATACGCAAGACGATTTGCTTGTTCGAGTGATTCAGCAACGAGTGTGTTTTGCAAAACTGAGTAGAAGGCTGGAGCAAAGCGCGCGTCGCGTGGTTGAACAAGGTCAAATAGTCGTGGGACATTCTCAGGCGTTTGAATGGCCTGAAGATCGCGACTTGGCAAGCGATCCAGTAGAATGAACATGGCACGACCCAGATTGTTACGTCTGAGATGGTCAATACAGGCTTGTCCTGCATCCACAGACTGAACAACGATATTCTCAAGCTGTGGACAAGCGGTAGAGATGGCAACATCGTACTTGCTTGCAATTTTGCCCAAATCGCCAAGACGGCCGTGGAAACCCTCAATCCTCCCAGACTCACTGAGTTTTGTGAGGCCAGCAAGGACATTGCTTTGAGAAGTGCTCGCAGCGAGGTTAGAGCGCGCTTCGTCAGACTTTTGCCGTGCGGAAGCCAATTGATTCTTTGCTTGAGCTTCCTGCTGCTGCAAGGCAGCCACTTGCTTTTGACCTGTAGCAAGCTCCTTTTCAATGCATGCAATTTCCTTTTGCAGTGCTTTGGTATCGCACGCAGCAAGCTGTTGCGTCACCTCTTCCAGCAATGTCTGTGCTTCTTCTGCTTCTCGCTCAACAGCAGCAGCCTTGTCAAGCAACATCTGCCGTTCAGACTGGCATAATGCCAAGGCACTCTTTTTCGTTTGCATTTGCACATCCCAAGGCTGTTTTTCACGCTGCTTGGCTTCAATCTGATCAGCGTAGACTTGTGTCTTGTCAGAGAGGGCTGCACGAATCTTGGCCAACTCAGCAGATTCGAAGACAAGGGATGTATCGAGAGTATTGACTTGAGCGGTCAATTTCGCAGCTTCCTCTTCAGCTTGTTCAATGGTCCGGGTAGATTCTCGAAGTGCTTGTTCGGCAACGGTAGCTTGCTTGGCGAGTTTCTTTTGTTTTGCGGAGAGGTGCTTGATGCGTTCTTGAACCTTGACCTGTGATTCTTGTGTAGCATTTTGCTCCTTCACCAACACGGCAAGTTGTTTCTTGAGTGTCTCGTGGTGCTTAGACTTGCTAGCGAATGACTTCTTGAGGGTATCTGCTGTTTCGAGACCAGCGGCATGCGATAACGCCTCAAGCGCTTGTTTTGCTTCTCCCTGCATCTGCTGCGTCATGGCCATTTGCTCTGTACATTGCGCAGCTTGAAGCTGATAAAGCATAGATTGCTTAACAGCCAGTGCATTCTCCTGTTGGATTTGGGATACAGCAATGTCCTTCTTCCCCTCCAACCGCTCCTTTTCCTGAGTCACGCGCGCCACTCGAGCATGCTGCTCCGTGACCACTTCATTGAGTGCTTCTGTTCGTTGTAAAGCACCTTCAATAGGAGACTTGTAGCGTGATGTGCCAATAATATCCTCAAGGTACTCAAGCAGCCCATCATCATGCTCCGTTGCCGCTTTCGGTCGCATCTGAGCAATCGATTCCACTTCACCTTGTAGAATCAGAAACCGCTTGTGATCGAGATCAATGCCGCTGTTCTTGAGGAGTGTGGTGACTTCTGTGAAGGAGGAATCTTTGCCATTGATGGTGTACTTGCTCGCATTGGACTTGTATGCTTTGCGAGCCACGACGATTTTCGAGTCTGGCACGACGCGATAGTCTTCTGGATCCTGCACATCATCATAAATCGTCTCAAAATGAACCTCCACTGAACAAAACTCCAAATTTGGGTGCGCAGCAGAATGATGGATAAGTGCGGAAATCTTGCCTTGACGCATCTTTGCGGCGCGAAAACCAAACACAAAGAGCAGTGAGTCAATGACATTGCTCTTGCCAGAACCATTCGGCCCAACCACTGCACTGAATGATTTGTGAAAGGGACCAATCTTTTGAGTACCAGCATAGGATTTGAAGTTTACGAGGACGAGTTTTGCAATGACGATGCGAGTGGCTGGGCCTTCTTGGATGGGAGCGGCAATGTGCATAGTTTCTGCATGGAGTGGTGGGACATTCAACTGCTCCATAGACAACCGTGCCGCTCGAATGGCTTTTTGCGTTTCAAGGGGAGCCATGGGTGCCGGCATGACACTCGCTGGGGGTGGCATGGGTAACGACAATGTCTCTTCAACAGCCACCTCAGCCGGCTCGTCATTCTCTTTCCCAGCATGCATCTGGAAGCCTTCTTTTACCAGACTCACGCGTCGTGTTTTGCTTGGCACCCGACGTGTCACCGAGGGCGTCTGGATCGTCGACTCAGAAAGCGGTGCACGTCGCTTCGGCGTTTTCGTAGCCGGTGCAGCAGAACGCGTGACTGAGCGGGCACGCGTTGTTCGTGTTGATGCGGGTGTTTCGGTTCCATCGAAGGATGTGCGTGACGCGACTTGTTTACGTGATTTTGTGGAAGGGCGTGGCGTGGGCATGTCGTCTGCTTCGGAGCTACTGGATGCTGACTCGACGACTGCGCGCCGGGCTGCGCGACGGGCTGGGCGAGCTGACATGGTGGTGTGCTGGTGTGGTGGTGTGGTGTGTTGTTGTTTTGTTCTTCAAATTTCGCGAAAAAAAGAAAGAAGCGGCACAACAAGCAGTGAATAGAGTAGTAGATATTAGATGACAAGACTAGTAAAGATCAAGGGAGAAGGAAAGACAAGAGTACAGACAATGGATTGGTTTCAGGGTATGACTGTGTGTATGTACAAGGCCCAAAAAGATAAAGCCATAGACTTCGTTGAAGGGGTTGTTTAACCACCGAATCCGTAGATGGTGCGGCCCTGCCTCTTCAAGGCATAGACAACATCGAGCGAGGTGACGGTCTTGCGCTTGGCGTGCTCAGTGTAGGTGACTGCATCACGAATGACACCCTCGAGGAAGGTCTTGAGGACACCGCGTGTCTCCTCGTAGATGAGACCGGAGATACGCTTGACACCGCCACGACGAGCGAGACGACGGATTGCAGGCTTGGTGATACCCTGGATGTTGTCACGCAGAATTTTGCGGTGACGCTTTGCTCCTCCCTTGCCCAATCCTTTTCCTCCTTTTCCCTGGGTGTGTTAGTGTGTGTGCATGAGATCGGGTAGTCTTACGCGTCCAGACATGTTTAGTTGATTTGATGGATGAGTTGGTGGTGGGCGTCCCTTCCCTTTATGCTTTGTGGGCGCGCGTTTCCATCAGCGTCTGTGTTTGTTGACAAGTGCGCGTCCTTTGTTTTTATTCTGTGGGCGGATTCTTGACTTTGTTTTCTTTCTTCTGATGCTTTTGTGGACTCAGACTCAGGAAATTGACTTCTTCTGACTTCTTCATGGACTGACTATTGACTACTAGCATCATTCATGATCATTGCCTGTCTTATAGCATCTCCATCAAGCACCCGTAGACCTCACAAGCAAGACACACCGCCGTACGCCCTGCTCCACCTCATACACACTCTCACATACCAACCCATGTCCAGCACATCCCTCCATGAACGCCCTGATACCGCCGCCCACGCCAAAGTACACATGCTTCGCTGCAATCCGTCCCTCACCCCGTCCACCCTCCAACAAGCCTTGAAGCAGTCTCAAGAATGCAAGTAACGCGCTCGGCGCATAGATCGTCTCGCTTGCCAAGACACACACAGGCGATACCGGTTGCAGCAAGTCTAGCATCGCAGGCGACCACGCACCCGTCATGCCATCGACTTGAATACCCAGTGCTGACAACCCTCTCTGGAACTGAGCGACTTGCTCATCAGAGACTTGTACTTCACCCTCTTTCTCAAACGCAGATGGATTCTGCCGCCGTAGCCAGACGAGAAAGAGATTGGGTATCGTAGCAAGTTGCAGCACCGATAAGTTATAATCCTGCACAGTCAAGCGCATCGCATACTTCTGCTCAAGCGCTGCATCCAACAAACACAGCGTAGGTAGAGCAGTGCCACAACCAAGCTCAATCGCATGCGCTGGTAGCTGTCCAGGCACCTGCTCAGCAAGATCCAAGCTACACTCCCATGTCTTGAAACCACCTTCATAGAGTCCATGGATAACATCGTCTTTCGCCATATACGCCATTGCCTCTTCTGCAGCGCTATCCGCAATTGCTGCATCACCGGACATGAGCTGATGCTTGATATCCCATAACTCGCGACGCGGAATTAATCGACCGCCGAGCGTCAGCGTGCTGTATGCCAGTGTCCGTGGTAATGCTGCAACCAGGTCAGCGAGTGTATGACGCTGTGCAGGAATCAACGAGACGGTCTGGTCTGCATCGTGTCCCTGCTCAAGCCTGGCTGTTTCAGACTCTGCCTCGTCATAGTCATCTCCGCTGAAGCCAAAGGAAAAGGACATGCATCCAGGTTTGTGCGTTGCTGGTCGAGTTCTTTCAATTTCAAATTTCACCTCTACAGAGTCTACACATCTACCGTTGCTATGAGCGCTAATACTATGGCAGAGACTCAGCATGCCCTTCAACGGCTCTCGAATGACTACCGCACCCTCCAAGGCCAACTACAAGACAAAATCACCGGCCGGCAAACACTCGAATCCCAAGTCGCAGAAAACAGATCAGTCCTTGCAGAACTCAGTAAAGCAACCTCAAACAACACCGTCTACAAGCTCATTGGACCGGTCCTCATGCCGCAAGACTTGCAAGAAGCAAAACAAAATGTTGCGCGTCGTATTGAGTTGTTGCAGCAGGAACTGGATAAAGCAGAGTTGACCATTCGCACCGTACAGGAACAGCAGAATAGCGTACGGCTGTCCATCATCAAGTTGCAGCAGGAGAGTGAAGGAGCTCCTGGTCAAGCAGTGAGTGCTTAATCTTTGGCTCTATGATGGAAATGTACAATGTGAAGAAAAAGTGACATCAAGATTTGCTGAACCAGCTAAAACTCAATCTGCGTCGTCGTTTCGCAGGTGCTGTTGTCGTACTCGACCGACTCGCCTCTTCATCAGCCAGCGCAACCACACGCGGTACGGCAATCGTACTGGCCAAATCAGTCGGTATGGTCTCTGCAAACTCAAACTCAAATTCTGAGCGCGTTGGCACTACCTGTGCAGCAGCTGCTGTTGCTGCCTGTTGTCCGCGTTTCTGCACAAATGGTACCGTCACGGCTCGTCTACCATGCGCCTCATGTCGTGCTGGGGCAGGTGGCGGTACGACGGCCCTCGCAGCGGCTGTCGCATCACCTGGTCGTGCCATACGTCCATCTGATCCAATCGACCCATTGCGTCGTGCGAGATGTGTGGATGAGCGTGCTGCATAATGCATTCCATTTCCACCATTCGGTGCAGCTCTGTAGAATCCTAAGGAAGACTCTGATCGTCGTGCTGCAGACCAGGTATTGGCTTCTCGTTGTTGTTGCTGTTGACGCGATGCGCTTTGTACAGCAGCCGCTGCTGCAGCAACAGCATACTGATTTGGTTTTGTAGCAGCAGCAGCAGTAGCTGAATGTGCATCACCGCCATAACTCGGTGCTGCGGCCGGTTGGTCGTAGCTCGGTGGTAATCTGAGTGGATGCAGTGATTCGGAATACATGGCTTGTGGAATAGGCGCTTGATCAGGCGTGTGCGTCAGCATCTGGAAGGAAAAACTGCGAGTCTTGTGGATGGGCTTGATGCGCCGTGCAGCGGGAGTCGGCGATGTCGGAGAAGGTGACATGATGTGTGGCTACTCTATCAAGCCCCCTTATTTTTGGGACTATCGTCGGCCTGTCAGTGGTCCTGATGAAAGCGCCTTGACTGCTCTCCTTGAATGCTCTGGGCCCTTTGCTCCTGAGACAGCGCCTGTCCCTGCGTCCTGTGTCGGCTCTTGCTGCGTGTGGTTGCACTTTCGGGGATTTTTCGCTGGACAGGAATAGAAGGATTAGTGCAGGACATCCTAGACATAGTTATGAGTATATATGAGTGTATAGAGGTGTGTAGACTGCTACGGCCCATCGACTGGCCACGCCGGTTGCAGGGCCTCGCTATACTGCAGCAGGCTACTCAGATCATACGCAGGCAGCGCATCAAATGGACTCCGCAGGAAACAGTGCAGCTCATGCAGCAACCGGTCGCCATCCGCCCTCCCCATCAAGTCGCCCACCAGCTTGCTCGCTCCGGCAGACTGGATGTCGAGCTGCGGCAGTACACCATTCATGATGTAGTCGCGTATAAACGCCCAATCATCCTGTAGGTACGGAAAGCACTGCAGCTCTCGCCGTAGAAACAAACCCGCTTTCCGTTGCAGGCTAGCACTGCGTTTATACTCTGCTGCACCAAATGACTTGAACCGCGTCGCTGGATTAGCACCCACATAGAGCGCACTTAACTGATGCGCATAGACATAGCGACGCCGCTGTAAGGCCACCTCTGCTTGCCGCTCAAGGAACAGCGCCCGTGGATCCTGTTCGCGCTCATGCACCATCTCCCGCCGCTGTCTGCTGAAGCGCATGCACTGTTCCTTCCGGCGTTTTGGCGCAGGCACTTGTCGATGAATTGTGCCATGCCTCCGGTACGAGACATGTTCGATGGGTGTTTTGCAGAGGGGACAGGTCGCTCCTTGTTCGGTCCATCGCAAGATGCAGTCTGTGTCGAACCCGTGGTTGCAAGGTTGACAAAGTGCTAGTGAGGTGACGGGTTCAAGACAGATGGAGCATGTCTCTATCTCATACGCGACACGTTTCCGCTTGGCCCTTGTCGGTAGACACTCCGCTACCATGCGTATACGCTACTAACACTAGTGTGTCTGAGTATGCTCAAGCTGCTCGTGGCGAATGTCTAAATACTTCAGATGGATTTCAACTATGCCGCAAGGTAATGCGCTTCTCTCGGATAGATGCGCTTGTATAGCGGCATCAGCACCGTATCCAGACCTTGGATCTGCTTATCCCATGTCGTCTTCATATACCCGTGCGTCCCCAACGCCTCCTTGATGAAGCCCACGCGGCCATATTTGCTAAACAGCTGGATAGCCTTGAAGAAGCGGATATCCTCACGATTGTGGAACATGTAGCGCACCGTCACCAGTCGCTTGTGAATCTTGTAGGGCACTCCAGATAGCAAGATTCGCTTGATGGTGAGGCGACCGTGATCAACACCGACAAATGAACCAGTACCAACTAGCTCGAGTGTGCTGTTATTGGCGCCAAGGGTGCGTTTAAAGTAGAGCACTGGCGCGCCCTTTTCCATGATCGCAGGACCGGCCACAGTCGCATACGACAATCTTCCTGGTTGCACAAATCGCTCAAACCTCACCAGGCCATTGCGCGTCTTCGCAATAGCTTGGGAATAAATGGGTTGCGCCACGAATCGACGATGCGCACATTGAATGACAATCTCCTCTTTTGACTTGAGTGGCTCTGCGCCCGGCTCAAGCTGGATGGTAAAGTTGTTAATGGCGCGAGATTGCTCGTGTTCGCGATTTGCCCAAAGGACGAGATGCTTCAGATCTTGCACATGCGCAGGAACTTCCTTGAGGTAGACTTTGACGCGCGTGCCCATAGGCACACCCGCATGACTCTTGAGAATACGATTGCGCGTACTCTTGTAAGATCCAAACTTGGCGATACCAGAATACCATGCTGGTGTATTGCCATCAATTTCATCAGGATCCCATTCACTCTGATGAAAATCTTTGAGTCCACGATACTTTCTGAAGCGATCCCGCGCATTGATGCTCGGGTCGAAGTCCACTTCATCTGGAAATTCCTTATCGTCCTTGACCTGTGCGCGATAGGATGCGAGTTGCCGAGCTTCCTCTTCGACAGAGAGCTCCTCGTGTGGCTCTTCTGCTTGTGTAGGTGCATAAGTGCTGGCCACATCACTCATACGGTCGTCCTCGAGCTCTTCCACTTCTTCATCAGAAACATCTTCGGCATTGGCGGCCTCATCCACAATCCAAGAAGCTTGGTACTTGCTCGTTCCTTTTGGCACACGTTTCACCACAGGAATCTCCTCTTCCTCTGAATCGACATAGTAGTGATTGTCGAGACGCACACCCTTGCGCGGCTCCTCAGCAAACGGCGTTTCCTCCTCCATCTCAAACTCTTGCGTCATGCTGTCAGCCTTGTCGGAGCGAACACCCAAGACTTGCTCTGCATCAACATCCGTGATGCGGTCCACCTCAAAATCGCCCAACCCAGGGATATGTATTAGTCGGTCAGCATCGAGATTATTGCCACGCACGATACCTTCCACGCAGAATCCGTTGGTGTACGTCACAGCAGACGGTACAATGTATGAACGTGCAAGTCGCCATGTAGGTGAGTCGGGTAAACTGTTGCATATCGCACCCAAAAATTTGCTCACCTCTGCAGAAGCATCCAGGCTGAATGGTCCATACTCAGTCGGGAAGAGTGTTTGCATGTCTGCCTCCCAGACTTTCCGCGATTCTTGTGCAGCCTTGTCATTGTCGAGTTGTTGGAGTACTGTAAAATGTGACGGAATGCCCTGTGACTGTAGCGCACGCAGTGTCCTCTGAGCTTGTGAATTCTCGCCGAGTGCTTCGTAACCTGCAGCAACAAAGATGCAGTAGTCTGCTACTGCCACAATGTTGAGTACATCTTGTAGCTCACCGCCCGCATGCACAAATTGAAGTCGCTGCTTAAAGTTCTTGACGTGTACTTCTGTCGTTGGATGCGTGCTTGGAGGCAGTTCTAGATGCGCCTCGAGCGCATGGACCAAGGCCAGTGTATCCGCATCGGCATTCAATGGAATCAACGCAACGATACGAGGCGCTCTGCTCCGACCGTCTCCAAAAAACGCCGATTGCTGCTTCAATGCAGTCTTCTTGTTTTGCTGAATCTGCTTGGCGAGGTTCTTGCGATCTGCTTTCGAGTGTGTCTTTTGCACTAGGCCAGGTGCCTTTTCTGGCTGGATCTTGCCTTTTGCAATATCTTTTTGTGTGCGGCTAGAAGCATGGCCTGTGCCTTTAAAGGCCTTGTGCTTCTGCTTCGTGGTTGGCCTGTGCGAATGTGCCATGGCCCGTGTGTTGATCTTGGTGATCTTGCGATTGCTGCTTGTCGCCTTTTTTTCGTGAAATAGTCGCAAGTGGCGTGGGACTTCCACCAGCTACAGGGCTACACCACCTTGAGCCTCGTATCACCAATACTGCATGCTCAGACAAGCTACTAGAATGGTCACAACAGCTGCGTACGGCAAATGGAAGTCTCCCATAAGTATCGATCTTCTCACTGGATCAGCTGTCTCCGTCTCTGAGATCAAAGCTCATAAGCAAGACCTCTACTACCTCGAGTCGCGTCCCTATGAAAAGGGCAGGACTGTGCTCTGCAAGCTTTCTGGAGAGACGAGTGTCGATCTAGTTGAAAAGGATGTCAATGTACGTACTCGCGTTCACGAGTATGGTGGTGCGCCGTTCGCCATTAGCCCAGATGGGCAGATTGTTTACTCCAATTTCGCAGACAATCGGCTCTACGTGCTCTCAGATGGTCAAGCGAAGCCATTAACGGCTGTAGATGCGGTGCGTCGTTTTGCTCGATTTGAATTCCATCCTACCAAGCCATTGCTGGTGGCAGTCTGCGAGGACCACACCAAGCCCGAGCCTAGCCAGGTTGAGACATATCTTGTAACAGTCGACCTCGACAATGGAAAGATTGACAAGATTTCGGGTGGGTCAGACTTTTACAGCGATCCAAGCTTCAGCCCTGACGGCAAGACGCTTGTCTGGCGAGAATGGCAGTAAGTGGTTACTTCCGAAGTTTAAAAGTGTTCTAACTATAGACACACTGAAATGCCCTGGACGCAGTCGAATTTGTACGTGGCATCTTTTTCCGACATGAAGAAGAAATTGCTGCTAGGAGGGCAAGGTGCTGTGACACAGCCTCGCTTCATCGGCGACACACTTGTGTTTAGCTCAGACAAGACGGGCTTCCAGCAGCTATACAAGTCGTCTCCTCCCTACGAAGCATACACCGCTCTGACGGACGAGATCAAAGGCGACTTTGCAGGACCAGACTGGGTCTTTGGCAACACATCTTTTTGTGCTTTTGGAGAGTGTGTTCTCGCTGCTCACGGTGATGAGTCTGCCAAGCAAGCGTTGTCCCACATACAGGTGGACGGCAAGCGGACGTTGATTGAGCATTCATTTCTAACGATTGATGCACTTCAAACCATCGGCGAGACCATATACTGCATTGGATCAACTAAGGAAGCCAAGGGCATCTTTGCATTTACAAAAGAGGGCGCAAAATCGCCAAAGCTGGTCAAGTCAACCTTGAGCGTCAATATTGACAGTGCATACTTGTCGCTCGCTCAGCCCATCTCATGTCCATCAGGCGACCGTATGACACACGGCTGGTACTACCCGCCTACATCACCAGACTATTATGCTCCAGAGGGAACGCTGCCACCGTTGTTGATGCGCATTCATGGCGGTCCCACCAGCAGCTCGCCACCTGAAACGAACCTCCAAATTTCATACTGGACATCGCGTGGATATGCCTTCTTCAATCTCAACTACGCTGGCTCAACAGGCCATGGCCGTGCCTACATGCAATTGCTCGATAAGCAATGGGGTGTTGTCGATTCAGAAGATGCCATCAACGCTGCGCAATACTTGGCAAATGAGAAGCTTGCTGATTCGAGCAAACTGGCAATCGACGGTGGCTCAGCTGGTGGATTCACAGTACTCAACGTCTTGTGCAAGAGTCAAGTCTTTGCGGCAGGTGTATCTAGGTACGGTGTCTGTGAAGTGAGTGCTCTCGCCTTGGACACGCACAAATTCGAATCGCAATACCTCTTCAACCTGCTCGGCGGCACACCGGATGAAATTCCAGAGATTTACAAGGAGCGATCAGCGCTCTATCATGCCGGCAACATTAAGTCGCCTGTCTTGGTCCAGCAAGGTACTGAAGATCGTGTTGTTCCGCTCAATCAAGCCAAGTTGATGGTGGAAGCCATTCAAAAGAATGGTGGAATCTGCGAGCTACAGGTCTTCGAGGGCGAGGGCCACGGCTTCAGGGGAAAAGATGCTCAGCAGGCTTCATTGGAGAGACAGACGCTCTTTTTGGAAAAGTACCTGAAATTGTGATTGCGTCCTTGTGTGCAACGAGCCTTCCAGCTTTCTGGAATGCAAGCCCTCGAGGTCTCATCTTCCACTTTCTTCACATCGCTCCGAGCGAATGATACGTAGACGCTGACATCGAAGTTTTCCCTTTCTGTTCACCACAGGAAGTGAACTGCAAAAGAAAACGATGCAAAGGCTGAGCCAGTCGCACTTAGCCGGATATTGCCAGTCCTAGATCTTGACCGCCGCTCATCGCGCTAGACTTGCAACACAGCGGTAGTCTGCCTCCAACTGTAGCTGCGATATCAACAAAAGAGGAATACGCAGAGTAGTCCAAAATACATTTATGTATGAATGCTCCAGAACTTGATTTGATTTGGTTCCAAGATGCTTTTTCAATGAAGAGAAGAACGATTGCCGCGGAGATATTGAGCACCGCAGTAGAAGCAGTTGGTGATAGTATTTAACCGTATAAGACCAACCACAGTTCTCCAGTTTCCAAATTGCTCATGACTGTGAACTAATCCCCTTATAAGGACGGTCGAGCACCTGCTTCACAAAAGGAATTGCGGCAACAAATCTATCCACTTTTGGACCGCTGCTGCATGCACGTCGTCGCCATCCGGCAGTTCAATGAAGAAAGAAGCCATGAACTGGATAAATCCTACATGTTCGTTGGCATTTGGCTGGCTTACATAAGCAAAGATTGGATCTTGCCTTATAATGTCCTAAAGTTTCTGGCCCCGAACCTCTTCATTGCCCTTGTGGTGTAGCAGTAGCATGCGCCTTTCGGGTAGGCGCGGTCCTGGGTTCAAATCCCAGCGAGGGCCCTTTTTTTCCATGTTCAACATACTTATGGAAGAGTGAATGCAACGACAAGCAAGGCAGCAACGCAAGGAAAGGCTGCCAACTTTGGTAGGACCTTGCTACTGTTTAAGCGTGACATCTCACATAGTCTCATCAGATTGCTCCGTTCTCCTGTGATGAGACGCACAAGCTCTGTCATGGCTATCAAAATTGCTGGCCAATACTGCAGAGCAACTCCTGATCGCTGAAGACACAAGCCAAATGCCAGTCCATCGAAACTGCAGGCTGCTGCTACTGCTGCGAAAGGACTGCTGCCAATCAAATTGAGCTGTAGCATACAGTATTGCAGTTTGTCTTTGCTCCAATAGCAATGGGCCCCTGAGCTGCTCATCGCGCGTCGAAATTGCTACGCTCATTGGCCCCTGTCGCCAAGGGACTGCATGTCAAGTGTCATTGTCATTTGTCAACAATGCTAGCCAGGCTGAGCCAGCCAGGAGCAAAATGGCTAGAACAGCCACGTCAGCATATTAGTTGCTTTTCAACCCGCTCTGCTGCTGCATCCAGCCCAAAGATACAGACATCACCCACATCAAATACAACACTTGTCATTGAATACAAAAGCAAGACGCTGTTGCACAATAAAAGCGGTTGATTATCAACTTGAGCTCCCATTGTGTCCAGATCAGTAGGGGCACATTGCGGTATGAATTTTCCCTGCTTGCCAGCACTATACTAACATCATAGGGAACATTTCACTATAGAGCAATACGCTGTGGTAGCTATTGTTGATCTGCTGTTCCTACTTTTAAGTTCTCACACTTGATCAGTATACGGAGAACAGTCAAAAACTTGACTCCACAAATCAGCAGTACGGTCGGGTGACTGCATGGGCACAGAATGGTATGGAATTCATGGGATCGCCATTTCGGCTTTGCTAATATCATTGAAGATCGCTTGCCATTATACTGATTGGCTCGACTTACAAGTCATGCAAATTAGCTTGATGCCACATTGAAAGTGCTTTGATCAAGCGCCAGGCCGAAGGCAGACTACACAGTGCTTCGCAAAATTTGAGCAAGACTGAAGCCAATCCTTGGATGGAAAAGACTCAGTGGGTCTCATGTCTTGGAGGTCATCCTCGCGATGACTTCAAGCACCATCAATCCTAGGGCATGTCATGCAGCTCAGCTTGATGCCACATTGAAAGTGCTTGATGATGTAAAGCGCCAGGCCGAAGCCAGACTGCACAGTGCTTCGCAAAGTTTGAGCAAGACTGAAACCAATCCTTGGCTGGAAAAGACCCAGTGGGTGTCATGCCTTGAAGGCCATCCTCGCGAAGAATTGCTGCACTTCTGGAGAATCTAAGTGATGTGCAAGATGCCATGCTACACGCTCTTGAAGGACGTTTGAGCCGCATTCTCAAGGCTGCCAACTATGCATCTCGCGAGCTCGATGATTACACGCTGAGAAAAACGGTCGACACGATTTAGCTTCATCAAGAGAATGTCAAAGCTCTACCTATCATTCACGTCACTACCCGCTGAGGAAAACGGTCGACACGAGTACACTTCGTGAGAGTTTGCTCTATATGATTGATAGGCAAAGCCTTCACGTGCTCTTGATCTTGCACATCACTTAGATTCTCCAGGAGTGCGAGCAAATCATCGCGGGACTGACCTTCCAGGCATGAGACCCACTGGGTCTTCTCCAGCCATGGATTGGCTTCAGTCCTGCTCATACTTTGCAAAGCTCTGTGCAGCTTGACTTCGGCCTGGCGCTTTACATCCTCAAGCGCTCTGAGTGTAGCATCCAGTTGGGCTGCATGACTTGCCCTGGCATTGACGGCGCTTGAGGAATGCAAGTCAGACGTCGGACTGGTCGCAACACCATGAACGACTTCAAATAAGCGACCAGGGGTTCCACTGCGGCCCAGTTGCTGATCAGATGGAACAAGTCACTTTGCCTCACGACGATATTTGAGCAAGACCTTTTGCATCAATTGCAACAATTGCTTTCGTCTTGGCGCTTTGATTACAACAGCTGGATTACAGCGTACTGTCCATATTTTAGCAAGGATACGCGTGCTAGTCCTATTACGTAACAAGTAGTCATGCTCGATGGCTCAGGCCATGCTTATATTCAATTATAGTCTACGCTCTCCTGACCAATTGCAATTGACATTTGCCCGAATATTTGGAAGAATTCATGTTATTTTGCGCATCACTCGAGCTTAGACCTTGAGCTGAGGATAGAAATTCTGACAGCCTTCGTTATATGACGCACTCGCGTTGAAGGTGACACCTGCATTCGTAAGCTGAATGAGAGACTTGCCTGTCGTATTGTACTCAGGCCAGCCATACTGCGTCAAGCCTTGTGCTGGGGATTTTGCAAATGCCGACCAACCACCTTGAATCGTGCTGCTAAGATTTCGCTGCTCGGCGGTGACATTTGGCAGCCCAAGGAAGTTGCCAAAGACAAGTGGCAACTCGCTGCTGTGGTACACGCCAAGACTTGCCACCAAATTGATGTTCTGCGGGTATCTAGCCAGGTAACGGTACTGCCAAACAGGGACACTTGCATTTGTGCGCACGTGTGCCTGAAGTGCCGTCACGCATGTGTAGACTTGCTTCGTCAGGTCTGCCGGTGTGATTGGGTACGGGTACAATCCCGTGAGAATGGTGCCTTCATTGTCGTTGGTCCCGACCAGCATTGGAATGCGCGCATACCGGCCAGTACGTTGCTTTTCAAGGTACTCTTGCGTAGAAAAGACGGTGAGGTTGTCAATTTGAGGCTGGAAGACATTGTTGAGTGAAGTGAGATTGTTGACGGCCGCTCGAATGTTTGTCAGGGGCACTTGTTGCATACAGGCGAATTGCTGAGCCGTGCCATTGGCGGTTTGGTTCAGCGGACAACCTGACGCATTGGCAACCACATTCCACGCCTGCAACTTGGCCGTCGAATTTGTAGAAGTACGGTTGGCCAAGGAGATTTCCGAGCCAGATTGAAGAATGAGACCGCTGGCAATTGGGTCAAACTCGTATGCATACTGCCATGTAGCAATGGAAGCAGAACCAGCACTCTCGCCATGCAGCGTGATACGTTCAGGATCGCCACCAAAATGACGGATATTGTTGTACACCCACTCGACAGCGAGTCGTTGGTCGTATAGACCGACGTTAACTTGGTTTGGAGGCACTTCTGGAGCACCAATGGGAAAGCCTAGGAGATTCATCCGGTAGTTGAATGTACAGTAGATGATGTCGTCGTTATTTTGCACCCAGGTCGAGCCATTGTACAAGTCGGCTGCACTTCCACCGAAACTGAAGGCTCCGCCGTAAAAGTAGACAATGACGGCAGCGGGCTTGCTAGAGTTCAGTCTCTCCACCGAGGGCGCCCAAATGTTGAGTGAGAGACAGTCTTCGCGCTCGGTAAAATTACCAAGTGTACCATTTGTCAAGGAGTTGAGTGCCGTATAGCTTGCACCCTTGTTTTGAGGACAGCCTGGACCATACTGAGTTGCGTTGAATGTGACGTTCTGCGGTAAGATGCTTGCTCGCCGAGGAGGCCTGAAGCGCTCGGGCTTCGCACCGAAGGGAATGCCTAGCCAAGCACGGACACCAGTGGACTGTGGAATGCCTTTGAATGTTCCAACATTGGTGGTGATGGTCAGTGAATCATTGACCGCTGCCAAGACAGCAGAAAGGGAGGCCAACACCGTGAAGACCTGCATAATTGATGGCGAGGTGTTGTAGATGGGCCAGCCAGCCTTTGTATCTGTGTGCCTGGCTACCCTTCATGCGTGCGACAAAGTGTGAAGTCATCGTCTGTTGTCGTCTCGTAGATGGCAGATGCCGTTCATATCCGGAGCCTTAATTCAAACTTTAATTGCCCCGCGTTCTCGACTTCCACATTAGGAAATTCCGGGGAAGCTAAACTACATCATGTCTTCATGCCCTGTGAACTGTGGTATAGCAGGCTTTGCAGCTTTTGCTAGTCGAAGAGTTCAAGCACTTGATCGGTCTACGTCTGGCTAAGGTTAAGCAAATAGCTCCCGATACGCAAGAATTGCTTCTAAAGCCACGCAGTCATAGTCTAGATATTGTAGCATACCATCTAAGCCTACGTAGTAAGTTCGTAGCACGGATAGCATCGTGGACAGCATCTCTGCTGCCGCGTCTCATCCTTCCATTCGCTGAAGCGTTCCAGGCTTACCTCTTAATCATCAGACGCGTGCTTGCATGCGTGCCTCTACACTTCTTTAGCAAGATTACTATGGCAGCGTCATGCTTGATGGGCTCTTCTACCATTGATAGACTAAGCGCTGGCGCTGGCTCCCTCCTGCGCTGAATTTCCATCATGAATCGTAGTAGGCTGCCCAGTGGTGTTGCTGCTGTTCGATGCCCCTTGTGAGAGAGCACTCATTTGTGTAACAAACTGAGCTTGTCCAGTCGCGTTCTGAACAAGCATCTCGCGAAGCCGAGGTAAAGCTGACCTGCCTTGCATCACCTCGGCGCGCCTGACTGCTTCAAGTTCAGGTATACCTTGCTTCTGAGCGAATTCCTTGACTGCGTCGATGAGTAGGCGTCGCGTGAAGAAGAACTTCTTGTGTCCACCTTTTTCAGGTCGCCATTTGGCCCCATGCATTGACTCCAGGTCGCGTATGGAAAGACCGCCATCGAGTCCATGGAACCATTCTTGCCAGGCATCTGTGACCCTAGTGACACTTCGGCTCATCTTTGGCAGCCGTAGTGCCTCTTCTTCATCTCTTTGCCGTTTGCGACTCCTGGCTGTCATAGGTGCAGTCTCAGTTTCTGTGGCATGATCAAGATCAAGTTGCATAGTACCATCGACTTGACCCAAAGCTGCCGTCGGCTGAGGCGGCGAAGCTGACGACAACTGCAGGTTAGGCAGCTCCAGACCAGGATGCTGCAGCTGAATGGTCATGCGAATACTGTTGATCATACTGTTGAACATTGGCACAAAATTGTTGATCAATTCTTGGTCTGAACACGCGGCACTCCTAGGTGTAGTAATACTTGCGATGCCCGCAGTAATGCGTGCCATACCCGCGACTTGTGTTGCCTTGAGATCATTCAGTGCAGCTCCAACTTCCTCGAGCTCAGCTCTAAGCGTCCCGATGTCAGCCCGCAGAGCATTGATTGATTGCGTCTGTAATCGTAGCGCTTCAGCAACAGCTGGCGCAAGTTTGTGCACGAGCTCCGCTTGAGGGTTCACCTCGGCCGACATATTGGCAATGAGAGTCGCAGCCCATGTAGAGAACGCATCGTTGTTGAAAGGCGCATGATGCTTGAATGGGTGGTCTGGATAGTCTTTGAAGACAAGGACCATGTCCTGCAGCAGAACTACGCGTAGGTAGAGCAACAACTTGTGAAAGAGCTTCGCTTGCGAACAAGGGAGTTCCACCTTCTCGGCATCACCAATGCCGAAGTCATCGAGCCACGGGAAAATCTGCTTCTGAAGCTCCATGGGAGGCTCTCGTACAGCACGAGAAAGATGATAAGACTTGCCGTCACCGTCTGGCGAGAAGCCTGCTTGTGCTCGAATGAAAGAAATGGGCAAATGCTTCGAAAAAGCCTGTTCGAGTGCGCCAACCTGCCAACCTCCTGCTCGACGCATAGCCTGCTCTTGTACTCCACTGATCTCGGCATACTGTATGCCGGCCTTTCGACCAATGTGAGCGAAGGATCTTCCCGTGTAGCCACATGCGGCTAGGACAGATTTGACAACCTCGTGATGAGCGCCGTAGGACATCTCGCCGTTGTTGCTAGTCTTGCGCGACAATAGCAGCTTGGTATTGTACCATTCTTCAGGCCTTCCCAGATTAGGGGTCGCTTCACCGGATATGTGAAAGCGAGAGAACAGATACGCCGCAAGAGAATTGACGACACACATACTCCAGTCCTTGTGGCGCAGAGCGCCTATGATTCCCAACTTGTCACCTTTCTTGGTCTTGGAATAGTCAGACATCAGAGTCACAACATTGTAGGGCTGCATTCCCTCGGTGGTGTACTCACTGAGACCGAGATCACACAAATCTGCTGCACGGGTATCATCGCCTCTCAACACCGTGGAGTGGCGAAGATTGAAAATGAACCTGTCCCTGATTGAAGTTTTGCCGCCTTCGCTTGTAGCTTTCAATAGGTGAGCGTTGCAAACTTTGTAGTCTTCACTGGTGAGCTCAATGCCAAGACCACCTGATTGATCTTCAAGGCTGGCTCGCTTCCTCGCTGCCTCCTCAAGACTGCGCTGCTTCAGTAATTCCGCAACAAGCCCTTGAGATTCCGCTGGATGAGGCTCTTTGCTGTCTTCCCTCTCCCTCTGGTAGGTCCAGAGAGCGACAATTGCTGCTTTTGCCATCTTCATTGCACCAGCACTCACTGTTGCCTTTTGACCATCTTTGTTGGCCTTGCCGATCTTCTTCTCACGGGTTTGGAAGTGGGTCATGAACATGTGAAGCTTTGATGTTGTTACTAAATGGCGCTGCGACACGTCATTCACCATCGAGTAGCGAGAGTCGCACCACTCCTTGAATTCCTTTTGATATAAGTGGTAACTTGTCATTGTATTGCGAGAGCGAGTCTCATGAGATCGTGTTAAGGTACGCTGTTCAGCTGCTTCATTCTGTGTCGCTACTGCGTCCGGAGTGAGAGGCTGTTGCGAAGGCTGTACAGCTGAGTGGCCGGGCAGAGCAGAAGCGGAGATGACAGTCGTGGAGGCCACAGCAGAAGCAGACACAGAAGTAGTATTCACAGCTGTTTCATTTGAAGCAGCAGCACCAGCAGTAGTAAAAAAAGGACTGGACTCAGAGACGGCACGCGTATCATGCGCGGTAGAAGCGTCGGGCAATCCGCAGTGAGTCGCCTCACTCAGAGCTGAGCCAGCTGCCTCGCGCGCAGCCATTTCTTGGCCTATCGTCGCGATGATCTCCTCGTTTGGCAGACCTCGCAGGTTTGATCGAAGAACGGCCATTGTGCACTCCTATTTGCTTGCTGTCTCAGCGACGTTTCTGTGCATTCGAAGTCGCGCGTAGGCCTTTTCGCGTTCAAGGCGTGACAGCAGGCGCGGCGCGTAGCCTCAAAGCAAAGACGGCTCCGCAATCGCTTTCGTATGGTTCAAACCTTCTCTCGAGACCTATATCAGAGGACATACACAAGCCATGCATAGCGAAATCTGACCCTCTGGATTGATTGCGCGATTTTGAAGCATCCAGCTTGGCACCTTTGGCCTACTTGCACCCCGCTGTCACTGCTTCGAGCGCATCGTCAGCTGCAGAGCGGGCCTTCATCACAAAAGAAGCTTTCTCAAGAGAAGATATGCATATGGGGCGACATAGCAGTCTTTTGAGCACAGATGGAGTCACAGTTACTAGTTTCAATAGCCGCGAAGCCATCTCCTCAAAGACTGCTGTCTTTTGTACTGTCAAGTGTTGCATAAATAGGAAATAGGAAAGCATTAAACCTTGTATATAAACCCACTGTCAACAGCTTACAGCATGATCACGCTCGCAGCCAGTGCACAAAGACCGGCGATCATGGCAGGTACGGCCTTGCTTGCCGCGCCAGGAGATGCAGGAACTCCAGCTGCAGCCGCGACCGCAGCGACACCAGGTACTGCAGACGCTGGCACGATGACACCAGCGACACCAGCAGCGCCAGCAGCTGGCAATACAGTGACGCCCGCAGCATTGACGGAAGGAACCACAATGGTCTGAGTGGCAACCACAGTCACGGCAGGCGCCGCGTTCACAAGCGTGACAGCGCCGGTACCAGGGAGAAGTCCAGCGCCACCAGCAGTAATAGCCACATAGCCTGAAACAGTGGTCAAAGTCGTGACGGCAGATCCACCAGAGACGACAACAACAGGAGCAACTATCGTGACGACATTGACAATGACGGGTGCCACACCGCCCAGAGCAGGGGCACCAGACACGATGGTTGCGCCAACAGGGCCAACGCCACCAACAGAGACAGCCACCAGAACGTTACCAATAGAGACCACCACAGCCACTTGACCAGGTCCAGCAGCTAAACCATTGGCGCCAGAGCCAGGGCCCAAGAAGGGAAGACCATTGATGAGAATCTGAACAGCAATGACAGTCTGCGTCGTGCCAGGAACAGTGAGAGTCACTGTACTCGTGACCGTCACAGGCGTGCTTGCAACGGGTGCAATACCGTTGTTGCCACTTTGCGACGACGAGGCTGCCACAGCAGAAGACGAGACAGGCACCGTCGGAACTTGTACTGACCCCGAGCCCACCGCACTAGAAGAGCTGCCAATAGGAGTGCCTGTGATGGGAACAACGTTTAGACCAGCAATAAGCGTGCCACCAGGGCCAAGACCGACGGGAAGAGAGGCCACTTGACGTCGACGACGACGCATGAAGGGTGTGAATTGTGCAACGAGGCTGCCAGTCGCAAGTGAAAAGTAGCCCGGCTGGATACCTTGACCAGTAGGAGGCGGAGGCACGAACAAGACAACATCATAGTTCGGCGATGGTGGCGCCTGAAGTTTCAAGTAGGCCTGTTTGCCACCACAAGCCAAAACACCATTGCTGTCGATGGTGATAAGAGATGCTGCAAAGGTTGCTGCTGGAGCAAGTGTGATCACCGTGTCAGAGCATACAAGGGGCGTGCCTGCCGCAGAAAGCTGATAGGTCGTGGTAGCGGTGGCCGCGGGCAATGTGGCGATAGGAGGAACCGAGACCGTTACAGGAGCTGATGAGAAGACAGCCGTAGGTAAGGTGCCTGAAGCTGTCGAAGGAGCCGAAGGGGATGAAACTGCGGGTGGGACTGTCGGCACAACGACTGCACTCGTTGAGTCAGATGTAGGAATCGTCGGCACAACGATAGCGCTCGTTGAACCTGTTGCAGCAGGAGTGGTGGAGACGACTGTGGTGCTTGAATCTGACGCAGCGGTGGTCGAGACGCCAACTGTGACGGAGACATCTGTTACAGAGGTAGGCACGCCAATTGTTATGCTCGATGAAGTAGCTGAAGTAGACGACGTTGCCACAACAACATTTGAAGAATCGAGGGGTGTTGTGACGTCCGAACTAGTCCCGGCAATCATATTTCCACTGCCGTCAAAGCCGATGACAAATTCATCAGGGGCAAATTGACGCTTCCTTGGTAAATAGCCGCCTCGCAGAGTTCCGCCAGAATAAAGAAAGTAAGCTCGAGTAGTACCTGATGTCCCAGTGTCAACATACGACACTGGGAAAGCTTGCATCCTGATTGACTTCGCAGATGTAGAGGTCATCACAAGAAAGGTTGCGATATCGCCTTTACATCTCAGAGTTCCTTGCGCATCAATCTCCAATGCATCCGGTACCTGAGTGCCACCGGTGGCGGCATCCTCGTATGGGCGCAACGTCAAACCTTCCCCGGGTCCGTTACAAAAGACTCCGCGTCTGTTTGGTAAAAAACCCGCGGGATGATGGTCGATTCGAATGGTCTGTACTGGCTGAAAGGGTATGTCGGCTTGAGCCTGGGTGTATGCGCTAAGAAGCAGTGTAGCGAAAGAGGCGACGAGTCAAGGTCTCATCTGAAGTGAACAACGAGTGTATGTAGCTTGCCGAGGAGCATTGAGCAGAGGAGGCTTCTTATAGACTGCATCCAAGCTGCCAGGCGCTTTCTCCTTTGGCGAGTCTTGCAAGCATCTCGGTTCTGGCAAACATTGAAGCTAGCTCATCTGTGATAGTACCAAGTGAAATGATTCTGCACGCAAATCTGAGACAAGCGGCTGAAAGGTTCACTTTGCGCCGACTGAATGACAGGCCATCAACACGGCAAGCTAGTCTCCAAGCGATTCGTGAGAGCCAAGTCCCACCGATTTCCAAATACATGGGATTGGAGCATATGAGAGTTCAGGTTTATGCCAGACTTCATCCTCGAGCCCGACTTCTACTGTGATAGAACGAGCATCTGCTAAACGCTGACCAATTGATCTTGCCTTTTGGCAGGAGAATTCGATTCGTTGATGCAATCAGCGATGTTGCAATTGACAGGTTGAGTCTTTCCAGAAATAAGCGGGGATCACCTGGTTGGCCTTTGGGGCTCCAACATTCTAGAAGCGTAGAAGGCGGCCTGTGCCGTCCTGACTCAGAGTTCGTAATAGTCGTAACCATGAGAAGTCATTCGAGAGAATGACAAGCCGAGAGCTTGACCCAATTAGGTGCTCAGTGCAAGTAGCGAAGCAGCGAAATCAAACATCACCTGAGAGGCTGCGACGTGGTGCGTAACCGTGCGGTCGCTTTGAATTGCAAGCGTGTCGCGCTTCGAAGTCGTTGATATCAGGGTTAGGTTACGGGCCGTTGTGTTTCGGTTCAGAGTCTCCAGGAGCGAATGCGGTCTGATAATGCAAGATCAACGGGCCAGGTGGCAAGATAACGCAAGCGACACGAGTTACCGCCGCACCGGTCGGCGTCCCGTCCGCTCAAGATCGGCGTAGATGAGCTTAAGTTGGCTATACTGAGTATACTCAACACCATTTAGGGCACAAAAGCCTTGTTTTCTATTTTGAGCGTGGAGCATTCCCAGCCGGCTCGTCGTCCTGACAATCAGTGCTTGTTCTGCAGCTGAGCCGACCTAGCCAGCCGCGGCGCAAATGGCAGGAGCGGCTGAGAACTTGAGAAGCCAGGACTCAGGACTCAGCGAGGAGCCGCAACTTGCAGAACGGTGAGTCGGCGACAGCCCCGGACTCTCGACGCATCGCGATCATAGAATGGAGAAATACGCAGGAGCTGCAGAGACGCAAGACAATCATCATGTGCGACCGCTCTCTTGATGAAGCAGCATGCATTCTGTCGAGGACGAGTCTGTTTCATCAATGGCTCAGAATGCTTTGAATTGAGGTTCCTGGAATTTGTCTTTACTGGTCTTGGGCTATGAGCTATGGCGAAAGCAGGCTAGCGCTGATGAAATCAGATGGCAGGCTTGCAAAGGATCTCGATGGCCACCTGGCGCAGTATATTGACAACAGATGCGCTTAGACCCTTAAACCCGATGTGCTCATTGTACTGCCACCCTCACTGCCACTGCCACTGCCTGGCAGTGTGACATGGGCTGACAGATAGTGACAGTACTTTTGATCTCCCTGAAGAGTTGCGAAAGCCAATTGCATACTTGGTAGGAACATCGCCAGCATCTCAACTCTCAGAAGAGATTCTCGGCTTTCAGCCGTGAAGCTTTGTATCGTGTAATTGAGACACGAGTAGTTTCAATATCGATGTGCGCAATTCGACGGCACAACGCATTGAAGTTAGAATATTATTACCAACTTGGAAATTGGGAACTCCGCTAGTAGCTCAAATTGCTTGCCAATTGCAACAACAGGAAGGGCAAAAGAAGTTTCTTGTGCGTGCGCTTGCGATAGCGCTCATTTGCAACTACGACGGCTCAAAGGAGCCTAAGACAGTCGGTTTTCATCATCAGGCCATATTTGGGGCGGGGACATCTGCCGTGATTCACAACTCTATCACCGGATGAAGACATTCGGGCGGAAGACTCTTTCACAAAGTTGACCTTCGTTGCGGTCTCATCCTGTTGGCGCTTGCTTACTTCGACATCAAGGTCGAAGACTCAACACAAGTTTGCAGAACGCTCTACGTACATCACGGCACATGCCGCAGCGTCCCTCAAGCTTCAGATGACGCGCCATTGTTTTTGGCTGATGTACAAATTTCCCGATTCGGCTTCTGTGCCGCAATATCAACAAGAACAAAATCGCGTCTACTCACTGTAGCCAGGGCTCAAGTAGGCCAATGCGCATATACATTGCACAGTTACGTCTCCTTGAATAATAGACAGTCTTTCGGGGGATAGACAAGGATTGAAAACGTCCAGTAGGAGCATCAATTGAAATCGTGAGGACGCGTTCAAGAACAGCTCGCAACACCACCGTTCTCAGCGACCCAGAGAGGCGTCTTCGCTTTCTTCTTTACCTGGATCTGTCTCTCAACACACAGGCAGGTATAACGACATCATTCACTGTCCTAGCAAGATCATCTCGTTCACAGCTGCAGGCCCAGGGCGATTGACTGACTCTAGAATGGCCATGGCAATCAGAGCAATCCTTTCACTATGTTACATCACAAGTGTCGCGGCTTTGTTACCTCAACCATTTTGTGCACAAGATGCGCCTCCCTACCAATCTGTTGCTATGCACACCTTCAATGCCAAATTCCTTGACAAGCCTGAAATGACTTATCTAGTCTGTCGGGATTTCTGTGCAGGCTCCGAAGCCTTTGGACTGACCTTTTCAGTAAGCTGCCAACTGAACGAGAATACCTATTGACTTTTCTAGAGCCAGTGCTTTTGTGCTGCCCCCGGACAAAGTAATATGCTGACAGCTTCGCTGACTGCTTGCACTGGACCATGTGTAGGAAACCCAGCCGAGACATGTGGCAACTACGAAGCTCTTGAAGTCTATCAAAACTTTGCGATACCACAGGCGATAAATGAGGGTTGCTTTCAAGACACCAGTGTAAGAGTACTGCGCCGAGCATTCTTCAGCAGTCCCTCTATGACACCTGACTTGTGCGTTACCTTCTGTGTTGGCCGGGGTTATGAACTTGCAGGACTCGGTGATGGCGGAAAGTGCTATTGTGGTACAGCAGCCGACCCTGTCAATTTACAATCCAGCTCTGCGACCAATTGCAACGCACCCTGTTCCGGGGACAGTTCTCAGACCTGTGGTGCGTCCTTTGCATTGAACGTATATTCTGTGGACAGTCTCCCAATTGTCACCTCGACAAGTAGCTCAGCTGCAAGCCCAAGTACGAGGAGCACTTCCGAGTCAGTAATGAGTACTTCGATGGTAACCACATTGTCGAGCACATATGGACTCTGGTCGAGTAGTTCGACATTATCAGCTTTGCCGAGTACTTCTGCCATACTTACCCTGTCAAGCATATCTGAACACTCATCGAGCAGCTCAATGCTATCAATCTCATCAAGCACTGTCTCTACCAACTCATTGATCAGCAGCGAGAGCACTCTGTCTTCGTCTTCAACCATTTCAATCACAATCAGTACAAGTCATCCAAGCACAGTCCCTCAAGTACCAGCAGGTCCGACCACCGCCATACCGTCAGTTCCATCTAGCCTCGCACCAGTATCATCGAAATCGTTCTTGCCTACAGAGGTACCCTCTTCGTCGAGCTCTTCTTGCGTGGTAGCCGATGTTACTCTGCCTGTTGCTACTGCAACCACAACATACCAGTTCTCTGCGTCCGGCAAGGCTCTCATCTGCTCAGGGACTGTAGTCACCCTCGCTCCATCTGCGACCTCCGCGCCATCGCTCATTACAATTGATAGCAACAGCGTACTTCGATGTGAGGGCAAGCAAGCCTACCTCAACTCACAGTCGACCGCCGGCCCAACCTATGACATTGTGATATATGCCCCTCCGGCTCCAGGATGTCAGGGAATAGTACCTGCCTTCTTTTCTTTTGCCTCCGGGAGTCTCACAGCACAATTTACTCCACTAACGCGTCAACAGCGTCGTCAAATGACCACTCTGGCGGTGGGCCTCGGGCCCGCGAATATTCTCGTAGCGGGACCCAATTCGGCTCCCATAACGGGCACTGCTATTGGCAGTACTGGAGCTTTCACAGGAACGTCGAGTCTGATTTCAGCTTCAGCGCAGGGGCCATCTATACCGATCTCTGCAGCCGGGACTGCGACGGTCACGAGTACAGCGACTCTCACTGTTCCTGGCACGATGCAGACCATCATTGCTGTTCAGATCTTCATCAATGGTCTCCCCTTCTTGGGCCCTGGCTCTGGCGTCAGTGGTTTAGCTGCTGGACCTGGTCAAGTGACTGTGGTGGTCTCTATTGGTAACGTTCTGGTGGCTGTCTCTGTTGATGGCGTTGGCCCTATTGGCGCAGCCATCGTCTCTGGTGCCACTGCTTTGGGCGGTGTGGCACCAGTCATTGTCAATGTCGTCACGCTGGTTGCTCCTGTTGTTGTCGTCTCTGGTGGATCTGCCGTCACGACTTTGACCACTGTTCAAGGCAGTGTGACTATTACTGCTGGTGGCGTTGGACTTCTCCCTGGTACTGGCGCTGTCACGCTTGTGAATGCGGCGCCTGCCGTGACTGTGGTTGCCACTCAGACCATTGTGGTTCCTTCCGTCAATGCTGCGGGCGTCACTGTGGTGCCAGCCGCTGGAGCTGCTGGTGTGCCTGCTGTCATCGTGCCAGCGTCTGCCATTCCTGTCATCGCTGCTGCCATTGTAACCCATTCGGGCTCGACTTCAGCCACTCTACCTGCATCGTCTGGTGCAGCAAATAGACTTGTATCCGTGGTGCTCACTATGTTGATGGCGGGCCTTGTGGTTGTTGCGTAGCGTGGCGGAAGGTTTCGAATGAAGCCCCCAATTTGTCTGCTCAACGAAAACTCAAAGAACGATATGTAGGCAGCCAAGATAACGTTGTGCCACTATGTACAACTACCAAATGTCCCTGTATTGTGCACCTCGACTTACGGTTGTCTCCTGCTCATCTGGTAAAACCATAGAACATCGTGCAGCCAGATCCTGCCTGGACTTCAGATTTCAAAAGCCAAAAAAGGAAATTCTCAAAACACACTCAACTCAACGACACATATGTTGTCATGACCGGAGTCGCCGTTCTGAGGATTCCAGCAGTTCGGTGCTTTCACTTTTCCGTTCAGCAGATGCTCATATCCCGTCTTCGATATGAGTCATAACGATTTTCACAAATTCCCCTATCAAGCTCGCTCAATTCGGAGCTGCGAGTGCCATCTGAGGGCATTTTGAGTAATGTTCCTTCCTTAGTGTCCTCTGCCTGAGTATAAGAGGATCGTTTGCGCACTCCTTCTCGCATTCTCAGCACACGACTTATGCTTTTCAACTCGTTCCTGAGTCTTCTTGCTATTGGTGTGGCTGTTGCAGACCGAGTAGTGGTTTACTCGGATCCGGTAAGCGGTAATGTAAACGAGGGATCTCTAGGCTATGCCTACAAGCAGGTGTCTGCAACATACACCGCAACATCTTCACGGACCGCAGTCACCTTTTTGACGCGGCACGATCCTCGTTACTTCTATTACGATGACTTTTCCTTCTCCGTTTCAGGCCAGATCAACGGCACAATCAACCTACTTGCCAACCCAGGTTTCGAGTCTGGCTCCTTCTCTCCATGGGTGCTTGTCGGACAGCAAGGCTTGAGCGCAGCTGCCCAGGTGACCCGGTCGAGGTCGCACACTGGAGTCTGGTATGTGCGGGATGGTGCGGTCGGGGGTATTGATGGTGTTTCGCAGTTGGTGGACACAATACCAGGACAGCTCTACGATTTTTCTTTCTGGATAGCTGCTGATGCTGGTCGTCCAGCGCTGGGTCAAGTTGTTCTGTCCTCCTTTGATCCCCAACAATCTCGCTCCCTGGTACGTCTGATTCTGGTGACTCAAACTCTGATCGCATCACCAATACCATCACCGTGTCCGGTGGTGCTCCCGCTGGGCAGGCCATTACGATCTTCTTAGGCGACGGTACACAGGTTGGCACCACTACGACAGGACTGGACAATACCTATTCGTTTCGGGTCAACACAGCAGGCTTCCCCGCCGGCAACTTGGTCTTCACAGCCACCACAACTGCCGGTGGCTTTGAATCTGCGCTTTCAGACCCATTGACGGTGCAGTACGTGCCTCCAGGTACTTACACAATGAATGCTGCAGTCAGTGGACGGACATCAACGGAGGTGTCTATCACAGGCAGTACGCCGTCGCAAATGAATCGCTTCTTGACGTACACTGTCATGGACGGGAGCAATCAACCCATCACCGGTACTGCTGCATCAGACGGGTCGGGCCAATTTGCCTTTTCGTTTACAAGCACAAGCGCAGGCTCTGTACGGATCGACGGATTTGACATTGCTGGTAACCCCATGCAGACTTCAGTGGTCTACAGTGCTTTCGTTGCACCTTCTACCACAAGCTCTTCGTCAGCACCGCCATTGACGAGTGCGCCCCTCAGCCTTGTTAACTCGTCGACCAGTACTCAAATGACTAATCAAACCACGGCTCAAACACTATCTCGACCCTCGACAGTGCTAAACATCACTGCAACAGCGGTCCCATTCATGAGCTCTGCCTCTCAACCGGGCATCGGAAGCATTGCACCCATCCCCGCCTCACCTACGACCGTCACAAGTACTGTAACAACGACGGTGCATGGTCCAACGCAGACTGTCGTGGCCCTTCGACTTTTCGTCAATGGCCTCCCGATCCTGGACGCTGAAGACAAGAGTCTCACAGCAGGCAGTGGACGGGTCACTGTGATTGTGTCGATTGGCAAGGTATTGATTGCTGTTTCCGTCGATAGTGTTGGACCTGCCATTGCTGCCATCATCTCTGGAGGACCTTCTCTGGATGGACTGGCACCTACTATCGTCTCACTCATCGTGGTCATGATTCCTGCCATCAGTGTGTCCAGTAGCTCCAATGTTACCACCACGACAACCGTGCAAGGCTTTATGACTGTCGTCACTGGTATTGCTGGAGTGGCCCCTGGTGTCGACACTATTCCAGCTACTACTGTTGTTACCACACAGACAGTCCTTGTCACTTCACTCGGCTCATCTGTGCCGACCGTCTTGCCAGTTGTGGGTATCGCTGGAGGCATAGGCGCTGTTGCCCCAGATTCTCAAGATTCTGGTACCTATGTTGCAGCTGGCCCCGTTTTGACAAGTGTCGTGTCCAGGCCAAGCCCAAGTTCTGCGACACCAACAACAAGTGAGCCAGCTAAGACGACAATTGCTGTGCCAGCATCTCTTGGAGGCGCCGAGCGATGCTCATCTGCCATGTTTGCAGGTATTTTAGCTTTGGCGTCCTTGCTGCTTATCTACAAGTAGAAGCCATAGCGGAGGATCATATGAGTGTAACATATCAGCTCAGAACTCTGCCCATCTGAAGTCTGTAGCTCTGCACGTGCTTTGCGGCCTAATCTCGCTCGGCTAAAGTCTGATCTTGGCTCATTGCTCATTGTTCGAGTAGAATTGTCAGCCCACGCGTCGACTGCATTTGCAAGACCTCCAGATACTAACTATTGTACTAGCCAACATGGCCCTTACGCAGGAATTGAGTAATGCTGTCGAAGAAGACAATGACCAAATTGCAAAACTTGCGTGCACCGTATGCAAACGCCGAAAACAGAGGTGCGATCGAGTGCGCCCAAGTTGCGGCACTTGCACCCGATTGAACCATGAATGCCTGTACGTCGACGAGCGGAGTGGTGATGAGCGGCGCCCGAGAAAACGTAAACAGCTTGCAAATGGCCATGCGCCAAGTCTGATATCGGAGTCATCGTCGCAACAGGCCTCTCCAGTCGGCTTCGAGGACATGAATAAGAGACCTTCCGTGACTGCAACGAGCAGTACAAGCCTGTCGCCCACAGACCTGGCAAATTCAATCAGCTTACCCGTCATGCCCATCTATCCCGATGACTCGATCGCAATGCATCTGCTTGATCCAAACGAATTTGGCGTCGAAGACAGCGCAAGGCCTCTACCAAATCTTGGCATGTCGGCCATGGTTGACTACAATAGCCCAGCAATGCAATTCTACGCCGCTCATGTCTATCCCTATTTACAAATTGCAGCGCCTGGCTCTCAACGTCTCGAAACTTCGTCCCTGCTCTACAACGCTGCACAAGTCTTTACGCACCACGAACTGTACACACCCATCCGACTCGAACTCAACCTAGCTTTGGAGAATCAGCCTACCCTGACGGTCCTGCAGGCAAACATATTGCTGTCTGTTTATGAATACATGTGCTGTCGCCTTGTCGCCTTTCAACTTCGAACTGCTGCGAGCATGCGTCTGTGCAAGCTTTTTCAAATCATTCCGTTCAAGCGCCACCGTTTCGAGGAGCATATGACCAAAAGCACCATTCTACGACGAGCGATGACAATCTCAGAGACAGAAGAACGAATACGTACGTATTGGGCCGCACTCAGTCTTTGCAGACTTGCTGATCCGCGTGGGACTGACCTTGTCGTTCAACATGGCTCTGATGGTGCAATCGTGCCTCGACCTCCAACTGGACTGCCTGATTTATTACAACAGATGCAGGCGTGGACCATGATTCGCGAGTGCCAATTAGCAGCTATGTCGCTTGAATCGAGCGAGACTGTTGCCATTGACCCACTCCGTGCAAGACTCGAAGAACACATTGCTGCTACGACGGATGTGGAAGCAAAGCTACTCTTGCTCGGCGCTGGAACAATCTTGCTTGATCGTCTTTGCTGTCATCTCTACCTTGACAAGCATACAATGAAGGATCCTGCTGCGGTCATGGCAGGCTATGCTCGTCAAGTGAGTGAAATAGCTAGCAACAACTCGGTTGGGTTCAAGGCGCTCTGGGTGGTGTATGAGGCGTGCAATCAAGTAGCCTGGCAATGGGCTGAATTCAAGGATCCAAGTCACTTCGAGACGATGAATGGGTTACGCGGTACACTTGAGCGTTATGTCATGCCTGTTGGCCCGCAGCTTGCTAGGATGGCCGACATTTACTTTGCTCGGCTCGTGTCGGAGTAGCCGCAGCTGCTCCTTTTGAGTTTGGCGACTTGAGCTTGAGCGCTGAGTCGCTGACATCTACACGACGCGACTGATGCATCTTGTGATTGCGGGTGGGGGGAGTGAGTCGGAGCTACGCAGGGTCGACACTCGATAGCCGTGCAAGATCTGAGAGGCCCAAGGCAGCAAGCAAGCCGACCAAAGTAAAGTTGAGCGGGCGGTAAAAGCGGCTGCCCAAGTGTGAGGAGAAATCAAAATTGGAGAAAACGTCCACGAGATGGCACCCTCACAAGGCTGCCCCTGGCTAAAGACTATTTGTGTTACGATACTGTTGTCCGTTTGTGCATACCTCCCAGCTCTAAAAGTGCATTGAAGATCATCATCTGTGCCTGTGTCGATTGCTGTATCATCAGACAGGGACCTGTTCTCTTGATCCAAGCGTTGTTGCTGACAGATCCAGGCTCGCTTGCGCCTTCCTGATTCTCTCGACACTCAGATCGCCACGCCGTCGCCCGCGTGTCAGATTATTCAAAATTGTCGGCCAGTGCGCGGAAGGTATTACTATACAAATTCACAAAGGCCATAGCTTTAAAGGATGCACGAACCCCCAGGCATTGTCCATCTTTAGTCTACATTGCCTCACCACACTCTCTTACAAAACATCACGAGCAGCACTCAGAACAGATGACATCGCCAGGCGACTCGGCTGGCATCTTTGCAGCACCCTTGGTTCGATCGGGCGCACCACTTGATTATGGTGAAGCAGCGCTGGTAGAAAACACCCTTGACATTGAATATAATCTGACTTGTAGGCTCCATGGAATGCCCGCTACTTCTATGGTCAACATGTCTTCCCTCGACGAGCATTTGCATACACCGGTTCCGTGACGCCAGATGACCAGCTCTTCCTATTCGCTGGTGAGACGCAGCACGGTATTCGTCAAGAATTACTGAGTATTGATTCTCGGTCGCTCAAGATTGAGGCGATTCAAGCGACAGGTGAGAAGCCCTCGGGCCGATCAGATGCGCGAGCCATTTCAGTGGGTGCCGCACTCATTGTCTTTGGCGGCGATGGAGTCGACAGCCAAGACAATAACTTGTATGTCTTGAATACCACGACCAAAGCATGGTCTATTGCAGCGGTGAATGGCGGCAAGCCCGTTTCTCGATCTGGTCACAGCATGACTTTGGTCGGCTCTCATCTCATCATTTTCGGCGGCAAGGGCGCAAATGGTATCATCTTCAACGATATGCTCATGTACAATGTTGAGACTCTCTTTTCATTCGCTTCGAAGTGGCAGGAAGTGAGCAGCAATCGATCTATGCGTGCATCACCTCGAAGCAACCACACAGCCGTTGTCCATGCAGACAAGTTGTACATCTTTGGCGGTCTCAGCGATGACAAGGTACACAGCGACTTTTGGGAGTACGATCCAGAGACCGAGACATGGTTTGAGATTGAGTGCTCCGGTTATTTGCCAGGGCCTCGACACAGCCACGCAGCGGTCGTTATTGATGGCATCATGTACATGTTTGGTGGTGTCAACGACAAGGGCCAGTACTCGGGTGACATGTTTGCATACCGATTTGCTAGCCGCTACTGGCATCGAGTGGACATGACCAATGTGCGGCCCACAGCGCGTGCCAATCACGCTTTGTGTGCGGTTGGTAGTAAGTTATTCCTTTTCGGTGGTGAAATCAGCCAGCCGCATGCTGAAGACCCAGCAGTCTATGTCTGCTCAACCGATTCGATCCATTTTCCAGCTGAGCGTCAGGGACTCCGAGTTGAACAAGCAGGTCCATCAAAGCTTTGGAGACTGCAAGATCGTTCCAACTCTGTCGACCGCAGTGCGCACTCTCGCAGTACCTCACGCTCCATTGGTACCATTCGCAATGATCTCAGTAAAGACATCATGCGCACATTACCCAAGGATCAGCAACCAGATGCGCTGTCGCGTGTACTCAACAACTTTGGGCATGCAGATGTGAAACGTTCCCTGACGGCCAGAGACTTTGCAGCTTTGGAGGCAGCTTCTGGCTACTCGCGACATGGACGACAAGGCTCTGCGCCGACTGAGTGGAGCGAGGGAGATGAAGGCTCTCAGTTCCATACTGTGGATGTTCAGACCTTTTCAGCAGTCGAAAGGAGTGCGCAAAAGCCCTTGCAGCAAGGGAAACGATATCACCTGCCAGCTGTGGCGCCTGCATCGTCGCCTTTAGTACAGCAAGGGTCTGAATTCGCAACTACGCAAGCTCCGCCTGCCGATAGAAAGGAAATGTTGGATGCGCTCGGTATTGTCCGCACGGGCACGAGTCCAGTCACTGAAGGCAATGAGCCTGAGGCAGAGCGTGTCACGGGCCCTGACCCGTCAGTTGCAAACGAAAAGATGCCAGATGCTGCCTTCTTACTGCATGCGCTGCAAGTTCTGCGGCAAGAACATCAGAGACAGCGCAAGGCATGGACAGACGACCGCGATGCTGCACACCAAGCCATGCTTGATCGCGAGAAGCAGCTCAAGGAGGAGCATGAGCAACAAATGGCCTTCTTGCAGCAACGTTCCAGGGTCCATTCGATTCGGGAATTGCAAACGATGAAAGCCAAGATGGAGGAAGATCATCAGGAGAAGTATACTGCGCAGCGACATTTCGATGAGCAACAAAAGGTCGAGATGGCACATCAGATCGCCGACTTGCAGCGGGAGCTGAACGGACATCGAGAGACCATCCAATCTTCAGCAGCGACGCATGAGAAGCTCACTAGTCAGCTGAAGGAAAGGGAACTCATTGCGGAGAAGCATGCAGTACTCGAAAAGCAGCACACCGAGCTTAGTGACAGGCAAAGCCACCAGCTCTCCATGATCAGTCAACTGACGAGCACAATTAGCGCTGCACAGCGACGGGCAGAGGATGCAGAGAGAAATGCAAGGGCGGAGACTGAGCGTTCGCAAGCATTGGAGCAGGATCTCATCAAAATGTCTGCAAGATTGGAAGAGGCACAGTCACAGACTGAGCACTACCGCAAGCTGTCTTCCTTGGCGACATTCAATGCTGAGCATAACGCAACAGAGATGGAGAACACGCGGCAGATTCTGTTCACTGGACTGCATCAGCTGCTTGGCAAGGGCGAAGAAGGCGCTCCTGCTGCGAATCGGGACTCTGCCTCTTCGTTGCCGCCCGTCAGAGTAGCTTCTCCGATGCAGGTGTCTCACCACTGACTCCTTGCTCTCTTCCTTGTGTGTCTATGCATAGTGATAGAATTGAAGAGGTAGGCCAGTATCTAGTATACAGTGTACAAGCAAAGTTCAACCTGAATCCAACACCCAACTTGAGCTCACGCGACGTGAACACCCGGCCAACCGTAACCACCGAGACAGCAGCCATGGATCCAGCCAAGTTTGTCGGTCTCAAGCTCCTCCTGACCCTCAAGACTGGCGTCAAAGCACAGGGACAGGTCGAGTCAATTGACCCGGCCACATCAAAGCTCAAGCTCACAAATGGTATGCAAACGCTCGTTTCGACGACTGAGCAGCGCTGACCTCAGTTTACTTCCCATTGACGAAGCTATCTGTGGATGAATTTGAACTGGACGGCAAAAGCGTAGTGGATCTGGATATACTGCCGAAGGATGAGCCTGCAGGCACACGGACGGCTCCTCAGCAATCAACGGTCGACTTTGTGGATCCAGCCATCATCTCTGCCAACAAGGCGCCAACAGCTAGACCTGCCCCAGTCAGCAAACCACCGACTGCGCCTGTTCGAGCACTTGAGAATTTGAGCATCAAACCCGCACCAAGTGCAGACTTTGATTCCTCGGCAGTTGAGACGGATGATCAAGGCACACAAAAGCGAAAGAAGCAACCACGCAGACTGGCGCGCAAATCAAGACACCCTTCCGACTGGGAAGATGCAGACATGTCTGCGTATCACGAGGAAGAATTTGATTTCCAGAAGAACCTCGAAGCATTCAACAAGAAGAAGGTATTCGAGGAGATTCGCCAGAACGATGCGACGGATGCAGCATCGTTGCTGGTGAGCTCAAACAGACTACCCAAGGACAAGTCGAGCTACGCATTCAACGAGATGGTGACAGATGCAAAGTACGCAAGGGCATCGCCTAGACCCTCAGAACCTACCAGCGAGACTGAACGACCTGCTTCGCGAGTCAAGAGACCAAGTTTCCCAAATACCCGTTCAAAGCAATCTCGGAAGAGCAGTGTAGCCTCTCCCATGGTATCTGACGCGCAGCTTCGTCTCGTCTCTGACAAGTCGCCCGTTTCTACCATCACTGCACAACAGTACACGATGGCCGAACACCTTGCTGCTAGCAAATACGGTCCATCTCTCGATGCATTGGCAGAGAATGGTGCACGCGGCATCGCAGACATCACCACGGGTATTTTAGAACAGACGGCAAGTGACTCACCACCAGTCGTTGTAATCATGGCCGGTGACACGCGTCGTGGTGAGATGGCTTTGTCTGCTGGACGACTGCTCTCCATCTTAGGTGTCCGTTGCATGGCACTCGTACCGGCTGCTAATCCAATCAATGCTGTTGCAGCGCAGTTGCGTAACTTTGCCAATGCGGGAGGCCGGGTGGTTCAGCCTACTGACTTGCAATCCGCTGTTGTTTCACTGCATAGTCCGCCACAGCTCATCATCGATGCTCTCCACAACGAAGAGTATATTTGGGAGGAGGAAGATCGCGAGGCTGCGACATTGCTTGGCATCTGGGCAGAAAAACAAAAGGCAACCTTGCTGAGTATTGATCGACCTTTTGATCATCTCCAACCACAGCATCTTGCCGCACTTGGTCTGCCTCGACAAGAAACGGTCGATCTTATCAAGGAAGGTAGATTGGCCTTTGCGGCAGGAACCATTCACTTGGTAGAAACGGGTATCTGTCGTAAAATCTGGCGAGAGCTAGGTAAGACGATTGTGGCTCGTCCTGACTTTTGCAGTGTCCTGGAGATGTCGTAGTATATAGCATTATAGAGAAAACATACAAGATACAATGACTAGAATGAACGGTACATGTAGAGTCGCTGCTGTCCCGGAAAGAATCACGACTCCGCCTGGAGAGAATTGAAGCTTTGGCAGCGCCGAGATAGAGGTCACAGGAAACACCGTCGAAGACGCACTGGACTGCGCATTTGTCACTGTTGTGCGAAGCGTGATTGTCGAAGGTTGGCTGCTTGATTGTGTCGTAGCGGGCGAAGCCTCGGCAAGAGAAGTCTGCCGAAATGCTTTCAATATGTCCTCTTGGGTCGATAAAGTAGTCGTACGTGTCTGAAGTGATGGTACAGGCTTGTCTGCCGTGGCCTGTGTCTGGTGGACTGTCAGATACTGCAAATGCGCCACCATCACAGTCGCTGTCACTTGTACTAATGTTCCGACTCTTTGAATGACAGTGACTGTGTCTCCTGCCACCGTGGTCGCCAATGTCGAAGGAGCTCTGGTAGCGACAGCATCAGCCGGTAAAGGCCGTACGGTAGTCACAATCGTGCGAGTCACCTCGGCAGTCAGTGTTATTCTGCGGCGTGTCGACGGGACTGATGATAGAACACTGAAGCTCGTCGATGAGACTGGCACTGACGACAGATTTGTTGCTGTGAGTGTATGAAAGGATGAGAGTGAAGGTATGGTCAATATAACTGGCATAGAACTTGTTGATGACGCCGCCGCCAAGGAGAAAGCAGGAAAACGATTCATGCTAGCATATCCGGCTGTCAAGGATGCTGTCGCACAGCAGAGCAATGTGCCGCTCAATAGGAAGAACATGGTTGAACATTGCACGACGGCAGCGTAACCGAGCTTCTTATCAAGTCCAAACGTACAGCATCGCTTCGCACCTCAGCCAGAGCCTGAAGTCCTCTGTCTACAGCAAGAGCCGTGAGCCCAGGAACAATACATTGTCAGCAGCTTTTACAAGAACAGCTAAGTTACAGCTTGATCAAATGAGAGGTGGTGTACAGAGCTGAGCTGCCTGGCGCGTCTCTCTTAAAAGTGCCACAAGACGACGCGACAATCAACACAAAGAAACAACACAAAGACTAAAGACGCTCAAGGAGAACGGGCATGGCGGAGGGCGACTCTCAGGCCAGGTATGCTGACTTTGATGATGGTGACAATGACTTCTCTGCGGCCTCCCAACTCGGTGGTGCTCCTGTGCAGAGAGAAAATGGAGCCATTACTGCTATCGACCCCAAAGCGGTCCTCTCTGCTGCTCTGCAGGATGCAAAGCAGCAGATTGACCATTCAACACATTTGCTACAGCAGCAGGCTGTCGATCTACGATTGCTCCTGAGCCAGTTGCCTCATACATGGGATGCAAGTCCGCTTCGGGACGCGCTTGCCACGATACAGACTCTCTTGTCTACAGCGCTTCCCGAGTCCCTTCTTGCGCTATCAAGTGGCTTTGCGAAGCGCAAACGTGTGCCGAGTGTGCCTTCCACAAATGCAAAGCGGCACAAGGGCCCAATCCAGGCAGCCGCAGCCACCGTCAGATTCGCAGAATCGGCCACTGAAGCTCCCTCAGAAGCAACGACCGATGACGTTTCGTCAGCGCCATTGTCCACTGTTGCACCAGGTCCGAAGAAGCGTGGACGTCCACCAAAGGCAAAGGCACAGGTGACTCAAGCAGTCATTGTTCCTGCCGACCCCAAGAAACGAGGTAGACCATCAAAACCCAAGCCTGTGAGCTCAAGCGAGTTGGCTGTCGACCCTTCAATTGTTGCGACTTCCGACCTTGTGATTCCCAATCAGAGACCCGAGGAGAATGCTATGACCGCTGCCACTAGCGAAGAGGTGACCAACAGCCCCTCAGTCTCAGTGGAGGCTCCTTTGTCGCTCACGCCCACGATTGTCCCTGATTCAGATGCGCCGTCAAGTATTTCAACAGAGCCAAAGAAGCGTGGCAGACCAAAGAAGGCGGCAGCTCTACCCATTGCAAATCTAGTCTCGGCAGAGGCCCGCACTACGCTTGAGGTACCGGGAACGCAGGACGCGATGCCTGTGGCAGAAGGCAAAGTGCCAAAGCAGCGAGGTAGACCGAAAAGCAGTCCGACCGTCGAGCAACCGGCTGCTAGTGTTCGGCCTGGTGCAGACCATCTCCAAGCCTCGTCCGATGAGCGTGTCTCGAGCGAGCCGGAGCAAATTGCTACTCCCAAGGGCACTTTGAGCACCCAAACAGACGCTACCGTGATTCAACTGGCAGCGCCTCAGCCAGCGCTTGAATTGCCCCTACGAGTGATGAGTCCACAGCCTGCGGTTGCCGCATCAATTGTCGAAGTTGCTGGGACACCAGAGAGCGATAGCATGGTTAGCGAACCCGACGATAGGCAAAGCAAGACCGACACAGGTCCTGACCCTTCGAGAGCATCTACACCGTTGCCAGTGGCCCCGAGAATCATGGATATCTCACCAGTCTCATCTGCGGCTGACGAAGAGGAGCAAGCATCACAGGAGCCTGCCGATGCCAATGTGTCTCTTCCTGGGCCGTTCATGGATGATTCTGAGGATGACTTTGTCCCTGCTCATCTGCAAGCAAGCAAAGAAAATCCTGCACTCCCTCCAATTCAGCCTCATATACAACAAGAACAAGTCAAGGCACCAGTTGGTGTGCCTTTTGAGAAGCCGTTGACTGCCGAGGAAAAGCTTGCAGCAAAGAAGGAGCGAGCTCGCGCAAGACGAAAGTCGTATCTCGATTCTATCAAAAAGGCTCGAACAAATACCATGACACCGTCCTCGTCGGCTTCTCATGGACACGGTCCGTTTTCGCCCACCCCGTTGCCACCATTTCCTTCTCAGCTTGGAGACCACATGTTCATGTCTTCATCACAGGCTTCACAGCCCATGTAAGAATCCTTGCCTTACCCACATAGAGCAGCTCAAGCTTCCAAATGCGTACGATTCTTTTGCATACACTGCTTCAACCTCAGACGGCAACGCGCAAGACACGTTCGTGTGGCGTAGTGATTTCCGGTCGTCACATGGATTGCTTCCGACCCCTGAGTCGGCTTGTTATTGCGTACTTGTTCAGGGCCAATTTGTCTCCTTTCCATGCGTGACGTGGCCATTCGAATTTCAGGGGCATGGTTTGAGATCGGATCTTTTCAACATGAAAGGCATCAGACTGGACTTCGCAACAGACAGCACAAGACGTGCCAAGGGCACACAGAGACACCTCGACAGCTTGCAGGCGATAGCCACTGTCGACTCATGAAGAAAAGGCACATGCTCATGCTTTACTCTTACCTCATTGTCATCGTGTCTGGTACTCTGGAGCACGGCTTTCACCAATTTAAAAAAGTGGCGGCTCAGGTTTTGGATGACATCTTGAGCGAAGGCGCCAAGGCCACGACGAATTTGGCAAATCGCGTCGGCATAGGACTAGCTTCTCATTATGACTATTCGCAAGTCACTTTTAACATGACAAACAGAGTGGATGCTCCTCGTGGCGAATGCCAAGCTGTATGCGCGGAAAAGGCCTGGATCGAGCATGCTCAAGTCTTGCAGGAACATGGGCCAGATCCTTGTTTTGGTACACTATGGTCGCATCCGTTTCATGTTCTCTACCACTCACCAAACTCTGTCGCTGATGGTCTCACTTTCGACACGCTTTTTTACAAAACGAAAAGAGATCAGTGTCAATGCAACATTCTATTGACGGTCTATCATCTCCTCAACAGTACTGATCAGGGTTCGATCCTTGTTGGGCCTCTCAAGAGCTTCCTGACAAACGTTGGCTGCACTGTTGGAGATATCACTGAACGGTTGTCTATTGGAGACTGGGAATTTAATTTGTTTGGCGATTTCTGCCAAGTGATGGACAATGCATGCGACGAGAGGGGCATCCTCCAGGCGAGCGCAGTAAATGTGTCTGCTAATGTCCACTGGGGCCCTACTCGGAGAGATTACGGGAGTCTCGTAGAATACACCCTCCCATTCATGCGTCTTTGGCAGGGCGACCAGGATCCGGACGCCGGGTTGGTCGACGACCAGCCACCGCGACAGGCGCAACCGCGAGCATGGCTTTGATGTGCATCTCGTTGGGTGTGATAAAAAAGGTGTACCTCTTTCCCGGCGACGAGGTATAGCAAGTAACGATTGTACGAACGCAGGCTCTGCGTACTCAAGACATACCTGATAGTCGTAATGCAGTACTGATTCCTGAGTTCTCTCGATTACGACTCTTCATTGCAAGTCTGTCTGCCAAGATAGAAGCCGCGGGAAGCATCACGCAAGAATCAGATGCAACTTGGTCTCGCTTCAAGTTTAGGGCAATGTCGCAAAACTCTGAAGCTTGACCTTTGGCTGAAGGACGCGAGCGACACTATAGGTGCACAAGGAAGATGAATCAAAATGCATTCGCTATGCTCAAACATTCTGGCTGTATTTAGTAATAGAGCCTTCCCGTCTCTTAAGGTATTTGCGCGTCTCGTCTACCCACAGCACAGAACTCGCCAGCAAGATTAGACCCATGAGGTCGATCAGACTCAGTGCTTCCGTCTGAAAGATGCGCTGCAAGAAAGGAACGTGAATGACAGCTAGCTGGCCGAGAAGCGAGCAGCCGACCGCGAGATTAAAGACGCGATTAGAAAAGATGCCAAAATGAAGGACAGACTTGGTCGCTGAACGACAAGTCAGGGCATTGAACATGTCAAACAAGACAAAGCATGTAAATGTCATCGTCGTATCGCGTGAGGTGACCCGATTATCGTCGCTCAACTCTTTGTAAAAGACTGCCATAACACCAAGAACAATGGTGAAGCCGCTGAAGAGCACTCGCTTAATGATGTGCTGTGTCAGGACAGGCGAGTCTTTTGGACGTGGTGGCGACTGCAATATGGCTGGGTCGACTTCCTCTACGCCAAGACTTTGTGCCGGCGGCCCATCCATGAGAATATTGATCCACAGAATCTGCATGGCATTGAGTGGGTTTTCCAAACCCAGCAGTGTAGCAAGCGCAATCAATGTCAACGCGGCCAGCGATGTAGACAACTGAAAGGCCAAGAAGTTCTGGATATTGCTAAAGATGCCCTTGCCTTCCTCAATCGCATGTAGCAGAGTAGAGAAGTCATCGTCGGTCAAGATCATGTCTGCTGCCTCCTTTGCCACATCCGTGCCGTCTTTACCCATTGCAATACCAATATCGGCCACCTTGAGTGCTGGGCTGTCGTTGACGCCATCTCCAGTCATAGCAACGATATCACCACGAGTCTGGAAGGCCTTAATAATCTTGAGCTTGTGCTTCGGCGTTGTTCTTGCAAACACACTGACGGCACTCAGTCGCTCACTTAGTGCTTGAGCGGACATTTTTTCCACATCACTACCAAGGAGAATGCCATCACGTCCAAGGGGCATATCCAAATCACGAGCTATCGCTTGAGCTGTGATGGGTGCATCGCCAGTGATCATCACAACCTTGACTCCGCCAGCAATCAATTGTCGAATGGCCTTGGCGGCACCAGGTCGCGGTGGATCATGACAGCCAACGAGACCGGCAATGCACAAGTTCTCAAGCTTATTTTTGCCTTGACTCGTGGCCAACGCCAGAACACGCAGTCCCTGTTCGGCAAATTTGTGCGCTGTTGCTTCCAATTGCTGGCGATGTTCGGCAGTCAGCTTCTCGCCATCATAGAGGGTTGTGGCCTTTTCGATGAGGACCTCGAATGCACCCTTAATGTAATGTGTCCCTTGTACCGTTACGCCCATGTATTTGTGCTCAGAGGTGAATGGGATCTCATCTTCTCGTGTTGTCGTCTCGCGCAAGTCAGACTCGCCAAAGTCATCGAGAAGCTCCAGCAATGCAACATCAGTGGCTTGACCCACAACACGGCCCTCTTTGTGCTTGGCATTATTACACAAATTGCCAATCTTGAGCAATCGCTTGACATCAGCATCTTGAAATTCGCTCTTTGGGAATGGTCGACTCAGTGCTTTGCGACAGAAAAGCTTCGTGACAGTCATGTGGTTCGTAGTCAGTGTACCAGTCTTGTCGGAACAGACGACATTGACACTACCGAGCGTTTCGACGCTAGGAAGTCGTCTAACAATGGCCCTGCGATCAGACATGCGCAACACACCAAGCGCGAGGGTCACTGTCACAATGATGGGCAGGCCTTCCGGAATAGCGGCGACCGCGAGTGATACGCCAATCGTGAACATTTCCAACCAGCTACGTCCTTGCACGATACCAAGCAGGATAATGACGCCAATGAGGCCAAACGAGAGAAAGGACAGCTGAGAGCCAAGCTTGTCCATGGCCTGTTGAAGTGGAGTGCGAGGCTTCTCAACACCTTGCATACTCTGCCAAATAGCCCCAAATTCAGAGTCAGTGCCTGTGCCTACCACAATTCCAGTGCCATTGCCGTTCGTGACGAGAGTGCCCATGTAGGCAATGTTTGTTCTCTCGCTGATGCCCTTGGATGTGATTGTGTCGACGCCCTTGGAAGATGGATCATTCTCGCCCGTCAAGGAAGACTCGTCTAGCTGCAATGCATTGGCTTTTGTGATGCGTACATCTGCTGGTATCCGATCGCCCACTGAGAACTCTACCAAGTCGCCAGGCACGAGTCCGTTTGCAAGACAGTGAACATGTTGGCCATCACGGACGAGGTGTGTGTAGTGGGGCACCAGTTTATTAAGGGCCGCAAGAGATTGCTCACTCCGATACTCTTGCACAAAACCTACCGTCACCACGATGACAAGCGCGACGAAGATGCTCACTGCATCATCGACATTGCCAAGTAGCAGAGATACGCCCGCAGAACCAAACAACAGGAGAATCAAAGGCTGCTCAATGAAACCTTTCAGGTATTTCTTGAAAAGACTCTCCTCCTCTTCACTGGTCAGCTCATTGGGCCCATGGTTGGCTTGCTTGAACTTGGCATCCTGTTGCGATAGGCCTTTTGTGAGGTCTGTGTGCAATTTATGGGCCACAGCCTGGATGTCTTCCTGAGAGAAGATCAAGGCCGGCGTATCCCGCTCCTCGTGCATCTGTGCCTCCTAGGAGACGCGTCTATGTGGACGTGAACAGAGGATATTCCTGATGTGTGCTCAACACTTGGCGCGTGTCTTCAACGTTGAGAGCCTGAGACGAACGCGCTTCAGATGACACACCACATGTGCTATGCGATGGCCAACGAGGGCGATGCTATGCTGATACAGGCCTGTTTTTCATTCAACAGTAGCTCAGTGAATCAACATAAGTTTTCATTACTGTCCATGGTTTACAAGAAGGCGGGCACTGCTGAATAATGCCATACAGAATTGTGATGATACTTACAGCCTTTTTGCAGTCGATGCTCTAAATGATCTGACAGGTTGAGTCAATTGGGTGCTCAGTGTGCTCCCGATATCTGACCCTGGCTGCAGGTGTGAACTGAGGACAGTAAGTGAGCGCAGTCGTGTGCGGCGAGCTCAAGCTGACGGTGCAGCAGCATGACGCAGCCGCCCTCAGAATTTGGCAACCAGAAATTTGAGCTTTATTGACACAACACACCAACGGACACTCACTCGGCGCATGGACAGCCGCTCTCTCATCGAGGCCTCAGGCAATGTACAGCGTATACAACAACACGGCAAGGCGCATCTCGATCAATATCCGCTCCGTCAACAGCAAAAGCTGCCACAAACACAGCGCAGCAGTACGCCCCAGTATTACGGATATGATCGCTCCTCACTGCAGAGCGAAGCTTTCCAATTTGATCTCGACAGGCATCTCTCTGTCAATGCATACGATATGCTGAGCACACTATCATCAGATGACGAGCGGGAAGCAGAGTACACTTGGGAACCAATTCGTGCGCCACCTTCCACTCTACCGCCTGTCCCCGTCCTACCAGACACATTTCCGCTGCCGATACATGATGCGTATATGCAGCGGTCGCCCATCATACTGGAAGTCACGACATCAACAGCGCGCAAAGTGTCACCCATTTCTCTGGACAATCCAGCACGCCAGTTCAGTGCAGGTCCCTCGGCGCATCAGAAGACTGCCTCGCAAAAGTACCTGCTACCCATGCACACGGTGAATCCGCACCTGACACTGGACAAGCCAGCAGCGAAGAAGGATCGTGTGGTTCAAGTCCATTGGCTACTATTGGTCTCTGGCTGCTTCTTCCCACCGCTTCTCTTCTGTCTGGCTTTTGGCGTTTTTGACGAGGTGTGCTATCTAGGTCCCAAGGCTGGGCTTGTAGGCGATGCGGGCGGGCTCGCAGGTCAGATTCGCAGGATCAAGGTAGCAGCGGCGGTGATTGGCACGACAATGCTGGTCGCCTGTCTGGCTGGCTTCATTGTTGGCTTTGCTCTAGCCTGATCCGGGGACGTTGGTGCTGCCCCTTTTTTCCTTTGAGTATTCTTGCGCGCCCGCCATTCTGCATTTTGGCCAACACCACAAACTTGTTGGAGTTCTCCCGACACTCCTCTCCCTTGATGTCCATACCGCTACTTGTGTAATCATGGAGATTCTCGTGAGACCGCGCAAGCCTTTACTGCTAGAAGAAATCTTTCTGCCTATAGACTGGCGAAACACAGTCTCCGCTGACTACATCCCCTACCAACTCTATGACTCGCTGCAAGCAATTGCATCCAGCATCTGCGGTCTACTAGCATCGCGTGAAGCACTCATCACTGCTGGTGTCTCTCGCAGTGATGCCTCTGTTGACAGCGCCATCATGCTCAATATTGCCTCTGAAGCCTGTTCGCGCCTCTTGTCGATTTGGTTCAGCTGGCGCTATGCAGCGCACTTTGACGCACAATCTAAGCGTTTCCGATTCATGGCGGATATTTTCAATGATAGTGCTATGATTCTGAGCACCCTGTCATCGGCTGTGCCTGGGCCGTTCCAGACAATGGTCGTGATTGCAGCGAGTTGCCTGCGCGCGCTATGTGGCGTCTGCGCAGGGAGTACCAAAGCTGCATTGACCAACCATTTTGCCAAGTCAGAAGCGTCTGTGGGTGATGTCAATTCCAAAGATGGATCACAGGAGACCATCATCTATTTGATCGGACTTGCACTTGGCTCGCTTCTTGTACCGCTGGTGCAGAGCGTCACGGCGATTTGGACATTGCTGCTGGTGCTGATTGCTGTGCACCTGTACATGAACTGGCTTGCTTGTCGCAGTGTGCAGCTGCGCAACTTGAATGCTCAACGGTTGGACATCCTCAAAGCCACATTCAAGCTGGACGGTCGACTTTTGACGCCGAGTGAAGTGGCACAGCAAGAGGCAGTGCTTGGAGTCGGCTCACGTCCTTGGGCAATGCAGACGGGTACTATGGAGAAGCTTACGGAACATGCAATGCGCGTGGACAATACATTGCTGATGATGGAAGAAGGCTATGGACTATATGACCTGCTCGAGGCATGCTTTGCTTTGGATAATCTAGTGTGTCCATCGAGGGAAGCATTGCAGGATGCTGGATGGGATCTCGCTCATGATGCGCTGGTCTATGATGGTCTCCTGTATAAGAGGACAGAGTGAGCTGAAGGAGATGCTTGCTAGGCGTGCATTGAAAGGTATTGATAGCAATTATCCCTTTCCTATGGCCCAGCTACTTTTAAGATGACAGTAACCTTTGATCTTTTCTATTCCAGATCTTCAGCTCTTGCAACTTCATCCAGGCCTCTGCATCTGTCTGATCTCGGTGTCGTTGCTGCTTTGTGCACGTCATCACCGTCCTGATAATTTTTGGCAGCAGATGCACGAACACCATCAACCTTCACTCCGACCAGCAGGCTCAGAGACATGAAGCAGCGCTTCTCCTCGCTCGACCTTAAGGCCGCCGCTGCAGAAATCAATGCAAAACTCCAGGACACGCGGTTGGCCAACATCTACGACCTCAGCTCCCGCACCTTCCTTCTCAAATTTCAGAAGAATGCCATCAAGCACAACGTCGTCATTGACCCCGGGTACCGTGTCCATACAACCGCTTTTGCACGCGAGACATTTGCTCAACCGAGCAACTTTTGTGCAAAGCTTCGCAAGCATGTGCGAACGAGACGCATCACCCACGTCAAGCAACTCGGTAGCGATCGTGTGCTCATCTTTACCTTTGGCGGTGGCGAGAATAATGCAGACCCAGACAGGTCAAGTCATCTGCTCGTTGAGTTCTATGCAGGTGGTAACGTCATCTTGACGGATGGACACTTCAAGATTCTCGCTTTACAGCGTGTTGTGGGCGAAGATGAAGGACAGAAAGTGGCCGTCGGCGAGACTTACGATGTTGGTAGACGGCTAGGCACAGAGTTTGATGTCATTTCTCGTGAGAGGCTCCTTTCTGCCTTGACTGTCAAGGAAGTGTCGGCAGCTCCCGAGATATCTGGCAAGGCCACAAGGAAGCAAAAAGGGGCCGGTACGCTCAAGAAAGTGCTGACAGTCAGCCTATCACATTATGGGGCTGCTCTTGTTGAGCATTGTATCCTTGACGCTGGTTTAGACCCTTCAGCCGCAGCTACGCCAGACATGGCAGATGCCCTTCAACCTGCTTTTGAGAAAGCTGATGCGATCGTACAAGCGCCAGCGCATCCAGGTTTCATTGTGACCAAGATGGATGGCGATCATGAAGTATACGATGATTTCCAACCATTCCTGCCATTACAAGTCCAGCGAGCTGGGCTCAAGACTCTTTCCTATGAGACATTCAACGATGCTGTTGACGCCTACTTCTCTTCAATCGAGTCGCAGAAGCTTGATCAACGCGTCAGACAGCAAGAGGCCACGGCTGCCAAGAAGATTGCAGCAGTTCACGATGAGCACAAGCGCAAAATTGATGGTCTAGTAGAGGCTCAGACGACATCAGCACAGAAGGCAGCAGCTTTGGAGGGCTCTCAGGGGATTGTCGATGAAGCGATTGCGGCAGTCAAGCTGCTTCTTGAACAAGGTATGGACTGGGTGGACATGGAGAAGATGATTCGCAGTGAAGCCAAAGCGGGCAATCCAGTCGCAAGCGTCATTCGACTGCCTCTGAAGTTGAAAGAAAACAAAATCACAGTTTCTGTGCCGGCGTTAGATGCACTGTACGAGAACGAGGAATCAGAAACTGACGAGGAAGACAGTCCACGAGAATTGGTCGTTGATGTTGACCTCGCCCATTCGGCTTTTGCCAATGCTAGAAATTATTACGCCGTGCGTCGCACTGCAATGACCAAGGAGGAAAAGACACAACAGTCTTCCAAAAAGGCGCTGCGTTCAACACAGAAGAAGGTAGAAAACGACTTGCGCAAGCAGCTCAAGGAGAAGACAACCATCAAGCCTATCCGCAAGATCTACTGGTTCGAAAAGTTCCTTTGGTTCATCTCCTCCGAGGGCTACCTGGTCCTTGGCGGACATGATGCACAGCAGAACGAGGCACTTTACAAGAAGCATTTTTCGCAGGGTGACATCTACGTCCACGCTGATTTGACTGGAGCGGCTACAGTCATCATCAAGAACACTGCAGCTGATCAGCCTATTCCTCCAACAACACTCTCACAGGCTGGTACATTGTCTGTCGCCACCAGCAGCGCATGGGATGCAAAGATGGTCATTTCAGCTTACTGGGTCAATTTCGATCAAGTTTCCAAGACTGCACCAACAGGCGAGTATCTCACCACAGGTAGTTTCATGATACGAGGCAAAAAGAATTTTCTTCCACCGTCTAAGCTTGAGCTTGGCTACGGCATGTATTTTGTTGTGGATGAAACCTCAAGAGACCGTCACATCAAACTCAAGGCGGCAAAGCAGGAGGAGGATAAGCAGTTCGACACGGCGCCTAAGTCTTTTAAGGCACCTGCAGCAAATACAAATGCCCATGAAGGGTATGAAGATACAACAGCTGCAACGAGTTCGCCGCCTGCTGAGTCTACGCTGGTCAGTGAGATTCCAGAGACATCAGGAGCTGCAAGCAAGGACCCTGCAGACAAGTACAACCTCGAAGAACATGGTGCAATTGACGAGGCACCGGCGCCCAAGTCGTTTTCTGGTAAAGCTCAGCATACAACAGCAAAGCAGAAGCGAGAACGGCGAAAAGGAAAGTCAGATGTCCCCGACAAGGCGGAGACTAGGGCGCCACTGCCTCAACAGGCCCAAACACCGTCAAAGCAGGAAGTCAAGCTGACACGCGGTCAGAAGGCGAAGAAGAAGAAGCTTGCCAAATATGCCGACCAAGACGAGGATGACAAGGAGCTCGCGCAACAGCTGCTTGGCATTCAAATCAAGTCTGATCACAAGTCAGAGTCGGAGGACGAATCAGCAGCCCGCTCAAAGCCAGCAAGTGGACCACCAAAATTGAAAAAGGAAGGCTCTGCAGCGGAAGTCGCCCGCATCTTGAAGGACGAAAAGATCCCTCAACTCGATGAAGAAGAGCAGGATTTGATCACTCCGCTCGATATTCTCGTGCCGATGCCCTTGTCGGACGATGTCTTGCTAGACGCAATACCTACTTGCGCTCCATATGGTGCTTTACAAAAGTTCAAGTACAAATGCAAGCTGCAGCCTGGTGGGGCTAAGAAGGGCAAAGCACTCAAAGGTGTTGTTGCTGGTTGGTGTTCGCAGCCAGTCGATGAGAGTTCGCAAGACAAGGAGAGGCTGTGGCCAAGAGAGAAAGAGCTTATGAAGAGTCTCAAAGATCAAGAGATCATCTCTTGCGTCGGCGTCAAGGCAATCAAAGTAAGTGGTCTGGACAAACGACCGCGCAAGTAGTCTTTGCTCTTGTGTTGTCTTGCTTGTGGCAAGACGCCGAGGCTCGTGCGGTAGTCTACTGTCCAGTGCTATCGCTTTCTGCAGGACTGAGGCTGGGCGCTTTCATCATTGCTCACCCCTCCGAGCATGGAGTCAATTGTAAGGACAAACCATACATGACTAGTACTATAATTTGTCTTTTACCCCGTACTCATCTGCATGGCGCGCTGGCAAACATATTTGTAATTTCGACCCAAGTGGACGCTCTCGTATGCTTCCGCGCGATTCTTTACAAGCGAAGCTCGCCCTCTGCTACAATGCCATACAGCTAGTGGCAGCCTCTCTCTTGGCCGGTCACATATTCGAAACAGACCAGCACATCCCCTAAGATCTATTTTTGTAAAAAAAAAGCTCCACAATTACCCCTGAATCAAGCCCGGCTGCCAGCAGAGAATTTATAAGACGGCTGTGCCCCCCAGACTGATTTCTCTTCTCAATCACAAGAAATACACTCCAAAGTTACTAACAATCATCAAGGTGAAGGTCTGCGTCTGATTCGTCTCAGTCAAAGCTAACCCGCAGCACAATGCGCTCCAGCTCTCCGTTCTCGCTTCCTGCTCTATATCTGCTACAGCTTTGCCTGAGCGTCGCTGCTTTCAGCGTCTTGCCCAAAATTGACGGCGATACCACTCAGCTGGCCTGCTTCAACGGCTCTACTACCCTCATCTTCAATGAGACCAGACCGTATCCTTTCAAGCTCTTGATGGGCAAACAGCAGAAATGGCGCTTGAGCTTTCGTCTCTATGACTCTGATCAACACACTCCGGATCAACCAGGTCCAGATAGAATTACTCTTTACAATGTGGTCGTCAAGGGTAAAACAAAATCAACAGTGCTTTTCTGTCACAAGCCGGGCAAAGGATCAAGAACAGACTTCGAGATCCATTATCCAGCAGCGAGTGATTACGAGAAATGTCAAGTTGTTCTCGACGAGCAGATCAATGGCAAACCTCGAACAATCAACCAAATTGCTTGCACCAACTGAAGAGCTGGGGCTCTTGGTGGCCCTGGGTGTGCATCACAGATCGCAGTTTGACCTTGAAAGATGCCCACGATAGACTCAATTGACAATTGGCCAATGAAAGGTCAGAGTCTTGATATGTCGTAGCTGCATAGACACGTATCATTGACACAACGTCTAACAAATCCTGAGTCAGTCAGTGAGCGCTGAAACTTGCCTGCCCAGGACAGCTGAGCACCTCGATTAACCGAAAATCTCAAATATCTGAGCTTCGAGACGATGACGTGCGCAAGTCTGGCTCGACTAGCGAAGATTTCCATAGCTATAGGTAAGATAAGTACGGCTGAGTAAGTTGTCATCCAAGCTCGAAGCAGCTGGCAGACTAGCAGTGGAATCTTCAGCTGGAACTGCTACTTGGTACGAGTACGTCTATAGCAACCATTGACCATTCTATCCTGGCTTTCTTCGATAAAATCTTGGGCTATTTCATCCGAACTTTGTCGCTCAGATCTTTTGCTGCTATATGCCTGGTTAGCGGCGCAGCTCGGAAAGTCTTGGAAGTCGGCACACGTTGCGAGTCACCACATATGAGATGTGATACATGTGCATGACATTCATGTTTGTTTCTGTGGGTGTCCTCGTGGCGTCGAGAGGCTTTTACATAGGTGATGTTTGTTTGCTATCGATAGAACACACCCACGATATTTGCATCTGGACAATCAGTTGCTCAGTGAACTGTGGCCGGTGCCACGTCCATTGCTTGTAGGCTTGAATCATTCACGATCCGTGCGTATGCAAAGGATCAGAGAGACTTGCTGTACAGTCTGCGCGATCGAAGGCAGCAAAGTTTCAGGGGTATTTTGCGTTTCGTCTTCATTGCCTATTCATGCCGCGGCTGACTCAGGACAATGCACTAATTTTATACGGCAACATCTCTACATGTGCAAAAGCTGAGCACGCCATGTGTGTCGATTCACTGTCGCATAGTATACGTCGTACTATACGAGACCGTACTGGTACAGCTATAGCTGCAGCTGAATGTGATATAAACCGCAGAATCAATATCAGCTGCAGTTTATAGGTCTAGCAAGCACTGCCAATTGAATACAGGACTCTAAATATTTTGTGCTTGAATTGATTTGTAGCTATAGCTGCAGCTATGGCTAGCCGCAGTTCTGATAAGACATTTCATCCGGGTTGAGCTACCCCTGGCTTCGAGATAATTTGCGAGCATACGCGTGTGTCCATGTGGCTCCAGTTCTTGGGGTCGAAGCACAGTTCTCTTCGATACAAATGAGGAACAACTTGGAGCTCAAATTACATGTTTGGGCCTAGCTGTAGGCAAACAAAAGCATCGGAAATGAGTGCATATGGCAAATGTTTGGGGCACGCGACTTCGTGAGGCTGCCGCTGCAGTCGCAAGGCGATCTCTTTGGATACGCTGCAGCTACAGTATCGTTTGCAAAGATAGCAAATGTATGAAAGATTGCACTCGAAATCTCAAGCTTTGATCCACATATTTCCAGGTAGCTCATGAGTCTCTTGAAATTCAGGTCATCGGCCAATAGGTGGAATTTGCGATTTATGTTTGTGTTTGTGAACATGGCGAGCAAACCCGAAATTGATTCGCAAATATTTTGCATGTGCACTGCCACTGTACATGAATAGGCGCGCGTGAGACGTGTATATCGTATCAAGCTTGGCGTTCGTCCCTGATTGGGAAGAAAAAGCTCAGGCCAAGCAAAGTGGAAGAAACGTGTCTTCCAGCTGTGAAAACTATAAGAAGGGCTGTTTCCATTCCTTCGTCTGCTGTGAAGCCATCACCAAGAAAGTTTCCTTCCAAGACCACAAGTCAAATCAGATACAGGTATGGTTTCGCACATCTACAAAGATGCCCGCACAGGACCAGCACTAAACGTAGCAGACTTTTCACGATGGGTTTCAAGCACCCTTTCATGCTCGCAAGCCTTAGCACTCTACTAGTGAGCACGACCGCCGCTCAAGCTCGTACAGCTGCCACTGGTGAAGCATATCAGGTTGTAGTCTACGATCCGGCAAGGTTCACATGCTTTGATGGCGGTATGAAGCCTAGGATCTACAAAGTTGAAGAACTGGTCAATCTGCAAAATCGTGTTTCTGATAAAGAATTAGGCCCTTTACAGCATCTCAACGTTTACTTGCTCGAAGATAAAGACGCTGGCATGGATGGCGACGTGTCGGTGGCTTTCAAGGCTGAAGGTTACAAGAAAGAATGGCGTGCAAGGCCCGTGTGCAATACCGCTACTGACAACACGAACGTGCATACCTTTATGAAGGATCATAAGTTGTACTCGAAGGGCGGATGCCGGCTCCATCTTTTCATCCCTGCAGTGGCGAAGACGAAACCGCAAATCGATCTTTTCTCTTGCTATGAGTAAAGCCTGCACGATCCGACTGCTCGTGTCGCTTCCTTCAATTCACTTACCAACTGCGATACACTTGTCTATCTTTCTATCGCATATCAAATCCCATTTTCTTTCTTCAAATGTCTGGCAAAGCTAGAAATAAGTAGTTGTTCATCATAGCAACCAATTCTCCATTTCATGTGTGTAGCCTTGATCAAGCTTGAATAATCTTACGCAACGCTGTTGGGAAAAGAGTACAAAAAACTGGCAGTCAAACTGATTGGTTGTGTCTTCCATCATCTTCCATATCTTCAACGATTGCGACTGCAGCTAGTGCCAGCAGTACGTCTTGGAAACAAGGCAGCTGCTGAAACTCAGTAGACGGTCAGAAGGCAACGCGTTATGTAGCAATGTGCACGGTATGCATGTCGTTTGCTATACGGCTATAGCTCAGCTACAAACACTGACAGCACATGGCTTGTCAAATCGCATGCTCGATCGTGGGAGTATACAGTGCGGCATATGCTGTTTGCTGAGTTTTCATCAAGTCCGCTGTAGCTACAGCAGACTGCAGCCATTTTAAAATGAGATTCTACCACACACCCCTGAAATTTGAAATTACCGCATGGCCATTCATCGAGTCAGCTTGTGGTATAGAGTCTAGACCTCTTGAAAATGGCCACATGGCACTAGTCAATCCAGGAAATGCTTGTTTGGATGCCAAGAGTATGCTGCAGCTTCAGGAAAGATGTCACATGTGCCATGATTTCTCAACACCACAAAGCAAATACACATGCAATACGCGTGCCGTACACGACATATCCACACCAGCCACACACACAAAAATGCCCTCGAACGAAGTGGAGCCTGAAGGGCCTAGGAGGTCTACACGACCTCGAACAGCATCTCAGAAAGCATCTTATGCTTCTGTTTCAACCTCAAGCGCTCTACCGGCACAAAAGAAGCCAGCGGCAAAAACCGCCAAAACAACAACAATAACAACAACAACAACAACGACGCCAAAAGAAACCGTCACTGAGTCCGTCCAGGCATCGCAAGATGTGACCCCCGCACTTCTATCGGCGGCACGGGAGGAGGTTGTTGCTCTGGAAGCAAAATTCGAGGCATTCGAGCGAGAGCACAACCTCAAAATTGCTGCGATGCTCGCATCAATTTCAAGGATGGAAACGGCGATCTGCCCGAAAAACAACACTGGTGCTGGCCCTCCAGTGGTTTCAACACCTGTCACAAATGTGTTGATCGCAGCCACACCCCCTTCAAGCCCACTGCCCGCGGTTTGTGTCTTGGAGTCTGTGAACTCTGGCAGAACTCCGTCCGGTAGTGGCCAAGACTGGGTGGAGAACCCAACACCTGTGGCTCCATGGAAAGTCGTCCCAAGTCGACGACGCGACATTCGGGCATCAGCTCGGCAGCTGGGCCGTGACAACTGGCTCGTGCTACTTAATGGGCCTCAACCCAAATGCCCGAATTACGCGGCGGACTTGCTCATGCGCCAGCTGAACATGGAGACGCAGCTTAAAGGTGCGGCCTGGGCTGGCCAATTTGGAGGCGTGCTCTGTCTCATGCCAGAAACGACAGGCGATCGGGACATGATTATGGCCTCGTTCGCTCGCTCCAAACGTCTGGGTGCCACGACTAAAGCAGATTTACGCAAGTATAAAAGTCTGTCTGAATTGTGGAAGGAGCGACAAGCCACTCGTGCATCACGAGGTCTGCAGTCAGATGTTATTCCACCTGCTCCGGAGCCTGCAACGCCTGTGAGCACGCCCAACTCGGTCGAGGAACCGACGTCACGCTCAACAGAAGCTGACCCAGACTTGGTCTCAGAGACTCAGTCCCCCTCGCCACCCAGTCCTCTGGATGACGTTCGGCGATCTGAACTCTGAAGCCTCGCCCCGGTGCCAAAATCAAATTCCAGAATTACAATCGGATTCTGGAACGTCCAAGGCAACCTTCTGGGCAAACTAGATGACGAAAATTTCCTCATTTTTTTGAGAGAATACGATATTATCGTGTTGGCAGAGACCACGATGGATAAAGGAAGGGAAGCCATGTACGAGCGTAATATGGCAGACTACGCGTTGGTCACCTCTAGTAGAAAGACTGGCGCTGCCAAGACAACGAAGACACAGGGCGGGCTGGCGATGTTCATCAAGCACTATATCTTCCAATCACCAAGGGTGAAGATTGTCGAACGCAACGCGGAGAATAACATTGACAGGATCTGGCTGTCAATCAACAATACGCAGATTGGGTTCACCTACCAACCGCAAGACTCCCCTCGCAATCTGGAGCTTTTGGGGCGCCCAGCTCTACAGATATTACACGATGAGGCTGTGCTGAAACAAGACTTTCTGATTCTCGGCGACTTCAACTGCCGTATCGGCCAGACATTGAACCCGCGTGCATGCGATACAACATTGAACTCGGCAGGTCGCAACTTTCTTAAATTTTGCGAGGATTTCCAGGCGTCCGTACTCAATGATGATGGATCGCTCGGAGATGCGGTTACACGACCAACTCATGTCACCAAGAATGATTCTGCGACCGCCACCTTGGTGACTAGCAGGTTATACTCGACAATCGACTATGCGATCGCTACCCCAGATGTTCGCAAGCAGATCGTCAAGTTTGACATACGGGACCCGGATGACTTCAGCCTATCAGATCACGCGTGTGTCACGGTCGTCATGGATGTTATGCTCGATTTAGATAGTTCAGTACGTAGGGTCAAGAGGTCGGCGCCGCAGGTGGAAAAGAATGAAATGGACATTAGGGCGAAGGCGGTCACGGACGCAGGCAAACTTGAGGCTCCTCCTAAGGCGATTCGCTTCAACACCATCATTTCTGATCCACAGTTATGCGAATGGCGCAAGCTCTTGAAGCAGAAGCGGAACGAGAAAGGCGCTCGATCCAGCAGGCTTACTGAGTCCGCGTGTCAGCGCCTAAGAAGGAATATCAAACGGCGCCTCAAGCGTCTGCGAAAGCTTCAGAAGAAGGAATGGCGGGAGTGGCTGTCTGGTGTCAGGGGGAGGCGGGAATACTATGTCAAGCTACTCGAGGCCATCGGAAAGAAGAAGAAGGGCTGTCCCGTGGATGATGGCGAGATTCTGAGACATTTCAAGGACCTTCTCGGCGATCTGCCGTCAGGCACATTCAATGAAGAGGAGATGGAGCGTTTCCTTACTAACCCGTCTAATGTAGCATCGCAGGTGGAAGCAGCAAGGAAGAGAGGCGCATCAGTACAGGACTTTGTGTGCGCTACGGCGCATGCAGGCATGGTTTGGTCTGCAGCTGACGTCGCGGTTGCCAAGAAGATGCTGAAAACAAGCTCTGCCCCTGGTCTCGATGGCATGACTGTGCAAGAAGTCAGAGGGCTGAACGATCTAGAGGTGGCGGACTTGTTCAATGACATGCTGGTTTCGGGTTCTATCCCAGCATCTTGGGGCCTTGGTCGTATCGTTCCAATCTACAAGAACAAGGGTCTCAAGACGGTTGCAGACAGCTACAGAGGAGTCACGCTTCAACCAATATTCAGAAAACTCTTCACGACGATTCTAAACTTCAAGCTGACGGCATGGAGCAATGCATTACGTATCGTTCCAGATTGTCAAGGCGGTTTTCGAAAGACCTTTCGCACATGTGACAATGCTTTCACGTTCAGAATCATCAAGGAAACGTACAAGAAGGACGGCAAGCCGCTTTTTACCTGTTTCGTTGACCTCAGGAAAGCTTTCGATTTGGTTGAACGTCGTGTCCTCATGCAGAAGCTGAAGAATTACGGCCTCACGGGCCGACTACTGACGGCCACCATGGCATTGTACACAAACACGAAAGCTTGCATACAGACAGACAATGGTTATTCGGAGGTCTTCGACGTCCATGACGGCGTCATTCAGGGCGACGTTCTATCACCACTTCTCTTCAACATTTACATGGCTGACCTCGAGATGACAAGTTCCCCGCATACGCCGAAATTGGCCGACCGAGAAGTTGGCTGCATGTTCTTGGCAGACGACATTGTATTGGTGTCTGACTCTATGGACGACCTGAACGACAAATTGCTGCAGACGCATGAATGGTGCCGCCGGAATCGAATGCTCATCAACACCGAGAAGACACAGTTCCAAGTACACCTGCATGGGAAGATTAGAGCAAAACTCGGTGCAATTGAGCTCTCCTTGCCCGGGCGGACGCCTGAAGCGCCTCGCGCCTTGATTCAAGAGTGTGCCTCCTACAAGTATTTAGGCATTCACCTGAGCAGCAAGTCAACCTGGTCAAGCACAAAACACAATGCTAGCATGCTGGAACGCGCCAGAGTTGGTAGGTTCCAAATAGGCTCACTTGACAAGGTTTTTGGCCACATGTGCCTGTCTGAACTGCGTACGCTTTATCTCAATTTCGTCGACTGTCATATCATTTTTGGCGCCGAGATCTCGTTTGATGGCGGTTCGGAAGACCTCAAAGCGATGCAGCAGGTGCAGACCGACTGGTGTCGTCAAACCTTTGGCCTCACGCGTCATGCTGCAAGACTGCTGGCTATTGTGGACCTGGCGATTCTGCCTGTAGCAGAAAGGAGGAAGCAGATTGCCATTGGCTTTGCAGACTACCTGGAGAACCTTACCGACAATCGCCTCGCCCATTTTGCTTTTGAACAAGCCAAGATCAACGCTCAAGACGATACTGCAGGCAAAACGTGGTACAGCCAGATCTCTACACTTCTCAATGGCTCCGGTGCGACTCTCGGCTCTCCAACGTGCCGCAAAGACTTCACTGAGTCGCTCTGGAAGACGCACTATGAGAACTGGGTGCATGAATGTGCCAACAACGCGCTATACAGACACATTACACCAGTCTCGCTCGAGGAGTTCAAGGAGCAAAGGCCTTATGTCAAGATGCAGGACGGATATGCTGGCAGATGGATTGCGCGTATGCGCGGCAGTAATGACCAGCTCATGGTCAATAGAGGGAGAAGACACAGGGATGACGAGCTGGATCGCTCCTGCCCGGCATGCAAGCCGACCGGCGATGTTGTGGAGACTCTGCAGCATGCACTGCTCGAATGCTGCGACCACGAAGCTCAACTGGCGGACATACGGCTGCGTTGGCCTGACTCGAGCCCTGCCGACATCATGCAAATCATTGTCGACCCACCGAAAGAACATCTCTCCTTCGTGTCGCGCATTGTCAACGCTGTCATCAGCAAAGTCAACGGGCGCTACCTGAGAATACTCTAGCTGTGTCTTCTATGACCAGCAAATAGCCTTATGGCACTATGCGTTGTCCGGCGTGGAGAGTCTGAGCACCCTTGGGTGGCTGGATTCTCTGTTTCGCTTCCCTCTTATTATGGGGGACAGTAGTTGAGCTGAGCACGACGTAGCTTTTTTTTAGAGCTAAATCCCATCACACCTTTTCGCAGGGATCGTATACAGCTGCGCTGTCTGGCTGTACACATGGCGACAAAGAAAATGGGCGCCGGTTTTGGGACAAAATAGCTCAAGCAACTCTAGTCCAAGCCAGTCCGCAGGGATGACCAGCAAAGGATATAAAAAGGGTCGTTCCTCCTCATCATTCGCATCCCTGCAAAACATCTCGGAAGACTCAATCGCAACAAAACTTCAGCTACAGGTACTATCACCGACAGTAATAGCATTCATGACTAACCATCAGACCCAGCATGTTGATTCTTAAAACATCCCTCATCATGGCCCCTCTTGGCGTGCTTCAAGCAGTCAGGGCTTGGGATGGTACAGATTTTTATTGTTCCGAGGATGGCATCAATGCCGAAAAGTTCCAAGGGGAAGACCTTTACAAGGTCGCCAATATGCATTGGCAAATTAGTCTTTATGAGATCAGCAAAAATGATGGAGATACTCAAGCTGATATCGATTTCAAATTTCAAGGTCAGATGAAGAGGGGAAGGCTCATTTGTTTCCCAATAAAAGCCCCCGCTTGGGTTAGCGGCCGCAAACTGCTCTCCAGCGACTGTACTGTCGAGACTACGGGCTCAGGAAAACACACCAAATTGGCCACGGGACCAGGGGGAAGTGGCTCATGCACAGAATTGTAAATGCCCTACAAGTGAGCCCGAGGCACAGCGACACTTCGTGCCTTGGCCACACCTGCAGCATGTGCTTTTATCCTTCTCTTCAAGCATTTGCGCAATAACCGATCGAAAGCAACAGATTCAACATATGCTTTCACCATGGCTGTTCAACCTTCCTTGGCTCTTACTTCTCTTCAAACATCAGCTTGCTCATGCTAGAAACGATTAGTTGCTCATAGCAATCACTTTTCCATTTCATCTGCAGCCTTGATCAACCTTTGAAAATTTATTACGCAGTGCCTTCAAATGAAGGATATAAGGGAATGGTAGTAAAGCTGGCTGATCGTGTGTCTCATCGTCATCCGTATGTACAGCAGTTGCGACATATACCACCATATTGCCTCGAAGACAACGCGAACAGCTGGCAGTCGACGTTGAACTAGTGGTATACAAGTCGTATGGCATCCAGCTATTGCTCAAACACTGGCAGGAGCTTGAATGGCAGTCCTTGGTCTGTTGTCACTTGTGCGCGCTTCTCCTCCAGTGATGCCGTGGACTGCTCCGACGAGGTGCTGTCTGCGCGCTGCTTGAGTTCCATCCCCTCCGGTGCTGCGTTGGGGATCTGTTCTTCTGCGTCGTAGATTGGCAGGCTGGTCAGAGTTGGCTTGGACATGATGCTGATGCTGGTTGGATGTAGTAGTGTGTGGTCTCTGTCGGCGTGTTTGAGTCTCCGCAAATCCGGGGAAGCAGATCATCTGACCAGCAAGCCCGAAACAAGGCAGTCCCATTGTCTCCCATACACTGAAGCCAGCAGCCATCAACCAAAGACACCACAGGAGAGACACAGAGCATAAGCTTACGACCACAAAAGCAATTCATATGCCCTACATCACCACACAGCAGCTATTGGTTTTTCTTCGCCTGCCGCGCAAACATCTTGCTCTGTGCACTCAACTGATCACTGCGCGCCACCAAGTCCTCCAGCTTCTCACCACGCTGCAAGACACTGTCAATTGTCTTGTGCAGGATGATTTTAGTCTCATCGAGTTCCTGCTGCACGCGCATAATCGTATCGGCTTGTTTTGGGTCTTGATACTTGACCAGGTATGTGCTGAGTTCTGGCATAGGCAGTTTTGGTTGTCCCATAGCCCACTTGCTTCGTGGATGACGCTCTAGAAACTCATCCAAGACCTTGTTGAGGAGTGTGAAGGCAACGCGCGCAGGATACTCTTCATCAGCAATAATCACACCACAGACACCTTCTGTTCGACTGTATAAATGGAATTTGTAGCTGTTTTCAACAACAGACTGACGTACACCTGCAGCTGTCCGTTCAGCGAGGGTATTCGATGTGAAGCTCATGAATGTTTCGACTTGGCCGCGCGCCATCCAGCCAAAGTCCATGACATCCACTGCTTTGACGATTTCGTGCGCTGGTTTAGCTTCGTTGCGCACGACGAAGATGCCGTAGAGCTTCATCTGACTGCGTGTGTAGTGTGAGGGAGAGGGTGAAGGAGGGAGGGTGCGCTTGTTGGTCTTGGTCTGTTGCGCATTCGTCATGGCCGGCACGTGCTGGAGCTGGATCAAGGATTAGAGGCATTAGACTGTCCTTCGGCTGACCATGAGCCTACATCTGCATGACTGCTAGGCTGGGGTCAAGAGGGCTTCTTGGCAAGAGGCATCTGGATGACGAGAGAGCGCTAGATATACTGGCTATTTAGCTATAGTCTTGAACTCTGCTCTGTCAAGACCTCAAGACATCAAGGCTACTTCAGCTGCATCAGCTCAATAGCTACCTAGTGCACCTTGAGGCCTTGTCCTTGCTCATCTTGAAAGCTAGAGCCCTCACGCGATAACGACAGGGCAGTTTGGGCAGTATCGCTCCAGTCTGCCTGCCAGTCAATTGTCAAGCCCTGGAGGTCCTTTGCACTGGTAGGATCAAGAGCATGTCGCATCATGCGGCTGGCCCTGCTCCGCGATATCCTCCTCTCCATAGATCATAGATTGCATCCCTCACTGTCCTTGCTCGTTGCTTCCCTTGAGTGCTCCATCATCAGTCTACATGTCAGCTGCTCCTCCGCTTCCAATTGCAGTGACAGCAGGCAGCAGCAGCAGCAGCACACATCTACACACCCAGACCAGACCCTCAAGCTTCTCCCCCAGCAACTTGTGCCCGACGCACAGCCATCACAGTGGCCTTGCCATGCCACCGCATCAACATGACGCGCTCATCACCCGCCTCAAAACAATCCTACTAGCCATGCAACGCGCATCCTGGGAACAAGCACTCGCAGCCCAAGCACTCTATGAATGGCGACCTGACGAAGAACTCCCCAGTATCGTTGGATTGGCGTATGATATGATTGCTCGATCAGATAGTTTGGGCAGGTTAGGCGTCTTGCTCAATGAAACAGATCAGTCATCCCTTGACTTTTGCGCAATTGGTGAGTGTCTTGTCTTTCTGCATCATCAGACACGCGATACGATTTGGTTGTCGGCTGCACGGTCACTTGTTGGGTATATCAGAAGAACGGCAGGTCGGTCATTCGAGGGACTCTTGGTCCATCGCGCTGGGGAACTCTGGGTAGATGCATTGTACATGCTACCACCGGCACTCATTGCAACAGGCTCCTCCTGGAATCAAGATTCTCTCATCTTTGAAGGATTCCAACAACTCAACGGCTATGAAAAGTATCTACGCGATCAAGCGACGGGGTTATGGTCACAATCGTGGAATATCGAGAGTCATGCTATCGCGCGACGTGAACATTTGAGTACAGGCAATGGATGGGCCATGGCCGGTTGCGTACGTGTCCTCTCACTACTACCGAAAGAAGGCTGGCAGGAAGAAGCAGAGCAATTGGCTGGTAAGACACTGCAAACCCTCCGCAGTGTACTAGCGCATCAACGGCCAGACGGACTCTTTCATTTTGTGCTGGAGGATGAGACGAGTTTTGTGGAGTGTACATCAGCGGCGATGTACGCTTACAGCATCTACACACTTCAACTGCTCGGTCTACTCTCTGCACAGGCGATAGAGGTGAAAGCAGCTGATCGCATGACCACCGCACTGATTGCGCTTGTGGACCAAGATGGGCATCTCAGGGGTTGTGTGCTTGCTCGAAAGGATGGGCATGAAGGGAATATGCAGGGCCGAGGGACATCTGCCGAGGGTCAAGCGTTTCTCATCATGGCACTGGCTGCGGCTGGGCATTTACAGGGTGGTGGCAGGCATATACATTGGACGCATCTACAGGCTGGCTCGCAGGAGAATGTCAGCATGTACGAGGAGGTGTAGCGATGCTTCGCTGGCTTTGATAGATGGGCACTCGATATAGCTTTGGATGGCCTCTTGAATGTACTTCTTGTACTAGTCCTCCCCTCATCCTGGCTGCAGCGTCCAACTGCTTGGTCCAGGTCTGTCTTGGTCGTAGTTGATTCAGTCGCGCTCCGTCATCTGCGACCACACAAGACACCACACCGGCACTGGTACTATAGACAAGAGCCTCCCCCGTCGAGCCATTCGTGGCATCCATTGACCTTCTCATCAACCAAGAGAAGACATCGCCACCATGAAGAATGTCAAATCCATGTTCCAGCGCAAACAGGCGCACACACCTGACGGCACCGATACTGCGACCACGCAACAAGGCACTTCACCACGCCCGTCAGCGACCTTTGCACGACCCATTCAAGAGCCTGAATACAAATTATCCAGTGTCTCCCCAGAAGGCACTTTTATACCTCCGTCGCCACCAGAAAAGACTTCATTCCTATCCCGATTTCGACCGTCAACGAACCATGCAGCTGCTGAACCAAAAGCAGACGAAGATAGCGCAGGTTTCGTTATCCCGCGCGCATCGTTCGATGGTTATAGACGGTCCTTTGATATTCGTCCAAGTATGGATGGCAACGACGGTGCCAGTTTACGCAGTCATGGCGGTGGCACACAGCATCATTCGAGTAGACAATCACTAGACGTGCTACAAGCTGCAACACCACTACAAAATGAGCGACGATCGTCGTATAGCTATAGCAGGAAGGATCCTGGCTTACTTGCCCAATTGACGCCTGCGAGTGGCAGTTCGCCTCGACCGTCGACAGGAGGGAGTGCGCGCTCTGTACCAGCGATGCAACCATTACCAGCAGCGACGCTCGAAGCTGACTTTGAGGAAGTCAGCCTGGCTGATGAGGAAGACGACAAGGATATCAAGAAGAAGCGATTCTGGCAGCGAACAACGAAACGTGACGAGGTAGCGGAACTCAGAGCATTGGGTACTGGTGATTCTTGAGTCGAGGAATCGGAGGGGGAAAGGATGAGAGAAGGATGACGTTTGCTTCGTTGTATGCTACTTGTAAAACTCAAACTTGGCACTGCCCTCACCCTCAGTCTTGTGCAATTTGGCATACGCTTCCTCGATATCGCTTTGCAGAATCACATAGCGACTCTTGCGAACAGCAATGAGACCGGCATCTTGCATGATTGCAGCAACTTGTGCACCACTCGACGCATCAGGTCGCAAGATGAATGTATCGAGGTCGACTTCTGGCGACAGAGACATTTTACTGGCGATTGTCGTGAAGATGAGACGACGTTGCCTGCGATCCTTGAGATTGGGAAACTCAATCTTGCGATCGAGACGCCCAGGTCGTAGTAAAGCCGGATCGAGGGTATCAGCACGATTTGTGGCCATGATGACCTTGACGTTGCTGGTCTGGTCGAACCCATCCATCTGGTTTAGCAACTCCAGCAAGATACGCTGGACCTCTCTGTCTGCACCTGTCTGCGCATCGAATCGCTTCGTAGCAATAGCATCCACCTCATCAATGAAGATGATGCAAGGTGAATTCTCGCGAGCCATGCGAAAGACATCACGCACCATACGCGGTCCCTCTCCCAAGTACTTTTGCACAAACTCTGAACCGACAACACGGATGAATGATGCTTTTGTTGCATTGGCAACAGCTTTGACGAGCATCGTCTTGCCAGTTCCTGGAGGTCCATAGAGGAGCACGCCACGGGGTGGTTCAATACCAATTTGCCTGTACAACTCAGCTTGCTGCATTGGCAACTCAACAGCCTCTCGAATCTCTTGTTTTTGCATATCAAGGCCACCCACATCAGCATAGGTGACATCGGGCTTCTCATCCGCACCGAGCATTTGAATGGAGGAGTCTGCCTCTGGTGGCAAGATATCCACGAGTGCGTTTGAGTGTCTGTGCAATGCAACACTACTCGAAGGCTTCAGCAGCTCCCTGTCGAGTGTCGAGAGGATGCGTACGACATAGTTGCTACCAGTCGTTGACCCAACAATCCCCGTATTCTGATCAATGGCCTCCAAGAATTGCCCAATCACCAGTGGCACACTCTGAATCCGCTTCACTTCCTCTTGTGCACGAACAAACTCGCGACGCAGTGTCTTTTGGTCTTCCTTGATGAACTTTTCTTGTAGTTCGAGCATCTCTAGATGGCGCTGAAGTGACTTGAGGCGCGAGTAGTGGTCGCCCTCGACGGGCATTGATACGGAAACCGGAATATCTGGCGCAGGACTTGAGACTGGCCTGAGGAGCGGTTTGCTGGGCGCCAGTGTATCCGCCATGACTTTGATCACTGCTGGCTAGCTAGTCTTTGGGTATTTGTGTCTTGTGGTTGTCGACGCGTCATGTGAGAATTGTGCGCGAGAAAGTTTGAAGACGAGACAAGAACCATCATCACACACAGCCTGGCCTGCAGAGGCACAGATGAAGCGCGGATGGAGCGTCATGCGGCAGACGCGTCCTCTGGTACAGCGAACACAGTACTCAGCTACCTGTCCTCGGTGTATACAAGCTTCCCAGGCTGCTTTCCACACGGAAGCTCCGCGCGCCTTTGCATTCAAGTGGTTCAAGCAGAGCAGCACCCAATCAAAGCAGCGTGATAGATGGCTGCAGGTGCTATCTAAACGGAGACAAGGCGGTTTGTCACATCAGGAAGTTACATTCATGCTCGAGTGCGTCGATACTATTCAACTCAGCGAAGAAGAATTGACAGAGTCTATCTTGGCTGCACTTCGAGTAGACAGTGAGGCGCACGATGAACTGGCCACCAAGGCGTATGGTTTGCTACAAAAGCACAGGGCCGCACAGATTACTCCAAAAAGCCCATGGAGTGGCTTGGAAGAATCCCTTCCACAACTCGTCGTTGCCCTCGCCTCGGCAGGACCAAGCAATCAAGCGCTTGATTTGTGCAAACAAGCGTCCAAGAAACTAGATCAATCGCAAGACATGTGGCGAGTCTTGCTACAAACCCTGGCGGAGAGGTCCAAGTCGCAAGACTTTTTCGACGCTTGCCATTGCATGCGGGAAGAGCGAGTTCCTGCGGATGTTGCCACGATGAATCTTGAGCTTGACAGGCTGAATGCTGTTGGGCGTGCACAAGAGGCTTTGGCGCTGTATAAGTCGATGCCGTCCTTAGGACTCAAGCCTGATACTACCGCCAATCTCCTTGCGCTCGATAGCTGCATGCAGGCAAATGACCTTGAAGCTGGCAAAGACATCGCTACTCTAGTTGAGCGCGATAATTCCGATGCAGCCTTTGCGAGTCTGTTGGCTTGGGACGTGTACAATCGTCAGCCGCTCGCATCCATTCATCAAAAGGCCTCATCGCGCGAGGTGAGCTTGTCGACCGTCAATGCCATGCTTCGAGCTGCCAAGCTGTCTCGGCAATGGAATATGATTGAGCAGCTATGGATGGCCTTTGCAAACACGTCCGACATCTTCCCCAACGAGGCAACCTTCAGCATGCGCATACACGGACACAACATGGCGCGACAGCTCGACAAGGCGATTGCTGTCTTTGCCGACAGCGCAAATGCCGGGTTTTCTGAGCTGCTCGATTCACAAGTGCTACAAGATTTGCTCAAAGCCGGTATCATGTCGCGCAAGCCAGATGCTGCATTCGAACAAAAGATTCTGGCTATTCTGCTCAAGCAAGAGCCTTTCCCAATTGCTCAAGAATCACTGTCATTCTTAATTCCTTCGTTGATTGAGCAAAAGCAATACGTTCAGCTCGAGACAATTATTGAACAGTGTCAGCTTCGCCCAGATTGGTCTGCAGCAATGACCATTCAACACATTGTCGATCAAGCAACTAGAGCAAAAGATGGAAAGCAAGTCTGGAATATCTCCATTCTGCTTCGCAATCTCTTCTGGGACGACCCAATCTATACACTTGAGCTGCGCAGCTTGCTCCTCAAACGCCTTGTCGCGCTACAAGATGTCGACAAGCTTGATCGTATGTTTCGCCAATTCTTTCAGTCACAAATCAAGCCTGATGCCGGCATGTACACATTGATGCTGCATGGCGGTCAAGACTTGCGTGAGGTGGAGCTTATTCGATCAGTCCACGCTTCCATCAAGATGGATGTCAACTTGTCGGATCACACCCGGATTTTGACCACGCTCATGCGAGCGTACGCGCATGTCAGTGCAGCCGAGACTTTCGAAGTTTGGAACCAAATATTTCACGGCGGGCATGGGCCTACAGCTGCAAGTGTCAGTGTTGTGATGGATGCCTGCGCACATATGCGCATGCCAACGCGAGGCTTGTTTATTTGGCAAACACTTGAGCGGCGCCAATTCCCATTCAACGACAACAACTATGCTTCACTGGTGGAGGTGTTTACGCGCAATGGTAATCCTGAGGGCGTTTTGTCATTGCTTGAGGAAGCCATCGCAAGTGGACGCGATGTTGGCCCACGGACATTAAGCACATTGTGGAATACAGCCAGAGGTATGCGCTCGCAAACAAAAGCCTGGGCCAACAAACATTGCCCAAGTTTGTGGCAACAACTTGACTCGTCAGCTCGCAAAGATGATATCTCTGTGTAGGTGTCAGGGTCTTGTTTGTCAGGTTGATGCGTGGTCTGTGGGCAGTACGAGGTCATTTGCGACCTGATCTCCCTAGATACATCGTACCAAATGTTTGCCCCGTCTTTGCAGGGCCTCTATAAAGGGTCCCCGTGGCCAAGCCTCATCTACAAATCCTCGCATCAGGAATCCGACAATGCACTTTCCTCCTCTGGACTATGTGCTCATCATCGCTGCGAGCGCCCAGCTGATGCAGCAAGCATCCGCTAAAGCTACACATGGCATGGGTGAGAAGAAGCACACTGATTCAGTTGCAAAGGCAACCTCGTATTCAGTTGACAATTTGCCAGCTGTCACGCCTACTTCCTTGTCTTGGTACCTCGCCGTCAAGAAAAATGGCACAGTTACCTATAAAAGGCATAGGTTGGACAACCAAGATGATTGCAACGAGGTCAGCGAATGTTACTGGGGTCTTCAGGACAAGACTATTGCGTATCATCCCCAGCCCGTCGTCACCTACCCGTACAGAGGGATCGCAGACGCCGCTCTCTTTTACTGCATGTGGGATGATCCTGACAGTCAGAAGAATACGGGAGATTTGCTATATGCCCCAGCCTACCCAGTGTTTCACCAGTGCTCACCTTTTGCACGCACCACGCTAGAGAAGGACGGAGATGGTAAGGAGAGGGAAGTGACGAGAATTATCCCAAATTGCAGTGTTAATTGAGTAAGGCGCTCTAAAGAGAAATGGAGCTGCATAAGGCTGGTCCATATGTAGACACCCTGTCAGATGTTTCGTATCAGAAATAGCAGCAAGCTGTGGTATAAGAGTAGCTATTTTGTACTCAGTTGAGCTGAACACGACGTAGCTTTTTTCATTAGCTAAATCCCATCACTCACACACAGGCTGGAGCGAAGCGCATCTTTGCGACTGCTGGCAGCTCGAAGTGTGAATCTGTGTGATAGGTGTTAGTTAATGACAAAAGCGATGTCGTGTTCAGCTCAACTACTGTCCTCCAGTAAGAAGGGAGCAAAAGAGAGAATCCGCATGCACAAGGTGCTCCAACTCTCCACGCCGGACAACACATAGTGCTGTGAGGTAATTGGCTGGTCATAGAAGACACAGCTTAACTCGTCTTTCCCAGTGCTCGTCTTGATAGAGGTGCTGCCCCCCAGCGTATTTGTGGTATGGATTGCCGTAGCAAGCCTACCACAAGACCAGACAGACTGACCAGCGCAATGCTCATTGGAAAAAGGGTCCACCGGAAAAAGCTTCGAAGCAAGCCGTTTCGACAAGTATGGTATAATCCACTCATAGCGAGAGCGAGAAGGGGACACTCCATGCTAGTCTACACGAGCGAGAAACAGCGTATCTGGACCGGCACAAGAAGTTCGAGGGCTCCGAGGGCTCCAAACGGGGACCAGGCAGAACCCCGTCCGATCAAATAAACAAAATCGCAGGAGCCGGCAATGATGCAGTAGTTGGTGGTTATATGCCATGAAGTAAACTGGAGGGAGCTGTACGCTTTTACCGCAGGCGGGGTACAAGAAGCTCAGATGAGACCTCGAGGTCCAGGTCGTCCATGGTGTTGACCTAGTTACTGCAACTTGTTGTTGGGATACGACAGACGCCCCGGAAAGAGAGTAGCAGGAAGCTCTCTACCTGTCTAATTGCCTTTTGTGCCCGAGCAGGACTGACCAGGCTCTTCAAGATGACAAGACGGAGCTGGTCGGGCTCGAAACAAGGCGAAAAAGGATGTTCACCCGCCCATTTTGCATGAGTAGCGAATAGGTGCCTGTACATCCGTGCTTGCAAGGAGGCGCTGCCGTTCAGCGCGAATCACCTGGTCTTCACGCTGGCTGACCGAACGCCGTGCCCTGTAGCGTCATCCTCAGAGCACGGGTCCACCGAAGAGTGACTATATGATGTGTTAGTTCGGTGAGTACCGCAAGTCAGGTGCAACTTTTCACCTTGGATGTCAACTACAAGACGCAAGACTTTGCTGAAGACACTCGCGCAGAGCTATCAGAGGGCGAGGACTTCTACTTGGCTTGCGTGAAGTGGAGCTTCTTTAATCAGTCTATGCATCCATCCAGAGATATGTCAAATTGTCCGGACCCTACCCGGATCTCACCAGGCTCATGCGAGCGTACGCGCCTGTGAGTGCAGCCGAGACTTGCGAAGTCAGGGGAAATATTCCACGGCGGGAATGAGCCTACAGCTGCAAGTGCCAGTCTTACGATGAACGCATGCGCACATATGCGCATGCCAACGCAAGGCTTGTTTATATGGCAGACACTTGAGCAGCGCCAATTCCTATACAACAACAACAACAATGTTTCTTTGGAGGAGGTGTCTACGCGCAATGGTAATCCTGAGGGCGTCTTGTCGCTGCTTGAGGAAGCCATCGTAAGTGCACGCGATGTTGGCCCATGGACGTCAAGCAATGAACACACTATAGTCTACAGCCAGGGGTATGCGCTCTCAAGCAAAACCATGGGCCAACAAACATTGCCCAACTTTGTGGCAACAAGTTGACTCGTCTGCTCGCAAAGATGACAAAGATGACACTTCTGTGTAGGCGCCAGGGTCTTGTTTGTCAGGTTCGTGCCTGGTCTTTGGGCAGTACGAGGTCTTTTGCGACCTAATCTCCCAAGATACAGCTTACCAAATGGTTGTCCCTTCATTGCAGGGCCTCTATAAAGGTTCCCTGTTGCCGAGCCCCGTCTACAAATTCTCTCGTCAGGATCCGATAATGCAATTTTCTTCTCTGGACTATGTGCTCATCATCGCTGCAAGCGCCCAGCTGATCCAGCAGGCATCTGCCAAAAGTACGCATGGCACGGGTAAGAAGAAGCACACCAAACCAGTTGCAAAGGAACCAGTATATACAAAACGAGATTTGCCAGCTGTCACGCCTACTACCTTGTATTGGTACCAGCCCGTCGGAGAAAAACATAACAAGACCATCTACGAGGCGCATAAATTGGCCAACCAGGAGGATTGCAACCAGATCAGCGAGTGTTACTGGGGTCGTTGGAACAAGACTGCTACGTTTCACCCCAAGGCCATCGTCACCTACCCGTACAATATGACTGGAAAAGACTCGAAGAAACTTGGTCTCTTCCACTGCATGTTGGAGAATCCTGAGGGGTTCAAGCACAAAAGAGAGGAGGAGGATGATGGTGGAACCTGGCCAATATTTCACCAGTGCTCACCTTATGCACGCACCTCGCTAGAGAAGGGTGAAGATGGTAAGGAGAAGAATGTGACGAGAATTGTTCCCAATTGCGCCACTCCTACCGTTAATAAGTAAGGCGCTCCGGTGAGAAATGGAACTGCATAAGGCTGGCCCATATGTAGGCACCCTGTCGGCTGTTTCGTATCAGAAAGAGCAGCAAGCTGCAGTATTCGAGAGTAGCTTCTTGCTATGAGAAGTGATCGCCCTGTGCGCATACCCATCTAGACTTGCTCCTCGCTGATAGTCGCTATTGCATTGTCCATGGCCACTGCAAATGCTTGATGTTCGTCTACCATCTGAAATCCTAGCCTCCCACACCAGCGACACGGCGGGCATGGACGTCACACGAGCTCAGCAAAGGCAAGAGCACAAGACGACGCATATCTCGACCAGCATCGTTCTCAGCGTCGAGGCATTGGCTTCTCAACCTTCAAGAATGGCTTTAATGAAGGCTCTTTATATCAAGAATGGTAAAAGCTCGTTTGACGATTGATACATCGATGCCAATACTCCCAAACCGGCAGCCAAAGAAGGCCAGCTTCAAGTCAAGACTGCAGCCTTTGCACTAAATCGCATGGACATCATGCAACGAGAAGGCAAGTATCCTCTTCCACCTCAAGCTGGTCCGATCTTGGGTGTAGAATTCGCCGGTGTCGTCAAAGACATGGCCGACGGCTGTTCGGACACATTCTCGGTCGGTGATGCCGACTTTGGTCTGGCATACGGCGGTGCTTACGCAGAGTGCATCTCAGTGAGCGAAAAGATGTGCCTTTACCAGCCTGATGCACTCGATATGAATACAGCGGCGAGCTTGCCCGAAGTACGGCTTACCGCATTGCAAGCGTTGCATCTGGTGGTGACTTGCCTCGCAAGGAGTGCGATTCAAACTTGCTGCTATTCACTTGGCAGAACAGGCTGGAGCGAAGCGCATCTTTGCGACTGCTGACAGCACCACAAAGGTCGAACTGTGCCGCTAGTGAGTGCAACGTTGGCTATCAACTACGGCACGCAAGACTTCGCTGAAGATATTCTTGCAGAACTACCAGAGGGCAAGGACGTTCACTTGACTTACGTGAAGTGGAGCTTATTCAATCAGTCCACACATCCATCAAGAGAAATGTCGACTTGTCGGACCACATCCGGTTTTTGACCGTACGCGCATGTGAACGCAGCCGAGACTTGCGAGGTCTGGGGAAATATTCCACGGCGGGAATGAGCCTACAGCTGCAAAGGCCAGTCTTAAGTGGAACCCCTGCGCACATATGCGTATGCCAACGCGAGGCTCGTTTTTATGGCAGACACTTGAGCAGCGCCAATTCCTATTCAACAACAACAACACCTATGCTTCTTTGGAGGAGGTATTTACGCGCAATGGCATCCCCGAGGGCGTCTTGTTACTGCTTGAGGAAGCCATCGCAAGTGGACGCGATGTTGGCCCACGGACATTGAACAATGAGCACGCTATGAAATACAGACAGGGGTATGCGCTCTCAAACAAAAGCATAGGCCAACAAACATTGCCCAAGTTTGTGGCAACAAGTTGACGCGTCTAATCACAAGGATGACAAAGCTGGCACTTCTATGTAGGCGCCAGTGTTTTGTTTGTCAGGTTCATGCCTGGTCTGTGGGCAGTACGAGGTTATTTGCGACCTAATCTCCCAAAATACTGTCAGACCTATTCGGGGTCCCCCACACATCGCATTCCCGTTGAGCCAAAAGTGACTAGTCCCTAGAGGACACCGCTGCAGCTCTTTAAACCCCGAATCCAAGGCCTCATCCAGCTCATTTCATCCTGCTTATTCAACCATAGCTATAGTCTATAGCAATGAAGGAAATCTATATAAGAAAACCAGGAGTCAGTGCTCACCAGGAGACACCTCCTGGACCCAACCTCGAATCCCGCAGAACCTCGAAGCTCATTTATATCTAACAGATACAGCGTACCAAATGTTAGCCCCTTCATTGCAGGGCCTCTATAAAGGTCCCCCGTGGCCGAGGTTTGTCTACAAATCCTCTCGTCAGGGATTCGACAATGCAAATTTCATCTCTGGACTATGTGCTCATCATCGCTGCAAGCGCCCAGCTGATGCAGCAGGCATCTGCCAAAAGTACGCATGGCACGGGTAAGAAGAAGCACACTAAACCAGTTGCAAAGGAACCAGTATATACAAGTCGAACAAAGGAACCAGTATATACAAGTCGAGATTTGCCAGCTATCACGCCTACTTCCTTGTATTGGTACCTCTCTGTCATGAAAGACGATGGCAACATCACCTACGTCAAGCAGAAACTGGCCAACCAGAATGATTGCGGCCAGGTCAGCGAATGCTACTGGGGTCTTCAGAACAAGACTATTACGTATCATCCCAAGACCATCGTCTCTTACTCATACAACATGACTGGACACTCGGATACGCCTGGTCTTTTTTACTGCGAGTGGGTGGATCCTGATAATCACGATAACACGGGAGAATGGATACGTGCTCGCCCCTACCCAATGTTCCACCAGTGCTCACCTTATGCAAGCACCACGCTAGAGAAGGGTGAAGATGGTAAGGAGAAGAACGTGACGAGAATTATTCCAAATTGCGCCACTCCCTACTAGTAAGGCGCTCTCACGAGACATGGAGCTGCATAATGCTGCTTCATATGTAGGCACCTGTCAGATGTTCCGTACTAGAAAGAGCAGCAAGCTACAGTACTAGAGTATAGCTAGTCTGTGTTAGAAGTGATGCCCCTGGGCGCATACTCATCTGGACTTGCTCCTTGCTATTGCATTGTCCATGGCCACTACAGGTGCTTGGTGTTCTTTTACCATCTGAAACCTAGCCTCCCACACCAGCGACAGGGTGGGCATGGACGTCACACGAGCTCAGCAAAGGCAAGAGCACAAGACGACGCATATCTCGACCAGCACCGTTTTCAACGTCGAGGCATTGGCTTTCTCAACCATCAAAAATGGCTTCAATGAAGGCTGTCAAGATTAAGAATGGTAAAGGCTCGCTTGACGACTTATGCATCGATGCCAAGACTCCCAAACCGGCAGCCAAAGAAGGTCAGCTTCTCGTCAAGATTGCAGCCTTTGCACTGAATCGCATGGACATCACGCAACGAGAAGGCAAGTATCCCCTTCCACCTCAAGCGGGTCCAATCATGGGTGTAGAATTTGCTGGTGTCGTTGAAGATATGGGCGACGGCTGTTCGGACTCCTTCTCGGTCGGTGATGCCGTCTTTGGTTTGGCGTACGGTGGAGCTTACGCAGAGTACATCTCAGTGAGCGAAAAAATGTGCATTCACAAGCCTGATGCGTTTGACATGATTACAGCGGCGAGCTTGCCCGAAGTATGGTTCACTGCCTTGCAAGCGTTGCATATGGTGGGTGATATGCCTCGCAAGGAGAGCAATTTGAATGTGCTCATCCACGCAGGTGCTTCTGGTGTTGGTCTTGCTGCTATCCAGTTGGCGAAACAGGCTGGAGCGAAGCGCATCTTTGCAACTGCAGGCAGCGACAAGAAGCTCGAATTGTGCCGCAAGTCGGGTGCAACGTTGGCTGTCAACTACAAGACGCAAGACTTTGCTGAAGTTATTCGCGCAGAGCTACCGGAGGGCGAGGACGTCAACTTCGTGTTGGACTTCATTGGCGCTGACTATTGGGGCAAGAACATTGCCCTTGCTGGTCGAGATGCGACCATTGTGTATCTGGCCATGATGTCTGGGTCAAAGCTCGAGGTGGACTTGATGCCTATCCTCTTCAAACGGCTGACTATCCGAGGTACGACACTCCGTTCGCGCGATCCAACATATCAAGGCAAGCTGCGTGATCTTTTCTGCGAGGCTGCCCTTGATAAGCTTGTCAGTGGCGAGTTCAAGAGCCATATCGATAAGGTGTTCACTATGGAGCAAATCAGGGACGCCCAGGAGCGTATGCAGACCAACGCTGGTGATGGCGGCAAGATTGTATGTGAAATTCAGCAATGATAGGATGTATACGATGTATTATCATGAATTGCTTGCTGAGCTGCTATTGTCTGAGTTACTGGCCAGCGCACATGTAGTACTGCACGCTGCATGATCCTGTATCCGACCCCGGGAGCTGTAGGGAGGATTCAGATGGCTACTCCCGCCCAATTTGGGTGCGTGCACGGACGCGGGCTTCTCATTCGTTGACGCTCTAGCGCAGCCTCGAGAGCGCAAACAAGTCGCAGTCCTTGCAATGGTCTTACAGTCTGGTCGCCTGTCATTATAGAGGCATATAGCAATAGACCAGAGTATTAGTACGTATTATCATATCATTCAGTCCATAGACAGGCCCCTAGCAAACAAACAAGTCCGCCGGGAGGTTGATACGAGCTTGTCCCAGAATGATGCGCGCGAACGGGCGATTTGACACCAAAATCAGCACTGCCCGATACAACCACCCTTCATACTCTCTGCCCACCCATCGCCGAGCTAGCTTGAGGCTGCGCTTCGTTGCGCCTACGCTCTCTCAACCGCGGCCTGCACCATGAAGTTTGGTCATCAGCTCTCGGTGCGTCCATCCACTATCTCTCTGGTTGTGCTAACCCACAGCAATCACTCCTGCGAGAGTTCAAGTACCAGTACCTGGACTACGATGGCCTCAAGCGCGAGATCAAGAAGCGTCTCAAGGAGAATGATGAGAGCTGGACAGAAGAAGCAGAGTCAGCTTTTGTTCAGATTCTTGAAGGCGAGCTAGATAAGGTCTTCACCTTTCAAAAGGTCAAGTCGACTGAGATCATGAAGCGGATAGAAGCCTGTGATCGAGAAGTCAATGCGACCGTCGCTGCCCTCAACTCTGCCAACCCGCCACCCCAAGAAGCCTTTGATGCGCTGGAGGAGGAGGTGTCCGACATTATTGCAGATGTACATGACTTGAGCAAATTCAACCAGCTCAACTACACAGGCTTCACCAAGATCATCAAGAAGCACGACAAGCAGACTGGATGGCACCTCAAACCCATTTTTGCTGCGCGTCTCAACGCAAAGCCCTTTTACAACACAAACTACGATGCGACTGTGGTGCGAGTTTCCAAGATCTACGACACTGTGCGTACCCGTGGTTCTCCTACAGAAGGTGACTCTGCTGCTGGCGGCAGACAGCAAAACTTTGTTCGACAGACTACCAAATACTGGGTCCACCCAGACAATGTCACAGAACTCAAGTTGTACATCTTGAAGCACTTGCCCGTGCTCGTCTTCAATGCCAACAAGGAGTTTGAGATTGAAGATTCTGCCATTACGTCCATCTACTACGACAACAATGAGCTGGAACTCTACCTTGGCCGTCTGGAAAAGTCTGAGGGAGCCGAAGCGATGCGTCTGCGTTGGTATGGCGGATTGGGCAACAACACCATCTTCGTTGAGCGGAAAACACATCGCGAGGACTGGACGGGTGAAAAATCAGTCAAGGCGCGTTTCCCGATCAAGGAGAAGAATGTGAATGCCTTCATGAAGGGCGACTTTACAGTCGACGACTTGTTTGCCAAAGCAAGACAGGAGGGCAAAAAGTCAATCAAGGAAATTGAAGACCTTGAAAAGCTGGCAACAGAGGCACAGTACACGATCATCACCAAGAAGCTGAAACCTGTCGTGCGCTCTTTCTACAACCGAACGGCCTTCCAGCTACCAGGCGACGCGCGTGTGCGTATCTCGCTCGATACTGAGCTCTCGATGGTTCGCGAGGACGACTTTGATGGCAAGCAACGTGCTGGCGACAATTGGCGTCGCATGGACATCGGCGTGGATTGGCCCTTCAAGCAGCTCCCGGCAGGCGAGAAGGAGCTCTTCCCTTATGCTGTGCTCGAAGTCAAGCTGCAGACTGCCATGGGTCAAGAAGCACCGCAGTGGGTCCGAGACCTCGTCTCTTCGCATCTCGTCGAAGCTGTCCCGAAGTTCTCGAAATTCATTCATGGTGTTGCGAGTCTTGTGCCAGAAAAGGTCAGCGTTGTGCCATACTGGTACCCACAGATGGGCGTCGATATTCGCAAACCCGCCACCAAGAACTTTGGCATTGAACGACCAAGTCACCAGCTGTCCGGCACAACTTCTGACGTCAACACAGAGTCGCAGTCGCATTCGTCAGACTATGATGCAAATGCTATGGATGAGGAAGAGCGTCTTGCCTTTCACGACAATGAGATCCGATCCAGGCTGTACCGGGCGCAAGAAAATACGGCAGATGAACATGATGATGAGGATGAGTATATGCCCTTGTTGTATCGTGGAGCCTTGCGCGACCCAAGCCAAGACGATATTTCTCGCAAAATCAGCCGCAAGCTGCAAAAGTGGCAAGACAAGATTTTCAAGAAGCAAGTCGATGGTAGTGATCAGCAGCGAGCCGACAAGGTCTCGTATGTGCAGACATTCACTGCGCCTCCCGGGAAACGCATTGCTGTTCCTGTGCGCATTGAACCTAAAACATACTTTGCCCTTGAGCGCACATTCCTTTCTTACATGGAATTTGCTATTCTCATTGGCAGTATCGCCGGTGCACTTCTCAACTTTGGTAATGACTGGGTGACCATCTCTGCTGCATTTTCTTTCATGGTCACGTCCGTACTGGTCTTGCTCTACTCGCTCTGCATGTACATCTGGCGCTCGTACAACATCCGACTCAAGCGTGCCGTTCAGTACGACGATCGCTTCGGACCGACAGCTGCTTGTGTCATCTTGCTACTGAGCTTCGTTGTAAACAGCGGCCTGCACTTCTTCTACAAGAAGAAGTGAGGGGATCTCGTAGCGGCGGGTTAGGCCCAATTCTGTAGTCACTTTACTTTCTGTATAGTTGACCTCTACCACACACTGAATAACTGTCCACTGTGAAGCTTGGATGAATCAGCAATGAAGCGCTCCTATGATGCTTATGCTGGCAAAGCAGGCCAGGCCCAGTCTCTAAGCTCCTCTTTGAACAAGCGCGCGCAACTTCCTGAATCTGCTGTGCAGCGACAAGCTCCAAAGCAATCTACGGGGTCTCCTCTACCGGCCCATCCCTTTGAAGGATGGCCACTCTATACAGGCATTTCTGATCCGCTACATGATCGCAAGTCTATCTTTGTGGGTTATTACTTCCCGCTAGAAACAACGAGCGAAGCGAATCGCCTGCTCAACAAGTTCAAAAAGTCACCTCTGGTGCAAGGTGCAGACCATGTCATGTCGGCCTGGCGCGTCTATGCCGATGGTTCGAGCACAAGCGGGCAAACGACACTCGACGCTTTCACTGCGCAGGCTAAGCCAGGCGGAGAGCGTCAAATCATCACGGGTGGCGACGATGATGGCGAGCGCTTTTCATCAGAAAAGCTCATCAGTCTGCTGGCAACAAGCAATACTATTGGTCTTATGGTTTGTACGCGTGTCTATGGTGGAATCATGCTAGGGCCTGCTAGATTCGCGCACATCACGAGGGTTTGTCAGGATGCGCACACAATATCGCGAAATAAGCGTATCCTGGCACAGCGCGCAGAGACAAGTGAAGAGGCTGAACGGTCCAAGTGTTTGCGACAACTCAAGGCTAGAGATATGAGCATTGCGTCTATCCGAAGCTCACTGGCACGCAGTAATTCAAGTCTATCGCAGCTCTCTGCCAGTCCAGACAGAGTGGAGGCAAGTCTGGGCGTAGACAAGTCGACAGAGACGCCATTGTTTGCTGCCGAAGAGCCTGCTACACAAGGATCAGCTACACTGTCTCCTCCTTCGACACCAAAGTCAAAGAGTCAACAAAATGATTCGGCTCCACTGACGCCCAGCTCGCCTTCTGCAAGCAAAACGCAAGAAGTTTACGCCCAGAAGTCATTAGAGACGCTCAAACGCTTGCTGGCGGCACGCGACTTGACTATTCAGATACTCCGTGCCAAGCTTAAGTCTAGTCCTGTCAAGACACCGCAACGTAGTGGTCCATTGATGGATGATGTGACTGCAAGTCAGCAGCGTACACACAATGCAAAGCTGTTTCTAAGTGATGTGGAAGAATAATGATAATGATACATGAACATAGCAAATCTAGCTTTCAATCATGGCTGCATAGCCTTTGAATTCGACGACCCCTCTACTTTTGACGACACAAGTCACTTTGCTGACCCATTTTGCGGTAAAGCGTGTTTGGGCATCAGTGCCAACCATCAAATCGTCTAGTTGCGCTTGTGGCAGCATCTCTTTGAGGTCGCCATGCGTAAAGAGCTTAATGTTTCGGTCTTTTGCAAGTGCAATCAAATCTGCAGGCATCACACAGCAGTCTTTGAGATTGATCTGATTGACGGTGGGCAGCCCTGCATCATTGTATTCGGCCGCTGTGTCGTAAAGCTGCTTTAGCCGTGCGGCGCTGAATTCCGACACGCCGAGGCCTTTCGCTTTGCCTTGTGCAACGAGATCTTGAGCTGCTTGGTATACTTTTGCAATATCCTTCAAGCTTGCCTCGTCAAACGCGTCTTCCTCGTCTTCAGCATCGAGAACAATGCCAGGAAACGCCAGTATGAGCAAGTCAACCGACTTTACTTTGAGCTGTTCAATGGTCGCATCAACACACCGTGCGACATCCTCTGATCTACTTTCTGCAGTTGTATCCGGTGTGAAAAAGAGCTTCAGTGTAATCTCATACTCGTCGCGGTCTTCGGAAAGCAGGGCGTCATCAGTCGCAGAGTCATTGGTCGCTAGACTCTGCTTCAGTGCAGCAATCAGTTCTGCATTCGAGTCACTCAACGCTGTATGATTGGGCGATAGCCGCATAGCATTATCAGACTGGAGTATGCGAGCCACCATGATAAGCACCCAGGTGTACTGTTTCTTGTCGTTTGTGGTTGCAATTGACGTCGTCTTTTGAGATTTGAAATATAAATACGGAAGTGTACAGACGAGAACTACTCCAGGTCAAAGGCCTCAGTTGAAGGGTGGATAGTCTGGAAGATTCAAGGCCTCAACAGCCTCGACCACGCCGGCTCCTTTCTTCTTGTCCTTGCCCGTAGCAGGCACGCCATGTCCTCCTGAGGCACCACCCGTATGACGCATGAGCGTCTCTATCCGTCTCAGGTCATCAGCCACAAACTTGACAATCTGGTTGAAGACACGCGCACGTTCATTATGCGCCTCGATCGGTGTTGTCTTGTCGTGGATGGGGTCGGCCATGGCATAACGCCGCCGCGCATCCATAATCGCTTGTCTGTGCAGATGCACCAGCGCATCCATGACTGTTTCTGCACACGTCTGTTCTTGCTTATCGAGTTTGAGCAGCGTATGCCGAAGTTCCTTCTTGCACTCTGCAATCTGTACCTTGAGCACATCGTAGCGAGCGCTCTGCTTGCGTAGAGAGGATGTTACAGGACTTGGCAGGGGCTTACCAGACGAGTAGGCTCTTGCAAGGCCCTGCATCTCATTTGTATAAATCTGCCATAGTTTACGCTTATCCTTGTTACGAGCGTCCATGGCTTTACGCAGCGTGTTGGAGGTATAGGGATGCTCTGAGCGCATAAAATCGACGATTCCTTGTAGATACAGCAGATCAATAAGCAGGGTCTGCGACTCGTATGACTCGGCAGCTGCAAGAAACTCGTCGAATCCGCCCGCTGGAGCGCTCCGTGTTGGCGAGGGTGATCCAGCATCGCGGCGATCAGGCAAGGAGGGGGATGGCAAAGATGTCTCTCGGTCTTGTCGCTCGCTCGCATGCAGACTAGACAGTGTCGGCAGTTGCTCGCGGCTGACATTACGCGAGCTACCAGCTGAGCCTAATCCTGGTCGCCCATGGAGACCACTTGATGGGCGATTGGTAGCTTGCTCGAGCCTTGGTGATTTTGTATCGATGCTCTGCGACTTGTAGGACTCGTACTCCTGGACTGCACTATAGATGGAGTTCCGTAGCGCAGCATACTGGTCCATCTGTGTCGACAGCCTTGTGCCTGGCTCAGCGCATGCACCCACTTCTCGGTGTTGCTTGTTTTGTCGCGGTTTGATCTCGACAATTTCGCGCTTTCATGCAAGAGACGACGGTGGCAGGCGACGAAGTCGTTGTTCAGGAGGTGATAAGCCCCTGAGCAGCTGTCTCAGCGGTCATGGCACCATCGAGGCCTCCAGGTGTGACTGGAGAGCCCATCAAGCAGCAGTCGCTGGACTTGTACGCCTCGGCCTATGTGCCTGCTTGGCAGCTCAAGGTCAATCAGTCTGCTGGTACATATATACCGCTGCAGCCCAAGGAGCATGAACACGACTACGAGGCGTGGATTACATCCTGGTCAGAACCTTCTCTATGGTCTGAGAAGCCCAAGGAACAGAAAAGCACCGAAGAGCTCACCTTCGTGCAGCTCTATCTAAAGCATCTCGAGAGCTTGTGTGACCTAGAGCTTGAAGCACAATATGCTAGATTTGCTACGTACAACCGTTATGATACGGCTCTGCTACCTCTGGAACGCGCAGACGCACCCAGCGGACTTTATGTCTGTGAAGTGCCTGGTGTCCAAGAATTCACACCACCAGCAATGCCGGGTGACTTGGTTCAGCTGCGTCAATTGATTCCTGAACGGCAGATGGCAGATGGCTACATCTATACTGCACGCGTGTATGCTTGTGAACGTCGTAAAGGTAAAGTCATCCTGCAGATACCGGACATCTGGTACCACTCTGGCCGGTTCAACCTCGAGTTCTTCTACAACAGCAAGACCATGTTTAACATCAAACACGAGCTTGCTGCTGCAGCTCTGGATGCGTCGACTTGGATGCATTCGCATCTCAATCCGAAACCCCATCATGGACGTATACAGACAGAGTTGACACGATTGCTGCCCTTCAAGTGGTATGACAAGTCACTCAACCTAGAACAACAAAAAGCAGTACAAGACGTCGTTCATCGTCCGTATGGAGATGAGATTCCTTGGTGCTTACACGGTCCTGCTGGGACAGGCAAGACGAAGACTGTCTGCGAAGCAATCTTGCAAGTGCTGTTAGACAAACCAGACGCACATGTTCTAGCGTGTGGGCCAAGCAATACGGCTGCTGACACAATCGCCATGCGCCTCATTGCGCATATTCGCAACCCGGCAGATTTACTTGTGCTGAACCTCGACAATCGGACGTTCGCAGAGGTGCCTGAGCCGTTGTTGCCGTTTTGCCATGTCACGGATGGGTCTTTCACAATGCCAACTTTTCAACAGCTGATGCGGTATCGCGTCATTGTTGGTACGTGCACAGCAATCTGCGAGCTCACACAAAATAGGTGTCGCAATTTAGATTTAGCCAAATTTGAGGCACAAGCGATGCAAAAGGTGCAATGGTTGCATCCGGCTATGCAGCACACCATCAAGCCTCATTTTACACATCTCTTCATTGACGAGGCAGGACAAGCAGGCGAGCCAGAGACGATTGCTGTTTTGCGCGTTGTTGAGTACCCCGGCGTGTCTGTTGTGCTCGCTGCAGACCACAAGCAATTGGGTCCTCAACTCGAATCAAGTGTTGCACGCCAAAAGGGATTGGATGTTTCGCTGTTTGAAAGGCTCATGGATCGAAGCGTGTACTGCGATCATCCGTACGCACGGCGAAACCTCATGAAGAATCCTCGGCCTGCGTTACCATTTGCTTATCCACCATTCTGCAACCTCTATCGCAATTATCGCTCACATCCGGCAATTTTGATGGTGCCGAGTTTCTTGTCGTATGACTCGAGTTTAGCTGCTTGCGCGACAGATGTCGATGGCGTTGCGACACGGCTGGGTCGCATCCCTGTGGAATTTATTGCACACGAGGGTAAGGAAGAGATGACAGACTTGAATGTCGTGCATTCCTGGTACAATACAGCAGAAATCAAGCTCATCAAGGAACGCATCTTGAAGTTGCAAGAATGGGTACAACCGAAGGATATTGCCGTGATTGCTCCATTTCGCGAACAAGTCGTCAAGATTCGCTTCGCTTTGCGTGCTGTCCAACTTGCTGCCGTAGGTGTGGGTACCGTGGAAGATTACCAAGGTGCAGAAGCTCAAGTTGTGATTGTTTGTCTTGTGCGAGCACAAGAACGCTTCCTCGATGGCGATCTCACTGCAAATCTCGGTCTCATCAACCAAAAAAGACGCATGAATGTTGCCCTGACTCGTGCAAAACAATTGTGTGTTGTGATTGGCAATGCGTCCTTATTGGCAAGTGATCCACACTGGCAAGTCTTTCTCAAATTTTGCAAGCGGCATGGTGTTTGTTCGGGAACGCCGTTACCTGCATCGTTGCAGGTAGATTCGATTGAAGCGCTCTCGACCATGGAACGTGCGTATTTGTTGCGTCATGATGATGAGCGTGTTTTGGGAGGATCCACAATCACTCATGAACAAAATGGGTACCCTGCAATAGCAGAGCTGATTGTTGGTGGTACAGCGCAGATGGTATTGGATGGTGAATAGATGCCTGGTGACATGTATACAGCTCAAGCGGGATTTGATGTATTGTGTAAGACCTGAGAGAGTGCCAACCAGGCTTCAATCTTATTGACTGGCGCTTTGGGGTCGGGTAGGTTGGCATTTCCATAACAAGTCAAACTGCTCAAAGCTGCCTGTACCTTGAATGTGCGTACTTCTTCCAACTCTGCTTCATCTTCGTCCTCTTCCCGTCTGCTCATTGGCTGTGTTTGTGCCTGAGCAGAATTGTCAAGGACGAAAGCTTTATAGCCGGTAGGAATAGCAACATCACTGCCAAGGAGTCGTCTGCCTCGGAAATAAGCTTCTTTTTGAGGACCTGCGACTTCTCCTGCAACTTGATCAAGTTCAACTGGGTGGAAGTGGTCAGCGACAGGTGCAGGGCCGGAGTATTTGACGAGGCAGGGTAGAAGTGAGCCTTGGACGGGAGGAGCAGAGGAGCTGGTATCGAGTATGATACGAGCTTGCATGTCAGCAGCAGAATACTCAAATATCGATAAAAGAGCAAGTAGCGGTAATTGTAGTAGGACTGAGTAAGTTGTTTCTATTTGTTTCTTTTTCTCACGTGCCTCCAGATTACGCAACGAGTCGCCTCCCCGCATACATGAAGAAGCTACTCACCCCGACCATCTCCCTCAGCTCATCCAGTACAGCGCAGCGCTCATATGGCCGCAGCAACGCCCGCCATCCTTCCAGTGATTCCCCTTCTCAAAGAATCCATCCTCTTCCCCTCCCTGGTTCTACGCCTCGTTGTCGATCGTAAAGACACAGCAGCGCATCTCTCCTCCCTCGTCTACGCAACAGACCCGTCTCCACTCATCGCTTGTATCCCACAACGCCTCGATTCCACAAGGACTGCAGATCCAATCACTGCCTCCATTTCTGAAATCAAAGCGAATCTCGCGACGTATGGCTGTCTCGGTCGTCTTATCCGAATGGAACGAACGAACGGAACGGTGATTGCCGTGATTGAAGGTCGTTCTCGCATTCGAATGGATGCATGTCATGTTGCGAAAGATGGGTCAGGGATGTTGGAAGCGCAGGTGACGTATTTCAAGGATGGTCCACTTGCAACGACGGATATGGATGCACAGACACGATTGGCGTCACTCAAGGGAGCCTCGACTGAACTCATCACAACACTCAAAGGTTTGAAATTACCGGCTGTGTTGTTGAGACGGTTGGAGAATTTCATTGGTAAGGCGAATGGTGATAATGCCGGTCAATTATGCGATTTGATGTCTTCTGTCGTGGAAGGATCTTATGAGGAGAAAATCGCAATTCTACAAGCAACAGATGTCTCTGAGCGTGTTGGGAAAGTGCATGAACTCGTTTCACGGCAATTGAATACCATCAAGGTGACGCGCAAGATTAGCAGTACGGTGGATCAGACCCTCAACAAGCAACAAAAGGAGTATATCCTTCGACAAAAACTCAGCGCTATCAAGAAGGAATTATCACAAGCAACGGGTGATGATGGTGGTGAAGAGGAAGATGATGCAAGTGAGTTGCAGAAACGCATCGATGCCGCTGAATTATCGACTGAAGCACGAACAGTCGCCACAAAGGAATTGAAACGATTGAAGCGCATGCAGCCACAACAGGCAGAGTATCAGGTCATTCGGACGTATTTGGATCATATCCTGGAAGTTCCCTGGCTGAAACAGTCGCAGAGCCAAGCGCTTGAACGGACCTCCATTGAAGCTGCACGACGACAACTGGATGACGATCACTTTGGCTTGGAGAAAGTCAAGAAGCGGTTGATTGAGTATTTGGCAATCTTGCGGTTACGACAGATGCTTGAGGCTGAAAAGACGCCTGAATTCAAGTTGTGATTGTATAGGGAGTTTAGTTGAAATATCATTACAATGCCATGCCTCGCTCTAATGCTATCAAGAAAATAAACAATGTCGTACAAGCCATGCGGATCATTACAATTTGAGAAGATAACTCCGGGTCATCTCAAATGTGAGGAAGGAAGAACTCATGGAAGGGACCACTTTGAGCAAGTTGGCAGCAATGCCCTTGTAGAAACCTTTGAGTCCCTCTTTCGCTGCAATGGTGCGGCAAGCATGCCAAACACTGGTATACCCATTCCCCATCACCATATTGACTTGGAAGCGTCTCCGTAGCACATCAAATGGATATGTCATGAATTGTGCAACACCACCGGAAATAGCACCACTTGCAAGTTTCTGCAATGCGGTGGGTTCTCCGCCTTCTAGTGTGACAAAGTGTTTACGGACACTTTCATAAACTGCAAAGTTGATACCGACATAAGGTGCGACGCCGTAGATGGTGGGCATGATGCCGCGATAGAGTCCACGCATCCCGCCTTCGAGATTGTATATTTGTTTCATGACACCCCACATGCCGGGTAAGGCTTGTTGCTTGTGTTTTGGGAGGTTTGCAAAGTCTGCGCATTGGATGGAGAGACGGGTGCGGGTGATGTCGAGTGGGTAGGTGAAGGCGACTGAAGTGATACCGGCAAGTCCACCTGCCACCAACTTCATCACGACGGACAATTCCGCGTCGCCTTGAGAGAGGAAGAAGGGCTTGTAGAGGTTGTAGGAGGCGAATTGAATGGCGCTGTAGGGGAAGATGCGCAGACAATTACTGCCATTGCCGCGCATATACCCCCGCCAACCTTCTTCCTTCCACATCTTGACGAGGGTTGGCCATACGCCATTGTAGGCTTGTGACCCTGGTGATTGGATTTGGAAGAGGATCTTCATGCGTTCGAGGGGCGAGACGACTGTGCGTGAGACACAGCCTGCCATGCCGCCTGCAATGAAGTTGACGGTGACGTTGGATCGCATTGCGTCGATGAGGGTTTGTGGGAGGAGGGAGATGGATGTGTGTTGGACGGCGGTGTCTGGTGGCTGCGGCTGTACTTTTATAGGGGATGCCATGGTGATCTCTCTACTTCTCTCTCTTACCAGTAACTATAGCTAGTGAGTAAGTAGTGTTGAGTAGTTCCGGGAGTGTCCGATACCGTGAGAATAATGCCCATCTGATCTCGTGCCTGTGACTGCTGCGAGTAAACAGGAAAAGAGAAGCAGCAGCAACAAGCAGCAGACAGACAAGAGACAGACAGACAGAGTACCCAGGCAGACAGACAAAAGCAGGTACGCAGCATCAGGTGGGGCGGATACGTTCATGAGGGACCAGGAGGGATTGGATGGTGATGGGCAGTGCAGCAGCATCGGCCTTCAGCTGCACTCGATTGAGCGACGGTGCTGAATGCCCAGGCGTATGCAGGCGTATACAGGCGTGTCGGCTCATGTAGCTCTGTGCATGCTGCAATGCTCATCTCCATCCTTCCCTACTTCCCTCTCGCTCCGCCCCCCAGTGCAAAAGCTCAAAGACTAACGTTCTAGCAAACATGGGTCTCGATATCCAAAAGCACCACGTCAAGAAGGGCGCACGTCAGGCACCCAAGTCAGACAACGTCTACCTCGCCCTCCTCGTCAAGCTATACCGGTTCCTCTCCCGCAGGACGGACAGCAAATTCAACAAGGTCATCCTCCGTCGTCTCTTCATGTCAAAGACCAACCGACCTCCCATGTCCATCTCCAAGGTCGTTCGCGAGCTCAACGGCAAGGACCAGACTGTTGCTGTTGTCGGTACCATCACCGATGATGTGCGCATGTTGCAAACCCCCAAACTCTCCATTGCCGCTCTTCGTTTCACCACCTCTGCTCGTGCGCGCATTGAGAAGGCCGGTGGTGAGTGCTTGACATTCGACCAGTTGGCCGCTCGTTCCCCAACTGGCAGCAATGTTGTCTTGCTCCGTGGTTCACGATGGCGTGAAACCCTCAGGCACACCAACATGCACCCTGGTTCTCACTCGGCGCCGTACGTGCTCAAGGGCAATGGCAAGCGCAAGACGCAGGAAATTGCGCGTGGTCGCCGAAAGTCTCGTGGTTTCAAGGCAAAGTAGATATTCTTTGCTCTTTGCTCTTCCATCAAACCATCCATGTCTTTATGACTGCACAACTCAAGGGTGGCTCTGCATCGCTCTTGTTTTAGCGAAATACACAAAATACTTCATCATCTTTTATCCATTCTTGATCCTTGCTATGATTGCTACGGCATGTGACTCCGCGGTGCGAGACTCATGCGTGTCTTGCGACCGACATTCTCCAGCTCGATTGTCTTGAGTTGATATTGCAACCGTGCCTTCTTTGCTCTGAGTAGACGCATCCGTTCAGCACGCTCTGCCTGACCCGCTGCTTCATGCCCACTTGCCTCTTTCACACTCGCACTCGCACTTGTACTCGTACTGGAGGTTGTTGATTGTAGTCGTACTTTATTCAAGGCCACTTTACTCTTCAAACCTTGTTCACGTCGTTCCTCACCCGTCACCCATTTCTGTGCTCGACCGAGTAATTCCTCCCGCAACGGACCAATCTCAGCAACAAGCTCACGTTGCGCTGCCAAGACGTGTGATTCTGGGAGTAATTCGAAATGACGCGTGTTGGCAAGGACGGTGTGTAGGCGTGGGAAATCAGCGATACTGTCGTGGAAGATGTCGAGGCTGTTTTGGAGGGTTGTGCAGGAGGCGCGAAGGGATGCGACACAGCCCTCGAGGGACATGATGCGTGGTTGCTTTGAGTGTTGTTGTCTGCCTTTGTCGCCCTTTTTGTTTTTGTGTTTTTGGTTGGACGCGACGAAATGAAGCTGACACCTTACTTGATCATGGCTTTCATGGCTTTGGTATTCAGGCCATCATATCTCCAATGGAAGCTCCAGACATGCTACAAAAAAGTCAAAGACTAAGCAGAATCTACAGCTGGGCTAAGGGTGAAGTGATCCTTATTGGCTGCTGAACAGAGACGCGTTGGGAGACACTACTGAATCATGAAAAGCCCATGAAGCCTTCTCTAATGAGCTGTAGACAGGATGCATTCATTCATTCGAATTTCTATTAAACGAGACAAAGCTGTCGCATGCTGAAGGGGAAGCCAAAAAGACCAAAGTCGAGTAACAAACAGCTATGATGCATCTTCCTCCATGCCATGTTTTGCAGGATTCACACGAACACTCTTGGAGATCTCCACCGTGCGTGTCAAGTGACTGAGCCAACTACTGCGATACCTCAAGACACCCCGAACAATCAGCTGGAATGGGTGCTGAATAACACGCTCCCAAACAAGATGCCCATCCCCATCATCTGTTGAATTGCCAGGTTTCTCAAGCCGTAGTGCACCATGCGGAGTACTCACACTACCATTGTAGAAGCGTGACTCGAATAACAACGCTGCATCGAATTCATACACACGACCAAGTAGAAGGGTTGTAGAATCTTCACCGCTTCCTGTATGCCACCAAGAAGGCAACGGTACGTCTCGTACATACGGTGACTCTGCAAACACTGAGATTTCCACTTCATTAACCTGTACTGCGAGTGCATTGGGGTTGATGGCTTGAACAACCACATCAAAGATGAGTTCTTGCTTTGATACAAGGACGTGGGAGAGGTCGAGGACTTTGACATTGCGGAGTGGTTGTGTGGTAGAGAGCACAGCAGCGCCGAGCATCAGGACAACGAGCATAAGGCACACAATCGCCATGAGAAAGGGAACCCCTGCAAAGAGAGAAGCAGATTTATTCCTGTGATGACCTTGTGTCGTTCCATACGCGGTATGCATCCCTGATTGACTTTCACCACGTCGAAGGAACGGTGTACGTTCAGAACCAACTCCATTCTCCTCATCTTCATACAAGGACCACGCATTGAACTGTTTCGGTCCACGAGCCTTTTTCGCGCCACTCGTGCCATACGGTGAAGCAGGACGTGAAAGTTGTCGCGGTGAGTTATGGCCGCTAGAATGCGGACTCGATCCCTTTCGCTCCAATCCAGGTCGTAGTCTCGGCGATCTAAAAGGTGATGTTGTATCTTGCCCTGGTGTCGCTGACCCGGGATACCCACGCAATGTATAGCTGACACGCCGATCTTCATCCTGTGGATGCGCAAATTTCATGCTTCGCTTTCCAGAGATGGCATGGCCACGTCGGCTTGCATGTCGTAGATCGCGCGAGAGGGATGCAATGCGATGACCTGTCTCTGCGTGATGCTGGGAGGGAACACCCACTCCACCGCCACTACTACTGCCGCTACCGACTGCTAGTCCTGGCGCAAGGCTGGAGGGTCCGACTGCATGACTATGCGCGCTGGTCCCATGTAGCGATGTCAAGCTCGGGCTTCTACTCAGTCGTTTGGGAGATCTCGGATTCGATTCATACACAAACGTCTCGTCGCTGTCGCTGTCTTCATTTTCATCAACAGCTTGCGTGATGGTTGCAGCGAAGATCTCTGATTTGGTAGGGACATGTTGAGCAGCTTGTCCCATGGGTGTATTAGCACGATCGCCAGCAACAGCCAACCTCGATTTTTTCTTCTTTGGTGGCTTTGCGCTTGGTCTGACAGTATCGGTGGAAGCACGACTGCGAAGACTACGACTCGAGTGTTCGGCTTTGAGGGTTGACATGTTGGCGACTGTCTCCGTTTCAATGGTCATGGTGCGTTTTGGTTCTTCATTGATGGAACGACTGGCTGCACGGCGGGAGAAGACACTGAGTCTGCCAGGTTGTGGTGGTCGTGCTGTAGGTCCTTCTGCACTAGCGAGTGTGGTAGAGACCGCAGGGGGTACGCGACGATGTGCACTGAGTAACGATGAAGCATAGCCGCCTGTCTCTGAATCCGATTCAGTGAGTAAGCCTGAAGAGGTGGCTGTGCCAGGACGTAAGGCGCCGTCCGTGCTCTCTGTAGAGGGTTTCGCCATGACCCTCGCCGTTGCGCCCCTTGTTGGAGCAGATGCGTTTGATGCGGGGGATTCAGACAACTCTGCAGTGACATTCGTCGGTAGCGCAGAGAGAGTCGAGGCAGGTGAGCCATCTTCCTCTTCAATTGGACTGGGTGGCTGCATCCGCAGCGTTGGAACAATGAGCCGCGAGGTGTCTGTCACCATGCGGCCGTCCTGCCAGTGGCAGCTTGATGGATGAGCAGAGCAGTGTTCAGTAGTAGCTTGCGAGGTATAGCTTATAGCTTATAGGATGTAGCAGTCTTTGTGTGTGTTGTCCACGAAATATCAAAAGTTGTCCAAGGTCAGTCAGTCGCAGTCAGTAGTTCTACTCCCTCAGTCTCAACCCAAGACGCGCGCCCAAATCAAAACAACACAAACCGACAACCACCCCCTCTCCATACACACACCTCCTCCCTTGTTCACTAGGCCCGACAGCATATACTCCCTGTAATCACTATTCACCAACCAGACCCAGGGTCTCTACTGCCTGTGACGGTCCAGGTCGCAACCAGGCCAGTCATGTCTGCACATAAGCGATCCACCTCAGCCGACAAGCCAAACTTCACCGTCCCCTACAGCCGTGGACGCGCAGGCTCCCTCGGGAAACGAGCAACAACGGCGATTGCCATACCGCCCACTGTAGCTCCATTGCAGGAACACAATGGATTCGTCAACAGCCCATCGCCACTCAAACGCTCAGATGCGCTGATGAATCTCGATCAAACATCCATGGGCAGTCCGAGCCAGATGCGATCCAGACGATTTGGTCAAGTCAGGAAGCAACAGTCTGTCGATGACTTCTTGCCACCGGGTCATCGCGATTCGCCGTTCGGCACACCGGCGGCTGCACTATCGAATCCATCGGCACATATCCTACCGGCGGCCAACATGCGCTTCGAGCATAAACCACGCGCACCGCATCCTTTTTCGCGTGGGAGTATAACGCAGTCTAGCAGCGAGGGAGAGGTATCACTCGGCAATGCACTCGACCAAACAGCAGGCATCACGGGCGATCTCTCCCTATCGAGTATACGACTCGGCCTCGACAATTCAAGAATAGACTACAACACGCCGTCTCTCAAGCTAGTCAAACCATTGCAAACGGCTTTCATGTCAACGGGTTTACTCAGTAAGCGCAATCGACCAGCGGAACATCTGAGGATCAAACCTACACCCGATACACCCTGTAAACGGCCAGTCAATGGTCCATTGCCAACAACGCCGGGGACACCTTCACATAATAGCGGTGGGAAGGAATTTTTTGCTGCTAGTCCGTGGACACCGGCACCCACCCAGGATTTTGCTGGCAGTACGAGTATGCTCCATGGCGATTCTTCTTCCTTCGATGAATATCACCTCTATGTCGATAATGAGGGCGAGTCGTCCATCATCTATGCCAGTTCTGCGACAGATCTCGATCAGCTCCCACTCACACCAACAAAGGGACTCTTTGGACTTGGTGGCCGACAAGTCTTATACCCTGGCTCTGCACAACCTACGCCTGCTGTGGATAAGCGGAAACGATCGCTTTTTGGTGGTTCACCCAACTCGCAAGATCAGCATAAGAACATGTTACCCTCCACAGAGACCTGCATACCGGATGCATCGCGCCTATCCTTACGAACATCGACACCTTCACATTCACGCATTACGCACTTTCCACTCATCAGCCCACCACCCGCGGAAACCACTGTCATGTCACCCATCACCGTCATCCCGGCATGTCTCGAACGGCGCTTCAATCACGTGAAACGTATCGGTGGTGGAGCATTCAGTGAAGTTTACAGTGTCGAGGAACGAAAGACCCATCGCAAATTCGCTATTAAAAGGAGTAAAACGCGGCATGGTACAGCGCAAGGCCGGCTTCGTCGTCTTGAGGAAGTCGAGATTCTGCAAAAGATCGGACCGCATGAACACATCTTGGAACTTTTTACCTCGTGGGAGGAAGAATCACATCTCTACATGCAGACTGATTTTTGTGAGAATGGTTCGCTGGATGTCTTTTTGCAAGATGTTGGTCAGCAATCTCGACTGGATGAATTTCGTGTTTGGAAGGTGTTGACGGAATTGTGCCTTGGCGTGTCGTATATCCACGACGCTGGCTTTCTGCACCTCGACCTGAAGCCAGCCAATATCCTTGTTACGTTTGAAGGGGTCCTCAAGATTGGCGATTTTGGCATGAGTTGTGCATGGCCTGCACCGGCGCACACGGAACGTGAAGGGGATCGTGAGTACATTGCCCCCGAAGTCCTGAGTTCTGGCATCTACGACAAACCCGTTGATATCTTCTCTCTGGGTCTCATGATCTTCGAAGTGGCTGCCAATATCGTCTTGCCGGATAATGGCACGAGTTGGCAAAAATTGCGGTCGGGTGATTTATCGGATGCGCCACGTTTGAGTAGTTCTGATGAAGGTGCGTTGATGATTCAAGGTGAGCATGTTGCACCGCATCGGTATTTGGGTCAAGGTGGGCTTGATCGTGTTGTCAAGTGGATGCTCTCGCCTGATCCATCAGAACGACCCACAGCCGTGGAAGTTCTCAATGTCGAAGAAGTCGTTTGGGCGAATCGTGTGCGCAAAGCAGGCGCCATCATCTTTGAAGGTGATCGCGGACCGGATGCGCAAGAGGGCGATTACGATATCTACGCTGGCAATGGGTGTGTTGCTATTCAAGAGGACGACAATGACTGGCGCATGGAGATGTGATGAACTTGATGCTTCTTCTTCCCTGTCTATAGCTTTCTTCTCCTTTTCCTTTTTCTGCTCATGTCGATTATGTTTCTAGCTCATGTATGACTATGTCTGTATACTTACCCTGCTCTTCTACCCTCCAAGCCTAGCTATACACAAGGCACTTCCACTGTATGGTCCCTTGACCCATCTGAAGCGCTCTTCATCTGTTTGCTACGTCATGTTTGAGCTAGAGTTCCTTGTTCGCAACAACCATCAAGCATCTCTAAGAGCTGTATAAGCGGGAAAGCCATGTCCATCTCCTATGCGCCGTCGCATCGCTCTCGAGATGCAGACCACGGCTCCTCTGGCAAGCAAATCGCATCCGTCGACTCTACAAACCAAATGGATAACAACACCAACAAGCAACACGAAGACCTGGTTGAAAAGCAAGGACGCAATGGCCAGACTGTCCAGAATAATCTCGATCCAGCGCGCAATGATATCAACCCACAACTCCTGACTGAATCAGAATTCCTCGCCAACTCACTCTGTTATGGCATGCGCGTTCCAACGGGCACAGCGAGTACTTGGGATCGGAGATTACCTGAACCTGCAAAGGAGTTTCAAAAGGCGCTATTGGCGCGATACGGCAATGCAGCGCGAGATTTTGCTATTGCGAATCGTAAAAAGCAGCATGAGCAGTTTGGACAGGAATTAGCAGACGCTGTAGGGACAGGCCAGTCGGATGCAGTGGAGGGGGCCATGCGCAGTGTCAATAACGAGTTTTCGGATCGCGGCCTCAAGGCTGGCGGTGACAATGGCAAGACGAAGGATACGAGTGGAAGTAATGCAGATGGTTCACATCGCTTTGAGGAAGGACGGCAACGTGGTCAAAATCCAACAGAGCCGGCGCATCATTTTGCGACACATGAGCCGACGACATGGGATCGGATACATGGTGGTGTTAAGGTTGCGGCAGGGACGGTGCGTATGGACCAGGATATCAAGACACAGGGGAAGGCTGAATTTAATGGGGAGACACGGGATCATTATTGAGAGATGTTATAATTGCAAGAAGCATATTCATGACCATTCTGAATCATTGATCATTCACTTTAAGGCCTTGACAGTTTCTTGTTGGCGCAAGATAGACGTGACCATCTCGTCGTCGAACGGCGCGTCTGGTTCTTGATTGCGACTCGACGCGACCAAAAGCATATAACCTTTAGCCAAAGCTTCAACTATACCATGTCAACGCTCTCTCGCTCAAACACTAAACGGAGAAGGGATGATGTAGCAGAAGAAGTGCCTCATGCTGCCTCTTCTCCCTCGAAACGTCATCAGCGGCGTCCATCTTCAGTAGCTCAAGACCAGAATCCCTACACAGACGTGAAAGCACCTCCAGATTTCCAAGAGAGCAAGGCTTTGCTCGCTAGACTGTTTCAAGCCCTGGAGACTGCCCTTCTTGCGTCTCTGTCCCCATCACCCAGTTTCCATGGGCTACAAGACGCTGTTGCCTATACTGCTAGAAGTCAATTTAACCTTTCTCATCTTGCTCAAATAGCTGGGGTTCAACCAGATGCTTTTACATTTGAGCCTGTCATGGTTCTACACAAGGGAAATCTCATACCTTCGCTGTCCGTCACGCCGCAGGGCATGGAGAATGGGCGCCATGTCGGCTCTAGTGCGCGTCTAGCGCACTTCAAAGAATGCCTAGCACGATGGCAAGGCCAATCTGCTCAGCTTCCTGAATTGGTCGTTCAATCAAGAACACCAGCACTGTCAGAGGGCAAACGTTCACTATTGCAGAAACCAGCTCAATCAGCAATAAGAATGGAAGAGCCCGGTACACTCCTTCGCGGTACGGCTCAAGCGCGTGAATCTGCACTTCTCGATCGCATCCTTGCCAAAAAACGCGCTAGGCTAGAAGAAGGCGTGCAGACTCCGGAAGATTTGACACAAGCGACTGTCCTGGCACTCGTACCAGCAACGATGATGAGTATCAAGATGTTATTGGCGTCAAAACCCAAAGCAGCAGCGAAGAGCCTTGGGATGCGCGAGCTGGTGGATAATCTCAAGACGAGTCTTCGTTCACGTACAGGCGAGGCAGAGATTCTTCAAATTATCCAACAGATTGCAAAGCAGTATCCTGGTTGGTGCAAAATTGGTCAAGTCGGACAGATTCAAATAGTTCGCTTTATTGGCGAAGCGCCGAGGCTCTAAGAATGCAAACGATCTAGCAATCCTCCTATAAAAGAAGTTTGAAGGGGTAGCCACCATTCTTCTGTCGGAAGAGCTGGAGCAAGAAGCTAAAGACCATCACTTGAATCACTACCCACACGCCTGCAAGCATAGCTTGTGTGCCTTCGTGCTTGATACGTGGGACACTGATCGCCAAGGAAATGGTGGAGAAGGCAAGGATGGCATATGTCGCAGCAACAATGTGCACCTCGGCGCCAAATTGTTCTTGGAAGCCTTGAGCGACGTAGCCACCACGGCTACTGTATGGCATGTGTCGAATCTGAGTAAACATCTGACCGCCGTTGAAGATGAGGATAGCGCCAATTGTCAAGACTGCCCAGAAATGGCGAGAGTAGAAGATGGTTCCAGCGACAGCGTAGAATATGTAGAGACTGCCGATAATTGCTGCAATGCTCACCACCATGCGTGTAAACTTCAAGTAGTCGAATGGACGCTTGATCTTCATCTTTGTGCCTGTGATCTGGCTGATCCATTCCATGGCCTGATCGCCAAGCTCTTCAGGCGAACTACCAGCGAAATCAAATCGAATAGGCTCAGGAGACTCATTCTCATTGGCAACCTTGGCGTGAGGGCCCTTGGTGGGCGGATAGATCCAAAGGTTGGGAGCACTAGCGATTTGCAGCTTCTGAAAAGTCTCTTGGCCAGCACTGAAATCCAAATTGCCCAAGATGATTTCTGGTGTGTTTTTGCCACGCGACGCCTGCGCTGCACGAACTGTAGACCCGATAGCCTTGAACTGCGGATCAAACTCCTTGCAGAACGCACAGTTGTATTGCGAGCCAAGGGCCGTGAGGAGGACAACAGAGTAATGTTCGCGCGGAACGGCAGTCAGGGCTGTGTAGCGCTTGTCATTGAGCTGAACGAGACCATGACTGTCAACGGGCAGGTCAGACACGGCTGCCAACGTGGCAGACACGAGAGACAAGGCCACAATGAGCTTCATTGAAGGAGCTAGAGGGTGTCGCGTTTTAGTGTGTAGGTGGTTGAGGAGATGACAGCGCGGCAACCAGGAGCGCGCCGCCCAATTTCACACGCAGCAAGAAGCAGACACACAGAAGCTACTTTGCTACTGGTAACTGGATCTTTGGGAAGGGATGCCCGGATGCCGCCAGGGCCACCGCTGCTTCTCCATTCCCCAGACACTCTTGCGTGTCTTTGACATCCATGGACAAATCCGCTGCAAGACAACAGCTTCCTCTTCTCGCTGGCTGGCTCGGCAAGTCAAAGACCCAGCTGCTAAAGACGCAAAGCTCAGCCAGCTAAGAGCCCGATCTGCTTATAAACTCATGGAGATCAACGAGAAGCACAAAATCTTCAAAAAGGGACAGACTGTGGTGGATCTTGGCTTCGCTCCTGGTGCGTGGTCACAAGTTGCCATCTCCAATGTGGGTGCAAGAGGACGGGTGCTTGGCATTGACATCTTGCCGGCAACTCCACCAAAGGGAGTCTCTTCTATGCAAGCAAACTTTTTGTCTCGGAGAACTCATAATGCCATTGTCACCTACCTCTCTGACCCAGATCGTGGACGTCGCATATCCCTTTCGACGCCAGCGCGCAAGGATGATCCTGAAGATGCAGAGGCTCTCGCGGCTATTGAAGATGCCCTGGAGCCAGAATCTTACATTGATCTCGAGAAGCGAGTCTTGTCTGCAGATGCCTTGCAAGACGAAGCAGGAATCCACCGTGATATCGAAGAGACTCGGCCAAAGCTTGTGGATGTAGTCCTGAGCGACATGTTTGTTCCCCTCCCGAATGGCGGTGCATACCATACTCAGCAGTATCTGATGGCGCATTATAGGATGAGCAACACGACAGGTCTAAAGGCAGCTGACCACGGCGCGTCTATCGTATGGTTCATCACTTTCTCAACACCAACTAATATCAGGATCTCTGCGACTGTGCCCTTCTCTTCTGCATAGACACACTCAAGCGGGGCGGTCATTTTGTGTGCAAAGTTTTTAATGGCCCAGAGGCTGCAGGACTTAAGGACCGTATGAAGAAGGTTTTCCGACAGGTGCACGTTATGAAGCCGGATAGCTCACGCAAAGAATCTGTTGAAGTGTACTTCATTGGAATGCGCAAACGCCCAGACATTGATCGCAAAAGCGTCACTTGGGAGTCTATAGATGGTGAGATTTAACTCTATGCGATATGTATAAGCAAGATTGTAAAAGATGCGTTTTTAACGGCTATAAGGGTCGAACCGAGTAGATCCACGGTAGCCACCACGACCGCGACCACTACGGCCACCATCACTGCCACCTCCACTCATACTTCGACCACCGCCGCCGCCGCCACTACCGCGTGGACCGCGTCGCGCTCCCCCAGAGGGGCCGCTTGGCGCATTTGGAGGAGGCAGAGGTTCCCGAGGTCCTGTAGGCGGCTTATGTCCGTCCTCCTGAGCGTCATCATGCTGTCCGTACTGTTGTCCGCCATACGACTGCTGCCACGCGCCTTGCGCGCCACTGGGCTGCTGGGGCTGTTGCATCTGTCCTTGTTGCATCTGCTGCATCATCATTGGATTCATCATTCCACCTGCCATACCACCACCACGGCCCATTGCTTGCATCTGCTGCATCCATGCTTGCATACGCTGATAGTACTGCGCCATCATAGCAGATGACATACCGCCGTATGCAGCTGCTTGTTGCGGTGCAGCACCAGCATTGGCACCGGTACCACCAAACACATTCTGTGCAGAGTAGTGGCCTGTTTGAGCGCCTGGACCTTGACGATCACGACCACCGCCCTTGGGTGTTGCTCGCTTCACTTCAATGCCTTTGCCATGGATATTGAGATTATGTGCATTAACACACCGTTCAACGGCCGATTCTGCATCAAATGTGATGAAACCAAAGCCTCGCGGTCTGCCGGTATCCTTATCCATCATGAGTGTTGCATCAATGACACGGCCGAATTGCTTGAAAAAGTCCTTGAACTCCTCTTCGTCGCAGTCGGCAGGGACACCACCAACAAACATCTTGGCAGTCTTTTCCTGCTCGTCTCGTGGGATGGCGCGTTTGGGGTCAATCTAGGCGTTAGTAAGGGGGTCGCAGAGAGATCTTTTCCTAACAATTTTGCCGTCTAGGAAGTGTTCCTTTTCAACGACACTGTCGACGCAATTTGGATCAGCAAAAGTCAAGAAACCGAAACCACGCGATCGGCCTGTCGTGCCGTCTCGCATGACATTGCACTCAGCAACAGCACCAAACTGCTCAAAGTACTTGCGCAACGACTCATCTGTCGTCTCCCAGTTGAGACCGCCAATGAACATTTTTCTAAACTTGGTTAGCCATCTCGATTATGCAAAATTGTCCCTCGTCATTTGGATCGCGAACTCTGAGCAATACATACCCGTCATCCTTCAACGTCACATTCGGTCGTTCCTCAGGAGTAGGAGCAGGCTGCGGTGTAGTCTGCTGCTGTGGTGGCTGCTGCTGTTGCTGCTGCTGTGCCATACCAGAATTAAACATTTGCATAATCTGCTGAGGCTGCAAGGGAGGCGGCGCAGGCAAGCCTTGTTGGGCAGCTTGCATTGCTTGAAACTGCTGAAATTGCTGAAGTTGCTGCATCTGCTCAGGTGTAGGCATCCCAGGCATTGCACCTGGTTGCGCGGCAGATTGCTGTTGCTGGCCTGGGAAGGCGACCGGTGCAGCTTGTGGCATAGCGGCGGCGAGTTGCTGTTGCATACGTGGATCAGAGGCACGCGGATCGCTGGCTTTAGCAGCAGCAGCACTCAGCTGAGCAGCGAGATCTTGCGTATTATTAGACGCGTATCCACCAGCTGCAGCGGCTGCCTGTTGTTGAAGCTGCGCTGCAATGTCGGAGGCAGCCGCAGCTGTAGTAGCATCTGATGCAGCAGCGGCGGCGGCAGCAGCGCCACCTACAGCAGCGGCTGGCCTTGCACTGTCTTCCTTCTTCTGTTCATCCTCGTCGCCGCTTTATAAAGTGTCAGCTATCTCCGTCAAATTGGTGTAGCATGGGGTCTACATACTACAGATCCTTGAAGAGGTCGTCGTCATCGTTGTAGTCTGCCATAGTTCGCGGAAGTCTTATTGAGAAATGTTCTTTTTTTGCTTTCTTTCCTAATCCTAAGATATGGTTTCTGCGGGAGTAGTAGTGTAATGTGCAAGATACAAGAAGATGCGGATATCCTTCCACTAGCTAGCTGTTTGTCTGTGAAGTACGAAGTGTCTCCTGCTCTGGATGCTCTGCTTCAGCTTCTTTCTGTTTCTCACTTTCTCGCGTTCTGTCTTGACTGTGTTGGTCGTGGGGAGGAAGAGGGAGAGGAAGGAAGACGTCGTCCAGCAGGCTCACAGCACCGAGATGGGCTGCCACACTGTGACTGCTAGCAGCCTAGCAAGTCCAGACCTCAGGCTTCTTTGAAACAGGATTGACCAGTATTGTGTCACTCGACAAATCTTCAGGGTATGCAGGGAGCTGAGACCGCTCTTATGCCATGTGAGTCACGAAACAAGTCAAAGTGCTCACAGATGCAGCTGCTTCGAGTAGTGCTTGTCTGTTATCTTGCTTGTTCGCTTAGCACTTAGGAGGATACTTCATGTACAAATCTTCGAGGCCCGTCTGACTCACTATAGACACTCTTCCGTATATTCAACGCATAGAACCGTGTCCGGCGTATCGGCCCAAACACCGGGCGTGCTGCTGCTTCGTCCACAAAAAATTACACAGATCGCAAAAGACTCACAAGGAAACATCCCAAAGCCAGACTCTGCCACTCCCTCTCGCAAGGCCTTCGCGTCCCACGAGGGAGATCGCCCCGCCAGTCCAAGGGCCTCGCTCCCTATAAAGCAGGTCCCTGCTTCTCTCGCCTTTCCTGCATCTCTCCAACCCTCCCACACACGACAAGATCTAATCGCTCGCACGACAGCCTGCGCATCCACTTCCTGCTTCTTTGCATCTGCTCGCAACAATGAGCTCACCTCCCTCTAAAGTTCCCAAGTTTGAGGAATACAAACCAACCGTTTCCATCTTGTCCTATGGCGCCGGTAACATCCAAAGTCTCTGCAATGCCATCGAACAGATTGGTTTTGAGCACAAGTTCGTCAAGGATCCCTCTGAGATCGAAAAGGCCGAGGTATGCTTACATGCGCTTCCAAGGCTTCCTGACTGACTATATCAGATTCTTTTGTTCCCGGGTGTCGGCAACTTTGGCCATGTCTGTGCTTCCTTGCGGGACAAGGGCTATGCAGAACCCCTCAAACACTACATCGATGCCGGTAAACCCTTCATGGGCATCTGCGTCGGTATGCAAGCGCTCTTTGAAGGCAGCGAAGAAGCACCCGATGTCCCTGGTCTGGGTGTGATTCCCGGTATCGTGCGCAAATTCGATGATGCCGATAAGGCCGTTCCTTGTATTGGTTGGAATTCTGCCGTTGTTCGTGATGAAACTGATACAGCCATCTACGGTATCACACCCCATGCCAAGTACTACTACGTGCACACGTACGCGCGGAAGATGGACCAAAAGCTCGGCGGCGGCTGGAGCGTTGCTACTGCCAAGTATGGTACAGAAGAATACGTTGGTGCTGCAGTACGCGAGAACTGCCTTGCTACACAATTTCACCCTGAAAAAAGCGGTACTGCAGGACTTAAGATCCTCGAGGCCTTCTTGAAGAAACAGGTGCGGAAACCAATCACTGGCAAAGCAACCGTTATTTGCGAGCAGCCTGGACGTGGTGGTTTGACATTCAGAGTTATTGCTTGCTTGGACGTGCGCTCAAATGACAAGGGCGACCTCGTCGTTACAAAAGGCGACCAATATGATGTGCGTGAAAAGGATGAAGCAGGCGATGTTCGGAATCTTGGCAAGCCTGTCGAGCTGGCCTCGAGATACTTCAAAGAAGGCGCTGATGAAGTCACCTTCCTCAATATCACGTCCTTCAGGAATGCGCGTGCTGCAGAGGCGCCTATGCTCGAGGTGCTACGGCAAGCGGCAAAGACAGTCTTTGTGCCAATGACAGTCGGTGGAGGCATCAAGGATACGACAGATCCTGATGGAACGACGCACAGTGCCCTTGATGTTGCGCGCATGTACTTTGATGCAGGAGCCGACAAGGTGTCTATTGGCAGCGATGCCGTCTACGCTGCGGAGAAGTACTACGCCAACGACAAAAAGGCAGACGGTACGACTGCTTTGGAAGCCATCTCTCAAGCATACGGTAATCAGGCTGTCGTGGTTTCTGTGGACCCCAAGCGCCGATACGTGGCTAGTCCGAAAGACACAAAGCACCACGCCATCAAGACGTCTCGGAAAGGACCGAATGGCGAGGAATACGCTTGGTATCAATGCACCGTCTCTGGAGGCCGCGAGGCGCGTGATCTCGATGTCAGGCAGCTGGTTCAAGCTGTGGAAGCTCTTGGATGTGGTGAAATTCTGCTCAATTGCATGGATCAAGATGGTAGCAACAGCGGCTTCGACCTTGAACTCGTCGCAGATGTCAAGGCTGCCGTCAAAATTCCAGTCATTGCATCTTCTGGTGCAGGCAAGCCCGAGCACTTCAAGGAAGTGTTTATGGAGACTGGCTGCGAAGCTGCATTGGCTGCTGGTATTTTCCACCGGAATGAGTGCACGATTGGCGACGTGAAGCGGTATTTGACAAGCGAAGACTTGCTCGTTCGCCAAGAGTAGTATCTGCATCCTCACTATAACGCCTGTACCATTAGCCAGCTCTTCGTAGAATGCTGAGCACCCTTCATTCTGCTACAGTATTAGGGTAACCAGAGTCAGGACTATTCTATGCCACCAGCCAGACTCAAATTAGCCGAAGCGTCAACAACGACACCCCCACGGACCGCGGCGCATATCCAGGTAGCTGGGCCGGTCTGACGGGGCAGTGTCCATGGTCGATGCGAACAGGGCAAGCCCAATTTCATCACCCGTCGCGTCGCCTGAAGAGAGCTTTGGTCCTGACAGCGCATCCAAGGCGCGGAAAACAGTCAGCAATGGCAAAGCGACACCTGCGGTCGCATCTGGTGCTGATAGATCGGCTGCTGCGCGCGTGGATATTGATGTGCCCCTTAATAAGCTGCACGAGGTACTGAAAGAGAAATGGTCGGCGTATCAGCAGATTGGTAGGGCTTGTATCGGAAGGTCTCGTGAGTATATACTAACGGCAAGTGACCGACTTTCTAACGGCGCGCTTGACTCGCAACGAATTCGAGCAGCAGCTACAACCCATCTTGGTCAATGGAACGATCAAGCTGCACAATGACATTATGCTCACGTTGCTATCAAATGCTTACAAGGAGCCACCGCCTGCGATAGCGAACTCTCTTGGATGGAGCAAGAAACGGCGCGAACCGCCACGCATGAAGGGAGATCCTCATGCGAAACGGCTCAAAGCCGAAGTGATGGGCTTGCCAACCCGTGAGCGGCGTCGATTGAAGTCCATTCCGAAACCTGAAGCAAATGCCAAGACCATGCCCAATTCTATGATTGAAACGCGGTTTGCAAAGCTACCCAGGGTGCCTGTATCGCAACAAAAGATTAACACTTGTATGCGGCAGTGATTCGGAGACAAAGAAGCTAACAAGATCTAGCACAACATCACAACGATATTCTCAAGGGATTTCATGTACCGCTTGCTCAGGAATCCTACCAGCTTCCAGAGCCGGAAACTCTCAAAGATCGCATATTAGCTACAGCGCTTGAGAACGGCCTACTAGGAGGCGTCAGCGCCCAAGTTCCTGAGCTCATCTTATCTGCGCTGGACATTCATCTCCGGAATATCCTAACAGCAACGATTCAAAAAGTGCGAACAAATCGTGGAGATGCTGTCTGGACGCATACACGAGAGCCGATTGTATTACCACCATCTCTTAAAAATCCGGGGCCATCCGTCATAGACGAGTTGGACGAGAAGAGCTCTCAAGATGCCATGGCGCGAAGACGGAGTTCTGTCAAGCTGGAAGAAACCACCATGGCAGCGCACGAGTTGCATCTTGCTTACAACTTGGCGCCGCATCTCTTTGGCGAGAATGCCACTCCAGCCGTACAGCGCATGGTCATGCTCAGCCTGGATGATGCCACGCCGCCAGATGTCTCTTGGCAGGAGATAGAGGAAGCCGATATTGCCGCTTGGAAAGAAGCAGCTAAAGCCAATGCGGCCGCGGCAGCCACAGCAGCACAGCATGGTCTCAGGCATCCGAGTCTTGACAGTCCTCAGACAAAGTCCGTGACCCCTGCAAATGATACACCACCTCATCCGGGAGTCAAGGATGAGGACGGCAAAGTGAAGCAAGCCATTCTGAATGCGGGGACAGGTGAATTCTCGCAACGTGCGCGTGTCGCTCAAATGGTCGACTCATTCTTGTAGCATCTCTTCAACGAATACCTGGTACGCTCGAAGTCCAAGCATCCGTGATATTCAGGTGTAGGCCCTGTACAATCTTTCAGTCCAGCAAGCGTCTCATTCGTTGCAAGTTCTCTCCTGGTGTGGCCCTAGCGGAATCTCGTTATCACTCAATCCTAGCGAATTTGGAAATGCCATATCGTGTTGCAGACCCCTGCATACCAGGAGCAAACAAGGCGCCTTACAGTCCTTTCAAGTTGCACTTGCTGGCGGTCCGATGCAACGTCGCTATCGTGTGAGGATGATCACCATCCCGGCCACTTTTCTTACAAGCAACAGATAACAATTGCATATAAAGCAAGCCGGTATCTCAATTGGTATCCACATCCACCATGTCTCTGATCAAGGTATTAGCATCGCTCTTGATGCTGACAAAATGCGTCCTTTCACAAGCTCAAGGTCACTCGCATGCACAAAGCTTTTGCTACTTTGACGGACGAAAGCTACCAAGTCTTCACCATGTTTGTCCTGATAAAGCAACATACCATCGTGAGCTCATCAAGGATTGAACAATTGCTTACGAAAAGTCTGTTACTTCAATTGGCCATCTAATTACACACGACCAGCCAATGTCGATGTGGACACGCTAGTCGACCATTACAAGCACCCTGGGCAAATCTTGATTTGTGGCGGGAATACGCCTGACTGGGTTACAGAGGCCTGCTACTGGTTTGACAGGAGATTCTTCGCATGCGGCAACAGAAGTAAGTACAAATCTCCGGCATGCACAAGTACGATGTGGCTGACCATCATAGCTACTCCATTCTATAACGTCCGTGTCACATTGTCGGAAGAGAGGGTCAACGTCGGCAGTCTAGACCTCAAGACGCAGGTCTACGATTTCCTTCCAAAGCGACATTATAACGGCGCAAGCAATGGTATTTACTACATGACACACCGTGAGCGACATCATTCCCTCTCGTAGATACTGATACACAGTTGATTCTTGTTGGCAGGAAGGAGAAGCAGGCGACAACGCAGTTCGTGTCGCATACGAGGGCTACTGGGGCGCCCTTGACAATTACATGATCAAGGACAAACCTATTATGAAAGATGAAGAGGCAGTCGGTATGTGGCTCAGGGAGGCGATCATCGGTGCATTGGAAGGAATCAGGAACAAAGACAAAGTGAGGTATTGGCAGTACAACGGTAAGTCGCGAAACCAGTGTTGCCGCATCAACTAACGCAATAGCCTGTCAAGTCGGAAGCCTGGCTCCGAATTTTCAGCCAGTAGCATGCGTATCGGAGCTAGTCGATTGTCCTAGTGCTGTCGAGTTTGGTTGCGGCTACACTACTCTTGAGAACCTACAGACTGGGCAGGACTCTCCGAGACCTCGTTGCCCGAGCGATTGTGATCGTGTAGGTCCGTGCCTCAAGGGAGTCCCAGGTTATAAATTACCACAAAGCATCACAGCCGAGATCTACGACCGCGACGAGACCAAGTCCGATCGCTTGACTGTTACGTTTGAGTCTAAACAGAACCAGGATGGATGTTCTCGTGTTGAGAAGATTTTCATGGTCATGCCTTACTTTATTCCGATTTCAACGATTGGAATTTTTATTGGCAATATCATTCAACTCGATTGTATGGTGAGAGGCACCAAGAAGCAACACCGTGGGACGCATTTGTGAACTAGGTACTTTACCAATATCATTATCTTTAGGTTGTCAAACGTTCGAAACGTTGGTGGTGCTCTGAGTTATCTCTTGCCCCTGAAAATTTACAGGGTCTCCGCCCTCCAAAATTTCCATGCCGTCAGCTGCGGACCAATGATCACTTGTGACGATGATCATCTCCATTAATTCATGGTGCGCTTGATGCTAAGGGGAAGGTCGATACGACATGCCTATCGGCTTGCAGCACCAATCGAAGATAGCGATATCCGCCCTATTGACCTCAGTTGTATGCTGCATTACAAGCCCTCTGCTGTACCTTCGAAATAGTCACCTAGCAGAACAAGCAAAATGATCTCGTTGAAGTACGTGGGCATCATTTTACTCACTGTGATCGGTGTCCAAGCCCAAGACAACATCTTGTACAAAGATTTCTGCTACTACAACGGAAGCCACCTTCCTCAGCTTCATCGGACGTGTCCTGATAAACCCACTACAGAGAGTAAGTCCTCTCCTACTTCATCATTCCTGCTGATAACAGTTTGTTATCACGACTACCCTTCGAATTACACCGCTTCTGTGGATGATTACATGGCCATGGTCATTACAGTTGACTATTCCAAACATCCAGGGAAGATCTTGATTTGTGGTGGTCAAATACCTGCTTGGGTCAATGACACTTGTTTCTGGTTCGCCAGACACTACTTTTCATGCGGAGCTCGAGGTTTGCTCAATGAGTTTGATACAAGGCATTGTTGCTAATTCTCGCTTCTAGGTGCACCAAAGTACAACGCACGCATCATCATGTCAGAAGAGTATGTCGATGTCGGTAGCTTGGATTTGAAAACCCAGATTTACGATATGCTTCCACAACGGACTGAGGAATCTGGCGCTAGTGATGGCAGGCGCTACACCACTCAAAGTAAGACTGCTGCGGACGATACGTGTGGCACGGCTAATGGTTAGCTAATTTGTGTTGGAATGAAGCTGAACTTGGCACCAATGCAGTCAAGGTTTCTTATGATGGCCATTGGGGCTCAGTCGGCAACAAAGCCATCAAAGACCATCCTGTCTTGTTGAGAGGCGACAAGATTGGACAACTTTTGGTAAAGACACTCATTCATGCACTGGAAGCCATGAAGAATCGTACAACATACTGGCAATACAACTGTAAGAACACACAAAGGAGGTGATTGAAGCTGACTCAATAGCCTGCGAAATCAACAGTCTAAGTACTAGAAGCCAGCCGGTCTTATGTGCATCTGATATGATCGATTGCTCTGAGGCCGTCTCTCGAGGGTGTGGCTTCAAGAATTACGAAACCGAGCTGCTTGAAGAGATGCCTCCAATGCCTCATTGTCCAAGAAGCTGTGATTTGCTGGGTCCATGCGCAACAGCAACACGAGCTTACAATCTGCCGCAAATAATCACGGTTCAATTGTATGATCGCGATGTCTTACAGTATGACTACCTGGAGCTTAAGTTTGAGGCTAAGCGAGGGACAGCTGGTTGTGATATACAGGAGAAGTACTTGTTGATGGTACCATTCTTCATTCCAGACTTTACAATTCAAACGTTTCTCGGGAATACAATGTGGCTCAATTGTGCGAAGGAAGACACAAGAGCAAGCCATCCAGGTATTGAATTGTAGTGCAATGGGTTTTAGTGTACATAGACTTTCTTCTCGACGCAAGATTTTTCAGCTGGCCAGTACTCGATCCAGGTCCCATCCTTTCCTTGTGCCATCGGCCCAGGACTCATGGCAAGGCAACCAGAATACGTTTGTTGGAAGCTAGGCAATGCGCCATCCGCCAAGACGAGAACATTTGGCAAGGGGAATAACCGTAAGGAAGCACTGTACCCTGGGTACGTCGGTCGTGTAGATTGTGAAAAAGGGCTGAGTGTTGATTGATCCAGTATCGTCCTGACCAATGTTTGTGAGATTTGATCGAGACCATCGAGCACCGGCGTGTCCATCTGTGTTTCATCTGCCATCGCCTCATCTTCATCGTCTGCTCTTGGTGTAGGCTTTGCCTTTGTAGCAACACTCTGACGTCTGAATCGTTCTAACCAGTCTTCGCGACAAATGACAATTTCTTGCGTAAAGTAGCTCAATCGGCAGGGATTCGTGGCCAGGGTGACATCCTTGACTGCTCGAGCAACACGATTGAGGAAGCTCTTTGGGATGGGCTGGCGAGGCAAAACAACTGTACCAGCAAGAGACCATGGATCATTGGAGCCTGGAATGAAGATGAACTTGCTTTGTGCGCATACTTTTGGAAATCCCTCAAGCATGGTTGCGAGTCTATCCCAGAGTGCCTTGTACGTTGCAGAGAAACCATTCGTGTGATGTGGATGTGAGATGAAGTTGCCCATCAGTACAATAGCCAATGGCGCTTCACCAACCGGTAAGACCTCATAGTTGCCGAGCATTTGTTTGACTGTTTTCATGGAGCGTATGTCGTCCAGCCGTACATCACTGCAGAATACAATCTTGGCATCCTTGTAGCTTTGTTCTGCTTTGAGCAAATGACGTTCCTGGGAACGTTCAATCCCAACGCCAAGCACATCGAAACCTGCATACACATTGCGGGACTGTTCACGAAGCTCATTTGGCGGCTGACCCATCTGATCAACGAGAAAGACGCCGTCTTCTTTGTAATGTCCATCCACCAAGACGAAGCAGCCAGGAACGAACCAGCCTCCACCGAATGTCGCTTCTGTCAAGTCGAGCTTGATTTGATCATCTGGATCTTCCAGGTGGAGGGAACCATCTGCACCTGTGACGAGCAAACCAAATAGCATAAAGTCGCCACCTTGCCTGCCGAGAAGGTTCTTGATTGTAGTGAGTTTGTGAAAGGCACCTTGCTGATTGGCAAAGCTACGTGTTTGAAAAGATGCATGGCGCAAGATGCGTGCTTTCAAGAATGCATAGCGATCCAGCCATACTTGTGCACTGGCTGTAATGTCAGCCAACAAGCGCACCTCTTTCGCTGGAAGTTGCTCAAATAGTGCACGCTCTGTTACGAATCGATGTTGTGGTTGGGTAAAGGCATCGATACACTGCAGGTACTTGTTGCGATCAAGCTTCTCTAGTGTTTGTCCCACTTGCAGACCTGCTGCTTCCGCCACCAACGTCTCTTCTCGTGCCAGAGTTGCTGGTCGAGCAGCATGCGGTACATTGAGTGACCGGATGATGGGCGCTAGACCTGCTTCAGCGACAATGGGTTCCGTCTCTCTGAGTCTCTTCCAGGATTTCGCAATTTCATCCAACACAGGCTCACAGGTCGCTCGCCACGTCGCGCCACAACGATGCCCGACATGTTGTGCGAGTAGTGCGAGAGCGTCTGATTTGAGAGTGAGGCCGTACTTCTTTGTAAAGACTCGGAAGGCAATGGGACGAAGTTGCGGTGGTTCGAGTTTGACGGCGAGGGATGGGCGGGTTTGGATGTTTTGTTGGTTTGCTGCCTGAGCAAAGAGTGCGTCGACAGTTGCCATGGCGCCGTAACTCGTTGTCTCTAGCTGTAGCTTGTCTCTATCGTCTCTAGCTGTAAGTGTATCTGTATATGTCGCGTCTTTTGCTCATTGGACGCGACGTGAATTTAGAAATTCGAGCACGTGAAGCAGGCGACAAAAAGTCCAAGAACTACTACTGCTATTACTACTATCTAGACAACTGCAATGGCCTCAGTCCGGTGGCAGGCATGGGGCGGCATCCGCTTCAAGGAGACAAAGCAGCTCCTTGCCTATTTCGCCAAAACAGCAGGCCAACCAGTCGCCTTCAAGGCGAATCGGCAAAAGCCAGATGGCTACCGGACGGGTGCTGGAATCGTCACGTTTAAGGATCAAGTAACGGCGCAGAAGCTACTCGATGCTGCTGATTCATCTGGCTCGATTGATGTGACGAGCGAGTTGGGCTCCTCCGAATCAGGGCCGTCGTCTGCATCGCTTGTTTTTGTTGAGCCGCTGAATAAGTCTATGCAGTACATCACAACAGAAGACTGGCTCAAGCAAGAAGTCCTCTCGCATAATCAAGCATCAGCCATGCTCAATCAGTACTATGAGCGTGAACTCAACTGGTTTCCAGGCTTCTTCCCCGACGAGAAGGGAGAGGGCGCACTCACTCGAGCAGTGGCACAACAGCATGCCGTTTTCAAAGATGTCGCAACAGCACGCAAGTATTTTGGTCGACATCGTGCGCACAAGCAGCAACAAGCTGTAAGGCAACGGGAGACAACAAGTACTTCTTCAGCAAAGGCTCAAGCTACAATTGCACCAGATTCTTAAGGGCACTAGCACATCAAACACCAAACGCAGCAATCTGTTCCTCAAGCAACTTGCACTCCTTGCCGTAATCCAGTGGACTCGCCTGCAGAATTTGTGTTCGGACTTTGACTTGTCCGTTGTACGAATCTTGCTTTGCCTTCAACTTGAAGATCCACGAAGACCCATGCGCTTCCTGCACACGATCCTTGAAGGCTGCATCATTGCCACCGACGTTCTTGAGTGCTTGCAACTCACCCGCTGAACAACCCAAAATCAGCTGCCCAACATTATCGAATCCAGACAACCACTGCTGTCCAGTATGGTCTTGCACATTGAGAGTCAGCATGTAGCGATGCTGTGGTTCAGGAAAATTCTTGTCACACTTCTCACAGCGCCAACCACCTTCATTGTCTTCAACGACTTTCTTGTTGCACGCTTCTGAGGCGCACGCCGGATAGGAGATGTTGTCGGTTTTGATATAGATGATGGTACCCTTCAATTCATAGTAATCCGGGACTGTCTCATTCATACCCATGTTTTGTCGTTCTGCTTGTTCAATGGTGTAGCGTTTGTCTACACGACCATTGCCTGCGCCCATCGAGGCGGCACTTGCGTGTGTGGAGAAGTTGACTTGCTGCTTGCCCTGCTGATCATACCAACCACGCAAACTGAAAGCTTCCGGGATTTCTGGATCGTGGAGCATGGTGGAAGAGTGCACGGTGCTCAGTGTCCTTCCACCGAAATCACTCACTTTGACACCTTTAACAGCAAGGATCGATTCAGGGTTTGCTTTGAATTCTGTTGCGAGTTTTCCCCAAATGGTCAGTTTGACCTCATACCCAGACTCATCCACCAATACCAAATCACGCTTTGAGTATGGTTTGTGCGTCATTTTGGAGGTGATTTCACTGACGTCGCCGATATCCTTGACGACACCAATACAATCAATCATACCATCCTTATCAATCGAGTCAAGCTTTGCAAGTGGCAAAAAGCTGAATTTGACTTGTGGCACATCCGCGGCATCGGGACAACTCTCAATTTCCGTGTCTCGTTCAAATGTGAGTTCATACTCATTGTTGACATTGGAGAATTGTTTCTTTGCAATACTCACACGACACTTGGTGACGGTATAGACGTGTCCCTCAACGAGGTACTCATAATACTTATCCACCGCATCATTGAAGCCAGTTGCACGAATTTCCCCAGATTCATCCAGGAAAGTACAAGAGAAGAGTTTTCCTTCACCTTTTGGATTATGCCAGTGCTTGATTTCCGATTTCGCTACAACGCGCGCTTTAATGGTCCATTTGTTTTGGTAGGGTGAGAGCGCTTCGATTGGGTAGATGGCGACGTTACTCTGTGATCCACTGGGCTTCATCTGTTGCTGCTGTTGCTGAGCAGGCTTAGTAGGAACGGGTGTTTCTTTATTACCATAAAAGTTGGTCGTTGAAGAAACGCCCGGTTCAGCCTTTGCCGGTATGGGTGCTGCAGCGGATGGCTCCTCGATATGCACAGGCACCGGCTGTCCAATCTTATCCACCGGAGCATCGGGAAGAACATCACACTCGATACACACCATGACGCGTTTTCCCGACGTGCCCATCTTATTACACGTCCAGGCCTTGAGATTGATGAATTTGCCACGCGCGAGTCCCGTGTCGCTGACGAGGACATTGAGCTGGGTGGCAAGCATGCATTGAACTAGTTTTGTAGAATCAGAAACGATGAGTTTGTAGCGTTCGATGGCATTGGCTGTGTTGGCGAGTTGTTTGACTTGGAGGACTTGGAGGACGTGTGGTTGTTGGGGTTCGCTCGAGTCTGCGTTGCTGCATGATTAGTTGATGTTGAATAAGAGAAGAGGATGACTTGCTATATGGACTCGAGTGAGCCTGGCTTGAGCTGTGCTGCCATTGTTGTATATGTATCTAGTGTATAGTCTGTATAGTATCTCCTCGACGCATCTTGTCTTTATTCTTCTTGTTCGCGACTGGACACGTGCTCGAAATAATCTGAAGGGAAGAGATGAAATATACAGAGTAGACAGAGGAGACTACAAGACAAACTCATGCTCAGACGGCCCTTCTCCTCCGCAGCCATCGCATGTGCAGGCAAACGACCTCCAAAGCCAAAACCATTCATGCCACCCATGACAGACCTATCCTCCGCCATGCGACAAGAACAAACTGAACAGCAACTCCGACAGCAAGAGCAATCCCGTCTCACGCAAGAACGACGCAGCAGGGAAGGCTACTCAAAGGAAGACCTACAGTACTTTGAGCCACGCATCGATGTCGCAGGTGAAATTTACTCGCCCCAAGATTTGGCATTTGAGGCGAGACGGCCACTCAATCGACGGCGTGCAGAGGGTTATAACCAGGATGATTTCGCCATACTGGGAATCGACCCGCAGGATGAGTACAAGTCCTTCAATCTTCTCAGCGAGTACATCTCCACACTCGGTCGTATCAAGCCGAGAGAAGCAACGGGCCTGTCTGCAAAGAATCAGCGGAAATTGGGGAAAGCCGTGCGTAGGGCAAGAGCACTCGGTATTCTGTCTACCACAGCACAAGATCCATCCCTCGGACAAGCCATCAAGGCGAGTCGTCAACGGCCAGTGGATTGGTTGCAACGAGACTAGGCATCTCACATAATCATGACCCTCAAAAATTATTATTACATATACCTTGCTACTTGCGTGCAAAGTCTGGTGAATGACTCCACAACGACTTCCACAAGAATGCCTCACTCAACAACATCTCAATCTCCTTATCCCCCCAGCTTTGCGTGGGTAAGGCTTGGATGAACATCATGATCCCCTGAAAATCGCGTTCCTTGATTTGTGCCGACCACTTGACCAAAAAAGCAGTGCACACATATAGGTGAAAGTCAGAAAAGCCCAGGGGACCTTCTGCCATGTAGGTATCCCACATCCGTGTCGTACAACGAACACTCATCTCCCTCATCAACAAGCAATTCATCCATCGAAAGCTGAATTGAATAAACTCCACCATCTCGGAGTCCAAATGCTGCACAAGCTGCGCATCGATCCTGCCTGTCAATTCTCGTAGATTCGCGACTTGTCGTTGGATACCAGGTTGTGTGTGGATATAATTATCTTGAATCCCATCCAACAACTTGGATAAGCACCAGAAGGAATCTGCCTCAACCGCATGCCGAACCTCCTCAGATAACGTACCAGGATCGCACTGTTCAGGATCACCCTCAATGTACGCACCCAAAAAGACCTGAAAGAAGGGAGTGACAAGATCATTGATGCCTTGAACATACCCACTCGCAGGATGTCGAATCGCCCAAAGATACAGTATCCGTTCCAAGGACCGTTGTGTTGCTGGAAACTGATATAATCGAATCAGCGGATTCGTACGCGGCACATCGATGTGGATTTGATGCCAGATCGTTTGATCCAGTCCAGCTTCACCACGCTGCCAAGCATCCGCCACACCATCCAGGTACTCTTGTCGTTTCCGGGCCAATGTCGAAATTCTGCGTTCTGAGTGCGCAGGAAGGTATCCAAGTAATAATTGCCAAACGCAGGGTCGTAATTCGCCAGGAACACCATTCCACGCTAGTTTCTTGAGTGCATGCAAGTCAATATGCTTACTCTGCATGATGCGTCTGAATCGAGCAATCCGACTTAGCCGTAGACCTATTTCCTCACGTAAGGACTCTGATTCTGCTGTACCCACCAAAACAGCATCCCCATCACTCTCACTCGGTAAAGTTGGATGGTAGGTTGACTCCAGTAAGCACACTGGATCTTGCAAAATGGCTTCATGACCCGTTCTCAAGCCACCCGTGGCGCCAGCCTGAACAAACGGATACTGCGGATAGGAATGTGTTTTTTTGAGGGGTGCAAAACTAGCAGCTTCAAAGGAACTCGGACGATGCTCAATGGACTTGATGAGCATTTGTCGTCTTCGTTCTGCAGCACGCGTCGAATCATCCAGTTCACTCGCCCAATCGTCATCCTCATCGAGTAGGAGTTTATTGAATTTCGATGATTTCGTAGCATACTTGGCACTGATTTGCGAAGGAATCGGTGATGCGCTGCGTGATTGAAGGGCAAGTAAATCCGTATGTGAATAACTAGCGCCCTTAATCAGGCCAGAACCACTCGTTGTATGCGCACTTGAGATGGAGCGCGACAAGCTTCCTGCGCCTGTTGGACCTTCGCGCTTGTTTTTGGGAAGTGGATCGAAGAGTGAGTTGCCAGAGACCTGCTTCATAGCGTATGGCCCTTTCCCTTCTCTCTCTCTTGATGCGATTGTGTGCAAGTTGTCGTTGTTGTGTCGTTTGTGCTTTGGACGACGTCAGATGCTTTTCGAAACACTTCCAGCGCGACAAAACTATAGGTACATTTGTCTGCTTATCGCTCTCCCTGTAGCATCTGCTAAAAGGTCAATAAGGAAGGGCACACTTGTATTCTATGAACAAGCTAGCCTTCCTCACTCAAGAAGCACCGCCCAACTATGTCGCTGGTATTGGACGTGGTGCAACAGGCTTCACCACACGCTCTGATATCGGACCTGCTAGAGAAGGGCCTACAGAGGAAGTCCTCCAAGCTGCAATTGAAGCTCAGAAGAAAGCGCAAGCTAATGGCGATCTCGACGGTGATGAGGAAGATCGGTTTGCCGATCCAGAGAATGAGACTGGCTTGTTTGCGAATGGACCATACGATGCTGAGGATGAAGAGGCGGATCAGGTGTTTGATAAGATTGAAGATATCATGATGAACAGACGGAGGCGGAAACAACCAGTCCGGGAAGAGGAGGAAGAACGCAAGTACGACAAGAATGGCACATTACTCCCACCCATTGCCTCGCAATTCACAGATTTGAAGCGAGGCTTGTCGAGTGTCACTGATGATGAATGGGCCAATCTACCAGAAGTGGGAGACTTGACCAAAAAGAATAAACGGCTGAAACAGCAAGACAAGGAGACTCGCTTCTATGCTGTTCCTGATAGTGTTCTTGCCGGCACTCAACGAACAACAGAACTCGAGACGAGTATTGGTACAGAAACAAAGGCCGAAGGTACGAGCTCAGTGTTTGCCGATCTTGCATCTGCCAGGGATAAAGTGCTAGCCATCAAGCTTGATCAAGCATCCCTGAAAGAAGGCACAACCACTGCAATTGATGCGAAAGGCTACCTAACAGGCCTAGACACACAAGTCTTACAATCTTCTGCTGAGATTGGCGATGTGAAAAAGGCGAGACTCTTGCTCAATTCTGTCACGTCCACCAATCCAAAACATGCTCCTGGCTGGATCGCGGCTGCTCGACTAGAGGAAGTAGCGGGTCGTCAAGTACAGGCACGTCAACTCGCTGCAAAAGGATGCGAGCACTGTCCCTCAAACGAAGACATTTGGATCGAATCTGCTCGCTTGAATGGCACAGACAATGCAAAACGTATTCTCGCCCAAGCAATCACCTATCTTCCAGAATCCGTCAAGATCTGGGTACAAGCCATGCGTCTTGAGACTGAAACAAAGGCCAAGAAAAGGGTGATGCGGAAGGCCTTGGAATTTGTGCCAACCTCTGTTCGTTTGTGGAAAGAAGCTGTGGGTCTCGAAGACAACCCTGCAGATGCCAGACTCTTACTCGCTCGAGCAACAGAACTCATCCCACTCTCTGTAGAGCTTTGGCTTGCTCTTGCACGGCTTGAAACGGAAGAGAATGCACGCAAAGTTCTCAACAAGGCGCGATCCACCATTCGTACATCTTTCGAGATTTGGGTGGCTGCAGCACGTCTCGAAGAGCAAGCACAAAATCAACAACGTGTTGCCGTTGTCATGCAACGTGCCATGAATGAATTACAACGCTACGGCGGTATGCTATCTCGCGAGCAATGGATCGCGGAAGCTGAAAAGAACGAAGCAGATGGCGGTGTCTTGACAGCACAAGCGATCATTCGTGCGTGCATGGACCTAGGCGTTGATGATGAAGATCGTGCAGAGACATGGATGGACGATGTCGAAGGCGTGATTGAACGCGAGCATCCAGAAACAGCGCGTGCCATCTTTGAACATGCCTTGTCTGCTCTACCGGAACGGGCGGATATTTGGCGCAAAGCAGCAGATTTTGAAAAGGCGCATGGAACAACGGCGTTGTTCTTTGAGGTTCTCGACAAAGCCTGTGCTGCGTGTCCACAGGATGAAGTACTCTGGCTGATGTACGCCAAGGATTTGTGGCTTCATGGCGATCTCCCGAAAGCGCGAGCAGTCTTGGCTCGGTCATTCGAGCATAATCCAGACAGCGAGGATATATGGCTCGCAGCAGTCAAACTTGAAGCAGAGAATGGTGAGATGGAACGTGCCAAGATGACACTCCAGCGTGCTCGTGAGGAGAGCGGAACAGAGCGTATCTGGATTCGGTCTGCAGTCTTTTGGCGGCAACAAGGTGACTTGGCTGAAGCACTACGCTTAGCGGAAGAAGGCCTCGCGACATATCCAACGAGTGCACGGCTATGGATGATTCAAGGACAAATTCACGAACGCACAGGAGATTTGTCACGAGCAAGAGAGACATATGCTCAAGGCGTGCGGCAATGCAAGCAATCTGTGCCGCTTTGGATCCTCGCCTCGCGCCTGGAAGAGCACGACAAGAAGCTCATCAAGGCGCGTGCATTGCTCGACAGAGCTCGACTTGCCAATAAGGCGAATGAAAGACTCTGGCACGAGTCTGTCAAGTTGGAGCTCCGCGGTGGCTTCGAGACGCAAGCGCGTGCATTACTATCGAAAGCCCTTCAAGAATGCCCTCGAAGTGGCCTTCTTTGGAGCGAGCAGATTTGGCAGGAACCCAAGACGAAGCGGATACCAAGAGCCACTGATGCGCTACATAAGTGTGAAACCGATCCATACCTGGTGTGCACCATTGCACGCATCTTTTGGTCTGATAGAAAGCTAGACAAGGCCAAGAGCTGGTTGCAAAAGGCCATCAAGGCAGATTTGGACATCGGCGATACTTGGGGCTGGTTCTACAAGTTCTTGACTGAGCGGGGTGGTGAAAGCATGGAAGCCGAGGTGGGTGACCTCTTGCAGCAGATGGACAAGGCAGATCCACACCATGGTTTGCTTTGGCCGGAGATTGCTAAGCGTGACGAGAACATCCGTAAGTCGAGGCATGAATTGCTTGATGTATTTAGCCAAGCTGTGACCGTGGTACCATAGATGTGACGCATAGCATGGTCGAAGTCAACCCCCCGAGACTGGAGGTATTAAAGCGACTTCGTCACCAGGCTTGACAATAAAAGTTGAGTCATCCCAGTCAATGTACTCGAGATTGACAGCTACTGCACATGTCTCGAGCACAGCGCGAGCCTGATCGTTGTCTAGCAGTGCAGCTTGTTGTTGGAGAAGCAGGCTTTTGAGCTGGCTGATGGGCACTCCTCGATTTGCATCACCATCGAGAGGAGGCAGGTAAAGCTGACAGGACTTTGACTTGGTAAAGTCTGTCAGAGCAGCAAAGAAGAGTATCTCTGCGTTGGCGCTATCGTCTGTAGGCATAGTGCAGGTCCTTTGCTCAGCGGTGATTGAGGCGAATCTAAGCAATTTGGTCAGAGGCAGAGATGGTCGTTGCAATTGCGTCAAGCAAAATCGAATTGTCCTGACGTACAAACTGGTCAATTCACATGTGCTCGCTATTAATGCTGTCTACTTATGGTTCGTAATGTACGAGCTCTCTCAAGCAGCGACTGCTACAATCGGCAAGGCGCCATTTACTCTCGGTCGAGGGTCGATAAGGTCATTGCTGGTGTTTGTGAGGTGGATGCCAAACATACGGTAAGCTAGGCCGACTTATGCCAATGCGCACACGTAGTCGTAGAGGAGCAAAGCAATGGCTACATCAACCATTCTGTCTCTCAGATCGTTCCAATCCCTGGATTCTCTGGACCGAAAGAACAGTCAGGGTGAAGGAAAGCTTAGTGTCAGACAATCAAGGTGTCCCAACCTTCTTGCCGCGCATCTTTGCATGCGCAAGTGCAGCATTCAGCTTCGCAAACTCCTTTGCAGCTAGCTTATCGTTGACTGTATCCCGTAGCTCCGGGTGATCCCTGTACAGCTGCGCACGAGATTTGAAGGCATTTGGTGCCATACGACTGACAGTGGCCAGCAGAGCAATGACGCCGACGACGACGAGGATGGCCGCTAGTGCGAGGCTCTTGAATCGAGGCATGCTTGCTCGTTGAAACAGGGTATATATACTAGTTGGTCAACAGCAACTGGTGCTCTGCAAAGTCGCCAAATTGAAAGTGCTTGAGTGCGAGCCCCCGGATTGCCTTGTGTAGAAATGAGGCATCTGAGCTCATCTTCGAAGCTCGTCTGACATGGTACACAAACGTTACTCAGTACAATGACTGCGCTTATCATGTTTGAAGTTAGTTTCGGCTGAATCTGATAAGATATCTGTGACTGCGATCTTTCGGCGACATTTTCGTCATTTTTCAAGCTCAGCGGTACAAGTATAAGCTCATCTACTGACCGGATACCTTAATCACTCAGCTGTCTAGCTCCAGGCCCGGTCTAGTCCTTGCGAATGCCGCCTTCAGAGCAGGAGCCTTTGCTTGGCGACCGAGGCCGGTCTAGCAAGTCAGGCGAGACCAAGTCGCCACCAGATTCTTCAGCTGCGACACAGAGCAGCAAGGCCAGTGCAGCACATGCTTCGGTTGCGTCGCCATATCGCTCGCCCTCGCGGCATTCTGGTTCTACGACTGACGAAGAGGAGGAATCGCAAGAGACGCCTAACGCGCTTCTGATTTTGCCGCTCAACTTTTTCAATGCGTTCGGATGGTCGCTGGTGGAGGTGCCGCTCGTGTACCTCTTGCGTACGCGGATATGCGAGATTCTGTTTGATGATAAGCCAGGAAGTCTGCCGTATGAGGCGAACAAGTGTCGAACAGAGGAGATCCAGATGTATGTCAGTGGGATTCGTGCAGGCTTTCAGACTATTGCAGCTGTGCTTGGTCTCGTCACAACGCCCTCGTATGGTGCTATTTCAGACAGCCAGGGCCGACGTAAGGTTCTCATGATTTGCTCCGTCTTCCATATGATCGGCGATTTATGTTTGCTCGCCACAGTCATGTTGCCAGGTTACACCAATCCGTACTATGTACTCATCACTGCCGTTTTCAAGGGTCTCGGTGGCTACATTTCAGCAGTCGTTGCTACGCAAAACTCTTACGTTGCCGACTGCACGACGCCAGAAGCACGTTCGAGATATCTTGGCTGGAATTTTGCGACTTACCATCTTGGCACCGCCATGGGCCCTCTGATCTCTGGTGTGCTCGTTGCCAAATGGGATCGTATGGATCTGGTCTATGGTATCAGTGTCAGTCTTTGGGCGCTGTACTTTCTCTATACTTGGCTCATTTTGCCAGAATCCAATCCGCCGTGCGAAGTCAATGATAGTGCTTCCATCATAACCACAGGGAGCACTGTTGAGCGGGTCTCAAGTCTCTGGCAGTGGTTCAAGCGTGTACTTTATGAGAATTTTGTCGAGCCGCTCGCCATTATCCTACCTTCACGGACCCAGTCGTCCTTTTCATCGCTCGATATCCTTGGCCACTCTCCCGAGGCAAAACGCCATTGGGATGTCTTGATAGCTGCTTCGTTGGTTGGCATGACTATCTTTGCGACAGGCTCTATGGGACTTTTGCCGCTTTATACAGACTACAAGCTACGTTGGGGTCCACTGAAGGCTTCGCTACTGCTTTCCGTTGACTCTGGCGCCTCCGTGGTGTCCCTCACGCTTTTCTTTCCATTCGTTTGCTGGCTGTTTTCAAAATTCTTGAAGCGCTTTGGTGGTGCAGGTGGTGCTTGGGACGATCTAGGCATTACCATCCCGTGGCTCACAACTGCGCCTGAAGCTGACAAGATGCGTGCAGACGCAGCAACGAGGAGAAAGCGAAATAGCAGACGCCAGTCATTCCAATCGCATGGCAGTCATCGAGATGCATCGATCACACCGCCAGTTGAATCTGCAGAGTCATTCTCAAAAAAGATCACCATCGTCAAGCGTGACTTGTGGGTGGCGAGAACAGGTTATGTGTTTGCAATTGTCTCCATCATCGGTGTAGCCTTGTCTACAACGGATGCACAGATTTACGCTGCCATCATCCTCCAGTCTCTCAGTGCCATTGCTGTTCCAGCCGTACAGAGTATAGCACTCAATGGTGTGCGTGCCGATTACAACGGCCGGATTATGGCTGCCTTTGCGATTGTTGAGTCACTTGCTCTGGTAGCTCGTGGTCCTGTATTCGCGGCCATTTACAACTTGACATTGGACTCGGCTGCCAATTCGGTGTACTTCACGTCAGCGGGCGTGTATGGGCTATGTTTGATTGTTCTTGGCTTTGTCCAGCTCTATCAACCGATATAGAAAAGCACAATGCGTATGCATGTAAATTATTTGATTGAGGTCGAAGTGCTTGTAACGCAAGCCTGACATGATATCCTGGTAAGCGCTTACATTGATCATGTAGTCCAGATGACATGGAACCCCTGCCCATCTGACATTCTTCTGGCATTTAAGTGCGGGATCGCGCTATGCTGCCTGAACGAGAAGGAAGACTGCGCTTTGAAGTTTCGACATCTTCCAATCTGGCATCTACTCAGCATTCTACACACCATGGCGCGTCAACCTTATGTCAGGAATCGTCAGTCTCATCTGTTTGCTCGGGTAACTCAAGACTAACAAGCAGGTTACATCTATCAGCCTTCGCTGCCAGGCGCTATTGCTTCATGCATCGTCTCTTTCGCACTGACAGTCGCCCTGTCGTACCAAATAAGAAAGTATCGCACCAAATATATGATCATCCTCGCGGTTGGTACTGCAGCAGAGTCGCTTGGCTATGTGCTACGGTCGCTTGGCGCATCGGGCCGTGAGTCCAGCTTCCCCTTGTATCTTCTGATGCAACTGTTTATTGTTCTTGCGCCACTTGCTTTCATGGCAGCGCTGTACATCATTTTCGGACGTCTTGTACGACGTGTTGGTCAGGAGAAGGCGTTGATACCACCTGCGTGGTATGCTCGTTTGTTCGTCACGTGTGACATCTTGTCCTTCCTCATTCAAGGCGCCGGAGCAGGATTCATTGTAAGTGACAACCGCACCACAGCCATGGCAGGAAAGAATACCTTGATTGGCGGTCTTGCATTCGGTTTGCTCTCCTTTGCCTCGTTCTGTGTCATGGCGATTTTGTTGCACTTGCGTGTACTCAAGGACAAGAAGCACGATGCGCATTTTCGACCTACGGGCATGCATGAAAATTGGCAGACAATATGGATTCCCCTCTACATCGGCATGGTCGCTATTCTGGTGCGAACTATTTTCCGGTTGGTTGAATTTAGCCTTGGCTGGTTCGGCAAGGTCAATTCTACAGAATGGTATCTCTACGTCTTTGACATGGTTGCCATGGCCTTCACGGCGATTGCCTTCATTGTCTACTTTCCAGCACGCTTCGGTCTTGATCAGAGCCTTGATGGTGTTCGTGGCGATGTCGAAATGGCAGCAAGTCCGACAGGCGGCAGTGTCACTGAAAAGACTAGCCCAGCAGAGCTCGTCAGCAGATCACCTGTTCTATAAATTTGAGATTTACTTGTATATAGCTTGCTTTTTACAGCTTGGAAGATGCATCCTTCTTCATGTTGATGACGACCTTACCCCAAGTGCCACGGCTTGCAAGGGCATTGAGTGCAGGTGCAACGCCATCCAGACCGTCATACACCTTTGAAAAGACGGTTGGGCGCAATTGGCCATTGCTCATCATCTCCATGAGACCTTGCCAAACACCAGCTGCTTCATTGGGCCGACGAATAGCATTACCACCCCAAAAGACACCGACAATGGAAGCTTGCTTCAACAATGCCAAGTTCATGGCCACTTTTTCAATCTTGCCACCGGCAAAGCCAATCACCAAGATACGACCATTCCAGGCCACCACTTTGAATGACTCTTGAATTTTGCCCACTGGGTCGTAAATCACATCACAACCTTTTCCCTTTGTGATCTTCTTGATCTGGTCAAGGTAGTCCTTGTCGGTATAGTTGACGCAATGGTCTGCACCAAAGTCCTTAGCCACCTGCAACTTGTCTGCTGATCCAGCGGTTGCAATGACAATAGCACCAAGAGCCTTGGCAATCTGCACAGCAGCGAGACCTACACCACCCGCTGCAGCATGAACGAGACACGTCTCGCCTTTCTTCAATTGGGCTCTGTTGACAAGCGCCAAGTAAGACGTAGGCGCCGTCACATACAGCCCACAAGCGTCGACAAATGACCAGCCATCTGGCATGGGCAAGACAGCGCCGGGTGTATCCTTGACGACAATCTTTTCAGCAAAAGAACCTTGACCGGCGCCAAAGACTTTGTCTCCAACAGACCAAGCAGATCCTTCTGGTGCCTTCTCAACAACACCGGCAAATTCTGCACCGGCAACCCATGGGAATGGTGGCTGCGTCTGGTACTTTCCCTGAATCTGCAGTGTATCAAAGAAATTGGTTGCTGCGGCGTGAATGTCAATGAGCAAGTCACCAGGCCCTGGAACTGGGTCGGCGATGGAGCTGACTTTGAGGCCTGATGGGTCTTTGACGTATTCCTTGAGCTGAACGGCCTTCATGTTTATAGGTGGTAGATGGGCTAAACGTTTTGTCAAGTGTGGAGTTGTGAAGTGGAGAGTTGTGGGCCGACTCGCAGCCTCGGGCTCGGCAGACGCAGAACTACCGAGCGAGCACAAACACACCCACCCCCTGTCGCTGCCTGTATCTTCTTTGAGAATGAGACAGCAGGGAGCTTGATGATGCTTAGCTGAAACAACCATTCTTCTGATGAAGGTCTTCAAGCTTGATTTATTTGTCGAGACAAGACATGTCTGACGAGCTACAGCCTCCACCAGATGTACCATGTCCTCCAGCTGAATAAAGCTAGAAAGTTTTCCACTTGCTTAGGGGCTTGAGACATATCATGGTCTCTTTCATTCGAAGGCACATAGGCTTACTCCTTGCAGCCTTGTTCCTAGCACTCAGTCCATTCGCACCGGTCGACGGCATCCCACGCGTCCGTATACGAGCACTTCTCTCCAGACGTCAAGCTGGACCACCTTCAGCGGCAGCCTGTCCAGCAGGCTCATCCATCTGTGTTGCTGTAAGTAAAGTAGGTTCAGGCTCATCGACGCTAACAAACAGATGAACCTGCCGAGTGACGCGCCCAAGGACATCTTTATGAAAGTCACTGGCTCCACCAAGACCAGTTATACAGGTATAGGTCTTGGTCCCAGCATGACGAATACCCTTATGGTTCTGCTATTCCCAGCCGATGGTACACTGACTGCGTCTATGCGTCTATCAAGCGGCCACTCGCGTCCTGGCAAGAATGCAGATCCTAATATCAAAGTGGAGTTGTTGGATGGGACAGTTGTCAAGGGCGATTCATTCGTTGCTAATATCAAATGCACGGGGTGTCGTCAATGGTCGTCAGGTAGTTTGGCAGAGACGAATGGGGCTGGCCTCATTTATGCGTCTGGCAGTGCAACTGGCAAGGGAGATGCTGCTGTAACGACGTACCATTTTCTGGGGAGGGGTAGGTTTCAGCTTGATTTGGAGAAGGCCAAGGGCCCTGGTGGTGTACCTGCTTCTGCATCGCCGTACGCATAGATTGAGTGTAGCCATCTGAACAACACGGACAACGGCTCATCTGCACTGCGCGACAGCTTGCTCTTGCTTGACTCTATCGCTCAAAATGCAGACTACTTGAGCGTGACTCCGATCTGCTGTCGTGTCTCTTTTGAGGAAGCCTGCTGATATTAATGCCCTGGCTGGATGCTGACTTCATTGCTGGATTCTTTTCTGGTCTAGCGGGCCTCATTGTTGGTTCGCCGCTTGATATCATCAAGACATTGCGCCAATCTGGACAGCTTGACGAGGACAGCACTGGACATGGCAGACTTTCGGTTTCAGAGCCAAGGACGTGGTTCACAGGCTTGCTTGCACCGCTGTTTGCTCTTGGCTTACAGAACGCATTATTATTTTGGTCCTATGAAAGCATCATGATGCTCTTTGCTCAATACAAGCCGTCGTTACTGCTGAGCCTCTTCGCAGGCTGCTGCAGCGGCATTTGCGTCTTCTTCGTCTCATGCCCAACGGAAGTCATCAAGGTTCAGGCTCAGACGTCGGCTTTATCGTCTCGAGTCGTTATACTGCGTCTCTTGCGGCGACAATGCAAGCATCCCTTCAAGAAGAGTCCATTTCTAAGAGGTGGACTTGTGACGATTCTCAGAGACTCGATCGGGTATGGATTCTACTTTGTGTCATATGATGCACTCGGTTTGCTTTTGAGAAGGTATACTGCAGGACATGAGGCGTTGGTGACGCTGCTTGCAGGAGGGTTGGCTGGTTGTATCTCCTGGTTCAGTATTTACCCTTTAGACACCATCAAGACGCGTCTTCAGGCAGACTCTGCTCAGCATGCCCCTCTCATGGATGCTACCACGCCGCTCACTACATTGCGCAACAAACAAGGTCTCTTGGCTTGCGGACTGAGCATCATGCAGGAGCGCGCAAGAGCGCAACCAGGGAGCTTCAAGTTCATGGCTGGAATCACTGGATTGTATGCTGGACTAGCGCCTGCTATGCTGCGTGCATTCATCGTCAATGGAGTCATCTTCTACACAGAAAGATTCATCAAGGATGTGCTTGTACAGTAGAATGAAGGAATCCAATGAATCATGTATGGACAAGAACAAGCGCTGCTTTAGATCTTTGCCTTGGGTGCTTGGGCGGTTTTGAGGACATCGCCGAGAGCAGTCGCCTTCATCATGTTTCCCTTGAATGCATTAGTCTTTGGTCCGAGTGTATCAAGAGAGAGCTTACCTTGATCTTGATCTTGCCCTGCATGAAGAGCTTCTGAGCGTTACCCTTGCCGGAAGCCAAGTCCAAGAAGGTCTTCTCATCCATGGTCATGGTGATATCTGCCTTCTTGCCAGCGGGTGCAGCACCCTCACCAGCCTTGCCAGTCTCCTTAAGGTCGATGTAGTACTTGCCGCCGGACTTGAAGTCGAAGGAGAAGATGGCATTGGTCTTCTTGATTGCTGGCTTCCTGACTGCCTCGTCAGAGAGACCCTCGTTGATGGTCGCGAACAGTTCCTTAGCAGAAGACATGGCTGTATGTATTGAGTAGTATGTGTTTTATGAGAGAAGAATGAGGATGGCGCGGGGGCTGGTCTTTATGTGAGTCTTGCTTGTCCCCCAGCTTTCGAGTCTGTAGGGCGTAGGCTCGTTGTGGATGCCGAGGAGAAGCCGCACCAGGAATCATGACATGCACGTGCACCCCGCGTCATCACCCAGCTCGACTTAAGCAGCAGCAGCAGTCACAGCAAGGGCATCTATCTGCATATGTGTCTAGTCACGTACATACGTCTCTGCTTCTATCGCTGCCACTACTGCCATCGCCATTCTCGCGCAGTACAGACACCGTACACGCTCATCATGGCCGAGGCTAGATCTGCCCCGCATTTCACCGCCATCCATCTGAACAACCCAACGGCACACGACCAAGAAAACACAGTCACATCATTCATCGCCCTTACATATATAGCCATCTACAGCGTCATCACACTGTGACTACTACTCGCCACACTATCCCCTCTCGTTGCAATGGGTATCCCCACCTCCTCCTCCAACCTTGCCTTCTTCCGACCACCTTTCGGCGCCCCCTGAAATGCATCATAATTCGCAGTACGTGCCGTTCCACAAGACGCGTCAGCACCAATGAGACAGCACGCCGCGCAGGGCCGTTCACGATCACAACGACGCTTCCGCGCTTTACACCGGAAACACGCCATACCGTCTGTTTCTGCCGTACCAGGCTGTGCTATTGCTGTTGCTGCTGTCGTGACGATCGCTGCTGGTGCAACAATGGCCGGGATCGGTGGCGGTATGACTGGTTGTACAATTTTCGCTGGCACTGTCGGCAGCCCAATTGGCAACGGTGGCAATTTTCCCGGTATCAAGCTCGGTTTTGGTGGGTCACTGCCTAGCATCGGTGGTGGCAAGTAGGTATTGTTTTGCACAATTGGATCGCTGGATTCCTCGGGACAGGCCAAGACCACAACAGGTGAGGGTGCAGCAGATTCTTCTTCCACTTTCACCGCGTCACTGGGTTTGCGGCCACTGCCAAGGATACGTCCATCCGGTGATAATGGCACCCATGAACGCTTATAGCCCGTATCGCCCTTAATGCGTCTTGTCACACGAATCGATAGCCCTTGCTCAGCGCCACGATAGTCAACCAATTCAGCATCAGAATTGTAGCCTCGCTCTTTTGCCAACCTGGCAAGCATATTGGAAAAGACGGCAATGAGGTACAATGCATCGCCACGAATAGCAGCAGAAGGGTACTCCTTCTTTGCAGTGGATGCAACAACACCATCAATATGATCGCCTGTGATGACACGCGCTTGTGGCACAAGATAACTAGCAAGTCGGCTGAGACCTGCCCATTCCACTTGTGTCGCTATCCGTTCAGGTGACGCCAAACATCCTAGAAGCGTATACCACAGTGTCCGTGCCAGCTGCGGAAAGCGAAATTTACCAGGTACTTTTGTGCGTTGTTCGATAGCAACAATGTCGAGGTGCCGTTGTAAGCCTAGCAGGCTGAGAAAGTTGCCACCAATAACAAGTGATTTGGCAGGTGTGTGTACAGCGTGGATCCAGCCAGAGGGTATAAACATGGTGTCGCCCTGCATCAAGTCCACTTTAAATGTATCCTTGCAAGCGTCTGCAAGAAAAGTACTCGCTTGATTTGATGACAGGCACCAGTCGCTGTACTTTTTGAGGTTGGCAGCCGTTGGGCGAATGAAGAGAAACGTCTTTTGCCCTGCTAGAATGTGGTAAAAGACGCTCGTACCGGCAAAGTCAACGTGAAAGTCCGTATAACTGTTTGTGAGACTCATAAGGCAATAGAGACGCACTTTCGGATAGGCGCCCTTGTCGAACTCTTCAGGGTCCCAAAACTGATCAATCAGGTCGAGCTCGCGGACGACCTTTGGACGTTGCATCTCTTGGCCAAGCGTCGAATCGCTCAGCTCCAGCGAAATGACATTGCGCACGCGCGTGGGTTGCGCCTCTTTGTAGTAATCTGCCCATCTTCCAAGCGTCCAGCCAGTATCTTCGCCCTGTGTCGGCACATCCATCACTTCGAGCGGCTTATCCCTACCAACGCGACGCGCAACTTCATCCACCGTCAAGTCTTGTTGAATGGTCATGTCCAAGCCTTGCTGATTCCGCACCACAATCGGCTCATCAAACCCCTCCACATCCAGTAACCTTTTCCGTAGGGTCGCTCCATCTGCCACTTCTCTCACAGCTGCTGGCGCAAATGACCGTTCTTGACAGAGCGTGGTATACTTATGCCTCAAGGCATTGACATGCTCACCTGCATCCAACGCGTTATAATCTACTCCTGCACGCGCCCTTCTCGGACGACCATCGCGTAATACCGTCTGACCATAGCCTGCGTCCGTACACATCGAGCAATAGTGCGTATCGACCGTTGCAAGGATGAGTTGAAGACAGGCACAATGGTACCATGTCTCGCAATGCTCACAGGCGATCCAATCGACTGCGATTTGTTGAGCGGGTGGTGGACCTGATGCCGTACATGCTGGACACCGCTCGTCTGATTCCTCCTCCTGCTTGCGCTTCTTCATCTGCGAGTTGTCTTTTGCGAGAGTGGGTAGCGTGTGTATGAGGCTGTTTCGTGGTTGGTGCACGTGAAGGGCGACCACCAAAGGCAGAACCCAAGATACAGAAGAGAGACAGAGGCAATAGCTACCTAGCTAGTGAAGAGTGACGTGCCATGTCGAAGCGGGTAGCAGGCAAGCAAATCACTAAAGAACTCTACGGCCAAGAAGAGGAGAATGAGCGGGATAAAGTCGATCCTGTCGAGACTGCATCTGCTGAAGTTCTCGCAACGAGGAAAATAGCCATGCCACGATCACGGAAGAAGGCAGAGGTGCCTGCTGAAAGTGCGGTAGAGTCTGCGAATGGGTCTCTCGGTCAGAGTGAATCTTCTGGTGGCGAGGCTCCAAAATCGACAGAGGCCAAGGCGAATCCATTTGCGAGTATAGGGACCACGCCATCAAATCCATTCGGCGGCATCAAAACCGGGTCTGCATTTGGGTTTGGTGGTGGTACAAATACGTCGACATCGGGCTTTAGCTTTGGTGCTGGCGAGAAGGCTGCTGCGAAAGAATCAGAGCAGCCATCAAGCACACCAGCATTCTCATTTGGCAAGGGTCAGTCTACACAAGCACCTGCAGCAGCACCGGCGACCTCCACGTCTGCCTTTGGCTTTGGCGCAATGAAGCCCTTGGACAGCGTTGCAGAAAAGCCGGCGAATGACACTGCGGAAGAAGGATCCAGTGAAGAATCCAGTGAGTACAAGCGCCTCTTGCGAGCGCGATCGCTCAATGTCGCTTTCCAGCAAGCGGTGAACAAAATTCTCGAGGCCGATGCCTTTGCAGATCTGTCAGTCGTCTTGAAGGAGTACCAATCCCACAAGTCAGCAGAAAGTGATGTTTCCATCAAGCCGGCAGAAGCAAAGAGCGACGGCACGGGGCTGTATCCGCAATTTACAAAATCAGATGAGCAACTGGAAGCGAAACAGAGTGCGACGCCAGCATTCAGTTTCGGTGCGTCGAATGGATCGAGTGAGGCGCCCAAGCCGGCACCTGCTTTCAGCTTCAAGCCAGCAGAGTCCACAACACAAAAATCAGAGAGCACCGAAGTGCCCAAAGCATCGGCCTTCAAATTTCAGCCTGCAGCATCTACTGAAACGCCAAAGAAGACAAGTGAAGGGGGTGCTGACTTTACTTGGACACCTGACAAGGGTGTCAAATTTGGCGGTGCAGAGGATACCGCAATAGCAGCAACCAGCAGCAGTTCGTTCAAATTTTCAAATCCGCTACCCTCACCGAGTCAAATGACCACTGGCAACGACGATAGCAGCAAATCTGCTACATCCTTCAATTTCAGCAAACCAACCACTGGCTTTTCTTTTGGTCAAGCGAGCGAAGCGCCGCCTGCATCAACCAAGACGCCGACCTTTAACTTTGCTTCAAGCGGCTCTTCTTCCTCTTTATTTGGCAAGACACCGGCGCCATCTTCGAATGCGACGCCATCCTTTAGTTTTGGATTGAAAGCTGCAGAAGCACCAAAGCCAGAGGCTAAAGCAGCAGCGACAGAGGAGGGCGATGCCGAAGCAGAGGAAGATGCAGATGCAGAGGAGGCACCAGAAGAGCCACGGACAGATATTACACAGGGTGCTGGTGAGGAAGATGAAGAAGCCTTGTGGCAAGAAGATGGTAAAATCTTTAGGTTTGTCGTTCCGGCAGATGCCCCAGGTGAAGGCCGGTTCGTGGACTTGGGCAAATGCAACATCAAACTCAACAAGAACAAGACGACTGGCAAGTGTCGATTGATTGCACGGGCTGAGGGTGCTGGTGCGATTCGGATGAATGCACGGCTGTATCCGCATTTCCGGTATACGCTTGAGCAGAAGGCGTCTATCAAGGTGAGTGTGATGAATGCGGACAATAAAACTGAGAATTGGCTGGTGAGAGTCAAGGAGCCGGCCAAGGCCAAGTTGCTGATTGAGTTGTGTGATGAGCACAAAAAGAGCTAGAGCGCTAGCCCTTGTAAGTAATTCCTGCATCCATGCAATTGTTCTCCGTCCCTGAATTTAAGTCGCGAATTTATTGCAAGACGCGACCACAACGCGACCAACAGACTTCATCTACAGCTGACCTCTTCATTGGAGCTCTCTCTGCCAAGTCATGGCGCTCATCAACGTCCTTGATATCCGCTTCCTCAACAATCCAGCACCCATCGATGCACCTTTCGAGATCGAGATCCAGTTCGAGTGTCTCGACAGCCTGCTACATGATCTCGAGTGGAAACTCATCTACGTCGGTTCAGGCTTCAGTCAAGACGTCGAACTCGATTCCCTCCTCGTCGGTCCGATTCCCATTGGCGTTAATAAATTTGTCTTTCAAGCAGATCCCGTTGATGTGGCCGCGATGCCTGCACAAGACGTGCTGGGCGTGAGTGTCATCCTCCTCACAGCATCTTACGATGATCGTGAGTTTGTGAGGATTGGATTCTACAGTAACAACGAATACGCTGATCAAGCGAAACGTGAAGCCTATACACAACTACTCGCACAGGGAACAGAAGAGGAAAAAGCGGCATTTAAGTTTGAAGGTGTCAAGCAGGTTGCTGTACAGCGTAATATCTTGGTTGAAAAGCCAAGGGTCACACGTTTCAATATCATGTGGGACAATGAGAACTTTACAGATGCGCCGCCTGTTCAGGAAGAGCCTGAGGAAGGCGATGATGTGGTTGCCGTGGATCAAGAAGAGGATGAGGAAGAACATGAGCAAGAGGAGGAAGAGGAGGAGGAAGCCGAGGGCGATGCTCAAGGTGAAGTGGATGCTGACAGCGACGGCGACGCTGGACAAGACAGCAACATGGAAGAAGCGGGCGAGCAAGAATCAGACGGCGGCGAAAGCGACTCTGAGCAAGAAGGCAGTGAATCAGACACAAACGAGGCAACCACAGCATCAGCTCCAGCGGCAACACCGAGCGAAGTCGCGAAACCATCAGAAGCGGCATCATAATATAAATAAAGGAGATACGTTGATAGCATAAAAGATATCTTCATCAGTCTGCCAGAGCAAGGACGAGCACAGTCCTAGTTGGTAGGTACACCTGCAGGAAGTTGGATCTCCCATTCCAGCCCATAGGTTCTGTAAAGTGCTCGTTGCCAGGTGCAACACGATCATGGCCGCCATAAGTCTCATCATCTGAACACAAGACAACCTTATACTTGCCCGGCTGCTCGACACCGATGCGATAATCGGTGTAAGAGTTGCTGCCGTGCAAGTTGAAGATGAATAAGAGTCCTGCTCGCTCAAAGGCAATGACACGATCTCCTTCGTGCTTGAGTGAAATGTATGCTTGGCCGCTTGCCAACCACCCATACTTTTCCTCGAGGTGGTTCATAGCTTCGTCAAAGGCGTTGAGACAACTGTATCGCAACAAAGGATCGTTTGCAAGGTTAAATTGTCGACGAGCATGCATGAACGAATTGTTATTGCCCTCTCTCGGGAAATCAAGCCATTCGGGATGTCCAAATTCGTTTCCTTCAAAATTGAGGTAAGCCTCGCCACCGAGTGCACAGGTCAACAGGCGAATCATCTTGTGCATAGCCAGACCGCGCTCAATGACAGGCGTCATGGGAGATAATTTTGACATGTGCGTGTACATCTCTGCATCCATCAGCCAGAATGCAAGCGTCTTGTCACCAACGAGACATTGATCATGTGACTCTGCATAAGCGACTGTCGGTTCACCATGTCGGCGATTCGTCAGTGTAAAGCATATATTTCCCAAGTCCCAATCTTCATCACGCTTCTCCTTGAGAAGTTTGATGTACAAGTCCGGGATGGCCATTGCCAGGCGATAATCGAAGCCAAGGCCACCGTCTGGGACGGTGATGCAGGTACCAGGCATACCAGAAACATCTTCCGCAATGGTGATCATGTTTGGATAGAGTTTGTGGAGCATAACATTCGCCATCATCAGGTAGGCCACACCGTCAAGATCAACGCCTGGTCCAAAGTACTCATGGTAACCACCAGAGAAACCAGTACCAATACCATGGTGCAGGTACATCATGGATGTGACGCCATCAAATCGGAAGCCATCAAAGCCATACTCGTCAATCCAAAATCTCAAATTGGAGAGCAAGAAGCGTTGTACTTCATAGCTGCCATAATTGAATAGACGAGAATCCCAAAGCTCATGCTTGCCGCGGGGGCCCGCGTGGAAATAGCAGTGATCACTTCCGTCAAACTCATTGAGACCGTCCAACACATTCTTACTTGCGTGCGAATGAACCACATCGAGCAAGACCGTGATACCAAGGCCATGAGCAGTATCGATGAGTTCTTTCAATTCTTCAGGGGTTCCATAACGCGAGCTGGCTGCAAAGAAGGAATTGATCTGGTAACCGAATGATGCGTAGTACGCATGTTCCATGACGGCCATGAGTTGAATGACATTGTAACCAAGCTTCTTGATGCGCGGCAGCATGTCCCTAGTAAATTCCTTGTAGGTGCCGACCCGTTGCTCTGGAGTTGAAATACCCACATGTGCTTCGTAGATACGAGCTGATCTAGGCTTGACAGGCTTCTTGTGCTTGGCCGTGTATCTTTCGTTTGCAGGTGGGTTCCAGAAGACTGCATCATAGGCTGGCGACTGACTCAAGTCTTGTGTCACATAGGTAATCCAGGCTGGCAGACGATCAATGCGGCCTACTCCATCGGCAATCATGGAGATTTTGACCTTGGACATGTGCGGTATGGCTGGCTGACCATTCTTGGCGGGGACTGTGATGCTCCAAACACCAAAAGGGTCTCTGGTCATGGGATGTGACTCGCGGTTCCAGTTGTCTCGATGGTTAGCTTGTTCAGACTGTCCATTGCAAAGACTTACTAAAGTCACCGATGAGATGAGCTGTCACTGCATTCGGGGCCCATTCTTTATACGAGATGTCGCCGTTCTTCAATTAGCCATCCATTCAGCAGGGTATATCTGACTTGACTCACCGACAAGACATGAAATCCTCGGTCCTTGTATGACTGCGAGAACTTATCCAAGCTTTCTTCATTCTTTTCAATGCTTCCAATCCACTTCTGGGCAAGGTCAAAGCGTGCTTGGATACCGGCCTCGAAGGGCTCGAGGTAGGGGTCGTCCTTGATCATCTTGAACGCTGGTGCTCGCTTGACCGCATCCTGCGTGTTTGCCATGGCTGCCATGACTGTTCTCCTGTCTGCTCGAGTGAATAAACAGATGGGGCCGTGTCCTGGGCCTTTGTGTGTACTGTTCAAAAAGCGTGGGGATGGATGCTGCGCTTGTTCGTCATGGCAGCGGCGTGAGAGGAAGGACGACAAGGCAAGAAAGGACACTGCATCTACTGTACTCCTGTACAAGACAAGACATGGTCAACAGAGCTATCAAGCAAGCAGCACGCATCCTCAGCATCAAGCAAGGACCAGGCGCGCTCAAGCTCCCATCCAACGTCGCCCGTCTGCGCGTCACATTTGCACAAGACAACGCAAATGGTCATATGGGCCCACGCAAATTCGCTCAACAGTGCTTGCCCAGACTCCAATTCCACAATCCAGCCCTTGTTATTGAGGTAGAACGAGCGCCGAGAGATAGAAAGGCAAATCCAAAGAATGAAACGCCGAATGTACCGGCATTTGCAGAGTTTTATGCAAGTGGAGCAGAAACAGGGGCGTCTCCTATGAAGCGCATTGATATCCAAGGATTGCACAGCGATGCAATTGCGGAGTCCATCAAGACAGAGCTGGGTGCAGAGGAAGTGAGTGAAACGCAAGGGACCACTGTTATGGCTTAGCAGATTTGCATACTGCTCGACCTTGCAACATTAGCATTAACGCAATCAAGAGGCCGAGGACCCAGACTGCTGCTGCTATGAGCATCGTGACAGATAGACTCAGTCTGCAATTGGGTGAATTGCTTGCCTGACATCGATACTTCACCGAGGCAAGTTGCACGAGCCACAGAGCATGCAAGCACACGCAAGTCGAAGTAGTGCCCCGCCCTCGGTACCTCTTGATACTGCTGGCTGCGGCTGTCAGGTCATGCATGTTTTATCGACAGCATATACCAGAATGGCCTCAGTATAATGGCTAAACAGTGCATTAGTTCTACAAACACTTCACTTGGTCTGTGCTGTTTCCGGTCGCGATACACCATGCGCCTGCGCAGGCATCGCCAATTCAATAGACGTCAACGGCTTCTCCGTACTTGCTTGACCCAATGAATGCATAGACGCAGCACCATCCATACTCGAAGGAGAAACAGGCCCTGAATCACCCTTTCGCCAACCACTGAACCAACTTGTACGACCAGCACCTTTACCACGCTCACCAGCATCTCCCACCAATCCTGATGTGGTGGCTGCATCGAGTCCATCCAGCTTTGGTTTGAATTGTGCGGCAAGACGTTTCGCTTCCGCTTGTGATTTGTGATCAGCAACAGCACTGCTCGCCAATTGACGCAAACCATGCTTCCCAGACACTGATCCCATTTGTGGTGATGACGAGGGAATAGCACGCGGCGGCGATGCGAATAAGCCAGCACCAGGAGCCAAGGTCGTTTGCCCAGCATTCTGCCCGCTACGCTGCGCTCTGGGTGTGCTTTCCTGTGATGTGATACTGGAGGCTGTTGTATCCGACTTTGTACGCCCACCGAGCATCGACCTTGTTCTTGATAGGATGCCAGGATGTGCAGGAACTGCAGCAGTGGCTGCACGCCCTCGAAAGGCCTGCCCAGGAAGAGGATCGCCGACATCCAACGCTGCTTCGACGTCCTTTTCATCTCTGGCCAGGACATGCTCGAAGCCTTTGTTCATGAGTCGAACGACGATCGTATTGATGTAGAGGGTCAGCGCCTTGTTGGATTCCTGTAGCTTAAGAATTTCACTCTCCAGTGCCTCGCGACTTGCCTCTTCAAGGACTTCCGGTTCACTCAGGTCGATACTTGCGCCATCAAGCTCACTTGCCAGATCAAGCCCATTGGGAGCCCTGTGCTCATCTGGACGACCGCGCATAGATCGGAAGCGTCCAGATCCAGATCCTGTCGATTGCATAAAGCTACCTTGCGCAAACAACTCGCCAGTCAGTGTCTTTTCCTGCAAGAGAGTCTGGTAGCCTTCGACGTCATCTAGTAACTTGGCATAATCTTGCTTAAGCATCATGAGCTGATTCTGTAGCAGTGCGTCATCGTCATCGTTGCCAGAGCGTAACAAATTAAGCTCATGTTTAAGTGTCGCGACTTGCTCCTCGAGCGCCTCTATGCGTCGGTCCTTTTGTTGCACTGCCATTTGCAAGCTAAAGACGTTGGTTGAACTTGAGCGACTTGATGCTTCTGCATCTTGCTCCTCAGACGCTGCTTCGTCAATGGGCTTCGGTGTCGATGAACCGCTTGGCATTCGCTGTTGCTGCTGCTCTGCTACACGGTGCAGACTCCCTGAAAGCTGTTCTTGCCTTGCCATCAATCGCGCACGTTCATTCTCCCATGCATGTTGCTCCACCAGATGACTCTTTTCCAGCTGCTTTGACCGATTCTCTGCTTCCCGAACCTGCGACTCGAGCTCCGCAGCTTGTTGCAAGCTACCAGCAAGTTCAGCTTCAAGATGATGCTCGCGTTCCGTCTTGCTGGCCAGTGTCGTGCGTACGTTGAAGAGTGTCAATTCAAGCTGTTTTGCAAAATCCCTTGACGTTTCGTAAGCTTTGGTCATCTGATTACAGTCAGTAAGATGTATTGAAGAAGGATAGCGTACCTCTGCGAGCTTCTCCTGACTGTCAGTGTCGTTCGCATCCTCCCCATCGTCGTGGACACCAGCAGGCAACGGGGGTACAGCAGGCATCGGTTGCTTGAAGGGACTATCGGCACGCCTGACACTCGCACTCCGACCTGGTCTCTTCAACAGCGCAGCCCCTTTCCCTTGACCTGCTTGCGCACCGCTACTTGCAGTACTCGTGGTACTCCGCGTACCCTCATGACGCGACGAGTCTGCCGATCCTGAAGTACGTGGACGGGCCTTGAGTGGCTTTGTGGAAGCGGATGGATCTTTCACTGGTGTCGTAGTCTCGTTGGTCGTCATCTAGAGTCAAGGCGCCTTGAGTGAATGATGTGTGCCTGTTTGTTGAACAAAGGGAAAGCTGGACGCACTAACAAAGGAAGAAGCGTAAAATAGCTAGAGTAGGCGCAAGCGCAGACAACTGAGAGGGAGGGTTTGAGCCAGCTGTGCCTTCTTTACAGCAAGTCAGGAGAGGATGGAAGCGTTGTCGAGGTCGCCCCCTTATGGTCGAGCAGATGCGTCGAAGTCGACTCCTGCAACTCATTCAGATGGGCTGCCGGTGCTCGGAGCCTGTTCGCAAGAGGGATCAATCTCTTGCTTCTCGAGGGCATGCAAGACAGCTGTCAAGCAGGTAGACTCATCCTTAAGAAGCGTAGCTCTAAGTTCCCCCGCAATCAATTCATCTGAATCGATCTGACGCAATGTCTCCATGCGTTCTTCCAAGAGCATTTTCAGGACATGAGCGGCTCTGCGAATATGTTGGTCACGCTGCCAGTCACTGGAAGATTGCGCCTGGGCACAATAGCTTTCAATACTGTCCAATAAAGCCGGCGAGGCTGCGAGCATGAGCGCAAGGACTTGTGACGGATCCCCCAGAATTTGAGACCAGTATTCCAGGAGATCGATATCTGACGGTGACACATCGGTCTCCGCGTCGTGTTCTGCTCGAGATCTGCTTGTGTTGATCTTGAAGTGTAGGCGACGACTGACCCCAAACTTCATTTCTGCTTCCTGCCACACGGCAAAATTCTTTGGCTGCAGGACTAGTGTGGTTTGAACACAAGGATTATCTTTACAGATGAACCCATAATTAAAGAAGAGTTCCTCATTGGCTTTGTCATTGCCATAGGACAGTGTGATCTCTTCGTCAGCATTGATTCCTTTATGAGCCAGGAGCTCTATCACAATTGTGCCATCATCTAGACGATGCACCTCCCAGCGAGCATTGTGTTCGACGCCGGCATGGTTGCATAGATCCAGTGTTGGTACAAGCACAGTTCTGGGCATTCCTGCCAGACCAAGAAGTTCAACAAGCGTTTTTATGGCCTGGGGATCGTCCTCTTCCTCAGCCTCGCCGCCGGAGACCTCAGGTAGGCCAATGGTACGGGACTGGACCATGCTTGCTGCCCATCGCCAGTCCTCGAAGCTGCACAAATCTTTTGCCAACATTGCATGCTGCCTCTGTGTTATCAGACGCTTGGCCTCGATGGCTGGAGCCAAGGCCGTGTTTGACAGGTCCTCGTCGGCCCAAACCCCGTTAGCAAGGGCAGATGGCAATATGGCGATGTATGCAGCATCCTGACATTCAGCCGAAGAGGTTCCGCGATAGACCGCAAGGTACAGTGTCAGAATGAGCACTTCCGTCAATGGAACGAGGTCATCTCGGATGCAACGTTCCAACGTTGGAAGCAGTCTGCCTTGACTTTGAACTTCGTGCAAGACAAGCTGTCGAGCATTTATGACGCGTGCAAAGATGGCAATTCGCTGATTCTCCTGTAGACTAGTTGTGGCAAACAAGCCCTGGCCAGCTAGACCAGCCCTTTCTATGTAAGGCCCTTGTTCAGGCATGATTGTTCGTCATAGAAAATCCGAGACTTGATGCACGGTGCAGCGCTGCGCAATAAGTGTGCAAGGACCAGCCATTTTGTACTTGGTAACACTTTGACCATCCGCATTGTAGGCTATGCAGTTGTGTCATCTTCACATTGGTCACATGCCCTGAAGCAGTTTGATGTAGCGTCACGATGATACATAGTGACTGCTATGAGTCCTTCCGGCGGGCGGCGCTTCTCGGAAGTGTCGCAAACACTACGAGCAGCGCACACGACACTCTCCGACTTGCAGGAAGACCTCTATATAGCAGTGGACACTCAGGCAGAGATTCAACCAACACTGCACAAGCCCCGACACTGCTTCCTGGCCGTCCGACCGACCTCTGCATCATGCAATACCACACACTATGCGCAACGCTCGTCCCACGCTCTACTTCAAATCGCAAGAGAAGCAAAGTCGTTGCGCGTGAAGCGCCTGCAGCATGGTACACTTTCCCAAGAACAAATTACGAAGATGGCCTCACGGCATACCGGATACGGTCCGCAAGCAACTCACAGAGCGATTTGCTGTCTGCAACTTGTTCTGCTACATCGGAGTCTGCCAAGAAGGGTGGACGTGCTAGCTCTGACAAGCCACGCAAGACGGTGACTTTTGCAGACTGATGGCCAATGCAGTCAGTGCACACCATAATATGTTATTGCCACGAATGGCGCAACGCCGACCACGTTCGAGAGAAGCTCATTCGACAACATTTACGATTCTTTACGACAATTAGACTTCACTTCCAGTGTGCGCTGAGCATGCACATAGGGACTCTTTGAGCGGCATTGCCATCGAAGACCCAAGACTGGTTCAACGACCCTTGATGGCGACGATGGCATCGATTTCTCATAATCATAAGACAAATTCATTACTCCAAAAACCCTCCTTCCACTAGAGACGCTCCTTGCCTGCTTGCGGCAGTCATCATTCTGTGATATCGCGCGTCTCTGACGACACAGGAGCCTTGAACCGTGTGCCGGTGATGCGATGGTTCGCAAGCATCTTTGAAAGCTCTTCGAATTCAACGACAACAGCTCGTGGTGCGGCAAAGACTGTCAATGTACTATGCAAGGCGTCAGTGACAGGGACTTATGTCGTTGGCAAGGTCTTTACGTACAGCGCAGCTGCTAAAGCAATAAGAATAGCTTTGAACATGACTTAGAGTGTCTCGTGACCAGTGATTGGAGTAACCCGATGGAGTGTGCAAAATGTGCAGCTATCAAGGGCCTTTGAGTATGCCCGGATAGTCCGCCTGGCGCTGTTTCAGGCTTTCAGCTACAAGTTGCAAGGAGTGGTGCACCGTGCACGTCGCGCCCGAGAATCCGAGACGCGAATGCAATCAAGGGGTGGACGCAATTGCAGAAGGACTGCAATCAATCTCGCGATCCTATCTCACCTCCTGGAGTCCGCACACTTGAGCAAAGTCAGTGGACTCGGGTGGAGACCCTTGACAAAGTGTAAGCCATCGACGCGCAGAATCTTGATTCTTGCATCGTCGTGGGCGGTAGGCCAAAGCATGTCCAAAAGAGAAGCCGTTCAGGCCCAACCTGTTAAGCTGCAGATGGGTGATTGCGGCCATCAGTTCCGAAACCCCGGACTCCACTCCGGCACAGATTACGACAACGTCGACAAGAGTAGCAGTTCTACAAGTCTACTGTCAGAGGCTGCAAAGCAGGCCGCTGTCGTCGCACATGAGCCATCCCACTGAAAGAATCTTGAAGGTGGAATTGTCTATCAGTCCTTGCCAACTGCACAGTCTGCACTAGGAGCATTGCATATGTGTGAGAACTGGCCTGCTGTGTCGGTCTCAAATCTTCCCAGGCCAGTTGCAGGCTGCAGCCTAGTCTGCAGGGGACCACCCACTGCCCAGCCTCCCCCAGTCGCCCACCTCAGTACCGTCGAAAAGAACGAATTGAACATGACTTAAAATGACGATCTCCCCTGGGGTTTGCGGGCGAATGATGAGATCGTATACTAAGCGTATTGACACGAAATTGGTGGCCCGACCTCGGGTTCCTCCTGTCTCTGCAAGTTGCAAGTCGCGACTCGCAAGTACTTTGTCGACAAGAGGAGTGACTAGAGACCGGGTCTGTTGCAGCTACACGACTAAGATTGTAAGTTAGTCTAGATCATAATAAGTCGCCGGTAATGCTAGGCTCGAGCGCTAGGCTGCAAATTACAGTTCAAGCAGTAAATGCCATCGAATATGAGCATGAAGATTCGGGGCGACAAACTGGGAGCCTGCGCTCCGACTACACAGACTCGGGCTTGTACCGTCAGTTCCGCTACAGACCTTGTTCTCCTGACTTCGACTAAGTCACATGCTCCCAGCGAGCAGCCTCGCACTCCCGACTCCCGAGATCTTGACTATGTCTTGACTCTTCAGCCTTCGCCCTAGTCAGAACTCAGCAGTGGTAAGATACTAGTAACGTCAAATAGTTATGCACTCGCATCGCGCTATGAATTTGCGAAATGTCGTGACTATTTGACAGGTCGGCGGTTGCACGAGACGGGCCAATCACAGCCGATTTCGGTACCCCACGGTTATGCACGATTGGCTGTGCGCGACGGAGGCGGGGTTGTCAGTTTGACGCACTTTGCGACTTTTGAGATTTAGCCACTTGTACTTTCCGTCCCAGCCAATAGAGGTGCCGTTTGCTGTTATTGCCATAGAGGTAAAGCTGGCGAGGGCCGCGATTTTGTTGAATAGATGCTAAGTTTAGCGGGATCCATGGAAGTTTCAAACCTCCTTTGCCAAGTTTGCCCAGAAGTGGCCAGAACAGTGGCAGACTCGTAGAACGGCATCGGAGGGGATGAGCTATAAAGAGGGCGACGCTGCCTGATCACTGCCCTCCTCCAGGTCCCAATAGTTTCACTTTCTTGTACTACCAACACTATCCTTTTCAACATGGTTTCTATCAAGTCTGTCATTGTCTTGGCTCTCGCCTCGTTCGCTGCTGCCCAGTCTGTATGTCGACCACTCCCGAACCTCATAGACTCGATGCTAACTCTACTAGTCTGCCAGGGCATCTAGCTCCACCAGGGCCGCCTCATCGGCCGCACGTTCAGCTTCTGCTTCGCGTTCCGCCTCTGCTTCTCGCTCGGCCTCTGCCACTGCTCGTCCTTCGGGCGCTGCTGGCAAGAACATTGCTGGTGGTCTTGTTGCTGGTGCCGCCGTCGCCTTGTACGCCCTTTAAATGCGCTTAAAAGCATCTGGCACATTTCTCCCAACTAGCAAGGACTTGCTCCACGGTATCTTCACATCGCTCGAGACTCCTTCGCGGCTGTACACCACCCTAGAGTAGTAAAATATTCATTTGATACACTGTTCGACGCGAATATTGCAAGTCTAGTCTTACTCTACAAGCCTATGTGAGCTGAAATAAGGCGAAGACTGATATGCGTACTTAGCAGTACTGACAGCCTATAGGCCACTTTGACAGATGCCCACTAAACTGTACCAAGGGCTCTTGACTTTCGAGCAGTCACACGGTGACATGGGACTCCGTTGAGTGGCAGTCACGAACTGAAATTTCATCTCGGCAAAGCCAATCACAGCCGTGGCGCAGATGGCTGAGACGGCCGTTACAACTCAGGAACGATCCGACAGATCTACGAGTCTAGCTTGAGCTGCCCATCACGACTCCATGGAGTAGCTCAAGACTGGTGTAAAGTTGGATGCAAGTAGTTCTGTCATGAAGTTGTTACCGTTGCTTTGCGAACAGCTGTCACATCGTCTCATGAGTCATGTGCTTTTGCAGACTTCATTTATAATGTAGCCACGGCTTGCATGTGCATGAACATCCTACGTTTGACCTACCAACCTAATGAAACAATGCTCCGTCACGCTTCTGACTGAATCATCGGAGGGCTGTAGCTTGCAGCTTTCTTTCAATTCAAGAGTGCTAGCCACAGGCAGTGTGCCGTTACTATCATATCATGCCCAGGTGTTATCTACTGCTCTATCTTTCGAGGCTCGAGCTTGTATCAAGAAGCTCGGATAGGCCGGCTTGCTATCTAATGTGGCCCTGTGTGGCCCTGTGTGGGCACTTTATCCCTGCGCAGAGGATGCTGATCCGATGTTTCATTTATTTGCCCGAAAGAAGTTCACAGCCCGAGGGCAAATAGTAGTGCACGAGGCTCAGGCACAGACACTCAGTGCGAACAGAAAAGCTTTACAAAGCACGGCGTAGGGACGACCCGACGACAAGACCTATTCTTTCGTCGGCCTCCTGCGTGTCTACCTCAATCACACGACAACCCCGGACTTCAAGGTCGCACCATCTGCAGCTGATAGCGCAAGCGAGTCTGATCAGCGGTACTTAAACGACCAGACCTCCGCACTCATCTGCGTCTACTCCCATTTCATCGTTCAACCGCGTGTGTCACCATGGTCGCCGAAGGATCCTTCCTACCGACCAACATCCACAACGACCCGGCTCTCAACCCGGTAAACCAGTATGAGCACCAGCACCATCATCACTCAGTCGAGCCGGTGCAGGAAGCGCATTTTTCGCAGGCACCGGGTCCTCGGGAAGTTCCAAACCAATTCGCACCAGGGACAGGTCCTCGCGAGCAGTTCAACCCTCAGGGCGATGGCAAGTACATGATGGAGAAGGATGTTCGTGAAACCGGCTCTACCGAGTCGCCTGACGCAAGCCACGACCATGAACACATCAAGCGTCGCGGCTGGTATTCTGGTTTCCGCATCTACTGGCATTTGTTCTTTTTCCTGGTTCTCACAGCCTGGTGGATCACTGGTTTGATTCTCCATGGTCCTCAGCAGACGAGCCGAAAGCAATACGGCTGGGTCGTACCATTTTTACTTTGGCTTTTCATCAGCTTACGTCTCTTGACATTCCACGTTTCTCCCGCGCCGTTGTTCGGTATGATTCGCAAGGTTTGGCGTACAGTCTTTGTCGCTACTCTGGATAAGACCATCAAGCCAGAACTCCGTGGTTACGCCGGTGGTGTCCTCACCGTGGTCGTGTTCCTTGTTGGTACGATGGCTTCCAAAGAAACCGCGCAAAACACCCGCGCCGACCGTGCCATTTCGCTGTTTGGTCTGCTCGTCTTCATCACAGTCTTCTGGGCTACTTCAAAGCACCGCAGTCAAGTCAACTGGAAGACTGTTCAGGTGGGTTTGATTGCACAGTTCATTCTCGCCCTGTTTGTCTTGCGTACGGGCGTTGGATATGATATCTTCAAGTTCATCTCTGACCTTGCTCGCGAGTTGCTTGGCTTTGCCGGCGATGGTTTCGCTTTCCTCTTCTCCAGCCCCAGCAACTTTCCCTACTTTGTGGTTGCCGTGTTGCCTGCCATCATCTTCTTCATTGCCTTGGTGCAGGTCGCGTACTACGTCGGTTTGTTGCAATGGTTCATTGTCAAATTTGCCAGCTTCTTCTTCTGGGCCATGGAGGTGTCTGGTGCCGAAGCTGTTGCCGCTGCAGCAGCACCTTTCATCGGTCAAGGTGAAAATGCTATTCTCATCAAGCCTTTCCTCAACCACTTGACCAAGGCTGAGATCCATCAGATCATGACTTCAGGCTTCGCAACAATTGCCGGTTCGGTGTTTGGTGCATACGTGTCTCTCGGTGCCAATCCACAGGCGTTGCTCTCATCTTGCATCATGTCTATTCCTGCATCGATTGCCATGTCCAAATTGCGTTTTCCAGAAACTGAAGAAACTCTCACCAAGGGCAGCGTGACTGTTCCCGAGTCTGAAGAGGAACGTGAGTCAAATGCTCTCGAGGCGTTTGCCAACGGTGCTGCACTTGGTCTCAAAGTGGCCGGTGTCATTGCCGCTGTGCTCCTCGTTGTTATTTCTGCCGTGGCACTGGTTGATGGTCTCTTGTACTTCTTCTTCAAGTACTTTGGTGCACCGCAAGTAACACTCGACTTCATCCTCGGTTACCTCTTCTACCCAATCGCTTTCCTCCTCGGTGCTCCTCGTAGCGAGTTGCGTCTTATTGGTGCTCTTATCGGCAAGAAGTTTGTCGTCAACGAGTTTGCTGCCTTTGTCGACCTCACCGACCCCAAGGGTGCATATGCCAATCTGACCAACCGTGGTGTCATCATTGCGACCTACGCAATTTGTGGTTTCGGCAACATTGGTTCTTTGGGTAATCAGCTTGGTCTCCTCTGTCTTTTGGCTCCCAAGAGGTCCAAGGATATTACACGAGTCGCCTTTTCTGCTCTCCTCACCGGTGTCACTGCAACGTTGATGTCTGCGTCGATCGCCGGAATGGTGCTCGACCGCGTTCTCGAGGTTGGCACTGCCAAGCTCGCTTCTTCTACTGCCTAAGCGGTCGATTTATTTTGGCACCTTTTCACCATTCTTCTTCATGATGGGATTTGTCGTGTTCTGAAGAGCGATATGAGCCCTTCTCTCGGAATGCGCACTCCCCACTCCTTTTTCGGTGCTCTATCGCTTTCAATATCCGTCTCGCAGTGGGACCTGCGTCTGTTCTGAAGAGCGATATGAGCCCTTCTCTCAGATCGGTGTAGGTGCGCTTCGTTGTCTTGTCGTTCTTTGGCAAGACTTGAGCTGCGTTTATTTAGATGGCTTGTTGCCTGGTGATGTACTCCCATAGCTTCTATTTATTCTCAATACTTAGTGTCTCTCCTCAATCCTGATGGACGCTGGTTGATTCTGCCTGGTCTTTATGAATGTTGCCATCTGAACGTTTGGGACTGCTTTTCTCCCAAACACAAAATTCAGCGTGCGGCCGAGTGCAGTGAATTGGACAAATCTCATACGGCAGAGTACAGAATCAGCACCGACACTCAGCGAAGATGGTATGCAGCTTGAAGAGCTACTGTACAGCGTAGACTAACATCACCAGGGCTCATACAAGTACCTCCAGGAGCTCTACAAGAAGAAGCAGTCGGATATCCTCCGATTCTTGCTCCGTGTACGATGCTGGGAGTACCGACAGCTCCCTGTCGTTCACCGTGCCTCGCGCCCTTCGCGACCAGACAAGGCTCGTCGTCTGGGTTACAAGGCAAAGCAGGGATACGTCATCTACCGTATCCGCGTGCGTCGTGGTGGTCGTAAGAAGCCAGCACCCAAGGGTGCTACTTTCGGTAAACCCACCAACATGGGTATCAACCACCTCAAGTACCAGCGTTCTCTGCGTGTCACTGCTGAAGAGCGTGTTTCTCGACGATGCGCCAATTTGCGTGTGCTCAACTCGTACTGGATCAACCAGGATGCCACCTACAAGTTCTTCGAGGTGATCCTCGTTGACCCTTCGCACAAGGCTATTCGTCGCGACCCACGCATCTCTTGGATCTGCAACCCTGTTCACAAGGGACGTGCTCAGCGTGGTCTCACCTCCATTGGCAAGAAGTCCCGTGGTATCCACAAGGGACACACCTCCCAGCAAAACAGGCGTCGTCACTGGAAGCAGCACAACTCGCTTTCTTTGCGCCGATACCGTTAGACTTTATAGTTGCTACTACTGCTACTACCTGTCTAGCCTTCATAAAAATCTTAAAGCTCCTCAAGTCTCATTCTGTTCAGATCAAGACCGCGCTCGCTGGATCCCCAGACTAGCTCGGCAATCTCAAGACACTTCTCCCATCGACTCAATAGTTGCAAATTGACGCCACCAATGTGATTGCGGTAGAAGAGCTGTAGAATGCGACCACCAAAGTATAGCTGTTCTCTGACAATCTGTGAGGTATGTTCGAGTATGCCACAAGTCATCATGCGTTCGAAGATCTGACACATGCTGAGTGCTGCATCGACACACGCTGCGACATTGTACTGCAGGCCTGGATCCGTTGCCAATGCAGCAATCGGTAGAACTGGCAACGGTGAGCTGAGCGTCATCTGTGTCAACTCCAAGAATGGTTTGATGGGTTCAATGTGGATAAAGATGACGAGCGTGTAGTAGGCAAAGTTGAGCGACACATAGCCATTCGCCATTTGCTCCACTTCATGCCATTCGACATTCTTCAAGTTGAAGGCTGTCCACCACTCAAGTTGCCAATCGTCCAATTCTGGTAGCAAGGTCAAGAGGTCCCCTTTGCTGGTTCTCAAGCGCGTCGCCTTATTTTGAATCTTGGCAAGTGTACCAAAGGCCTTGACAAAGTCAACCACCCATTTCGAACCAATCTGCGTATGCAGCACTTCCCGAACACCAGTGATATACTCGGCACCCGTATAACTTAGATCCTCAAGCGTCAAGAAATCAATCTCAATTTCTTGGCCAAGGTAGGTTTCTTGCTCATCCTCATCGCCAAAGAAACTGAATGCATCGAGCAGGTAGTTCATCCAAACGACAAACTTGAGATGCGCGATATCTCGACGCGTACGACCATGTTCAAGACCCTCAACCGTATGCAGACCAAGTGCTTGGATCTTAGTCACAGAGAGATGTGTTATCATCTGTCTCTCAAAGGCCGTGACCTCGCCCTGCCAGTGGAATGAAATAAGCATGAGTGCACACACTGCATCAATCGAGTTATCCTGGATCGCTCCTGCCATGATGGTCTGTTTCGCAAGAGAATAGAGGAGCTCTGCTTGTGGCGTTGTGACGGGAGCTTGACCGCTCGCTGATTTACAACTGTACGCAGCACCACATGCAACCACCGTACAGACGAAATATTCCGGTAAGGGTGTCGGGAATTGGTAGCGATATCGCATGTACACCATACTCGCATCGAGAATGGGGAGCTGATGATCAGCGAATCTCATGAATTCATCAATCAGCATGAGTTCGAGATCAGCGGATAGACCTGTGGGTGTGCGTTGATGTACCATGGTGCTGTAGATGGTTTCTATTGGCGAGGCTTCCTTCATGAGTTCTTGCACAGGCGAAGCGAAATCATTGTTGCCGTAGAGAAGCTGATTTATGTCTTGCTCCATGAGTGGCGGTGCTGTTGCTTTACTTTCATGCATGCTCGGTCGCCTCGCCTGTGGTTGTTGCTCATGTGGCGAAACGTCCTGCTCGATGATGGTGGATGTTGAGAATCGCCGATCCTGCCGTGCATGGACAATTGGTGGTTGAACAGGGCGATCAGGCCGAGACCAGGAGCTATCTTGCGATTGACTCCGGTGCAGCCACTTTGAGTGTTCCTTACTCGGCGAATCATTCACAGAGCCATACTCTGACATGCTCTGGAAGAAGTCTGTATAATCAAAGTTTGGATCGCTTTGTGCAGATTCAGGACTCCCAGTTGCATTTCGGAACGACTCATACACGGATTCCTGAAGCACTGGCATACCACCTGCGCTATATCCTCGCACAGGCGGTTGCGGCTGCTGTGGTAGATGTAGAGATTGTTGAAATTGTCCATTCTGCATACTACCAGGTGGTGTAGGCACGCCACCGCCTGCTTGCTGAGATAGCTGTGCGGCATGCTTGTTGGCCATCATCTGCCGCCTTCTTGCATTCTTTTGTGAAATGTAACCAAATGTACATTTATTGTCGATATCGCTACATCGTGTGCAATTCTCAAAGCCGAGCTCTTTGCGCTCCTTTGCATCGCATTTCTATCGGTTGATTAGCATGACTTGTGCGACAAGATGATGTGGTGTTTGTGTTACCTTCTTCCGCTCGCGACAAAAGTCGCAGGAGGACCATTGCTTGCGCTTGGTCAAGGCAGCGCCCTCGCTGCCATTTGTATCTTGTGTGTCGCCGTTGTTCATTTGCTGGACCATATACCTGTGCTGATGCACAATGGGAAGAGCCGGAGATGTTTTATATAGGAGCTTGGCGCACTTGCTAGGAAGAACGATTCAGCGATTCACGAAAGGCAATGTCCCCTGGATAGCACGAAAGCTAGGTATGGCAGCAATATGTCAAGCAGAGTGTGCGTGCTGGTGCGTCGCTGTTCTGGACAAGGAGTGTGGTTGTTCGTGGAGGTTGCCGGGTTGTGGTGCGCTTTGGTCCTTTGGATCCGGGGGAGGCTGCTCCCTCTTCCCTTCCTTCACTGCCACTTTTGTCCTGCGAGCCAGTCAGGATGCCGCCATTTCAGCTGCAACTCCACACGAACCAGCTTCATTAGATCCAAACACGGACACGCCCACAGCACTGTCCAGCATGATCTCTTCACATAGTCAATTTGATCGGACTGCTTTACAAAGGGTCAGCAAATAGAGCTTGTCTGGATATCTGATACTACAGACTGCCGCAGCTGGTCACATGCACAGAAACAACGGATGTCTCGGCTTCAACGGGCACTTCGCTCTTCGATACTGAGATACACGGAGGCCTGACTATGCAGCAAGTTTTGCTGAGTGGACTTGAGGAAAAGGATCTGGTAGACTGACTATACAGATCCGTTCAAAGTCCAGCCAGCTCGTCAAATTTCACCAGCCATCCTTCAACTTTGTTTGCTCGATTCCCGACTGATAATCCTTGTCCTTGCATTCAAATCTATGCTGCTGTCAGTTGAGAAGGCCGAACTCTTGCCAGCGTACGTGTAACGTGCTTGAGTCTTACGACTGCCTCTGGTCCGAGAGCTGAGACCAAAAAGAGTCAGGATGCCCGTGCCTGGCTTTCGAGCAACTGTCACCGATCACGCAAGCACTTGAGGGTCTCAGCCCTTCATAGCCTGTGCATCAGTAAGGCCACTCAGAAGAATATGCTCAACAGCTTGAGTACTTCGCTTCAGAGTCGATGTATGTGGTTCATAGCTCTAATGCCTGGAGCTAATGCGCTTCCGAGCCTGAGAATTAGAGAACTTACAATGGTCCAAGACAATTGACTACTCGTGAAAACATGCTATCCCATTGTCCAAGCTCCCGTCGGACCAGTGTCTTTGTAGCAATTCAAGTGCATCCCCTGATCACTTGCTTCCGCTGTTATCTCTCTGCCACGTCAGCGCTCATGCACGTGACCTTTAGTTTAGTCTTAGCTGGCAAGAGTGCTATACTCTTGTCCCCCATTCGAATCAAGTCTTATCTGCAGCTGCCCTGCGTGCCTGTGTCTAACACCTACGACTACAGCCTCGCATATCTGTCTTGTGCTGATAGATGCCGAAATCGTGCATTGAGCGTTCGTAACCAGCAGCAGTGAGTGTGGCATGCAGCTCGTCATTCCAGGGCTTGCCAGCTTGTTTCAAACCGTAGAGAGCCTTCTTGAGCCTAACGAAAGGGAAGTTCTCGTTGGAAAAACCTCGAGGAGCATTCATGAAAATCTCAGCCGTCTACGCCATCAATCGTTCGCCTCATACTGGTCTCGACAAGACGCCATACGAAATGTGGTATGGCAAGCGACCAGATTGCTCGCTTATGAGGACTCCTGGTACCATTTGCTGGTCACACAACCCGCGAATCAAGGACAAGTCGGATGCGCGCGCCAACAAAGCTATGTTTTTGGGCTACAGTGATACTTCCAAAGCTTGACGAGTCTTAGATCTTGCCACTGGGAAAGTTGTTCTCAACCACTCGATCTTTTTGATCATGCTGTGGCAAAAGAACTGTCTGTCAACAAGGATGTCGATCCTCGTCAGCTCACAGACGCTCAGCTCGAAGCTATAGCCAGCGGCAATGCTGCAAGTGTCGACTTTGCTGACGAACAGCTCGAAGCCATCGCTACTAGCGGTCTTGACGTTACTACTAAGGATGACGAGCTTCATGAATATGCTTTTATGCTTACTGCTCAAGATGTTCTCCCAGCTCCTGTAACTGTCAAACAAGCTTTATCCCGCTCTGACGCACCTGAATGGCGTGCCTCTATGGCATGCGAGCTCGCCTTTCTCGAAGGCAAGGGAGTCTTTGAGTACGTCGCCAAAGTACCTCCAGGCCGCAAGGCCATTGGCGCACGCTGGATCTTCAAGAACAAGATCCTTGCCGACGGCACTTTCGACAAGCGCAAGTCGCGTCTTGTCGCCAAGGGCTACTCTCAGAAAGCCGGCGTAGACTACAACGAGACGTATGCTCCAGTCACTCGACTGGAGTCTGTGCGCATGCTTATTGCACTCGCCTCAATTTACAAGCTCCATCTTCACCAGATGGACATCGCCACCGCTCACCTCAATGCGAATTTGTTTGAGGAGATTTTCATGATCGCTCCTCCAGGTTTTTCCAACAAGAACTTCCCTTTCGTTAGGCTCAAGAAGGCTCTCTACGGTTTGAAACAAGCTGGCAAAGCCTGGAATGACGAGCTGCATGCCACACTCACTGCTGCTGGTTACGAACGCTCAATGCACGATCTCGGCATCTATCAGCACAAGACTCATTTGTCTTTGCTTTGCGTTTACGTTGACGATATCCTCATGGCTTTCGGATATCGCTCACAAGGAGCATCTTCTCAAGGCTCTTACAGAACGCTACGAGCTCTCTGACCTTGGTCCAAGAAATTCCATTCTTGGCATGCGTGTCTCACACAACAACGGCGTCTACACTCTCGATCAATCCACCTACATTGAATCGATCGCCGCCGACCACGGCTTAGCCAATTGCCATTCCAAGGCTCCTGCCAGCCAGTGTCGGCACAATTCTCACCACTGACGGCACTACCCACCAGCCGACTGACGACCAGCCGGCCAACAAAACTACTTACCAATCCATTGTTGGGGAGCTCCAGTGGATTGCCACCTCGACCAGACCCGATGTTGCCTATATTGTCGGTGTTTTAGGTCGTTTCTCTGCCAAGCCGACTATTGCTCACATGAAGTTGGCTCGTGGCGTCCTCGCGTACCTGTTCACGACTCGCAATTTGCGACTGCGATACGACGGAAACGCCGACTTTGCTGGGTACTCTGACTCTGACTACTCAGGGTGCCTGGATACAAGGAAGAGCACATCTGGCTATGTTTTCATGCTTGGGGGAGCTGCAATCACCTGGCAGTCAAAGCGCCAAAACATTGTTGCCACATCGACCATAGAAGCCGAGTATATTGGCCTCTTCAACGCGTCAAAAGAGGCTCTCTGGCTGCGCGAGCTCATGCTCGGCATCAAGATCAGCAATGTGCTAAACTCCGACGACTCCATCAATCTATTTTGGGGACAATCAGGCTGCGCTGAAGTTGGCACACAACGCTGTGTTTCACGCCAAAAGTAAGCACATCGAACTGAAGTACCATCACACTCGATCCCTGATTGAGCAAGGCAAGATCAAGCTACACTACGTCGGCACAAAACTGCAAAAAGCCGATCTCCTTACCAAACTTCTTCCACGTCCTGCATTGGAGACGCAACGACTGCTTCTCGGCCTCGTCTGAGCACTTCGCTTTATTGAGATAGAGGGAGTGTTAGGACTTCAAGTGCATCCCCTGATCACTTGCTTGCGCTGTTATCTCTCTGCCACGTCAGCGCTCATGCACGTGACCTTTAGTTTAGTCTTAGCTGGCAAGAGTGCTATACTCTTGTCCCCCATTCGAATCAAGTCTTATCTGCAGCTGCCCTGCGTGCCTGTGTCTAACACCTGCGACTACAGCCTCTCATATCCGCCAATCTCTATCAGTCTTAGTACCGGGCCCCCTTGTTGGACGCATACGACAAGTCACGACCGTTCGTACGGCCTGGATTTCAGGGGTCACCTTCCGTTGAGGCTGTTGAGCGATATCAACATAGCTTGAGAGCAATGGCTCATACAGTCAGACTAAGCAGAAGTATCTGTTATTCAGCATGAACGCTCACGTACGCTTGTCAACACTTACCCCCTGCTACTTCCATCTGACTTCTCTGCGCCGGCATCTCGCTGCTCCGTAAAATCTCCGGGTCGGCGCGCAAAAGTTGAATATACCCGACACTCGCGAGCTCAACGGAGAAAAGTACAACAAGCAAGATCCTATAGCTACGTCCTCCCGTCTTCCTGGCACTGATCCTACATTCTTGCAAGAATCAAGGACAGCCACAGGCAGCTGTCGTCCATGGATCAGCGGCTCGTGTGCAGTGAAGACGAAGACATCTTCCTCTTCGTCACCCCACCACGATCAGTCCTCCACGAAGCACGCACGCATCGTACCATCCAATGCCAACGCACACTACGCGCTCATCAAGGCCAGCCGGGTCAACATCTGGCGCCCGTACGCATACGACCCGTCCTCAACCTCGAAGCCACCAAACGCGGCGCAACACGGATTATCGAACTTGAAAGTGATGATCAGCGTATCGCGGAACTACAACCCGCACGCATGCCTGCTGGTACAGAGACAATTGCCTCGAATGGAGGATTGAGTCCCGTTGAGTATCTACCGAGACGGCGCAGTCGTGGTAGGTCGATTGGCGAACGACGCGGTGCGTTTGGTGGCGACGTTGCATCGACGCCTGCGTTTGCGCATCGCTTCGATATGCGCGTCTCCGGGTCGGTGCAAGAAGGTCGCTTTGAGTTTGTCAGTAACAATACGACATTGACGTGGCATAGACGTGAAGTGGCAGGTCATGCAGAATGGGTCTTGCAACCGAATACCTCTGCTGGGAAGCTGGAACAGCATCGTCAGAATCTTGCCAACAATATGGCTGGAGATGGTGCACAGCACAACATGCTGACTCCCATCGCAACAACCACGTCGTTTAGGCCACGCAATGCGCTGTCTCGCATCAACTCCAACGTTTCACAGTTTACGATGATCTTGGATGATGAGAGTATCCTGTCAGAGACGCTCGACGCCAACCATGCACATTTCGATCCGCAACGCAAGCAAGAAACAGTCTTGTCTTCTACGCCTGTACCGCATCTGCGACACTGGGTTGGTGTTGAACGTGCGTTTGAGACGAGCATGCATGCGATTGCACAGAAGGAGGACGGACTCATCATGCTCCTCATCTCTGCCCTGTGGATCATCTGGGCATCCAACGACATCATGGCACTCGACGAGCATGGCGTTTCGATAGAGAAGGAAGCACACCATGGACTGGCCGGGCAGGCGTATGCGAACCGTGAAGGCCGTCAAACGAGTTTCAGCCTGAGTGACGATTTGACGTCGCCAGTGAGGAAGCCGCGCGAGAAGGCAAAGAAGCGAGGGTTCTGGCAGCGTATTGCTAGTGTGTGCTAGCCTTTCTTTGTATGACGTTGATGAATTTTGAGAGCAATCTGGTAAATGCTGTACTTGTGACTGCTTGTCTTCCCCCTGATTGTGTCATGGCCCACGAAGAGCACTCGCTTTCATCCTCCAGACTCTTTTCTACTGACTTGTAGCGCTCTCTTGCTGCTCACTGAGCCATGTCTTCAACTGCGCAGCTGCCCTCTGAGGTGACCATCAGACGTGTCCGCTACACAAATCAAAGCAGCAACCGCAATGCAACCACAATCGTTCGCGAGCGCGTACCCACACCAGGACCCGGTCAAGTCCTCGTCGCTGTACATGCTGTATGCCTTGATGCTTCTAGTATCCATCCCGTCTTGAGTCGCTCTTTTAGTGGTACTGTTGTCTTTGCACCACCTGCAGCACTCGCTGATGACACCACGCAAACAATCACGTGGCATGCAGGAGATCGAGTCTGGGGACGTGTTGGTCGAGCATCGGATGCTGTTGCTGAAATAATTGCTGTTCCTAGGTATGCGCTGCGTAAGATGAAGACGGACCGGACGTTTGCCGAGGCGTCGACGCTTGCTGGACCTGGATTGCTCGCGTTTCGCGCACTGCAGATGGCGGATCTGGCAAAGGAGGGAAGACCCAGGGTCCTCGTTCACGGTGGCAACACTGGCATTGGCACTTTTGTCATTCAATTTGCCAAGGTAAACGGATGAGTTTCCCGGGAAGCGCTAACATCTAGATCATGCAGTGCGACGTCGAGGTGACTATCCGACCATCAGAGATCGAGTTTAAGCAAAACTGTCGCGACTTGGGTGCAGATGACTTTGTGGATCTACAAGAAGAGATCAGCTACGGCAAGACGCTTGCTTCTTTCCGTGGTCGCTGGGAGCGCAACTTTTCCGCCGTCATTGATTGTGTGGGCAACGAGACAAGTCTTTATGACAAGATGTCACAATACACGCGAGAGGGATCCAAGTACTTGACCATCAAGTCACAGAGTATCAGCTGGAAGAGTGCCATCTTCAAGAAACTTAGTGTATCTCCACGAGAGTACGTCTACCTCGACGACTCGCTCACTGAACAAGAAGCGCAGAAACAACTTGAGCTTATTGTTCGCTGTATCGACTCGCCAGAATTTGTCGATATTGAAGTACAAGATGTTTTCAGCTTGGAAGAAACAGATGAAGCGATTGCCAAGAAATTGGCCAATAGCGGTTTCGGGTGCATTGTGATTGAGGTCATGCCAGCAAACGACGGGACACTGCAGACTTGGCTGAAGCAGTACCAAGACTGGGCAACGACTTGGGTCGCTGGAGCTTTCGCTGAGCCAGAACAGGCACCTGCTACCAAGTCTCGTCGTATGAGCACACAATCGCTTCGCAAGAGCACCTCTTCGCACAAATCTGATGGACGCTACCGCGGGTACGATGCTGGTGTCTCTGCCTTTACGCTGGGAGCATCAACCGGTGCTCATGCGCCCAGTCACGGTCATGGTCATTGGGGTGGCGGTGGAGACGGTGGAGGTAGTTCTTTTGGCGGCGGCGGCGGCGATGGTGGCGGCGGAAGCGGGGGCGGGGGCGGGGGTGGTTGTTGAGCGTAGGACTTGATTGACAAGGCTCGAGTAACGAGGGCTTGTCCATTGATGCATCACCGTAGCGTAATGATTTTATGATCGTGAGCGTCGATACCGCCAGCCCATCTGGTAATGCTGGGCCAGCACATGACAGCACGGGGGCCATGCAGCATCCATCTTTCGCGCCAATAGATGGATTTGCTACGCCTTATTTCTACAGACAGTATCCATCAGATTCTCATCACATACTTATGTCGTGCAGAAGTGAGGGCCCTCTTACAAACGAGTCACACAGTTTGCGATGCGCTCATGCAGAGCTCTTATACTTGGCGCGTCATTGACATGTCCAAAGCCAATGCGACAGAGCTCCTAGAGACCATGTGGTATGCAAAAGACTATACAAATTGCATCAATAGCGTCTTGCTTGATTGGATCGATCCTGAGATGATGTCAGCTATGATTGAAGAGCTCGACATGCTGCCAAGTCTGAAGCATCTTTCACTCGTTGGCATCGGCAGTGAAGCACCGCATTTTGTCGAGAATCCAACAAGTCTCAATTGGCAGAGTCCAATGTCTGCCATATATGAATCACGCAGCAGAGGACGTCTGAGGAGTCTGGAAACAGTGTCTGTCCTTGGCGGTCCAGGCTTCCCTCCAGGTTTTAGCAGCTTGATTGCAGAAGAAGTCCAAGCTGCGCTTGAAAACCTCAACATCAAGAGTGATATCGTCTTTTGCACACAAGATGATACTGCATTGCACGGCAAACGAAATTTGCAAGAAGCACATGAACGAAAGTGCTGCTCTTGCGGCGAGAGCGACGGCGGCTGCACACCTTGTCTCAATAAGCGACTTTGCAAACACTGCGCTCGGTATTGGTGTGCGAAATGCCCAGTCAGCCTGGAGATTGTCTGCTACGAATGTGGACGATTCTGCAAAGATTGTTCAACTGAGAGCACGATTCAGTGCAAGCAGTGCTCGTCCGCATTCTGCCCACAGCATACATTTGCGAATGAGAAGAGCGCTGCTGAGGGACGCAAGCGAGGCTTGTGCGACTGGTGCATTGAAGGTGAGAAGACAAGGTCTCGTGATCGATGAGCTAAAGCTGCAGGCGGGACTATGAAGCGGATGCAGGTTGATTTTTTTACGTCTTGAGCTGGACTTTGCCCGTATGAAAATGAAGTGTTCCTGACGGAAGCTCGACATTACTGTTCCAGACGACCCAAAATGTCGTTGTTTCTTGAGTTAATGACTTTCTTCTGGGCGTCTATGAGCGCCGGGTGGCGTATACTTCTGCGTTTATAGGCTTGAGCTCACACACTTCGGGGATACGGGATCTGTGGCAATCTGCATACTCTTTAGTTCTTGGCCGCTCATCGCGAGTGCGCCTTGCTCCAGGTTCTTCGGCGAGAAGCTAAACCTGATAAGTTCGCTGCGCTTCCAAGGTAGCAAAGCACTGAAACGGCACAATTTCAAATCCAAATGCTGCAATGAGCAGCCAAGAACAAGAGCGTAGAGACAGCCACAGATCCCCTATTGCAGCGTTTCCTTTAAGGTGGCTTGTTAACTCTAGCATATCTCATAGCTTGTCGTGCATATTCGCTGCCTATCGCGCAGCATCGCCTGGTTCAGATGACGGTGTCAAGCAAATGGAGATGTTGTCTGAGTGGGTGGTTTCATTCGCAATTGTGCCGAGCGTCCCTCAGAGTGCTAGATTCTAGTGCGTCATATCGCGGGCACAGCAAAAACAAGCCCTCGAGAATGCGACAAGATACGAGTCCATATAACACAAGCTCAGCCTCGGCATATGACCATACTCGTACGAATAGACTGATAGGGTCGCATCAAGCAGCATGGTGCTCAATCGAACTAAGCTACCGTGGATGCGGGATGATCGCATCATCCTGAGTCTGACGACCGGTGCGCATTCAGCGGACCTGGTGGTCGAAGCCTATGGCGACCGCAGTTGGTCGCGGAAGCATGCTCATAAAACCCGATGCACAGACGAGCCACCGGCTCAACACTTTAGCAAAGATCCCTGGGAGCTTTTCCTTGGCTTCGAGAATACGTACAACCTCAAAGTCCGCGATCCAGTCAACTTTGTGCCGATATCGCAGGAGAGGAGAGATGCTATCGTGCAGCCAGAGCTGAAGCTATATGATTTGCTTGACCGGCCCGATGCGCATCACAACTTCAAGCCTGGTAGCATCCCGGACTCGTTGTATCAGATTCATACAATCGGCAAGCATGCATTCGACATTCAGCGATCGAAGAATTTGCTTCGGCAGTTCCTCGACCTTGCTGGCTTCTCATGCTTCCGTTATCGCTACAACTACGAGAGTGTTACTATCTCCATGGGCATAGAGTTGGCGCAGTATGTCGATACGACCATCATTGGCGACGATGTACCACCGCATAATGCTCGCTTGAATCATCGCTTCTTCATCATTGACGCGGTACCGACTGATACACTGACAAAGGACATGGAAGCTCGCATAGCAGGGAAGGCCTTGATCACCAGTCTCTTCAAATACATGGCTGGCGTATCTCGGACAAGTGAAATTGAGGTGTTCATCTTTGTTGGCCGTGGCACGCGAACGCGTTTCTATCGGATTGTCTTTGAGCCAGAGTACTTGAGCGACATCAGTAAAGGACTGGAGCCGCTCAAGGGCTCTGCTTTATGGCACGATACGGATGAGCTCGAGCTTATGAAGAAGGAGGATCGTGTCAAGCTGGTCGATAAGTTTGAGCACATTCGTAAGGCAATGCATGTACGGATATGATGTAGTCTTGATAATATACAAGGTCAAAGAGCGAGGAACGATGGAACATGATTCATGAAGCGATGACTGCTCAAATCTTCGCGTCGCGCAAGAAAACAAAAACAAAGAGCATCAGGAACAACAACACAACAAGCAGCCTGAATTCCGATCGATTGAAGAAAAGCATGGCTGGTCTCAATGGCCTTATAGACTTCAACGTATGCTGATGCACTTCAAAATTTCCCATCTAACAACAGACACTAGAAGCACAAAAGGAAAATATCGAGCCGATACGGCAAGGCAGATCTGCGCAAGCACTCGCCAAGGCCTTTGCGATCAGTCCAGTAGTAGCAAACGAGGCCAATGAAGCGAAACAAGCTGCATTTGAGGAAGAGTTGAAATCATCACATGAGCTAGATGACCCGCTCGAAGTTTGGATACGCTATCTCGCTTGGACCAATGAGGCCTTTCCTACCGGCCAAAATGCGCAAAGCGGCTACATCGAGCTTCTTGAAAGATGTTCAAAGCAATTTGTACGGAGTGCGCATTATGCAAACGATCCTCGATATCTGAAGCTTTGGATTGAGTATGCGCGATTCAGTGACGACCCGCGCGAGCTATTCTGCTTTCTGGCGCGCAACGAGATTGGCCAGCAGCTGGCGACATTTTATGAAGAGTACGCGGCATGGCTGGAGACGATGGGCCGTAAAGGACAAGCAGATGAAGTCTATCAAATGGGCCTCATGGCTGGTGCGAGACCAGTGAGTCGACTACGACGCAAGTTTGATGAGTTTTCTGCAAGATTGGCGGCGAATCCGCCTCGAGGTGATGATCCAAGTAGTCCGCCGATTGCACCTGTTCGTGCTGCGTTGTCTACGAAGCTCGGCGGAGTGACTGAAGCGCAAGGTGCTGCATTCGTCAAGAGCGGTAAGCCAAAATTGATGATCTTCACTGATGAGGAGGTTGCATCAGCTCCGGTAGGATCTGGTGGATGGGGAAGCATTGGCACTCTACGTGATCGCAAAAAGGAGAACACCGTCGAGGTGCGTTCAATGCAGGGCGAGAAGCTGCAGCAGCGCGGTGGCCTTGCTCCAGCGCAAGAAAAGCTTGCCATCTTTGTGGATCCAGCGGTACTGCCAAAGAAGGCAGAGCGCGTTGCCTGTGACTTGGAAGCAGTGTATGCTGTTGAAGGCCAGGAGATGAGTTTTGAAGAACTGAAAGCGCAAGGCATGGGCTTGCTCAATCATGTTTGGCCCTCAGAAGAACTTGTTGTTGAGTCCGCCCACGAAGATGTATATGTTTCTGTGATGGATGCAGACTCGCCCATCAAGGACGGTGCGCGCAGTGGCAAGATGAAGCAGCTGGCATCTCCCACCATCAATACAAAGGCTGCCATGGACGACATCTTGGATCTATTCAGTAAACCACTCAAGTGCGAGCAATCAGATGCCAGCTCAGATTCGGAAGAGGACGAGGATGACTTTGAGCCGACCAACACATTTCAAGGTCATGCAGAGGGTTGGACACTTCAAGCAACGGAGCTCGTCGCTGACACACAGTATGAGTCTGATAATTCCTCAGATGAGGAGAGTGAACCTGATCTGCCTGTCGTGAGCGAGAGTGACGAGGATGAAGCCGAAGAGCTGTCTTCAGATGATCTCGTTGCTGCTTTGCCTGCACTACAAGTGCGCCAAGAAGAGAAGCATGGGGACGAGCCTGAAAATGCTTTACCTGCGGTTCCAGCGACACCTCAACCGGAAGCCAAGCGAATCAATGGTATGAATCTCATGACACCAATTACCGAGGACACTGAGCATTTGCTATTGTCTGTTGTCAAGCCTCGACCATTGGCTATTGCAGAGGAGGAGTCAGACGAGGCTACTGAGCATATCGACTCACTCTACAGCTCGCCTTTTATTGAGAATCCCGAGCCACGGCCAGCAATCACGAAGGAAGCCCCACCGAAACGTCCGGCCTTGGCAGAGAAGCTCAAGGCTCGAGCTGCTCCCGTGCAGGCAGAACAACCTGAGCATGAGATCCCTCGTGGTCCCGTCAAGGGCCCTCTTGTACAAGAAATGCTTTGCAATCCTATGGACGCTTCTGTCAGGAATCAAATATTTCGCTGCATGTTTCCGCAACTTGGGTCATTTGCAGGGTGCAAGCTGAATGTGCAAGAAGCCTATGGCAAAAAGTTTGATGCCATTGAAAAGTACATTCGAGCACTCAACAAGCGTGGAGCTGGCGAAGCGACGCAGCACCTTGAAGTGATCCTCGACTTTGACTCACGGTATGCCATCAAACGAAAGCTGGGTGAAGGTGCCTTTGCACCGGTCTTCTTGGTTGAGAATATCTCTGGAGTCGCAACGGGCAGTTTGCGTCGCAAGTTGGAGGCGTGCAAGATTGAGCGGCCAGGAAGTGCCTGGGAATTTTACATCATGCGACAAGCTGAGCGTCGTTTGGGCGTCAGTCGAGCCTCGCAATCTGTGGCGCGTGCACACGAGTACTATCAGTTTCAGGATACGTCCTTCTTGCTGATCGACTTCAAGGATCAAGGCACTATTCTTGACCTTGTCAACAGCGCTCGCTCTGAGGCAGGTGGCGTGGATGAGGTACTAGCCATGTTCTTGGCGGTCGAGTTGCTTCGTGTGGTAGAGCAATTGCATGCAAAGGGACTCTTGCACGGAGATCTGAAGGCTGACAACTGTCTGTTGCGCTTTGACTCTGTTGCAGAACAAGCTTGGTCGGCTGCCTATAAGCGCGATGGATCAGATGGCTGGGAGAGCAAAGGCATCTCGCTCATTGACTTTGGCCGTGGCATTGACATGAAGGTGTTTAAAGAAGGTGTTCAGTTTATGGCCGATTGGAAGACGGATGAGCAAGATTGTGTCGAGATGCGGGAAGCACGGCCATGGACCTATCAGGTCGACTACCACGGACTTGCCGGTATTCTTCACTCGCTCTTGTTTGGCAAATACATCGAAACGTCGGTTGAAGCTACTGGACTAGGTAAGAAGCGTTACACGCTCAAGAACACATTCAAGCGGTACTGGAAGCAAGCACTCTGGGAGCCGTGTTTCAACATGCTGCTAAATCCGCAACGGCACGCAACGCTCGGTGAATTGCCCATCAACGACAAGCTGCGAGAGGTGCGCGAACAGATGGAGGACTGGCTCGAAGCCAACGCTGAGAAAGGCATTGGGCTGAAGGCTATGATACGGAAGCTGGAGGCAGACTTGCTGGTGTCTAGGAAGCGGTAGTAGCATATGTTCCATCCAATATGTAGATGAAGCCTTTTGTGATCATCTGAAGAAGAAATCGCGCTCAACGGCAGCACCAGCACCACACAAAACGCGGACGCGACTCGCTGTATGGACGCATGCGTGCTGGATCCGCTGTCATATGTGGCTCCTGCACGCATACGTGTTCTTGTGCGACCATGGCTGCCCATCAAACGAGCCGCTTTTGACAGCTTTCTCACTCAATTGCGAGCTGTCAATGAAGTGCGATTATCAGACGTACCTACCGGGCCCGCGGCTGAGCTAGGTAGATTGATGTGAAGCTATAATGTGTGCTGATACTACAGGAACGTTCAATGCTTCCTCTTATCCATCTGGCCGCATCATCTTCGACTTCTGCACAACTGTCGACAAGGACCACGATCATCTGGAGAGCTTTGAGTACTACCGTCGGATATTCGTCATCCTACTAGTTGCAGATGGTCAAGAAGGCGACGTAGATGCTCAGAAGTGCGAGGTGAAGCTCAAGGAACTACAAAAGCAAGCACCTACGGCCATTCTATCGAGGACTTGGGTCTTCAATGCTAACCCCCAACAAGAAGCATCCGCTCTCACCTTCATCCCGGAGAATGCGCATATACACCAGCTCCGAGAGAACATGAGTGATCTCGTGGCTTCCGTTCTTGTTCGCTTCAACGTCTTGACCGGCGAGCTACGGCAACGGTCTACCATCACCAGTCCATTTGATCCAGCTAGCAGTCTGCTCAAGACGTCAACCAGCAACTTATCCGCATCAGCCCTATCCGACATGCGCATAACGCCATCCTCCTCTCCAGGACCCGATCGTAATCCACGATTCACTTTGGCGACATCGGCATTGACAGAGCGTGGCAAAATGCAAGGTCAGGGGCGAATTGCCAAGACATCTGGTGATCTCTTCAAAATGTGTGGATTCTTCGCTGAAGCAATAAAGTGGTATGCAGAAGCTGCAGCCATATCCAAGGCAAACAGTGATCACCTGTGGTATGCTGCGGCGCTTGAGGGTCTTGGCCAGTGTTGCGTACTCATGTGTTATGCCGAATTGACTCCTCAAATTCCCTCTGTGGCGATGAATGCAATACAACGAGCTGCCAGCAAGGACCACAAGGAATCTGCCAAGATCGACATTGAGCCTGCCCCGACGCCGAAGAAGGATGTGGACTTTATCGACTTCATTCCAGACTTGCACTCTGCCATCCTGAATCTGTACCAGCGATCAACAGCATTCCCACAAGACACTGTGCCGCCTCTGTGTATGGCTGAGAGTGCCCTTCGACTCGCGAAGTTCCTCGCAGCAGTCCATCTTGCTGGTGGATTTAACAAACATGCTCTAGCGCATATCGTCCTCGGTCGACCCATTCCGCCACTGACAATCGGTGCGTATCCACCACGAGCAGAAATCACAGCCTGGGCGATGCGCGCATATTCTGGTTCAATCGACTCGCTCAATCTCGCCGACAAGTGCTACGTGCTCGGCGGGCTAGCTGCCATTCACGGATCCGTTGGATTCAGACGTCGTCGCGCATTCTTCCTTCGCGAAATTGTACTTTGCCTGACGCCAGCCTTGGTTCAAGCTCGAGTCACTGGAGCTGCTGGTTTGGGTATTCATCCAGCTGCAGGCTTGGCCATGGCAGACAATAATATCGCTACGCTCATGGCTCAGATGGGCAAGCAGACATCTCTACATGCTCTGCTCGATGACTTGTGCGCCAGCTACGACATACCCAACGCCAAGGATGCACAGTCTATACAATACCATGCGCTGACTGGAGCTGGTTGGCGTTCCCTGCAAACTACTGTCCTGAAAGATTGCACTGCCATGTGTGAAGCAATTCCCGACTTTCGAGGTGTACAACGATTCACCACGAGAGTGCTGGAGACAACAGCCACTGAACTTGGGCGTGAAGATCAAGTGAAGCTCGTTTCGAATCTTCCTCGCATTGCGGGTGTCGCCAAGAAGTATGGTGCCCTCGACATGGATCTTGATTATTGGGATCCTTACTTATTACGCGACTGCAAATTGTGTGCTTCCATCTTGCCTGTACCTACCAAGAGAGATGCTTCTGCTCTCACCCAAGCACAAAATCCTTTCTTTCTCTACAATCCATATGCAAAGCACGATGAGGTCCCTGACAGCAATGTCATTGTTCAGCATGAACCTGCAGAGTTTGAAATTACTCTGCAAAATCCGTATCATTTCGATGTGGAAGCCATTTCACTCTCTCTCGTCACGGAAGGTGTGGCTTTTGAAGGATCGCCTGCAACCTGCTTCATATACGCCAAATCGATACAGACTGTGCGTCTGACAGGATTCGCTAGAGAGCCAGGGTCTCTTGTGGTCAAGGGGTGTCGCATCAAGATGTTTGGATGCAGAGAAACCTTCTTTCCCAATATTGTACCACCTTCACGACAAGACGTTGAAAGATGGTATCAGGCTCATGGTGGCTTAGATCGACTGAAGCCAACCTGCAGCCTTATCAAGAATACCAAGCAAGAGGCACTGCTTGGCGAACAACGGACCAAGACGCTTGATGTGATTCCTGCTCAAGCAAGATTGTGTTACCGTGGCTCAAGCCTTGGTGGCCAAGACACTCTTTCGCTCCTTGAGGGAGAGCACACATCGTTCCAAATCACACTTGAGAACGACTCAGAGACCGCCGCTCACGGCATCACATTGACATTTATGGACTCGACGACGCTGGCACTTCAGAGCGCCATCAAAGCTCGCGGAAAAGCGCCTCATGAGCTGCATGAACTTGAAACGTTCCTGTATGACCGCGTTGCCTTTAGTCACACGGCAAAGGACGACTGTCAAATACTGGGAGGTGGCAAGAGAGTATTTGACATCGATGTCGTTGGCAAGCGAGGCCTCAGCAATGTCGAAGTCGTTGTCGAATATGCCTCCGGCACAGGATCCGAAGCGCTGTATACGAGGCAGCTGCGGATACCTCTCAAGGCTAATGTATCAGGTGTGATTGATATCACGCGGGCGGATATCCTACCATTCAACATGCTCGACCAGCAAGTAAACGTCAGCAATCAAAGCAGTGCACAAGTCCAGACTCTCTTTGCTAAATTGCGTGCTGGCCATGCTGGGGACTTTTGCCTATTGCTCATCAACATTCGCAATTTGCACTCACAAAGTCTGCTCACGACCATGACCATGAATATGGGAGAGGATAATGAGCCATATGTCGTTGCTGCATCGCTGAATGCAGGTGGCGCGACCAGCTTGTTGCTGCCTCTTCAACGACTTTATTTGGACGATGCGAGTACCAAGCCTATCCCATCACGCTCCAAGCGACAATTTGTCGTGTCTTCAGTTCCCGATTCTGAACAAGAGGCGTTGAGCAGACAAGTGTTTTGGTATCGAGAAGCTCTGCTGGCTAAACTATCGGCATCCTGGACCTCTGCTCGACTATCAGCAGACCAACCCCTTGCGAAGCAAATGGCGTTTGTCTCGACTGAGACGGAGCAGCCTCGTACAGGAACCGTCGAGTTGCGCGCCATCAGCATGTCGCCTCGCATGATGCGGGCGCTGTCACTGTCGCCTTTGCGTTGTCGCTTGTCCATTATTGACTCCTTAATGACCGACACGTTTGGCAAGTTGCGTGTGACCATCATCAACGAGACAAGTGCGTCGTATGTTGTACTTCTTCGCATGTCGGCTGTTGCAGGAGCAGAAGTCAGGGATACTTTACAAGAACCCGCTTTGGGCCGGCCTATGAGTATGCAGTCTGCACAAAGTGGCAAGAGCGACAAGGTGAATGTGCATTCGCCTTCACTCCTAATTCCGGGCTGCCCTGGCACCATCACGGTACCTGGCCATGGCGAACATCTACTCCAGCTAGACGTGATGGCGCTGGACGTAGGTGTTTACTGGACAACATGTTCGCTGTTTGTGAAGAGCATCGACGGCGAAAGCACTGTACATACTGGCCAATGCCTATCATCTGACGCCATCAAGATAGAAGTACAAGCATAGACAAGGAGTTGTTCATGTACACGTATTATACTACACCATCATTCGCTATGTCAAAATAGAATTTCATGAGCTTCAACAGTCTGCCAGTGTTGTGAGTAGTTTCTTGATTCTCGCATCTAAGTCGGGAAAGCGGAATGGTTTTGTGACATAGTCGTCGCTTCCGGCATTCATCATTTCCTCGATTTGCTCGGATCGCGCATTCGCACTGATTGTGATGACGGCGAGCTTGGTGTTGCGCGGTCCTTCATATTCAGGTTCATCGACATGCTGCTTCTTGTTGGTTGTGATTGGCCGTGAGGATCGCCGCCGCTTAGCAGAGGGCGTTGCAACATGGCCGCTGGCGTCTGGTGTCATGCTTGGCGAGATGGAGGACGATTCGGCGGTGACTGTGGGTTTGGACCTCGAATCGAGATAGCCTTCCGGATCAGGGTACTCTTGATCTTCAAGGGTCGCCCTGTCAAATATGGGAACATGACTACTTGCTTGTGATTGAGTGGAAGCCTTGCGTTCCTTGGACACAACAATGCCTTGCTTCTCAAGTTCTCGTAGTTGCAAGAGACAAGCGAGACCGTCGCAAACAGGCATCTCTCGATCAAGCAGGATAACATCGAATGACGGCTCCTCTCTGACTTTGGTGAGACATTCAAGTCCATTATTGGCCACTTCAACATCATAGCCAGCTTTTTGTAGTTGCTTCTGTAGTAAGCGCTGATTGAGAATATTATCCTCAACAATCAATGCCCGAATGCGATCAAAATGTTGCTGAACCGGGTCAGTCGCCTTTTGAGGCTCTGATCTAGGAATGGCTGACATGGAGTAGGCAGGCGTGGGCGCTTCTGGTGGTGGAATGAGGACTTCTGACGGACTGTGCTCGAGTGCTGAGGGACGCGTGAAGTGTGCAAAGTAGTCGTCGCTAAGGACTTCCATGGGTGTTGTGGTGGTTGCTTGTCCCTCGCCACACGGAGGTGCTCGCACGTAAAACACGAAGCGTGTACCAGGAGCACCTGATGGTGGTGGTTCGCTCCGTATTTGACCGCCTTGCAACTCAGCCAAACGACGACAGATGAAGAGGGAAATGCCTGTACCGCCGTACTTGTTGTGCGTCTTGGGTCCGCTTTGTGTGAAGCGTCTAAAGATGGCTTCGGCGTCCTCTTGACTCATGCCAAGGCCATTATCTTGAACGGCAAAGACGAGGTACTGCTCGGTTTCATGACTCGTTGCGCGCTTGTCTTGGACAATCTCCTCCATAGGACTCGAATGCGATTCTGTTGTAGCGCCATACAGATCGGCTGGGAAGGGTGCTTCTGACGAGAGACGAACAGAGACATCCACCGCTTTTTGCTTCTCGCCCGCTGCCACATTGCGTGACATGTGCTTAATGGCACTGGTAATGAGATTGATGAGCACTTGTGAAACACGCGCAGGATCAATCAAACATCGCGTCTCCCCCTCCACCACCGACTCCTTGTCCGCAACCAGTGTCACGCGGATATTTTGAGCCTTGGCCTCTGCTGCAAACATACCCAGTACTTGCTGTAAGTAATCCGTCACCACAATCGCTGTGGGTCGAACACGAAGCAAATCACTGTTGATTTTCGATACGGCAATCATGTCATCTGCAATGCATCGCATATGCCGTGCAAGTAAATCGACATTGACAATCATATCGAGAGCCTCAGAAAGAGCCGTACGGATCTCTTCAACGGATTGCATGCGCAGTGCTTTCCGTAAGCCAGAGGTGACGAGTTCTGCAGTTTGACCAATGGCTGATAAGGGATTGCGAATTTCATGAGATGCCATGTCAATGAATGCTTCTTGTTGACGTTTACTCTCCGCTGCATCCGCCATATGCTTATTGGTGAGTTCTTCAAGTTGCTTGACGTGTGATACATCCATACAGAAGCCATGGAACAGACGTGGCGTGCCGTCACTATTGAGTTCGACGCGGGTTGTGACACGCAACCATCGAGCGCGACCATCCGGCCAGTCCATTGCAGCTCTGTAGGTGAACGCAACGGGTCTCAGTTCCGTAAACATGATGGCTAGTTCGGCTTTGTAATATTCAACATTATCCTCGTGTGCCCAGGTACGAGCATCTTGCAGTAACGAGTCAATCACTTCGAAATCTGGCTTTTGCGCACCAGCAAGCGTCCATGCTGCATCATTACAGAAAATGACGGATCCTTGTGGACTGATGAGGAAGATGCCTGCGGGTGAATATTCAGCCATATTACTGAATCGCATCTCTGCGTCAAACAATTCTTTGCTGCGTTCCTCTAGTTTTGCTTGAAGTTCTGAACTGCGTGCTTGGTTGAGGGTTGCCACATCTTCATGATGCATGAGTTGTGCCTTCATGTGATTCATATTCCGAATGCCGGAACCAAGATGACCAATGAGCATATCCAAGTATGCTCGATAACTGCCTTGCAAGCGACGATGCGGATTCAAGCCAATAAACACAGCTGCCAATAATTTTCCCGTGACATCTGAGGCAATGGGGAATAGAATGGCGCGTTGACAACGTTGATTGTCTGCAATGATGAGGTTATGCAGGAATGAATCGCTTGTTTCAATGGGCCTTCGCTGGCTATTCACTTCATTCAACAAACGACCAATGACATGTTCTGAAAGACCACCCATGCAGTGTCGTTCAGGCAAGGGCCGCGATTTGTCTGCCAAGTTTGCAATTTTGACTGTTAAACTGGCAAATGAATCCTGCACACTGTAAACCAAGACAACAGGCAAGTCTTGAGGGTTTGCTTGAAGACCCTTGGCCATGCTGGAGTAGAATTCCGAGGGTTTTGTCTTGTAGGTGACTTCTTTGACAATAGCAGACATGGCAACACCAAAGCAACGATCATTAAAGACTTGCTCGGTGCGTTCTGTTCCGGTACTCAAGATACCGAGACTATTGCCATGATCGTCATCAATCGGTGTGAAGCCATAATCAAAGTATCGCTCCAGTGGCCGACCTGTTTCAGCATCGTCAATCATGAATTGGACATCCTGATTACTTGCAGCGTTACCGCACATGACGGATTGCATTTGTGGTTGCAACGCTGTCCATATATCTCCCCAGCATTTTTCATGTCGCATGGGTAGACCTAGTGCGTCTGGGTGTCGAGCGCCTGCAATGATGCGGTATTGGTAACTGAGTTGTTAGCAAGTGAGATGAGGCAAGAGGGATGCTTACTTATAGAGAAGCCGAAAGTCATGACCCCATTCGATACCACTTGCGGTATAACAGTCAAACATACTGTACAGCGCCCGCCACAGTGCATCAGGCCACGTTTGAATGGGTCCAAGACGATCTTGTTGCGAGGCAAATTCGAATACACGGAGCGCATGGGCATGATCTTCCTCTGAACGGTTCTTGGCCTTGCGGAGACATAGTCGCCGCTTGGCTTCTGGGTCGCCTGTGATTGGGAGTGGTTCATGCTTGATGAGCTGTAAGAGAATGGTGTCTGGTGTGTCGCAGGGTGATAGAGTGTATTCCCGCACAGCGGCTAGTTGAACGATGCGGATTGAAGGTGTTGCTGCTTTGATGAAGGGTTGAAGAGCACCGAGATCCGCTTCGCAGTCTGCTTGAGCAAACAGGTCGTTGGAGCGTAAAACATCATGATGATCGCCTTGTAAACTGACGATCGCCGCCGGAACGGCGAGTGTGCGCAGATGCCCCTGGCTGTCCATGATAATTATACGTCAAGGCTGAGTGACGTGAGAGCCTGTAAGGCCCAATGATGGGTCGATGTCACTGGGTGGTCGCAGAGGTGTTGTGTGGTCAGAGCGACAGGGGAGAATGACCGTGCTGCGGCTTGTGACAGGTGCGTGGAATTGTGTGTCACTGTCGTACACTGTAATCCCTTGCCGGTTGTGCAGCTGCGATGACGACAGTGGATTAATATCGATCGCAGGGAAGGTCGGCCGTTGCTCTGTAGTGTGTTTGGAGTATGGAGTATGGGAGGGGGGCAGGAATCAGGATGTGCCTTGTGCTGGAGTATGCTGGTTGTTGCCGTCTGGTCTGCTACTGACTGAGCACTGAGTCTAGACTGGAGCGGGCCGCCATGATCTGGATTCAGCCGCTAGACCCAGCTAGACCCAGCTAGACTGGACTAGTACTGGCTACTGGCGAGAGTACTGAGTCTTCTACTGCTGACTTGCCTCCATTCGGCAGACTCGCAGCGGGCCAGACTCCGATCTAGAAGAGTCTGGGCCCACGCAGTCACGCCCATACATATACACAGAGCTGCCCTGTCTGTCTGTCTGTCTGTCAGGCTCAGTGTCAGGCTCGGTGACAAGGCGAGTGTCTCAGGCAGCAGCAGAGCACTGAGAGCAGGGCTGTCACTGTCTCACACAACTGCAGCATGTGTCTTCTGCCTTCTGTCCTGACGTGCCCTACTGGCAGTCACATCACCGTGCACCGCATACCCACTGCACACCGTATCTAACCTGTCTCGCTACTCGTATACGCAGCCTCTCACTCTAGCCACCCTTTGACTCCTAGATAGCCCTAGTAGACAATCACTGTAGTCTGTAGAGTACTGCGTGATTTCTTATCTCAGCCGCAGAATTCGTCATCGCAAACAACCAACTTCCCGCTGCAGCTACCCTACCTCAACATCATGAACCAGCTCATCCTCATCGCCTCGCTCATTAGCTTTGCCGTCGCAGCGCCAACCGCTACCGGACATCACGGTAATGCCGTCAACTACGGAACTGGCGGCGGTATCATTGGATTCCTCGTTCTCTTGCTAGACATCTACATCTTCCTTGAACTCTTCAAATCCTCTCGTCCAGGTACTCACAAGCTTCTCTGGTACGTCTCAATAGTTGAACTCCAGGAAACTGCTAACACTCACCAAGGGCCCTTGCCGTCTTCTTCTTCCCTATCCTTGGCGCAGCCCTGTACTTTTTGTTTGCAGACCGCGCCAAGTACAACAACTACTCCGCCATCGAAGAAGTGTAAACAGTCGCTTATACAATGACGCTATGCTCTCGTTATATAGTTCATCTATGTTCACACTGCATGCACCTTTTCTGCCGGCTTCTCAAGATTGGCCTGCCACAAGGCCTCCATTGCATAATTCGCAACACTCAAATGCGCATCTCGTGAGCGCTCCATCAATGTCTCCATCACTCTTGCTTCCTTCACAACCGCCATCAATCCATTCGTCATAGCCTCTCCAAATTCACCATGATGCAAGCGATACACAACACGACCCAGTGTTCGAATCGCTAGACTCGCTTGAGACGGCTGTGTTGAACGTGCCAACAAGGCAAGCTCAAGTAACGTATACCCAGCTGCACGCGGCGCATCAGCATGATGATGCAATCCGAGCGCTGTATCGACCTGTCTACTTGCCAAAGGTGCAAGCAATTCACCACTAAATCCAAACCTGATTTCACCAGGTGCGACTGAATCACTTGTTGCAGGATGGTATTGAGCTGTATCTTCGGCATCCGTGGCTGGTTGCATCCATTGTAGCTTACTAGGGTCGTGTGCCAAATTTGGAAAGTAGTTTTCTTTGAGATCGTCCAAGAAGGTCACAGAGGCTGGGTCGAGTGCACGAGCTGGAAAGTGCGTGCAAGAGGTACTCTCGTGAGCTTGTACGTGTGCAGGTGAAATGATGTCTTGCTCATGCGCTTCAGAGTCTGTCAATACTGGTTTGCGTGAAGAGAGAGCAGGACCATTTGCTGTACCTAGCGTCGGCACCTGATTCACAAACTGTTCTTCAACGACTTCACCCACATCGTCATCGTCTTGACCATTCCCTTGCGTCTCAACACGCAGCTGCTCTGCCTTGCGTGCAGCACGTCGTCTCAACACTGCAACGACGCTAGGGTCTAATTTCGCCAGTAAGGCTTCTTGCTCCATCTTCAACGCATCAGGTGACATGCCTGCTACTCTTGCCATATTCTCCCGTTCAATCTCTGCAGCGAGGCTCTTCTCACTGCCCGGTTCTTGCATGTTTGCTGAGACGGTATTCGAGGATGTCTCATGTCGTCCTGTACGACGCGATGTAGCGCGTGCTCGCCAATCAATCTTTTTAGGAAGCGGTTGCTTGACAGTAGTACTCTGTTCAAGCGACACTGCATGCCCGTCGGTATTCCGTTCAAGGATATCACCCGCTGCGATACCCGAAGTAGCATGATGTGAGCTTTCTAGGTCTATTGTGATGCGATGACCCGGTAGTGCCGGGTCTTGTGAAGGTTGAGTATCCCTTGAGAGCTTGAAGCGACTTGGCTTGCGTGTGTCAGCCATAGCCTAGCCAGCTAGCACTTGGGCTTGAGCTTCAGAGGGTAGCGTCCATTGCAATGTGTCTGTGCGGTCAAAATCTCGCCAAGACGTCAGCGCCCAGGCCACAACCACCACAACCAACCATCCATCTTCAACAACTGCGCGCTCACTAGTGTTCAACGCCGCTTGATCGCTCATTGCTACATAACAGACAGAGCAACGACAATTCACAACGATGCAAGCACTCGAATGGGTCTTTGGCCGCTCCAAAACCCCACAAGAACGTCTCCGCATGCACCAACGCGCTCTTGAAAAGTCACAACGGGAACTTGAGCGTGAACGGGTAAAGTTGGAGGGTCAAGAGAAACGATTGATTACAGAGATCAAGAAATCCGCTCAAGCTGGACAAGTCTCTGCGGCAAAGATTAAAGCGAAAGATTTAGTACGGACGCGGAGGCATATTGCCAAGTTTTATGCCATGCGCACACAATTACAAGGTGTATCGCTACGTATCCAAACGATGCGGAGTAATGAGCAAATGGCTCAGAGTATGAAAGGCGCGACACGATTGTTGGGTGGTATGAATCGCAGTATGAATATGCCGGCCTTGAGTAAGATTGTCGCGGACTTTGAGCGGGAGAATGAGATTATGGATCAACGGCAGGAAATGATGGATGATGCGATTGATGGTATGCTCTTGTGCCTGTTGATGCATGCTAATGATAGAAACGATGGAAGACGATGAGGAAGAGTCAGATGAGATACTGAATCAAGTGCTGGATGAGATTGGCGTTGACTTGCACCAGAAGCTAGGTGAAGCGCCACAAGGCTTTGCTGCTGCTCAACCAGAAGCGCGGGTGGCACAAACTGCACAGGCGATGGGGAGTAGCGGCGGTGGTGCATCCAACACGGGCGAAGACGATCTCATGGCGCGTCTCAATAATCTCAAGGGAGGCGGTGACTAGACATCTGCTTAGCTGCATGTGCTCATTGACTGCTAGCTGGATGTGGTCATCCATACATATGCTATAATTGCGACTGCTTTTTCGCTTGTCGTTCAGATGAGAGCAACTGACAGTCAAGACTCAAACACTTCGACTACACTTTGTACGAAGATGCCTGAAAAGATACTCTGTGCGCTCGCATGCGGGACAATGGGCCGCTCCATCCTCTCAGGCGTTCTAGATGCCTTGAAAGATGCCGAACGCAATAGTGCCGATAGCCTCTCTGCTTCAGTCCTCAGCATCAACGAAGGTTCAGCCGATCAAGAACCCTTGGTGGCTCCGAGCATCTTTAGCGCATGTGTCAAACGTCCTGAAGCTGCAAAGAAACTAAAAGAGCTATTTGGTGACGCTGTTACTGTCAGCTATGGTGCTTCTGCCAATGCGGAAGCTGCATCCAAGGCGGACTATGTCCTACTTGGATGTAAACCGCAAGTTGCGCGTGATTTATTGACAGAGCCCGCTATGGCTCAAGCGCTCAAAGGTAAAGTTGTCATGTCCATCTTGGCAGGAACGACGATTAGTACATTGCAAGGGTTTCTACCGGATAGCAAAGTCATCCGGGTCATGCCAAACACGCCATCACGTATTCGACAAGGCATGTCGGTGATTGTGTCGGGTGATGGTGTTGCTGAGCAAGAGCTCGAGATGGTCTCTTGGATCTTTAAGCAAGTTGGCAAGACGCTGATTATGGATGAAAAGCATATTGATGCAGCGACTGCGCTATGTGGCAGTGGCCCGGCGTTCATGGCTGTGATTCTGGAAAGTTTGACAGATGGCGGTGTCATGATGGGAATTCCACGTCAACAGGCAGAAGATCTCGTTGCACAAACAATGCTTGGAACGGCGAGCATGGTACAAGCTGGACAGAATCCAGCGCTGATTCGCAATGCCGTCGCAACACCGGGTGGGTGTACCATTGGCGGGCTGCTTGAGATGGAGGATGGCAAGATCCGGTCTGTGTTGGCACGTACGATCCAGACTGCTGCACAGATTGCCACTGCTCTAGGCAAGAATTAGAAGCCTTTGTAAAGTAATAATCTAATGCAATATAAAACGCTCATTCGGTGCTATGCTGATGGAGATGCTGAAACTCAATGCAGTAGATCTGGCAAACGCTCGACTTTGATGACGTGGTTGCCAACATAGAGGATGGGCACTCCTGGAATCTTGCGTATCCGTTGCTTGAGGTGTAAATCATTGCTGGCCACAAGGTAGCAGCGACTTTGCAAGCACCGGTCAACGAGGCAGTCATCGGCATACGTGCCCTTGTGTGAGCATGTCAGACGCTCGAATCGCGGATCCTTGGCAATCTGCAGTGCGAGCCTAAACTTTTGTCCTAGCTTCTCGAGTTCTGCCAGGACGCAGTCTGTGATGCAGGGAATACACTTGGCGAGTAAGGTATCCATGAGCCCGCGAACCAGGTCAATCTTGTTTTTTATGCAGAAATTGATAAAGTTGGTATCAATGAGCACTCTGTATGGTGGGTGTAGAGCATTGTTGAACTGGAAGAAGAGGGAGGAGGCGACCTGTGGGATTTCTCTGACGACATTGCCATCTGCATCTTTGCGCACAGCCGTCTTGTTTGTAGCTGGTTTTTTTATGCGTGCGTCTTTGAGGGAGATGAGACGTTTTGTCTGTGCGAATTTGCGCGTTGTCTTGGCCTTGCCCATGGCAGCTAGTTCAATATACAGCAGGTAGCAGTAGTCAAGTAGAGAGTAGTCAAGTAGAGAGTCAAGAATACTCTGCTGGTCCCTGTGAAAATCTAATCCTTTGATGGCGGCAAGTCACGTGCATGCTTATCGCCCAGCGTGAATCGAGTCATCATTTCATCCCAAACCAGATTGCGCGTCCACTCCACACCAAGACCAACACCACAACCAACCCTTCCCTCTCTACCCTTACCCTCCCTCTTGACCACTACATAACCACATCATGAAGATCAGCGCATCCGCACTCTTGCTCGTAGCAGGCTATGCGAGCGCCAACGGACTCAAGCACACAGCGCTCGATGAAGCGCCCCTCCTTTCCTCTGTCCACTCAGAGACCATCCCCAACGAGGTGCGCTCTTCCATCTCTTGCGCTGAAGCACAAACATCTAACAAGAACAGTACATCGTCGTCCTCAAGGACCACGTCAAGGATAAGGCCGTAGAAGACCACCATGCCTGGGTCAAAGCCCTGCACGTGGGCTCTCTCTTGAAACGTGACCAATCTTCCTTCAAGGCCCAAGGCATCGATGTCATGGGCGGCCTCAAGCACATTTATGATGAGCTGATTGGATTCAACGGCTACTCTGGCCGTTTCTCCGAAGACGTGCTGGATGCACTGCGCAAGTCGCCTGATGTGGATTACATCGAAAAGGACTCGATTGTCTATGCTCTTGAAGACCAGCCACTCGGCGTGCAATCTACTGCACTCGAGAAGAATGCACCCTGGGGACTCGCGCGAATTTCGCACAAGGACCAGCTTGGCTTTAGTACCTTCAACAAGTATCAGTATGACGCACGCGCAGGCGAAGGTGTCACTGCTTACATCATTGACACGGGAATCAACGTCAACCATGTTGACTTTGAAGGTCGTGCGCGTTGGGGAAAGACTATTCCGCAAGGCGACCAGGATATCGATGGCAATGGTCATGGTACGCACTGTGCTGGTACCGTTGCTGGTAAGACATACGGTGTTGCCAAACATGCCAAGGTTGTCGCTGTCAAGGTTCTTCGATCCAATGGTAGTGGTAGCATGTCGGATGTCCTAAAGGGTGTTGAGTGGGCAGCCATGGACCACCTCAAGTCTGTCAAGGAAGCCAAAAAGGCAGGAAAGAAGCACAAGGGTTCTACAGCCAACATGTCACTCGGTGGTGGCAAATCTGAAGCACTCGACCGTGCCGTGAATGCCGCTGTGGGAGCTGGCCTGCATTTCGCCGTTGCTGCTGGCAATGACAATGCTGATGCATGCAACTATTCGCCTGCCGCTGCTTCACGTCCCATCACGGTCGGAGCATCCACTCTCGGTGATGACCGTGCCTACTTCTCCAACTTTGGCAAGTGCACAGATATCTTTGCTCCTGGTCTCAACATTCTCTCGACTTGGATCGGTAGCAAGTACGCCACCAACACCATTTCTGGTACATCCATGGCATCTCCACACATCTGTGGTCTACTCAGCTATGCCCTCTCCCTGCAGCCTGATGAGGAATCTGGGTTCTCTACCTCAGTGACGCCTGAGAAACTCAAGAAGCGAATGATTGCATTGGGTTCGCGTGGCAAGTTGAATGATATTCCGTCAAGCACACCCAACATCTTGGCAAACAATGGCTTTGACAGCAAGGAATCGAACCCTTGGATCATCAAGGAGGATACACGTGATGCATCGAACGAAGAGACAGATGTTCAGACTGGTCTGCGCAAGCTTGTCAAGTCATTCAAGGATGAACAGGACAAGGTCGCTGAGTTTGCTTCGAGCATGGCAGATGAGTTCTCCGAGGACTTGCAGGAGATGAAGGCTGCATTTGAGGAGTTGGCTTCGCAGGAGGCAGATTCACTCAAGGCTACAAAGAAGCAGTTGGCACGTACCGCCAAGAAGCTGAGGAAGCAAGCCAACAAGGCCATCAAGGCTGGCTTGTAAACTGTAAGCTGCAAGCTGCGCTGGGTGTCTTGGAATGATTTGTTTTTTGCGCGATTCGCTTTCGTACGTCTCTCAGGTAGACTGCCTCTTTATTATATACTCGTTCATGATGCTATATCGCATTTGTTTCCGTCTTTGTCTCTTGTTCCCTTGGCTTTGCAGGCGCACCATTGCTGATTTTGGATTTTTGTAAGAGTTCTGCAACGGCGAAACGTTTCCGCGCAGACATGGGACGGCACGCTTCAATACGGACGACATCGCCCGGTCCTAGACTATTTGTCTCATCGTGCGCCATGTAATTTTTGTGTAGCGTGATGGTCTACGTTGTCAGCGAATGCACTTACTTGCAATGGATGCCGTTACTTTGAGCACTTTCGGGTGTTTTGTCTGGAAAGTTGTACGGACCTTGACGGTCTTTGCATTGAGCGCCGAGACGACGATGCCCTTGAAGGTCTGCCGCATGATGTGTCGCGGGTCGTAGCTGGGAGTTGTTTCCTGTCGCATCAAAAAAGCTGAAGCCATCACCACGACGACAAACTAAGAACAGGAGCTGGTACAGGAAGTAGTTCAGTGTAAGAGACAGATGGTCCTGCTGCTAGGACAACAACTGCCTGATGGCAAGAAGATCCAATTCGCCCTTCTTGCATTCTACGGCATCGGCCACCACACAGCCCTCAAGACCCTCGACACACTACACATTCCACCCAACACACTCGTTTCTCAGCTCACAGAAGAGCAAACAACAGCACTCGGTGCGCATCTTGCAGGCATGACGATTGAGTCTGATCTACGACGTCAAGTACGTGCGGATATTGCTCATTTACGACAAGTGGGGACATACCGTGGTAGACGACATGCGATGGGTCTTCCTGTGCGAGGGCAAAATACACAAAATAACTCCAAAACTGCACGCAAGCTGAATCGCGTGGAACGGAGAGGATATATGACTATGGCTACATCAACGATGGCTGCTGGTGCGAGTATACAACAAGGTGTTCAGGCGGGACGGAATCGTTTCTTCTTGGGACTCACTCGCTTGCTACCAAGACTGTTTTAGCGCATCTTAGCGAGGACCTTCTTCGTATGCATTCGGTTTCGCTGGCCTCTTGGACTCTGTGCTTTGACTCGTTGCTGTCTCCCTTGTCGCTTCCGTGCTTGCATCTTTTTCTTCTTCATCGTCTGCGTCCTCGGCATCTTTGTCCTTCTTGTCGCCTTGTGCCTGATCTTCATCATGTCGACACGGCCCATCATGCGTATGCTCACGCTTCTCCTTCCGCGCATCAGCCTTGCGCTTCTTGTGCGTCAATCGTGCTTCTCGTCTAGCTTGCTGTCGCTCCCTCAACGCCTTCCTCGCAGCTCTTGCCTCTTCACCGAGTTCATCGTCGCCAGAAGTATTCCCAACATCCGAACCATCGCTTGAACTGCCAGATGAAGAGGAAGAAGAGGAAGAGCTTGAATCAAAGTGTCGCGGACGATGGTAAATACAACAAATCTTGGAACTCTTCCGTCCCAGGCCTTCATTATCAACCGTCTGTTGCGCCCATTGTACGCGTCGACTACGGCGATGCTCACCACGAAGACGCAAGGTTCCCGTTGCCGGGAGGGTGCCTGGTGAAGGGGCGCGTGAGGTACGTGTGGAATTTGGATCGGAGAGAGGCAATTCTGTGATGATTTGGGAGGCGCTTGTGCCCGTTGCGTGGGCCTGATGATGGCGATGCATGAGCTTGTCTCTGTCGTCTTTGTAGGCTAGCTAGTACGCTAGCTAGAGTGTATCAGGTATAGTAGCAGACTCGCAGTTGGTCTTCAGCTTGTTCTTGGAGACCAATGGGAAGGAGAACAGTCACAGATCACTCAGGGAAAGGAGGAATGGAACAGAGACGGAGGCCTGCAATGCTATACACTCTCCCGCGCCATAGCTTTCTGCTTCTCCGTACTCTGTATCAGCTCAGGGACGACTTTGTCCTCACAAAACTGCCTTGCTTGTGCACTACCCACGCCCAACTCAAGCCATCCAATCGCCGCGAGCAAGGCATGCTTCTGTACACTTGGAAGGCCGCTCCCCGCTAGATCCTCTGCACGCCGTGGTTTCCAACGCATTAAATGCGGCTCAAAGCCAAGTGCTTGTGCTGCATAGCTTAAACTGCGTGTATCCATGAGATACCCGATTGTTGGCGCGTACAGTGCATTCACCTGTTTCCCAGCAATAGCTAAGGGAGAGGACGAGGCTTGTGAGGCAAGATGCAGTAAGAGCGCAAGATTGAGTGCCCGTCTTCCCATAAACCCGAGTTTGCTATTATACGGTACTTGCCCATGCATGAATGATTTGTGCGTAAAGATTTGTAGTGCAACGGCATCAGTAAGCAGTGAAGTACTCTCCTTAGGCAGGATCTTGTCGAGAGAGCGACGGAAGACGGCTGGATCGGACTCGACTGGAAACACTGGTTCCGGCCGGATTCCTTTCAATTCATGGTGTGGTTTTGGCGTGTAAGCATATGCCCGGATTGCGCCTATATGCGATGATGCGGCCCTTGCAGGATATAGCCACGACCGCTGCATTGATATAAGTCCTTGCAACTTGGTGGTCTTTTGCTGTCCGGGGTGAAAAGTTGGAAAAGTCGAAAAAGGAACAGAGTCAACGACCAGCAGCAGCCATGAACACATCCCATGCTGCTTCCTTCTTCCAGAGCCAGGATGCGCAGGACAAGGCTGCAAGACAAGCAGCCAAGTCGGGCAATAAACTGGGAGCTCCAACTGTCTTTTCAACGAAACTGCTGAGCATCACAACAGACCAGGCAGATGCAACATGGCTCTATCTCACTGAATCAGGGTCTGTAGCGCGTCGTGTCTCCATTGAGACTGGGGAAACGCAAGTTTATCGCGGTCATACAGCACCGGTGACGTGTAGTGTGGTGGCCAGCCATCTCTACATCACTGGCTCCTGGGACAAGACCATTCGTGTCTTTGACAAGGCATCACGCCAGTGTCTGCACGTCTTGGTCGGGCATGCTGATTTCATCAAATGTCTACTCTATATCCCTTCCCTCGGCTTGCTTTTGTCTGGCTCGAGTGACCGCACAATTCGTGTGTGGTGCCTCCAGGACTTCAAATGCTTGTATACACTCAAAGCTCACCCACGCGCCGTTGAACAGCTATGTCTCTTACAATCTGGCCAAGTCCTCAGTGCCGGCTCAGAAGGCTCTCTCTGTACATGGGACATCACTCGAGAATCTGCGAAACAAGTCGGTGAACCTTTTTGGGGACACGAAACAGGCATCAACAAATTACTCGAAGACAATGACTCTCTCTATACTGCTTCCAATGATCGATTTGCACGCCAATTCGCTATGGTCGATGCATTATACAAAGAAGAAGCAAAATTGCCACACCCAGACTATGTACGCGATGTCCTCGTCTATGGCCCCTACATCATCACTGCGTGTCGCGATGAACAGATTCGCTTGTTTGAGGGAGGATCTGGCAAGCTCAAGTTTACACTCGAGGGACACTTCAGTGAAATTACTGGACTCGCTATTGTTGGACAGACACTATTTAGCGTGTCGATTGATTGTACCCTGCGACGATGGGATTTGACAGCTGCCGGACTCGGTGCGCATATCGCCGAACAAGCTGCGTGGAAGCCTGAACCAGAAGTAGCAGCAAAAGAACAAGTCATGAGCGCTGAAGAATTGGCTGAATTGGAAGAACTCATGAGCGATGATTAGGACGTGTATAACCTTCCCACAGCCGTCAAACTGCGCTCATCATCACTCACCATGGCGCCTGCCACGATACCAACCATATTCGCGGCATTCATGGGGCCGAATGCGCTATAGCGCTCGATATACCGTGCATTGTCCAAGAATTGCAGTGCTTGCTTAAACTCAACCAAGTACGCTTCCGTGCTGATTCCGACAAAGGCAAATTCCGTCACCCACAGCGGGTATTGTGGGAATGCATTGTGGAATTGTCCAACGTATTGGATAAAGTCTGCTGCAGAGCCTCCATACCAATGAATGGGAATGAAGCTGATGCTGGCTTGACAATCATTGCAGTTGGCAAAGAATTTCTGTAACCAGGAGATACCCCAGTACTCGCCATTACCATTCGTGACGGCTGGTGCACCGAGTTTTGTGCTGGGACACGTCTGTCGCAGTGGATTGAAGTACCCTCGCCAAAGCGAAATCGCACCCTCTAGCGTCTGGTAGGTATCGCTACCCACCAAATCAGGCTCATTGAAACCGAGCAAGTGTTGTGGACATCGTGAACCATCTGCTGGGATGTATGTTGATAATTGCGTGACGCGATCTGCTGAACGGACCATGGGGACGTATTCACCGGAAAAGTAAGACTCGCGTGGGTCCCAAAGTTCCCAATTGTACACCCAGCTTTGTGAGGGAGCAAAGAGAGACCAGCTGCTGGAGGGATTGTTCCAAGGCCAGTCGAGGCCGCGTTTTGAGGCAGCAGGTTGAGCGGGCGCAGGAGCTGGAGTTGGAGCGGGTGCTACCGCGACTGGTTGCTGTGCAACAGGCTGAGCATCAGGCTGTACCACTGCTGGCGCAGGTTGTGGTGTCGGAGCAGGCGCAATCACCAAAGGTACAAACGTCGTCGTCGACTTGGGTTGTGGCAAGATGGCAAAGTCAACCTTCTTGTATGCGCTTGAACCGCCAGCACGCACAGCGCTACCCTGCATACTCACATCAGTCCCAAAGCCAAGCAGCTCACACATAAAGTCGCTGTTTTGAGCACCAGACACTTGAAGCCCTGCACATGCCGTATCGGCATCACAGAGCGCTTTACACTGTGCGGTGTTTTGGAAGCCATAGAGAGGGATACTGCGGATCGCTGCTTGCGCCGGAAATCCTGCGTTGGTGCCTTGATGAAGTGTGCTGTAGCCTTGCAAAGAGGATGGCGACTGACCCATGGTCGAAAAATGTTGGTATAGAAGCTTTGGAATGTTCCGTGAAGACTCGAGGAGGCTTCTTGCTTAAGAGAGTGGCCGTCAACATCCTTGACTGCTTTCTGTCGTTGAATATTGCCTGATGCGGGAGTAGAGGTTTGACGACGGCAGTCGCGCGCGGTGCCTGAATTTGTGTTTCGGACCAGCCACTTTATCTCAAATTCGCGATTTCCTCGACGCCTAACGGTCGATTGCATCGGTAATTGCAGCAAGAGCATAATTGAGATTTGATCGTCTGTACAGCAGGGCAATCTCGCACAAGAAGGGCAGCGACACTCGGGCGTCTCTTGAGTCTCGAGAGGCAGCTCGCTGACCATGGAACCTTTCAGATGGTCCTAAATTCTGTGGCTTTTCAGGGGTTGCAATTGGTGCATGCCGACCATGCTGCTGCTGCTGCAGGGGGATGCTTGCGAAAAGAATTTCAAAGAAAATCGCATGCAGCTGTCAACTTGCAATGTTATCCGTGCTCCGTGATCTTGTCATCTGGGCAAGCTCAACGCACTCCTACCACCTTGACTACATGTCTATGGCCATGCGAACTTTTGCCGATCGTGCGCTGTTGGCTATCATCATCTGGCACGCCGCTGTCAACTGGTCCTTGGCCCAAGACATGTGCCGACAGATTCCTCTGCAGGCCACCCAGACCTTTCGATCCCCATATTGCGGCACAGTTGCAGATAGGGACAAATTCTGTGCGCAACGATGCAGTCGTCGCATCGCCGATTACATTTACCGCCTAGCGTGGACCGCGGCAGATGTATGCTCCATCGTCAATCCTCGGTATGATTGGGACCTCCGTTTTCAAAATCTTCGTTCGACAGTGACGCTGCCTGGCGATATGGGGATGGCAGGTGAAGGGTGTTCGCAAACACCTAATATCGAATGCATGTGCTCCGTGGATGTGATGCTGCAGCGTGCCGTTCTATTCCTTGCAGAGCCCCAGCAATCTGGACACTATGATCCCATGCAGGCAGCAATTGCCAGAAACAAGTGGTGGTGTCTTCCTAATGGTGGCATTGCAAATCGCATGAATCCAGCTGGGCTTTCACGTGAAGTTTGGTACAGGGACATGGTACAGCAGGAAGCAGCTGAGCGTAATGAAGTTGTACAAGACAACTTCTATCCGGGAACAGATGCACCGGGTATTCCATCAAACGAGCACATCTGGCGAGTTCATTCAGAGCCAACCAGGCGATTGATCAGATGCGAAGCCCACTTTGACAGCGCGTTTGCAGATTTGCTGATGGAATCTGGTTCTGGCAGCTGTACAATCAAACGTCCTGATCTCAGCAATAAAGCTAAAGCCTCGGGTACGCTTGGCCTCAAATGTTCTGGTGGGCTAGGTATGGTTGACATTGTCGACCGGCTCAAACGGCTATACGAGGCGGATCCACGCAATGTACCTACACGAGCAAGAAATTTTATCCGTGTTCGAGACCTATATGCCTGGATAACTGAGAGCGCCTTCTTGGAAATGAGACTTGGTCAGGACTTTGCTTCCTTAGTAGGTCAGCAAATGGGCGAGTATATGGCGGGCGCTTCGAACCTTTCGCCGGAAGCTCTTGCTTATGGTCAACAACACCCAACACAGTATTACCTATAGTCTACCATACCAATGCTTAAGAGTGAAAGTGTTTGAAACGATGTTCTCTACCTATGCTAAATTCATGATCAGAGATGAGAGTAAGCAGTTACTTGGCTACAAGGTTCAGCTGCCTGCTGTTGCCATGGTGAAGCCGTATGTACTCAATATCAACAAGGGCCTTGCAGTTGATGTGGGGTCTCAACATCATTCTTTGGGCCTTACTCTTGAGTAAACTCTTCTACGACATGGATACGCCTGTAAGATAGTTATCCCTGGCTTTACGAACAGACTGAATCTCGCAAATCTTGGCAAAACGCATGACAACCGATTTAGTCGTGTTGCGTTGAGCGAGGACCCATTGAGAAATTCATCTCCGACAACCAGACGATGTTGTGGGCTTCTCTGCAACCGCATATGAGACTGACACCGATCGAATGAAGCTTGGTTGGCTCAGCAGGTCATAAAGGCTTGGCTGTGAGAGAGGCCATGGCATCGAGACCTCAAACAGAGATGTGAGCCAAAACACATCGAGCAGTTTAATTTTGATATCAATCACATAGGGTGGCCTACAGTGGAGTCCAACTTGATTCTGATTCCCGGTGGACAAGTCAGTGACCAAAGAAACAAGCTGAAGCACGTACATCGTGTGCAGCATATGCGTCATTCCAATTTCGCGAATTCTTCAACGCCTGACAGTCGCTTGCGTCGGTGATTGCAGTAAAAGCATGATTGAGATATGATCATACCGCACAGAGAGTCAAGCTTACACACAAGAAGGCCAGAGACACTCAGGCGGCCCTTGAGTCTCGGTAGGCAGCTCGCTGACCATGGAACCTTTCAGATGGTCATAAATTCTGTGGCTTTTCAGGGGTTGCAATTGGTGCATGCCGGCCATGCTGCTGCAGGGGAATCTTGACAAAAGAATTTCAAAGAAGATCGCATGCAGCTATGAAATTGCAATTTTATCCGTGCTCCTTGATCTTATCACCTGGGCAAGCTCGCAATGCACTCCTACCACCTTGACTACATGTCTATGGCCATGCGAACTTTTGCTGGTCGTACGCTGTTGGCCGTCGTCATCTGGCTCGCCGCTATCAACTGGGTTTTGGCGCAAACCTGCCGACAGGTTCCTATGCGGGCCGTCCAATCCTTTCAATCCCGATATTGCGTCAAAGAAAAAGACAAGGCCGAGTTTTGTGCGCGAGGATGCAGCCGTCGTATCGCTGATTACATTTACCGCCTAGCATGGAGCCTGCCAGATGTATGCTCCTACAACGATCCCAAGTTTGATTGGGACCTCCGTTTTCAGAATTTCCGTGCGGTAGTCAGTACGCCCATTCGTTCGGGCTCGTCAGGTGAACGTTGTTCGCGAGCACCTCGTCCGCGTGTCGTTTGCATGTGTTCGGTAGACGTGATGCTGCAGCGTATCGTACCAGACCTTCCAGAGCAACAGCCACAGCAACCTGAACAGGCAGCAATGGCCAACAACGAGCAGCAGTGTTCTGACGTAAGTATTGCACAGCGCATGAATCCATTTCAATTTGTATTTGAAATTTGGTACAGGAACATGGTGGAACAGGAAGCAGCTGATCATGGAGAACGTGTACAAGGCTATCCCGCAACAGATGCTCCACAGATTCCACCAGACGAGCACATCTGGGAAGTAACGCGAATCAATCCATCTGCGATTCTTCGAATTCACGAACATATCTTGTGCGATGCCAGCTTTTCCAGCTCATTCGCAGATGCGCTGATAGACTCTGGTCCTGGCAGCTGCACAATCAAACGTCCTAATTTAACCAATGGAGCCCATGGTACCCTTGGCATCCAGTGTTTTGGTGGGCCCGGTATGAATGTTATCGTCGACCGGCTCAAACGGCTTTACGAGGCAGATCCACGCGCTCGAAGCAGTGCACCTGTCACAGCAAACAATTTTATCCGTCTTCGAAATCAACTTGTATCGGTAGTCGGGGCACTCTGCCTTAAAATAGGCCTTGGTCAGGACTTTGCTTCCGTGGTAGGTCGGCAAATGGCCGAGGATTTGGCGGGCGCTTCAAACCTTTCGCCGGGAGCCATCGCTTATATTCAACAACATCCAACACAGTATTACCTTTAGTTTACCATACCAATGCTTTAAGAGTGAAAGTGTTTGAATTGAAATGATGAACTTTACCTATGCTAAATTCATGATCGGAGATGAGAGTAAGCACTTACTTGGCTGCGAGGCTCTGCTGCTTGCCTGCAGTAGGCCTCTGACATTCGTCGAGCGGCTTTGTCTCCAAGGCTGCAAGAATCAAGGAAGTCGAGTCGTCGGTGTGATGTGCTCGGTGTGAAGTTGGACTTTGTTGGTATTGAACTTTGGCCACTGTGCAACTCTCAACCAGCTACAGGCTATAGTACGTCTCATGGTCACTGCAAGCAGCGCTCCACTCTAGATGCGCATTCCTGCAGTCTCTCTTCCTCTAGTTCTGTCTCTCAAGTGTGTCTGACCAACAAAGTCAGATCAATGCTGTGCTTTAGTGCGGTAGAGTCCCACCTGCCAAGCGAATGGACAGCCAACATTCTCGTCCTTGACGCTGCCACAGCAAAGCAAGTAACGCATCTACTTCTTGCTACAGATGCTCAACATGCTAAAGTCTTGCTCAATGCCTTTGATCCGAGCCTCTTCCCCGCGTCGTTCACGGAACCAGCACAGCGGCCTCGAGCTCGCGTCACAACAGGTACAGTCAACAACGATCTCATGGCTTCGTCTGACATGTCCCTATCTCTTCTGATACACTGCGCCGTGTTTACCGCATAGGAGGACGATCGAGACCAATTTGAACGCCTTGCACACGATACACGCATGACAAAGGTACTAGCACGACTACGACGCGTGTCAAGGGAGGTTCCAAGCGTATTGAATGCCGGCTGTCGAATCCATTCGCAAAGCGTTGCCGAGCTAAGGAAGGCAGTCCGTCATCTTGAATGCGACTTCACATCGCTTGCCAGGGCGCAAGCGAACCGGATTTCCATGGCCATCGCTCAGCATGGTGCCAAGAATATGCAAGTTGCCGTACGTGATGACGCCCACCAATTTAGATCCACGCAACGGTCCCTTACTGACTACATCAATCGATGTACAAAATACGTTTGAGAGAAACTGAACAGCAGGGGACCGACGAAGAGAACAACAAGCAGGCACGACAAGCACGACGCAACGCATAAAATAGTGCGCCAAACGAGGAGCAAGACAACGACAGCGATACAGAGACCGCACAACACGTCGTACAGTACACTACTTCTGCCCTCGCCAGACTTGAACCCTACTGACTACTACAGGGCAAACGTAGCCGGCCAATCACGGCCAAAGCTCAGCTGCTAGAGGCTGCAGCAAATACCAGGGACTACCGCGCCGCCACAGCCGACGAGGTGGAACAAGCGCAAAAGCGTAGCAAGCGTGCAAGTCACCTTGCACAACAGCTGTAGAAAGTACATAGTCAGCCTCATTTGCTCTAGAGCTATGCCTGAACCATTCAGAGTCCTGGCCCGCCAGCTGCAGCTCGCTGCGTGCTAGTCACCAGCGATCACCAGTCCTCACCCGTTGATCGCCAATATACTACGCCTCGATCATCGCCCTATTGTCACCAGCGCCATAGTTCTACCGTTCGTCGTTCGTTTATCTCACCGTATCAGTCTTCCGTTTACCACCGGTCTACCAGCCCTGCAGCTGGAAAGTTCCCGTAGAACAGGATCCTTAAGGTGGGGTCTCAACATCATTCTTCGGGCCTTGCTCTTGAGTAAAGTCTTGTGCGGCAAGAGACGCCTGTAAGACAGTTGTTCATTGCTTTGCGAACAGACTGGATTGCGCAAATGATGGCAAACCGGATGGCAACCGAGTTAGTCGTGTTGCGCTGAGCAAGGATGCTTTGAGCACTCATGATTTGGTTACCAGACGATGCATGTTGTGGGCTTCTCTACAGCCGTGTTTGAGACTGAAACCGATCGACCGAGGCTCGGATGGCCCAGCAGGTCATAAAGGCTTGACCGTGACAAAGGCCATATGCATGGCCATCGATCGTGACACCTCAAACAGATATGTGAGCCAACACACATCGGGCAGTTTGATCATGATTCCACCTACATGAAGCGGCCTAAACTGGACTTCAACTTAATTCACATCACTGTGGATAAGTCAATGACCAAAGAAACAAGCTGAAGCATATACCTCGTGTGCAGCAGATGCTTTATCTCAAATTCGCGAATACTTTAACGCCTGACATTCGCTTGCGCCGGTGATTGCAGAAAAAGCATAATTGAGATATGATCATACCGCACAGCGGGTCAATTTGACATGAGAAGGACAGCAACGCTCGAGCGTCTCTTCAGAGGCAGCTCGCTGCCCATGGAATCTTTCAGATGGTCCTAGATTTTGCGGCTTCTCAGGGGGCTGCAATTGGTGCGTGCCGATCATGCTACTGCTACTGCTGCAGGGGAATGCATGCGGAAAGACTTGAAAGAAGACCACCTGCAACTGCACAACTGCAACTTTATTCTCGCTCCTGATCTGAACATCTGGGCAAGGCCGCAATGGACTCCTACCACCTTGACTACATGTCTTTGGCCATGCGGAAATTTTCTGATCGTACGCTGCTGGCCATCTTCATCTGGCTTGTCATTGCCAACTGCTCCTTGGCTCAAGACAGGTGCCGACAAATTGCTATGCGGGCCACCAAGACCTTTCAATCCCCATATTGCGGCACAGATGCAGATAGGGCCAAATTCTGTGCGCAAGGATGCAGCCGTCGCATTGCTGATTACATTTACGGCCAAGCGAGGACCCCAGCAGATGTATGCTCCTTCGTCAATCCCGCGTTCGAGTGGGACCTCCGTTTTCAAAATATCCACTCGATGGACGCGCTGCCCAGCAATCTGGGAATCTCAGATGAAGGGTGTTCACAATCAACTAGTATTGTGTGCATGTGTGTGGTGGATGTGATGCTGCAGCGTACAGCAGTAGATGGTCAAGTGCTTCAGCAACCTGGATGGGACGTTCTCTTACAGGCAGCAATGGCCAATGACCCGTGGTTGTGCTCTCCTGACAGGATTGCAATTCGCATGATACCAATTCAATTTGCAGGTCAACCTTGGTACAGGAGAGTAGTGCAACAGGAAGCAGCTGAACCGGGAGGTCGATCAGATGAGGGCCTCTGGTTACTATATCCGCATGTTCCAGAGAGGGCTTATGAACAAATCAACTGCGGTGCCGAGTTTTCCAGCGCATTTGCAGACCTCATTCAGGCTGATTCTGGCAGCTGCACAATCAAACGTCCTGACTCGAACAATGGAGCCCGTGGTACCCTTGGCATCAAGTGTTTTGATGGACCAGGTATGAATGACCTTGTCGAACGGCTCCAAATGCTTTACGGAGCAGATCCAGCCACAGCACCTGCACAAGGAATGAGCTTTATCCATGTTCGAGATCGATATGCACGGATAGCTGGAGAAGTCTACCTTGAAATTGGCCTTGGTCAGGACCTTGCCTTCGTGGAAGGACAGCAGATGGGCAACTACATGGCGGGTTATTCGGTCCTTGCGCCGGAAGTTCTTGCATATTTTGAACAACCCTATAGGTAGTAGCTGAAAACATCGTAGTTTCATAAACTAAAACTTGACAACACCCACAACAAAATTACTACCTACATTTAATCACATCAATGCCTCAGAGTGAAAGTGTTTGTAATGATGAGAGCCACCTAAGATATAGACAGAAATAAGAGTATGCAATCACTTGGCGGCAAGGGTCAGCTTTGCCCTTGCCATAGTCAAGCCGTGTGTGCTCACTACCCACAGAGGCCTTGATGTAGGTTCTGAACATCATTCTAGAGCCTCGCCTTCAAGCAGACTCTTCTGCGATATAATACACTGGAGGAGAAGTTGCCCTTGACACTAATGACAGACTGAATCTCGCCAAGGTCGGCAAAACGGATGACGACCGAGTTAGTCGTGTTGAGTTGAGCAAGGACGCATTGAGAACTCATCCTTGACTACTAGACGATGTTCTGGGCTTCTCGACAGCCGCAGATGAGACTGAAGCCGATCAATCGAGGCTCGGATGGCCCAGCAGGTCATAAAGGCTTGACTTTGACAGAGGCCATGGACAACGATCGCGACACCTCAAACAGATATGTGAGCCAAAACACATCGAGCAGTCCAATCATGATACTGCAGACCACTTAGTGCGGCCTATGCTAGAGCACAACTTGATTCAGATCGCGGTGGGTAAGTCAGTGGCCAAAGAAGAACAAGCTGAGGCACATACATCGTGTGCTGCATATGCTTTATCTCAATTCGCGATCTCCTCGATGCCTGACGGTCGATTGCGTCGGTGATTGCAGGAAAAGCATGATTGAGATATGATCATACCGCACAGCGGGTCAATTTGACATGAGAAGGACAGCAACGCTCGAGGCGTCTCTTCAGAGGCAGCTCGCTGCCCATGGAATCTTTCAGATGGTCCTAGATTTTGCGGCTTCTCAGGGGGCTGCAATTGGTGCGTGCCGATCGTGCTACTGCTACTGCTGCAGGGGAATGCATGCGGAACAACTTGAAAGAAGACCACCGCAACTGCGCAACTGCAATTTTATTCTCGCTCCTGATCTGAACATCTGGGCAAGGCCGCAATGGACTCCTACCACCTTGACTACATGTCTTTGGCCATGCGGACATTTTCTGATCGTACGCTGTTGGCCATCTTCATCTGGCTTGTCGTTGCCAACTGGTCCTTGGCCCAAGACATGTGCCGTCAAATTGCTATGCGGGCCACCAAGACCTTTGAATCCCCATATTGCGGCACACTTGCGGATAGAGCCAAATTCTGTGCGCAAGGATGCAGCCATCGCATCGCTGATTACATTTATCGCCTAGCGTGGTGCCCAGCAGATGAATGCTCCTTCGTCAATCCCGCGTTCGAGTGGGACCTCCGTTTTCAAAGGTTCCATTCAACAGAAGCGCTGCCCGGCCGTTTGGGCTTGGCTGGTGAAGGTTGTTCGCATTCACCTGGTACGCGTATTGTTTGCATGTGTTCGGTGGATGTGATGCTGCAGCGTATCAGCAGACATGTTCAAGTCCGTCAGCAACCTGAAGGAGGTAATCCCATGCAGGAGCCAATGGCCAACAGTCCGGCGCGGTGCAGTCCTGCTATTGTTGCAATTCGCATGAATCCAATTGAAGGCTCATTTGAAAATTGGTACGGGAGTATGGTCCCATCCGAGCGCCCCTGGCAAGTAAGGTCAATGACAAAACAATCCACTGATATCAATTGCGATGCTGCGTTTTCCAGCGCATTTGCAGATCGGCTGATTGAGCCTGGTTCTGGCAGCTGCACAATCAAACGTCCTGACTTGAGCAATGAAGCCTCCGGTACCCTTGGCATCAAATGCTTTGGTGGGCCAGGTATGGACGACATTGTCGACCGGCTCAGACAGCTTTACGAGGCAGATCCACGTGCTCAAGCACAGAATTTCATCCGTCTTCGAAATGAATATGCACTGATAGCTGGAGAAGTCTACCTTGAAATTGGCCTTGGTCAAGACTTTGCTTTCGTGGCAGGTCTGCAGATGGGCAACCACCTGGCGGGTTATTCGGTCCTTGCGCCGGAAGTTCTTGCATATCTTGAAGAACACTATAGGTAGTAGCTGAAAATATCGTAGTTTCATAAACTAAAACTTGACAACACCCACAACAAAATTACTACCTACATTTAATCACATCAATGCCTCAGAGTAAAAGTGTTTGTAATGATGAGAGCCACCTAGGATATAAACAGAAATAAGAGTATGCAATCACTTGGCGGCAAGGGTCAGCTTTGCCCTTGCCATAGTCAAGCCGTGTGTGCTCACTACCAACAGAGGTCTTGATGTAGGTTCTCAACATCGTTTCTAGAGCCTGGCTCCTGAGCCGCCTCTTCTACGACATGGTACGCTTAAGGAGTAGTTGCTTTGGCTTCGAGGACATACTGAATTTCGCTGACGTTGGCAAACAGGATGACGATCGAGTCAGTCGTGTTGCGCTGAGCATGGATGCGTTGAGAACTCATCCTTGACTACCAGATGGTGTTGCGGGCTTCTCTACAGCCGTAAATGAGACTGACACCGACCGACTGAGGCTCAGCTAATAGGGAGGTCGCCAAGACAAAACCTTTCAGATGGGCTAATTTCCGCTTTTCAGGGGTCACATCCAGGAGAGCAAGATACCATGGGACCCCAGGCAAGGAGCAAGTGCAGTGCTGGCAATTGCTACACAGTCTTTTTTTTTCACATACGAAAATTCTTCAGAAGTATCATCTGAGCAAAGCTGCAAAGAACTTCCATGACTTTGACCCACATGCTCATGCAACACATGCACATGGCGATGCAAAGGCCAGCTGCAGCTCGAGCACTGGCAGTCTTTGTCATTTGGCTGGCCGTTGTTGGATGGACTGTGGGAGATCCTCAGGAAGATCTACAATGCAATCAAATCGTTTTTCAAGCCAGCGCCACCCTTCGACTTGCAGCGAGTTGTACTGGCATCCAACCGGCTGAAGACTGCGAGCAACAGTGCAAACGCCGCATCGCTGATCTCATTTACGGCATTGCACGAAAAGAACCAGATATTTGCTTCTTCATCAATCACCAGTTTGATTGGGATATTCGCATTCAAAACATATGCTGGGTTTTGGACCGATGTCCGTGCATCGCAGAGGGCCCGATGCGGCACGCGGGAGATCACATGCTTATGTTCGGTGGAAGTGGCGGTGCAGCGAGCTCTCCAAGTACTTGGACTGCTAGCTCACGATCAGTGCCAGACTCGCAATATTGCAAACCGCTTGCTGGAACAAGCCTTGTATTATCAAGGTTGGTACGGAGACTCTCTCACTCCAAATGAATGGACCTATATAAATGAGCCCAACTCGGATTGGAAGTGGCAAGTGGTGTATGAAAGCTCCCTTGTACCACAGCCTTCCCAACAGCCAATCCAGTGTGTTGCCGCCTTTTCCAGCAGGTTTGCAGATGGCGCAATCCCTCTCAGTCGCGGAAGGCATGGCCCGCAGGCAGCGTGGACGGCCGATAATCCTGGCGTCTGTACAATCCGCTATCCTGATCGGTCGGCGCCAGGATATCCGAACACCGGGCAAGTCGGGATCAGGTGTTATGGTGATTACCTAACATTGGTCGTCAATCGAATCGAAGCGCTTTATCGACTAGAAAATCGCAACCATCAACAACTAGCTCAAAGGCAAGTTACCCGTGGGCGTATTCATTTCCGGTACCAATGCGCTCAAATCCTTGGGTCCTGTCTGGAAGAACTCGTTGATTCTGATTTCGCTCAGTTCTGGTTTGAAAATTACGGCTTTCAATTGACCCCCGAGGAGCAGGGGGTATACTTTGCGAACGGCCCACAGGCATTTATTTAGATTTCATACAGCAGTCATGCATCAATGCTTTGAGACAAGTAGTAAGATGATGCAATTGACTATAATCTAGTCTGAGAAGAGGGTAGGCAAGAACTTGGTGAGGTCCTGCTTGCCCTTGCCATCTTCAAGCTTCTTGTGTTCGCTACCGGCAAAGGCCTTGGTGTAAGGGTTCAACCTGAGTGCCACGGCCTTGTTCTTGAGAGGGTTCTTCTTCTGCACCATGGTGCGCTTGACGAGTGGGTTGCCCTTGGCCTTGAGGACAGACTGGATCTCATCAGAGTTGATGAGACGAGTAACATCCGAGTTGGCCATGATGTGTTGAGGAAGGACGTAGCCAGACTTCATCTCAGATGACCAAATGCTGTCGAGCAGGGAGAATGCAGACTGTGTCCAGATGCAAAATCGGCCGAGGTGACCACCAGGGGCGAGCTGGAGCAAGTTGAGGGTACGCACATTAGCGACCTCCACACCGGGGATGTTGCGGAATGCCTTGACGAGACCTTCATCCTTGTCGTAGATGACCAGGGGACCACGACGCTGGGTGTGACGCCTGTTTCGGAGCTTGCCCTTACCGGCGCGGACCTTCTTGGAGTTGGCAACCTTGAGGACATCACGGTGTGCCTTGTGCTCCTTGAGGAAAGCAACAGCCTCCTTGGTCTTCTTGAGGCCAGAGACATCGTCGGAGACGACGAGAGGGCACTCAGAGAGCTCCTCAATACGGTGACCACGAGCCAACACGAGGGAAGGAATGGCCGAAGCAGCAATAGCAGAAGCAACAGCGAAACGCTTCTGGTTCTGGTTGACCTTGAAGTGCCACTTGCGGTAGACCTTTGTAGGTGCAAACATACGACCACCACGGCACATGTTACCGAAAGCAGCCTGACCGGCACGGTGGGTACCACCACCGGAGACACGAGGAATACGTGCGACGGCACGTCCTGTTCCCCAAGATTCAGCAGAGGTTTGACCACCTGCCTTGGTGCTCACGGCGTAGGCCTGACGCTTGTTCTTGGCCATAGAGGTGTGTACCTGCTGCACGACATCTGGGCGGATGGGTGCCTTGAAGACGGCAGGAAGTGAGACTTGGGAGCTGGCGGATGCGCCGCTGTAGACGTTGACTTGAGGCCTGGAGGTGGACATGCTTGCTGGGTGATGTACTGCCTCTTGCTCTCTTGCTGCTCTCCTGTGTCGTTGCTGCTGCTGCTTCTCAATTTTGCTTCGTGGGAAATTTGGGGAATTTGTTGTTGCGCTGTGACTGCGCAGAAGAGGGATGATTACATTGATTAGTCCTGAATGTGCTGTACTGGAAGAGAGTATATGAGGATGTAAATTGGGACAGAGGCTATGTCAGGCTGCCAGACACTGCTCATCAATCACCCTCTCAATCTCAATAACTATTTCTCATTCTGATTAATGTATCCTAAATTACACTGCATGCATCGACAGTGCTGCTAACCAACACTGCAGGTCTGCTGCTAGTCCGTGATGCTCAGTGAGCTGTTTGTCCGCTTCATGGGCTGGCTTGAACGCAGTCGAGAAGACCGCCGCGGCGACAGCATCATCTCTGCAACACGCTTGTCCATACCTTGTGCAGACCCTTCGCCCATCTCATCAAGCGAGGAAGACGGTTGCAACGGCCCAGGTCCGTGCATCTGCTGTTCACGGCGTCGATACAGCGGTACCGTCTCTTCCTGTCTGCCATGTTTGAGTGTTGGCTGAGCAATTGTTCTTGTTGGTATCGCACCACCATCAATCATGGAATCTTGACTGGTTCGCCGTTCCCCCTTGCGAGGCGTCAAGGGTACACCGAACCCAAAACTCCCAACACGCATGAGATCAGGCCTGCTATGCGCTTTAGTCTGTTCATGCGCTGCAAGGAATGCAGACGATGCAGCTGCGGCTGCTTGGTTATTGCGAATCCGCTCGCTTGACTTGCGAGGCGATTTGGGAGAACCTCTGTGTCCTGGTTGAGCAGTAAAGTCAAACGTACGCTCATCAAAGGGACTATTGAGCATCTCCTCATCCACATGGTGTTGTTGCTGTCGATCTAGCTGACGATAACGCTGGCTAAAGAACCCAGGTTGCTCATTCGTCAAAACGCCCATAGGGTTTGTCATGGGCGCATCCGGCGCTAGATGCGGTGAAGGTGGTTCAGGCGCATTCCGACGTGCCAGAATCAATAGATGCTTTCTCGTTTGCGGCAAAGTATGTGGCCAAGCGGCAGCACCACCCGCTGACTTGATGGCGCGTTTCGAGACACGCGACAGAAGCGCAGGTGGCGGCGCAGAGGGAACAAATGGCGGATTCGCATGTGAATACGTCGTCAATTCCATGTCGTAAATATTGGACAGCAGTAAATCTTGCGCTTGTGTCCAGGGCTGTTCCACTGCGCCTTCGCCATCGCTTGAGAGCATGGAAGTCGTAGACATGGTGCGTGCGACGAGCGGCCGGTGTGTATAGCTGGATGAAGAGGCAATAGAAGGTGTGCGCAGGGCCGCGTTGCCGTTGGCTTCGGCCATGGCGGAGTATTGTGGGACATGGAGGTGCAGGTCGGCGGCGCCCCTTCGCCGCGCCGAGCTCATAATATCTGAAGCGTGTATCGATGTAGCGCCGATAGGAAGAATGCGCAAATAGCGAGCGGGCCTTGGTGGAGGTGTTGTGTCTGGATCTCGTTGTCCCGTTTGTGCTTTGCGTCATGATTTTGAAATCTCGCTACGGCGCCGCACTGTGCTGCGGTGTTACGAACGGACCAGGAAGTAGACATGGGCAGTGCGCTGGGCCTCTTCCCAGGCAACACCTCTCACTACCTTTTCATCATTGAACAGCACCCAGTCAGACTGACCATCCACTTGCTTCTTGACAAAGGCGACATAGTGACCCGCATGCACGCTCGACCCCTTGTGACACGCAAGCGCCTTGCACGTATATTCCACAGGACCTGTCTCTTCCATAGCAACGTCTTCAGTTTCTGTTGTGGGTTCTGGTTTTGATTCAGGCTCCTCTGGGTCATCCATGTGCGACATGATCCACTCGAGTGCTGCCTCCGCATTGGCATTGCCAGTCGCTACTGCTCCCCTGACACAAAGATGTTTGGGGAACCCCATGTCCACCAATTGACTGACAAGCCCCTCATCCGCTTGTGTTGTGGTCGTAGGAGCGACATAGGGGACGTCAATATCGATATCCTCCATGTGTGCAAACAACCACTCCATCGCCTCTTCTGTACCACCACCAGTCGTTAATAGTGCCTTTTCGCAACGCACCTTAGGGAAGCCCATAGCCATGAGAGCATCAACGTGTTCTGGACTAGCACGCTTTGTTGCTGGTGCGTTGTCAGGTAAGAGCTCTTCATCAGGCTGCTGCCCAATTGATTTGTAACCTTCCATGGACAAGGAGTCTGGCATCACCACTGCAATCTCGAGCTTTGAAGGCACCCAATTGTCAAGTGCAAAGCGACCAGGGTTGATGACGAGGACTTGAGGGAAAGTTTTGAAGAGTGTTTGCTTGGTTGCCCCGGCCTTGGACTCACAGGCAGGACATGTCCATTCGACCTCTTCAGCGCGCGTGTAAATGTCTAGCAACTCCTTCATTTGCACGGGCTCATACTGCTTTTCTTCGCCTGCGACTGGTCGTGCGGGTACCAAGACACTGATGTGTTCTTGGGCTTCCACTTTGTATGCCACCTTGTTGCACGCCTTGCACTGCGTTCGTTGCTCCGTCCTGAACTTGAAGGCATCTGTTGGGTTGCGGAATCCTTCGGGTGTCTGCAACTTGTCGAGCTTCTCACAGAGGTAGATGAGAAACTCGAAAGCATCTTGTTGACGCATCGTACTGAATTCCACATGACCCTTGCCAATCAGACTCTTGAGCATGGTCGGTGCAATGCCCAGTTGATATGTCTCGTCGCCTCGCTTTTGTTGAACAGCAAAGTCTCCAGATAGCAACCCATCAGCCAACTTACGCATCTGCACCTCAAGACTGCTCGCAGGATCCGGTACAACCTTCGAAACATCCTGCTTGAATGGCACCAGGAATCGCTCTTCAAACAGCGGCAGCGAAAAGAGGCACTGTGCAATACTCGCGAGGTAGCAGGAATTACCGATATTCTTCATACCCGTCAGCCCAGGCCCAGACAACGGCGTCATGTCTTTTCCGTCATCTGTCTGCATGGAGAAGTCCCATTTGAGGTTTTGCTCCACCTGCAATTCTTGCAGAGACTTCTCCGTCTTGACGCGACCGTGCAGATGAATGCCCCAGTGTGACAGATGTTGCTCTAGCATGGGATCGAGTCGTTCTTCATCGCATGAATAGCAATAGACATCGGCCGTCCCTTCTGGTGTGATGGAACCAAGTTTGACTGCTAGAGCGTGTCCGCTGCTATCGACATGCTGTAACCCGTGTCCATTGCCGCCACCACCTCCAAATTGCTGGCGTCCGCATGATAGTTTGCCACAAACAAGACACAACCACAGATTTTCAGAAAGAGTACAGTCTGAGCACGTTGCAAGACTACTGTCCTCCAAAGCCTTGGCTGGTTCTTGTTGAAGTGTTAAGGTATGCTCGCACGCTGTCATTTCTTGTTCCCAGGCTTTCACCTCTGATTGCTGCACAGAGCTTAATGCATTCTTGACGCCATCCACAACAGACTGGAGGTTGGCTGACACTTGATCAGTCGTACATTCACATGTGTAGCAACGTAAGCACATCTCATAGCTATATCGGTCTGCGTTCGTTTCAGCAGCAATAGCAACCTTTGTAGCCGGGGCTTGTTCTACCTTGGGCCGTTCGCGCCGCTGTATGTTGAGAGCAATGGTATGCCCACTGAGTTGATGATGTCCCGCAGCGTGCTCTCGGGTCGGGGCCAAGCAGCCTGCTTGGAAGCAATGCAGACACACGTCAATGCCAAGCTGGCTGTCTTGCGAGTAGAAGCAGGTGCAGCATTCATCTTTGTAGACAGACTGACTTGCACGCGGAGCAACAAGTGTTGCTTGTTCTAGATGTTCACATGGACTCATTCTGCTCTTCTTTCTAGCTTCCATGCAGGTACCGTTGGTCAGTGTAAGTCGTGGAGTTGCAACTGATACGCGTCGTCATTCGCTGGACTGCAACAACACAAACTAGGCAACGCGCTGATTGCAGGATGCAGGCCTCCTCGCATTGGTATCTGCTGCTGTCATTGCTGTTCGTGGCATACCTGTCGTATACTGCCCATCATGGCCTTCCAGAGCCAGAAGTGGCACTCTACGACAGTGATGGCCAGCCGCAATTCAGTGAGGCCAAAGCACTCGAGTATGTACACAGCATGGCAGATGACATTGGCTATCGAATTGTGGGTACACAGGAACATGTCAAGTCGCGGGACTGGCTCAAGCAGGAAATACACAGGCTTGTTGGTGACCTACGGAAAGATCCGAGACGCGATGCATTGTATGAGGTGGAGGTGCTGAACCAGCCTGGTAGGGGCTCGCATCGATTCGACTTTATGGGCAAGGTTGTGATGAAGCAATATGAAGATATTGAAAATGTGGTGGTACGCATTTCGAGCAAGATGAACGGCAAGTCGAAGCAAAACAGCATTCTTGTCAATGCACACCTTGACTCGACATTGCCTTCGCCTGGAGCAGCTGATGATGGTGTTGGCATTGCTATTCAGCTCGAAATTCTCCGTGTCATGACTTCACGTCTGGACGTTTCGCATCTCGAGAATTCAGTCATTCTATTGTTTAACGATGCGGAAGAGTCATTGCAGGATGCGTCGCATCTGTTCGCAACGCAGCCGCATCCTTGGGCGCATACAGTACGAGGCGTGATCAATCTGGAAGCAGCTGGCAACCGAGGACCATCCATCCTATTCCAGGCCACTTCGCCTCAAATGCTTGATGCATACAGTCATGTTCCTTATCCTTACGGCACCGTCATGGCGTCTGACATCTTTGCTACGGGTCTCATCCTCAGCGATACAGACTTTCGGCAATTTGAGCAGTATGGCAACATGACCGGTCTTGACACTGCCATTGTCGCCAACTCGTACGCCTACCACACACAGCTCGACACGACAGCCAACGTAGAACGCGGAGCGACACAGCAGTTTGGTGAAAATACACTAGCGATCGTGACGCATCTTACGCAGCCTGGCAAGGTTTTGCAAGCAAGCGAACCAAAGGTGGATCGTATCTACTTTTCCGTCTTGCAGCACTGGTTCGTCAGTTATTCGACAAAAGCGGGGAATCTTGCCGCTAGGCTCTTATTTTCCATCGTGCTTGGCTATCTTGGCTATGTCGGTGCTCAACCCAAGCAGGTCGCTCGAGCCATGGCCATCCACTTTTCATCATTGGTGGGCGCTCTTGCTATTTCTGTTGCCGTCTCCAAAATCATGACGGTTGCTGGTCTGCATATGAAGTGGTTTGCCAATGACTACATTTGCTTGGTGCTTTACCTCCCGGCAGCCTTGCTTGGCTTCTTGGTTGCAAGCGTCGCCTTCCCAACGACCAGAGTTGAAGCCCATCAAGCATCACTTTTGTTCTTCAGCATCATGAGTCTGCTCCCAATTGGCAGTTCATTCTGGATGTTTTACCAGACTATCAGTTTGCTGTACGCCGCATTCTTGCCAGACACGCTCGTCATGTGGTTTACCGGCTCTGCCCAAGCAATCTTGTTTGGCACAGAAGGCTACTGGTCAGTCCTTGGCATCTTTGTACCCCTCACAGGTCGACTTGGCGGTGATGCACCTGCAGAAACCATTATTGCCATTATTGTTGCTGTGTTGACCTTTTTTGGTCTTCCCTTGCTCCCAGCCTACTTGGCCAGTTTGACACGAGCGACGCGTCAACGAGCGCTAGGCGCGACCGTCATGACTATGCTACTAGGCGCACTGCTGCTCTCTACACGTACCGTATGGGACGCTGCACACCCGCGACGCGTCTTCTCACAACACATGTACAACTTGACCGATGGCTCCACCTCGCTTCACTTCGCATGCGCTGATTCTGCGCCCGGATTTGGTGCATACGTGTCTAGTCTGGCATCACGGCTGCAAGGTGCTGGGATTGCGACTGGACAAGCCGTATCGATGCCCATGAATGAGTGGGTGGCCGAGTGGGATGTCGTCTATCCCTTCTCACAATTCTTGGATAGCTACAAGGTGCCGCTGGAAACGCCAGCACTGCAAGCGTTGTCAGCTGGCTACGAGACGCCAACGTTAGAAGCGAAGCACCAGGTGCGCAGAGGTGGATTGGTTGATCTTGTGCTTGAGGTGAAACATGCTGGACTCATCTGGACGGTCATGTCGTTTGACGCTGATGTGGTGGATTGGTCCCTGCCGCGTGGTATCCAAGGGTATGGACGTCATCACGTCAAGCATGTTGGTACAGATGGTATCAGCAGTCATACGCTGACTATGACGCTCAATGCTACACCTGGATCAAGCTTGTTTATTGACTTTGTGGGCATTGACGTGGAAGCCATGTATCCGCACAATAAGCACAAGGCAGGCGCCCTGTCGCACCCTGTCATGGCACTGTTTCATGAAATCCGCAATGTGCAGGCGCCTACCGAGCGAGACGCCGTCGATATGACGAGCTCGGGTATGCTGGCTGCGAGATTTGAGGTGAAGCTATAGTCGATACAAGGTAGACGGGAGCCACTTCTTGTGGTTTATAGAAATGTACATGTTCTTGTATGTTAAACCACCACTGGTCCGCACACATCGGTGGAGAAGGCCGACTCTTCCGCTAGATGCGGTACCTCAATGTGAAATGCTGACTTTGGGATATGCGGAAGGAAGGTGGAAAAGGCTGTTTGAATATCCAACTGTAGTCGGCGGGAAGCCGGCAATTCTTCGTAGAAGTCAGACAACGCACCGATGTCGTCAACATTCCCTTGACTGCCTCCCTGCAGAGGGCCTGACTGTCGACGATCATACTGTAGGCGGCCATGTATTGGCAAATTGGGCAGTGCACCCGACGGATCCAGCGCTTCCTGCAGGAAGGCCATGCCTTGTTGCCGGTCACCCAAGCCCGAGCGGCCGATCGTCTTGTCTTCGTTCAGCCAGAAGAATTCCCACAAGGTAATCATATCGGTCAGGCAGACGAAAGGCCGATTGCCTGCCACATTGAGCACATTAGCCAAGATCAGTTGGATAATGGCTTGCGCATGATTGGCCGTTGTGGGAGGATTCAACTTGAGCTCGACGAGGCAGAGAGCCAAGTCCCACTTGTGCGTTGAGGTAGCGTGAACCGGCGCGATGGCCATCACATCTCCTTGGCAAGTGACTTTGGTCAGATGACCGTCAACTTTGATGTGCGTCGATGCTGTGATCCCAGTGACGTCGGAAAATTGGCAGAACGGGACTCTCAAACTGTTAAGATAGTCCAAGGCTTGTCTGGTCAAAGTAGCCTCGGTTGTTGCTCGAGGATAGTTCCACGGTTGAAACACTATTGTGAGGTTCCCCAAGTCAACGCTGCTTAGTGTGTACTCCTTCACCTGCAGCGAAAAGTCGAGCGCTGTGAGCACACGTTCTGCGACGTGTAAGCTGCACTGAGACGCTGCGATGGTCGGCGGGCCGGTGACCGCAAGCGACGCTGGAGCAGAGTCTGGCCGCGAGCGAGGAGCTCCTAATGTAGCGACAGTCTGATGACTAGGCGTTCCAGACAGCGCCAACAACCTTCGCTGCAGGGCGATCACTTCATCCTTCAGTTCAGCAATCACCTGGTCCTTGCTTGCGACGCTTTGGCGGATGTTTGCCAAGGACGCGCGAGCATCAGCAAGCTCACTTTGCAGCTGAGCTACCAGCTGAGCTACTGTCGCCGCGACCGGCGATGCAGACCTTGCTGCGGCACCCGCAGTCCTTCGCGTACGCTTTCGCGGACCCATGCTACCGACAATCAAGTTGGCGTTGCAGGTGTTGGGGAGCTCATGAACAGAGGCTTTAATTTGAGGTCGCGATTTTAATGTAGTCAGACTACCTCATGAACACGACTGAAATTCCCAACCACAAGGACAATTACTACCGAACTGTTCATGAATGAGACCTGACCGGCTTGATCATCTATACTGACACACGCTTCACGAAGCTATGCGGACGCAATTACTTTGGCACCCGCTCCGTTATAGTGTTGGCGCGCTCACGGAATCAAGCGTGTTGCGAGGCTTATCGACCTCGCTTCTCGCTTGAAGAATCGTTGCAGGACGCGTTGCATCTCTTTGCAACGCAGCCGCATCCCTGGCCTCATACAACGCGAGGTGCCATCAACCTAGAAGCAGCTGGCGACTAAGGGACCATCCATCCTTTTTCAGGCTATTTTGCCACAAGTAGATCGCAGCAGGTTGGCAAAGACACAATAGCTTTCGTGACGCATCTCACGCAGCGTTGCAAGATTATTGCGAGTGAGCGAGTCAAAGGTGGATCGTATTTACTTCTCCGTCTTGCAGCACTGCTTTGTCAGTTATTCGACAAAGACGGGAAATCTTGCCGCAAGGCTCTTGTTTTCCATCGTGCTTGGCTATATTGGCTATGTCGGTGCTCAACCCAAGCGGGTCGCTCGAGCCATGGCCATCCACTTTTCATCATTGATGGGTGCTCTTGCTATTTCTGTTGCCGTCTCCAGAATCATGACGGTTGCTGGTCTGCATATGAAGTGGTTTGCCAGTAACTACATTTGCTTGGTACTCTACCTCCCGGCAGCCTTGCTTGGCTTCTTGGTTGCAAGCGTCGCCTTCCCAACGACCAGAATCGAAGCCCATCAAGCATCACTTTTGTTCTTCAGCATTATGAGTCTGCTCCCAATCGGCACTTCATCCTGGATGTTTTGCCAGACCCTCAGTTTGCTGTATGCTGCAATCCTGCCAGACACACTCGTCATGTGGTTCACCGGCTCTGCTCAAGCAATCTTGTTTGGCACAGAAGGCTACTGGTCAGTCCTTGGCATCTTTGTACCCCTCACAGGTCGACTTGGCGGTGATGCACCTGCAGAAACCATTATTGCCATTATTGTTGCTGTGTTGACCTTTTTTGGTCTTCCCTCGCTCCCAGCATACTTGGCCAGTTTGACACAAGCGACGCGTCAACGAGCGCTGGGCGCCACCATCATGGCTATGCTACTAGGCGCACTGCTGCTCTCTACACGTACCGTATGGGATGCTGCACACCCACGACGCGTCTTCTCACAACACATGTACAACTTGACCGATGGGTCCACTTCGCATGCGCTGATTCTGCGCCCGGATTTGGTGCATACGTGTCTAGTCTGGCATCACGGCTGCAAGGTGCTGGGATTGCGACTGGACAAGCCGTATCGATGCCCATGAATGAGTGGGTGGCCGAGTGGGATGTCGTCTATCCCTTCTCACAATTCTTGGATAGCTACAAGGTGCCGCTGGAAACGCCAGCACTGCAAGCGTTGTCAGCTGGCTACGAGACGCCAACGTTAGAAGCGAAGCACCAGGTGCGCAGAGGTGGATTGGTTGATCTTGTGCTTGAGGTGAAACATGCTGGACTCATCTGGACGGTCATGTCGTTTGACGCTGATGTGGTGGATTGGTCCCTGCCGCGTGGTATCCAAGGGTATGGACGTCATCACGTCAAGCATGTTGGTACAGATGGTATCAGCAGTCATACGCTGACTATGACGCTCAATGCTACACCTGGATCAAGCTTGTTTATTGACTTTGTGGGCATTGACGTGGAAGCCATGTATCCGCACAATAAGCACAAGGCAGGCGCCCTGTCGCACCCTGTCATGGCACTGTTTCATGAAATCCGCAATGTGCAGGCGCCTACCGAGCGAGACGCCGTCGATATGACGAGCTCGGGTATGCTGGCTGCGAGATTTGAGGTGAAGCTATAGTCGATACAAGGTAGACGGGAGCCACTTCTTGTGGTTTATAGAAATGTACATGTTCTTGTATGTTAAACCACCACTGGTCCGCACACATCGGTGGAGAAGGCCGACTCTTCCGCTAGATGCGGTACCTCAATGTGAAATGCTGACTTTGGGATATGCGGAAGGAAGGTGGAAAAGGCTGTTTGAATATCCAACTGTAGTCGGCGGGAAGCCGGCAATTCTTCGTAGAAGTCAGACAACGCACCGATGTCGTCGCCATTCCCTTGACTGCCTCCCTGCAGAGGGCCTGACTGTCGACGATCATACTGTAGGCGGCCATGTATCGGCAAATTGGGCAGTGCACCCGACGGATCCAGCGCTTCCTGCAGGAAGGCCATGCCTTGTTGCCGGTCACCCAAGCCCGAGCGGCCGATCGTCTTGTCTTCGTTCAGCCAGAAGAATTCCCACAAGGTAATCATATCGGTCAGGCAGACGAAAGGCCGATTGCCTGCCACATTGAGCACATTAGCCAAGATCAGTTGGATAATGGCTTGCGCATGATTGGCCGTTGTGGGAGGATTCAACTTGAGCTCGACGAGGCAGAGAGCCAAGTCCCACTTGTGCGTTGAGGTAGCGTGAACCGGCGCGATGGCCATCACATCTCCTTGGCAAGTGACTGTGGTCAGATGACCGTCAACTTTGATGTGCGTCGATGCTGTGATCCCAGTGACGTCGGAAAATTGGCAGAACGGGACTCTCAAACTGTTAAGATAGTCCAAGGCTTGTCTGGTCAAAGTAGCCTCGTTTGTTGCTCGAGGATAGGTCCACTGGGGATACACTATTGTGAGGTGCGCCAAATCAACGCTGCTTGTTGTGTACTCCTTCACCTCCAGCGAAAAGTCAAGCGCCGTGAGCACACGTTCTGCGACGGGCAAGCTGCACTGAGACGCTGCGATGGTCGCAGGGCCGGTGAGCGCAAGAGCTGCTGGAGCAGACTCTGGCCGCGAGCGGGGAGCTCCTAAGACGGTAGCAGTTTGATGCATAGGCGTCCCAGACAGCGCTAACCACCTTCGCTGCAGGGCGATCACTTCATCCTTACTAGCAACGACTTGTTCTAGGCGGGCGATCGCTTCATCCTTACTAGCAACGACCTGTTCTAGGCGGGCCTTCAAAGTCTCGATGACCTCGTCTTTGCTTGCAACGACTTCCCTTATTCCAGTAATCACCTGGTCCTTGCTTGCGACGCTTTGGCGGATGTTTGCCAAGGACGCGCGAGCATCAGCAAGCTCACCTTGCAGCTGAGCTACTGTCGTAGTTGAGGTTGCCGCGACCGGCGATGTAGACCTTGCTGCGGCACCTGCAGTACTTCGGGTACGCTTTCGCGGGCCCATGCTTACGACAATCAAGTTGGCGTTGCAGGTGTTGGGAAGCTCATGAACAGAGGCTTTAATTTGAGGTCGCGATTTTAATGTAGTCAGACTACCTCATGAACACGACTGAAATTCCCAACCACAAGGACAATTACTACCGAACTGTTCATGAATGAGACCTGACCGGCTTGATCATCTATACTGACACACGCTTCACGAAGCTATGCGGACGCAATTACTTTGGCACCCGCTCCGTTATAGTGTTGGCGCGCTCACGGAATCAAGCGTGTTGCGAGGCTTATCGACCTCGCTTCTCGCTTGAAGAATCGTTGCAGGACGCGTTGCATCTCTTTGCAACGCAGCCGCATCCCTGGCCTCATACAACGCGAGGTGCCATCAACCTAGAAGCAGCTGGCGACTAAGGGACCATCCATCCTTTTTCAGGCTATTTTGCCACAAGTAGATCGCAGCAGGTTGGCAAAGACACAATAGCTTTCGTGACGCATCTCACGCAGCGTTGCAAGATTATTGCGAGTGAGCGAGTCAAAGGTGGATCGTATCTACTTCTCCGTCTTGCAGCACTGCTTTGTCAGTTATTCGACAAAGACGGGAAATCTTGCCGCAAGGCTCTTGTTTTCCATCGTGCTTGGCTATATTGGCTATGTCGGTGCTCAACCCAAGCGGGTCGCTCGAGCCATGGCCATCCACTTTTCATCATTGATGGGTGCTCTTGCTATTTCTGTTGCCGTCTCCAGAATCATGACGGTTGCTGGTCTGCATATGAAGTGGTTTGCCAGTAACTACATTTGCTTGGTACTCTACCTCCCGGCAGCCTTGCTTGGCTTCTTGGTTGCAAGCGTCGCCTTCCCAACGACCAGAATCGAAGCCCATCAAGCATCACTTTTGTTCTTCAGCATTATGAGTCTGCTCCCAATCGGCACTTCATCCTGGATGTTTTGCCAGACCCTCAGTTTGCTGTATGCTGCAATCCTGCCAGACACACTCGTCATGTGGTTCACCGGCTCTGCTCAAGCAATCTTGTTTGGCACAGAAGGCTACTGGTCAGTCCTTGGCATCTTTGTACCCCTCACAGGTCGACTTGGCGGTGATGCACCTGCAGAAACCATTATTGCCATTATTGTTGCTGTGTTGACCTTTTTTGGTCTTCCCTCGCTCCCAGCATACTTGGCCAGTTTGACACAAGCGACGCGTCAACGAGCGCTGGGCGCCACCATCATGACTATGCTACTAGGCGCACTGCTGCTCTCTACACGTACCGTATGGGATGCTGCACACCCACGACGCGTCTTTTCACAACACATGTACAACTTGACCGATGGGTCCACTTCGCATGCGCTGATTCTGCGCCCGGATTTGGTGCATACGTGTCTAGTCTGGCATCACGGCTGCAAGGTGCTGGGATTGCGACTGGACAAGCCGTATCGATGCCCATGAATGAGTGGGTGGCCGAGTGGGATGTCGTCTATCCCTTCTCACAATTCTTGGATAGCTACAAGGTGCCGCTGGAAACGCCAGCACTGCAAGCGTTGTCAGCTGGCTACGAGACGCCAACGTTAGAAGCGAAGCACCAGGTGCGCAGAGGTGGATTGGTTGATCTTGTGCTTGAGGTGAAACATGCTGGACTCATCTGGACGGTCATGTCGTTTGACGCTGATGTGGTGGATTGGTCCCTGCCGCGTGGTATCCAAGGGTATGGACGTCATCACGTCAAGCATGTTGGTACAGATGGTATCAGCAGTCATACGCTGACTATGACGCTCAATGCTACACCTGGATCAAGCTTGTTTATTGACTTTGTGGGCATTGACGTGGAAGCCATGTATCCGCACAATAAGCACAAGGCAGGCGCCCTGTCGCACCCTGTCATGGCACTGTTTCATGAAATCCGCAATGTGCAGGCGCCTACCGAGCGAGACGCCGTCGATATGACGAGCTCGGGTATGCTGGCTGCGAGATTTGAGGTGAAGCTATAGTCGATACAAGGTAGACGGGAGCCACTTCTTGTGGTTTATAGAAATGTACATGTTCTTGTATGTTAAACCACCACTGGTCCGCACACATCGGTGGAGAAGGCCGACTCTTCCGCTAGATGCGGTACCTCAATGTGAAATGCTGACTTTGGGATATGCGGAAGGAAGGTGGAAAAGGCTGTTTGAATATCCAACTGTAGTCGGCGGGAAGCCGGCAATTCTTCGTAGAAGTCAGACAACGCACCGATGTCGTCAACATTCCCTTGACTGCCTCCCTGCAGAGGGCCTGACTGTCGACGATCATACTGTAGGCGGCCATGTATTGGCAAATTGGGCAGTGCACCCGACGGATCCAGCGCTTCCTGCAGGAAGGCCATGCCTTGTTGCCGGTCACCCAAGCCCGAGCGGCCGATCGTCTTGTCTTCGTTCAGCCAGAAGAATTCCCACAAGGTAATCATATCGGTCAGGCAGACGAAAGGCCGATTGCCTGCCACATTGAGCACATTAGCCAAGATCAGTTGGATAATGGCTTGCGCATGATTGGCCGTTGTGGGAGGATTCAACTTGAGCTCGACGAGGCAGAGAGCCAAGTCCCACTTGTGCGTTGAGGTAGCGTGAACCGGCGCGATGGCCATCACATCTCCTTGGCAAGTGACTTTGGTCAGATGACCGTCAACTTTGATGTGCGTCGATGCTGTGATCCCAGTGACGTCGGAAAATTGGCAGAACGGGACTCTCAAACTGTTAAGATAGTCCAAGGCTTGTCTGGTCAAAGTAGCCTCGTTTGTTGCTCGAGGATAGGTCCACTGGGGATACACTATTGTGAGGTGCGCCAAATCAACGCTGCTTGTTGTGTACTCCTTCACCTCCAGCGAAAAGTCAAGCGCCGTGAGCACACGTTCTGCGACAGGCAAGCTGCACTGAGACGCTGCGATGGTCGCAGGGCCGGTGAGCGCAAGAGCTGCTGGAGCAGACTCTGGCCGCGAGCGGGGAGCTCCTAAGACGGTAGCAGTTTGATGCATAGGCGTCCCAGACAGCGCCAACAACCTTCGCTGCAAGGCGATCACTTCATCCTTGCTCGCAACGACTTCTTCCTTACTCGCAACAACTTCTTCTAGGCGGGCCTTCAAAATCTCGATGACCTCGTCTTTGCTTGCAACGACATTTTCTAGGTGTGCTTTCAGTTCAGCAATCACCTGGTCCTTGCTTGCGATGCTTTGTCGGACATCTGCAAAGGATGCGCGAGCATCAGCAAGCTCACTTTGCAGCTGAGCTACTGTCGCCGCGACCGGCGATGCAGACCTTGCTGCGGCACCCGCAGTCCTTCGCGTACGCTTTCGCGGACCCATGCTACCGACAATCAAGTTGGCGTTGCAGGTGTTGGGGAGCTCATGAACAGAGGCTTTAATTTGAGGTCGCGATTTTAATGTAGTCAGACTACCTCATGAACACGACTGAAATTCCCAACCACAAGGACAATTACTACCGAACTGTTCATGAATGAGACCTGACCGGCTTGATCATCTATACTGACACACGCTTCACGAAGCTATGCGGACGCAATTACTTTGGCACCCGCTCCGTTATAGTGTTGGCGCGCTCACGGAATCAAGCGTGTTGCGAGGCTTATCGACCTCGCTTCTCGCTTGAAGAATCGTTGCAGGACGCGTTGCATCTCTTTGCAACGCAGCCGCATCCCTGGACGCATACAACCCGAGATGCCATCAACCTAGAAGCAGCTGGCAACTAAGGGACCATCCATCCTTCCTCAGGCCATTTCGCCACAAATAGAACGCAGCAAGTGGTGAATATACAATAGCTTTCGTGACGCATCTCACGCAGCGTGGCAAGGGACTGCAAGCCTGCAAGTGAGCTCAAAGGTGGATCGGATCTACTGTTCCGTCTTGTAGCACTGGTTTGAGGTTTTCAAATGAGTCGTCGGCACGTTGAGACTATAGGTACATGGCTTGATTAGCCTATACGTGTTACGCATAGTTGATCTAGTCAATCGTATCAGCCTTCGCAGCTTTGAAGCAAGCGTTGCGATCGCTGAGGGTGCTGTTGCCCGCTTTTGAACGAACGGCTACAGCTTTCCACAATGTCCATCGAGCCAGAAGGGTGCGAATTTTCCCTGTATGGCCTTACTGTGATGGCGAAGAAGAAAGGGCGAGCTAGCCAAATCTCAACAGCACACGGCAGCGAACATCTTGTATACTGCCAAGCAGATCATTTTGTGAAGGTCTGGAAGCTGATGTGTGTTGCAAACGAGATGCCTTTCATAGCAAGATGAGCACAGACCACGGCCTACCTCTCCTCCTTTGTAGATTGCTGCCACGTCCAACGTGTCCGTAAGTACTTGAAGATGTACACAAGCGCAAGCAAGACTGGAATTTCGATCAGTGGGCCGACAGTCGCAGCAAGGGCTTGCCGAGAATTGATACCGTAGGTCGCTACCGCCACTGCAATGGCCAGTTCAAAGTTGTTGGAACTGGCAGTGAAAGTTTGTGCTACACTCACTTCGTAGTTGAAGTGCATGACGTTTCGACATGCAAGAAGCGTCAAAGCGAACGTGATGGCGAAGTAGACGACGAGTGGTGCGGCAACGCGGACAACAGCGACAATCTCATCGGTGACATGCCGTCCTTGACTTGCAAACAGAATGATGATCGTGAATAGGAGCCCAATGAGCGATAACGGAGAGATGATGCGGATGAAGTATTTTTGGTAGCGATCATTACCAAGCAGTTTGCGCAGAGCCAAGCGTGTCACAATGGCTGCAGCCAGAGGGATGCCGAGGAAGACACCGACAGACGAAGCCACGGTCGAGTAAGAAACATCCAGGTCGCCATTTGTTCCACTCGGCACGAATTTGTTGATGTAGAGAATGGCAAAGGGTGCAAACAGGACAATCTGCAAGAGGGAGTTGATGCCGACCAAAATGGCGCAGTATTCATCGTCACCACCGGCGATATTGGTCCAAATCAGGACCATGGCGATACAGCGTGCGATGCCAACAAGAATGAGGCCTTCGCGCAAGTCGCGCTGGTCAGGCAGAAATGCCCACGCCAAAGCGACCATGAGCAGTGGCGCCACTAGCCAGTTCACAACAACACTGAACGCAATCTGTCGCCAAATGCCCTTGGCTCGAAGAATGTGGTGTAGCCGCTCGTACTGGACTTTGCAAAGGATGGGATACATCATGACGAGCAGGCCAACCGCGATAGGCGCCGACACACCGATCAGCTTGGATGTGTCTAGCTTTTGCTGGATGTCGTTAACGAAGCGACCAAGTATGATGCCGATGGCCATTGCCAATATAATCCAGAGCCATAGAAACTGATCTAGAAACGACAGAGCCTTGAAGGGCGCCACAGCAGTCGGTGATTCACTGCGCGGCTCGAGCTCTGCTGTAGAGCTGGCGGAGCTTGACCGGGCCATCGTCGAAATTTGTTCGGTCTTCATCTGCGCAGGAACCCTCTCTTCAGTCGGCACAGCCTGGTATATATATGCGGTAGAATACTGATGCACACATGTCGCGCTTGAGAAGTGTCAAAATCGAGTGACATGCCGGCGACATGCTCAGGCGCGTTGATTGGCTGCACCCGATCGCCCATCTCTGCACCCAGATGGGACTCCTGGGAGGCTCAACCCTGAGTCAACAGGCGAACAGCTGGAAACTTCTAGGCTCCAGCATGTATACATGATCATTGAATTCATTTGCTCTGTATGCTATGAAGAAGATTCGAGGCCAGACTCACTTTCGAGATCATCATCCCAGTCTAATGCTGCAGCTGCTGCTTTGATGCCTGCCAGGCCACTCAGCTGTTCAATATACGCTGGGTCATCGAGGGCCCGTTGCACCCAATCCCAGTGACCTTCTTCATATGCCTCCAAGACGGCCACAGAGCATGCTGAGCATTGCGGAAATGCTTCACCGCGCAAAACTAAATTGCTGAAACTTCCAAGAAAACCTCGGATGGTGTGCGGCACCCTTCCAAGGAGCCCGTCATTCGAGCCATCATTCTTGTCTTTTGGCGCAGATGCATGCTGTTTATCTGGATGTGCCAACATACTGACGAGCAATTCGACAGCATGTGCAGAGGCAAGTGCTGCTAACCCTGGCCGCGTCACAGTGCACATCTGGTCGAGGGACCGATCGTCAAGCGAATTGCTTGGTGCAACTACATCGTTGCAGAAGTAGCATCCAAGGTTATTGCTGGTTGTTCCATGACGCAGAACGACGTACGAGTCGAATCCAAGTGCAGCATTCAGCACAATTTTATTCTTGGCCTTGCCAAGCACAGTTGGCAGCCATCGACTTTCTCGAGAGTCCATAAGGAGAAAAACGGCATCGTGGCTGTCAATAAGCTGACAAAGCTGTTCAAATTCTCGACGTGCTTTCTCTCGTGCTTCAGCAAGAGTGGGTAAGGGATGACCTAGCATAGGAACACTCAGCGCAACTCCAATCGCATTGACTCCAGGATATATTTCCTTCAATGATTCTGCAGCGACAGTCGCCTTGCTCTTGCCTGTCCCGGCATCGGTATATCGAAAGAGCGGTTGACGAACAGGATTCGACCAGGACACTGTACCATTATCAACAAATGTGATTTGATTCACACCCCAAGCCATCAACAAGCGTGCAGTATAACAGCCAAGTGTGCCTGCTCCAAGCAACAAACAACGCGTGCTCTTAATGGCGTCTAGATCAAGTGAAGGACTAGCACGCCAGCGCATGAGCTTGAGATTGAGATGAACAGCATCATTGGCGAGGATGGTAGGATCTAGCTGAGATGAGAGAGCTGTAATGCGTGGTGCCAATCGACCATTGCGGTCGCGCTCCCAGCCAACAGGTGGCAGATTGGCTATTGGCTCTTCCAAGTGACAGTTGAGCAACAGAGATGGATTGCCTGGATGAGACCCTCTGTATGCCACCAACTGCAGATCTGTAAGGTTGAATACTTGACTAATCATGAACAAATAGTTGCGCGCTGGCCATGAAAGGCAGCTAGGATGGCTCGACGTGTCGAGAAAGCCAAAGACCCGATATTGAGCTGGCACGTCAGCATAGAGAGAGTGCGTCGTATTGTCACGCCGATCAATTAGGAAGAAGGCCTCGCACGTTGCCAAGTTGCTCGTGAACAGACTTGATGAAGCGCTCCAGCTACTGGGCAAGGCGGGAAAGGCAGCCCAGTACGTGTATGTGTATTTCTTGAGATCTGCAAAGCAAAGCAGAGCGAATGAAGACAGAAGTGCCGGCTTATGAAGAATAGTCCGGTCACTGATGGCGTCTTGAATGGGCTGTGCAGCTCTCCTCAAGAATTCATTCTTGTCGTACGCTTTGAAGGTGTCAATTGTATTGAGATTCAGAGCTGTTCCTTGAATGCGCATTGTAGCTGCGTCTGCAGTAAAGCTGCTGCCATCCAAGTCGACGCGCGGAGGCGCCTCATCTTGCTTAGCTTTCAGGGTGATTGCCGCAGTGATGGAATTCTCTTGCTCTCGCAGCTTGTCTACATCTATCTTTTGCTTGCTCAGCGAGTGCCAGAACTCCGAAGAGATGTATGTGGCCTGTGGCAGAAACGTCAAGGGCGGCATGAAGATGGGTGCAGTCGACGACAAAGTCGCTGTAGCTGCCGGTTGCGGAGGCATCATTATTCAGATGGCGGACGAATATTCTCGCTCGAGCATGCACAACAGGCGATATAGAGGAGTAGAAGAGGACCAGGCGGCAATCGCCTGTATGCATGCTTCTCTCTCTTATACGGTCTACTGGACAATTACGAAGAGCGGCAGTATTGTTTTGTTGAGCTCCGAGTTGCATTATGACTTCGCAAGAGCTGTTGAGATTCGCAACACTATCACGGCATACTGAGAAGAGCTTCTAGGCAATGTCTATAAGATCTATGCCTCCCTCGCCGCTTTGACGAATGCTGCAATCTTCTGTGAGCTCTGCTCGCCAGACTCATCTTCGACGCCAGAACTGACATCCACACCACGACACCCAGTCTGCTGTATCGCCGCCGCTACTGTCTCGGGCGTCAAGCCACCGGCCAAGATGTATGCATCGCCGTGCTCCTTTGTGATTTGTGCAGCACCATCTAAACTCACCTTGCTGCCTGTTCCACCACTGACTCCCGATGCAGACACCGAATCGACAAGGGGTAATGCATGGAGGCCTGTTTTGCTAAGCCCTGAAGCTTTGCCTGTGCCAAAGACCTTGATGACTGGCCCCGGGATGAGATGCGCCCAGGAGGCCGGCTCATCGCCGTGCAGCTGAATCACATCAAGACCGAGGCTCGCCTTGTAGTGCAAGATTGTGGAGAGGGGCTGATTCTGAAACACGCCAACAATCAAGGGTCTCGTACAGGAAGAGATGTAGTCGGCTTGCATAGAGAACCACTCGTCCGTCGAGACGGGCTCCTTCGATACCTGTCGCGCGGGCAAGGTGCGTACAGCCGCAATCACTTGCTGAGCCTGTTCCATAGACAATGTTCGTTTGCGCCCTTCAGCGAAGATCATGCCAATCAGGTCTGCACCGGCCTCGGCTGCAGCAACTGCGCCGGCAGGGGTGCGCGTACCACAAATCTTGACTATCCTGCGTCTTGTGTGCACCTTTGCCTTTTGCTCTTCCCGCCCGAGCAGTGTAGCAATAAACGCACCCTTGTCTGTTGACCGCATAAGTGCTTCACCGACAAGGACCGCACCGACGCCTTCATCCACATACTTGGCGACATCTGCTCGGGTACTGATGCCAGAGAGTGCACACAAAACAACACCGCCTTGCAAGTCCTTGGCGATGGTCGAGGTGGTATTGAGGTCCACCACAAAGTCGTGCAAGTTGCGGTTGTTAACACCGACGACTTGTGCGCCAATGTCCATGGCAACTTTCATCTCTTCCGGGTTGTTGACCTCCACGAGCGGCTCCATGCCAAGCGATTTCGCGTAGGAATAGAGCTCCTGCAGCTGCTCTTTGGATAGCATGGCAACGATCAATAGAATTGTGTCTGCACCGTATAGTCGTGCCTCGTCAATTTGGTACGTGTCAATGATGAAGTCCTTTCGTAGCAGCGCAGGTGGATTGGGCATGCCTTGCAAGACATCACGGACTGATCGCAAGTCATTAAGACTGCCCTTGAACCACTGTGGCTCCGTCAATACTGAGATGACGGATGCACCGCCCTGCGCGTAGAGCAGCGCCTGCGATGCGGCATTGGCACCTAGGTCAATGTCGCCCTTTGATGGTGAGGCTCGCTTGATTTCTGCCATGAGAGCCGGCTCGTGCGGCGCATTTTGCGTTAGACGCTTCTTGAAGTCAATCAAAGGCGGGGCAACATTGAGAGCCAAAAGCCGTTTCAAGTCGGCAGGCGTGCTGCCAGGTGTCGCCTTACTTGCTGCGATATCCAGCAGTCGCTGTTCGTGAATCGTCTCTAGAATACTCTTCTTTTCCACGACAGGCGCTCCCTCACTAAAGCCTGGGTTGCCTGCCCATGTCCCGGCTTCCAGCTTCAAGAAGTTGGCAAAGAGCATTTTGCCAGCCTCTGAGAGGATACTCTCTGGATGATACTGGACTCCTTCCATTGCATACTCCTTGTGCCGGGCCCCCATAATGATGCCATTTTCAGTCCACGACGTGCGCTCCAGACACGCAGGCAGGCTTTCTTTTGTACCAGCTAGAGAGTGGTAGCGTGTCGCTGCAATCTTTTGCGGTACACCTGTATACAATCCTTTGCCGTCGTGCTCCACCAAGGACGTCTTTCCATGCAGAATCTCACCCGTACCGGCGACAATACCGCCAAAGACTGTGAACATGCATTGCAAGCCCATACAAACCCCTAGAATGGGTATTTTGCCTGCAAATTCGCGAATGCAATCGCTAGAGATGCCCGCATCTGTAGATGGATGTCCTGGTCCAGGGCTAATGACGAGCAGCGTGGGCTGCCTGGCGACAAGGTCAGCGACGGAGATTTTATCATTGCGAAAGACCGTGATGGTGCGATCCGTCAGCGCAGACAGGTACTCGACAATATTCCAGGTGACTAGAGTCAGTCTTGAATCTTGTTAGAAGCCTTACATGAATCATAGTTGTCTATAACAACGATATCAAGCGCATCTGCCATGCCGGAGTAGACGTGTCCAGTTTGAATTTAAATCTGGCGTCTTCAAATTGATGCTACAGATTCGCGCTACAACTACAACTTGCGCGCCCTCGCTAGTCTCTCCCGGATGGCCGTGGAACTCAGCTTGAGTTCCTGCATCGCCTCGCCCTCAACCTTGCCATCAGCACCAATGACTTCAATGTAGAATATTTCGAGCCGCCTCAGCGCCTTGCGTGCTCGTTCCTCCTCAATCATCTTGCCGCCTGCTTCCGTCTCTTTGCTCGCCACCAATGCATCAATAGCGTCGACATGTCCAGTAGGACCATAGACATCATTGATGGCCGGCAGGTCGTAGATGAGGCCACGCTTGAATTTGTAGTAGAATCGCTCGACGCTCTTGCGACGTGCATCAATCGACTCAAGCAGCTCCTTGTGCTTCTTCTTTTGTAGTAGTGCATCATCCGTCACGCCACAGATGACCTTGACCGTGGCAAGCCAGGCAGTCATACTCAGGAGAATCTTGTGGCCGTCGTGCAGATGGTCAAACGTACCGCCAACAGCAACACACTCAAACGATTGCGGCTCAGATTGATCAGGTTGCATGGCCTCTGAAGATGACGTTACGGGTGTGTATAGCTTTGTTTCTGCTGTCAGGCCCGGTAAGTTTGAAAGCGTTTCTGCGTCTGCTGCTGCGACACTGGTCCAGCAGTCTTCCTTTTCAATAGCATATCCGCAATAACCTTGCAAAATGACGATTGTATCTAGCTCTTTGCCAGCCAGCTCGGCAAGTCGTGCGGCTTCCAGATAGAGCTGGCTTATAAGCTTTTGCACGGGTATAAAATAGGCACGTCTTTGGTTGCCTTGTAATCGCTGAGAGCATATGAGAATGTCGAGAGACGCAAATTGATCTAGGTCACAAATGACGGCCTTGAGGTTATCGAAGTGACAAGAGGCATCGAGCGAGTCATTCAGCTGCACAACATAGAGGACGGCCTGCTTGGCCATGTTTAGATTTGGTTGAGGTTGAATGCCGCGCGAATTTGGACGCGACCGTGAATCGACTACCGCGTCTACACAATGCTCATCGGCTTGGCTGGGCCTGACTGCGCGGGCAGAAGCACCGTAGCCAATTACTTGATCGAGCATCATCGATACAGACGAGTCTCCATTGGTCATGGTCCTCCCCAGGATCTCAATGTCATGGGGCAGCAATTGGTCGATTCACATCAGCTCAAAAGAGAATGCATGAGAAAGCAAGAGTATGGCTATACGACACGACCAAAAAGCTACTTTAAAACAGCTGAAGAGCTTTGTGAATATGCAACACTGCATTGGCGCGATGACATGGTCACGACTGATGTTCTGAATATCACAGATTACCAGACTCTGTCGAAGCGCCCATTCTTTCTGCTCGTCGGAGTGGATGCACCTCTAGGCACTAGGCTAGCACGATACAATAACTATGCGTTCTGTGCAGTAGACGCTCGATATGCTGATAAAGATGATTTCATCAATTGGCATGAGTCGTTCTACTCGAGCGGCGGGGCTGAAGTACTCAACTGTGCTTCTGTTCGCATACTCAATACATTCAAGAGTGTCAAACTCTTCGAGGAACACATCAAGTCGCTAGATCTCGCGAATCCAGACCGGCTCAGACCATCATGGGACACCTATTTTATGCGTCTCGCTTCTCTTGCAGCAATGCGCTCAAATTGCATGAAACGTCGCGTCGGATGTGTGCTTGTTCGTGGCAAGCGTGTCATTGCCACAGGCTACAATGGCACGCCGCGAGGCATCACGAACTGTAACGAGGGCGGATGTGATCGCTGCAACAAGGCCACAATCGGTGGTCAAGGCCTCGGAACGTGCTTGTGCTTGCATGCTGAAGAGAATGCGCTCCTGGAGTCTGGTCGCGAGCGTGTCGGCGTGGATGCCACTTTGTACTGCAATACATGCCCGTGTCTGACGTGCAGTGTCAAAATTGCTCAAGTTGGCGTCAAGGAAGTCGTCTTTCATCAGAGTTACAGCATGGATGAACAGAGTGCATTGATATTGAAGGAAGCAGGCGTTATCCTGAGACAGTTTTCACCGCCTGACCAGACATTCTGATTTACTTTTAGACGTCAGAGGACTGAGCCTTCGGTGCAGCAGCCATGTTGGCGAGGTCATCCTGCTCGGATGACGTCGAGCTCAACAAGTCATCTACAAGAGACTTTGCTCCACCAGTCGACTCGTTGGACGTGTTGATATCAGTGGCCACATTGGAGTTGGCTGGTGTGGCATCAGAGTCACTGGCCTTGGTCTTGTTGGACTCGTCGGCCTTGTTCTGGACGTAGGCTGCTGTTAGAAGGATACATGAGAAGCAGACTTACTGTCGTTGGATGCAAGATCTTTTGCGGACATGATGAATATGGAGAGAGTGTTCGCTGCCAGGCTGCTTGCTTTTGTACTTTGTATGACGTCAGATCGCTACAACTCAGCTAGTCACTTGTATTTATCCTCATTCAGCTTTTGCTGGCCGGGATTCATGGTATTCCGCAGGCCAAGCAACGTCTTCGAGATGGCCTCGGTCGTACCAATGAGTGGTCGAATCACGGCAATCGGTACACTGCGTGCTGCGGCGCGGACAGCACCCCGAGCATCTTCCTCCTCCTCAATTTCGCGCGGTAATGCAGCGAGTGCCGTGCGTGCAGTGGCCACATTGCGCGACATGCCACTGATAGCTTGAGAGACGCCTTGCCTCAGGTTCTTTGGCTGATTGGCGTACATGCTGACGGGTGCTTCTGCTTGTCCAGATGGTTCGACAAAGTATCCTTCAGCTTGTTCGAGCAGCCCTTGTGTCCCAACTGCTAGCTTAGCGCCTAAGCGGACGGCCTCGGTTCCAGTGGACCTCGCAAATGCTACGATACCCTTTTGTACGCCACGCACAATTTGTCCGTCTCGTCGGTACTCTTGAACAGGCACCGTAACAAGCTTCTTGAGGCTGCCGCCAAATTGAGCAAGTGAACGAATAGCAGAGACACCTGCCAGGACAGAGCCTAGCTGGTTGGACTTGATGTGCGCGAGCCAAATTTCCTCGAGCAGCTCAAACACGCGCGGAAGACCACAAATGCCATACAGCACGACATGCCGCATGACCATGGAGCTGTCTTCAAGAATAAAAAAGTTTTTGAATTCTGTTGTGCGCCCACTGCGCAGCGACTTGAGGTTGACACGTTTTGGTTTGTAGTCAATCTGCAATGTGAATGGCATAATCTCGAAGCGTTGGATGAATAGCTCTTCCGCTGGCAAGCTACTTTCGACGACGCGCTGATCGCGGAATTCAAAGAAGCGCGTCATGAATTCGAGCGTGTCTTGATCAACATGCAGTCTCAGGGGCAACAAGTTTGCTTTGATGACGACCTCCGCTGCAGCCAGACCAGCGACGGGCCGTACAGTCAGCAAATCTAGGATAAGCATCTTGCTGCCTTGTGTGCGATCGCTGCCATCCTTCGCTCGTAGTGCCGTTAGAAACTTTCGCCAGGTAGATGTGGCCAGATTGTCAAAAATCTCTAGCTCCGAGACGGCGAGCGTCATGTGATTGAGAACTTCGCCCTCTGCCGCATCCATGAGTGCAAAATCGAGATTGAGTCCACTCACCTCAAAGCGAACCTTGTGAGACTTGGACCGGCCAAGTTGCAGGAGTGGCTGAACTGTGGTTGTTTGCACGACTGTTGTGGCTTGGCTGGCTGTATCGCTGCTGGCTTGCGCTAATTCCATATTGATGGCTGCCGTGACGTCTTCGGATGTTGCTCCTCGTGGCAAGGCCAGGTAGATGGAGTTGAAGAGCAAATCGCCAACCTCTTCAGGCTCATCTTCGTCTTCTTCCTCTGCTGGTTCAGCTTGTGCTTTGGCGATAGCACCTTGCACTGCTTGGTTGATTTCCTCTCGCGTTCGTTGCCAGTCGTAGCCATCATACAAGTTCCAAATGCAAAAGCAATTACTAAGCTTGACGCGCATGATTGTCCGTGACGGCGTGCTGCTTGGCCGATTCAAGTCAATGAGTGATTGTGAGAGAAGTTGCTGGTCCATGGCATCCACAGCATCTGTTTCGTCGTCAAGAACGAGCACTGGTTCGTGTAAGACGTGTTCGGTTGTGACGAGGTTCTTGAACGCCTGCTCATCAATGCTCTGAAAAACGTCTAGCGGTATGGTACCATCCTCATTGAGGCCAAGCTTGTATTTGAGCTCGTTGCTGATTTCGACGGGCAATCTGAGCATGTTGAGCAGTGAGATGAGGGTTTGCGTTGAATCGGCACATGTTTTGAGAGTGAGAATGGCGCCCGAGAGGGTGACGAGTATCACTGAACCTGCAGCTTCTTGTTCAAAGTCAACCTTGACTTTAACCGTTTCGATGCTTGCTGCATGAACAAAGCCAAGTCTCAGCAGTGGCTCAATCACGGGGTCCTCCTTTTTCTTGAGCTTCAGATCATTTTGGCTTCCATCCATGTCGTCCACCAAAAAGAATTCGAGAATACCGGCATGCATTTGAATGGGAGCCGGTGTTCCATCTACCAGAGAGCCATTGGCAGAAGCTCGACGAAAATAAAGGAGACCAACTGCCTTTGTAGCGTATGGGTGGAGCGCCACAGACATGTTGTGCAGATCCAACGCATACGCCAAGTGAAGTTTACTAGGCGACGACTTGTCTGATGCGAATTCAGCACGCATTGCATCAACCCATGGCATCTTTGCATGGTGAGCCAGACAAAAATCGGCCAAGCCTAGACGCACCATGACTTGGCCTATTCTTGAACCTGCAATGTTATGCCGAACTTTGATGGAAAGCATTTCCGTCTTGCTATGTAAATCGAGGTGCAGCCCACGACGAATGAGTTGAACAGTCTCGGAATTTTTCGCATCGAGGCTGATGGTCGCAGCGTTCAAGACTAGAATATCGACATCCTTGACGCCATGTCCAGCAAACAAGTTGACGCCTTGCAGTCTGAATGGAAAAGTAAAGTCTGGCAAGGAAAAGGTTCCAGACAAGGCATCGATCGTGACGAATAGCGAAATGGGTGGTATTTTCTCGGTCTTGTTGCTTTTTGGCAACGCAGCAACCAAGCTTTGCAAGGTATCGAGTGCTTCCTTGGAACAGGCACATTTGACAATCCCGAGAGATGCGCGAAATACTTGTTCACTTGCCGCCTTGAAGCGTTCCTTGACAGCCTGTACAGTCGCCTTGTCTTCTCGATCATTGCGCTGCGGCTCTGCAAACAAGACATCGTATCGATCAAAATCGAGTTTCCGCTGCGACGCACGCTGCAGGACTTGTGTAAAGTCAAAGATGTTGTCGCCCGCCAAGTCGACTCGCAGTTTGCCTAGCGCTAGACTTGCATTAGTGTATTGCAGTCGATGTCGTATCCGTTGAGCTGTTGATGTCTTGTCGTATACGAGATCAGAGAGACTCAGCTCGATTTCGTGTTGCTCAAGAGTGGCAATGACGAAGAGCTTTGGACAAGTAATTTGAAGCGCGCCTTCACCAGGTGACGAGCGAGCTTTGGGTAGCGATTCGAGATTGTCTAGAAGCTTCAGTAATGCTTCGACCCGAATGTAAAGCGATAGAGGGTCGACCGTTACGTTGCCCTGGTCAAAGCGAAGCTGTTGCCGCTCCATGCAGATGTGTTTGTCAAGCAACAGAGATACGTCGCAATGTCCAGCAAGCGACGCCAAATTGGCAGAAAGAGAAGTAATGTTGAGCGTCACTTGACTTGTTCCGATAACAACACATGCCTCCAGTTGTTCAAGGGAAATGGAGACTGGTGGTGGCGTAGACTCTGTTGAGCTCTTGGGCCGTAACGTCTCGAGCACATCTTGAACGGCAAGGAGCTGTAGCGCCGTGCAGTCTATACGTATAGGCCGGCACTTGACATCAATCGCCTCTGTCGTCCAGTCGAGCAGGACCACAACGCCTTCATCGCACGTAGCAATTTGTCCAGTCTTGCCATCTTCCTGTATGGCAGACTGCAATGCAGATTGGTAGACGGTATTGCCCAGCGCACTCATGTAGAGGGATCGGCCTTGATCATTGCCAAACACTGTAGACTGCATCAATTCTGGCGCATCACTTGCATCAGACGAAATGCTAGAAGAAGTAGACGGTGCACGCGGCCTACTTTGACGCAAGCTAGTCGAGATGCCCTTTAGCGTCAGCATCGAGGCGCGCTCTTCTGTTGGCACAAGCTGCGCGTGTTGAACATTTACTTCCAGACTCGTCGCCGCAGTGACTGTAACACTGATGCGCGAGATCTCAACCGACAAGTTGATGAGGAGTGTATCGAGCAGACGCTGAACCATGGCAGACTCGGGAATCGAGCCAACGCCAAGCTCACCTTCATGCTCTTCAAGAAATGAAGCCGCTAAATCAGCAGTCGTAGCAGATAGCCCATCCATACTCTGCACACCATGTGCTTCGACATGCAGCGCCAGGCCAGAAATGAGAATTGTAATCTTTCCAGCCAGCAAGTCGCTCCATGGAATAGATACTTCAAGAGAATCGATACTGCCGCTGACGAGCGCCAAGCCAAGCGGCGCAAGCTTATCGTTGACGCGCTTTCGTTAGCACATTAATAAGTCAAGAGCCATACATCAGTTTTGAGCTCTAGATTGCTCAGCGCAAGCCGTCCGCTGCTAATATGCAGTGCAAGGGCATCTTCCTGCAAGTCTCGCGCGAGAAAGGGCGAGAGCGCCTTACGCAGGACGTGAGCAATGACGCGCTTCTGAAAGGCTGCTGGGAAGGCGACGGAGGGCAAGGCATCGTAGAGTGCGCCCAGACGCATCGATCTGTGGCATGAGCTGGTTGTTGTTTTGTCGCGTCGTGCGTCACTCGAAAGTTGACTGAATACTGGGACTGATTCTAGCTACGAAGCATCAGATTGTAGTATCATTGCACTGTGCTCTAAGTCTGCTACGACGGACAGATTGTATTGTGCTTAACGGCCGACCCAACCTCCATCGACAGTGATGACACTGCCATTGCAATAGTCAGACGCCTGGGAGGCAAGGTAGACCGTGACACCCCAAAAGTCCTTGGTCTCGCCGTACCTGTTTGCCGGAATGCGGCCTAGGATCGCTTCATTGCGCTTCTCATCCTTGAGCAATGCTTCAATGAGATCTGTGGCAACATAGCCTGGTGCAATGGCATTGACGCAAATACCATGCGCAGCCCATTCATTGGCATAGGCCTTTGTCAGGCCCACAATGCCGTGCTTCGTGCCAGCATACGAGCTGACTTCAATGCCACCTTGGAAAGACATGATGGCTCAGGTTAGCAGATTCAACAAAAGACCAGCTTACAAGCAATGTTGATGATTTTGCCTCCAATCTTTTCCTTGATCCAGTATGCCCCGACATCACGCATCAGCTGTGCTGGTGTCAAGTAGTTGACCTGGACCACCTCATTAAAGTCCTTGACGGGGAATTCATGGGCCTTGTAGCGTCGGTTGATGCCGCCGCAATTGACGAGCACGTCGATGCGATGAGAAGCCACAACTTGCTCAATGAGCTTCTCAACTTGCTCTACATTGCCAAGATCGCACTGAACAGCAGAAGTCTTGATGCCCATGTCAGTGTACCGCTTGACTGCCTCTGTTTGAGTCGTGTCGCGCAATACAAGAACAAGATTAGCTCCGGCCTTTCCTAGTGCTTCTGCCATGCCAGCACCAAGACCACGATTGGCTCCAGTGATAAGGACTGTCTTTCCATCCAGTGAGAAGAGATTATCCAAGAATGACCCGCTCATCGTGCTTTGTTGACGGTCAACTTGGGTCAAGACAGGAAGATGGAGCCGTGCGGATGATTGCGGGGTTAAGAGGAGCTCCCTCAGCTACAACTAAAACTCGAAAGACTCGGCATATACAGGCTTGGTTGTCCAGCTCTCGACACTCTTGACAAGGCCTGGTGGACCGCAGCAGTAGACATCTCGTTCCTCAATATCTGGCACTGCTTCAAAATCTTGCTTGATCATGCGACGATGAAATTGTTGTGAATAAGAGACTTGGCTCGCATCAATTTGCTCGAGCAGCTTGTCATCTGTCGGCTTGCCAGAGAATAGTATCGCCAAGTTTACATGATTGCCGAGGGTTTGCGAGAGTGTGACGAACGGAGTGATGCCGATACCACCGGCAACAAAGAGGACCTTTTTTGCCTTGTTTATGCCGCTGCCATAGTCGCCACCAACACCAAGGAAAGGCACCGACAGCTCCTCATGCTCCAGCTTATGATTTGCAAGAAAGCGACTCACCACACCACTCTTGCGTACCATCATTTCAATGTTGCCCTCTTGTGATGTGATGGTCCAACTCCTGATGAAGGAATCATTCAAAAGCTGAGGGTGCTGATCATTCATGTGCTCGTAGCCTTCATTGCATATGCCAAAGTCAAACACGCCAAACTGGCCAGGCTGCCATTTGACGGGCGTCTCTAGTCTCCATGTGTATTTGTTGACTGTCGGCGTCAGAGCCTGGACTGCTACAAGAGTTGCCTTGTTACTCGCCTCTTGTTTGGGTAAGCGATGGCCGGGCTCTCTGGAGAGTCGGTAGATGGGCGGGTTATACGGTGACATAGCCACATCCTCACCCTCAAGCCTGAGATTGAGACCTTGTGCAACAAACCTTCTGGATGTAACCTTGATGCGTGTGAGACGTTGTACCCCTGGCATGCATTTTGCAGCATCCTTGCCAAACAAGTTGACCGCTTCGCCTGTCAGGTACAGCATATCGCCAGTATCATAATGTGGAATCGTAATACCTGCAACAGCTGTACTTTCAATATTGCCAAGCGAAGAAAAGAGCTGATTACCAGAGTAATCAGGCACATACACCACCAGCACATCATCCGCAGTGTCGACACGAATGAAACCTGGTTGACCGCCACGATGGTTGACATCAAGATCTTTTGGCCCTCTTGAGGCCATGAAAATCATGTCGGCAGCTGCAATATGTTCCGCACACTGCGCAAGGGTCAAGTTCTTGGTGGTACCAGAACGTTTGTGGTAGACGAGCTTGCGCATATTGATATACTTGGGGCAATTACCAATCGACTCTTCTGTTGTGATAATGGCCTGTAGCATCTTTTCCTCTCCATTCGTTTCCCTACGCAGCATGCCAGGCTGTATACGGCCAAATACCTTGTTGCGACGACGGTTTGCAAGATCAATACCGAGCCCTGCTACCTGCGTATCTTCAGCCATGTTTTGCAACCCAGGATCGTCCTCGGGCACAGCAGTAGAGAAAGCAAGATGCGTCGGAGAGACTGCGCGCAGAAAGCCAGGCGGGCCACAGAGGATGGATGCCCAGGGTTGTCCATCTGCGTTACACGTACCGCACACGAAGTAGGACAAGTTGGAGAAGAAGGCCTGATGCTGCATTGGCATCGTGGCAGTAGTGATGCGCTCCCTCCCGCGATTGACATCAAGTAGATTCAAGGCCTTGTGCACCGCGAGCTCGCCTTCATGCCAGCTGTGCATTTTACTTGTGTAGCTGATGGATGCGGAGAGCATCGCAACCACACATCAATTTGACAGCACATGAGCACCACGGCGAGCCCAGCGTCAGAGGCAGGGCCAGACAATGCGAAAGCAGCCCGCAATGCAAGAGCCCGCAATAATCAGCGAGTCTCTCGCGCAAGAAAACAGGAACGTGTTGCGCATCTCGAAGAACAAGTGCGACTATATGAAGAGCGCGGCGTCGCAGCAACTATCTCTGTACAGACGCGCGCGCGGCAAGTGGAGGCGGAGAATCGGCAGCTGAAAGGCTGGCTGACTGCGCTTGGTGTGCGCGACTCAGATTTGACGCACTGCCTGACGCTACCGATGGATGAAGGCGCTCAGCATATCAGGCGCTTTTTGCAGCCTGCTTTTGCTGTCGCTGCGCCAGTGGAACAGAGCCTTGTATTGCCCCTTCCTAATCTACAACCCGTGGCGACTGCTGGGTACAGTACCTTTGCACAACCATTGGAGAATTGGCGTCCGAGCGTACCACCCATACAATCGCCTGCCGCGGCGATAGGCGCCTTTACACCACGTCAAGCTATTCCAGTGCCGATGGTCGCCAGTCAAGTACCACCAACTATACCGCCTACAAAAACTCCAGACCTCGGCGCCCAAGCCTTTGACTTTGCGGCACCTGACGCAGCGTTTGCCAACTTTCTCGGACTGCTCGGCCCTGTTGAGGTACCACAAAAGTGTGGCAAGGATCTGAGTGCCGTCGGGCAGCAATTCTGTGCACTGCTGACTGCATTGTCGCCTGCTGTCTATTCAGAAGCAGACCGCGTGACTGGCAGACACATGACGTGTAGACAGACATATGATGCGCTGCAGCATTTGCTTGGTGGCAAGTTGAGTGTGGAGGAGGTGGTCGGAAAGCTCATGGCTTCTGCAAAGCTATCGCTCGATGCAGATGAAGGATCACTGGTAGATGGTGATGTCGTCAAGGAGATTTTGGACAGTATTGGCATCGAGTTGGGCGGGACTTGTACAAGGGGTCTGCCTTGCTGTTGAGACATCTGCAAAGATGATGACAGGATCGAGAGGCCGCCGGAATCAGCATTGCAGTGCTATGATGCATCATGCTGTGAGACTTGACTACATCCTCGAGCCTTTCTCATGACTTTGGCTTGTTCAGAACCGCGGAAGTTGTCCAGCTCGTGTATCTTGACGAAGTCCCTTCGATCCTAAAGACATGCCTTTGACGCCTTATGCCGTATATATCATTTAGCTGCTAGCATATCGAGTGAAGCGAAATAAGGCATTATACTGTGTTTGATGCAACCATTACCTATAGACGATCAGCAAAACTATGGAGAGGACACGGACAATTCATCAGTATACAAATTGTCTACAGCAGTCTTTTGCTTGCTCAGCGTGCGCCAGACTCCGCAGAGATGTATGTGGTAGGAATGTAAATGGCAACATGATGCGGAAGAGCAGTCGACGTCCAGGTCGGTGTAGCTGCCGGTACGACAATTTATCAGATGGCGATGATATGCTTGAGCATACCAGAGGCTATGCGGAAATGTGGTAGAGGACAAGGCAGCGCTCGACTGCATCATACTGACACGCTTTTTGATTTGTATAGCTAAGCAGTTCCTTTACTTATACATGTATCAACTCAAGTTAATGCTTCTTGCAGGGTTGACTTTATCAGGGGTATTCGTGATGCGATAGCATTGACTTGCAAGGACAAGTACCGAGCTTGGCAGCTAACATCAGGCCACGATCACGGTTCAAGGAGGCGTCTACGCTCGCCGCTTGGTCTCGTCAATCTCGCGGAAGCTCTATGTATACGCCAGTCGGACCCATTTCGCGGCAACGAATTTTTCAACGCAACCCAAAACAGAGAGAAATGCAAGCAAAGAGGAACAAAAAACAGATACCAGGACCGGGTCTCGAACCCGGGACCTACTGCGTGTTAAGCAGTCGTGATAACCGCTACACCATCCCGGCTATGAAGAGGCGACGCTCGTATACTTATATATACCCCAAATTTAGCCTTATCCCCGTTTTTTTTTCTGTTTCGCTCGCCGCGATGTGCCATTGTCAGAGCTCTAGGTCCGCTAGCGACATCTTCAAGACCAGCTGGTACGGTACGGTAAGGCTGGCAGAGCACAAGACGTTCTTGGTCCGAAACTGAGCCTATCGCGGGATTCCCGATTGTTCGGCGGATAATCGCGCTGCTTGATCCGAAGCGCCGCCATCAAACAGCTTTCAACATTTGGTGCTGGGATCAGGTGCTGCCTGCAGCTATACTCGCAAAGAACACTGAGTAACATGGATGTTCACCACCATGATGTGCATGGAGTTCGAACAAGTCCATAAACTTATCTGTTTATCATCTGTTCAACTGTTCAGATGGTGAGACGCAACTTCAACTACCACTCGAGAACGAATCACTGGGTTTTCAACCGACTCAACCTCTCTCCGCAGCTGAACATGCTGCCAGAAGTTCAGAACCTTGAACATGTCTGACAACAGAAGTTTCTTTGCTCACAGTGACAACTCAAGATTGGGCATAGATTCAGGTGCTTTCAATTATCCGCTGCACAGACACCTGAGGAATATACTCAATCAGCATGAATGTTACGCCTTTTGTCGCCAGAGTATCATGGTACGCAGGGCATGTATGGACTTACCTCACTGTGCGTATTGGTCAAGCAGCTTTTCGACGGGCAAGTTGCACGAAGGCTTTGCGAGACGTGCATTTTGTATAGGTCTGCAATGCATGTTCACAGTCTTTGGCGGCATTGTCGTCGGTACGCGGAGATTCTGCATGAAAAGACCTTCTTGGTGGAGCACAATGGCAAGGGATTGTATACAGGTGTATCGCAAAAGATTGCAGCGACACGCTACCACTCTCTAGCTGGTACACAAGAAAGCCTGCCTGCGTGTCTGGAACGCACATCGTGGACTAAAAATGGCATCATCATGGGGTTCCGGCACAAGGAGTATGCAATGGAAGGAGTCCAGTATCACCTAGAGAGTATACTCTCAGAGGCTGGCAAAATGCTCTTTGCCAACTTGTTGAAGCTAGAAGCCGGTACATGGGCAAGCAACCCAGGCTTCAGTGAGGGAGCGCCTGTCGCGGCAAAGAAGAGTATCCTAGAGACGATCCACGAACAGCGACGCGGGACATTGCAGCAAGTAAGGCAACACCTGGCAGCACGCCTGCCGACTCGAAACGGCTTTTCAACTACGAAGTCAGTGCAGCACAAACATTCATTGCCAGCTCCAACAACCTCCGACTTGTTATTGCAGTGGCGGTGGCGACATATGCCATCAGGCCTAGGCAAGCCTTGCTGCGCCTGTCGAGCTACTCATTGAGAATCCAGTCCTGCTTGCTCTTATCTGCATCTTCAGGTACGTACGGTTACGTGGCCATGACAATGTTCTCCCGGAGGCGAGAGCCAGGCGTTAAATGGCAGCAGAATGTCTGGCAGCACGCAAAATCTATTCGCCCGGTGTGACTGAGGTCACCATCCTTGACTTTGCCCTCTTGTTTCTTGCCAACGGCCAACATACGGCAAGGTTATACAATCACAGTCGGAGCCTGCTGGTCCTGGCTTTATGGATAGACCGGACCACCTCTGCGTATAGATACATTGCCCACTCGCCAATGTACTGTCGTTCTCGTATCCTTGCTTCTGGACACGATCCACACTTCAGCATTGCATTCCATCTCGACGACGCCCTTCTCTAAACCTGTTTTTGTTGGGATTCCTCAACATCGACTCAAGGCCCCTGAAACACAAATCCGCAAGTCATCCATCAATCAACGCCGAGAGTATGAGCTCAAGATGCGCACGCGAAGGTTTACAGTGGCTGGCGCAAAGAGATATGCGTCGCCGGCTGTAATTTCTCCGCAAGTCTGTCTCACTCAGCTGCAAAGTGTGATTGCGAATAAACACCGTGAGCTCACGATGCTCATGCAGCCGCCATCGCAATGAGGGATCAATTGTAACCTTGGAAGCCGAAGTTGAAAGACACGTTGTAAGCAGCGACCGACTTGTTGCAAGCAAAGACCGCGTGACTTTTGAGCTGACAACACGCTTGACTAAGTCGCTGCAGACAAGGATGAAGGCATCGCTGGGCTACAATCAAGGTTGTTGGCTGTGCAGGCGCGAGTCGCCGCTCTGAATCAACCTCGCTCGCGTCCCGAGCCTGGTCCAGCCTTGCTTGCTGCTGCCGGGCCGCTGGACCATTTTCGCGCTTCAATGCAGCGAACGCGATGCCGAGCGTGTGCTCCAGATACTTGAGTTCTCACTACAGGTTGCCAACTACGTCCAAGCAGCGCTCACTTGGTTCTACTACTGCAAAAGGACATGGTCTGATGCAAGCAATGAGGCGGAGTTGACCCGCAAGCCATCAGTTACTTCAACAATCTTCGCATTCCCATTTGTCTTCTGTTAACGTCAATGCGATTACAGCATCGGCACACACCTTGACATGATGAGTATCTGACAAAGATCACTTACTAGGGAGACGTGATGGGCATCGCACACATTCACGCTGCCTCGACACACAAGAGGAACTCAGCACTTTGTTCAATTGAAAGCAGACTACAGGCCCCTACGACAAGCAACCATTCACGGCTATCATTCAAATGATGCTGGTGAATCTGTTTAACGTCGCAAAGAGCTGCCTCTTTCTTTACTTGACTGACATATAAACACTTTGGAAGGTATTCTGGCTTGAGCCAGACAAGACCATTGACTGTAGAGTTTTCCGCGATCATCGGCGAGGCGTGGCTTTCCTGGAGGAATTCCTGAATCCGTCAGGTGCGAATACATCGTCGCCTATTGTTTGATCGTCAACACCTAGGCGCTCTGCGAGCAGGTAATCGAGGTGGTACTGGCGACATCGTCGCCCTTCTGAGATGAATTGCCAGCATCACGCCGACTGCAATTGGATAATCAGTAGCCTTGTCCACTTTTTTACCACTTGGATGTCCAGTTGCAGTCGGTGTGCGACAGGCAAGCCATCATGAGAGCGACAGTATCGTCATCATCACCTTGCTTTCTCATCGGAGAGCGCCTGGTTGTTGGCGTTGAAAAAGTAGGCGGTCATGTATCCGCAACCCAGACAGTGCTTCTGACCTATTCAGCGCATCTTTCAGGAAAGCCAAGGCTGATTGGCGATCACTGAAGAGAGCACGTCCAAGGGTTTTGTCAGACTCAAGCCAGAAGAATTCCCAATATGTGCGCATGTCAGTCAAGCATACAAAGTTTGAATTCTGCTAAACAAAGCGCTGAATCCCACTTGTGTGTCGAGGCAACGTGAATGGGCGCGATGCCCATCACATCTCCCTGGTAAGCGACCTTTGTCAAATGCCCATCACATCTCCCTGGTAAGCGACCTTTGTCAAATGCCCATCAATGTCGAGGTGTACCGATGCTGTAGTGACAGTGTAGTCCCAGTGACGTCAAAGAATCGACAAAAGGGGATACGAAGACTATTGAGGTATTCGATGGCTTGTGTAGTCAACTCCGCCTCGTTTCTTGCATTGGGGCAGGTTCAGGCAGGAATATTCCTTTGTAAGAGTAGCACCAAGTGAGGGCTGCTTGGAATGTAGTCGACAACCTTTAGCGAGAGTCCAAGCGCCTGGAGCACACGCTCTGCGTGACTGCGTCGCGTACGCTACACTGAGACGCCATGATGGTCGGCGGGCCAGCAACAGCAAGCGAGGCTGGAGCGTACTCAGGACGCGGGCGAGGCTGAGTCAGAGCGGCGACTGGGGGCTGCAAAGCCAATAACCTTGAGTGCAGCCCAGCGATGACTTCACTCTTGTCCGCGATGACTTGATCAAGGTGTGCTTTCACCTCCGCAATCACCTGTTCTGTACTTTCGACAAGTCGGGCGTAGTTTGCGATAAGTTGGTCGTAGGTTGCGACAAGTTTGTCGTTGCTCGCCTTCAGCTCCGAGATCAATTGATCCTTCATTGCGAGCTCACGGTCTTTGTTCGCAATGTCACTTTGCAGCTGAGCTTGATTGACCTGCGAACAAGCTGCAGCTGGCAGTGCAGTTCCCCTGACGGGAGCAGAGGCCAAGTGATCAGGTTCGGTAGCCCCGACATTGCTGGTTTGCGACCTTGTTCATGGCATGGTGGCCTGCTCATTCTTGGACCGCAATCAAGGCCAGCGAGCAGATTTCTGCCTTCTCTCTACGCCCTGATTCTGGTCAATACATCGATGCTCGGATTGCTCGGTCTGAATTTGCACTAGACGTTTCTCTCGATACGGCAACATGCAGTCCTAGGCTCACTGCTTATAAGGCCTCGGGGGGTCTTGAACAGCTTCAACACGGGTCTAACAGGTTTGCATCGCTGCCATCAGCCTACTTGGGCATCTCTTGCACCTTAATTGGTCCCTTGGTGATGCCGCCAACGAAAGTCCTTGACTTGCATGGACACAGCCTTTCTCAGGCTTATTGGAGATTGACACGAGAGGAGTACGTTGATGGCGTCACATGACATTGGAACAGTGTGTGCTATTGTGCGCGACATTTGATCCATGCTTGATTATGCGTACAAATACTTTATGCATCTCGTAGACAAAATGCTTCAAACTCTGTATACGCCCGCTCGACATCATCATTGACAATCACCAAGTCGTAGAAACCCTGTTCCTTGACACTCTCCATCTCCACCTTGGCCACATCGAGACGTTTCGCAATCGCCTCATCCGAGTCTGTTTTGCGCCCACGCAACCGCTTCTCCAATTCCTCCATCGACGGCGGTGCAACAAACAAGAACCGCGCATTCAATTGCGTCTTTTTGACAAGCCGCGCACCTTGCAAATCGATATCCAAGATACACGTCCGTTTCGCATCCCCCTCACCGGTCTGTGCGACTGCCTGGACGGCAGCGATAGAAGTTCCATACAAATTACCAGAAAACTCTGCCCATTCGATAAAATCACCGCGATCAGCACCAGCCTTGAATGATGCACGATCAACGAAATGGTAGTCCTTGCCATTTTGTTCACCAGCGCGTGGCTGGCGGGTCGTGTGAGAGACTGAAAAGCCGAACCGAGAAGGGTGTGCGGCAAAGAGCCGTTTAAGCAGAGTGGATTTGCCTGTGCCGGAAGGACCAGAAAGAACGATTGGACGAAGTTCTGAAGGATTGCTCTGAGAAGACATGGTACGTGCGAGGCGGGAGACGCTAGTTGTGGTACTCAGCAGATGTCGGGTGAGCATTCAACTGGTGCTGGATGTGGTCGACAGAATTTCGTGAGAAAGACAGCGACAGACTCACTCGACTGCCAGCTGCAGCCTGCTGGCCAGTGACCACCCATACTAGATCAGGAAAGCGATGCTGTGTCTCATGTTGGCAGCCAGCAGGGGTCATGGACTGCTGAAGGGCCGAAACTGGCCGGTCTGCTGAACTTTACACCGGAAATAGTGACTACGAGAGCGCGTCTGTCTCGTGCTCAGCTCTGTCATCGTCTTCTCCTAGCTACCGTCGACACCTGGTGACGAGAATTCCTCATTGTAGTACGCTTCCAGGAGTGAGCATCAGCTGATCTTCACACCTTGCAATCGATAACTTCACCACAGCAAGAACGAGTACAGAAGCTTGTATGAATCGCGGACTATACAGCCTCATTTCTGCAACTTTGCGAAATTGATATGAGCATGCACCTGTCTACGTCGAGCCTGACCATCTGTCGCCACCTTGCTCATTTCCACACATGCGCATGATTGGTCATTCTTCATTGTCGTGGCCATTGGCTAGTCATAGTCTTGAGCTTTGTAAAGGCGCTCGTGGTTCTGCTTTTGCTCGCGGGCTTGCATTAAACTGCTCTTCTCAAGGAATTAGGCGCTATCCAAAGCCCTCAGGGTGCAGACTTCAGACCAACATACCGCTCACATCAAGTTCAGCCTTCGTCTCTAAAATTATGCAACTCAAATGCCAAGTCAGATTGACTCGGACTGTTCTGGATCTACGGCGAAAGGTCCGAGCAGCAGCCCGTTGCCTTGATGCCATGTCAAAGGCAAATGTGGAAGCAGAACTCCGTATCAAGGCGCTTCAAGAGGGCCTCGATTGCTTTGATATCGAGGTCATCAAAGATGTTCATCTTGCAAGCGAGGCGTACGACATCGTCGTCTCCCGTCATCAACGTCTCAGTCATCTGAGACATTTGGACTCGCTGATCCACCTCTTTGCCATCAAAATGCCAGACGGCAACCTTTCATCGTCTGCTGTGGTCAACATGATCATCGACATTCGCGCAACTCTCTTTGAGTCCCTCCTTCTAACATGAAGACCGTTGTTGATCTTCTTGGTGGTCCTCAACGCCGTGTTGCTAAGCGGGCCGGAACTAGCAAGGGCGTTATCTTGCATGGCAATGAAGCTCATAATCTAGCGGGGTTGTGCGTGGATACAATCATGACTTGGATGGTGAGGTGTCAAGTCAAACACAAGCAATCTAGATAGTGCAAATAGGATTGATGCAGATGAGGAGCAGAGTAGAGCTCGTGCTCCTCATGAAAAAGTGTAGAACAAAGGGGGACCATCACCTGAAAGCACGCGATACATGGGAGAGAGAGGCACTTCTATCTCATGTAGCAGTCGAACATCTCAACCTTTGACAAACTTCCAATGGCACATGCGTAGCCTGACCTCGGTGTGGTAGACCTGGTAACCGCAATTCGCAACCCTCTGCAAGTATCTGCTTGACTAGAGCAGCATCATGCCTCCATTCGAGCTGAGCAAGCTGCCGTTGATCCACCGACTACCCTCTTCACACAGAAAACCCACAATTTTGGCAATATCATCTGGCTCACCAATACGATCGCCTGACGGCAATTTGCTCGTATCCGATGTCTGTCCACTGTTATGCCACATCTCAGACGAGACTGGGCCAGGTGCAAGGGCATTGACTGTGATTTTATGCTTTTGCGCAAACTCACGGGCCCATGTCCGGGTCATAGCTTCGACTGCTGCTTTCGTACCACCGTAGATGCTCTGTCCTGGGAATCCCATACGGGCAGAGACACTGGAGAGATTAATGATGCGACCACCTTCATTGAGATAGGGCAGAAGTTGCTGCGTCAAGAAGAGAGGTGCACGAACATTGATGTCATATTGCTTTGTATAGCTCTCCAATGTACATTCAGGCAGCTTGGCATTCCATGAGATACCAGCGTTATTGACGAGAAAGTCGAGCTTGCGTTCACCAGCAATTTCAATAGTCTTTTGTGCTAGCACGGTGATATCCTCCATATCACTGAGATCTGCTCGGACGATAGAGACTTTGACGGCCTCATCGAGCTGTTCGAGCTCTTTTGCTAGTGTTGCAGCCTTTTCTTCACTGCTGGCGGCATTGTAGTTGAGGATGATGGAGCAACCGCGTGCAGCAAGCTCTTTGGCGATCCCTGCGCCGATACCACGAGAGCTACCTGTGATGAGGGCGAGCTTGCCCTTGAAGGAGTGGTTCTTGAGGATGTAAGCGTCTGCCATCTGTTCTAGTGCTTGGTCGTTGCACTGGTTAGCTGATGCCGTTTTATACTTTCTTTGTGGGGGATCTGCAGGCTAAAGTCAGTCAATTAGCCAGATGGACAACACGGTAATACACAGTCACAGGGCCATAGTAAACGGATTAAAGCATGCTAGCAAAGGAGACTATCATCAAAGGTTCATAAAAACATCAAGCACTAAAGTCCCAGATGCGGACTTGGCCATCATCGCCACCACTCACAATCCGCGCATCACCGACATGCACACAGTTGACGGGACCTGAATGGCCAGCAAGAGACAAGATGCATTTACCATCATTGCAATCCCAGACTTTGACAGTCTTGTCATGTGCACCAGTCACAAGACGCAAGGTATCTGCACTCAAGCACCAAACACCCTCGACATGACCAAACAAGGTTCGCGTGCACAGACCCGTTTCAACATCCCACGATTTGACAGTGCCATCCAGTGACGAGCTGTAATACTCACGCGGCGTACAGCGTTGTCGAACACCATACGGGTCATCTTCCTCGGCATCCAAACTCTCAAGAACCGGTGAGATGGCTTGAACTTGTCCAACATGCCCCTCGAGTGTACGGATACACTGACGCGTATCGAGGTTCCACATCTTGATGGTGGTGTCGTCGCTTGCTGAAAAGAGTCGTTGACAAGCAGAATGCACACGCACGGCATTCACCCAACCACGATGACCTCGTAGGACCGTACACGTGCCATCGCTGAAATTCCAAACGCGGATGGTATTGTCTGCTGAGCCGGATGCCAAGACTGTCTTGTCAAAGTGAAGTGACAAGACACCTTCGGTATGGCCACGTAGGGTAGAGAGACATTCACCGGTGCGGTAATTCCAAATCTTGAGCGTCTTGTCCATGGAGCCACTAATCAGCTTTGCATCGTCAAATTGAAGACAGTTGACACCGCGTGTGTGTCCGTCCAGTGTTCGCAACAACTCGCCACTTGTCAAATCCCAAATCTTGATGCTGCCGTCATACGATCCACTTGCAATGATGCTGTCATCTGCTTGGACGCACATGACGCCATCCGTGTGGCCGCGCAGGGTGCGTTGCTGGCATCTTCCACGACGCCAATTGCTCTCGACCTTTTGCCGTTCGCAGTAGATGGCCTTCCAAGGACGTGTGAGCTGTGGCAATGACACTGGAATCTCCACAGGTGATTCAACCTGACACTTGAGCAGCTTTGCAGGTCTCTCAGAGTCTGTTGATTCTGCTAATCGCTTCTCCCCCGTCACTTGTTCGTCACGCGCAGCGATCTCCTCTGCACGTTGCTGAATCTTTTGTTTTGTCGCTCGTAATCGTTTGCGCTCCAGGAGCGGTAATCCCCATCCGCATTTCGTACACTTGCGATCAATGTGTTGTTCACACATTCGATGCCATACCACATCGTCATTCGCGAGATCCGCCCAGTGTTTACTGACTTGCGCCGCTTTACAGAGGGAGGAGGCGTCAAGGTAGCTGAGTATTTTGAAGCCAACTTCAGTCGGTAGAGCAGTGATGTAGTCAATACGAATCAAGTCGCGTGTGCATGAAGCAATGTAGCTGAGTTGCGGGAAACAGCACTGCGTCAAGAGCCCTTGTAGGATGAGTTTACGCTCACTTTGACTTGCAGCTGAGAAGAAGGACCAAATCTGAGAGATGCCTTCCTTCTTGGCGGCAGGCAAATGGTCGAGTTGCTTCTGGATATCCCCCATCAAGGGTTCATTTGCTTCCTTGGAGCGACACTGTGTGTTTTGTGGATTATGCCTGTAGCAGAACCCATTACCACTGCGCACACCTTGACGCACACGCCGACTGACTTCACTGGGAACAGCGGTGGCAAGAAAGTCCTTTGCGGCGCCTGTGTCTTGTGCCAGCTGACCCACTTGCGCCGACGCTGTGGCTGCTGCTGCTGCCTGGCGCGCTGTGGCCATGATGAGACTGAAAAGCAAAGAAGGTCAGGCCGGTCAGTCGCCGGAGTGGCCTGGTCTTGTAGATGGACGGGCCCTCTTGCAGCTGCGCTTTTAGCTTGCTGGTGTCTGGTCTTTCGTCTTGTTGCGACATTTCAAAGCGAGAAAGCGACACCGCACGTGAGAAAGCGCAACACCACAGAAGAAACACTTGTTGAGAAGGCCGGAGCGAGGGCCTGGGCTGGGAGAGACTCGGGAAGCTGCAGAGATGGAGGATGATCCCGATGCACCGCCAGCAAGTCCGCATACAAAAGAGCTCGACAGTATAGAAATGCGCGACACGCATGTCGTTGAAGGCGGCGCTTCTGGAGGGGACCTGTTCCTGCCTGATGCAGATGACGATAGTGAGGATGACGAAGCACTTGCTGCCGAAGCATTGGCGCATGCAGAACAGCTCGCGATGCAATCTAGGCAGCTGCAGCAAGATGCGGCGCTCGAATACCAGCACGGTCAGTTCTACTCGTGACCTACGCAGGCGCTAACAGCAGCGCTTGATGAGATGTCAGAAGATGACGAGGATGATGATGAGGAAGGCGTCCGGATAACAGGCGACGACGATGACCCTATCGTCCGGACAATTCCCATCCTCGCCACAAAGACACTCACGCCGTACCTTCATTTCTTTGCCTTCCCAGCGCGCAAGGGTAAAGATCAATTTGAGAATGCTACGGCACGCGAGTCTGCGCGAATCAAGCGTGAAACAGGTCAGATTGAAGTTGATTTGATGGTAGCAGACACGCATTCACCGCACTACAACACCGATCGCGGTACGCTTTGGACGGATCAGCCACTACGGACCATCAGTCTTGGTGGTCAAGTCCGGCCCCTGCATCATTTACAAGCCTGGTACAATCGTGGTGTTTTGCACGTCACGCCTGTCGACAAATTTGTCCAGCTACGACCCAAGCTAGGCCATATCGACCAGCGCGACAAGGAAGAAAGAGAATCCAAGCGGCAAGATGCCATGGCAGACAAAACAGGTCGTGCCGCGAAGGCCGTCCAGATCTCTGCGAGGTCCACAGATGCAGCCGTTGCTGATTTGGCAACAACGAGTACATTGCTGCGGCTTGTCGAGGAGGAAGCATGGACGCCGTTAGGGTGGCGTGCCGAAAATGAGTCTGATTCCTGGCATTATGCAGAATCACTGATGACTGAGAAGAAGCAGCTCTGCAAGAGTCTGACGAATGAAGAGCAGTATCTGGAGTTGCTGTCGACGGTGCGCGTGGATGGACGCGAGCCCAAGGTCAATGTCGTCAAGATTGATGGCTGAGGAGGTCAGAGCATTTGCATCCATTTTGACCTCACGATGGAGCGAATACATCTGCGTACTGCAGCGTTCCATGACCATGGGCTTGGCTCTTTAAAGGCATCTGGTCCGGATGAGCAGTCGCAGTGCATTCGACCAAAACTCACCCAACCAGCAGTAGGGCCAATTTGAGCACTCTCCTCCAAGCCTTTGCTATCTGGCTCTCGCAGACCAGCAGAATAAGAGCTCTTAGCAGCTTAGCTCCAACCCCTGATGACATAATCTACACGTGACCCCTTTGACAGCTACTAAACTCGAGCCTCGAGCTAAGTTCCACATGTCAATTTTCGCTGCTGTCATCGTTGATCTAAAGGGCAACGGCAGCAAAGCTCGAGTTCAACGCTTTCCAAGACTCCTATAAGTAAGGCCAATGCGCTGCAAAAGCACTTGAGCATCCAGGATGATTCCCAATACGCCTCTGGCCTATGTGCTCATCCGCTCCAGCATCTTTGCTCTGCGGGCCGTCACGCCCCTCGCCTTTCTCTACTGCGCGACCGCACTCTACGCGCTCTTTGCGCCGCAGGCCATCGCGCGACATGCGCTAGCCGCATTGCCACTTTGGTCTCTTGCAGCCTTGACCATCTTCTGCGTCAATGAAGTTTGGTTCTTCTTTTATGCTCGTCGTAAAGTCGGGCGCCATCAAGCGCTTGCTACAGCTGCCGCAAAGCTCTCACCAGCTCAGCGCAAGGTTGAATTCAAGCGTGCCATTGAGTCTGTGCATGATCCACGCGTTTTTCTTGAAGGTTGGTTCAAAGGCGCTCGATTGGAAGATATTGGCTATGATAATGTGCTGCAGTGGATACTTTGGGCATTCTTTGATGCCCCGGCTGAGCCAGAGTCCCTGTATGCATTGCCAGAAGACATCATCGCCGAAGCAAAGAGCTATACAGATGCCTGGGAGTCGCGCTTCAATGTTACATTTCAGCCAGGCTTCAACCACAAGATCCAGAGTATTCGATTGTCTCTTGACCCAGTACTCACAACACATCGTCCAGCATGCGTCTACCTGGGGGTGGGTGTTCTTTATGACCACCTAGCATACTCGCGATACAGATCCCTTGGCTTCAAGCACTACATCCCATCAGCAGAGTCTGGCCATCGCGTCTCTTACCCGTACATTGGCTTACCCAGCTCTCCCTCCAACTCCACCCTCACCTACTGGTACAAGCCCTGCGCACCACTTGCTCCAGGTGAAAAAGAAGGTCTTCCTATCGTTTTTGTCCATGGTATCGGCGCTGGTCTCAAAGTCTACCGCACCATGATTACGGATATGTGCGCACGCTACCCACGCAGTGCCATCTACCTCCTCGAAATCCCCTGCGTTGCCATGAAACTCGTCGAGAAACTTCCAGTTCGTGCAGAACTCGTACGGGATGTGGTTGCTATGCTCAAAAACCACGGTGGTCATACGGAAGCGCTGTTTGCGGGACATTCACTTGGGACGGTGGTTGTTTCTTGGATCTTGCATCTTGCACCGCAAGTTTGTCGGAAAGTCATGTTGATTGATCCGGTTGTTTGGCTGCTACACTATCCGGACGTGGCGTACAACTTTCTACATCGACCACCGAGCAATGCAAACCAATGGCTCTACAACTTCTTTGTTTGCAGTGAACCTGGCATTGCTCGGTTCTTGGGGCGTGGTTTCGTTTGGCATGAGAATGTGTTGTGGTTTGAGGATGTCCCTGCACACTGTGAGATGCGCGTCTACCTGGCAGAGAATGACATGATTGTGAATATCCCAAAAGTCTTTGAGTATTTGACTGGTCAGGATATTCAAGCAATTGATCGAGGACAATTGACGACGGGTGATGAAGTGATTCTGCAGCATCCAGACAAAAGGAATGTCTCGACACATCTCTGGCTGGGACCGGATATGGATCATGCAGTCTTTCTGCTTAAGCGAAAGCCAACGGAGAACATCACGGCTGCCTTTGGAGAGCTGATTTATGGTCAATGACCTTGGGCACTCAGCCCGCTCGGTAAGGCTGAGCATCATGCATGAATGGAATGAGGAGACGGTGATTAGATGAGCAGACAAAGGACGACGTGCGAGCCTCCTAGAGCATGTCAGCGACGCATCAATCAACAATCTCGAGCAACAAGGCAAGCGACGCATCATTTTAGCAGACTGTATTTAGAATGCATTTATTTGACATTTCATCACGCTCATGTCGAAAGACCAATTCTGTTTTGATCGAACGGGACAATATTGTGAGACAGGCGGTATGAAGTCCGTGCGAGACTTGATTGATAAGTTTGTCGTTGTTCTTCCATGAGCAAGCTCAAACAATGCCAAGCGTTCTACATGCGATACTCATTCCATCCCGAGGTTGAGCTAACAGCTTTAGCTGAATCTTCCAACAATGATAAGCAAGAACCCGGGTGTCATCGTGGCCGCCGGGTGTGGGGAGCCACGCAGCGAGCAGCCATCAGCGCTCATCCAGGGGCATCTTAACGAGGCTCGCCGAACGAATGCCCACGCAGATCAGAAAAGCAGACTTATGGCAGACGCGTGGATCCTCATGCTTGGTGTGTCTCTTTGGCGGGGAATTATAGCAAAAGGGCTAAAGATAACAACCAGGGCAGCGTGGACGCCGAGTGTGAGCGTTCAAGGTGATGAGTGTCCAAATTTGTCGAGATGGGCATCTGAAATCTCGCTCAAGTGGCTGGCGGCATGCAAACACGCCAAGTAAAATAGAACATTCGAAAGTGCTGTGACGCTTGTGCAGGAATGTCCCTCAAGAACATTCAGCGCTTTGACTCCCCCAATCTCTGATCCGCGAATCGCGTGCTCTTTTGATCATTGAGAAGTGCTGCGTTTCCAGCGTGTTATTTTCGGCGCCAACCGTCTTCGGCACGATTCGAGAGCTCCGTAGGCCGAGACAGTATGCTTGCAGCTTGCGGTTCTGTTCGGGTTTGTGTCTTGCTAGCATCGCCATTGACCTTGACGAGGCCTCGGTAGCGAGACGAGCAGACTCATGTAAACGCACAAATGCAAGCCTAGCGCGCAAGACGGGCAGTGTGAAGCGAGACAATTGTCCCGCTGAACAGGTGACAGGCGACTTGACTCTCGTGTATGCAATTTGATTTTCAGCATTTCGAGGGCAAGGGCACTGTCATGTCTTGATGCGGTGGTAAGTGAGCTTCAGTAAGAGACACGTCAGGGTAAGTGCCCGAGCAAGTGGGGAAGCAGGGCCAACGACGCGGTCAAAACACTTGCCGGTGTTTGACAGTGAGCACTGAGCAGGGCACGAGACAAGTTGCAAGACGCAAAGGTGCCACTCTGGAGGAGACGGCTGGTGGGCATATGGCATTCGAAGCTGAGACTTTCTTCTTTCCAGCATTCGTTTCCGGCTCTCCCTCGCTATCCAGTCCACATTGGGACAGAGGGACGGCCGGATTTCGACACTGCCAACCAAGATCAGGCAGCAACAACTGCGACACCCGCGGTCTCAGAGATGCCTGCAAAGAACACAGGCTGCTTGAATGACAAGAGAAGGCGTAGATGATGCGCGAGGCCATGCTGGCGCGTGGATACACGAGGACGGAGCAAACCCGAGTCTTCCATCAGTCTTAAGGATGAGGTGCCCTGCAGAGCCTGCAAATCTTTAAACATCTACAAAGGATTCGATACCAGCATTAACTATTGCTACAGTCTGACAAGTGACTGACCGAGGATGACCAGGCTCTCTATTCAAACACCGCCGCCATTGGTGAGGTCCTCAATCGAATCAGATTGCTCGACAGCATCATCATCGCCCAAGACTCCCGCGGGCCTTCACTACAACCCGGAGATAGCCTCGCCCATCGGCCCAGACTTTTCAGGCTTCAGCTTTCGTCAACGACCCCCAGTTCCAAAGAAGTCTGCGTTCCGCAAGAGTTGCCCCTCCGTCACGCAGTATCAGCAACAATCCTTCACCTGGCAAAACGATGCCAACTTCTTTGACCCATGCTCGACGTTCCGCGACACGGAGAACACTGTCGCTCCAGTCAAGATTCGCAAAGTCTCGGTGTGTGAACGGAGTGATGCGCAAAATGCATACCTACAGAGCCCTGTCAGCTACTCGCGTCGTGTCTCTGTTGCAAGTTTGCACAGCACGACCCAGCTTCCTGGACCAGCATCCATGTCGCGCTCTGTAAGTTGGCTTGCACAACGTCGTGGTAGCGCCATGAGCATCGACATGCGTCGTGAGAGTGTCGCTGAGAAGCGTAGTATGCAGGCACAGCTCTCGCAAGAGCCACTTCCCGCACAGGGCCGCAGACTGTCATCCACTGCAGACCTCCTTGCTAATGCAGGCACTGGCTATCAAAGCCACTGGAGTGCTTCCGATAATGAGGATGACAACTACAGCGATGATGGATGTTTGATCGACCGTCGTCTGAGCTATACCTCGCAAATGGCGAGCTTCAGGCCATCTATGGGTATCGATGCGCCATCAGATACGCAATACACAACAGTACGACGCATCTCTCGTGCATCGGGAGACTACGCCGCAGCGAGCAACGAACAGCATCCCTTTGTTCGCGCACGCAGGGTAAGTGTTGGCCAAGCCAGACGTATGTCTCGCCAACGCAGCGCCTCTAGCGACTACAGCGTCGGACCTATGCCTGGTCTCGAGCAACTCGCAAAGTCACGCTTGAACTTGGCAAGGGAGCAAGCGCAGAGTGATGCACTCGAGGCGAAAGAGGTGCAGTTCGCACAGGTGATGGCTGAGATTACAGCTGCGCATCAGCAAGAAAAGGCGACACTCGCTGCTGAAGTGACGCTCTTGCGGAGACGACTTGCCACACTTGAGGCACAGTCGGAGGTTCTTGCAGCTTCATTGTTTTAGCCTACACATAAAGCCCAAATGATTGATGATTACCAAAGAATGAAAATGCTGTGCTCTACAATGATTTTAAGTATAGTCATGATGCGCTGCCTGCAATGGGCAGCCACGGCCGATCTTTGAGCGTTCCGTGTGCAGGTAAGCTAAAGTCTGGCTCTGCAGTCTCACCGTACAAGTCCTTGTAGGCTTTTGTAAAGTCAACGCAGACATTGGGTCGCGGAATACCTTCATTGACCGTCACAGAGCCATCTTCATGATAAGTGTTCCACACAACGCCATCCCTCCAGCGTATGATGCGAGACTCGTGGTGACAAGCCGTCCAGAGCATCTGATCCCAGATAGCGCGCTCAATATCCCACCCAAAGACGCGTCTTGCCATCTCTGCAGGACCAAAGAGGCGATGTGCCTCTCCTTTGCCGGCATTGCAACGCAATAGGTTCAACCACCCATCAGGGGCAAAATCCAAGACCATTGCGGCTTCGAGTTTGGGCAAATTTCCATGAATGAAGAGGACACGCGGACTTGGGAAATCCGAGAGCATGGATCGCTGATCATGCATACCGGCGCGTGTGATGGCATAGTCGTCCTCTGGATGATGTTGTCCTGATCCAATGGGCATCTGTTGACCTTCGCAACGATAGCCGACGCGTCTAGGCTGTGTGTGGACTTGATACACGGGATCGTTACACGCTTCAGCTGCGTGAAGATAGGTCTCCTTGTCGCCGTGGCCATTTGAACCTTGGTCCAATAGCCAATACCAATATGCAGGGCCCCATCTGTTGTAGTAGGCGGATAGGAGCAAAGTCGCGCCATGAGTACGCTTGTTGACGACAATAGCACCAGACTCTGTGCTAGCTCGCTGGTAACGATCTATTGGTGTTCGTTCAGTGATCCACAAGTATTGAGGTGACGCCATATTGGCCCAATAGTCCGGCCACAATATCATGCCATGTGAAGTGAAAGGTTCAGACTCAAACAACGAATCCGGAGACATGGTTGGAAAGAGGTCTGCATCGAGGAAGAGGACCTGCTCAAAACTCGAAAACAGAATGCTGTAAATCTTCATGGTAAAGTGCTGAGGCACGTCCAGTGGCTTGTCATGTTCGCCCAGATCAGACTCCTGCGGCAGGTAATGTGCGACAATGTGGCACGTTACGCCAAGCTCAGCCCAGACTTCCTTGCACATCACCTCGTCAATATCTTGGTCGCGCCAGAACCAGATCTCTACGGGCAGCGTCGACCCAACTTTGCGAAGCATGCGTAAGGATGTCGTAATGATGCCGCTCGAGTCTAGCGCATTGCATGTCATGGCGATACCGCGCGTCCCTCTCCGAAAAGGTAGGCCATCAGACATCTCATCCACCGTCTGCAACGCCTCTCTATGCCGATCGCGAAGCTCGTATAGTTCATCTTCTGTAACAAGCAGCGTGTTGGGAGCCTGCTCGCCTTGCTTGACATTCTCAAAAGTCGCCCAAGCCGGCATATTGCCACTCGTCCGCACACCTGGGAAACTCAAGTTACCGCGATACATGAAGTTGCCGAATGAGCGCCAAAAGTCGAGCGCTTCTGTTGAGTTGAAGGCTGGCTGTGTCTCTGCAGCAATGGAGTCGAATGTCGAGGGTGGCCATTTGTTTGTGCTACCCTTCAATACGGCCTTTGCGCGTGCATAGGCGCTACCGCCGCGCAAGGTCGTGCTGTCGGGAGCATAGGAGGTATAAACGAGAAAGAGGAAGACGGCGACGACGAAGCTCGCCAGGCCTGTTCTTGACTGCATCCGCGAGAACATGCAGCGGGCTCTTGAAAGGGTTCAAGTAGGAGGGCCAATCCTTTGAAGCTGGCCGGACAAGTGTAGAGAGTTGTAGCAGGAAAGAGTGCTTGGGCCTGTGTCTCTTTTGGATGTTATTGCCAGGCCCAGCTATGACAGATGGTTGCGTGGGAGATGGGCGGCTCCTGGGCCTTCGCACACGACAAAAAGCTCGGACTCGCGATGAGCAGAGATTGTGCTCCCCTCCTCGGAGCTTTTTATACGACGGCTCAGTGTCTCAAGTTGACTTTTGACAGTCGCTGTGCCCTAGCTGAGGCTCTGCCTAGTCCTTTATGATCTATGATCTGCTACTACCTTATCTCCAATTCTTCAATACATATATTCGCCTACCAGTACCACTGTGGCTTCGTATCGCCCCGCCAAGGCCGCACGAGCCGTATCCGCGGTGCAGCCGGCAAAAATTCTCCAGCGCACGGAATTCATCGAGATTCCAGGGCGGACGTCGCCGCGGTCCAGACTCTGTCATGCATCTGTCAAGAAATAAGGTTTTAATTCTCCGAACCGACGTTGTATTCACACAAGCTACACAACACATCAATAGTAGGTTCTCCACGAGCCGCGTGGTGCAGCCGGGAGGACTGACTCGTTGTCATGAGCTCGAAGGCTGACTCTGTTGATGCATCAATCAAGTACAACAAGTGCTGCTCATACAGCCGGGGTTGTCATCCTTTGCATGACAATGATAACGAGCTTGGGCTTCTTGTGCTGTTTTCTTCATGAAAACCAGCAAGACGATCAAAGCTTGAGAAGTCGTGCATAATGAGAGATAACCCACTCGAAATCTTGCAGCTGCATTGACTTCTGCTCGTAAGACAGTGGTGTAAGCATAGCCATATCTGCAATGGCGTCGTCACAGCTGTATGAGTGTCGTGCTTCTCGAGCGAAGTCAAATGGATATATGTATTCATCTCATCTCTGCACTGTAGCATCGCTGATTTGTATATATAATGATTGTGAGCTTGAGGCTGTGGCGCCGAGCAAACACGCGAACAAAGTGACCAAGTGCGTACATACGCATGTGATTGAGCATTTCAGATCATCTTGAAAGGTTCTACTATCAGAGATTCCCATCATGTAGCGCAGCAGCGGTGCAAGGCTCGGCCAATGGCCATGCATCGTTCCTGGACGATCGTCTTGGCAAAATAATTTGTCGGGCAAAATTTCAGGGGTGGAGCTCTCTCGACTGCAGGTCTGCGACATCGACCACTTTTGCTTCCGCTCGAAGCCAACTTCGAATAGTTGACAATCGACAGGCCTGAGTACTCGCTCTTCTTCCATTTCAAATGCCTGCTTTGTATCTATGCAGACAGGCAATAGAGGGAGAATCCCGTATAAATAGCGACGCTATCAGACTTACGACATTGACACGTCGAAGATGCTCATGAAGGAGCTTTAGACCTGGTGCCTGACGTGACACTTGAAAAAGTCATCTCCGCCGCAGACTCCTCTAGAGTAGCTATAACGTCATTGTTGTCCACGGTCCAAAAGGTCAAAACTTCTGGGATATACCAACAGCAAGGGCTTCAGTACGTTGAGATGGGTGTCAAAGCCAGTCCTGTTTCACCAAACAGTGCTGAACTGGGGACATTATAAGATCATGCCTGACGGCATCTAGATAGATTAATCTTCTATCCATAAGATCTGACAGATGAACAGTTCTGCTGCTCTATGTCAAGCCCTACAGCTGGTTCGTCGGCAGACATGCCAGGCTCTCAGCCACCAACAGCGGCACTAGAGCCATACATGCAGCAAAAGCTCTTACAAATGGAGCAAAATAATAAGCTTCCTAGTGAACAGGTCGCTACTCTGCTTAAACACATCGGAGGACCCTCCACACAACAGTCGTTGGTCCAGAAACAAATTTGGTCGATATTGCCAGACCCAAGCATCACGTTCTTGATGCCATCAAGGGACATGAAGAAGTCGTCTCTGATGTAGTTAAGCAGAGTAGCGACCTGTTCACTCAGAAGCTTGTTATTTTGCTCCATTTGTAAGAGCTTTTGTTGCATGAATGGCTCTAGGGCCGCTGTTGGTGGCTCTTGGCCTAATGGTGGCTCAGGGCGAATTGACGCTGTTCCTGATTGCATTGATGAGCATGAACGCTTAAAAACGCCTTGGGGTTTCTTTTATAAGGCCTTGCAAGGACACATGGCGGAGGAGCCTTGATATCAGCTGCAGGCACTGCAGGCGCCTCAACATCGCAACCAACTTCGGCAGCTAGAATGCTATCGAACCAGTTTCCGCCTGAATCTGGGCAAAATACCATCCGGTACCCCGGAAACAAACGAGAATCTCCTCAATGGAACGCAATAGGCTGTGCTTCTCCTCGCCTGACGTGTGCTTCAATATAAAGGCAATGACGCTTGTTTCTGTCATGCGCGAGAATGTATGCCTGCCAGTATGGCACATCTGCCTTTGTGAAAAGACAGTGACAACCCAGAGCCCTCGTACCGACCGTCCTGGCAAGAAAGCGAAAACTTGCGGGGGCAAAACGCAAGGAAAGGGCTACGATGTTCAGCAAGTTCGAGAAATGCAATGGGAAGTCTCTATTTCGGTGTGACAGGTTGGTGTGATCCTGCGTCCATGTTGAATTTGCCCAGGTTAAACTTTTGATCCGCAAAAATGATTGAAGTGCATGATCTTTCGCAACAATCCCGGTCCTTGCAGCCGTCTCGAGGCAGCCACAAACCGTACGAGACTTCTGCTTATACAATGGAGGAAGTACAGAGTGTTTGTCCGCAGACGGAAGTTCGAATTGTCTTTATCATCTGCGCAAATGGCCCTGGCCAGTGCGACGAGGACATGACGCCGCTTGAGCTTTAGAGGTCCTTGTGCAGATTTGTCCCCCTCAACGAGGTTGAGCGAGACGAAGTTACTTTGGGTGACTTCAAATTGCTCTGAGGTCGCTCAAGTTGCAGCGGGGCTTGAAGCAATACTCCTCTCAGACAGATGCACTCTACTTCGATAGCAAGTTTCCATTCAACAGTCCTGCATATCGGCCGGCAGCAAGAGCCGTCCGAAACTTAGCAACGCGTCACAATGTTTCGACAGAGCCGGTGTACTCGCGGTGTCATCGTACGTAGTGAGCTTTTGATAGATGCCATTGCATACTGCAGGAGAAAGGAGCTCGCAAGCTTACAGGCCGCGTTCTGTAGAACAAGACCATCAAGCTTCCCCGCGCAGCATCGACACATGTGTTGGCATGGGACAGATGTTCGTCACCTGATTCACCTCGAACGTTCTTTGTCCCGCTCGCGTGCGATGTCCTTGTTGCAAACCGCGACGTCAACACGCGCTTTTGCTCGAAAATGATATTCACGGCCCATCTTTAGCTAGCACGCGAATAGCCAAAGAAATGCTCGTTGGCAGAGACAGCTCTTGACCTGACTCCCCTGTCAAGACGGTGACAATGGAATGGAGTGTCCAACGAAAGTATGCAGGAGATGCTTCAGACGTAGCTGCCATAGGCTGGTTGTGAGCTCGAAACAAGAGCAAACTACTTGGCAGGAGACTGCGTTACTTGGGGGTACATTAGCTCTCCTGAGCTCTAGCTTATCGGTATATGCCGAGGAGGATGCACCCTATGCTGAGGCTTACCCTTCAGCAAGCTCAAGCAGAGAGGCGGACCACGAATGGGGTCTGGTAAAAGTCCTGAGGTTCGCAAACAGACCCGTGTCTCAGCACTTGGTCTCAGCTATCTAGGAGACGCTCGTACTGAGTGTGCGCCTTTTGTCTGCTTCTTTCTACCGAGTGAGGTGCTTCACGGAGGCTGTCCTCACAAACAAAGCGCCTCCGTGTCAATGTTGTGCTTTGTCCTTGAGGACGAGTAACAATGTGGCAAGCACAAGGACGTCGCCGAGCAGCGATTGAAGCTCACGGACACCCTCTGCCGCAGTATGGAGGGTGTGGGCGTGGTTCATGTTGCGACGGCAGCGTCGTGCCTGTCTGCTTGTGCGTGTAGGGAGCAGTATCACCGTGCCAGGCAGACGCTATACAAGCGCTGCCTCCCCTGCTCCCGAGGTCGTCTGAGCTTATTGAACGACAGCAGCTCGTCCTTGGAGGATCCCAGTCCATCGCCAGTCCATCGACAACGCCAAGGACACTCGCTCGACAGAACACACTCACACACACTCTTCCCTGCTTCTCCTTCTTGAACAGGATTCTGAGCTCCTGACAAGCATTCTCCCTCGTTTCGCATGGCCTTCTTCTCCCAATTAGCGGGCTCCCTGCGCAAGCAAAAGTCTTCCCTGCCAGAAGGTCGCCGCTCCCGCCAAGAAGCAGCGCGCACTCCCTCCACAGGCGTCTTTGCCTCTCCTGCAGCGTCCGTACATGGTGACCTTGACTTCAACTGCGCCGGGGACAGGTCCTCGCGCTCTTCGCGCTTCTTCGCAACACTCTCTCGTGCCAGCACCAGTCTCGGCTTTCTCACCAACAGCAGAAGCAATCAGCCAAAGCGCAAGCACTATCAGGGACTCTACGGAAGTGCCTCTGACCTCAATCTCCCTGCTATGCAACAGACAGACACTGCTACACAGTCGCATGGCAAGAGTCTCTTCAGCGCCAAGCGTTTCAAGCGTTTCTCCAGGCACAAGCCAAGCAGCACATCAGTCTTGCGGCATGATTCTTGCAAGAAGAGGGTAGAGTCGTCTCAGATGCCCACCCCAGATCTCTCGCTGCGAGGTGCTAATGTCGAAATCATTCAAGACGTGACCAAGGCGTTCGAGGGCAATGCGCAACAGTGTCCTACGCTACGTGGTTTGGATGTCAAAAAGCATGCACGTCCTGCATTGGATCCGTCGCTGAGACCGCCGCCTCGCGTTTGTCCAGATATGGATCCGCCAAGTGACGCAGAAACGCTCGTTGCTCTGCCCGTTGTCAACTGTGTAGGCAATGCATCTCCGTCGCAGCAGAGACCTGAAGAGCCTATCAGATCAACATTATCGACGCCAGTTCTTGCAACAACCGCAGTTTCTCATGCTGACACGCCCACGCTTGGCTCTACGGAGCTTCCACCTACACGCCCACAATCGCAGGTCGATTGGCACATTCGTTCTCCGTCTGTTGGTACATTGATGCCCGACGACAGCACTTCCGTCAAGGGATATGCTAGCAGCTGTGATTTAACTCGCGACCAGACTGTCGCTGCGTCTTCTTTTTATGGTACTCCAGCAGAGCCTGAGCGCATGTCCATCATCTCTAGCTCACCCGATGCACTTGCTGGCCTCGAGTGGCTTCGCTTGGAAGAGGTAAGCTCTATTGCTTCAAATCATATCAAGCTGACCAATAGTCTTCTTTGCGACTCAAGATGGTCTTTGATGGTGCGGCGATTGACCTTAATGACAACAGGTACTTGTCTGATCCGACTTTCAATGAAGGGTCGACCTTGACACGTGTACAGACACCCCTATGCCCTATGGTCGCATCTCCAGAATCAACATCAGCCAAGAAGCCAGCACAGCGTGTTGTGTCGCCCTTCTCGCAGGGTGTGTTGACGTCGCCACGCCCAAAGCGTCCTTCACTCTCTGTCGACATATCCAGCAAGAGACTAGCGGCTGCGAGCGATGAGACACCAGTCTCAAAGCCAGTCCTGCGAGATTCACCAACTACAGAGACCCAGGCATACTCACTACCACAGCCAAAGCCACTCCTGCACATCTCGCCAGAAGCGCTCACGTACACACCGTCGCCCATCAGATCTCGAGATCCGAATACTTCCACGCCACTTTCTGGCACTGCGGGACGGAAGAAGCTTGGCCAACGACTGCGCAGTCCATTTTCAAGTAGTCCGATGTCGGCTCAACAGCGTGTCTTTGCACAATCACCAACTCAGTCGCAATCCAGGGCTTCGACCATCTCCCATGCAAACAACCCATCATGTGACGGCACACTAACCAGTTCAAGGACCAGCAAACCTGCTTCGCCTAGAGGAATGCATGACTCTGCTGACAGGGTACTTCGGCAAATCCACGCACGTTGTTCTGTCCGCGAACGGTCTTCCCAAGCGACTTATGGCCGACCAGGACTGGGTTTACCTCCTGGGCCGAGTTCTGGGTTGCCGGGTACAAGTGAGCGGTACGCTGGAACCTGGCAGCGAAACAAAAGGCCCATGATCTCTATTGAACGGTACGGCACCATCTACGATGCTGGCATGTTCTGATGTCTCTGTTATCCACTACATTACGCATTTGTTTCATTCGCTGTGCATCCAGGTATGCAACCCACTCGCATCTGTCTCTTGTCCTATTTGCTTATCAAACTGTTTGCCAGACTTCGCGGTATCCATAGTTCAGCCGCATAGCATGAGTTGTTCGTTGTCAAATTGCAATTACAAGGTTGATTAAATACGTGCTGTACAGACTGTAAGGTTGAATGTATTGAGCTGATGGAATAGTTCATGGGAATGAGGCCACCACTTTCCCGGAGCGTGGTGGAACACTCACTGCGACTTGACAGAAGAATGTCCCCTCGCACCCTCCATGAAATCCAGACATATTGCTCTTTGTGCTCCCGCATTTGAGCTCTGAATCTGTTGAGCCCGCTGAAGCTTGCTTTGGCAAGGGAGGACTCTGGTCTTGCAATTCGAATACATCTGGAACGCTAGCCATCGTTGTATCTCGTCGGGTCCGAATGGTCATGAGCGTATTGCGTCGCGCGTCTGTCGATCGCTTGAACAAGGGATTGGAAAAGAAGTAAATTAGTGTATTGATGATGGGGACCAACGCAAGGCAACAACTGCCAAGGGCCTGGGGCCACAGATCTCTCGTGAAACACTGGACCTCCTTGGCAGTTAATTGAATGATAACGAGGAACATGAAGGGAATATTGCCCAGCACTGTGACCAGCGGAAAAATCAAGAGTCTGCGAGAAGTGCGTACAATGTCGTCGTCCCTTTTGAGACCCGAGACGGAAGGGAGTCGGGAGCCAAATGACTGAAGCTGCCGCAGCTGTCTAGACAGACGTACATTGATGATTGGATAGGCCATCAAAGCGATGACCAAATGGAACAAAAGAGGTACGTCCACCAGCCAGATGAACTCATTCAGGTACAGTGGATTGAGAAAGCCTACCAGTCAGCAACCTCCAAGGTCCGCTTGCTCTTACATGACACCTTGGCAAAGGAGAGGTAGGGCACGGCATAGAAGTGGTCCAGAGCGACAGGGACAACGAGGCCAAGTATGAGCGGGAAGAACCACATGCTCGCCAAGAGGCACCCAAATATCTTCAAAGAGACGACGCGCAGCCTAAAGATGACCAATGCAGAGTGGACTGCGATGGCAGAGACAGACGCCTGCGATAAATGCGCTCCCGTGGTTTGTAAGAGTGCTACACAGGTCAGACAAGCTCATGATCCGATTGACAAACCTTGTGTCGTGCATCTGTTTGGTGGTTAGTGTTTGGCACAAGATGGTCTTGCTGCTTACCCTGGCGATGGAGATTGTATAGAGCCTCTTGCGAGATGGACGGATGAGAACAACCAAGCCATTGACTGAATGACTTGCGCCACAAACAGGTGTAGGAAAAGAATGACCACTTGCGCCTTGGGAGACGACGGGCTCCTTAAGCCAGACCAGGGAATACTAGATCGACCCTTTCGTTGCTGTATAAATAAATAAATGCCTAGTAACGTTGTAACGGCCATTGAACAGCTCGAGATGACAGTCAAGACCTAGTGTTAGACAAGTACAAGAAAGCTCGACCTACCGTCAGAACCTGCAAACGATCCTCTGGAAACTTGAGACTGAAAGGGGCGGGCAATGGGTGTTGGTTGGACCAGGGACCACCTCTTGCGAGGGTAGCCAGTAGTTCGGAGCCAGAGCCGTTCATAGACTTGTTGGTAGATGTATAATGGAAAGCTTGTAGTGGACCCGTTCGTCGCCCTTCTATAAGCACATGAAGTATCCGCAACGTGGTTTCTTGAGCCAAGGTAGTGCAGCTTGCACGTTGCAAGCTTGCGAGGAATACTGATTTTCCCGAGCAAATCCAGGGGCCGTTTGTTTGCAACGAGACGTATATTATGCCAGAGAGATTGCGAGGGATAAATACGCACCCGAGCTTAGAAAGAAAATCTACCAGTCTTGTTATCTTGGAGGCAGTACGAGGTGTTATGTCCAGGGGAACAGCCACGATGCGCGCGTCATGTTGGGGAGGGTAGCCAGCAGCGAGGATCAACGCGCGAGGATGGAATTGACATCAACGTCTCGCTGCCGAATTGCCCACATAGGAGGATCATCGATATTTGCATGTGAGACTGTGATAAGAGGGGAGAAACTTGGCATGCGCGAGGACTTCCATCATCAAAGTTACCGCAAGGCTAGCGGATAGGCCAATTGGGAGGAGCCTCAGACTTGGACGGGTCCAGTCCGGCATGACCATCATCGTATTGTCGAATCCCCACCACTTTACTCTGTACACTGTTGCGACAGGAGTCTGATTGGCTCGGTCGAAACACAACTTGCTCAGTCTTCGGTGGCAAAGAATCATGCAGCTCCACGTTCGGATCCGAGTTGAGTGCCAAGGCGTCATCAGGTCGACTACGGCTTGCGGTCGTCACGCTTTGCCCAACTGGCGAGCTTTTGAACAGCGGAGTCGCGAAGAAGTAAATCAACGTGTTGACAAGCGGTAACAATGCGAGAAAGCAACTTGCAATAGCCATAGGCCAAAGCTCATGGGACAACCAAGTTGGTGCAACCAGGCTGGCAACGATGATGAAGATGAGAGGCAGGTTGCCGAGCACAAAAGCCATGGGGAATATGAGCAACTTGCGTGATGAGCGAATGGCATCATCATCTCTAGTCTGACCTGGTCCAGCGGGAGACCGCTCGGCGAATGCCCGGAGAAATCGCAGCTGTCTTGTTAAACGGACACTGACGATCGGATAGCAGATCAGAGTGATCAATAGGTGTAACAAGAAAGGCAGATTGAAAAGCCAAACAATCTGCATGAAATATACTTTGTTCACAAAACCTACTGGTCAGCTTGTTTCCGATCTGATTTGTACGTACAGGACACATCCCAAAAAGCCATGTAGGGTACAGGGTAGAGATGATCCATGATGATGGGAATAATCAGACCAAGCACGAGTGTGAAGGTCCACACACTCGCAAGAAGACACCAAAATGTCACAAGAGGAACAACGCGCAGTCGGACAATCACCAATGCTGAATGAACCGCGAGAGCAGAGGCTGAGGACTGAGACATGTATGTTCCCATAGTTTGGAGTAACGCTATCAAGGTTAGTGCTGCCAAAGAATGGCTTTCCATACCTTGAGCTGAGCATCTATAGAGCATTAGTGTTGATGACAGAAAGACCAAGGTGCTCACATTGCCGATGGGGTTTGAACAGATCCTTTTGCAACATAGACAATTGAGAAGAGCCATCCCACACACTGGATCATTTGTGCTGCAAAGAAATGCATGAAAAGCAGAACCACTTGCGCCTTGGGGGTTGATGGCTTCATCATTCGAGACCATGGGATGTTGGATCGACCCTGATAATGCTGTGATACCAATTGTATACCCAAAAGGACCGATATGGTTGCCGAGCAGCTTGCAATGATCGCGAGAATCTGTTGTTAGCAAGCCCACTTGGAACGTGCTCTTACTTTCATGACCCGTAGGCGGTCATCTGGAATGACTGACCAGGTGAATGGAGATGGAAGCGGGTGCTGCTTTGTCCACGGGCCACCTTGAGCAAGCGCACTCAGCACTGAGTCTTCTTGTCCTGCCATGATGCTGAGATTGTTTCGAGGAGATGACTGGCTGCTTTCTGGCAATACGTGGTCACAGAAGAGAACAGGCATGAGCTGTCCGGAATATGCAATCGGGAGCATGGATTGGGTCTGGACTTTGAGAGGATCACATAGTCGACGATGCAGCAATGAGTTTGTGATTCGTTCCAATTGACACAACACCCTGCACGCTTGGAGTGCATATTGCCCCCTATATCAGTCAGGGGATGTTCAAAAATGTTGCCTGTCGTAGTAGTACACCTGACCTGCCTCGTGGGCTGTGTGATGAATGGGCTTACTGCTTAGGGATATCGCTCTTGGAGTGTGAGAAATACGTGAGACTTCCTAAACAAGCTAGGCAAGCCCAAGCTGCTGTTTTTCAAGAGAAAAGACTTGTCAGACCACTAAAGGCTGCAAGTAAGGAGCCAACTTGACTGACAGACGTAGCCAAGTAATTCTTGAAGAGAGGGAGTGATGAAGTGACATGTTGAGGTTTGAAGAGCTCAAGTTCTAGAGAAGTGCTAAACAGATCTCCTGCAGCTGCTGCGAATGTGTCTAAAACGTGAAAGTCGAGTGGACTGTTCTGACCGTCTTCTGGCTGACCTGGATTCCGACAAGGGAGTGCAGATGTGCCAACTCGGCAGACTTTGTCGAGTCGCTATCAGCTGCCGCTGTCAGTGAACGCGTCTCTGAATCAGGAGCCGCAAAAATCTCGACATCGACTGGACGCAGAGTGCCCATACGAATTCCGCTGCAACTGCCGTGGAGGTGCTGCAAGTCGTCCTGTGCTGCCCCAAAGGATGGATCTTTGCGAAGCGACTTAGGATTGATCGGGCTGCGCCTTTTAATGTAGAGCATACCGAAAAGCACAACGTCAACAACTGGCCATATGGAGACCACATGCCCAGTGATGATCTCTGGCCAGGTGTGCTCTTGAAAGAACATTGGGCGCAGAATGAGGCCAATCCCAACGACCAGATAAGGTAGTGTCGCAAGCATGGCCACAAGCGGAAACACCAACATCCGAGATGAGGTTCTTGCGTAATCTGCATGCCTGTCAATCTCCTGCTGACTTTGAGCTTTGCGAATGCGTTGCAACAGTCGTCTTGTTTGGTGTTTGAGCCGAAGTGAGGCTAATGGAAATGTGATTAGACCGATTGAGAGCAGTAGCCCAAAGGGAACTACAATCACATAGATGAATTCCTTCATGTATAAGATATTGATGTAACAAGCGTAGTGATTTGCGACCATGAATGGCACATCGTGAACCGATCCCATTACGAGTGGGAAGAGTGAACCGATGCAGAAGGGAATGGCGTACACAATTGTGAGAAGAGATGCAAAAGCAGGTAGTTGTAAGGGCTTCAGTCGATAGACCGATAACAGCGAATGCGTTCCTATAGCTGCAATAGAACAGTGCGACAAAAACCCGCCAGTGCCATGGAGCATACCTGGAAATTAGTCAAGTCGATGGACGCAAGGAACATATTACGCACCTTGAACCCAGCATCTGCTTGTTAGAAACCGTCCTGGAAGCTAGAAAGGCTTACAAGGTCGATGGAGCAATCATAGCCCCTTTGATGAGATGAAATGCGGCGCAGAAGCTTCCCAATGCCAAGAAAAGCTGTGCTAGCATCAGGCTGCCCAACAAGATTAACAGCTGTGATTGAGCGCTCTCTGGTCGACGCAAAGCGCGGAAGTCGATCTGCAACTCGCCCCGACTAGCCAACCAACGAAGAATGCATGCCACAGCCAGCAGAGTGACCAGTGAGACAGTTGAAAGCGTTGTTACGATCTGTTTGGTCAGTATCGGCATGCTTGGGACCAAACAAGCTTTACCTTCATGACAATCTTAGTACTGTGCTGAAGAGGGATCTGCGAGAATGGTGCAGGGAGAGGTCGCGTCTCTGTCCAAGGGCCAGCTGCAGCCAAACGGCTAAGCGCGGAAGATTGACCTTGTCCCATAATGAACCAGGTAAGTCGATTCAAGGCCAAAAGAGGCCTGGAAGGGGTGTGAAAGCCTTGCAGAGCTCTCAACGACCCCACGATCGTGCGACTTAGATTTGCCAAATTGCCAGGGGCAAAGCACCCTAAACGATCTGCTTCAAAAAGACCAAATCGCTACTCTATCCTCATGTTTGCAAACATTTGAGCGCAAACACCAGCAGCAGTGGTCAGAAGAGGTTGAAATTGAGTGGCCCCTTAGTCGCCCTCGCATGGCTCGAGCTTCATATACGTCAAATGTCTGATGAATACCAGAAGCTGGTGCCTTCCTGCCATAATAATAGATGTGCGAGTATCTCAGTAGCTCAAAATATGATTGAATTTCTTCGTTCTGCAAGCGCAAATGATAGATAGCATATAGCTGACGATCATGATGCGTCGTATTCAATGCTCCTTTGTTACATCTGGCCACGATCAAACCGATGTTCAGGAGCATCTATGTAGCAGTAGAGTGAGCTAGTCCCGATACCTGTCGTTTTTCACGAAGGCCACGACAAATTGGAGAAAGCCTATCGATGAGAAATGTTCGACAGATCAGAGATCCGGCATCTCGCGAGCCCATGAGCCCAGGTGTGCATATGCAGAAACAGACACAAGCGACTCTGGGCCGTCGCTGATGTCGCGGCACTAGCACGTGAAGTCTGTCATATTCAGATGGTCCAAAGATTCTCACCGCATTCTGGCGCCAAACCTGTGCCCAGATCAAGTTGCTGAGAGAGGCTCGTAGAGTCTGACGACCGCCATCCACACATTGCTAGCAAATGAGCTACACAGTCGTTAAAAATCCAACATCGTCTGACACAAGCGGCCAAGGCCTGACTAAAAAATAGGTCAAGAAACTCACCAATTTTGGCTATATTTGCCTTTGTTGCACTCTAATTGCACCCTCGAGCATGACTGGAGCTCGACCGAACGTGTGGTAGCATGTGTATATACAAGAGACTGTTGATGAGAGGCAAGAACAAGTTCGCAACGATCGTGCAAACAATCAGTGTATGTGACCATTGAAGGACCCCGCCAGAGTGGACAGCAAAGATCACTGTGAGGACATAAGGCATTGTGCTGACGAAAGTTGCAATGGGAAGGATGATCATCTTTCTGGACACGCGAAGGATGTCATTGTTGCCCTTGGAGTTGGTCGATTGTGAGCCTCCTGATGATATGCCGCGAAGGCTCAGTCGCTTAAGCTCATTGACGTCCTTTCGCAGGCGATAGCTTACCACAGGATAGACGACGAAAGCAACCAAATTGTTGACCAAAAATGGTAGAAGAACGGTGGCAATCTTCTCCGCACGCCAGATACTACCTACGGAGCAGTGCATGAGATTCCCCAGCATGAAGACCGGCATCACGCTCCTGTACCATATTTGCAAGGCCAAAGGGAACAAGAAGCCAATCGTAGCGACTTGTAGCCAGGTCAAAGCCAACATGATGCAAAAGTGTTGCACTTGCATAGGCTTTTTGAATTGTACCACATGAAATGTATGCACGGCGATGCAGGTGATCAGGCAATGAGACAGAAGATGCGCCATCTTGATTAAAAGGCCTGTTGTCAGTGAATATGTCATGGGGCATGTCTGTACCTTGTATCGTGCAGCTACAAGTCAGTTCATGGACCATCATATTACAGGTCGTTCCTTACGGGATTGATGGAGAGATTATTCTACCGCTGGCCAAATGAACAGTCGAGAGTAGATAGCCGGCGCTCAACAAGACTTGGGCTAGTAGGAGATGTGCAAGCAAGATGGTGAACTGAGTGCGAGCTGTGCTAAGATCCCTTTTGGCTGGCCGTTCGCAGACGTTCTTTCGATGTATTTCAAGGATGATGAGCAATAGCACAACAGCCCAGATGAACAAGGATAGTCCTGAGATGACCTGGTGTGGTTAATAAAATGCAAATTTCTAGGTTGTCGCTTACGATTAAGACATTCATTTCGTGGTCGGCCAAAGGATTCAAGGTCCAAGGAACGGGCAGAGGTCGAGTTGCATTCCACGGGCCAAGAGCCACTTGATGACTGAGATAAAAGGACTGGTTGACTCCCATTGCAATATCGGTTGGCGTTGGTGTAGCTGGGCACTACTCTTGAGAGGACGAGATCCGGCGATGCAGTGGCAGCAGCGCAGGTTGACGGTTGCATGCAATATCGCGCCATCAGGAGATACCACTTTGTGATAGTATGCAGAAACCGGTTGACGAGAGAGATAAGTCACAACATGTTCTGAGCCAATCATTGGAGAGGCTCTAATCATGTGGAGAGGGTCGCAACGACTCACGCGTCGTGGACGTACGATTCCTGTCAGCTGATTGCTCTTGGTTGCAAGGAGATTTAGGAAGACGAAATTTCTTCAGGGGTCAAGAGTGAAATTTGAAATTGGCCATAAGGCAATGCGCGTGATCAGACTATTACCAGCTACCCTGAGGAGGGCATGGTCGTACTGTCAGACGATTCAAACGGGCCAAACGAGCCGAGATAATGTGTCATCGCTCTACAACAGAAGGAGTGAACGAAAATGTGAAGTAAGAACGACCTCCGAAGTGTGAGACTGGAGCAATAAAGTCTAGGCTAGGTCTGCCAGCGTCACAATAATGACTCGCAGGACCCCATGAGTCGTCACTTGGGAATCGGCTTAGGTAGCGCAGAGCCCGGCTGAAAGTCGACCGTCCTGATTTTTGAAAGATGGTAGACAGCTGTACTGTCATAATCGTAGTCACTCAAACTTTCCCTGGCCGCCGGGCTGCTGATAAAAGTCTTTACAGTGCCTTCTCCCAAGATGAAGGGCACCTCGTCCATGTTCATCTCAGACCCAGTGACATCAGCAGCAGACGACTGAGAATTTTCAGGAGTTGACGATGTCTTGAAGAACGAAGTCAGGAAGAAGTAGATGACACAGGTGACCAGTGGAGCAGATGCGGCAGAGAAGCCCACTACGATGACCGTCCAGGACTCAAATTTTAAGCTCAATGGAGTCAGCAATCCCATCATCGACAATGTGAGAAAGGGTAGTGTGACGATGACCGTAGCGATCGGGAACATGAGGACGCGCTTTGAGGCTCGGAGGATATCTTTTTCTCTGCCAACGGCTGCCTCTGTATTGGGACCTATTCGTCGAAGACGAGCGGAATGCCGCACAAGTTTGACGCTGATGAATGGGTATAGAAAGATGCCGACACTCAACAGGGCCACTGAAGGAACGTAGACCACAATGATCTTCTCAATTCGCCAAAGACCGCTCACAAAACTAAATGTCAGTAAATGACATGGCATATAGAATCTTACCATACTATGCTGCTAAAGGTGAAGAATGGCACCACGTTGAGCGAATGATAAACCAAAGGATAGACCAAGCATAAGGTCAAGGTCAGCATCCAAGTAATGACGTTTAGCATGACAAGAAGGTTGAGGGACATGGGCTTCAATCTGGACACACTGCATGTTAGAGAAGACCTCATTACGTAGATCTTACCAATACGCAGAGTGCGTCGCAATGTTGGCAATAGTAAAGTGTGTGAGCGTATGAGATCCGAAAAGAAAGATGCCTTGTGCTTGGCACCTACTATTAGCCCCAGCCTCGGTGTTCAAGCTCTTACGTCGGGCTCGGCGAGATGATCTGGCCCTTGATGAGATGTATGGCAGATATCAAGAAGCCAATCAACTGAAGGACTTGAGCCAGGACCAAGTGACATATGAGGATAAGCATTTGTGACCGAGTCGTAGTTGGATGGCTCAGTGCTTGCCAGTTCACATTTGCTCTCCTTTGTGAAGGAGAGAAGCGAAGGTAGAAGAACATCCCGACCATCACTGCAAACGAGAATCCGACGATAGCCAACATGCCCTGCATCGTCAGCCACGCCATTCAATGCTGAAGTCTTGCTTACCTTGAGGACTACTTTTGTTGTTTCCTGTAGAGTAGTCTCGCTCCATGGACTCGGCAAAGGATGTGCGCTGTTCCACGGCCCAGCCGCTGTCAATAGCTGCAGGGCTTTCGATTGCTGGGATCCCATGATGCTAGGCGCCGCTGTATTAGACTATCAGGGACGTGGCTGATCTCGTTGGTTCGAATGTGAAAAGCCTTAGCCGTGGACAGGACTTCTTGATGCACAGCTCGCAATTTGATAGTTCCATATTTACTGTGTTCAGGGGTAGAACTAGTGATGAGCAGACTTAGGAAATGAGAATCACAAATATCACAAGGCGCAAGCCAGAAGGGGAGAACTCTGCATATGTCTGATGCGATGCATTGTATATCGAGAGACGCGCGTCTCGATCTCGGCGGGCTGGTGCGATTGGTGCGCTCCTGAGAGAGGAAGGTCGAGGCATAGTCATCAGTGCTGAAAGTCCATCAATATCATCGTCTGATGACAATGAAGGCTGATCACATACCTCGGATGAAGCATCAGGGCAAGGTTGCTGTGTCATTTTCAAGTGTTTCGTAGCTGGCATTAACATCGCTCACAAACGCAGATAGCCTCGTTGAATTGAAGCTTTGGCGTGATTCGGCTCCAGCTGCAGAGTTGTAATTTCTTGTCACCTTGTGGCGATCAGCATGTTCTGCGAAGCACTTCTTGTAGTGTGGCCCCAAAATTTGCCGCTGTCTCGCGAACGATCGTCGTGCTCACTGGGCTGGTCTCGCGACTGATACATCAGAAAAGGGGAGAAGACTCAGATTGCATGGAAGACATGATAAAATAGCATCAGCGATGAAGCCTTTGTGCCTTTTGGCGTTACCAGAGAAGATTACAACATGAGCTTGCGAATGCTGCGTTAAGAGAATAGAAGCTGAAGAAATGTAAAATGGGCAAAATAGTTCCATCTTGACAGTATCGAAAGAAAGAAGGACCAAAGCCGCGAACTATTCCGGCCTCGGGATGAATGCAGCTTGACTTAGTGGTGGGCAATTACATTGAGGAACGTCCAGGAAGGACAAAGCCTGGTTGCACGTCAACCGTCTTGATTTCACCTTCTGAGAAGTTTGTCTCAAATGAGTAGTAGATTGAATTGTCCTTGACAGCTGGACTACTTATGTAGGTCTTGACGGTATCTCCATCCATGGGAAGGGGTAAGTCGACAACACCTGCCTCACTGTCTGCAAGCTCGGACATTTCAGTAGTGTCTACTGATGAAGATGATCTGAAGAATGAGGTCATAAAGAAGAAGAAGATGCAGGCGACGAGTGGAGCAATGGCAATGCACATGCCAACCAGCATGATTGTCCATGAGTGTTGCTTCAGCACTTTTGAATCTTGAAAGCCCATGATGGACAATGTCAGAAACGGTAGCGTGATGATGATTGTTGCCAATGGGATCATAAGGACGCGCTTTGATGCACGGAGGATCTCCTTTTCTGTGCGAGTTACTGCGTGAGTCCGAAATCCTGCACGACCGAGACGTCCAGAGTGGCGTACGAGGCGGTAACTGATGAATGGATATAGAACGACAGTAATGCCAAGAAGCACCAGACACGGGACGTAAACTGCGAGAATCTTTTCCATCCGCCATAGATTGCTGACAAAGCTGTGTGGTTAGCATTTGATAGCCATTGGGACGATCCTACCAGGCTATGCTGCCGAAAGTGAAGAAAGGCACATCATTGCGGGCGTTGTAGATATGTGGGAAGACCAAACTGATGGAAAGGGTCAGAATCCAAGTGACGACATTGAGAAGAACGAAGCATTTTAGGGCCATTGGTCTCAGTCTCGATATGCTCCAATGTCAGCGCGGCATGAGGATCTGAGATACTCACCAGTATGCCGAGTGCGTTGCAATGTTTGCAATCGAGAAGTTTGTGAGGATATGGGAAATGAAGATGATCGTCCCTTGTGCCTCACAACTATTGTCAGATTGATTAGGGTTACAGAGCTTCTTACGTCAAGCTCGGTGAGATGATTCGCCCTTTGGCAAGATGTATGGCAGACATCAAATAGCCAATCAGTTGAAGTATCTGAGCAAAGACCAAATGACAGATGAGGATGAGCATTTGCGATTGCGTCGTAACTGGAGTCTTCAGCGCCCGCCATTTCAAGATGGCGCCTCTGCGAGTGTCGGAGAAGCGAAGGTAGACTGCCATGACTAGCATCGTGACGAAAGAAAAACTGGTGACGCCTACAATAGCCTAGTTCATCAGCTTCGTCGTCGACTCAACGGTATGCCGACCTTAAGAGTCTTCGCCGTAAAACTTGGTATGGTCTTTTGGCTCCATGGCTTTGGCAATGGATGCGAACTATTCCATGGTCCTTCGGCACTCAATTTGCGCAAGGTCGTGGATTGTTGCGATCCCATGCTGGCGACCCTTCTGATGTATCGAAACCTTCTTTGCGACTCAATTTATGAGAAACGAAAGTCAAAAAAGACGAAGAATCATGGTACCGCGTGTGCATCCCAGATGGTCAATCTTCAGGGGTACTCGAACACTACACCATGTGCATCCTGACACTTCACTGCAGACACGGCGCCAAAAGAGGCCTGGAAGGAGTGTAAAAGCCTTGCAGAGCTCTCAATGACCCCACGATCGTGCGACTGAGTTTTGCCAAATAGCGAGGGGCAAAGGACCGTAACAGATATGCTTCAACTAAGCCGAATCGCTACTCTATCCTCATGTTAGCAAGCATTTGAGCGCAAACACCAGCGGCAGTGGTCAGAAGAGGTCCAGATTGAGTGGCCCCCAGTCGCTCTTGTATTACTCAAGCTTCAAATACGTCAATCAATTGATGGATACCAGATGCTGGTGCTTTGCTGCCAAATGAATAGATGTGCGAGCGCCTCTCTAGCTCGAGATGTGATTGATCCTCTTCGTTTTGGAAGCGCAAATGACAGATAGCATATCGCTGACTGTCATGATGCGTCGTATTTCATGCTCTTTTGTTACATTTCGACACGATCAAGTCGATGTTCAGGAGTATTTTGTAGCATTAGAGTGAGCTAATTTTCGATACCTATCGTTGCCACGACAACTTTGAAGAAAGTATATAGACAAAATGCGTGGATGATTTCGCGACACCAGCACGTGAAGTGATAGTCATGTTCAGATGGTCTAAAGTTCCGCCACCGGATTCTGGCGCAAAGCCTGTACCCGGAGCAAGTTGCTGAGACAGGCTCGAAGGACCGTCATCCACCCATTGCTAGCAAATGGCTTGAGCTTTGAGGTCGATTGGAATTTCAACATCGTATGACACAAGCCGGCCGGCCGAGGCCTGCTTGAAGAATGGTCAATAACTTCATCAATTTTGGCTACATGTGCGTTGATTTTATAAGTGTAACCTCGAGGATGACTTGAGCTCGGACGAGCGTGTGGTAGCATGTGTATATACAGCAGACTGTTGATATGAGGCAAAAATAAGTTTGCAACGATTGTGCAAACAATCAGTGTATGTGACCAACGAAGGACCCGCCAGAGTGAATAGCAAAACTCACTGAGAGGATATAAAGCATTGTGCTGATGAACTTCAGAATGGACAGGATCTTTGACTTTCTCGATTCGCGAAGACTGTCATTCTTGCCCTTGGAGCTGGTCGTTTGTGATTCTCCCGATAACAGCCCGAGCAGGCTCAGTCGCTTAAGCCTGTTGACATCCTTTTGCAGGCAATAGCTAACCACAGGATAGACGACGAAAGCAATCAGACTATTGACCAAGAATGGTAGAAGAACGGTGATGGTTCTGTCTGTGCGCCATATACTACCAACGGTGCATTGCATGAAATTTCCCAGCATGAAGACTGGCATCACGCTCCTGTACCATACTTGCAAGGCCGAAGTGAACAGCAAGCCTATCGCAGCGACCTGTAGGACATGATGCAAAAGTGTTGCATATGCATGGGCTTTTTGAATTGTTCTTGAATTGTACAACATGAAATGTATGCACAGCGATGCAGGTGATCAGGCAATGAGATTAAAGATGCGTTATCTTGATCAAAAGGCCGTTTGTTAATGAACGTGCCATGATTCAAGTCTTTACCTTGTATCGTGCAGCTACAAGTCAGTCTGATGGATCATATTATGTGTTCCTTATCACGGGATTGATGGAGAGATTATTTTACCGCTGGCTAATTGAACAGTCGAGAATAGATAGCCGACGCTTAACAAGACTTGGGCTAGTTGGAGATGGGCAAACAAGATGGTGAACTGAGTGCGAGCTGTGCTAAGATCCCACTTGGCTGGCCATTTGCAGACGTTCTTTCGATGTGTTGCAAGGATGATAAGCAGTAACAAAACAGAAGTGCGTACAACATCGTCGTCACTTTGGAGACCCGAGAGAGAGACGAAAGTCGTGAGGCAAACGCCTGAAGCTGCCCCAACTGTCTAGACAGACGTACATTGATAATCGGATAGGCCATCAAAGCGATGATCAAACGGAATAAGAGAGGGACATCCACTCACCAGATAAACCCATTCATGTAACGTGGGTTGAAAAAGCCTAACAGTCAGCAAGCTCCTAGGTCCGTTTACTCTTACATGACACCTTGGAGAACCAGAGGTAGGGCGCGCGGCACAGAAGTGATTCGAAGAGACAGGGACCACGAGGTCGAGTGAGCGGGAAGAATCACCTACTCGCCAAGAGCACCCAAATAACTTCAAGAAACGATGCACAGCCTAATGATGACCGGTGCAGATTGAACTGCGATGGCAGAGACAGATGCCTGCGATGAAAGTGATCCCATGGTTTGTAAAGGTCCTTCACAGGTTAGACAAGCTCATGATCAGGTTGACGAACCTTGGGTCGGGCATCTGTTTGATTGTTAGTTTGTGGGACAAGACGGCCAAGCTGCTTACACAGGCGATGAAGATTGTACAGAGCGATCTTCCCAAGTATATTCAGGGGCCATTTGGTTGCGACGAGACAGATACTATGCCAGAAAGATTGCGAGGGATCCGAGAATAGAAAGGTCTACCAGTATCCATCTTGGAAGCAGTACGAGGTATTATGTCCACGGGAACAGCCACGATACGGTCGTCATTTTGCGTAGGGTACCCAGCAGCGAGGATCAACGCGCGAGATTGGATCTTTTGTCAACGTCTTGCTGCTGAGCTGCCGAGCTGCCCACATACAAGTATTGTCGATGCTTTCGGTGAGACCCAGTGACAAAAGGTGAGAAAGTGAGCATACGCAAGTCTGATCAAAGCCAACGCAAGGCTAGCGGATAGGCCAAACAGGGGAAGGCACAGACATGGATGGACTCATTCCGGCATAGCCATCATCATATTGTCCAATTCCCACCGATTTACTCAGAACATTGTTGCGACAGGAGTCTGATTGGGTCGATCGAAACACCACTTGCTCAGTCTTCGGTGGCAATGAATCATGAAGCTCCACGTTCGGATCCAGGTTGAGTGCCAAGGCGTCGTCGGGTCGACTACAGCTTCCGGTCGTCGCACTTTGCCCAATTGGCGAGCTCTTAAACAGCGGAGTCGCGAAGAAGTAGATCAGTGTGTTGACAAGTGGTAACAGTGCAATAAAGCAAGCTGCAATAGCCATAGGCCAAAACTCGTTGTAGATCCAAGGTGGTGCAGCCAGAGTGAAGACGATGATGAAGATGAGAGGCAGGTTGCCGAGCACAAAAGCCAAGGGGAATATGAGCAACTTGCGTGACGTTCGAATGGCATCATCATCTCTAGTCTGATCTAGTCCAGCAGGAGATCGCTCAGCAAAAGCCCGGAGAAAACGCAGCTGTCTTGTTAGACGGACACTGATGATCGGATAGCAGATCAGAGTGATCGAGAGGTGCAACAAGAAAGGCAGGTTGAAGAGCCAAGTAATCTGTACGAAGTACAATTTGTTGATAAAACCTACTTGTCAGCTTATCTCAAATTTGCTTACACGTACATGAAATATCCCAGAAAGCCAGATAGGGAACAGGGTAGAAATAATCCATGATGATGGGAACAATCAGACCAAGCACGAGTGTGAAGGTCCACACACTCGCAAGAAGACACCAAAATGTCACAAGAGAAACAACGCGCAGTCGGACAATCACCAATGCTGAGTGAACCGCGATAGCGGACGCAGAGGACTGAGACATGTATGTTCCCATAGTTTGTAGTAACGCTATCAAGGTTAGTGCTGCCAAGGAATGGCTTTTCTGTACCTTGAGCTGAGCATCTATAGAGCATTAGTGTTGATGACAAAAAGACCAAGGTGCTTACATTGCTGATGGGGTTTGAACAGATCCTTTTGCGACATAGACAATTGAGAAGAGCCATCCCACACACTGGATCATTTGTGCTGCAAAGAAATGCATGAAAAGCCAAATCACTTGCGCCTTGGGGGTTGATGGTTTCATCATTCGAGACCATGGGATGTTGGATCGACCCTGATGATGCTGTGAAACTAACTGTATGATCAAGAGGACCGAGATGGCTGTTGAGCAGCTTGCAATGATTGCGAGAATCTGTTGTTAGCAAGCCCACTTGGACTATACTCTTACTTTCATGATCCGCAGGCGGTCATCTGGAATGGTTGACCAGGTAAATGGCGATGGAAGCGGATGCTGCTTCGTCCACGGGGCACCTTGAGCCAGAGCACTCAGCGCTGAGTTTTCCTGTCTTGCCATGGCGGTCAGGTTGCTTCGAGGAAATCGCTGGCTGATGTCTGGCTATACGTGGCGACGGGGACACTAGGCATGAGCTGTCCGGAATAAGCAATCAGGAGCATTATTTGGGTCTGGGCTTTGAGAGGAGAGCATAGTCGACGACGCAGCAATGAGTTTGTGATTCGTCCCAGTCAACACAACACCCTGCACGCTTGGAGTGCATATTGCCCCCCTATCTGTAATCAGGGGATGATCAAAATGTGCCTCCTGTCGTAGTAGTACACCTGACTTGCCTCGTGGGCTGTGTGATGAATGGGCTTACTGCTTGCTTAAGGATATCGCTCTTGGAGTGGATGGAGTCTGAGAAATACGTGAGAATTCCTAAACAAGCTAGGCAAGCCCAAGCTGCTGATATTCAAAGAAGACTTGTCAGATCACTAGAGGCTGCAAGTGAGCAGCCAACTTGATTGACAGACGTAGCCAAGTAATGCTTGAAGTGAGGCAGTAATGAAGTGAGAGGTTGAGGTTTGAAGAGCTCAAGCTCTAGAGAAGTGCCAGACAGACCTCTCGCTACTATTACTGCTGCGAACCTCTTCAGAATGTAAAAGTCGAGTGGACGGTTCTGACCGTCTTCTGGCTGACCTGAATTCCGACAAGGGAGTGCAGATGTGCCAACTCGGCGGACTTTGTCGAGCCGCTGTTAGCTGCCGCTGTCAGTGAATGCGTCTCCAAATCAGAGGCCGCAAAAATCTCGACGTCGACTGGACGCAGAGTGCCCATACGAATCCCACTACAGCTGCCAGGTAGGTGCTGCAAGTCATCCTGCGCTGTCCCAAAGGATGGGCCTTTGCGAGGCGACTTAGGCTTGATCGAGCTAGGCCATTTGATGTAAAGCATACCGAACAGCACAACGTCAATGATTGGCTTTATAGAGACCACATGCCCAGTGATGGTTTCTGGCCAGATGTGTTCTTGGAAGAAGCTTGGGCGCAGAATGAGGCCAATTCCAACAACCAGAAAAGGCAATGTTGCGAGCATGGCTACAAGCGGAAACATCAACATCCGAGTGGAGGTTCTTCCGTACTCTGTACGCTTGTTAATCTCCTGTTGGCTTTGAGCTTTGCAAACGTGTTGCAATAGTCGTCTCGTTTGGAAACTGAGTCGCAGTGAGGCTAATGGAAATGTGATTAGACCAATTGAGAACAGTAGCCCAAAAGGAAATACGATCACATAGGTGAATTTCTTCATGTATAGAATGTTGACGTAACAAGCGAAGTGAGTTGCGACCATGAATGGCACATCGTAAAGCGATCCCATGACGAGTGGAAACAATGAACCAATGCAGAAGGGAATAGCGTACACGATTGCAAGAAGGGACGCAAAAGCAGGCAGTTGTAAGGGCTTCAGTCGATAGACCGACAACAGTGAATGCGTTCCGATAGCTGCAATAGAACAGTGCGATAGAAATCCGCCAGTGCCATGGAGCATACCTAGAGATTAGTCAGATTGGCGGCCACAGGGAGCATATCTCGCACCTTGAGCCCAGCATCTGCTTGTTAGAACTCGTCCTGGAAGTTAGAAAGGCTTACAAGGTCGATGGAGCAATCATAGCCCCTCTGATCAGGTGAAACGCGGCGCAGAAGCTTCCCAATGCCAAGAGAGTCTGTGCCAGCAGCAGGCTGCCCAACAAAATTAGCAGCTGTGATTGAGCGCTCTCTGGTCGACGCAAAGCGCGGAAGTCGATCTGTAACTCGCCCCGACCGGCCAACCAACGAAGAATGCATGCCACAGCCAGCAGAGTGACTAGTGAGATTGTTGAAGTCGCTGTAACGACCTGTTTGATAAGTATCCGTACATTTGAAAAGCCAAACGAGCTTTACCTTCATAACAATCTCAGTCCCAGGCTGAAGAGGGATCTGCGAAAATGGTGCAGGGAGGGGCCTTGTCTCTGTCCACGGGCCAGCTGCAGCCAACCGGCCAAGCGTGGAAGATTGACTTTGTCCCATCATTAACCAGATAAGTCAATACAAGGTCAAAAGAGGCATGGAAGGAGTGTAAGAGCCTTGCAGAGCCTTTCAGAGCCTTCAATGAGTGTCTCGTCCGTGCGAGTCAGACTTGCCAAATTGCCAGGGGCAAAGGACCTCAATTGATCTGCTTCGAATAGACCCGATCGCTACTCCACCCTCATCAATTGCAACCATTTGAGCGCAAACATACGCGGCAGACTCCGGCAGTGGTTTAAAGAGGTTCAGATCGATTGGCCCCTTAGTAACCCTCCTGTCACTCAAATTACAGATACGCCGACTGTGTGGTTAACACCAGATCCTGGTGCCTTCTTGTCGTATAGATAGATGTGCGAGTACCTCAGTAGCTCAAAATGTGATTGATTGCCTTCGTTCTGTAAGCGTAAATGACGGATAGCACATCGCTGATGGCCCTCTTACCTCACCTGCACTGATCTAGCAGGGGGCTGAAGTTGTAGCTTTACATGATGCGTCGTACTCAATGGTCCTTTGTTACATCTGGCCACGATGCAAATCAATTGAGCTATGTGTTCAGGAGCATTTATGTAGCTGCCAATTTCGATGACTAATGTCAATAGCCACGACAGATTCGGGCAAGCCCATCGGCTGGAGTCGGTCGACAAAACAGTCTTCCAGCATCTCGGGAGCCTATGGGCTCAGGAGTCAGGACTTCAGGTGGTCAGCTGCAGAGACAAAAGGCGTAGATGATTTCGCGATACCAGCACGTGAAGTGATAGTCATGTTCAGATGGTGTGATGGTCCGCCACCGGATCCTGCAGCTAGCGCCAAGCCTGTGCCCAGAGCAAGTTGCTGAGACAGACTCGAAGGACCATCATCCACCCATTGCTCGCAAATGATTTGAGCTGCAATGTCGCTTGAACATTCAATATTGTATGACACAAGTGGCCGAGGTCTGATTCAAGAATAGGTCAAGAAGCTCATCAATTTTGGCTACATCTGCATTGATCGCACTCTAAATGAACCTCGAGCATGATTTGAGCTCGATCGAACGCGGGGTTCCATGTGTATATATAACAGGCTGTTGATGAGAGGCAAGAACAAGTTTGCAACGATCGTACAAAGAATCAGTGTATGTGACCAGTAAAGGACCCCGCCAGAATGGACAGCGAAAATCACTGTGAGGACATAAGGCATTGTGCTGACGAAAGTCGCAATGGGCAGGATGATCATCCTCCTCGACACGCGAAGGATGTTATTGTTGCCCTTGCAGGTGGTCGTTTGCGATTCTCCTGATAATGTGCTACGCAGGCTCAGTCGCTTGAGCTCGTTGCCATCCTTTCGCAGGCGATAGCTAATCACAGGATAGGCGACAAACGCAATGAGATTGTTGATCAAGAATGGTAGAAGAACAGTGACGATCTTCTCCACGCGCCAGATACTACCAACGGAGCAGTGCATGAGATTTCCCAGCATGAAGACTGGCATCATGCTCCTGTACCATACTTGCAAGGCCAAAGGGAATAGCAAGCCAATCGTAGCGATCTGTAGCCAGGTTAAGGCCAACATGATGCGAAAACATTGCACTTGCATAGGCCTTTTGAATTGTACAACATGGAATGTATGCACAGCGATGCAGGTGATCAGGCAATGAGACAAAAGATGCGCCATCTTGATCAAAAGGCCTGTTGTCAGTGAAAGTCTCATGCTTCATGTCTTTACCTTGTATCGTGCAGCTACAAGTCAGTCTGATGGATCATCATATTATAGGTTGTTCCTTACGGGATTGATGGGGAAATTACTTTACCGCTGGCCAAATGAACAGTCGAGAATAGATAGCCGGCGCTTAACAAGACTTGGGCTAGTAGGAGATGTGCAAGCAAGATGGTGAACTGAGTGCGAGCAGTGCTAAGATCCCACTTGGCTGGCCGTTCGCAGACGTTCTTTCGATGTATTTCAAGGATGATGAGCAGTAGCACAACAGCCCAGATGAGCAAGGATAGTCCTGAGATAACCTGGTGTGGTTGGTAAAATGCAAATTTCTAGGTTGTCGCTTACGATTAAGACATTCATTTCGTGGTCGGCCAAAGGATTCAAGGTCCAAGGAACGGGCAGAGGTCGAGTTGCATTCCACGGGCCAAGAGCCACTTGATGACTGAGATAAAAGGACTGGTTGACTCCCATTGCAATATCGGTTGGCGTTGGTGTAGCTGGGCACTACTCTTGAGAGGACGAGATCCGGCGATGCAGTGGCAGCAGCGCAGGTTGACGGTTGCATGCAATATCGCGCCATCAGGAGATACCACTTTGTGATAGTATGCAGAAACCGGTTGACGAGAGAGATAAGTCACAACATGTTCTGAGCCAATCATTGGAGAGGCTCTAATCATGTGGAGAGGGTCGCAACGACTCACGCGTCGTGGACGTACGATTCCTGTCAGCTGATTGCTCTTGGTTGCAAGGAGATTTAGGAAGACGAAATTTCTTCAGGGGTCAAGAGTGAAATTTGAAATTGGCCATAAGGCAATGCGCGTGATCAGACTATTACCAGCTACCCTGAGGAGGGCATGGTCGTACTGTCAGACGATTCAAACGGGCCAAACGAGCCGAGATAATGTGTCATCGCTCTACAACAGAAGGAGTGAACGAAAATGTGAAGTAAGAACGACCTCCGAAGTGTGAGACTGGAGCAATAAAGTCTAGGCTAGGTCTGCCAGCGTCACAATAATGACTCGCAGGACCCCATGAGTCGTCACTTGGGAATCGGCTTAGGTAGCGCAGAGCCCGGCTGAAAGTCGACCGTCCTGATTTTTGAAAGATGGTAGACAGCTGTACTGTCATAATCGTAGTCACTCAAACTTTCCCTAGCCGCCGGGCTGCTGATAAAAGTCTTTACAGTCCCTTCTCCCAAGATGAAGGGCACCTCGTCCATGTTCATCTCAGACCCAGTGACATCAGCAGCGGACGACTGAGAGTTTTCAGGAGTTGCCGATGGTTTGAAGAACGAAGTCAGGAAGAAGTAGATGACACAGGTGACCAAAGGAGCAGATGCGGCAGAGTAGCCCACCATAATAACCGTCCAGGACTCAGCTTTGAAGCTCAATGGAGTCAGCAATCCCATCATCGACAAAGTGAGAAAGGGAAGTGTGACAATGACCGTAGCGATCGGGAACATGAGGACGCGCTTTGAGGCTCGGAGAATGTCTCTTTCTCTGCCAACAGCTGCCTCCGTATTGGGACCTATCCGTCTAAGACGAGCGGAATGCCGTACAAGTTTGACGCTGATGAATGGGTATAGAAAGATGCCGACGCTCAACAGGGCGACTGAAGGAACGTAAACCACAATGATCTTCTCAATTCGCCAAAGACCGCTCACAAAACTTAATGTTAGTAGATGACATGGCATGTAGAATCTTACCATACTATGCTGCTAAAGGTGAAGAATGGAACCTCATTGAGAGAATGATAAACCAAAGGATAGACGAAGCATAAGGTCAATGTCAGCATCCAAGTCACGATGTTTAGCATGACAAAAAGGTTGAGGGACATGGGCTTCAATCTGGACACACTGCATGTTAGAGAAGTCCTCATCCCGTAGACCTTACCAATACGCAGAGTGCGTCGCAATGTTGGCGATAGTAAAGTGCGTGAGCGTATGAGATCCGAATAGAAAGATGCCTTGTGCTTGGCACCTACCATTAGCGTTAGCCTCGGTGTTCAAGCTCTTACGTCGGGCTCGGCGAGATGATCTGGCCCTTGATGAGATGTATGGCAGATATCAAGTAGCCAATCAACTGAAGGACCTGAGCCAGGACTAAGTGACATATAAGGATAAGCATTTGTGACCGAGTCGTAGTCGGATGGCTCAGTGCTTGCCAGTTCACATTTACTCTCCTTTGTGAAGAGAAGCGAAGGTAGAAGAACATCCCGACCATCGCTGCAAACGAGAAACCCACGATAGCCAACATGCCCTGCATCGTCAGCCACGCCATTCTAAGCTGAAGTCTTGCTTACCTTGAGGACTACTTTTGTTGTTGCCTGTAGGGTAGCCTCGCTCCATGGACTCGGCAATGGGTGTGAGCTGTTCCACGGCCCAGCCGCTGTCAATTGCTGCAGGGTTTTCGATTGCTGGGATCCCATGATGCTAGGCCTGTATCAGACTATCAGGGACGTGGCTGCTGTCGTCGATTCGAATGCGCAAAGCCTTAGCCGTGGCCAGGCCTTCTTGATGCAGAGCTCGCAACTTGACGGTTCCAAATTTACAGTGATCAGGGGCAGTGATGAGCAGATCATTAAAAACGGGAAGCACAAATATCACAAAGTGCAAGCCATAAGGGAGACTGCATGTGTTTGATGTGATGGAGAAGATATCGAAAAACGTGTGTCTCGGGTTTGGCGATGGTGTACTCCCTGAGAGAAAGGAAGTCGAGCCATTGTCATCAGTGCTGAAAGTTGCACCAAGTTGCACCAAGTTGCACCAAGTTGCACCAACAGCTTCGTTTGATGACACTGAAGGCTGATCACATATCTCGATTGAAGCATCATGGTCAGATTGCCTTGTTGTTTCAAGTGTTGCAACAGAGGGAAAGCTGGCATTTCAGCAGAACCCAATGCTCACAAACACAGATAGTCTTCGTTGATTCGAACCTTTAGCGTGCTTCGTCTCCAGCTGCAGAAATGTGATCTCTTGTGACCTTGCGGCGATCAGCATGTTCTGCGAAGCACTTCTTGCGATGTAGCCCCATAAATTCGCCGCTTTATCGCGAACAATCGTCGTGCTCACTGGGCTGGTTTTGCGGTTACTGATACATCAGAAGAAGGGGAAAAGACTCAGATTGCGTGGAAGACATGATAAAAATAGCATCAGCGATGAAGCCTTTGTAGACATCACTGCCTTTTGGCGTTACCAGAGAAAATTACAACATGCGACTTGCGAATGCTGCGTTGAGAGAAGAGAATCTGAAGAAATGTAAAAAGGGCAAGATTGTCCCATCTTGACAGCATCGCAAGGGGAAGAACCAAAGCCGCGAACTATTTCGGCCTCGGGATGAATGCAGCTTGACTTAGTGGTGGGCAATTACATTGGGGAACGTCCAGGAAGGACAAAGCCTGGTTGCACGTCAACCGTCTTGATCCTGCCCTCTGAGAAGTTTGTCTCAAACGAGTAGTAGATTGAATTGTCCTTGACAGCTGGACTACTGATGTAGGTCTTGACGGTATCTCCGTCCATGGGAAAGGGCAAGTCGACACCACCCGCCTCACTGCCTGCAAGCTCGGACATTTCAGTAGTGTCTACTGAAGAAGATGATCTGAAGAATGAGGTCATGAAGAAGAAGAAGATGCAGGCGAAGAGTGGAGCAATTGCAATGCACATGCCAACCAGCATGATTGTCCATGAGTTTTCCTCCAGCACTTTTGCATTTTGAAATCCCATGATGGACAATGTCAGAAACGGTAGTGTGATGATGATTGTTGCCAATGGGAACATAAGGACGCGCTTTGATGCACGGAGGATCTCCTTTTCTGTACGAGTTACTGCGTGAGTGCGAAGTCCTGCACGACCGAGACGTCCAGAGTGGCGTACGAGCCGGTAACTGATGAATGGGTATAGAACGATAGTGATGCCAAGAAGCACCAGACACGGGACGTAAACTGCGAGAATCTTTTCCATCCGCCATAGATTGCTGACAAAGCTGTGTGGTTAGCATTTGATGGACGTCGGGACGATCCTACCAGGCTATGCTGCCGAAAGTGAAGAAAGGCACATCATTGCGGGCGTTGTGGATATGTGGAAAGACCAAGCTGATGGAAAGGGTCAAAATCCAAGTGACGACATTGAGAAGAACGAAGCAATTTAGAGCCATTGGTTTCAGCCTCGATATGCTTCAATGTCAGCGCGACATAAGGATCTGAGATACTCACCAGTATGCCGAGTGCGTTGCAATATTCGCAATCGAGAAGTTTGTGAGGATATGGGAAATAAAGATGATTGTCCCTTGCGTCTCACAACTATTGTCAGCTTGATTGGGACCACAGCACTTCTTACGTCAAGCTCGGTGAGATGATTCGCCCTTTGGCAAGATGTATGGCAGACATCAAATAGCCAATCAATTGAAGTGCCTGAGCAAAGACCAAATGACAGATGAGGATGAGCATCTGCGATTGCGTCGTAATTGGACTCCTCAGCGCTCGCCATTTCAAGATAACTCCTCTGCGTGTGTCGGAGAAGCGCAGGTAGATTGCCATGACTAGCATCGCGACGAATGAAAGACTCGTGACGCCTACAATACCCTAATTCATCAGCTTCGTCGTCGACTCAATGGTATGCTGACCTTAAGAGTCTTCGCCGTAAAGCTTGGTATGGTGTCCTGGCTCCATGGCCTTGGCAATGGATGCGAGCTATTCCATGGTCCTGCTGCACTCAAGTTGCGCAAGGCTGCGGATTGTTGCGATCCCATGCTAGCGACCCTTCTGATGTGTCAAACCTTCTTTGCGATCCAATTTATGAGAAATGAAAGTCAGAAGAGACAAAGAGCCCGGTTAGCGTGTGTGCATCCCAGATGGTTGATCTTCAGGAGTTTCGAGCACTACACCATGTGCATCCTGACACTTCACCGTGCATGCGGCACGCGAATAGGAAGCTGCAAGCAGTACAATCGCCCAAAGCTGGCAAAATACCTCACTGTAATCGAGCCGCGATGCGAGTCGATCTGCATCAATTTCAAAGTAGAATCGAGCAGGGTCACCTTGTCGTACCTTCGTATATGAGCGTTTAAATGCCGCCAAATCCAGTTGCCATGTTTAAAACAAATCTCCTGACTAGCAGAGGGTCATGTGAGATGTGACATAAGACAAGACGAGATAATTCCAGACGCTCACAAGACCCATGTCGTCTCTGGAGGCAAACAATGAAGCTGTAGTGGACATGGATGGGTCATGTTTGTGGCTGGATCAACGTCCTCGAGAAGATCACTAGCGTAGATAACCAATCGCCCCCCAGGATTCATCTCAGTTCGTTGTTTAGCATTGCCGACGTCGTATGTAGCTGAGCCGGGTCTGGCAGAAGAGCAGCAAGCTTAAATTTGTTTGTCGCAGCGTCGCTTCGTTCTCGTCTTCGCCGTCGTTGTCCTTCCCCACTTCACTTTCGCATCGACAGCAGCAGCCCCAGCAAACAACTCCTTGCACCGGGCCCATGCTCATTCGGAGCAGGCCTCTTGCCAGTAAAGCACTCCGCTATGCATCGAGCACCAGTAATGGCACTTCGGCTCGACGGCGTGAAAAGTCCCTACGACGGGCCCTTCTCTATATCCCTGGCTCCTCAGAAAAGATGCTCGCCAAGTCCATCAACCTCAAGGCAGATGGGTTGACCTTTGACTTGGAGGATTCTGTGAGCATGGCAGCGAAACCAAAAGCACGGAAACTCGTGTCGCAGCATTTACAACGGTATGCACGCGGTACGCAGGAACGTATTGTACGGATTAATGGGCGTGGGACTGGACAGTTGGCAATAGATGACTTGGCCATGATACAGGGACTGCAGATTGATGCTGTCATGCTACCAAAGACGGAGACTGCAGAAGATGTGCAATGGCTAGCAGGGAAATTGCCTGCCGGTGTCCAGATCATTGCTATGATTGAGAGTGCCTCGGCCATCATGAACTTGAAGAGTATCGCTTCTGCACACAAGCAATTGACGGGACTCGTCTTTGCAGCGGAGGATTTCGCAGCGAGTATGCAAATCACGCGGTCTCCCAGTTTACGTGAGTTGCTCTTTGCAAGACAAGCGGTTGTCACGGCAGCGCGAGCATATGGTCTCGACTCGATTGATCTCGTTTGCACATCCTACAAGGACTTGGAACGCCTGAAGGAAGAGTGTATCGAAGGTGCCTCATTTGGCTACAGTGGCAAACAAGCCATCCACCCAGCCCAAATCAAGGACATCAAGAAGCATTTCTCGCCGAGCAAAGAACGCGTTCGCTGGGCTCAGGGCTTGCTTAAGCGATGGGAGTCTGAGGAACGCGGTGCTTTTGAGTTTGAGGGCAAGATGATTGATGCTCCTGTCATCCTGAGTGCTCAACGGATCGTGGATCTACATCATCGTGGATTAGAGCCTATCCGTGGTTTGATACTCGGTGCACCTGGTGCTGGTAAAGGAACACAGGCCAAGCATATTATGGGCAAATACCCTGATATCAGCATCTTGTCTTCCGGTGACTTGCTGCGTGATCACATGAGACGCGGCACAGACCTTGGCAAGCGAGCACAGGACAAGATTACGCGTGGTGAGCTGATTGACGATGATACGATGTGTGACTTGGTCATCAACACGATCAAAGAACGAGGCTTCACGGCCAAGTCTTTCTTTCTCGATGGTTTTCCTCGTACGGAGGCGCAAGCAGCAACCCTGGACAATTACCTGTCTGAACTTGGCACTCCGCTCAACTTTGTGGTCAACCTGGATGTCCCCTACTCTGTCATCATCGACCGTATCGTCAACCGCTGGATCCACGCACCATCCGGCAGAACCTACAATTTGACCTACAATCCGCCTCAAGTGGCAGGCCTGGACGATGAGACGGGAGAGCAGTTGACGAAGCGACTGGATGATAATGTCGAGACGTTCCAGAAGCGGTTGGCCGAGTACGATGCCATGACGACGCCGCTGAAGGACTACTACGATGAGCAGGGTATTTTGAATACATTCACGGGGGAGACGAGTGATGTGATTTGGCCGCAGCTGGAAGAGGCCTTGTACAAGGTGCAGTAGCAGACTTATATAGATATACCCAGATATACACCAGATATTCACCAGATATAGACCCCCAAGTAGACTTCTCGTCCACTTCTAACCCTGCGCGAAACCTTTGCTGGATTACGTACGGGAGCAAGAGCTACTACACCTACAAAAGCATAGCGCAATGAACACTCCGCAGGGCCAGGCCGCCTTCAAGCAGTTCCGCAATGCGATGCAGAAAGTCAGGACAGCAGGCAGTGCAGGTGGCGGCAAAGGATCCGGCGCTGCAGGACCTCTTGCCGGTGCAGGCGGTCTCATCCTCCTCGGCGGCGGCGCGCTCGTCTTGAACAATGCCATCTTCAACGGTTCGTCTAGCTTCAGTATCATGCACAGAATGACAGTAAACTGACATGGCTTTTAGTGGACGGAGGTCACAGGGCCATAAAGTATACACGACTCGGCGGTGTCAAGCCAGACATCTACAACGAAGGCACACACTTCCTGCTGCCGTGGTTCGAGCAAGCCATTGACTACGATGTCCGTGCCAAGCCGAGAAACGTTGCTTCATTGACCGGCACAAAAGGTCTGTCTCCGCTCTTGTCTTGCTTTGCATGCTAATTTCTTGGATTAGATCTTCAAATGGTCAATATTACATGTCGTGTCCTCTCGCGGCCCAACGTCGCCGAGCTGCCTACCATCTACCGGACACTCGGCGAAGACTACGACGAGCGCATCTTGCCATCCATCGTCAACGAAGTCCTCAAAGCAGTCGTCGCTCAGTTCAACGCCTCGCAACTCATCACTCAGCGTGAAAAAGTCGCTCGTCTCGTTCGTGATAACCTCGCTCGTCGTGCTGCTCGCTTCAACATCCTTCTCGATGATGTCTCCCTGACGCACGTCCAATTCTCGCCTGAATTCACAGCAGCGGTTGAGTCGAAACAAGTTGCACAGCAGGAAGCTCAGCGTGCTGCATTCATTGTGGATCGTGCACGTCAGGAGAAGCAAGGAAAGATTGTTACGGCACAGGGTGAGGCACGGAGTGCAGAACTCATTGGTGATGCATTGAAGAATAAGCCACAGTATGTTGAGCTCAAGAAGCTAGAGACGGCGCGTGAGATTGCACAGTTGGTGGCATCCGGCAGTAACAGGATTTTACTGGACTCGGATACCCTCTTGCTCAATGTCAATCGCTCAGAAGAGGAGCAGGCGCAGAGGGCCAAAGGACGCAAGTTTTAGAGAATCTCCTGTAGCTGCAGCATCTTGTTTAAGTACAAAAACCCTATTCTAAGCAAAGAAGATGAAGCGTTCATTCATACAAGCGCAGGTGAAGGAGCAGGTGTCGCCGGCGTGTCTCCAGGACGTGGCATAGCGTTCACCACGCTCGTATCCATTTTGGCAACTTCAAAAGAGCTTTGAGGTACGCCACTGCGAATAAGCCAGCTCTCGAGCACTTCAAGGGGCACGGGAATCGTGCGTCTCAGCGAGCGTACAATTACATTGAGCCAGGCCACACTTTGTGAGTGCTCGCCAATAATATGCAGAGGCATCTTCACTGTATGCAGCAACTGGCGAGGAATCTCCTTTTGTGGGTGTCGTTGTCGCAGTGCTTTCAACAGACCATGCACAGTTGCATTGACATGCTCAATCGCATCAGGCGAGTACGCGCCTTGTCGTACCATAAAGTCCGTCTCAAATGGATTGATGGTCGCTTGCGTGCTGAGGTCAATCAATCGCTTGTTGCCCAGAAACATACCAAACCGGATATGTCCCAGATCAGCACGCAAGTTGGGTGTTGGACGCTTCATAACAATCATCAGTCCAGTTGGACTCAAGACATGCGCCGCAAACAACTCTGTCAGCTCCAGGGCTTCTGCCGGATCAATTGATGGGCGGCGAGGCTTTGGCGTGTCCCTGTGCTTGAAACGGCGATGAGGCATATGAAGCACGCGCTCGAGTCGTCCATGTGAGCTGATGCCCAGTGTCTTGGCGGTGATGTTGGCATCGACTTTAGCCATCAATTTACCACCAAATGACAAGCGACGCACAAAGCGATGTAGAGTGCCATAATCCTCTCTATCAAAATCGATGCGCAGCGTCAAGTTCTTGGTAGCACTATCGTAGGCAGGTACTTGAACGCGAGCAATAATTCGATCCTCAAAATCCATGACATTCATGCTGAAGGCTTCCACTTTCATAGCTGGTGGGAGTTTGATGAGTGGCGTTGAGGTAAGACTGAAGCCGCTATCGTCTACAGAGTGGACCTCTGCTGGCATGGCCTCAAAGCGACGCAAGTCACGACGTGTGACGCGAACATGATCCAAATACCGCTGAAAGTGGCCACCGGTGCGAATATACGCAAGCACGAAAAAGACGGAGAACAGCAGCCCAAGAATCCCACCAACAGTGAAGAACAGTGTGCGCCCTGACACGCGCGATTTGACTTTACTGAAGAAGTTGCGTTTCGTATCCGTATCTTGTGGAGCGGGAGGTGGAGCGGGAGCATGAGCAGACTCTTCTGCATCGTACTGACTCAATTCCAATTCTTTGGAGTTTGGCAGAGCTTGCTCCTTTTTAGGCATTCGCCACATTTGACCCAAAGAACCCAACATGCCGATTCAAGAGAAGCGAACAAAGCAGTATTTGAAGGCCCAACGTGTCTCATGATGCGTTTGAAGTCGACAGCCGAATCAGTCGTGTTGATACGTTGAAACTGATGGTCGCGGCAAACAAGTGAATGTCCTGCCAAGGAAACCCCAAACTGCTTGCTGCCTTCAAACGGATGGCGTTGGACAAACGCAATGACAATTGACGCGACCAGTCCTTGCAAAGTAGACAGCGACAAGAAGCACGAGCAGCGCAAAGAAGAAGGCAGTGGGCGACATGCCGCCATCTATAGGGTGTAAGGGCCGAGCAGCAAATGCAATAGTATCGATGAGACTGTTTAGCCCGGCGACACCCTCTTCTAGCGTTCTGATGGTACCAGCATGCTCTTCGTAGGACGGTGGTTCGGGTAGCACTTCCTCCGCTTGAGATTCTTTGATTGGATGCTCCGTTTCGTTGAAAGCGCGCTCTGGCAGTAAGGGTTGCACACAGGTGGATGAGGACGAAGATGCCTGCGTGATATTTTGTACAGGGAGAATATTCTCCTCCCGTAGAGCCAGGTGCCGTCCAGTGTCGTGGCCATCATCACTGCTTTCCTGTCGCAACAGCAAGCTGGTACTACCAGGTGTTGAAAGAGCGTCTTGTGCAGACATGATGGAACGTTCGAGCATTTCAGACAATCGCAAGAAAGAAGTATCTCGCTCATCCTCATCACTATCGGAGGTGGACTCTTGCTTGCGCAATTGTGTAGGCCAAGACTGTTTGGCCAAGGGCAAAGAGTAGTTGAATGTTACAGATGGTTTCTTTTGTACATGGTTCCGTCGGGTTGCCAGTGGACTGACAGATCGTTCCCACGATTTGAAATAGTTCTCTTTAGCGTCTGGCCGAGTAGATGCAGCCTGCAGCGTGGATGCAAGCACACTGAGCTGGTTCAGCAGGTCTGCATGGGAGAGCTTGTTTGTCGCGACTGCTTGTTGAATGCGAGACAGTTGCGCAAGTGCCTCGGTTGTCTCTGTGCGCATATACGCTGCTTAGTCTGCTCTCCCACCGACGAGACCCTGCCTAATGAGCCGACCGCCTTGATATAAGTTGAATGAGGTGTCTTGGTGTCTTTGGTCGCATCTCGGAAACTTCCATCGCGACTCCTTCTCCTGAACCAACACAAGCTCAAGAAGACCAGCAGGACTCAGGAGGTCTCTGCGCGTGCTCGGCGCAAGATGCAGCTCACTGGATACTCAGTGCGTCACATGCTACACTCCATCTTGGATGAGACGGTCCACGCTGTCAATGTGCGCTGCTTGCTCAAAATCATATGAGTGCATCCCACTGACCAGCTCAGATTGAATGCACTCTGCAAGCACAGCATCTGCTGGATGGACTGATAGAAGCTGCTGCTCATGAAGTCGTCAACGAGGAAAAAATAAGGCTACAGGCACTTGCTTTCCAGCGTGAAGAAGAGCTTGCAAAACAGGGATGTCTTGTCGGAGCGCAACTTCACGACCAGGTCTCTCGTCTTTTGCTCGAGATTGTGGACAGCGCTACCAATTCAGCTTCTGCGCTTCATCCAGGCACTGTCACATCAGATGCCATCAAAGCTACGTCTACGATTGTAGAGGCTAAACCTTGCTCGGCAGCGGAAGAGACAGTCAAAGAGCCGGACTCTGTCAAGCCCCTTAGATCAGAACCTGCATCAAAGAGCAAGATTAGGCCAGGCCTTGCAGATGCCTGGGTCAAGCGCTGTCTTGGTTCCTCATCATCGTCTCAAGTCCTCTTTACACCAAAGAAACGACTGCGAATTGATAAGTTGCCGCCAAAGAAGCGCATCAAATCTCTGCAAGCACCGGTGTTGAGCATCAAGCCTGTATCAGACGACCCTCCTCCTCCCTCGAGTCAGTGCATCAAAGAAAAATCCTCTGCGCAAGACGACCCTTGCATAATTGCGTCAGTCTCTGAAGAGCTGGATAGACTTTTGGATCTTGCAGCAGTCGTAGGGGAAGAGTCTACAGCCATGCAACTCAGGTGGAATGAAGCCATGCAGGATGCTCTACCAGCGCGCAAACAGAAGCGTAAGCAGCTCAAATTACATCAGTCTGTGGCACAAGTTGTGGTTGCACCTCCTATCGTCAAGTCGCTTGTTGAAGCAAAGAGCACTATTGCAATTCCAAAGAACAGTACTGAAGCACCCTCATCAGACTATCTGCTCACAGACATGTTCTCGGATGGTGAAAGCTCAAAACCTGTGGAGCCTCTCAAGAAGCGCCGAAAGTTCTGTGCACCGTCCGCAAAGCCAATCTGTTCTGCTGGGTTGGCAATCACCTCGGCGCATGAGGTGGAGTTGGATGGAAAGAGCATGTCTACAATCAAGAACGAGGATAATCCCGAATACCGCTCTACACAAATGCCTCGTGAAGAGTGCGGCACGTCAACGAGCCTGACGAATTCTCTCATCAAGGACGCTCCCAAGAAACGCCCAAAAGCTGGGATTGTACTGCCAGTGACAAAACAAGTCAGAGCTGTCAATGCGGCACCGAGCACAATCGACCATCAGAGTACTGCTCTTGTCAAACCTAGTGCTGGCGGGGGCGGCTGGGAAACGGCAGCTGGCAAGAAGCTTGTGATTCAACGAGATCCCGCGCTCGCCGCCGAGTGGGAACAAGCCAAGGGATCACAGCTGACAGCTGAAGCCCAGGATGCAAAGGAAATACAGCGACTCAACATGGAAGTGTCACAATTGCAGCGCCAACTGGCTCAGATCAATGAAGATGTCAAGACATGCGAACGTGCTAGTGCAATGTTGGAGGCAGCAGAAGAAGACAAGGTGCTCAAAGCGACGCAAAAATGGCGTATGGTCTGTCAACTTGCATGTGACGAAATGCTAGGCAGTGTCTTGCACAAGATTGAAGCTGCTGGTGGCTTTGTAGCCTGGCGAGAGCAACTGGCCCATGGCAATACATTTGGTGGGAGTTGGGGATGGCAAGAAGTGACGAGGGTGGAAGAATATCCAATGGATGCTGAAGACAAGGCTGCCTTTGGTATTGAAGAATGCTTCTCGATGGAGATGCTCCTTGCACAATTTGGTGTCAAGCCTGAGCTTGTTGGATGGGACTGCGACCTTCTCAGGTGGCAGTCGGAGTGTTTGTGAGGCATTTTCAAAGGTTCATTGTGGATCGGGTCCGTCGCTAGATGCGCAACGAATCTAGATTTAGTCCTTCGCTGCTTCTGTCTCCATCTAGGTCTTCTGTTGATCATCTATCATGCTATGCACTTTACACGGCTGCACTCCGGTTGCTTCCTCACCTCGTTGAAATCTCGTTTGGCATGTTCTGCCATTTGAAGTCAAGTCGATGTCGAGCCATTCTCTATCTCTGTGAGGGTATCTTGACTATGAGTAGTCTTGGTCTCTGTTAGTACACGGGTCTACAATGACTCTACATGTAGGTCGCCATGAAGCCAGGGTCTGGTGTCGATGGTGACTTCTCACGCTTGTTACGCGACATTTAAACACTTCACAAGCTTCAAGCCTTCATAGATTGATCTCACTCCTCATATATACAGCTCATCATCTGCAAGACCAGTCATGGCCGTCAAAGCATGCTTATTCGATATGGACGGCCTGCTCATAGACTCAGAGTCCATCTATACCCAAACCACAGAGCTCCTGCTAGCAAACCACGGCAGACCTGCCAAGTTCCCTATTGAAGTCAAATCCAACATGATGGGTCGACCAGGACCCCAAGCGGCACAGGTGTTTCTCGACTGGGCACAGATCCCCGGATTGACTGTGCCAGAGTATATTGCTGAGCAAAAAGCACTGCAATTGACGCGTTTCCCGCATGTTCAACCGTTGCCAGGTGCAGTAGACCTAGTCTCACACTTGAAGCAACACGGTGTTGGGATTGCTCTTGCAACGTCAAGTACAAGCAGCAATTACGCTCTCAAGTCTAGTAACCTCGCTCGTCTCTTTGACTTGTTTGAAGAGGTACGCGTTACAGGCGACGATGCGCGTGTTGTGGGACGCGGAAAGCCTCAGCCCGATATCTTCTTGACTGCCCTTGCGGACCTCAATGCGCATCTTCGACAGAAAACTTCAGACCATATTGATATTCTGCCTGCAGAGTGTCTTGTCTTTGAAGATGGTGTGCCAGGAGTTGAAGCTGGTCTTGCTGCTGGGATGCGCGTGATTTGGGTACCAGATCAGCAAATTCTCTCCCTCCATCGGCATCAAGTAGATGAGATTCTGTGTGGACGTGGCGAGATGCTCCTGTCATTACAAGACTTTGACTATGCGAAATACGAGCTGCCAACCAAGTGAGAGCAATTGCATTTGGATGCTACAGTAATGGGTACGCTAATAGAGAATTCAGAGACAGCAAGAGTATGCGAGAGCTTCATTGTCTTCAAAGAGATGGGATGCAGCCTGCCTCGCGCCCGTCGACTGGATGTCGAAAGAGGAACCGCGATACCGCGACAGTGGATCTCTCGCATTGGCCACCGTGTAGCTGAATGCACTGCCCATGACACCCAAGAAGAAGGAAGATTTGAGCATGACGCCAAAGTCAATCGATCCTTGGTGGTCGAATGGCATCTCCTTGATGGCATGAATGATATCATCAGACGTCTTCGTTGGCCATTGTCGTGCAACAGACAGCTTGTCCACCACGTTCCAACCCCTCGCTGCACTGGCAAATTTGTTGATTTGGTCCTTGTCGCCGCATGCGAGATAGATGACCTTCTTTGCACCTTGTTTAGCCCACCCGTATTCCTTCCATGCACGCTCTGCTGCTTCCAAAACACGCGCAATTTGCTCATCCACAGGAGCCCAGCTACCGGCATCTGCTTCAACGCGGAAATGCACACCGATGAAGGGACCACCGGCCAATTTACCCATGAGTGCAGAAACCAGATTTCTCGGTCTCTCGTTGAATCGAATCAAGTGACCCAACTCGTACCAAATACGCAAGGTCTCGCCGGTTGGATCATCCGTCACTTTGTATGTTGTGAACGCCGACATGACATTGACAATGGTTGCACCCTTCTCTGGCACAGGAAATATCAAACGACCATGCCACTCTTCAATCTTGCGCGCTACTTGCGCATCGAAGAACTTGCGGAACGGATGACCCGGCCAGAAAACACCACGGAACAAGACAAACGCCGGGTCGGCCTCGAGCTCAACATCAAGGGTATACCTCCATTCCTTTGGATCTTCCTCCACCACCTTCATTTGTGGACAAGCGGCTTGCAGATGACTAATGACATGGTCTGCATCAAACCAATCGCGGTACGGCAGGTGATTTGAGTCATTCATAAAATTGTAGTTTGTGAGATCGTTGGAGTCGCGTAATGCCATTTTTGGTAGAACAAGGTTGGCCCCTGCGTCAACTGCCATCTTCATGCATACTTTGAGTTGTGACATGATGCTTGTGATGCCTTGGTTGATGCCTAAGCACTTGATGTAGTAATCTTCGCGCCAGTCGGTATGTTCGCACAAGTACTTCAGGTTGGAGAGTTGCATGCCTTCAAAGGGCTTTGGCGCCCATATTTGATCATAGTAGTCGTGTAGCTGCGGCGCGAGATGTGAAGAAGAGACTGAAGTACCGTCCAACACAATCGACAGCGGTGTTGTTGGTGTCTCATGGCCGAGCAAGGTCGAACCCAATCGTCGCGAGAAGCCCTTCGACCGGAATGTCAGCCAAAGGACGAAGCAGATGGCCGCGAGCCCCAAGACAGGCGTCAGTCTACGGCGGCCGAGCACAGTCATTTGCTGACCGCTGAGAGTGTTCCGTGGTAGGGATTGGAAATGGAGTTTTGTCGCGTTTCTTTCTTTTTGAGTTCAAATTCAACAAATCAAGCGACACGCACTGGGTTGCCAGTCTTTATGTCAGCAACACCGGCTACTCAGGCGAGGCCGACGTGTTGTAGAGCGTGTTGCGGTACAGGATGAGCTTTGTTTCCTTCTCCCATTTGAACTGCTTCAACTGCTGTATCTTCAAGCTGTCGACACGATCATATACCTCCCAGCCTGGTGTGTGAGCTAGTTGCCCAGGCTGCTGCACAATGGCAAACTCGAGCGAACCCCAGAATTCAGGGGAGTTAAGCAACGCCGGATCCTCTGTCTTTGTAATTGGTCGAGGGCCTGCTTGTAAGAAGCGTGAAGCGCCCGTCATACAAGTCAGTACATCGAGGTAGACAGGCCCAGTGCCATTCAGTGGTAGCTTGGCAAGTGCTTCACCGCCAGGATAGTTATGGGAGGAGATGAGGAGCATTGAGACGCTGAGCAGAGCTGTAGCTGGAATACTGCCCATCAGGACAAAAGCAGCGTATCGCCAAAAGAATGATTTCGTCCTGCGGTTGAAGATGTAGCTGGCGCCAATTGCAGCGGCGAGTGTCATTTGAGGCACGACGTAGATGATAAAGCGCCACTCTTTGTGCGGCTGGAACGAATACAAGCCGACGAAGGCTAGAGCTGGCATCAAAAATGAGAGGACCCTGCGATCCACAATGATGCCTAGCAGAATGAGAACTCCAGCCAAAGGATTCAACAGTAGCTTGACCAAGTCGAACGCGTAGGTGTAGAAAGGACTGGTTCCCCACTCTTGTGACTTGCCTTGAATGACATTGAACATGACAGATTGCACTTCGGGAGCCACGAGTACTTGCCAAAAGTAAGAATCAACGAGCGTCGTCAAGCCCAAGCCAACTGCCGAAGCTCGAACGCCAACACGGAGCGTACGCCAGAATGTCAAACGCTTTGTAATGAGCCAGTGGAATACAACATGCGTCGCCAGCAGTAATACAATCTCAGCACGGAAGATGAGTGCTGACAAAGTGAGCAGAACAAGTGCCGGTGTCAGACTCTCATTGGGCGTGATGAAGTACGTCGCAGCCAGAGTGGCTATTGTCAGTAATCGTAACGAGAAGAGCTCACTCACTGAATGGCATAGCCAAGAGATTGGGCAACGTCCTGGAAGCATAGTAGATGACATGGAACTGTGTCATTTGCAAAACAATGTACCACGTTCCGACAGTTGCGCCATAAACCCGTTTGGCAGCGTTTCGAAAGGCCACCAAGGCAGCCACATTGACAAGGCCCAAAACAGCCCTCGTTGCAACTTGTGACAGAGGGCCTACGATGGATTCGCCAAAGGACAACTTGCATAGATTAGTCAGGGGCCAGGTCAGCATGGACAGTCCTAGGGCGCCGATAAAGGTCCTGGGTACAGCTCCAGGGAACTCGAAATGGTCATAGTGCTGCAGAGCATCAGGCCTGACGCCGAATTGCAGAATGTCATGGACTGCTTGTAAGTTGAAGGACTCTTCAACCTTGGTGAAGGGGGCAACAACAGAGTACAGCAGTACAATCGCGCCAAAGACATAGTCCAAAATGTCCATGATGAAAAGATCTCTTGAAGGGGTCTGGGATGAGAAGACGTCTTCAAGACAGCAAAGGCCTTTCAATGGGCTCTGACAAACAAAGCTTCAATCCGCGACGTGGTGACAATTGCAGAACGTGAGCCGCAGGGAGAGCTTCGAACAGGAGCAAGCAGTATTTAGCTCAACAATATTCGACCAAAGAAGCCAGCTAGGGAAGCATGAATTCGATCGAGTCTTGAAGTCAAAGTGTAGTCGCAAGTATAAGTGGTGCCTTCCATCTCGATTTGTGACTGCCGCCCAGGACGCGACATCGCTGTCAAGTTCAGCGCGACGAAGGAGCATCAAACACCCCCAATCACAACTCTCGTCGTAGACGTCGCTCTAAGTACTACTTGTGCTCAATCGCTAGCTGCAAGATCCATGTTTTTCGGCTTTGGGTCTTTTTTCTACAGTACGCCGGCTTTTATCAGCTCTACAATCACTGACCCTTCCAGTCTCTCTGCTGCTAGTCAATTCAGTAGCTATCTTGTCTGAAGATCGATTCCTTGCTAGAAGTATGCGCATATGTTCTTCAACGATCTGTTTCTAACATGGCTAGTCGGCTGGAGTGCGACGAATGATCCTGGCTTCGGCACAGACGAGCAAAGCATAAAATCAAAACTCATTGGACTCATCAACTCGGTGCGCGTTGTTTTGAGAGGTACATCAACCATACGCCGCCTGCATAACTAACATTAGCACCTCTCATCCTTGTGAATACAGTCGTCATCTTTTATCTGCTGCTACTCGGCTAGAGCATCGCATTATGTACTGGATAGAATTAATGACATGACGCTCTTCGCTGCTTGCTGTAGGGACTATCTCTAAGCTTGCCTTGCAAACAGCTTCTCCGCCTGACCCCATCGGAATGTGGTTGCAAAGTAGATGAAAATGAGGATCATCAGCATGAACAGCGTATTCTTGATAAATGGATCATGCTCTGCTTCACGCACAACATCGAGGCCACTCTTCGCTTTTGGTATTGCTTGCTCCACAGGACTCTTGATTTTGTAGTCGCGCATGATTTGATTGGCAGTGAGCCGTGCGCCACTGAGGACAATAGGCACACCTGTACCAGGCTGTGTGCTTGCACCAACAAAGTAGAGGTGCTTGTAGTCCGCATGCCGAGTGCCAGGCCTGAACCAGAGAACCTGCAAGATGTCATGTGATAAGCCCAAAATGGAACCTTTGTGCAGATTGAAATCATTTTGCCAGTCTTGAGGTGACGAGACCATCTCACTCTGGATCAAGTCTTCGAAATTGGGCAAGTCAAGACGTTTTGCGAGTGTTTCAATAACAAAGGCGCGTGCTCGTTTCTGCAGCATGTCCCAGTCTTGCGGGCCTGCCTTCTCTGTAATGTAGCCAGCTGGAATGAGGATGACAAGCGAGTCCTTGTCTTCTGGGGCGGCACTTGGGTCAATCCTTGATGGCACATTCACGTAAAAGCTGGGCTCTTTTGGTAGAGAATGATCTTTGAAGATGTTGTCGAATGACTCTTGGTAGTCTTCAGCGAGGAAGATGTTGTGTGTGTCGAGCCCTGTAATCTTTTGCTTCATACTCCAGTAGAGACTGATGCTGGAACTGGTCAAATTCTTGTCATCCAGACGTTTGCTGTAGCTCGAGTCTGGCAGCAAGTTGCCGTATGCGTAAATCAAGTCCGCGTTGCACACAACGATATCCGCTGAGAGTTCCTCTCCGGACTCAAGCAAGACACCTGTTGCCTCCTTGGTCTTTTGGTCAATGTTGATCCGCTTGACTGGTGCATTGTACTTGAAAACGCCACCGTGCTTCTTTGCGATCCTCTCCAGCGCTTGAACCACGACATTGAAGCCTCCCACAGGATACCAGATACCTTCTGCCATCTCAGTGTATTGTAGCAAATTGTACGTTGCAGGCGCATCGAATGGTGACATGCCAAGATACATGGACTGAAACGTGAATGCGCGTCGCAGACGGTCCGTCTTGAAGTAGCGCGACGCACGGCTGTACACCTTATCCAGCACATGCAAACGCATCGCTTCCTTTGCGTTATGCCACGTCAGTAGTTGCCACAGCGACTCAAAGTTTTGCTTTAGCACCATGTCGATGGACGCTGTGTAGTGATAGTGCGCTTCCTTCATAAAGGCCAAGAAACCCTCGAACCCTTCTGGACCCTCCCACTTCTCGATCTCCGTCTTCATCTGTGCCATGTCTGATGAGAGGCTGACAATCTCGCCATCGTGAAAGACGACTTGGTAATTCCTCGGACACTTTCGCAAGTCAAAGTGATCCGCCACCTTCTCACCAAGCTCCTCGAATGTTTCGCTGAATGTTTTTGGCATGAGATAGAATGATGGACCTCGGTCGAAGCGATGGCCAGGCGCTTTCGGGTCATAGAGGAGCGAACATCGGCCACCGGAGAAGCTATTCTTCTCAACCACGGTGACTTTGACGCCAGCATGCGCTAGGCGCGCAGCAAGGGCAACACCACCGACGCCGCATCCAATGATGAGCGCCGTCTTCTGCCTCTCCTGCTTCTCAGACATGACAATTGAGTTGTTGTGCACGAACAAGCTCAAAAGTATTCAAATTTTAAAGCGACGTCGTCATGAGTTATGTAAGCTACGCGTTCACTCCGGTCTCCTGGCCATGCATCGCATCGAGCGGCGAGTGCATATGAGCACCTTTGCCACCAGCAAGACGCTTATTTCGCTGATGCAATTTCGGATCGAGGTCGACTTGCAGCTGCTTGTCTTGCACTTTGTCTGTGAGCAGCTTGACGGACAAGACGAGTTCCTGTATTTGAACGAGATTAGACGATTCTGACTTGAGTGGTAGGAACGTGACATTCTCCTGACCATCGTCGCCATTCGCCACTTCAACACGGATGCGTCCTGTGGACTGCATCCATTGCAGCAAAAAGCGCGTTTGCTCAACCGTCTCGCCCACTCTGCTTGCAAGCTTGGTGAGTGTCAGACTCAGATGAGTGCGTTGGACCTGAAGAATACGGTGCGTTGGCATGCACAAGATAGCGGACTTGATGAGACTACTGTTGCCGTCATTTGTGATTTCCTGTTTGTGCTGTTCAAGCAAAGCAGGCAATGTTACCTGTGCTTCAATCATAGCACGTCCAATCTCAGTGTATGTCGCTCCGAGTACTTCCAGTGCCATGCGAACTCCTCCCAGTGTCATCTTTGGCATTTCTGGTAGTCTGCCATCCTGCAACAATCCCATCAGCAGGAATTTCTTGTATGCATCGACCTGTATTTTGCTTTTGCGCTGTTGAGGAAGAACTGAGGGCGATGAGACCACCAAAGAGAAGAGGTACCCTGCGCGATCAAAGTGCTGTAGTGCAGCACAGCACATGCCCAGGTAGTAATGATACTGCAAGGGCGCTCGATAGGTCAAGCCGCAGTCCTTTGGGATGTGCTCAATAGATCGGTAAGCAAGATCCATAGCAGCATCATACTGCCTTGCCACACAGCATTGTCGAACAAAATAGACATGAGCAGGCGATAGCACCTGTGGTGGATAACGCTCGAGCATGCGGCGAAATATTTCCAAGACTGCTACATGATCATCGAGTGCAGATATCAAATCAAGAAGATCCAGCAGCTTTGAGGCATGTTCAGCAGAGACTTCCTCAGGGTCAATAGAGGCGAGGAAGTGAGCGACAGCTGTGAGTGTTTCTGGCGACGCAGATGCACGCGTCTGGCTGTGCAGATCAACGAGCAGAGCCTCTGTCTTGTTGGGTCCTGTCATTATGAAGCAAGCATGAAGCCCAGTCTTGCAGCAGCAGTAGAGTCAAGTTGAGTTGCTGCTGCTGCTGCTCCTGGTCGCGTCGTTGTGTTCTGGGCGGCGTGCGACAAACTCAAAAAAGTTGGACAATCGCAAGAGACAAGCAAGAACTAGAGCAGGACCAGATAGACGGCATCAGGGACAAGAATGGGCAAGCGGAAACACGACGAGACTGAGGAGGAGCGCAAGATTCGCAAGGCCGAGAAGAAGGCCAAGAAGGCAGCAAAAGCAGCGGCAGCAGAGGGGAGTGATGTGAAGGAATCAACCAAAAAGACGACGAATGGCACTAGCGCCAGCACGGCCGGCGAGCTGAGCCAGGAGGAAGTGGATGCATACTACAAAAAGCACACTATCGAGGTGACAACGCCCGATGAGAGCCCCTTGCCGCCCATCGTGCGCTTTGATCAATTACAAGTGCACGCGAGCATCAAATCAGAACTCTCTGGCTTCAAGGAGCCATCACCCATTCAAGCAGCCTCTTGGCCGCATTTACTCGCTGGAAAAGATGTCGTCGGTATTGCAGAGACGGGATCCGGCAAGACTTTTGCATTCGGTGTACCAGCAATGCAATATTTATTGGATCTCGAGAAGCGCACAGGCATTCATGTTTTGGTTGTTGCGCCGACGCGAGAGTTGGCCATCCAAACGAGTGATAATCTCAATCTCCTCGGCAAGGAGAGTAAAATACGCAGTGTCTGCATCTACGGCGGTGTTTCAAAGGACACACAACGCACAGCATTGAAGAAGGCGAATATTGTGGTCGGCACACCAGGCCGTATCAACGACATGCTGGATGACGGTACCCTAGATTTCAGTCACGTTGCATACCTCGTCCTGGATGAAGCGGATCGCATGCTCGACAAAGGATTCGAAGAGGACATCAAAAAGATCATTGGCGCGTGTCCTGATCCAGAGAAAGGTGGTAACAGGCAAACACTCATGTTCTCAGCTACTTGGCCAGAGATTGTTCGGAAGCTCGCTGGTACATTTATGCGCAACCCCGTCAAAGTGACAATTGGCTCACTCGAGCTGTCTGCCAACGTGCGCGTGACGCAGAAAGTGGAAGTTCTGGCTGAGCAGCGTGACAAGGAGTACCGCCTTCAGCAACTCATCAAGCAATACCAGTCCGGCAAGAACAAAAGCGATCGCATCCTTATCTTTGCCCTATACAAGAAGGAAGCCGCCCGGGTAGAGCAAACACTAAAGTATAAAGGTCACAATGTGGCTGCCATCCATGGCGATATGTCCCAAGTACAACGGGAACAGGCTCTCGCACAATTCAAGTCTGGTGCTTGTCCATTGTTGGTGGCAACCGATGTTGCTGCGCGTGGATTGGACATTCCGAATGTCACACTTGTCATCAACTTGACCTTTCCCTTGACCATTGAAGATTATGTCCATCGTATTGGCCGGACTGGTCGAGGTGGCTTGACGGGTGTAGCCATCACTTTGTTCACCAAGGAGGACAAAGCACACTCCGGCACGCTCATCAACGTCTTGAAGCAAGCTAAGCAAGAAGTTCCTGAAGAGTTGATGAAATTTGGCACCACCACCAAGCCAAAGCTGGACGTCTATGGTCGCCGCATAGAGGCAGACGCCGAGCCAATGAAGAAGGCGACTAAGATCGTCTTTGACTAGGCCACCCTTGACGTAGACTCTGTATATAATTACTCTTCTACTAAAGTCTTAGCTCAGGTTGTCGTATACACCCGCGTCGAAGATGTGCCTTGCACCCCGGACAGAGAAATGATCCTTTTGGCACTACACATTGTATTTGTGTACATCAAGCCCTTGACGGTAGAAACATATTGTCTAATCAAAATTGCGGGTCATGCATATGCTGTAGGATGAGAGGGATAACTCGCCCATAATTGTAATCGTCAGGGGGATCATAAAGATCTTCCTGCTGCACGACCAGCTCAAAATGACGTGTCCAGAGCAGATAGATGGGTACCAACAAAGATTGGCCATCTTCGCTGACAATGATGTGACGTCTGATTTGAGGTCGGCCCAGGACCAGCTGTTCAAACATCTCAGGCAGGTCCTCTAGAGTTTCTTCCATGTCAACATTCCTATGGATAGAAAGCACTTTAGCCTTTGCAAGGCTGAAATGATTCGCCCTTCTGCGAAGCGCCGCAACGTCCTCGCCACTGTCTCTTGACAACCAATTGTATAGCTCGAGATCCCAATCAGATCTCCGTTGCGACAACCTGAATGGAGCATAGAGAAACGTCGCTATTGCTGCTCCATTGAGCGCATGGACAGGACTTTCGCCTTCGCAGCGCCACTTCGGAGAGTCTTCCTCCAAATCGATACATCTCTTTTCATACATCCGATACCAATCAGTGTTCAGGCTCTCAGGAACAAGCGTATCTTCAACGCGGCGTAGAAAAGCGCGTGAGACACAACGCAGTGCCCAGAGCGTTTTCTTGTCTGAAAAGCTCAAGATTTGCCACCATACCTCAATGGGTAAATTTGGGACACTCATCCTTCAAGGTGCCACCCCCTGCAGGGCCCGCCGATTGATGCCAGCTCGTAGAGACGCGTCGATGGCGGTGTGCGCAAGGCCTATGCGGTGTGGTGGCAGTTAATTGTGTCAATCGCAATCGCAATCGTGGTTCGAGAATTGTGTTGTTCGTCACAGTATTTTCAGGGGATCTTTTTTCTCACCAGGGGTAATTCTATATTTGCTGCCATACATGGTCAACTGCAACATAGCCGCAGAGACAAATGCAGATTGAACAATGACATTGAAGTAGCCCGACAAGCAATACGGACAGAGGCATACTTTTCGACGGTTCAAGAGCAGCGACTCCTTTAGCGGCCGTCTGCGAACATCTCACCATCAGGAAGAATGAGCTGACGTTGCTTCGTTGCTTTGAGACACCTCGTCATGGCGAGGCCTCATCATCGATCGATAAGTGTGTTCGTCGGCCGAAGTATAAGAGTCCGCACCGCACTGAAGACTGCTGTGCGCCATGTTTCGGATGGCTATGTACTTCGCTTAAGCTTGAGATTCAATCTGTGCTCTTTGCCTCATCGAAGGTGACATGAGAATGCACATGGCCAAACATATGCGCAGTATGTGTAACGATAAGCGTTCCCATGGCTGAGCAGCCCGTTGGTTGACATGAGAATCCACATGGCCAAACATATGCGCAGTATGTGTGACGATAAGCGTGCCCATGGCTGAGCAGCCGGTTGGTTGGCCGCAGCTGTGTAGGACCTGTCGAACAGCTGAAAAATTGTAGGTTCTTTGAAGGTCACTGTAGGCGAGCAGGAGCATGACGTTGCAGACGGGCCAAACACAGAACTGGCACTTGATTACAGTCTGCAGGTCATCCCACCAATCAACGATTCTGCGCAAGCCCCCTTGATACAGACATCTCAGGACCTGTGTATCGAGATGCTGACCGGTCAATGACCCAGCCGAGCAGGTCCTGCGTGGTTGCGAGCCGATGCCATTTCGAATGCATAAGTCAAGGTCGACTTGACGTCGACGCTTCACATAGCAGGGTGTCCAAGTTGGCTAAGTCTGATTCCAGCCACTGCCCAGAAGCTTATTGCAAGATCAAGTATGGCTCCCTAAGTAAATCTGTCGAGTGTGATTATAGCATTTTACGCGTGCGAATACACTGCTCGTGACTTGAACATCAGCTGTCCAGAGCAGATAGTCGGGCGCCAAGACAGGTCGCCTCTACTTCGCCTGCGACTTTATGACATCCATTCCGTTGTTCTAGAAGGGAAAATGGTGCTGCCATGCACTGAGCCACTAGGTCGAAGCAGATGCCAAGCAATGAAGGAGGAGGCCGAGCTTGCCAGTTTCGTTTGATCAGAAGTCTTCTAGCATACCCAGTTCTGCTTGAGCACAGGCGATGAGATTGATCCAGGTGTCTTCCTTTTCTAAAGGATCATGATTGGCAACACATGTCGTATCTGTGTGTATCACCTCCATTCGTGTAGAAACATCGTTTCCTAGTCCCCTGGCTCTCGCTGTAGTCGATAATATCCCTCGTTAGTCCAATAATACAATTCACGGCGCTCAGTTTTTCGTTGGGTAGCGTCGAGTGAAAAGTCATCAGGATGCATCGGCGCCTCGACACATTCAAAATGACCTGCCCAGAGCAGATATATTGGCACCAACAAAGATTGGCTATCTTCGCTAACCATGATGTGACGCCTGATTTGAACTTTGGACAGGTGCAGCTCGTCGTATGTCAGAGGCGGAGTCTGTAGCGGAAGATCTCGCAGGTCGGAATCCCTCCAGATTGAAAGTCTTATCGCGTTTTCGAGGCTCCAATCGTTTGGGATAGTGTTTCGCCTTATGTACTCGCGCTCCGCCTCCGCCTCCTGCCAGTTCTCCCAAGTGTACACTGGAAACTGATAATGATCCCAAGCAGAAGTCGATTGCGACAGGTTGAATGCAGCATAGACAAAGGTCTGCTTTGCTGCCATGTTGAGCATACGAACAGGACTTTCGTCTGCTTGGTACCACTTCGTGTAGCGATCGCCGGTATACTTCGACATCAAATACTTTGCCTTGTCCGTGGCCAGGATTTCAGAAACGAGCTTATCTTCAATGCAGCGTAGAAAAGCGCGCGAGACACGACGCAGTGGCCAGAGCGTCTTGGTGTCTGTGAAGCGCAGGATTTGCCACCATACTTCAGTGGGCAAGTTTGGTAGACTCATGCTTCAGCGGTGCTCCCCTTCAGAGCCTTCCAGTACATGCAGAGTTGTAGAGACACGTCGGCGGCGGTGAATGTAAGGCCTGTATGTTGCAAAGACGATCAAGTAGCCAATGGCAATGGCCCAGTCCCCGTCCCAGAATTGAAATCTTTTTCGCGCCGCACCGGTCAACGCGAACGCGAATTTCGTCGCGAAAACAAACAAAACAAGCCGCGCACAAAGCGACAACAACTTCCACCCTTCTTCCTCACCACAATTGACATCGTGAAATTGGACGTCTCAGCTCAATTTAAGATAGTGACCTACGAATCCAGGTCCAAGCGCCTGTCAATGATTCACAGCCTCAATGAAGGCAAGCAGGCAAAACGAATGAGGACATGAGAGCACTTGACATTCCCTCAATTGCTTGCTGACGCCGGACTGAGAAACGCTGCCGACACCGCTTCCTCTACAATCACGACCATCAGGAGCACTATTGGGACTGCTGCATCTCACACTGAGATAGCTGCTCGTCAAAACAAAGCCGATAATCATTTGGCCGCTACTCAAACTGTCACTGCTTCTGCTGCAGCCCATATTGCTGCTGCTGCTGCGGCTGCGGCTGCGGCTCAGATTCATGCTGCTATTGATACTGCACAATTGTGCCGCAAAATTCACGCTTCTACTGTGATGCTTCTACTGATACTGCGCAAAATGGAGGTCAGGCTGATACCTCAGTGAGCCTGTCAAGAGCAATTGTGTCGATTTACCGTGCACATCCACTGCTCCAATCCGAATCTGCTTGCTCAGCAGCTGCCATGTCAGCTGGAAGACATGCCGATGGTATACTGAACTGAATCTCTTTGAATTCGGCTACCTCTTCATGGATATGCCTCCCACCAGGACCGCAAGAGCGTCTGCGTGAACGATCTCGGTGGACGTTGTAGAAGTGGTCCATCTCCTTTGGTGTCATAGCATCCCGTAGTTCAATACTCACCTTGAATGGCACGGTGAAACCAAGATGAGCTGTCCAAAGTAGATAGATGGGCACCAAGACAGATCGTCCGTTTCTGCCAACAATGATATGACGTCTGATCCCTCCTTCTCAACATGTATACAGTTGCTGCCATGCACTAAGCTACTAATCCAAAGCATATGTCAAGCAATAAAGCAAGAAGCGCAATATCCTTAACTACAAGTTTCTTAGCATATTCGTTTCTGCTTGAGCACATGTGGCGGCGAGATCGGCCCTGAAACCTTCCACTTCTTGTAACGACCGGGCCTGAAAGGAACTTGACGGAGGTACGTCAGAAGCTGAGACGTCAGCACAAGGTAAGAGACAGAGCTGGTCGAGTCTTCTTTGGAGACACTGGACAACAAGACTGTTAGGTAGTAGCAATTCTGTACACGAAGTAGGTGAATGAAGACCAAGGCAGCAAACGGCTGTCCTTTCTTCTTCATCTGACTAGAGCTAGAAGCAAGAAAGACAAGAGACAGGGTCTAAGCCCAAAGACTGCGAGTAGCGTCTAGCCAGGCGCGCCGTAAGATGTCTTGGGTTGGTGTAGCGAGAATAAGAGACGAGACTTGAGCCAGGATGAAGCAAGCAACTATCAAAGATGCTGAACGAGTATTTCCAAGATCCAGGTCGTGAGGTCTAGATCGGTCGTTGTTGTTGTGCACAAGAGGAAAGCGCGAGATGTTACCAGGGGTTTCAGGTGAAGAGGCATCTGAAACCAAGAATAGCGGTCGCACTGGTTGGGCCAAGGGTGTTGTAAAATTAGTCCAGTGCGCGAGTCAAAAGCGGAGTCGAGAGAATTGCTCGTTGCACCGCTGTCGACCAGAACAGGCGGGAGAGTCGGGCGAACAGGGATGCCTATCTCCTGTGACCCTGCACTTTTAGGCCTGCTGATCGCTTTGGGCAGTTCTTGAGCTGGTGACCGGCTCCTCCACAATAGAGACAGACTCGGTTGTCAGACCTGTTCTGGCGAATGGCCTCGCGATCCTTACTGGGTGCCACAGCGTCAATTTGCATTGGCTGCGGGAACGTTGTCGTGGGAGGAGCGCTCGCAGTGAAACGGGGGCGAGGAGGAGGAAGCGTGCTGGCGTGGTTGGCGTAGGGACGCACAGTACGACCACCAGCCAGAGTGTAATGTTTTCCTGAGTATTCGTACGCTCGTTCCAAGAGGCGATTGTCGGCGGCAATCACCTGGCGACAGAAAAGTGTAAAATCCGACTTTGTCGAATCTAGAGATCGGGCGAGCACGTCCTTGATGTCCTCGTTGATGGAGTGACGTAAGGACAAGATCTTTGACTCCTCAGTCATCTTCAAGGGAGCGATGATCATGTTGAAGTCAGCAATGTGCTGACTTGCTGGCTTGGTGCCCTGACGAAGCGGTCCAGTTTCTGAGTCGCCTCAGATTGCTCGTCACCTACCTGGAATGCGAATTCCAGCTCGGTGAGCATCTCGTTTACGGACGCGAACCCAAAGTCGGTGCCTCCACGGTGGAAGTCCGCCTTGGACTGTTGCCAAAGGCTGGCAGCCTCGCCTAGCAGACTGGAGACCCACACCATCTTGTCGAATTCAGATGCCAGGCGGTGGGAGGGGCTAGCGAGACGTGTGCGGCAGGCTGCGACAAAGTGTCGGACGTTGGACTTGTCCGGCTTGCCCGTGAAGGTCTCGGGGTCCTTTGCCTTCAGGCGAGACTGCGAAAAGGGCAAGGGTGAAGAGGGTCCCGGAGGAGCTTGGGCAGCCAAGGCTTGAGCAGCGAGAAGTTCTTGACGGAGGCTCTGCAGCTCAAGTTGAGCTGGGAGTCAGCACAAGGTACGAGGCAGAGCTGGTCGAGTCTACTTCGGAGACACTGGATAACAAGACCGTCGGGTGTTAGCACCAACTACACGGCATCCGAATTTTACAAGATGCTGTGGATTTCAAGCTTGCTCGGCGAAGCTGCTAGCCTCTGGCAACAGTCTTAGACAAACTTCCAGAGCGGAGGCACCAGCTTTGGTTTCAACTCAGCAACCGAAATGCTTGCCGAACTGGAGTTTGCGTTGCAGGTAGGCGACGAACAGTCTGAGGCCACCCAAAAGCTCGATCGCATTCGTCAAGGCACCAAGGCAGTAACTCAGCATATTGCTGACTTCAATTTGATCATTGTTCCTCTAAAGATGAATGAGGAGTCGAAGATCTTGTCCTTACGCCATTCAATCAACGAGGACATCAAGGACGTTCTCGCCCGATCTTTAGATTCGACCAAGTCGAATTTCACCCTTTTCTGTCGCCAGGTGATTGCCGCCGACAATCGTCTCTTGGAACGAGCGTACGAGTACTCGGTGAAGCACTACACTCTGACCGGCAGACGCACTGTGCGCCCCTACGCCAGCACGCCCCCTTCTATTCCGCCCCGCTTCACAGCCAGCGCTCCTCCCACGACAATGTGTCTTTTCTACTTCCAGCTCTAGTCTGACGAAAATAAAAGGACAGCCTTCTGCCGCTTGTTCTCCATTCACCAACTTCGTATACAGGTAGAATTGCTACTATCTAACAGTCTTGTTGTCTAGTGTCTCCGTAGAAGACTCGACCAGCTCTGCCTCGTACCTTGTACTGACGTCTCAGCTTCTGACGTACCTCCGTCAAGTCCTCTTCATGCCCAGTCTTTACTCTTCTGAAGATTCATGGTTTCGACAGTACATATCGTATCTGTGTATATCACCTCCGTAAGGGTAGAAATATCTTCTCCAATGTTCACGGGGAATTTGGTAATATCCGATATCCGATAGTGTCCAAGCATCCCATGTTTCGAGCTGCGATGGTTTGATGAGTTCAAAAAAAGCTGTCCAGAGAAGATAGATGGGCACCAACAAAGATTGGCCATCTTCGCTGACAATGATGTGACGTCTGATTTCGGATTGGCCCAGGACCAATTCTTCAAATATTTTAGGCGTGCTCTGTAAAATATAGTCCATGTCAGGATCCTTGTAGATAGAAAGGAATTTTGCATTTGCGAGGCGACGATAGTTTGCACTATTGCCCAGTGACGCATCGTCCTCGGCCTTGTTGCTTGATAACGACTTGTATTGGTCCCCACCAGAATCCGATCGTAACAATTTGAATGGAGCATAGAGAAACGTCTCCTTGGCTGCTATATTGAGCGCGCGGACAGGACTTTCGTCTGCGCAGGACCATTCCGGCGTATGTGACTCAATATCGAAACGCTCTCTGTCCGACATCCAATACTGGGTTGTGGCCAGGATTGCAGGAACAAGCTTATCTTCAATATAGCGTAGAAAAGCGCGCGAGACACAACGCAGTGACCAGAGCGTCTCGGTGTCTGTGAAGCTCAAGATTTGCCACCATACCTCAATGGGGAGATTTGGTAGATTCATCCTTCAGCGCTTTTCCACCCGCAGAGCCTGCCAGTTGATGCAAGCTTGTAGAAACACGTCGACGGCAGTATACTTACGCTCTGTACGTTGTGAGGGCAATTGTTTGTGTCAATTGAAAGTTGTTTGAAAAATTGCTGATGTGCACAGTATTTTCAGGGGACCTTTTTTCTCACCAGGGGTAGATCTATATTTGCTGCCATACGTGGTCAACACTGCAACATGGCTGCAGAACCAAATGCAGGTTGAACGATGACACTGAAGCAGCCCGACAAGCAATACGGACAGAGGCATACTTCCCAACGGTTCTCCTCCAACTAGTAAAATCTAGACAGGAGCAGGACCAGACCCTGCTTGATGCCGATGCATTGGACGAATGCGTGTATAAGGAGTTGTTGAAGTTTGACACCGTCCCAATGCTCTCGTGAATGGGCGAGAGCCTATCCTAGACTTTGGCTGTATTGATTTTCATATCAAAGCATACACGGGCTTGACGTCGCGGACGAAGTGCCTGCGTCATCCTTCATGGGAGACACCGCACTCACTGGTCACTGTTAGGTCATAATATCCTAACGCGTGACGTCTTCTCCAAAGATAAAGTGCGGAAGGGTTCAAAAGCAGCAATACAGAGCACACAGATCGGCACCAACAGAACGTCGCGGTCATCGCTCACAACAACGTAGCGCCGAAATCTCTCGACAGCTCAAGAGTAGTCTCTCTTGCGTACAAATGTAGCTGTTGTCCACAGAAAGACGTCAGCTCTACCTCTGGGTTGCGCAAATGAACAGGATCTGCTTGCTTGCCGACACAGACAGGATCTGTTTGCCTGGTGGTCAGGATCGCCTCCATGCTGCGATATTGTATTCCGTGACGCAACACGATTCTGTAGCCAGTACTCTCGGTACAAAAATGTCTTCAAAATAGCGCAGGAAGGCGCAAGAAATGCGGCGTAGCTGCCATTGCGTCGAGCGATCTGCCAAGCTCATATCCGCTTCCATGATTCAGTGGGCAGGTCTGGTAGCTTCAAGCGCGTCTGATCACGGCAGATAGCGCCAAAAATGGCGTGCGAGGTGATCTTCCATTGCAACTCGCGTATTTGATTTACTCCGTCAAGATCAAATAGGTTGATTGGCACCAGACATGAAGGCACTGCGCCAATCTTGTGAAGGAACGCCGTACATGAAGACTTGTCCAGCGAATTGAGCGACCCATGGTTCGAGAGGCTTGGGCGGCGGAATATAAAGCTCATATTCACTTGTCCAGAGCAGATGAATAGGAACAAGTAGAGATTGACCGTCTTCACTGACGATGATGTGGCGTCTAATTTGTAGCTTTGTCAGGGCAATCTCTTCCTCCATGGTATGCAGAACCCCATCCAAATCCGTGCAAGTCTTGCGAATACCAAGGTCTGCTTCAATATCATCACCGCGATTGATGCGGAAATTGTGAAGTGGTTTCGTCAGTGTGAATTGAGCACACAGCATCGTCAAATCTGCTTTGGGACTGAATGCATGGACGGGACCCGTGCAAGTCAAGTGCATCTCACTTCTATAGCTGTGAAACCCATTGAACATCAGGATATTGGCACGTGGCATCGTGAAAGACCCTGCTGCTAGTACTTCGGAGATAAGTCGGTCTTGGACGTGTTGTCGAAAGGCACGCGAGACGCAGCGTAGTTGCCATTGCGTTGGACAATCTGTCAAGCTCAATATCCGCTCCCATACTTCAGTGGGCAAGTCGGGTAACTTCATTCGGCAGCAGAGCTTCGCTAACAAGCTCCAGCTGGAAGAGTATGGACCAGCACTTGGTGGTGTCGTGAGTTGGTGACGTCTTGAGGCTTTTGCGGAGTTCTTTTCAATCTACAACACCTACATCAAGACAAAGCTCCAGCATGGTCAAGCCTGTCGAGAGCTTCTATATCGACAAGTTCCCGATCTACGCATGCGCATACATTGCGCAAGATCAGATCCTGTTGGCTGGTGGCGGTGGTGGCAAGACGAAAGCAGGCTTACAGAATAAACTCCTCGTGTATGCGTTGTCTGATACATCTACCAAACGCACGGCTGTGACGGAGTTGGTGTTGGCTGGGGATGAAGACGCGCCTGCTGCATTGGCAGTTCAAGGCGATCTTATCTTGGCTGGCGTGAATGAAGCGGAAGAGCAACGTCGCAAGTCTGGTGAGAACCATCATTTACGCACCTACAAAGTCGTACGGTCAACAGGAACAAAAGAAGATACAGTGACTGTTCGGCCGACCTTGTCGCATGGCATTTTGGAGCTTGACTTGGCAAAAGATGATTACCAGAAGCAGACACGGATCTCTGTTGACGGCAAGTATGCAGCGTTGTTGTCTGCTGAGGGCAAAGCAGCGCTGGTGGGCATGACAAATGTACGTCGTCAAACGTGCAAGTTACTAGATGAAGGAGACGATGTATTTGTCGATGTTGCCTTTTGGCAGGATACCTTGCTCGTTGCATCTAAGACGGCTTTGCATCGCATCACACTTGCAAGCAAAGAAGACGATACAAAGGAGATCTTCAACCTCTCCCGAATTCGCATCTTGACGCGCTACAGACTGGCGCATATTGCACCATTTGACAAGGATCGGCTTGTGCTTGGTATGAATAGTCAAGATGGCAAGAGTGCGTTCGTTGCGCTGTATCGGTTCTTCAAGGGTGAACTACGGCAAAGCCATGTGAGGCACTTGCCAACACGCATCACTGGACTCACGGTTGATGCAGTCAAGGAAGGACAACAAGATACAACGCACAACAGAAAGATCGCCGTTGCAATGGGTGACGGTGGTGTCTTGGTTGTCAATGGGCGACTGGAACAGCTCAAACGCTTCAGAAATCTACATCAATTCCCGGCTTCGTCATGTGCCTTTGCGCCGAATGGACAGCAGCTGGTGACGTGTTCAATTGATTACAAGGTGAATGTGCTGGATCTGCGTGGACTTGGCCAGGTTGATTTGACACGCCTACTAGCGGTTGCCATGTTTCTGGCAGTCTTGCTCTACTTGCTCGCAAAGCTGTACTTTTGACAACAGCGTCCTTCACGCACACACAGGCATATTTAGTCTTGCATCACTTGCATGTCGTCTACAGTTTTAGTATTGCCATTGTTGTACATCTAAAGAAATCATCAGTAACAGAAGAATGGGACCGCGTGCTGATGTGTATCAACATCAGGAAGTCATGTGTGTGTCTGCGCTCCAGGCGGTCAGACCGCTACTGCCACTGCCCATACTGCTTTCACCAGATGCGGGTGTTTCGTCTGTTGATTGTTGCGGCGGATGCGCTTGAACGGTCAAAGCGATCTGTGGTGGTGCCGCAGCGATGGGCGTTGTTGTTATCGCATCCAGGGTCTCCTCTTGCGTTGCTTCTGTTGCCTGACTTGGCGGACTCTGCGCCAGTAATCTCTGCTCCTCATCACTCAACATGCGTTTGAATTTGGGTGAATTGAGGGAGAGATTGACATAGTACGTCTGTAGCTCCTGTGGATTACTGAGGATGCGCCAACCGAGCTTCGCCAGGAACTCGAGTTCCAGGACATTGAGCTCGGAGAGGGTGACACCGCCTACTTTTGCATAGTGGGTGTTGGTGCAGAAGGCATCGCACAGGCCCTTGCTTGCGACCGTCGTGGCAGTGATGAGGAAACGATGGATGGTGAGTGAGGAAACAACAAAGGCAGGGAAGGCACTGCAGAGTCTGTCGATGTACACGACGGTACTGAGGAGTGCAATGCGTTCGAGGGAGGTGTAGCGGACGATGCGGGAGAGGTAGTCCTGTACACTGATGGCTGGCGGTGCGCGGGAGTGGAAGCGCGTGAGGCCTGCGGGTGTGAGGGGGAGTCTGTCGTTGTGTGCGATGAGCTGGTGGATCATATCTGCAATGAGGACGACGAGGTCCTGTGTGTCTGCGTCGTAGAAGTGCGGCGGGATGTGCTTTGGCTGCTGCATGCTGTGTTCATCTTCTGAGGATGGCTGCAGCTGGTGGAGGGTGCCCGGCAGGTTGTTGCTGCAATGCTGCTGGTGTCCTTGCACTTTGTCGTGTTGTTGCTGCTTTTTCCTCTTTCTCTCGTCAGCCTGCATCACTCATGCCTCTGCCTCCCCCCCGTGTCCTCCTCCCTCTCTGTGTCGTTGCGTTCCCTCTCCCTCTCGTCTGCGTGTCCCTACCTGAGTATCCCCATCGTCCTCGTCCATATTCCCATGTTTACTTGCTACCTACTTCTCCACTTGACGCTGCATCTTGACCTGACACTTGACGAGACCTGACCACAAACACAAACGCGCGCACTGTTCCTCTCTCTGCAGCGCTTCCCTCATCCTTGCTCCATCTTCCCATTGACTGCCCAGAGGAAAAGCTTAGCTTCCATCACGCGCAGTGCAGGCAGTGCAGGCAGTGCAGTGCAGGCATGGTCAATACACTCGATGACCCACTCACACCTTCCCTCGATGCGCTGACTCCAGATGCCCAGCTACAGCTCCTCAAGCGTCTCAAGCACGAGATCATTGGGCATCTGGAGCGCAAACAGCAAGTTCTCGCATCAGGCATCCTCCCACCTCTCGTTGCCGTCTTGCGCACACGACATCCAGCCGATGCATCTGTCCAAGCACAGGCGCGCGTGCAAGCGGCTATTGTCCTTGCATCCCTCTGTCAAGCGCCAGGACTCGTCGCACAAAGTACTCCAGTGCAGGACTCACCTTTACAACCAGGTCAATTGGATCAGTCAACATTGACAGCATTGATGGGTGCGCTTCTTGAAGCGACCGTGGAAGTACCAGGGGAGCCGAGCTTGGCGATACCGTGCTTGCGTGCACTTGGACAGCTGTGTGCGGCAGGCGCACCGACAGAGCAGATCTGGTCACCTATGATCCTAGATGCCTTTCACAGACTGCTGCTCGCCCATGAGCATGCCATCAAACCGACCACCTTGCAGCAAGCGATGCTCATTTCAAATCTACTTGCTACGCATCGACGCAATGTACCTCTAGACCAGAGATGGCGTCGTTTATTGCTAGACGCACTGATTGCATGGATCTTTAACATGATACGAGATGGCGGGCTATCTATTGAAACTGCATCGCTTCCTTGTAAGTGTCTCGAACAGCTACTTCGCGCTGCAGCAGCCTTGTGCGAAAATAACGTAGACGCCTGCATTCAATTCGCAGGATCTGGAGGCCACAATCAAAAGTTGGAAGATGGAGATCGGCCGATGCTAACACTCCTTCTGACCCTCGTCAAGAGCGAATCGGATGGCTTGCGGCTATATGCGAGCAGTTGTCTTGCACAGATACTCCAGCAAGGTGCACTCCCGAGAAAACTTTACCCAGCCATGCAACGCGTGGTCGTACCCATTCTTGTGCGATTGCTCGATGTCACGAGCATGGCGGATAAAGCACCATTCGTCTTAGCGCAACTTGTCAATGATTCTGCCGATTTACAGCAGGCTGCCGTTGAAGCCGGTGCGCTGACTGCTCTTGTGGGCATGTTCAAAACTACTCCAACAGATGCAGCGAGATTAGAGGGTAATTTGCTTGCTCTTGCAGCATTGACGCTCTCAAAAGATGAGTATAGGCGACAAGCGCTCGATGCGCATATCGTTGCAACACTGCTACAAGCGATGCAACACAAAGTCCCTGCTGTTCGCGCAGCTGCCTGTCAATGCACACGCTCCATCTCGCGATCCATGGCCATCTTGCGTACTAATCTGCTGGACGCCTCTCTTGCCTCGGTGGTGTTCAGTCTTTTGGATGACACAGACTTGCAGGTCAGAACAACAGCTACAGCGGCAGTCTGCAACCTGGTCCTTGAGTTTAGCCATATGCGGACATTCTTTCTATCAGCTGGCATACTCGACAAGCTCGTTCCATTCTGTACAGCACAAGAAGCTGAACTCAGGCTCAATGCAGTCTGGGCGCTCAAACATCTCGTGTATGCCGCAGATGCTGAGATCAAAGTTGCAACCCTCACAGCACTCTCACCCCAACGACTCTGCAGTCTCTGTGATGACTCAGAGCCTGCAGTCTCTGAACAAGCTATGGAGTTGTTGCGGAACTTAATTTGTGGCAAGCCCGAGATGATTGATGGTCTTCTGCAACTCTTCCCGGCACCTCTCCTCATGACGCTCATCAACAAAAACTTACAACCTCAGGTACCTAGTCAAGTGGCCGCCTCGGCGCTGTACACACTCGTTCATCTCGCTGCTGGAAGTGTTTCGCACAAGGACCTTGTTCTATCTGACTTAGCATGTCTCAAGCTCGTGGTTCGCCACCTGAACCATACGGATGAACGATGCCGTGTACCGGCCGTCTGGATTTTCATCAACTTGACATGGTCGGAGGACCACGACTTTTCCGAAGCCCGTACAAGACGCATCAATCAGCTTGTTGAGTTGGATGTTCTCACTGCCTTGCGCTCACTCGAGGAAGATCCCAGCCAGGATGTCAGGGAACGCGTCAAAACGGCACTCTTGCAATTGCAGTCATAGCCCAGCACTTGTAGCATACTTATTTTTATGAAGCAGGCACCACCATCTCCTTACGAATCAAGGCGACTTCATCTGCATTCACTTTGGAGAGTCCAAGCTCCTTGACAATTTCCTCTGCATCTTCACCCATCTCTGCATCCCAACTCACAACATTCACCATCTCACGCAACCGCTCAAAGCGTTCCCGTAGCGGCTGCGACGTCCCCTCCGATACGAGCTCTTCAGAGTGCATCCGACAACAATGCGCAATCACACCGCTCATGTCACGATCCAATCGAATGGCACCCAATTCTGTACACCGCATCGTAAGGAGTTTCTTCTCCAACAACCGCACCAGCGCTCGCGTTGCTGCATGTAACAACAAGTCTCGCGCTCGAGGATACGCATCTGCCAACACGGGCAAGAGTAAGGCATCCCATGCATCAGCAAACTGATGGCTGAATGATTCACCGGCCGCCACGACCTCTTCATAGCGTTGTTTGTCTAGCATGTAGCTGACATTGACAAAGATATCTTGCACGAGTGGTCGAATCTTGGCTTTGAGGGCATAGCTGTATAATACCTGACAACCATCCTCCAGCCCTCGAGAAAAGCGCAACTTTAGTGTCGCGAGCTGCTCCACAACCCGAACAGCACCTGTTCGATCGGCATATAAATCCAGACTAGGTGACTTGAGGTGTTCTTTTTGCATCTGGTCCATATACTCCGCCGACATGGCCAGCCCATTGAGTAACACGAGGTATGCGGAGCGATCACGCTTCTCCGCTTCGGCAGACCGAGCCACCAATCCACCCGTGCCTGTCTTACTCGTAATGCGATTTTGTAGTTCCTGCATACGTCGACCAAGCACGCCTGCATAGTCTTGTTCCATCACACGACGAATTGCAGCAAAGGTCGAGGAGAGCGGTTGCATCTGACCCGTTGATAAGGCACGCGCTGTGATCTTGCGAAGGATGAAGAGAACATCCTCAACAACGGACGAAATAGGAAATCCTGCATCAGCGACCGTTTGTTGTTCCATTTGAAAGGCACGCTCGACTGAGCGGCGCATAAAGTAGCCTTCCATCAACTCATACCAGGGCTGAATTTTGGTAGCAAGAAGCTTACCGAGTACATTCTGCGTCAGGAAGGAGTCTGCCTTGGCAGCTGTGTCAGGCGTTGCGAGATTGGTGGAGAAGCTAAGGAACAGTGACCAACGTGCAAGAATCACTGAGATTTCCGTAAGCAACGCATCGAGCTGTCTTGAGTCGACTTCACGCTCTTCTGGTGCTTGCGAAGCCATCGCAGAACTTGCTTGCGGCAGGAAACTCTGCACCAAGAATGAAAATGAGTAAGATTTGATTTCACTGATGCGTTTTGTGATTTGTCGGTCGTCCATCATTGTGGTGAGGATGAGAATACCTTGCTTGTCACATTCTTCTTGAATACGAGCCAGCACGCGATCAATGTTGTTGCCGTAGAAGCGCTTGATGAGGGGTGCGTGATTGGAGAGGAGTTTTGCAATGTTCTCAAACAGCGTTGTCATGAGGCCTGCGTAGAGCATGATGGAGTTGCCAGCTGCTTTAAGTGCTGCATCGGCACGCTCAGCAATGATGGATGAGACAAAATCAGCATACAGGTCCAAGCCTTCGTCAGACTTGTTGATTTGTGGGAAAAGCTTGAAGAAGCGCGTAATTTCCCGAGTATCGCGCGATGCAATTGCTTGCTTAAATTGTCGCGTGAAGAGATGGAAGAGCTGGTCAGACGCGTCTCTTATCGTGACGGCTGGATTGAGCGGCGCTTCTGCAGTTGGCACCATCATGGCAGCGAATTGACCGCTTGCAATCTGCTCTGGCACAAGCGATGCACGATGAATCAGCTCAGCAGCAGTCTCCCATTCCTGCATCTCCATAGACTGATGCACGCCAAGCACACACATCTTGAGTTCCTTCACTTCCTCCACGTACTTGAGTGTCTCTTTGACGCGTGATTGTTCGGCATCCAAATTGCGGACGTTGTTTGAGATGCGTTCTGCTGTCGACGCTGAGGACTCAAGGGTCGAGAGCAAAGATGAAGAGGCCGATTGCAGAGACTGTGCCTGTGCCTGCAGAACGCCAAGTTTATGCAGGTTCCGCGAGAGATTGGCTGAGCTGGCGAGCAAGGTATCAAAGCGACTCGATAGCTCGTCCTCCTGCCGCGTCAGGTCTGCCAATTGAGCATGTACCTCAGCGGCCATTGTACCAGCATACACCCCTGTCTTTCCACTGTGCTGGCCTCTGCCCAATGGCCCTGCTATGTCCTCTCTACGCACCTAGACTCTTGCTCCTGCTCTCTCGTGTTGCTTCGGTGTCGTTTCCCTGCGTGATATATTTCAGATGGACATCTACAGCTACACGGCAACCACAGTCCGCATCAGGCCCAGCTGCACAGTCTGCTCATGGGCCTCTCTGTCACTCACCACCTGGATCTGCCCTGACTTTTGATGCATCTCATTGACTGCGTCTGGCTCCAGGGAAAATACTTCGACGCGTGGCAGCGTCAGAAAGCCCATCGTCAAGGGAATCAAGCCGATGGTCGCCTCAAATTGTCCATCCTGCAAGACCAGCATGCCTCGTCGCTGACCCGCATAGACCCACTGAGACTCATCCACTTCGACCTCGAACCAGTAATTGGAGACGCGCTGTTCAGCTGCCCATGCAGTCGATGCAACGATGGACAGCTCGGCTGACAGATAGCGATTTAGCACCGCTGTGGTGCTTTCTGGCGTCATGGCAATCGTGTGCACAACAGCTGGCAGCGGATAGTCAACAGAGATTCTCAGCGTAGCAGGATTGCCTTCCTTTGCGACATTGTATGTGTGCGAAAAGACTGCCAGCAAGAGCTTGAGCGCCGTAGATCTGTGGCTCGGGTGAACCTTCACGAGCTCCTCGTGAATGCTCGACTCATCCAATGGACGCAAGTCAAAAACTCCACGAGCAACACTGCTACTCATATCGCATTGCCTGGGCAAGTGTTCCTGCAAAATTGACCAGAGTGAGCCAAGCACCTCCCCAGGCGCATCGACCTCATTGCCAAGATCAAGGAGTACGCTCCGCGAAGCTGTGAGGAGTTCTTCTTCTAATGAGCGATAACACAAGTCAAGGTCAAACATCTTGCTCGAAGGATTTGCAGGAATCTTGAAGACCAGCTGAGTTGCTTGCTGGGGCCCGACAAAAATGTTTTTATATTTCGGCGACTCAGCCATCTCTCCGGATTGTTGACCTGTATAGCTAGACTCAGACAGCAAGAACGATGCATCTGTATTGGCACCAACCTTGAAGTTGGACACGAGCTGCCCAGCCCGAAAGTAGTCTTGCACGTCGACTGCTAATGGAAGAGCCGTGCTAGTCGAGAGATCCGTCTGCCAACTTGACCGCTGACCATCAATGAGGTAGTCGAGTTTGACGGCAAGACGTGTCGATTGTGACTTTGGACCTGTGAAGGGTATCAGGCATTCGATCGTTGAGGAAGCTGGTAGCGCTGCGAATGTCATCTTGTCGTCCTGCACGGAAACGGCAAACGGAGTTCCAGACTCAATTTCTGTAGCGACAGCCTTTGACCAATCAATCTCGTTTTGTAGAGAACGAATGCATTGTAACGTGCAGACTTGCAGTGTAGAGGAGCATCTAATTCTGATGACAACAGCAGGGTCAGAATGCCTCACGTGAATTAGGCGTGGTCTGTGCAATGACATGTCGAGCCCTGGATGGCTGAAAATCGGAATCAGGAAAGGTATGTTATCGCCTTCGTCGGCCTGCAACAACGATAGCCGACCCATGCTGAAGGTGATAGATTCAAGTGCATAGTTCCCTGCCCGTATGTCCTATCGTTAGCAAGGTGCATCGCCATCATGTTGAGCTTACGTTGGTGCTCACAGTCAGGACCTGTCTTCCCGGTACCAGACAAACTTGGTTCGCAAGCAGATGCATCAACTCTCCAGAGTCACGCTTCAATGTTGCACAAATATCCCAGATGCCAAAGGGGATAGAGAGAGTCCAATCGATCGTCAAGTCTGCTTCAACACTCGTCAAAGATGTTCGAGGATACTTGCTCAGCGTCACTGACAGGAAATCGTCTGTCGGCCAAACCACATTCTCGGTTGTGTCAAGAGCAGCGAGTGTAGCGATCTCTTGTATGTGATCGCTTGAGAGACTTGAGCTTGAGCTTTTGAGTTGCTTTGCATGCTCGAGGATTGTAATGAGGTATGTTGTCGTGTCGCCAGTCTCCCGTAATGCTGTTAAATAGAGATCACAGATTGCGCTCAAAACCGACAAGGACTCGGGAATCGACGATAGGAGGGCGACAACTTGCGGCCATTCTTTGTTTGCTGCATGAAGACGCGCCAATTGAGCCACCCAGACGGCTGCAGAATTGTGTCGACCACTTAGTTGGAGGTCATCGATGATAGATTGTGTCAAGTCCGTCAAGTATTGCCTGTAGTCGTCCGCTTGCAGGATCAAAGTCTGTCTTAGGGACACTGGAATTTGCGTAGCGAGACCCTCATCCTGTAAGACACGATCGCGAAGAGAGCAGAGCGTGTCGCGATACAGTGCTCGCAGATCAGCGCGAGGTGAAGCTAGGCTCTCGTCATGGGACATGGCTTCGACTTGTGACAGTACTGACGAGATGGTTGTGAGGACCCAGGTTTCCGCGAGCCACGGCGAGGAGGCATGCTCGGGTGTGAATAGCCTCGACATGGACGTCACAAACCTGAGACTTCTTGTGAGTAGGTCGTGCGCTTGAATCGAATGCCGCAAGGCCACCACTTGCCTGCTGAAGAGGTAAGTGGAAAAGTCAAACACTGTAATTTTGTTTTGCATAATCATCTGCCGGTATTCTTTGGCGCTGAGATCAGGTAGTGCCGAATCTGCATCTTGAACAGTTGGCGAACCGGCCTCAAAATGTTCTAATTGACTCGATTCCTGCAGCTCTTTGAATGCTACTTCGAGCTCGTCCAAGATGGCAAGGCTGTCTGAATACAGCGACACATTCTCCAAGGTATCAGCAAGCCCTTCTTTGAGGATAAAGTAGGTGCAGTAGTTCCAGCCGGGCAAAGTACGCTGAGCTTCCATCCTGCTGATTTGGTCTTGATGGTCTTGAACGCGTTTGTCTAGGCTACTCATGAGACAAGACTTCATCTCCAGGACGAAGTCGTCCAACTCTTGTTCAAAGTCCTTCTTGTCGGCAGCAAAGTTGATGCGGCAGCACTGATCGCGCTTGCTCGTATTGCTGTTAAAGTCAGAGCGGATGCGGTCCAGGACTGAGTTTCGAAGGCCGAGTATCTTTGGGCCAGACTTGACATTCGCCTCGCTGGCACTGATGCAATGTATGATCATCCATTCCTGGTCCTTCTTGCTTGCAACGGCACTGAACCAAGTGCGGACCTGTTGCCTGACCACAGTCTTATAAGCTTCTGCATCGTCGCACTGAACAAGAAACAAGTTTAGATAGGGTCGGTCAAGCACGCTGGCGTACTGGTGTTGCTGCTCTGGCAGGTTCTTATGAGGGACCAAAAGGCAGTCTAGCTGAGCAATTGTTTTGACAGTCCCTTGCTGTGAGAGCAGACTCTTCCAGTGAAGCTGCTGCAACGGCAGTCTACTTTTGAGGAGCGGCAAGAAACGCTCTGCAAGACCGTATGGATCCTCGTAGGTAACAGTCACTTGACTAGGAGCTGACATGATAGAGAGAGCGGTCACAGCTGCAAGCGTAGAATCATTTTCTGGTATGGCGACCGTGCAGCTTGTTTTGGGTCGTTGTCAAGGTGTACTGCAGTGATTCAGCGCTTGATCAACCAGGCAAATATGCAACGATTGAGAAGGATGCAGACGGATTGGTATACAATAGAAAGGCCCTACGAGTCTCCCAGCCTCTCTTGTCCTTCCTTGATCTTCCGACCCCTGGGCCCTTCTCTACGGCTTCCCGCGATTGAATTGTCGCCCATCCGCGAAAGTGAATTTGAATCCTGACGCCATCGCCTGAATCTACAAAAGTCATCTCACTCGACCGTGCACAAATCATGAAGGTTCTATCCAAGCAGGAGGAAGACGCACATTTCCATGAAGTTGTCAAGGGAGGTCTGGTGTACGGCGGCATCGGAGCGGCCATCAGCACGAGCGCATTGATGCTGGGCCGCAAATACTCGCCCGGTCTTCGCAGCCTGACCATCCCCTTCTCGGCCTTCCTTGTGACGGGCGGCTCGACGTTCGCTCTCATCATCGGCTGCGATCAATACTCACGCGCATATCAACAAAAACTGAGAAGTCGATATGCGGAAGACGTTGTGGCGCATGCATCCGGGTCACTTTCACCAACCGACAAGATTCTCTCGACAATCAATAAGTATCGCTGGCACATCATTGGTGGATCGTGGGTCGCTGGTATGGCAGGTAGCTTGTCACTTGTCTCGCGCAATAAGTATCTGTCTGGTCCTCAAAAACTTGTGCAGGCACGTATGTATGCGCAAGGTATTACACTGGCCGTGCTTCTACTGTCTGCAGGTGTCGCTGCAGCTGATCCTGGTCAGAAAGATCTTGGCGAGGACAGCGAGGTGACTGACCCGAATGATCCGACAAGAATCATCAAAGTCCACCACACGCACAAGGAATCGTTCCCAGGAGAGAACCAGTGGGAGGATATTGTTGCCGTCGAGGACGCAAGGTTGAAGAAGAAACAGGCAGAGGCAAAAGCCAGGGAGAATGCCAAGAAGGAAGCTTAGGGTTGAAGAGCCAGCATACATCACGACCAAAATGTATGCCTTATAAGCCGAGTATCGACCACAATAATCCACAATAGAGTACTCATGTTAGCAAGGTCTTATCGAGCTGTAGCGCTTACGAAGCGCGAGAACGGTCGTTACGACGACGATCGACCCACAAGTTGTGAATGCCTGCCCATCGGTCTCGATGAAACGTCTCGTGCCGATTGAATTTCGCAACCGACCAAGCACAAGCAGTAGAATGCCAAAAGCTGTATAAAGGATGCCGACTTGCCAGAAGGCAGGTTCGAAGAGCTTGAGCACGAGGAGCGAAAAAGTGAACTCGCCAAAAGCGCTGCGATAGTAGCCACTCGTTGTGCGCTGTCTCGCCCGAAGGTCCTGTAGCTGCGCTTGTGTAAAGTGCTGGTCAGGATACATATTGCAGCCTTGAGGCCTTTGCTAGCTGCTAGATAGACGAAGTCAAAGGCATGAAGAGGTTTGGGTTGAAGTTCGTGTAAACCTTCAAATGGCGCGAGACCCCTGGAATCTGACGAGCGAAGGAACTTAGTCCGCTCTTGCCAATCTACGTGAGTCTGAAGATTGTATATGAGAGTGCATATGAATGACAGCTGTCTACGTGTTGAGCGATAGATTGAGCCAGTATGTGAAGCGATTCCCTGCTTTGTGCACTTACATATGAGTGTGCGACACGTATATTAGGGAGCCTGCAGTCACACATGGACGCCAAGGGAGTACAAGGCTCGAGGCCCCTTCCAACACATCTTGCCAAAGTCAGAAGACGCGAGCCAGGGGCTATGCTGAGTTTTCCTCACAAGGCAGGACACGAACTTGACAGCGTTGCAATGGCCGTATCGTAGAGCCAGCCTACAGATGTACTCTAGACACTTGAGTCTTGTTCATCTGCCAATATAGGCACTAGGCCCTTGAAAACAAGCAGTACAACTGTACGCTTGGAAGTTGGCAGCTGGTTGACCCAAGTTTGGACCCCGCCGCCAGACGTCATCTACAGACACCAACAACAAGAGACATCGCAACAAAGGGCCCTGCCGAGAGACTGGCCTGAGTTGAAAAGGCATGGCGGAGACAGAGACGCACATGACGGCACAAGATCCGTACCAGCTCATTTCTTCTGATCAGCAATTTGCAGGAGAGCTGTCGAGCTACCTGACCAAAGTCGGGCTTGCGGATGCTGGCTTCAACTACAATGTAGTGGCAGTCTTTGGCTCACAATCTACTGGCAAATCAACCGTTCTGAATGCTAGCTTTGGCACACGTTTTGCGACCATGGATACCGTCTCGCGACAGCAAACGACCAAAGGTATTTGGTTGGCCAAAGCAGCAGATGCCAATATTTTGGTTATGGATGTGGAAGGGACAGATGGGCGTGAGCGCGGGGATGATCAGGACTTTGAGCGCAAGAGTGCATTGTTCTCCATGGCAACAAGCGAAGTCCTCGTGATTAATATGTGGGAAACACAGGTTGGCCTTTACAATGGCGCGAATATGGGGCTGCTCAAAACAGTCTTTGAGGTCAATCTACAGACATTTCAGAAGAACCAGAAGCAGCGTGGACGGTCTTTGCTACTGTTCGTCTTGCGAGATCATCTAGGAACGACGCCGCTAGACAGTCTTGCGAACACCATCAAGGCAGATCTGAGCAAGATGTGGGATGCGCTGGCGAAACCGGAAGGCACCGAGCAGACTGTCATTTCTGACTACTTTGATTTGCAGTTTGTTGGCTTGCCGCACAAGGTACTCATGGCGGATGAGTTTGCCAAACAGGTGGCACTGCTTCGAGATCGCTTCAGCGATGCGTCGTCCAATGGGCTCTTCAAACCAGAATACCACAAGCGCATCCCTGCAGATGGCTTCTCACACTACGCAAAAGGGATCTGGGACACCATCCTGTCCAACAAGGATCTAGACCTACCGACGCAGCAGGAATTGCTTGCCCAATTTCGATGTGATGAGATTGCTTCTGCAGCAGCGACTCAATTCAACACACGCATTTCTGCGACAGAGCAAAATATGCGACCCAAAGAAGTATATGGGCCGCTTGCAGCAGAAATGACTGTCGCATTGACGGAAGCACTTGCTGCATTTGATGCGGAAGCCTCGCGCTACAGCCCGAAAGTGTACGAAAAGAAGCGAGCGGATCTACTAGCGACATTGGAAGCGCGCCTCTTGGTTTTGTTCAAGGCGCAGCTGACTGCATGGCGATTTAAATGTGTCGAGGCATTCAGTAAAGAAGCTGGCGAACAAATCCAACGGAAGGATGCGCAATTCAAGGATGTGGTCAGTCAGCAGCAAGACAAGCAGATTGCCCTTTTGACGGCTGAAGCAAAGGCATGCACAGTGGAGCCACTGACTTGGCGGTCTGATGCAGAAATTGAGGGTCTTCGTCGCGACTTGGCGGACGCAACGGATGTGCTTCGTTCAAATCAGATGCAGCGGATTCAGGAGCGCGAACGCAAATCATTCAAAGCATTTGTGGACGACAAGGTGGGTGTTTGCTTCAATCGACCAACACCGCAACTCTGGGATCACATCTTGGAGCCCTTTGATGCGCAGCTGCACGAATCGACAAGTAGCCTGATGACCAAGTACAAGCTTTTGGATGTTCCGGCTGAGCAATTGAACGCATCACTGGCTCAATGGCAAGTCCAGGCTTGGCAAATCTTACGTCAACGCGTTCTCGAGGAAGTCTCCGAGTCGCTGGTGTTGCTGAAATTGCGAGAAGCGTTCGAGGATCAATTCAAGTTTGACAAGGATGGCATGCCTATTGTTTGGAAGGCCGGTGACGATCTCGAGGGTCAGTATCGCTCAGCACGCGAGGCGGCCCTGAAACTTCTTCCCGTGTACAGCAAGATTCAAAAGTCAGATGGCAAGGCGGTCGAGATTCCTGCTGCTGCAGAGGATGATGAAGCGCCAAGCACGCGTCTCTTGACATCCTCGCAACAAGCAGATATTGCCACACGCTTCAAACGGACAGCAGATGCGCTCTACCTGGACGCAAAACGCAGCACCGTCTCGTCAGTGGCTAGCATTCCAGTATACTTTTACGTTCTGCTACTGCTGCTTGGCTGGAATGAGCTCATGGCCTTACTTCGCAGTCCACTCTACTTCATGACCATTGCATTTGGAGGACTTGTGGCCTACGCTGTCTACACCCTCAACCTCTCTGGCCCACTCGAACAAGTTGCGAGAGCTACCTTTGGTGGTATGTTTAGCAGTGCTGTGGATGTGGCAAAGGATAAGCTGCGCGTGATGTTGGATGTCTCACAGGAAAGCGTGCCTGAGCTCATGCACTCTGCGCATCTCGCCAATCACACCCGGTCGACGAAATGCACTGCGTCGCCAACCGGAGAGGCTATTCCATTGCAGGACTTGACAAATACGAGGTTGAAGGACGAGACGTCGTCAAACTAGACAGATGGGGCATCAAGATAGTAAAACGCTTGCGTGACTATGCTCATAAAATGCTATCGCAGTACAATCGTAAGAGTGGGCCGGTGTAGGAATCAAGTACCGTACGAGGTAGGCGCGTACAACAATCTCGATTCTTCCGTGTCCGCCATGTCCTCTTGACCAAATGACTTTGTGCGGGCTCTTCCACGTCCACTGCTGAATGCCGTTTGCACACTGCGCGCAGTCATGGATCCCGTGAAGGACGCCGTCATATGCTCTGTTGCCATTTCCAAACGCCAGTCTCGCCATGATTGACGCGGTCTGTAGACGAGCGCTTGAACAACAATCACCAAGTCAAACATCAGCGTACCGCCCGATCCAATGAGGAATGGCAGTGCGCCAAGGAGAAACGCTCGAGCTTCCTCTGCTGTGTTGGAAGGCGACGTGGTTGCATGTGGCGATGTGAGGACGCTGAGGGAATAGCACAAGTTGCCGCAAAAGGCAGCAAGGAAGAGGTAAGCCGAAAGGCCCTCTGTGCTACTTCGCTTGTAGTTGGCACGGATCTGTGGGATACGGCTGAGGAAGTAGAGGATGGAGGAGAGCCAAGCTGCAGCTTGGCCAAATTGCAGGCCTGCTGAGATGCCACCGGAGCCTGTAGCTGCATCCACACTAGAGACGAGAGCAGCAACAACGACCATGTTGTTTGGCGCTGAGCGATACCACTTCCGCGGAGGCGGTGAGTGCTCATCTGTCACGATGCCATCTAGCACTGCGACATCCGGCTGCCAGATGCTGTACATGATGTACTGAAGCACAAGAAACCCATCAATGAAGCAGTAGTAGGATGCAAGGAGCGTCTGAAAAGGCAGCTGATGTGTCAAGATGCATCCAATCAGATTCGCAACATCGCCAATCATCCAAACAGCCAAGAATGTGGGCGATAACGCGCTTGCTGATTGTCTTTGGAAGTTGAGGACTAGTTGTGGAAACTGCGCCTGTATCCAGAATAGCAGCGACAGGTACCCGAGTGTCCAGCTGAAGGCAGCTTGCGAGCCATAAACGCACTCGCCAGTCAATCGCTCAATGATGGGCGATACAAACTGACCAAATTCGTCCTGTGAGCTGCATCCCCTGGACTGTCAGTTGGAGGTACTTTTGCGGATGCGCGTACCTGGGCGCGGCATACAAGGCATCCATATGTTAGGCACCTGATCGCGTGACGCAAATTGATCTGCCTGAAAGCGCGATGGCGCGTGAACTGAGTACAGGTCTGGGCTGAATGTGCTTCGATAGTGATGCGCTGCACACCTAGAGAAGTATGCGATGCGAGCCCTAGAGTGCAAGAGTACTTGGTCAAGGTGACTTTTGGTGTCGCAGATATCGCGATCTGTGTGTCTGTAGATAACGGAATTCAGATGGGAGAAATCTACCCAAGAGACGTGTATATATGCATTATATGGCCTTATATGCTGAGGTCTATAGGATGTAGAACCGTCTAGAGCTTCGAGAGGAGGTTCTCGGCAGAAGAGACCTCTGGCTGTGCTCCAGGGTTGGCCTCCTTCTCTGCGTAAATGACCTTGTTGTCCTTGATAACCATACCAAAGCGAGTGACGCGGTTGCCGAGGCCCTTGGCAGACAGATCCAAGTTGTAGTCATTGTCAGTAGCCCACTTGACATTACTGGATGTGAGCAACATGATAGAGATATCCAAAATGGTCTTACGGGTCAGAAAGCATAAGAATCTCGTCCTTGATGCCATTGGCCTTGCCCCAAGCAGACATGACGAAAGGATCGTTGGAGGAGATAACGGCCACCACATCGGCACCCTTGGACTTGAAATCCTTGATGAGCTCGACAAACTTTGGCAGGTGTGATGCCTGGCAAGTGGGTGTGAATGCACCTCTATGTGTGGGTCAGCTTATGGTGTGATGCCAACATCAGCAGCTTACGGGACACCGAAAAGTACCACAGTCTTGTTCTTCCACTCCTTGGCGGTGTCAAGTGGGCCGGGAATGCCGCAGGATGTCACGGCATCGCCAGACTCTGGAGAGTACTGCACATATGCAAAGGTCGTGTCGGGGAAAGGTTTGCCTACTTCAATTGCCATGATGAGAGATGTCGAGAAGTTGGGGATATCTTGAACGGAGATTGAGATGCAGATACTCCGTGACAGCGAGTCATTCTGGCGTGAGAGACAGGGCCGGCAGACGCGGATATCAGCTGGCTCATCGACATTTGCCAGCTCGGAGACTCGGAGCTGCACGACTCGACTAGCTTCTCAGATACAGCTGGCACTGCCTGGCAGCATCAAGGTGCTCGATATCTATCTGGACGCAGAGATATGCCGCAATGATAGAATCACTTGTTCAATTGGTGCTCATCGGACTCTCAGATCGCGCGCATTCAGTTTTCAAGAGCTCTCTGCTGCAGATTCATTGACGAACTAGCGACTGACATGCTTAATATGCTCATACCTCACTTCAGCTTGCGCTTTCAAGTCTCAAGACTCTCAACCTTTAACTTTAAGGATGACGAAGGGCTTCGCTACTGAATCGCTAGTATCCGTCTAGCGCTGGCACCGCGCGCGTCTTCGGCCCAGGCGGTTTTGAATCCGCGCGTCTTCGGCCCAGGCGGTTTGAATTTAAAGCGGTTCTTAAGGTTCCTTTTGCGCGCCGGCCTGGCTCAAGAACAAAGAGATCGGGATGTTGGACACAAGAGGCGGGCCATGATCGCCAAAAAGTCCTACACTTGTCTACACTGACTTTTACACTGCTTACAGACTCTTCCGCGTCTTCAAGCTTCGAATATCGGATATCCATGTGGGTCACTTCACCTGCTCACTGTCTCACACGGTCTCACAGTCATAGAGTCACAGTGAGATTCATCCCGCAGGCTGTTGTCTACCACTGAAAGCTGACTCCTGAGTCCTGACTCCTGAGTCCTGAGTCCTGACTCCTGACAGACTACTGCCCAGACTTCAACCTCCGCGCGGACCGACTTTGCAGTCCAAAAAACGGACTCTGTTTGAGAGCTTATTAACTTCCGATCTCCGAGATCGGCTGAGGTCGAACTGTCAAGTTGTCAACTGTCTGGCTTAATACTCAGGCTAGTTCGGAGCCATTGCTAGACATGCGTCACAATTCACATGCCTTCAACGTGCATTGCTCGCGAGCCTCGAGGTGCCAGCCTGACAGTCAGTGCCAGGCTGGCAGCCGATCGCGAGTTGCAAGGTACACCTGTCTCAACTTTCCAGCCCCTCAGGAAATACATTACCAATCTACCGGACCTGTCGATTTAGCCGAATCCGACCAAGTCTTTCCCGACGAACCGATCCCCCGGCTCAGGAAGATATGGCATGCACCGACACTTCGGTATCGCGCTCTCGTTCGTCCGACTCGCGAACTTGCGTAGTTGCGAGCGCGAGATCCGAGTCAAGACTGTCTTAACGTGCTCGCGGCCGACACAGTGACACATGCATGACGGATATCCTTGTTTCGTCTTGCCAACGGGCCACCACTACTACTGAGCAAGAACGGTGAAGTACCACCTTCCGGAATGTTTCTGCGACCGGTCAGCCCTGGAAGTTTTGACGTGATTCCATCTAGGCGGTCTGAAGTGGCTTGACTCCGCTCGAGATCTGAAGCAATTCGCCTGGGCTACGAAATAGTAAAGATTCTGTCCCAATTTCAGGGCTCAAAGTGGACAAAGAAGCCCGATCATTCGGCGAGCAACATGTAAAACCAAGCCTCCTCCAATCGCCTTTCAGTAAGGCCCACCTTTTGCAGGATTCTTTTGTGCCGAAGGATCATCCCAGCCTTTGACAAAGGCAAAGGAAACTGTAATCCCTTTGGGCAGCAGCGGCGAGGCAATGCAGGCGAGACGGCCGCAGCATACTCATTGCTGCCTGTAGGCTATCTGCTGGCTTGGACAAAACCCGCATGCTGCCCGACAATAAGGGTACAAGCACGTATACACACCACCATCCGGCCTGTTCATTCTCTCAACCTACTGCAACAAGAAGACCATTAGCACTAGTCTCATCACTTGACCCCAGCGACTTGCGCATGCATCGATTCTTCTTGAGAAATGATGCGTCCAGATGAAGTCCCCGGTCGCTCACGAGAGCGACAATACAGCGACATAAACCTCGTGCAGCAAGAGCAACCGCATCGCTCACTCAAGCGCTCTTCCACAATGCCGGAGCTCGGCGCATGTCCTGGTTTGACTGTGCAACCGCCGACGCCGCTCGATATGACCTTTGGTAAGCAGCATGGACATCCAATGCATGCGGAAGCTGAGCAAGGCCCTGTTGACACTGGGAGCCTGTTCGTCGGAAGTTATCGCTCCAACGCATCATCCGTCTTTCCAAGTGGTGAAGACTCGGCGCTCGAAGACGACGATGCCTATCAAAGGTCGCCTGCTGCGAGTTACGACTTGACTGCGTCGCCCCTCTCTGTACATGCAATGATTCGCAGCTCAGCGAGTCCGACACCTTCCTCTGTTAGCGCGCCATCGTCGAGACGTGGTTCAAAGGCCAAGTCGAAGCAATCGGCCGAGGACGATCAACCGAAACGACCGCTCAATTCCTTCATGCTGTATCGCAAGGATAAGTGGCCCACAGTACCAAATAAGAACCATCAGTCCATCTCGCGCATCATTGGTGAGATGTGGCGCAACGAGTCCAGGGAGACCAAGGAGCGATATGATAGTCTTGCGAAGCAAGCCAAGGCCAACCATCAGGCTCTGTATCCTGGTTACAAATTCCACCCAAAGAAGAAGAAGGATGGGAAAACGACATCTGCCAAGACGGGTACACCTTACCGACAAAGTGGCTCCGTGAGCGACTCTGGCGTACCACCTGCCATGTATTCGCATGAGGACTATATGCGGCATGTGCAACCACCTTTTCCATACGGCTACTATCCATTGCAGCCAGACCGAAGCATGTATGGTGCAAGCGCGTCCACGTCGCATTTATTCCCAACGGCGAGTGAGGCGCGTGCATCGTTGGCCATGCAGCAACAAAGGTCGCAGCAGGGGTATTACGCACAAGCGCCACCATTCCGTGTTGACACTCCACCGCGATCGACGACTGGTCATTCGAGCTCAGATCAAGAATCGCCATGGTCAGTACCGACAGCCGAGTCGGCATTGAGGCAGCATCACTTGCAAGTGCAGCGTCGACGGCAACAATTGGAGGAAGCGCGTACTTTGGCGGATGCAGAGGCACAGGCGCAATTGGACTTGCAGCATTATGAATGGATGCAAGCGCAGCAAACGCAACAAGCGCAGCAGCAAGCGATGCAGATGCACCAGCAACAACAGATGCTTCCGCCGCAAGAGTTGCCCGGTCATCTTTCAGGCGTGTCAAGCCATGGCGTCAATACGCCGCATGAGAATCTCGCTGAGCCACAGTACGACTTGCTGTCCAATGAGTATGGCGTGCCTGAGTTTATGGACGAGCATGGTCAGATTCATCCCATGGCCGGACTGCTGGACTTGGCGATATACGATCCCAACTACGATGGCCTGGCGGCGTTTGGTCCTGCTCAGGGACAATGGTCATCGACGACGCTGTACGATGGGACAGGTGACTTTGGATTCTCTGATTACGAGCATACGCATGGCGAAGAGCGATGAGCGCCGAGACGAGGAGAGTTTATTGGAAGCTGACCACATAGGTTGCACAGGGCTGGTCCCGTGCAGGATGTAGCATGTATGACAAGGGACGGAGCATGTAATCGCGCTGTAAATGCTCTTATAGCAACCCCTCCCAGACTTGAGCTTCTTTGTCCGTGTATGTTGAGGTTGCCGTGGTCGCTCGCTGGCAACTTTCTCCACACCTCAACCTGACGTCGTTCAACCACGACTAGCTATAGTAGCTCAATAAACTCAGTCTAGGCGAGGCATGAGCAGCAGCTTCCAGTCGCAGGTCGCAAGACATTCGCGCCGTACTTCGGCCGCTGAAAGTGAGCTGGCTGCTGCGTCTGAACAGGATCGCGGACACCTCAACACATACGACGATGGAGTTGTTGAATTGGCACGTCAGCCATTACAATCCACCGATGATGAACAAATAGACCTGCGCCGCTGCTGGATCTGCTTTGAGGAGGAAGTCGTGAGTGATGCTGCGCTCATGCGTTCAGGTTGGCGGCGGCCATGTGGTTGTACACTTGTTGCGCATGAAGAGTGTCTCTTGACGTGGGTGGATGAATCTCACTCACAGCTCACACGCCCTGTCCGGTGTCCACAGTGCAAACAAGCCTATCGCATCAAATCAAAGCACTCATGGGGTGTCTCGTGGATGGCACGGGGCGATTCCCTTATTACAAAAGCATTATTGGCGACGATCCCGCTTGGTTTGTGTCAAGCATTCGGCGTAACGTGCTGCTACTATGGACAGCAGGCGATGGTGGATGTGCTTGGCCCTGATGCCTTCTTTGCACTGGTTGAGAGGTTGCAGCCATCCGATTTGATACGCTTCAATCTTGCTGCTGGCATCATCCCGTTCGCCCTCGTCGGCTCACGTAAGTCTATGAGATCTCTAGGACCGCATGCTAATGACCAGGCTTCCACATCTTCAACTTTGTACTACCACTCATTCCCAGCCTGGTGTGTTTCAGCGACAGTTCCTTCATTGAGGCACGCACACCGATGGGCACCTCGCCCGCCCTTTGGATTTGCGTGCTTCCCTGGTTCCGTAATTGCTATGCGCTTACATGGCGCTTATGCTTTGCAAATCTCGAGAATCGCTGGAAGCGAGAAGCAGGCTTGATTAAAGCTGGTCAGCGTGAAATCACACCCGGTGTCTTTCTACGCAACCAGCCTGTTCGCCAAGCACCTGCAGCGCAAGAGATGCCGCCACCGCAAGATCTAGGTGAGCAACAAGCACAACTTGAGCAAGAACAAGATGATGAGGAAGATGCAGTCGTGGAACGCTGGCTTATGATTGAAGCGCCAGTATTGGCGCGTCGTGTAGCAGGTGCGTTGTTGCTACCGAAATTCAGTGTCTGGTGCTCACACATACTTGTGCGATGGGTGCCGGGCTTCAAGGCTCGGTACCCACATCGCTTCCAGCGGGTATTGATTGGTGGTGCGGCGTTTGTTGTGGCAAAGGATGTCTTGTCGCTGCTCTACCTGTACACGCGCGCTAAGGGCAGATTGACACGACATATTGAGAATCAGAGCAAGGGTAGGCAGCAGCGTCATTGAGAAAAGTCAGCGTATTTGTGAAATAAGCATCTTTAGCCATCTAACGTGAACTATGAGACGCGTCTAAAGAAGTGTTTGGTGTGAAAGAGGGTATATTTGAGAAGAGCGTCTAGTGCAATGAAAAGCATTCGTCTACTTGACACGGTTGAGGTGTCCATCTGCGTTGTGGCCGAGGCCATGAGCATTCTGGTAGAAGACGACATCTCCCTCATCTGCGACAAACTGACAAGTACGCATGGCGCGGAAGAGGGACACGAAGAAGTTGGTGTCGTCACGCTGGTAGTGGTCGCCCATGACCTTCTTGATGTGCACAGTCGCTTCATCGGCATTGTAGAAAGGGATACGAGCGATGAGGTGGTGGCAGACGTGTGTCTCAATAATCCCGTGGAAGAGGTGACGACCAACAAAGCCAAACTCACGGTCAATGGTGGCGGAAGCACCACGAGCGTAGTTCCACTCGCCCTCGCGGTAGTGTGGCAGAGCAGGATCGGTGTGCTGAAGGAACGTAATCATGACCAAGTTGTTGTTGACGATGAGGTAAGGAAGCACGTAGTACAGGATAACGGCAGCAAGACCAAACTTGTTGTAGGCGAGGTAGAGGCACAGACTGGTAAAGGCGAGGCCGAGGTCGGAGAGGGCGATTTCGACGCGCTGCTCAGACTTGAAGAGAGGCGAGAAGGGCCAGAAGTGGTTGATGGCTGCTGTTGAGTGCTCTGGGTAAGGTTGACCAGTGACATTCTTGAAGAGGTATGCGGGCCAGCCGCCAACCTGCTGCAAGAAAAGGGCCCAAGCTGTTGCAATAGGGGTTTCCTCCATCAGCTCCATGAACTTGGATTGATGCTCGTGCTCGTCCACACCGGCGGGAGGGAGCACTGGGTAGTCCTCTGGCTTTGCGCCCTTTGCCTCAATCTTGGAGTTGCGAGTGCGAGGAACAAAGACCATGTCCTTTTGCAGGTGACCCGTCATCTGGTGGTGGCGAGCATGGGAGAACTTCCAGGAGAAGTACGGGACAAGCAAGGCAGAGTGGAGGACGAAACCGACCGTATCGTTGACTTTCTTTGAGGGGGAGAATGCAGAGTGACCGCACTCATGGGCAAGAATCCAGAGACCTGTGCCGAAACATCCTTGGACAACGGCGTAGGTGAGCCACGCTGCGACCCTGAGTGGGAGAGATGGGAGTGTGTGGATGTAGGTAGCTGCGTATCCAGCACAAGCTACCAGGAACAGGTCGCGGACGACGTAGGAGAGGGACCTGATGGTGGACCGCTCGAAGCAGTGTGCAGGGATTGCCTCGTAGATCTCCTTGATGGAGAAGTCTGGGAGGTTGAATTCGCGGCCGTAGGTGTCGTAGTAGACCTTTGGCTTGTCCTGCTGCTTCTTGCGCTGGGTGATGTCTGCCATTAGGGTGTGTTGGGTGTGGTCAGCAGGATATGGGTCGACGTATTGGTTTTATAGTCTGTTCCTATTGCTACTCTACACTGGACTCTGTCTGCTGCGTGGCCTCCTTGACTTTGTCGCTGCTGCTGCTCCTTCACACGCGAGTCCACCCGCAGCACGCCAAAACTCGAGCAGGCTGCCAGCATCGAGCCAGCATCGAGCCAGCAACCCGGGGCCCAGTCCATCGCTCGCTCGAATTCCCAACACTTTTTGGCACAAGCACCACGGGGCTGCATGACCAGTGCAGGTACGATGGCCGATCAAGCATAGGACCAGACGAGCTAGGAGTAGACATCACCCAATCTACAACATATACATCAGTCTATCACTTCACAGAACGTAACTACAAGAACAAGGAAGCGGCCCTTAAGTAAGCTGACTGCTCGCTCGGCTAAAGGGTAAGCTCAAGGTCGCAGGCGGCCGCGCTCTCTCGCAGTCTCGCTCTCAAACCCTCAAATCCGCTCGGCCGCCAGACTCCAGTGGCAAAAGAAAGCGCAGTTCTGATGCAGTCTATATCTGCACAAGCCAAATGAACTCGACAGCTCGGATCAACATCAGGCCAAAGCCAGTGACCTTCTTTGCCTAGTCCTCTCCTGCCCTATGCTTTTGGCAATTGGCATCCAGGCTGCAGGCTACAGCAGAGGTCATCGGCAGTAAGGCTGCTAAGGCATACCCAATCTAGGTAGTCTGGCCAGGTCTGACTTCAGGCTGAAGCTTGGAAAAACAGTGAAGAATTCTTCCATGCCCGCATGCTGTCAGCCTGTCAGGACTCAGCAGACGGGCATCATCAGATAAGCCGTGCCTCTTGAGTCTTGACTGATTTTCGTGTGTTTGCCTTGATCATCCAGTTGAGCAACAAAGTCTGACAGATAGATGCAAGACTTCTCGTAGCCTCTTGCCATACATGTCTTTCAAGCACAAAGTCAAGGGAAGACAATACGCGACAGTGCCAATGGCAGCTGGAACATGGTCAGTCATGAAGGTCACAGTGACTGACATTTGCAAGTGACAGCAGCTGAGCCCGCATAACCGCTGCCCTGGTCATGATAATTCATGAGACTACGCAGCACATGCGATTCAGGGCAAGATGCGGGCCGTCATGAAGGCAGCCGGGTAAGGTTGATGAGGGGGAAGGCTGCCCTTTATATATTCGACGACACGCGAGATCGATCTGTACAGTCCGATCTCCATCTATTGCAGGACACAGTCACAACAACACCAGAACCACGGGGCTCTCTCCCTGCGCCGGGTCTCTGGATCCATTCTCTATCAAACTGCTACCTACCTCTTGCCTGATCCCGTCTTGGTGCTGCTGCTGTAACAATACCATAAGAGAACTGCAGCCATTGCAAGTATCCAGGAGAGAGGACGGAGAAGACAGGAGGGACCGCGTGAAGGGCTGTGCTCATACAAGCAAAGGACACCTACCAAGAAGCAGCGATTGCGTCCACTGAACGCGCTCCAAAGCGCGAGGACTCGCTCGCGGAAACACTGTCGCATCCTCAAGACAACGACGGCACGCACCCAATGACACATGGATGGAGCGTCGAGGTACGGCAACAACCAAAAGCAGCGCGCGCCTCCAGTACAGACAGACGTCCCATCGATCCAGTCATCATCCTACAGCTCCGACACCGACGCAACATCGATGTCCATCTCGACCGTGAAACATCGTCATTCTTTTGTTATGCTCAATTGCAAGAAGTTACGCACCGTCGCGAAACACCACGTACGGATGGCAAGCAGACTGGAGAATCAGTACAAGTGGAAGAAGTCGCCAAGGCGGATAGAGCCTTGACTGGTACTGTCTTATCATCTCTATACTTGCTCGACGATCCGGTTGCCTCACAAAGCTTTCGTGGTGCCTTTTTCGTCTTTCCAGATATGAGTGTACGTTCTGAAGGTCTCTATCGAATCCATTTCACAGTCTTTGGCATCCGAGATGAAAGTGCCTTCTACCTCGCTTCTTGTCGGTCCAGCAACTTTCAAGTCTACTCAGCAAAACGCTTTCCCGGCATGTCCAACAGTACAGATCTCTCTAGGGCATTTGCAGAACAAGGACTCAAGATTCGCATTCGCAAGGAAGTACGTTCATCAAGAAAACGTGAGCGAGATGCATCCGTTGAGTCTGGTGATCCAGAAACAAGCCTCGCTGATGATGATACACGCGAGTCTACAGGATACAATGACTGGCGTCAACAGCAACAACAGCAGCAGCCTTGGGTGCCTATGCACTTGATGCAGCAACGCGATATGTATGGTCAGTCTTTGTCATCAACCATGTACACACACCCTTATGCAACATCCAGTGCAGGACCCAGTACACCGTTGACGCCAATGCCAATGCAGTATCGTGGCTACAATTACCCTGACTTCTCGCCTCATCAGCCTGGACAGTCTTTTCAACCACAGCAGCAGCAGCATCGACCACAGTCGCCGCCACTCCAACCGCCCACGTCTGATATCTCGCGCATCACACTCCCACCTATTGGCAACGTCTTCCATAATCAACCCGATGGGTCCGCATCTCATCCGCCCTTGTCAGCGGCAGTGGTTGATCCCTATGGTTATGCGTATCAAAGTGGCGGTGGTCCACCCATGCAACCGTACCCGGAAGACCGCCGACAAGGTTAACCGCCACAGAACATCAAGCCCCAAGAAAAGCATGAATGAAATTGAGCAAGCGTTATTCTCACCCAACCATGTACTTTTAAACCTTGCGTGTAGCTTTATAATGGATGAATAAAATGTCATACTCCAATACGTTCTAATAAAAAGACTGTTGTAAAGCAGATTCGCCGCAAAAGTGACGTTGGCACTATAAACTATCTAAGCGGAGTAAGTAGATGCCGAGACACGCATGTTTCCACGACCAGACCAGTTGATGTGGATGTCCTTGCCCTCTGGCAGAGACTCGCTAGCAAACTGAGGCAAGACACGGAATGTGTGAGCACCAAAGTAGTCACGCTGAGCTTGCAAGAGGTTTGCAGGGAGCTGCTCGGTGGTGTAGCCATCGTAGAAGGACAAGGCAGTCGAGAGAGCAGGTGCAGGGATACCCATGAGGGCGGCCTGCGAGATGACACGACGCCAACCAGGCTGAGCAGTCTCAATGGCCTTCTTGAAGAAGTCATCAAACAACAGGTTCTCGAGCTCGGGGTTCTTCTTGAAGGCAGAGGTGATGTCGCCGAGGAAGACAGAGCGGATGATGCAGCCACCACGCCACATGAGGGCAATACCACCAAAGTTGAGCTTCCATCCGTACTCCTTTGCAGCACCACGCATGAGCATGAAGCCCTGAGCATACGAGATGATCTTGGAGGCATACAGAGCCTGCTCGAGGTCGTCAATGAGTTGCTTCTTGTCACCTTCAAACTTGGCGGTGATGGGCACCTTGGGGAGTGCCTTGCTGGCTCGGACACGCTCGCCCTTGATGGCAGACAGGCATCGAGCAAAGACAGCCTCACCAATCAATGTGACGGGCAGACCGAGGTCGAGTGCGTTGATGGCGGTCCACTTGCCAGTTCCCTTTTGGCCAGCAGAATCGAGGATCTTGTCAACGAGTGGGGTGCCGTCTTCATCCTTGTATCGGAGAATGTCACGGGTGATGTCAATGAGGAAGGAGTCGAGGAGACCCTTGTTCCAGGTGTCAAAGACATCTGCAATTTCATCACAAGACATACCGACATTGCGCATGATGCTGTAGACTTCGGAAATCATTTGCATGTCACCGTACTCGATACCGTTGTGCGTTTGCTTGACGTAGTGTCCCGAGCCGGCTTGGCCGACCCAGTCACAGCAAGGCTCGCCATCGGCCTTGGCGCAGATGGACTGGAAGATGTCCTTGACGTGAGGCCATGCCTCGTCTGAGCCACCGGGCATCATCGAGGGACCGTGACGTGCACCTTCCTCACCGCCGGAGACACCGGATCCCACAAAGAGCAAGCCCTTCTTCTCAAGGTACTCGGCCCTGCGGTTAGAGTCTGGGTAGTGCGAGTTTCCGCCGTCCTGGTTGTTAGCCTGCGCTAGTTTATGAATGTAGGCGTACAATAATGATGTCTCCCTTATCCATGTGCTTGATAATCATCTCGATAAAGTCATCCACAGCCTGTCCTGCCTTAACGAGGAGGACGATACGCCTGGGACGCTTGAGGTTCTTGCAGAGCTCCTCGATGGAGTGGTAGCCCTCAATCTGGGTTCCCTTTGCTTCGTGCTCGAGGAAAGCGTCTACCTTTGAGACAGTTCGGTTGAAGACACCGACCTTGAAGCCGTGGTCGTTCATGTTGAGGACGAGGTTCTGGCCCATGACGGCGAGGCCGATGAGGCCGATATCACACTGAGGGCTCGACATTTACGCTGCTTGTCTTTGCTTTGCTGTGGTTGAAAAGCGACGGAAGTTGCGTTGAGGGCGATTCACTTTGGACTTCACGATTGCTGAATCAACCAGGATAATTGCTGGATTGCTGGATTGCTACGATAGCGTATGCAGGGTTAGGCCTCGTGCTTGACTAAGCGAAAAGGCCTTCTATACATCCTGCCCATCCTGCACAAGGCGAGACGACTCATCACGGCCAGTGTGCTTGCTCGGGGCCTTGACAATATTGTCGATAATAATATACTGCACAGTTAGCAGCACATAAGCAAGAGACAGCGTACCTGAATCACATTCATAATCAGCGGAAACACAGCCATGACCACCACAATCCGCAGCCTCTCGCTGTATTCCGTCCATCGTAGCAGGAAAGAACCAATGCCGCCAAGCTGGGGAACGACGTGCAGAATGAGAAACACGGCAAACTTCATCAGCAGCAGGCCAATCGTGTAGACACATGCCTGTTTCAGCCAGTACGAGACTTTCGGGGGTAGCCATAGTCTCCACTATTGAGTCCCTCGACTCCCAGAAGCACGCAGAGCGCATCGAGCGTCCGTAGTGCATACCACAGTATCGCCACGCCAATGGTCGTATCAACGAGGATATTGAGAAAGTACCATGTGCACGGTGACTCTTTCGATCCACCTACATCCCGAGCAAGATTGGACATGGCAATATTGACAAAATGCACAACCACTGCACCAAAGAGTCTATTGAAGAGATTAGCATAGCAAGGTACCTTGTAGAAAAGTGTCCGTACTGCTTGCTGACATCGAAGCCCCATACTTTGAATGGTCGGCGCGGCGACTCAAGGTGCCGCTTGTATAGAAGAGAAGAAAGGGCTAATGCGCCGAGGGTGATTTGTATGAGGATGGCAAAGGGGCCCAGCAGCTCACACTTGTCCTGGGAATCTTTAAGTGCTAGGAGCGCCATTTTGCCACTCGGGTTGAGTCTGAGACTCGGCCGTGCGCAGGTTTCGAGCAAGGAGCGGGGCGTAGCAGAAGCAAGCGTATCAATAGAGAGACTGAGCAAGAAAGAGCGAAGAAGAGGGATGAAGATGTAGCAGCGGCGGCGTGTTGTGGACTGAGAGTCGCAAGTCAAGTTGCACACCCGACACCACCACATCAAATCAGCGCTTGATAGTGCCTGACAGTGCTTGTAGTGGATCTGTCTATTGCGCGCAAAGGGCCCAGGTAAGCAGAAGGACGCATCTCCTCCAGAGCCAAGAGTAAGAGAAAAAGACAGAGAACCCAAAAAAGAAATACACATTTTACCATCTTTTCTTTTGCCTTGATCACTTGAACCATGTCTTCCTCAGTATTTTACCGCTTCAAGAGCCAAAAGGATTTCACGCGGCTCTCCTTTGACTCGCCGCTCGGGATCGGAGTCTTTGACCTCAAGCGTGACATTATCACAAGAGAGAAACTGGGCAATGGTGAGGACTTTGACTTGCGCATCTCCAATGCAGACAGCAAGCAGGAGTATGCAGACGATGCAGAGACTGTGCCAAAAGGAACGAGCATCATTGTTCAGCGTCAACCACCAGCGCGTGGACCCAGGAAGGGAACAGCGCAACGCTACGTGACGGGCAATCCCATCCACATTCAATCACGGCAGGAGTTTTCTAATGTCACTGGTCCTACACCGACGCCACGGACAGCGACAGCGACGCCTGTATCGACTGGTAACGCAGAAGAAGATGCCATCAAGGCCATGTTTGCAGCAACAGACAACAATTGGGCAGAGACACAAGACAAAATGGCTCTGTCAAAGCCTGTATTTCGCGCTGGCGGCACCGGGAAATTCCCACCTGCTGCTGTGCCTGACCGTCCGCCACCTCAGGGATATATCTGCTATCGCTGTGGACTCAAGGGTCATTGGATACAGGCGTGTCCAACGCTTGGCGACGAGAACTTTGAGAATCGCGTTCGCATTCGCCGTACAACGGGTATACCACGCTCGCAGCTGCAGAAGGTAGAAAATATCGATGATGTGGATCCAGCGAGTGTCATGGTGAATGCTGAGGGAGAAACTGTGATGTTTGTGCCGGATTCCAAGTCTTGGGAGTCGTACAAGGAGATTCAGGAACAAAACAAGGATGAGTCTTTACCGGCTGATCACGAGCTTGCGTGTGCCATTTGTCACAAGCTACTCAAAAGCCCACACAAGACACCGTGTTGCAGCAAAGTATGTTGCGAGGACTGCATCACGGGGGCATTGCTCGAGAGTGACTTTGTATGTCCATTGTGCGGTACAGCAGATATTCTACTCGACAAGCTCATCGTGGATGAGGAGATGGCGGGCAAGGTCAAGGCGTACAAGGAGTCTAAGCAGGGAGAGTCAGGGACATCAAACTCTGATGACAATGCCGTGGCCGGCCAAAAACGAGCACTTGAAGGAGATGACGAGCAAGGAGGAACTAGCAGCGAGACGGGGCCGGCAGCATTTGGCCAATTTGAGCTTCCGGGGATGCCACCAATGCCGATGCTACCGGGTATGCCACAAATGCCAATGCCTGGAATGCCCATGATGCCCGGGATGCCGCCGATGCCCATGATGCCTGGGATGCCGCCGATGGATCCGATGATGTTTGCACAGATGATGGGTATGCCATTTCCTCCAGACATGATGGCGATGATGCAGCAGGGGCCGCCGCAGAGTCAGAGCGAAGGACCCAAGTTCAAGAAGGCGCGGCAGGGATAATGCACGAGTAGTAGACCAATATCCAACGGTAGAATGGCTTGCTAAAGAGACTGAGAGTACGTAGAAGACGCAACAGAGAAACAGTAAAACAAAGGACACTAGAGGTCAAGCGCAACAAAACAAAACTTGTCTGTGAGGGCTGCATCTTTGAGGATCTTTTGAGGTGCGATGGGTGTGAAGCCGACCCACGACAAGTCATGCAAGACGACAGGCAGCTCTTTGCCGAGTGCTTGCCTGTCAATGGCAATGACGAGATGCTGGCACTGCAAGCAGTCGAGTGCGAGGTCCAGCAGGACAACCAACCCGTCCTTGAGCTGAATATTGGTGCTGCCCGTGACATAGAGTGTCCTATCGCCCTCGGCATCCACCTCAATCACACCCGTCATACTAACTTTGCCCTCTTCCTTGATGACCACTTCTGACTGGATCTCCCCCTTCTCAAGCTTGATGTGCTGCGTGTACCAGCTCGAAATATTACGCTCGCTCAAGCTCACTTGTCTCTCACCCAAGTGTGCAGAACGGAACGTTGCCTGCTGCTTTGCGCAGGACTTTGCAACCGAAGCGACGTCACCCGCAGCGCTTCCACCCGGGTCCCCCCAAAGTGCAGTAAAAGTTGGCGCCGGTTGACGTGGTGCAAACGATGCTGCCGTGCTGACCTGCTGCCTGCTCGAGAGGAGGAGGGGCCGTTGTGCTGACGCTCAAGGCGTCGCAGCGATTGGAGGCAGGTTCATTATTGAGAATACTGGACGATATCATGGCTTGAGAATGGTTTTCGGTTGTTTGAAGGCTTTGATGGAGCTGTGCAAGAGCTGAGCAGAAGCGCAGCGCCTAGACTGAGTAGGATAGATGAGGGGATGGAGTGCTGGTGGTTGTCGCAGATGTTGAGTTGCTGGAGAGTTCGAGGTGCACGTGAGAGTGTTTGCTACTATCAAGTATCAACTGCTACTGCTCAGCTACTTCTACTCAGCTACTTCTACTCAGCTACTGCTACTGCTATTTCTTAGCTTCTACTCCTTCTACCAATACTGAGCTAGGAACTTCTACTGCTACTGCCGCTACTACTTCTTTGCTACTTCTACCCAGCTGGGCACTTTTACTGCTGCTAGCCTGCTACTTCTACTGATCTAGACACCTCCAATGACCGCCCTTGCAGATGCACTGGGCAAACGGGCCCTCTCACTGGACGACCCATCCCCTCTAGTCCAGACAGGCGCTGTCCTGCTCTCCATCTTCTTCGTACTGGTACCGCTCTTCTTCATGTACCCGCTTTATGTCATCTCCATTCACACCTTGGTCGAAAAGCCAGCCAATGCGGCCACTGGTGCCGCACAGCTTGACGAAGAAGGAGCACAGAACAATGCTCAGTCGAAGCACAAGTTCAGCAATACGCGCGGTGCTTCAAATGAGGACGACAACGACGCTTTTTATGCCGATGATCGTGCTGCGCTTCTCCAGGAAGACTTTGCTGCAGAGGGAGAAGGTTCTACAATTTTCGTCACCGCCTCTATTCGCACTGCTTGGGATAATCTGTTGAAGCATTGCGGCAAATTTGGTGCATTCAGAGCACTCCCAGCTCTTTTATGCTATACCTTCATCAGTGAACTGCTTTTTGCGGGGCTTGGCGGCGTCCGCCCAACAATCCAAGTGGCAAGACGCATGCGCAGCACAGATCCAAAAGGCTGCGAATACAACTTTGCACTGGCTGCCTATCTTGTCAGCGTCATCGTCAGACTTCTCCTTATCCCTCTGGATGTAGTCATCACTCGCCAGATTGTCTCGAAGCCAGACAATACGAACTTTGTTGGACTTTGCAAGACCGTTCTCACAACCTTCAAACCTGCCGACTTTTCGCCAATCATTGTACCAACCCTTGTCAGTATGCTGCTCAGTTCTGGCCTCGACAACCTCCGTGCTCAACTTCACTTTACACTGTCAAGCGACCCCGATAGTGGCTGGCAGGCCTTGGTCGGATTGCTTGTCAACTTGCTTTGTATCAGCTTCTATTTCTTCATCGCGGCAATCCAGGCGCTGGTCTACCGCTCTCACATGACAATCATTGCTCGCATGCCGCCAGCGTCACCACTCATCCGGATGCCGACATCATTCGCAGGGATCGGGCAAGAGCTTCTCAATCTTATTCAAGAAGAACGTCAAATTTCATCGTTCGCGCTTGGCAGGTTTTGGCGCTACTTCAAGATTGTCTTCTTTGCTGGACTGCTGACATTTGTTGGTGTCCTCTTGGCAACACTGACTCTAGTCTTTGCCGGAGTCATCCACAATGTTTGAGAAGCCTCGTTATGCTCATGCTCGCTACTGCTCGGTTGGATCGTTCATACCAAGATTACCAGCCAACATTTTGCTTTCTCACAAGCTGCCTCTCCAATATAAAGTGGTTGACCTTGTACTCCTGGCCCTTGGGTGCTTCGAGATACTTCCATCCAATCCGCTCTTGACAGACTCCGCACGAGATGTCGGCGATGACGTGCTTGCCCGTCATGAGCGCTCTCTCGTACTTGCCACTTACATCGACATTCACCACCTCCTTGACGAGTATGGCTCCTCCGAGCCTGCCTGTAAAGGCGCCAGAAAGAATGTGATCCACAGAACTAATGTGCGTTGCGCAGGCACACAGCAGAAGCGCAGGCAAATGCGCGCTCCCTGTTCCATAGTGTTCGCAGGTGGGCCCTTGACTCGGGCATAGATACTTGATCATATTGACCAAAAATCACCTACGGAAGGACTCTGGGCCTCTCTACCTGAGTCTGTCGATGGCCGTTGGAGATGCTGCTGCTGCTGAGTTCCCCCTGACTCGCATTCACGTGTGCCAGAGTTGCCAGCATCAAAGGTTTTTTACTTTTCATCTGTCGAGGACCAGCTACTACTACAACTGAGGTCCATGAGTGAACGGTCTATAGGCCAGCTAGGGCTCATACCCAATAGTAGAGCACTTATCAGTCAATTCTTTGCTGCGCCTGCAGATCTCTCCCGCTCGGGCGTCCAGCTCTTTGTACTTGGTCTCTCAGTCGCTGCTATACGCAAGCTCATCTCTGCCGTGACTTGGCTTCTGGATCGAACATTTATCAGTCGAGCAGAGATTGATAGCCGTGATGAAGCCTATGCTTGGCTCGATAGCTTTCTGCGTGAGCACAAGGGACAAGATGCACTTCAATTTACAGTCACAACCAAGGCTCAACCAGGATCTAATGCACAGAGCAGCGAGGAGAGTCGCTCAGGATTGAGCCCACTCCGTTTCAATCCAGCACCCGGTTTGCACTTCATTTTTCACAAAGGCTGGCCTGTGTTGGTAAGGCGACAACTTGCAGGTGAGGCAGGTCAATCGAATCTACTCAAGCCTTCTGAACGCCTCGAATCCCTCTCCCTGCAAACACTGGCAGTTACGCCCCAATGCCTGCATGATCTCGTCCAGTCATGCAGAGCACAGTACATCTCGCAAGATCGCTCACGGACCGTGGTCTTTACTGGCACACAATACGGTGGGTGGCAGCGGCTGCACTCAAGACCACTGAGGTCACTCGATACAGTCATTTTGCCGCCCAAGGTGCTCCATCCTCTATTGACTGACATTCGTGATTATCTATCGCCAGAGACTGAGCGATGGTATGCTCAACGCGGTATTCCATATCGGCGTGGTCTGCTCTTTCATGGTCCCAGCGGTACGGGCAAAACGAGTCTGGTAATTGCACTTGCTGGCGAATTCAACCTTGGCGTCTATGTCGTCTCACTTGCAGGTAAGGGTATGAATGATGATAGGTTGCTTGAGCTACTAGGGAGCATGCCACGCCGCTGTATTCTTCTGCTGGAAGACATTGATGTCGCCTTTCCAGATCGCGCCAAAGCTAGTGCTAGTAGCGACACTGTTGCAGAACGCGCTGCAGGCATCACCTCCTCTGGTCTGCTCAACGCATTGGATGGCGTGGCTGCACAAGAAGGCCGGCTCGTGGTCATGTCGACCAATTACAGGGAGCGGCTTGACTCTGCGCTTGTACGACCTGGTCGTATTGACCATGAGGTGGCCTTCCAGCTTGCGAGCAGGGAAGATGTGCAGGCACTCTTTCTCAATTTCTTCGAGCATGCCGAGGAGAAGGGCGCTGCGTTGGACGTACAGGATGCAGCTGCTCGTTTTGCAAGTAAAGTTCCGGTTGGCAAGCTTAGTATTGCAGCGCTGCAAGGCTTCCTCATGGACAACAAACGAGATCCAGAGGGTGCCATCCAACAGATCGAAGATTGGTGTGTACGCCACACGTAGTCAAGCATGCTACGCTCAAGAGCCTTGTTATCAAGATTTTGGTGCTCTTGAGAATTCTTCATTGGCCTTCCATACTTTTGCCAGACCTGTTTCTTCCTTGAACGTTTCACGCTTCCACACTTCGGTCTGCCGTTTTGCCTCGTCCAGAATGTACTCTCCTGCTTCCCAGGCTGCTTTCCGATGATCGCTGCTAACGGCAATCATGATGCTCTCTTCGCCAACTGAAACACGGCCGAGGCGGTGGAAGCAAGCGGCGCCTCGCAGACTAAATCGTTGCATGGCATCCTCGCAGATCTGTCTGAGGCTGACCAGAGCCATTTTACCATAGGCCTCATAGTCTAGATGAAGGACTTCCTTCCCAGCAAAGTGGTTTCTCGTGGTCCCTGAAAAGGTGACAATGGCGCCTGCAGCATCACTGCGGACGAGATTGACGATATGAGTGAGATCAAGGGGCGTGTGTTGCAAGCCCACATGGACATTTGTCATGCTGCAGGGAATAATAATTCAGCAGAGTAAGAAGAAGCTTCAGTGCAGTAGTCAGTCGGCAGCAGCAGTCTTCTAGTGAGCAGGAGCAATAATGGACAAGCAAGGACTAGTTCATGGCTGCCTTCTCGGGTGTTTCAACTTTTCTCACTTCTGGCAACGGAACAAACCTCCCCCTCAAAACACCGCTACACAACCAAGACATCTTAAGCCTTTCCCATCGGCCTCATCGATTGGCCCATCTGCAGAGCTGATTAGCTTATTGACTGCATGCGCACGTAATCATGTTGATGCTCTCCCAATTGCGCTCTCTCCTGGCGAGTTACCAGGCAGATGCAGCTGCCGATGTTCTTTCCGGGCCGGCCTACAACGCGTTTCAGCTCCTCACGTCCGAGCATGTGGAGACATTTAATAGCAAATTCTCGAGACTGCGTGGAAGGCTTGAAGACGCGGGTCTCAGCAGCGATGGAGCAACACATTCTTCTCGATCGCGTGCAATACATGATGCTCCAAAACTCGCAACGGTGCTCGAGGCAGAGTCCGAGGGCGAAGAGGAAGCCCATGAGGCGTCAAAATCACAGGTCAAAGTCGCGGTGATGCCAGTATATGAGCTACAGGCCGACAAGACCACTACACAAAAAGCCGATGCGCCGATACTGCTCAATCCTGCATCGGCCCTGTCTCCGTCAAGATCAGATGAGGGTTACGGCAGTTTCAATGGTGAAGAAGGAGATGAGACGATTGACGAGATTGCAGCGCTTGGCATCATTGAAGAAACGGAAGAGCTACCCGATTATGGTGTGTTGTTGACACCGGCCAAGACTGTCCTCCCCGCTTCACCGCAAAAGGCTTTCGCTGCATCAACGTCACCGACTAGAGCGCCTTCAGGAAGACCACTTGTCAGCGATAATGCAAAGAAGGTATTAGCAATGGGCTATGCACTGTCATTACTTGGCGAGAAGTTTGACAAGCCAAAGAATGTGGAAGGTTCAGTCAAGTCTGTCATCCTCAAGGCGAGCCAAGCTATTGAACGTGGTAGTGTCAGTGGGTCGCAGTATGCGCGCTCTAATTACAACAAGTCGCGTTATGGCGGATCACGGTACGGTGGAGGCTCACGGTATGGCGGATCCAAATTTGGAGGCTCACAAGCACGGTCTATTGTGCTCGAGGAGAATCTGCCTTCATGGGGTTTCTAGAGACCTGTAACATACTTTACGCTGTCCTAATAGAGGACAGCTGGCACCAGCGTAGCACCAAGTCATTCAGCTTTTTGTACCTTTCCGCTTCATTTCATTGTTTTTCCATTCAGCCTCCCTTTTGCGGTAGCTTCACGTCGATTCGTTTTCCTGATGGTGCTCTGCTGCCAGCTGGTGATGTATTGGCACTAGGCTTTGCTTTACTGGCAGAGTCTTGCTTAACAGATGCATCTTTGGCGGCGACAGCAGCTAGTTGTGATGGTCTACCCTCTATGCGACGCACTTCTCGGATGCACGCCGTATTGACGAGACGATAGTGTTCTGTAGGACCAGAGGTCAAGACGAGTATGCGTAATGCACGGTCAAAGAAGTGAACGACGCCTCGAACACGCTCAGAAGTAGAGAAAGTGCATTCGACTTCAGCGGATGGCGTTAGGAGAGCCAAGGGATCCATTTTGCTCAATGAGCCGCTTAGCACAGCACAAGCTTCTTTTATTGATGCGTGTGACTTGTTCAGAGGTTCTATTACAGCACTTGACTTGAAAGAGAGCTTCCGTTAATGGAGTGAGCTGGTAGTTTGAGGTCTGCGCGACATTTCGCCTACAAATCTGAAGTCCAGGGCGAGAAGCGGACAACCAACTGATGCAGCTGCAGGACAGCCAATGCTCATCCAATTCTATGTCTCCAGTCATGGCTATGGTCATACGACGAGAGTAGCTCAAGTATGCAAATCCCTCTTGGCTCTTGATGCCCAGCTCGAAATCAACATTGTCACAAGGCATCCTGCTCAACAGCTCTTCTTTCCCTCAGACAGGCTTACTTTCTATGACCTGGATGTTGATTCAGGCATTGTGCAGTCGAATGCATACACAATAGATCGTGATGCATCTTGGAGGGCTCTGGATGCATTCGTACAATCTGCTGCTGGCTCTGGATCTCGTCGTCCTCACCTTGAGCAGCTTGCAAAGAGCAGCCCTGATCTGATTATCAGCGATGCAGTTTGTCCCTTTCCATGGGAGGATTACCGTGACAAGCCAAAGGTCTTGCTTTCCAATTTCAGCTTTGACGGCATCTTTCAAGGTCTGCTTGTCCATGGCGAAACAGCTCGGTGTGATCTCGTCGACCGCCTTAAAAAGACCTATGCTCGAGGGATTGATCTGGTCCTCAGACTGCCAGGATACATCGACATGCCCTTTGTGCAAGAAAATGGTATTGCTTGCCAAGATGTGCCCCTTGTTTACCGCACTCCCTCAGGCAAGTCACGGAACGAGGTCTTGGACGATCTCATCATTCCCGTGGATGAGCGCAACAAGCAGATCCTGTATGTCCAGTTTGGAGGTCATTTGAACGGTAATTCAGATCATCTTCCACAACTTCCTGAAGACTGGATCTGCTTGAGCAGTGTCGATGCATGGTCAACACTCGAGCACTTTTATCATGTTCCCTCCACGTACTACACGCCAGATATTGTCAATGTTGCGAGCCTCGTGCTTGGCAAGCTTGGCTATGGGACTGTGTCCGAGTGCGTTGGACTCGGGACCCCGCTGCTCATGGTCGAAAGGGCCTTGTTTGCAGAGGAAGCTGGTCTCAAGTCTTTTATGAAGCAGCATGGCCAACTGGCTGAGATGAGCGCATTTGATTACGAGGAAGGAAAGTGGTCCTTACCTATCTCCAGGATGGAGCAGAAAGGCCAGCTTGTGCCTGGAACAACAGTGCCAGACGGTAGTATGCAAGTGGCCCGTCGTCTCCTGGAGCTGGCCGGTGACTCCCTGAGCTCCATCTGAAGTGCGCTCGGCTCGTCCTGTGTCCGGGTCCGAAAGCGACAAGAGACCATTTTTGTGAGCGCCGTTGAGGTCGCCAGCAAACACACCCTGTTCAGGAGGCCCGAGGTGTGCGTGATCAGTCGCATAGCATCTGTGTGACCATCGACAATGGCTGGTGCATGGAGTGTCCTCAAGTGGACGGCGGCCCTGCTTTATCTGCTCAACTACAAACACTCCTTCTTTCAATGGCATCTGCGCTTCTTCTGGCAGTGTATCAAGCACACAATCACCTACAAGCTGATGGGCGGTGCGCAGAAGTCCCGGATAGCGGCTAGTACCAACAGCAGAGATCTGTGGGCGTCCAAGACATACCAAGCGCGTGCCTCTCTCGGCGATATTGACTTCAACTTTCACAAGTCCAACAGCACGTACGCAGCAGATGCAGATATGGCGAGAACATCCTTCTGTTTGCAAATGTTTGATCAGCTCATGATTGGCAACTTTAAACTCTACGTTGCGCTTGGCGGCGTATCGTCGCAGTTTCGCAAGCAGATTGACATGTACGAGAGCTATACGCTCGAGACCAAGATCTTGGCATGGTACGGCGCTCCTGCTACGAGCGACACTGCTAACACTAGGGACGAAAAGTGGCTCTTCTTGTCGACACGCTTTGTCGGCGCCAAGAATGAGACAAAGGCACAGATGCTCTCGCAGTACATCTTCAAGCAAGGCCGCGCTACGCTAAGACCTGAGACTGGTGAGTCTTGTGCTTGCTGCAAATAAGACACGGCTAACAAACAGTGTTTGAGAAGAGCGGTTACAGACTCACTGAAGCTGATCATGCGAAAAACAAGGAGCAGGTGAAGCTGGCTCAAGGTCTCCTTGCTCTCAAGGATGTCGCTGCACTTTGGTAGCTTCGCTTCTATTTGTCAGTTGCAGCTTCTCATTCCGCTTTCAGGTGTGGCCCGAGCTCACGACCTGGTGCTGCCTTGCTGGGCGTGATGGGCAGCACAATGAGACCATGTGGTATGGGTTCTGGCAGAGTAGGGACATCGGGCTACACAACGTTGCTTATCATCAGCACAGGCATGACTATAGATAGACAGGCACTTCTGCACATACACATCGGCCCTTTGTCCTTTTCCTCTCTTCTCTTGCCAGCTGCAGCAGCTGCCAGCTGTGATTAACTTTGACACTGACGGGGAGCATCACAGTCTGGGTCCTTCCTGGGCCTTGCTCAGCTGGCATTGAGCTCCTGACCACCCTTCCCTTCTTCTTCTCAGCAGCAGGAGGCCCTTCTTCCTTTCCCTCTAGATCTCTTGCTGGCCCGTTTAGAGTTTTCTCCCCCAAAGTCCCCCAAATCCTGCTGCTGCTGCTGGCCAAAGACCAAACCTGCACACAACCAAGGCGACGTAGACTCAATCGCATACAGAACACACAAGGCCCGCGTCCCCTGCCCTCTCATCAATCGCGAGCAGCGCTCTTTCGCTACATCAGCTCGTATCCCCCGCGTTTCCCACTTCCAGGGTTTTTGCTAGGCAGGCAGGCAGGCAGCAGGCGCCAGTCGACAAGCCCGTCTATCTCTGCTACAGCGCCATTTTACTGTGCGCACACCTCGACGCGCGCTGGCCTTTGCCCCTCTCTGCATTCGATACACCATCAGCCATGCTTCAAAGCAAGCCTCCGAGTTCGCCGGCCATGAATGAATATCTGCGGGATCTCGGCGACGACCTCTTCTTTGGCGAACTCTCCAGCGACTCCCTCTTGCGGCCGCGTCTATACAAGGGAGAGCCCTCTCCAGCAGAGTCGGAAGATTCACCAAGTAGCCACAGCGACTCCATGGCAGAAGATTCTGACCTCTTTGCGCTCGATCATAACGGCCACCGCTCTTCTCTCGACACCGTGCTCACCGACGCCGGCGATAAGATGACCGCCGCCCCTGCTGAGGCATCCTTGTGTGATACAAAGGCATTTGTACCGGCAGTGGTACGCTTGGCCCTTCCACCAACTCCTGCGCCCGCACCAGTATATCAGCTACAATTGACTGGCATTCCAGACAAGTCGCGCGTAGAGACGCAAATCAAGCTGGGCCTGCACCTTGTTGAATTGATGCCGGACGGTAGCCAAAAGACAACGGGCGATCGCTTCCAGTGGCTCAAGTTGCCCGCATGGGGTATGGCGAAGGAGAAGCTCAAGCTGAAAAACCGTCGCGACACACCAGACACCATCGACCCACATAAAATCATCTTCCTGGATGCCCGCGTTGTCAAGAGTGGCGAGACTCAAGAGGACGTCCAGATCTGTCATGGCTGCATCATCCGCGAGCGCAAACGCGCACAGCGCAAGAAGGACAGTGCCAAGCACAAGGCCCGCATTCAAGAAACTGCTGTGGTGCCGCCGCAGGAGATTCCCCTTGCAGACGAAGAGAAGAAGATTCTCGTCTTCAATTGCCCTGAGCTGCTTGAGATGGAGAATGGCCGAGTTGTTGTGCCTACTCGCGTTACTTGCTACTGCCGTCACCACAAGGAGAAGGTTGGCTTTCGCATGATCATCACGCTTCGAGATGCATCCAGCAGTATCCTTGCTACAACGACGTCAGAGCTCGTCCTCATCACAGACGATCACAAGACTCTTGGAAACGCGAAACCAGTGCCAACGAAAGCAGGCGAGGAAGGCCCACCCAGCCAAGCGAATACATCTGCCAATGTATCACCCCAACAAGCTTCTTCTGCACAGATGGCACAGTCAAGACGCTCTTCCATCTCTTCTGCTGCCACGAGCCGCAAGCGTAAAGCAGATCCCGTCAATATCGCACCCAATTTGGCGCCGAAGATCCAAAAAGTACCGAGCTCGCTCTCCATGACGCGCATGGCCAAGGACGAGTTGCAAAATGGCCTCCGACGTGAGCCTCTGCCTGTTGTGCCCATGTCTGCTAGCACATCGCGTGCAGTGTCACCCTCCACAGCACGATCGCTGCACCGCACTCAATCGCAGGATTCGCTGTTGCAATTCATGAATTTGCAAGATGAGCGAGAGTTGTTGACAGATGTTGCTCAAGTCCATTCACCAAGTCGGTCTCAAACGTGGGAGGCCAGCATTGACGAATCCATGGATCGCGGCATCTCACTTAGTCCGCGCACCCGCACCCTTGAATACCTGATGGACAGCGCTTCTCGTCAAGCTGGCGTTGCTCAACATTTCGCAAATCAAGGCCGAGCACTCGGATCTGACGTGCCTACCATCAACCGACTGATCCCGGCTGAAGGGCCTCTGCAAGGCGGTGTTGAGGTGACCATCCTCGGCTCTGGCTTCTACCCTGGCCTGACCTGCATGTTTGGCGAGGTGGCTGCTGTGCCGACACATTGCTGGAGCCCAACAACCATGGTCTGCGTTTTGCCACCTTCATCCATTGCTGGTGTCGTGTCTGTCACTTTCCGCGAGCACCCATACAATGCCTTTGTTCCGACATCTTTCCCAGGCAAGCCATTCACGTATCTCGATGACACTGATCGTGCACTCATGGAACTCGCTCTGCAAGTCATTGGTCTCAAATCAACAGGCAAGCTCGAAACTGCAAGGGTATGTGCCTAATCATTCAATTCTCAACTAACAACAGGATGTCGCTTTACGCATTTGTCAAAACAGCATGCCGTCAGAATCTGCTAGTCAGCATATTGCCAATCTGCCGATGCAGCAGCTGAGAATGGCACTGGGCCTCGAGGAGGATGAAGAGATGGATATGGAAGATTTACTCATCAAGTGCCTTGGATTGCTGGACCTCATTCCTACGTCACGGTCGCCACGCTTTTCACACCGCAACAAGGGTGGTCATACGATGCTTCACCTAGCGTGTACCAAAGGCTACAATCACTTTGTGCAAGAATTGCTTGTTCGCGGCGCCAATGGCAATGTTCGTGACCGTTCTGGATTCACTGCGCTTCACTTTGCGGCGATGTTTGACCAGTATGAGGTGGCTGCTGACTTGCTATCGAGGCCAGAGACCAATGCAGCACTCTCAACAAGTGATGGTTTGACTGCGTATGACTTGGCTGCCATGACGAACAACAATGAGCTGATTGCCCTGTGTGATCCATGGAGCTGGACTCAGAGCCTCGGCCGTTCAACGCGATCCAATTCAGTGGGCTCGCAGGCATCGAGCTATGATGCAGTGTCTCTTTCCTCTGACACCGCCTCCCGGAGCGCATCTGAGTCTGATTGCAATTCGGACGTGACACGAGGCCGAGTGGTTCGTGCTCAAGGTGTTGCAACGCAGCCTTCAAGCCGAGCAGCATCGCCTGCACTAGGCAAGCCAATACGCCGGCGGAGCAGCATCAGCCAACTGGATCTCGGCACGGAGTCTGCTACAATCGAAGACCTCAAGCAATTCGCAGCCTTGTCAAAGGAGCAAGAAGCGGCAGATGGCAAGAGCGATCACCAGACGATTGCTCAGCAGATTGCACAATTACAACAGAGTTGGGTGGCATTCTTGACGGCCACGTCACCGGCCTGGGTACAAAAAGTGACGGGTGCACAGTCTCTGCAGGAACGCTTCAAGAATAGTGCGCAGATGCAGCAGCTGTCGAGCATGCCTCCATTGATGGCATTCCAGGCGATGCTTCCAACAATGCCGCATTTGCCTTCGTTGTCACCAAGCAAGGATGCCGAATCGCCGGATGCCACCTGGCTTGGCAATCTCGTTTCTTCTCTCGGTGCGCCGCCGACATACGCTGAGGCGACTGCTGCGATTCCACTGCTTGGTGCGATGACGAGCCGCGGCAAGACGGTCGAGGCGGAAGCAAGAGTAGCAGAAGCGGACGAGATGGACTGTGGTGAGACATCGGGCAGCGCATCGAGTGCCGTGCTGCCATCAGTGACTGCACCGGGGAAACGTCCTTGGTGGCCGAGCAAACGGGTGACGCTCCGGCAGCAGAGCCGGATCGTGGATTTGACGCCAGCACAGCAGCGTGCACAGGCGAAACGCTTCCAGAAGCCGTGTGACCGGATGATGCTGCTGTTTTGGCTGCCGTGCCTTGCGTTCTTCATCCTGCTGTCTGTGTTCAAGGTGACGTTTGGGCGTGTGCTGTCGTGGGTGAGCTAGATGGATGTTATTTTGCATGAAATAGGATGAGCATGAAAGCAGATGTATAGATATAAGAAGAGAGCATCGATGAGCTGCAGGAACGGCCATAAGTATATACCTAACCCCATTACATGTGACTGCGTATTCCCGTGTCGTGGATTGCGCCCGTGAGTTGCTCGCTGTCTCCTTTTCCTCCCGAGCGAGCGAAAGGAAGGAAGAAGCAGAAGCAGCAGCAGCATCGATCCATCCCCAAGATCCCATCCAACCATGATCCGAAAGACCCTCTCTGTTGCAGCTCGCAGGGCCGCAGCAGTCCAGAAGGCTCACAATGGCCTCCTGGCTGCTTCAAAGAGGACAATCTCCCCAGCAGTAGCAGCACCCGCTGTCCACCGTATGTTGCATTTGCCCGTCAAGCATCACAGACGCTAACCTGTCCCTAGAGCGTTCAATGGCTACCGAGGCCAAGTCCACCGGATCCACAGGAAAGGTTAGGACCGTCATTGGTGCCGTCGTCGAGTAAGTCACCCCAAACAGACACGCTTGAGACATCAATTTGCTGACTAGATGCTAGTGTCAAGTTTGACTCCGACTCGCTTCCTCCTATTCTCAACGCTCTAGAAGTGCAGGACTTCCAGGGAGGTCGTCTCGTGCTTGAGGTTGCCCAGCATCTCGGTGAAAACACTGTCCGAACCATTGCCATGGACGGTACCGAGGGTCTTGTCCGCGGTGCCGCCGTGGTCGACACTGGTCTTCCCATCACCGTGCCCGTTGGCCCAGCTACCCTTGGTCGTATTCTCAATGTCATTGGTGAGCCTGTCGATGAGCGTGGTCCCGTCAAGACCGACAAGCGTATGCCTATCCACGCAGACCCACCTGAGTTTGTTGAGCAATCCACCACACCTCAGGTGCTCGAGACTGGTATCAAGGTCGTCGACTTGCTCGCGCCCTATGCTCGTGGAGGAAAGATTGGACTCTTTGGCGGTGCCGGTGTCGGCAAGACCGTTTTCATTCAGGAGCTCATCAACAACATTGCCAAGGCCCACGGAGGTTACTCCATCTTTTGCGGTGTCGGTGAGCGTACCCGTGAAGGTAACGATCTCTACCACGAAATGCAGGCCACCGGTGTCATCAAGCTCGACGGCGACTCCAAGTGTGCCCTCGTGTTTGGCCAGATGAACGAGCCCCCTGGTGCTCGTGCCCGTGTCGCCTTGACCGGTCTTACCATCGCAGAGTACTTCCGTGATGAGGAAGGTCAGGATGTGCTGCTGTTCATTGACAACATTTTCCGTTTCACTCAGGCTGGTTCCGAAGTGTCTGCTTTGCTCGGTCGTATTCCTTCCGCTGTCGGATACCAGGCTACCCTCTCCACCGACTTGGGTGCCCTCCAGGAGCGTATTACCACCACCAAGAAGGGTTCTATCACTTCCGTGCAGGCCGTCTACGTGCCCGCAGACGATCTGACTGACCCTGCTCCTGCCACCACCTTTGCGCATCTTGACGCTACCACTGTGTTGGCTCGTGGTATTGCTGAGATTGGTATCTACCCAGCTGTTGACCCTCTCGACTCCAAGTCGCGTATCCTCGACGTCCGTGTCATTGGCGAGGAACACTACAAGGTTGCCCTCAACGTGCAGCAGACCCTCCAGTCGTACAAGTCTCTTCAGGACATTATCGCCATTCTCGGTATGGACGAGCTTTCCGAGGCAGACAAGCTTACTGTCGAGCGTGCACGTAAGATTCAGCGTTTCCTTTCGCAGCCCTTCGCTGTTGCTGAGGTCTTCACCTCCATCCCTGGTAAGCTTGTGTCGCTCAAGGACACCATTGCCTCATTCAAGTCGATCCTCGACGGTGAGTGCGATGACTTGCCCGAGGCTGCCTTCTACATGGTTGGCAATATTGCCGATGTGCGCACCAAGGCTGAGCAGCTTTCCAAGGAACAAAAGTAGAGCGTAGGATATCTTGAATAGAATACAAAGCTGACGATTCTACCTATTTGTCTGCTACATTTTCATAGACGTCAAAGCGACGCTGCGTCGTGACTGGAATCGACTTTCGTGTGTCTTCCATCGCTTGTGGTTCGCAGTCTGCGTAGATGATCTCCTCGTTGGTGCCAGCCTCTGCCAAGACTTGACCGTTCGGATTGACAATGATGGAGTGACCGTAAGCGTTGTAGGAAGCAGACATGTCTCTTGCTGGTGAGCACAGAGCGACAAAGATTTGGTTATCGACTGCACGCGCCCTGCCGAGGAGTTCCCAGTGCAGCGGACCCGTAGTGAGATTGAAGGCGCCGGGGTACAGGAAAGCTGAGCACCCGTTACGAGCAGCGACCATGGCCATCTCTGGGAATCGTACATCGTAGCCTACCCGTCAGCGATGTTGGAAGAGGGAGACTTACAGATGGCGACACCAAATTTACCGTACGGCGTGTCGATCTCAGTGAGCTTGTCGCCTGGACTCAAGCAGTCGCTCTCTTGGAAGCGAATCTTGCCAGGGACGTCAATATCAAAGAGGTGTACTTTTCTGTGGACGCCAATGAGCTCGCCTTTGTGGTCAAAGCACAGAGATGTGTTGTATAGTTTACCGTCCTTCTTCTCTGGAATGGAGCCACCTACAAGGTAGACGTCGTTATCCTTGGCCATCTTGGCGAGCGCGAGATAACTCTGCTCTGGCGGATCAATTGACTCTGCGTACTCGGGGAAGTCTAATGATGAGCTTCATACTTGGAGGAAAGATCCTACATTGTGTTCCATAAGGAGAGTTGAAGCACTCAGGCAGCACAACGACTTGAGCTTTGCCCTGGACGGCTTCCTTGACTTTACTGGCAGCATTTTGCAGGTTGCGTGCCTTGTCTGCACCTGTAGCAAGCTGAATGAGACCTAGACGGAAAGCTTTAAATGAGCGAGGTACAAGAGACATCTTCTAGCTGTTCCTTTGTATATATAGAGCTCTGGCCAGTAGTAAGACCAAGTTGTTCTCCAGCTCGCCGTCGAGTCGCGAATTTGAAATTTGGAATCCTCGACGCGACCTCAAACTTGGACGCGACAAAGCTCAAGACGCACAGGATGGAGGCCGTCAATGCGTTCGTGGCACAGGCCAACAAGCTCTATGCCCTCAAGAACTTTGCAGATGCAGCAGACAAATATGCAGATGCAGCAGAGGAAGTTGCAAAAGTGAATGGCGAGGATGATCCGCGCAATGCAGACATCCTGTTCTTGTACGGTCGATGTCTGTTCAAGCTGGCGATTGAACGCTCACAAGTGCTTGGAGGTGGCGGCACAGATGACAAGCAGCCAGGTCAGCCTGCTGTTGGTGCGACCCCAAATGCAGCGCCAAAAGGACCCATGTTTTCGTTTGACGGCGACGAGCCAGAAGATGAAGCTGAGGAGAACCCTCAGGAAGAAGGGGCCCAGGAAGATGAGTTTCAAAACGCTTGGGAGGTACTGGACGCCGTCAGAATCATGTACGAGAAGCAGCAAGCCGGGTCCTCGGCAGAGGATGAAAAGGACATCAAGAGAAAGCTCGGCGACACTTTTGAGCTGCTCGGCGAGATTGGTCTCGAGAATGGCAAGTCACCTACCTGTATGCTCTTGCTAATCATCAGAGAACTTTGCGCAGGCAGCACTTGACTTGACTGCTGCACTGACCAACAAGCAGGCCGTGTTTTCTGCTCACTCTCGAGAGTGCAGCAGCGCTCATTACATGCTTGCACTGGCGCAAGAGTACGCACCTGGAGACGGCAACCGTGCAGAGGCAGCCAAACAATTGAGACTTGCTATTGAAGGCTTCGAAGCACGACTGGCTGAGGAAGGCGACGAGAGTAAGAAGAAGGACGAAAAGGAGATGCTCGACGAGTTACAAGTCAAGCTTGCCGAACTTGAGGCGCCACCTGAGCGCATCATGAAGGAAGACATTGCTAAGCTCTTTAACACAGACGAATCTAGCCTCAAGGAGAGCCTGGTGGCGGCGATGCAGACATCTACAGATCTCTCAACACTGGTCAGGAAGAAGGGCACAAAACGAGCGGCTGCTACTTCGGAAGAGCCAGCAAAGAAGAGCAAAGTTGAGGCAGCTGAAGTCAAAGTCAAAGATGATGATGCTAATGTGGCTGCCGCTAAAAATCTATAGGAATTGAATGGTGCGTGACGGACGCGTCTCCACTGTCGCATCATGTTCGTGATGAGGGTGAATTGTATGTGTCGGCGGCACGTCAACGGTTGCATCATGTGCTGTTGACGCCATATGTACAGCACTGGGTCCAGCCGCTTCCAGGTCATCTGCACTGTCTGTTGGTTCCTTCCACGTAGGTAGACGAGCAATTGGATCGACCTTGCTGTCTGTCGTATATCTGCGACTGATGGATCGACTGAGGGAGACAAAGTGCGGCTGCAAGCGTGAACTGAGCTGGACCACAGGTAGAGTAATGCCGTAGACGCAGATACAACCAAAGGCCATTGAGTAGACAATCGGCTTGAGGTGCGCAGACAGGACTTCGTAGGTTGGATCCTTCTCGAAGTACTTGATGGCAATCTGAACGTAAAAGATGGCACCAACGCCGACCGGTCCAAAGTATGCGACAAAGCCGGCTTCCTTGAAGGTCTTGATCTGCGGAATGAACTTGTATAGCGCAAGGACTGGCGGTATACGTCCAAATGCAAGAATCGCCATGGCCATGACAATCATACGCCATCCAGGGTCAAGGTGAGATATCTCCGCCCAGGGCATGGTTGCGCCGATCCAGACAAAGGTTGCCAGATTGAGTAGCATATCCAGCGACGTTTGAAGCGTGTCATCTGCAGTCTGATCGCGGTAGAAATCGTGCAGAGAAAAAGCATTGCCGGCAGCAAAGGCGGCCAAGAGGTCGTCCGTACCGAGCATACCACATGTACCGATAACGAAAAGCGAAAGCGCAACAAAGAAACTAAAGAAGGCCTCGTTGTCTACCCATTTGCGCGCAAGAGCGTATTTCAGCATGTATCGAGCAATTAGGCCCACGGTGATGCCATATGCGATCGAAAGCATAATCTCGTAGAACCAGATGTGAACGAACCAGTCTGCAACAACGGCAGCTCTGGAAGGCTCCTTCAGTGAATAGACGGCAAGAAAGAGGAATGGGTAGCCCAGGCCGTCGTTGAGCCCTGCTTCCGCACTGATGATGTCTCTGATGTGTTCCGCGACATACTTTTCGGCATATCGGCCCTTGACAATGGCATTTGCAAGCACAGGATCACTAGGATTAGCAAGTCTCTTGCAGGAGAGACGTACGTTGGGGTGATGCAAGCGCCCACCACGAGCGCTTCGAGGTAGGACATGGGAAAGACGAGCCAGATGACGAGCGCTGCAATGATCCACTTGAGTGCCATGATGGGCAGGACGAGCATCGCAAGCGACTTCCATTTGTGGATACAGTAGAGACTCGGCAGCTGTATGCCTGCAAGAACAAGCTGCACGCCAATGACGAGGCGCGTCAAGTTGAGTGTTATCTCGTCCACAGACCCATAGCTCTCTGGTCGTATAAAGTCTGCAGCAAGCGGGCCAAGGGCTACGCCGATAAGCAGTGCGATGAGAGAGTCGCTGATGTAGAGGCGCTCCTTGACAACGAAAGATATAAGACCAAGGCAGATGATAAAGCTGCCGAGGATGGTCAAGACGATGTTGAAGTCGCTGAGGTCCAGCTCTGGACCTAGCCCGTAGGACATGCCCTCGGATGCGATAGACGCCTTGTCAAAAGGCAGGAATAGATGAGCTGTAAGGATGCGAGCGTATGGAAGGGCGTGGTGAGGACCAGCAGCTGGAGCAGAGACTCTTCGTCGCAGAGCATCAACGACATCATCGCTACAACAACTCGCGACCACCAGGGATCAGGCGGTACGGAGGAAGGAAGAGGGACATCTAGGAGGACAGGGAGCACATGAGCACACGCAGGTCCGCCGAATGAGCCTGCTCGGCAACAACATCGGCCAGCTTTGCAAAAACCTGGGCATTTCGCTCATCTATGCTATCCCGCTCTATGCTGCGCGCTTCCTAAGCACCCTTGCCAGCCTGCAGTACCTGACCCTTCAGCTTCTGCAGCTTGGTATACTCAGCCATGGCGTCGCTCATCAGCAGGTGCCTCTCTGGCGCACTGCGGCAACCATGCTCTGGGCATCTGTTGCTTGCTACCTCTCCTTCACCTTTACCGACGGTCTCCTTTTGCGCTGGCTCTTTCATTATGGTCCGCGAGCGACCATCATACGGCTTCTATCTCTCAATGCCTTTAACTACTACAGTATGCGGCATGCTTGCAAATATCCATTGCTAATGACCAGTCTCGACTACGGCCTTGACTCTACCAAGCGGCAGGCCTTCATCAGACTTGCCGGTGTGGATTCTGCTCTCACTCGTTCTGACTGCAGCCTATATTGTACAAGACTGGCTGACCTCCAATCTTGCCGCAACACAAAGCGACGGCAGAGCTCTCAACTTGATTGAGATTGCCGTATTCTGTGTCGTGCCTGTTGGCATGGCTTCCTTCATCACCATGTGCTTGATGCTTATATACGGGAACGTTCTATGATTCGGACATGCTATGAGTTGAGGTGGCAACCGTGCTATGGATATGTAGGTCCCTGGTTGACTTGCTGGCACAAGTCTGATAGCGATTGCTTCACCACCACCTCCTCAACCTGCATTCAACTTGGCATCATTGATGGCTACTACCATGAACAGAAGCCTGATCCAATGCAAAGATCTTGCTTGCCGTGGAACTCGTGTCTGGCCCGCGAAAAGGCTCATCTTGAAGGCTGGGCTGCTCATTGACTTCTCTAGCCAATGCGCCCTGGGCAATACGAATTCATTTTCTACAATCATTGCGAGTGGAAGGCGCCTTGCGTTTGTCTTGCATCGTGTCGCAGTAGGTCAGCAGGAATGAATGTGCGCAACGCAAGCGACGAATCAAGGTGTACATCGCAGCGAGCCTCGCGTAAGCGCTCGCTCAAATCGGAGGAACAAAAGTCAAGACTGAAGTCGCATGTCAAGCGTCAAGGCTCAAGCTGGCAATGTCTATGGCAACACGAGTGCATGACGACACGATCACACAAGGTGTAACGCCTAGCGATTCGCATGCTGCAAGTCTGTCTTTGCTTCGCTTCTCTATTGAAGGATACTCAAAGGCGAGAAGTAAAACTGAAATAAGTCTCACCCTATGCATCGTTACTGCACACACGATTTCGACCTTGCGGACGCAAACATGCTTGTTGATGTCTCGTGAGCTATGTCAAACTTTGTTGTTATCTCGGCTTTCATTGGCACCACCACCAGCAGCCTTGTCAGAGCTACTCTTGCTTCCTTCTGGTCGCGCAATGGGTGATGGATGAGAGGTGTGTTTGTCGCGCATGTCCAGTCGACTGAGACGAGGGACAATGGCGTCTTGGTCCAGATCGACCACGTCTCCATTGAGCGCCTGCAACGGAGCGAGTCGCGATCGTCGCGAGAGTGCCATTGTCGGCATCGAGGAAAGACTGTCGCTTGCAACTGTTGCGGCCCTATTGCGAGCAGGCACTTGGCCCGGTTGGTCGTGCTGATGTTTGTCGCTTGCTATTTCTGCCGAGACGCCTGCTGTTCGGGCTCGTCCATTGTCCTGCATTCTCAAGGGTCCAGGATCAAAGGCCGATGCCTGTACGCGTGAGTCCCAGATGGCCGAGCTGTGATGCATGTGTAGAGCTTCTGCTGTTGCGCAGGAAGCCGGCCACGAGTCCATTTTAGGTAGAGCCATACTTTTGCTACTTTGATGACTGTAAACTGGCTTCATGCGATGCTGGGACTGGTATTCAAGTTCGCTAGCAGGGGCGCGCTCATCAAAGGCGTCAAGGCATTGCTGCACGACTGCTCAATTAGCTTTAGCCCTATGACGAAATGGTCATACTTTTGTACTGGTGCGCAAACGGAACTGAGTGTGAGAGCAGCATAATGGCCGCTTGTCGTTGCGAGGAGAGCTACGCGCAGCAAGGCTGAGAGTGCGTCGTTAACTCGTTACTGCTGGCGAGGTGAAAATTCGTTGTGCTTCTCCTGAAAATTGGCCCCTGCTGCAGCTGCGGTGACTGCGAGAGACTCCGCTTGGGAAGGATGCTCGCATCGTGCTCCGAGGATAGCTATTGATCGCGTACCTATAGATACTTGCTGCTTCCTATACTGTTACAACAGTGCCATTGAGCCTAGTAGAGGACCATAACAAGCTGGGACCGATTGCTGAGTGTGCTGCTCTCGAATGCTACAAAAGGAATCGACTGCCCCAACACCTCTTCTTCCTCATACAACATGGCACACAAGAAGAAGCAGCGCTAGTACCAGCATCCTGTGGTCGTTGCCTGCAGCTACTTGCGCTGCTGCTTCTTGTGTGGCATGTTGTATCCTAAACCCTGAGCGCTGCTGCTTCCTGCGAGACATGTATTAAGAGGAGGCCGGCCTCGCAGCAGCAGCAAGCACAACAGTAGCTACAGCATCAAGCTGGTACACACCCACCGCCCGCGCAGCAGCAGCAAGCACAGCACACCACACCACAGCAGCAGCAAGCACAGCACACCACAGCAGCAGCAAGCACAGCAGCAGCAGCAGCAGCAGCAGCAGCAGCAAGCACATCAGCAGCAGCAGCAGCAGCAAGCACATCAGCAGCAGCAGCAGCAGCAAGCACATCAGCAGCAGCAGCAGCAGCAAGCACATCAGCAGCAGCAGCCAGCACATCTTTAGCGCTCTTAGGGCCAGGGTTGAGGGATTTCAGTCCCAAATTGTTGGTCCTCGCTGCCGTATTGGGCTCTTGCGACATTCCTTAAATCTGTGAATTAATATGACGACTGCCGGCCCCGTGCCGGGCCGAGCCCGCTAGCCTCAGTCCACCACCCGTGGGCCGTGGCCCACCAGTGCCACCACTGGGTCATTGATTCTCTGATTAACTGCCCACCTGCCACTGGTCCCACAATGCCACTCCAGTCCATCGGTGGTGATCCAGCGCAGCTTTGGGTGTCAGACACTATCAGACATCGTTAGTATTACTAACTTGGTATTGTGTAATGATTCGTGTTACGCTAATGTACGTGGCAGCAAGGAATTCCAACTTGCCCTGCCAAAACACAAGGACCACAGGATAGCTTGTCAACTTGGGCGAAATTCCTCGGGTTACTCCGCAAAATTGAGGGCGGGATGACTCTAGTTGAGGCAAGATATCGAGGAAGCCGCTGAACACGCGTCATGCGCCAACTCAGCCAAGTCTATCTGCAGGAGCTTGTGCAAAGTCTCAATGTGATTGAAGATCAGACCGATGAAAATTAATAAATTAATATCTAAGCCTCCTGTGATGACGTGCATCGTGCAGCCGAGAAAAGGAAATTGGGTTGCAGCCTTGCGCCGAGTTCCCCCTCGAGGAAATTGGGTTATTTCAACTTGTTTGTTGAAACAATTTGGATCCGCTTGTCAAAGACAGCCGACGCCGATAAAGATGGCCATGCGGGCCTGTAGCCCATGCGGATCCGGCTTACACGGTTACACCTGCTCAATGCTGTCTCATGCCTATGTGATCCGCACAGGGACGCATGATGCCTCAAGTCCAATCCTTGCCGAGCCCGGAAGCCAAGGGGGTCCAGTGGCCGGTCTACCATCACATGGCACTAGAGCCGGGGGCCAGGGCAGACGCTGCAGGAGGTGTGCAATGTGCACTGTGCACCTTGTTGACCTCTGTACGCTAAGGCCGAAATGGAATATTCACTGGCCCACACAAGGCTCAGTTTGCCGTGAACAACGCGAGTAGAAGACGAACAAGAAGCAAATGGCTCCCAGGAGAATGACAATTTGGCACATCTGCCATCTCATCTTGCTGAATGCGCAGTCAGTCCATTCCTCGACTGGCCCGGTCTGGTAGATACGGGCATTTTGCATTTCGACCCCTTGGTCAGCTGAGGCCTAGCTTGCCCGATGAATCTTCCCATATACTTGGCCTTCGCCCTCGATTTCGTTCTCACTCTCGCCGACGACTTGTCTTTGACTCTTGCATCGTTGAGCTGCACGACAAAACAATTACCAGTAACCTCGTCAGTCACAGGCTCTATTCTTTCAATGCCCCGAGCTCGCCGTACCAGCAGTGAAGAGGAGACTTTCAAGGCCGATCGTCGCGAAAGGAACAAGCTCTCAAAACGAAGAGCAAAGGCCGCAAAGCTCGCGTCACAAGCTGCCGCCACTTCCAGTGCAAATCCCATCGTGGTTGCTGGCCCAACAGGAATTGTTCGCAGCGCTCCCACTGCGGCCTCATTTGGTGCTGGTGTCGCAGGTGCCATCCCTATCTCAGCGCTGC